TTTATAAAATTAAATTTTTTAATTATATTATAAAAACTTATAATATTTTTATATTTTAAAATAAAATTAAATATATTTAAAAATAAAAAGTTTTTTAAAATTTAAAAAAATCGTAATAATTTATTAAATTTACGAATTTTTATTAACGGTTTATTAAATCGTTTTCACATATAATTAAACTTATTATAAATATAAATAAAAAAAATAAAAAAAACTAAAAATAAATAAATAAAATATAAAAAACTTTTAAAAAGTTTAAAAAATATTTCATTACCGTTTTAATAATAATTTACTTTAATTTCGATAAAATAACGTTCGTTAAAATTAATACGTTTAATTTCGTTATCGATATAATTTTATTATAAAAAAACGAAAATAATAAATTCCGTTTCGTTATTTTTTATTTTTATAAATTATTTTTAATAAAAATAAATTACGAAATTTATAATAAAAAATTATTTATTATTATTAATATATTTTAACGTTAATATTAATACTTTAAAAGTATTAAACATTAAATCGAAATATATTTTAATTATTAAAACTTATTTTATTTTACCACCATTAAAATTTTAAATAAATAATAAATTAAATAAATATAAAAATTATTTACTTTTATATTTATTATTAATTACCGTTTTAAAAAATAAAATAATAAAACCGATATTTTTTTTTAATTATTATAATATTATTTTAAAAAAAAAAAAGTTAAAAATTAATCGATTATTTCGGTTTTATAAAAAAAACATTTTTCGCATTTTATTAACTTTTTATTTTTAACTTTTATAACGATTTTATATATATTTAAAAAACTTTATAATTTTATTACTTTAAATTAAACCTTAAAATTTATAAATAAAATTAAATAAATAATTTTTAAAAATTTTAAATACTTTAACTTTTTTATTTACTTTTTAAAAAATATAAAAATATAAAATAAATTATTTTATCGTAAATATCGTTTTTACGTTTTTACGTTTTTATAATAAAAAATTATTAATTTTAAATATAACATTTAAATTATAAAATATATAAAAATAAATAAAACTTTAAAATTAATTACACGAAACTTTTAATAATTTAATATTAAAATTACGATAAAAAATTTCGTTAAAAATTACCACGAATATTAATAAAATAAAATTTTTAAATATATATTTTATAATTTTTTATAACTTATAAAATTTTATTATAAATTTTAACATATTATTATAATAAACTTTATTATAAACTTTTTTTTATTAAATAAATATAATTTTATTTAAATTATTATTAACTTATTTATTAAAATAAATTATTTTATTTTATTAAAAATAAACGAAAAAAAAACTAAAAATTTAATTAAAATTTTCGCTAAAAAATATTAAAAATTATATAAAATTCCTTTTAATATTATTTTTAATTAAAACTTTAAATTTATAACTTATATTTAAAAAAACTTTTTTAAATTAATAAATATTAAACCACGTATAAATATTACGTTTTATTTTTAAATTAATAATTAAACCGAACGATTTAATTAAACTTTCGAAATTTATTTTTAAACATTCGTTAATTACGAAATAATTAATTAAAAAAAATTTTTATTTACCGTTAAATTCGTTTATAATAATATAACTTTTTTATTTATATATTTTACGCTTTTTTATATTAATTATAATTATTATTTTACCGTTTATAACTTTTTTTTTAATATTTTTTATAACTTATTTAATTAATTTTACGTATATTAAATAATATAAATATATTAAAAAATATAATAATATTTTAAAAAAAATTAATAAAAAATAAAAAAATAAACTAATAAACGTTAAAAAAATACGCCCGTTTACGAAAAACGATAATTAATAATATTAAATACACGAAACATTAAAATTAAATAATTAATTAAAAAATTAAATAAAAAAATATTAAAACTTTTTATAATTTAAAAAATAATTTTTTTTATTATTATTAAATTAACTTTATTTAAAAGTTAAAAAATTTATAATTTATTTTATATTTCGTTTATTAAACTTTACCGCGTTAATAATTAAATAATTTTTAACTTTAATTAAATTTTACGGGAAATAACTTTAATTAAAACAAAAAATTATTAAATAAATAAAATTATAAATTTTTTAAAAGTTTAAAAAAAAATAAAATATTTAATTAAATAAAAAAATTAACCGGTTAAAAAACATTAAACTTAAAAACTTTACGAATATATATTTAATAAAAAAATTAAAATTATTATTTTATAATTTTATTAATAAAACCCCGGTAAATCTTAAAACCTTTAAGTTTCGGTTATATAAAATTATTTAAAAATAAACATTAAAAAAAAAAAATTAATATCACATAAAAATTAATGTTAAATATCGTTAATATTAAAATAAATATTATTAAATAATTATATATTATATTATTAAAAATATAATTAATTAAAAAAATACGTTAATGCATAAAAAAGTTATACATTAAAACTAACACGAAATTATCGAGCGTTTAAAACTTAATATAACTCCAACGCTCACTAAATAAATTATTATTAAATAAGAACGTAAATTCCCTTTCGAAAAAAAAAGAAAAGGATTACGGACCTTAAGACCCTAAAGAATTATTATATTGATTTCAGAATACTATTCCAAGCCCTTATATTAGCCCTTGTCACAACTGGTGCTACCATCACATATTTTACGACGGACCAGCTGCCGCAACGCATTTCGCAGAACAAACCAAACTACCCCCTTTTGGACGAGTTAGTTATGCAAAATACTTATTTTCAAGACCAACACGCCTTCCTAGGGCAGGTAGAGCCGCCTCGTTGAGATATAGGAGACTTGAAATGCTCTGTAGCCTCGTCATAAACGTATGATATTCGATACCGAGCCATTGGAAGGCAAAGGTTGGCTCATATCCCGATTCTATTTGTGAAATACGAAGCCAGCCCCATGATTCATGAGACCGAACCTGCTTTAGAAGTCGGCGATTGATAGCGGAAGACTTGTTATTGGATGGCCTTGATGTCGGTAACTGCCTTGGTATGGAGGCGAAGAATTAGCGACGGAAGAGTACAATATACAGGTAATCACAAGCATCCCATGACTTTATTCATTTCAAGCCTAGAACACTTGTGGCCAAGGAGAAGTCATCGATTATGTGGATGAAATTGATTGGGCTACTTTCAAAACTCCTGCTTGGGATTCAAATAAGTGTCTTCATTGCAGTAGCGAGGAATAAGGAATCGAAAAAAATGATTAACGACTTATTTTGTATGTATAGAGAAGAAGGGATTTTACAAAGGCCTGATGGGACAAAAAGGCTCGGGGTGAGTTCTCGCGTCTAGATTGTAAAAGCCGAGAAAACTGTGTCTCTGGCGTCACTCGACTGCAAAACTGCCTATCTAGCATATTTTCATGACTAAAGCCTTTTCGATAAGACCTCATGTTCCAGCCTTAGACTAATGTAGGAAATCCAATAACAGTAGGGTGTGATAGCTACCTAGATACCTAATTTAGTACCTTCTACGTATGTAAATACGTATTAACCCCTTTAATGACTTTGCAGAAATAAGCACTTTCAATACAAAAATACATTAGGTTAAAATGTTGCTTGCTCTCTAGCTAGTAACAGATGTGTTAGCATCACTTGGATACAAAAGGGAATCATACCACACCTACATGTTCTCTTCGTATGGCTGTGTCCAAACTAGAAGTTTTCGTCTACGCTCAATGATCTATCCGAATTAGAAAGTTATTTCTTAAAGTACACTGGAAAGATGCGCTTTGGAGGAGAAAAGAGTGTATGAGAATAAATTGTTTAGGGGGACGAGGGATTTGAATTGCTCCTTACTAAAATTATTTAGGTGTTGCTGGCACTGGCTCGGGACGCCTCCTTGTGCCTTCGATACTACGTTTTAACTGCGAGTTTAAGCAATACCTAAGCAATAAAGACCTACAAATGTTAGCCGATGTATTAACTTTGGATGTAATCCTGGTCATAGGAATGTCCTTACCTTCTCTAATATCATACCTAGTTAGGTATGATAAAATACTTTCTTCTATATACGATTTTATAAATATATCACGAAGTATTGTCTTGATTGCTGCTCCTTTTCCCAATTAAAGCGCAGTATCGAAACTACATGAGGGAGTCATGAGCTAGTGCTCATAACGGCTTGTTCATGGTACCAGCAGCTACCTAAGTAGCTTCTAGAGGAAGATTCTTACCTACAGTAAGTACCCATGTAGTTCTTTGAGTAAGTGGGGATGTCTCTCAATTTCCACGTAATCCCAACGATAGGAGGCCTTCCGCTCAAGGAGGCTAAAAGTACAAACTTGTTGTAAGTTGCCGCTGGTGAATATTAGTGGAGATCACCTGGGGCACCTGGGGACTATCCACCGGAATGTCTCCAGCCAGCTGTACATAAGGAGCCTGAAGGCGTTCGATAACCGTAGAAGGTCTCAGGCTTTGATGGGCGTCCAATCACACTGCTACTAAGAAGCCTCTTGTCAATAATCTGCCATAGGAAGTAGGCAATAACCGGATGGCTTTATTCCCTAGCAATTTACCTCATGCCTAGAAAAGGGGCGTCGAGCGAGACACAGCAACATTGGAACTGCACCAATGATTGTGTATCGCTGCGCCCATACCTGCAGCCATACGGATCTTTGTACGTCACCTCGGCATTTTTTCTTTTTCTGAATGTCGAAACCGGAGGTACTAATGAGATTCGTCAGTTAGCTATAGCTAATACAGTTGAAAGTACTAACTAGAAACTGTCTGTTACACTGTGTTCATAACAACCTCGGAAGTTGTCAAACTCGATCAGAGGAAAAACAGACAAAAGCTGTTACTCATTTAGATATTGTACAAAAGTAAACATTTATCGGACGAACCGAAGCAGCTTCCATGTTAAAAATATATGCAAATTTAAAGAAGGTGCATTATGTACCTTACATAATACCAACCTTGTTCAATTGAAGTTATGAAGTCATATCGAAACTCGAGCATCCAATCAGATGTTAGATCCCGCGCCAAACGGTACCGGTATAAAAAAGCTTAGTCTCGTGCCGTCCGGTCGGCGCCCTATCGATTATATCGATTAGGTACCTATCGTTATCTGGGTGCCAGGTCAGGGGAAAGTCGCTCTTGCATTCTTCCGACCAAGACCTAGGGAAACCGATTTCCATTATTTTGAAGATCGATAAACTTTATTTCCCCTTTTTCCTCCTTTACGACTTTACGACTTTTCCTCCTCTCCCCCCAATTTCGCTCGCCAAGTCAACCGGCTGCAATGGCGGACACAAAGGGCACTTCGTACTCGACCGACCCCGCCCTCTACCTGTACACCTCCCTCACGGCCGGATCCTCGCACATCGTCACGGCCACCTCGCGACTAGAGACCATCTTACGAGCCAACAGGGTACCCTTCAAAGCTATAGACATCGCCACCGACGAGAAAGCACGCATGCTATGGGGCCGAAGGGCAGGTAAAGACGATGGCGGACGGGTACGCAAGCTGCCCGGCCTGGTGCAGATGGGACTGGTACTTGGCGTAAGTCCACCCTTTATATACACAAATATCTACAACCACAAGCATCCGTATCACCTTGCACCACCCTTCCGAAGCTAAAAATGCCTGCGTAGGATCTAGTCGAGATCGAAGAGTGGAACGAGTACGGCGAGCTAAAGCAGCACGTCACCATCTACTACGACGACTTCACCATCCCAAGCAAAAGCCAAGCACCGCCCCCCATCGTCCCGAAAGCGAAACCCGTCGCCCCTCCCGCCGCACCCGCCGCCGCCGGCGGAGCAGCCAGCACAGCCGCCAGCAAAGGCGGTCCGAAACCGCCCGCGGCCCCAGCTCTGCCCAAAGCCTCGGAGCTGTCCGCGCAGAAATCGAAGCTAGCCTCCGCGCCCGCTAATGCCGGTCCCGCGAAGCCTACCCTCAGTATTGCCGAGGAGGCCGCGAAGAAGGCGAAGCAGGTGCACCTCGACAGCCTGCGGGCCAAGGTATACGGGAAAAAAGATGGCTCAGGCTCCGGCTCGGACTCGGGGTCTAAGGAATCGCTGTCCAAGTCGTCGACGAGCTCGGCGAGGGAGAGCATGGGCAACCTCTCGCTAAAAGACAAGGAGAAGGAGAAGGAGAAGGCGAAGGGGGAGGCGGGTCTGCAGTCTCCCACGACGGGGAAGTGGAAGGGTGGAGATGCGTCTGAGGAGGGACTGCGGCAGGTGCTGCAGAGCCCGACGACGGGGACGTGGAAGGCGGATGCGGGGAAGACGGAGGCGTTCCAGGGTGCTGTTGTTGAGAACGCGTCTAAGGCGGAGATAGCGGCTGTTGAGAAGGCGGAAGCTATCCCAGAGGCGACGAGCTCGGAAGAGGAGGATTCCGAGGACGAGGAGGAATCGTCTTCTGAAGAGGAGGAGTCTGAGGATGAGAAGAAGGTTGTTACGAAGGAGGTTAAAAAGGAGGTGAAGGAGGTCAAGAAGGAGGCTAAGAAGGAAGAGTCTTCGGAGGAAGACGACGACGATGACGATGATGATGATGACGATGATGAGGAGGAGTCGTCTGAGGAGGAAGAAGAAGAAGTGGCCCAGCAGAGCGAGAAGAGCAAGGCCAAGAAGCAGCAGTAAGAAGTTTGTCGTCCCAATTTTATTATTGCGTTTTATTAATAAACAGGCGCGAGTGTTGCAACCCGGGGTGTTTTTAGATACCAAATTTGCGAAAGTGGGCAGAGAGAAGAGAAAAAAAAAACTTGATTATTCACAACTCTCCTCAAGAAATCTCAGTACCATGCCTATTATATAGGTACAATGCTGCTGAGGAGAACTCCTCTCCAGATTAATAGTAGATACTATCTAATTAATCCCTTCTCCCTAAAATATCCATCGATTCCGCCTTGGTAGGATAAGAGTGCTAAGATTCCCTTAGTTACCCCTACCAATTTTTTCATCTATCATTTTTTTTCTTTATTTTTTGGTCGACCAGACTCATCTCAGTTCAGATCAAGTTCAATAATTTAATATAACCCATCATCATCACTCGCAGTCCCGTCCGTGAATCTAGCGATCGCCTTGCCCTTCCCCTTGGACCTACCATTGACGCTTCCACCGTAGCTCCCATATGGTTCGCCGTTGTCGCTCTCCTCGTCGCTGGCGGCGATCGCTTTTCCTTTTCCCTTACTCTTATTATCTATTGCCACTGATTTGCCTTTACCCTTGCTACCCGAGACGGACCGGGAACCGCTGCCACTACCGCCGTCCATCACCAAAGGAGGCATATCATCGTTCTGTTGCTGCTGTGGTTGTGGTTGCGGCTGTTTTGTATCTTGGTTTTCGAACGTGGCTTTGACTCTTTCGTAGTGAGCTAGTTCGCCGGCGCTGACACTAGGTATTAGCTCCCTGTTTGCGTCGAGGAAGTCCGGTTCCGTAACCATGACAGCAACGTCTTCGGGCGTAGCATGATGATCAAAGAAGTTGGCTGTGGAGATAGGTGCATGCCCTTCCTTCTCCCGGTCTGCATTGATGACGCGGATCTTAGTGTCCACGAGCGTTGCCTGTCGCGTGACGGCCTTAAGCATGGCATCACTACATAAAGCGTAGAAGTCGGCACCCGTATAAGTGAAAGGTAAATGTTCCGCGACGGCCGGTAGTGAGACAGACGGGTGGAGGGTGAATCTGTTGTGATAAAATTAGTATATGTGGTAAAATGCGGACGATTAGAGTAAACACATACTTTCTTGTCAAGGCTTCCATAATCGTGAGCTGCTTCTCGTGCGTATCAGAGACGCCAAGGTAGAGCATCTTATCAAATCTACCTGGACGAAGCAATGCCTGATCGAGCAGATCTGGTCGATTGGTAGCGCCAATGACAAACACGCCCCCTCCTCCGTCATCTCCCCCGGACATGCCATCTAATTCAGCCAGTAGCTGAGACACGATACGGTCCATAACACCTCCACTGTCGCCCTGATTTCCTCGCTTGGGAGCAACCGAATCAAGTTCGTCGAAGAAGACGACACAGGGCCTCGCATCTCGGGCTCGCTGGAACACCCGGCGGACATTTGCTTCGGATTCTCCGATATACATGTTAAGCAACTCGGGACCTTTGACACTGAAAAAGTTCAAACTGTACTCTGTAGCAATTGCCTTTGCGAGCAAGGTCTTGCCGGTGCCGGGAGGACCGTAGAACAAGATACCGGATCGCTTTTTCATTCCCTTGGCGAACAACTCCGGTCTTTCCAAGGGTAGTTGAATAGTCTCCATAACCGCTTCCTTAACATTATTGAGACCTCCAACGTCGTCCCAGGTAACATTGGGAATCTTTGGTGCACCAATGGCGTCGGCAAAATTCTTCCGTGCTGCATCTACTGCAATATCAAAATCGGCTTTGGTTAGACATCTCGCGGATGAACCACCCGAAACCTGAATATCACGAACGGTGACAGTCGAATTTTCGTTAGAAGCTTTCGTTGACAACATTTCGAGGCGTGAGTCACGCGCAACTATCGCGCGCTCAACCACGTCAACTAGGTCGCCAGCAACAAGGGCTGCAGTTTTGACGGCGACACCGCTCAATTCGACCTCGGGTGCTAAAGATACCCCGCGGTTTTGGATGATAGATCGTAGAATGCCTTCACGTTCACCCTCATCAGGGGCAGTCATCTCAAGTTCATGAGTGAAAAGCCCTCTGATACCATCCGGTACTTTGTCGACTTCAGTAGTCGTCGCAATCAAAACTCTAGAGTCACTGAGGACCTCTTTCATTGCACTAACCATTCTATCCGCGGTAAGTGCTTCGATATGTCGGATAAGGAGAGCACAGAACTCAGGGCCGCATGTCATAGCACGATCTGCTCGAGCTTTCAAGAGTCCTTCTGTTTTAACATCGCTACCTCCAGCTCCACTATCGTTGACGATATCATAGGCGTCGATAGTAAAGGTGTGGAGACCAATATCCGCACAAGCACCAGTAGCTATGGTTGCCTTGCCAATGTTGCGCTGGGTTGACACAAGGAGAACAGCTATAGGAGGCATCTTAAGATGAACAGCTCGCTTGCTTGTAGCAGCTGCCATGAGTTCCCTTAGCCGTCGCCTGAGAGGAGGGGTAAATCTCGCCTGTTGCTGAACCACGGAAGACAGAAGATTAGATGTGGGCTGGGGGGCTTCCTCAACGCCTAAATAATACGGCCAATTGCTGTCTTTTGTACCAGGGAGAGAGCTAGTGCTACCCCCAGACTGGGCAATCTGAGTAAAGGAGCTATCGACACAAGCCACGCCGCTCCATATATCTTCTTCGTCCTCCTCATCGATAGGTTCTGATTTTTGGCGTTCTATATGAGCAACTTTGAACCAGGCAACCGCATCAGGTTTAAATGTAACACCGGTGCCGGTCTTGTTCGAAGCTGCAAGAGCTACGACATCGTCAAGCGCAAGACCATCGCTTGCATTGGTTGATTCTTGAAGGGTCCGCCCAAGCTGTGTGTCAATAGGTATTCCGATTAAGTCGCCAGATTTTACTACACGGATACTTCGTGAAAAATGATCCTTTAATCCGCCAAATATAGCAGTCTGAAGAGCCTTCTCAGAAGATACAGGCGTTCGTATTTGCTGAAGGGTTACATCTCGAGCATAGGGCGGGCGAGAGGAACCAGTAATTTTCGACTGACCCGGCCTTGGGGGATGCGCCGTTCTTTTTAAGGGGGATAATCGCACATATGGCGCATTCTCCAAGTTTGCGATTAATATAGGAGACATATATGCACTAGGCCCCGAGGAATTTATTACTTGCGATTCGAAAAACGATGTTCTTCGATTGCCAAAGTCATGCTTCGAACTCGGAATTCTAGTCATGGGCCGATGGGAATAACCTTCGGGAAGTCCATAAATTTTGGCCGGTCGCCATGTTGGCTCTTCCACCCCGGGTTGCCCGAAACTGCCAAGGCCGAAAAGACCAATGCCGTTGGTGGGAGGCTCCTCTGAAGCCTCGAGGCGTACCCAGTCCCCGGAAAAGCAGCCTATCCTGGTTAAAGAGTTGATGTCCACATATACCCGTACCTCCTCGTCGTCTTCGGCCGTCGGCTTCGGATGAAGTAATTCTGAAGGTATCGAGTTCATTAAACCATGGGCCTTGAAGAGGCGACCCTTGGGACGGTCCGGGCGAGCAGTTGTAGCGGTGAAACTAGAGAAAACCGAGGTAGGAGAGGCGATGCCATTGGTTTTCCTTCCGCGTCCCAATGTCATGGGCGTTCCCGGCTGCATGGTAGAGATGCCGCTCGCATTAGAAGATGGCAGCGCCGGTGCTTGGAGAGATATGATATCATCCATTGAGTCGTCCGAGAGCTCATCTTCATTCTCAGGATCCGAAGCTTCAGTATCCGTTTCCGTAATAAAATCTGAGGCATCGTGTGGCGCATCAGTCTTGACGCGTTCCTCGGCGGCGGAATAGAATTGGTCGGTCGCCGTGTCCTCGTCCTCCTGGACATTATTTAACCCTTGTGGCGGAGCGATGGATTTCCGTCCCTGCTTTGACTGGCCATGACCTCTCGTTAAAATGATTTTAGTGGTTGGTGCTAGAACACCCTGTGCTACGGGCTCACACAGTGTTACCTTGCCTGGCGTAGAAGGAACATGTGTAATTGGGTGTGGCGGTAATGGTAAAGGGAATAGATCTCCATTATGGACGACTTTTAAGGTGCCCAGTGCCACGCGCAAAGCAGCGGCGAGCCGGTCTGTGGGAGCATCACTTCCAGCGATAGCTTTTTCTTTACCAGAAGGATGATCAGTGAAGAAAGTGCCTTCTCCATCCTCCAGTCTCTTCACAAGGTCACTATCGAGGTTTACGAAAACGGTATCTAGAGGCAACGCGGTAACATCCAAGACTAATATTTCAATACCACTCCTGCTGTGGCTAGATAACTTCGAGGGTGCGATCTGCTGTAAGGTAGTCGCGAAACTCTGCAAGGCGAGAGACGAAGGAGAGAATTGGACGGTCGAGTGAGCGAGAGCAGTGGATTTGGCGATTGGAACTATAGTCCAGTTGGTTCGATTCGGACTCGAAGACGGTGACCAAGGAGCAATAGCAACATGGTGAATTTCGGGAACTTGATTAGTTTCACCATCGATAGGGTCTGTATCACGTTTAAATTCTCATTAGACCCGGTTACGGCTACGTGCAGAGAGCTTTGGGGTCTTGGAGTTTTGGAGGTTTGATATGCTCTAAGACACTTACCGTCTTGCAAGTGAGGAAACAGATCAGCGAATAGGTCATCGGATAAGATACCGATATCTCCCTTCACATGATTATCCAACACTAACCTCGCTGATATGGCGGGCTTGTCTTGCCTTCTCCTCCGCCTTCGTTTGCGATGAGCAGCTAAATCGCGATTTGTTGCGGCCATGATCGCGACGTAGGGTTTGCAAGGTCGGAAGGTCTGAAGGTCTTAAGGAGCGGTGCGCCGTGATAGAGAAATCATTAGGTACCGTAGATCAGGGCCCCGCAAGTCGCGAGGCGTCGCGCATTAGGGGTCGTGTTTATAGAATAATATTCAACGCATTCAAAGATGATGAGTGTCTAAATAAGAATGAAGAAAAGGTCCAATTCATGAAGCCGATGTGTTTTTTAACCAGCGAACTAAATTCTCATGAAGATGACCGGTAGCTAGACCGTCTATCTGGAATAGCCTGCCACGTCGTAAGCTATCCTCTTTTCTTCAAATCACCCAAAAGTCTTCTTCGGTTTCGGTGTCCAAATGATTTTTGACCGAGGCATTCCTTGACCGTATCCATTATGGATAATCGATAGAAGATTTCTGCACGGACCAGGAACCAATCGAATATTCCATGTGGCTGTTATCGATACAGTAACGTTCAGGGGTAAGGGGGTACCTAGTGGGGTTAATGCTTGTGTACTTAGGTACCTACCCGAGTTGAATCATCGCCAGTTGGACAATGACTTCAACGTTTTCAAAGTGATATACTTGAGAGTCATTTCTATATACAATTATATTTACATTTGGATATAACCGTGTTATTCCCTATTGTTTGTTCATATCAAGTTTCATATAAGATGAAGGTAATCTCGAGTAATATGCTATCAGGTCACCCCAAACCTTCTTTAGCCTTTCGTAACTTCTCTCCATCTCTCTTCTTGCACAATAACCCTCGGGAACAAACAACGCCGCCTACCTAATTATGAACACTGCCAATTAACTACCTATCTACAGCGCACTAGGCTGCCAGGTAAGTAAATATAAGCAGTTACAGAAAAATATTTGCTTGTTTGCCCCTGAAGCATATTGAACTAAACTAATTGACTAGTGTCAAAGTCACCAAAGAGTCGGTATCCATTCCTCTTCACTTTCACATGTTTCAGGGCTTTGTTCAGAAACAACCGCCACCCGCCGACATGTTCAGGACTAAAGATTGCGAAAATCTAAACTAGATCAGCAATGACGTAGTATTCTCTATCTCCGGGTTGTACTTGGCAAGATTTTACATTTCTTTATCCCTGTCAATAGGGGGTCACTTCCATTTTTATCGTAGCTATTACTCTGATGATCAAGTCATTCATCGATTTACGCTAGTCATATGCATATAGATGTACCTACATATGTACCTACTTCTTGCCTCAACATATTCTATATATTCTTCCATTTCGTAGGTGGCTGACTCCTTTGGAATCCAACCTATGCCCGGCGCCATGACGCGGCTTTATTGCTGACACAAGATTGAAGATTGCTAAACTGCTAGATTCAAATCCAGTGACGTACATAGATCTACGGGTTGTTGAGTTGGCGTTTTCTAAAATTTCACTATCTAAGTCACAGTTATTTTTTTCTCTTTTCGAAAATTAGTCTCATGATTAAGTCCGAAGAAAGAATTTGAATGTCTCAAATAGTCTTCGAACCCAGATGAAGACAATTCTTACAGCTAAACATCGCAATGGGTTCCGACACCGACCCTCGCTTAACTGAGCTGCAGCCATCCGGCTCCCTCGCTGTTCATACAGCCGTTGAATTTACTCAACAAGCAGAGAAACTTTCCCTCCAAACAGCAGATAATAACCAATTCCCCGAGACTGTTGCGGTTGAGGCCCGGTTCATAACGCCGCAAGATCCGGTTATTGTTACAGCTGACGGCAACCGATTACCTACCGTCCCGCTTGAACAAGCTTATAAATTAAACATACTGAAAGATGAACTCAACAGCGACTTTTCGAAGGAGTCTGTTGGTCAGCACGATGATAATGCCCAAGCGTCTCCGAGCGCCATCGCTGGCTTCGGGCCAGGATCCTATGCGGAGGATAAAGCAGCGCAGAAATCGAATCAGGGATCTCTAAGGCGCTCTATGCCACCGACAAATACGCACCCTCTATTTCCTCCTCTACCTTTATACGGGCCACCATCTTTACTTAGAGACATACAATGTTGGATTTTTCGAGTGTCTTCATTTTTCCTGAGTGCCGGCTTCTTAGGCGTTATCGTTCTCGGTGCCTTGTTTACGAGCATACCGAGGGTCTGTTATAAAATATGGTTACGTCTAACGTTTCGAAATCCCGATGCCCGAAGACCTTTCTATGAAGAGGAAACCCGGAGGAAGAATACGCGAAAAGAACAGGCAAGATCCTGGAAAAGGCGGAAGTCTCCAGGACAGAGGACTCCGGACCAAGAGAGTGCTCAGGAGAGCGAAGCCTTCGTTCCCACAGAGGGCGGCCCAGACCCGGTTATTTGCGACGTTGGTTATTATGCGCGAAGAGTTGGCTTGGATGTCGAAGAGTTCGAAGTCCAGACAGAAGATGGATTCATCATCGACCTATGGCACGTCTACGATCCTCGCGAGTACACGAAGTTAGATGATCAGGAAAGGTCATATCGAGGACCGGAGTTATTTACAGGAGATTACAGGAGAAGATTAAGAGATCCCAGTCAGAAACGCAAATTTCCGGTGCTCTTGATGCATGGACTGCTACAGAGTTCAGGGGCTTACTGCGTCAACGACGACGATTCCTTGGCGTTCTACCTATGTAAATCGGGTTACGACGTATGGCTTGGAAATAACCGATGCGGTTTTCGCCCAAAGCATACTTTACTAGAATATTCCGATCCTCGTATGTGGTGCTGGAATATCCGCCAGATGGGCGTATTTGACCTATCTGCGTTGGTCTCGCGAGTCTTATTCGAAACCGGATTCGAAAAAATCGGGCTAGTCTGCCACTCCCAAGGTACAACGCAAACTTTTGTGGCACTCGCGAAAGAACAACGTCCCGAGCTCGGTGAAAAACTCACTGTATTCTGCGCCCTTGCACCAGCAGCCTATGCCGGACCTTTGATTGGCAAGATGTACTTCAAGTTTATGCGTGTCATTTCACCGGGTCTCTTCCGCCTCATGTTTGGCATCCACGCATTCATCCCTCTGATGATGACGATGCACTCGATACTTCACCCCCACATCTATGGACAGCTTGGCTATACCGTGTTCTCATTCCTGTTTGACTGGACCGATACTCGATGGGATCGCGGTTTGAGGGATCGCATGTTTCAATTTGCGCCCGTGTACGTGAGCTCGGAATCAATGCGTTGGTGGCTAGGCCGGGAATGCTTTGCGAAACACAAGTGCATCCTCTCTACTAAGGAGGAGTGGCACGATGAGGATCGGGAAGATGGAACTGATGGGCCCCTTGCAGAAACAGACAGCCAGCGCAGAGACTCTGGCATAGCGAACAGTACTAGAGAGCACCATAGGAGACCAAAGGGCACAACAGCCTGGTACAATGATCAAGTCTGCCCGTTCGCGTTGTGGGTAGCTGGAAACGATGATCTCGTCGACGGACGGAAATTACTGCATCGGTTCGAGAGAGGACGTGAGCCACATGTCAAAGTGGTTCATAGCAAGGTTCTTCCAGAATATGAACATCTCGACGTTATATGGGCGATGGACGCTGTCGACCAGATCTTCCAGGAGTTGCGGGAGGTACTGTGGAAGACTTGCAATGCTCGTGACGAGTGTAGGGTACCGAGTGGTTGCGAGAATGTTGCGGCCTGGATACCGGAAGACGTCTCCAATGGAGATGCGGAGCAGTCGAGCAGTGATTCGGCGTAATCCTTCGTCCTTACTAGAACATGATACCCCCTTTCATTTTTACGGCTTAGATACGACTTCTTAATGGCAGTGGTTTGGATTTAACGACTGATGATTATATTATGATGTATATATCCATAAGAGACTTTAGAAAGTGAGCATTTTAAAAAGGGTTGATATATCTTAGGCATGTCTTGATTGGCTAGTTCGCGAGACTCAGACGCCACTTCATATTAGAACATATTATTATCCGAAGTCCGGCTCCGGCTCCCGTGGTTGCTTTTTTTCCACCACCAATATACTGACCTTGTAATCTATGTCTATATAATTCACGATGTGCAACTTCATATTCTTAGGTGAGAGAAATTGATTTACATACGATCATTTGACTCTAAGATAAAGATCTTACGCCAATTCTCACCGCTTACGTACCAGCCTCAAGATTTCTCCAGAATCCCCCCGCAGCGGCAGGTTTGAAGCTTATCTTTGTAGGGTTAGCGATCTTGCTCTAATCCTTGCCTAGGTAAAGATCTGGGGTTCCCGTGCCATTCCCTTTAAGCGCTTACTGCAGCGACATGTCTGTAGGATGCCATTCGGTTGTTCGTACAATTGGTCCGCAGAAGCTACGCAAGCTTGCAAGCTACCTAGGTGCCTGTGTTCCTATGCTACCTATCATGCTTCATCGGATACGGATCAGGGACGGGTATAGGACTGTACTTAAGACCCGCAACTATGGACTATGATGGAGAACCCCTCTCCGGTTCGAGATAGTAGTTCGGGCTAGTGAACATTGCCTAGGTTACAGGCACCTTAGGTGGATTGTGTGATCATATTCTTTGGATACCATACGAGAGACCAAGCTACAAAGAGGAAGAATAAGGTGAATCGAAGTAAAGTCAATTGGTCTTCTCCACTCGTCAAACTATCTAACTAAGTATCTAGCTAGCTAGCTCAGGCAGACCCCCGGGGTTGACGTCGCGGCTCCAAACCGGGAAGGAGCTGTAGGATTTATCAAGCTAATTACTGATTCCACGCTTTCCCACGGTTCTCTTTGTCAGACACTCTCAACAACCTCGGAAGTTGTAATCCTTGCCGCGGGGACCAAACACTTGGGTTTCTTGTTCTACCTACCTTAACTTTCACTCTAGTGCAACATCCAAACCTTATACGTTACCTACGTAGATACTTCCTTTACAATCTAATCTTAATTGTTACCTCTTGTCTTTGTCTATTGCTTCTCGGAACTTCCGGTCTTCGAAATGGTGGTTAAGTCCTTCCACGCGCCCCTGTCGATACCAAATATTGACTTATGGCAACTTATATTCGAGAGGAAGGATAGACCCTTTGCAGATGATAAAGGTATGTCCTAGATATACTGCCATATACTAAATAGATCAAAGGTCTAATTCATGATAATAGAAATATACATCGACCCCGACACGAAACGCACATATACCTGGGCTCAAGTGAAAAATACGGCACTCGAGTTTGGCAAGGGGTTGAAATCACAATGGGGTTTTAAGAAGGGCGATTCTCTTGGCTTCTTCTCTCCTAACAGCATCGACTATGCGCCGGTATTCTTCGGTGTACTCTGGGCTGGCGGCTCATGCTCGACCGCTAACCCAAACTACACAACCAAGGAGTTAGCATTTCAGATGAAGGACTCTAAGGTAGCGGGGATAGTTACGCAAGTACCTATGTTACCTGCGGTACTTGAAGCTGCGAAGATCATCGGCCTACCAGAGGACCGTATTATTCTGCTCGGAGATGAGAGAGACTCTACTGGCAAATTCAAGCACTTTACCGAGATTCGCTACTCGAGTATCTTGGGAATACCCACGCTCCGCCCAAGACTCGACCCCAAGAAGGACGTTTCCTTCCTCGTATACAGCTCCGGAACCACCGGCCTACCTAAGGGTGTCATGTTAACGCATTCCAACATTGTTTCCAACCTCATCCAGATTGAACATGTCGAAAGACTTAATGGGCTTTATCATTCGGGCGGGCCGGACGGAAAGGGTGACAGGCAAATAGCAGTACTCCCATTTTTCCACATATACGTAAGTCAACCCCATACACCTCCCGAGTCCAAAGCGTAAGAAACTCATATGATAATTAGGGACTCACCTGCATCGCCCTCCAAGGAATATATATGGGAATCCAAGCCGTCGTGCTCCCCAAGTTCGACCTCGACAAGTTCTGCGGGGCGATTCAGGAATTCGGTGTAACATACGCCTCGGTCCCACCACCCGTGGTCCTTGCGCTGGCCAAACATCCCGCCGTCGCGAAGTACGATCTATCCTCTATAAAATGGATGAATTCGGGCGCTGCGCCTCTGGGACGCGATCTCGTCGAGATGGTATGGAAGCGCCTGACCATTCCTGTGATGCAGGGATACGGGCTCTCGGAAACGGCGCCCGTCCTCACCAAGGCAAACATTGCTGACTGGGCCCGGCATAATGGATCTTGCGGTAAACTCCTCCCCAACATCGAGGCTAAAATCGTCGACATCGAGACGGGCCAAGAGCGTGGACCAGGCGAGGGCGAGGGAGAGCTTTGGTTCCGCGGACCCAACGTGTTCCCCGGTTACCTCAACCGCCCCGAGTTGCAGTCGAACACCTTCAGCGAGGACGGCTTCTTCAAGACGGGCGATATTGGATACGCTGATGTCAAGGGTAATTTCTACATCACAGATCGGTTGAAGGAGTTGATCAAGTATAGTAAGTACCAAACATACCCAGATGAAATAGAGATGGAGCAAGAGAAAAATACTAACATATATCCAAAGAGGGTTTCCAAGTCGCACCCGCCGAGCTAGAGGGCATCCTTTTAGGCCACAGCGAAATCGCGGACGCCTGCGTAGTCCCCGCACACGACCACGAGCGTGAAACCGAGGTTCCGCGGGCGTACCTAGTACTACGCCCTGGCATCACGCGTTCCGACGACAAAGCCGTCGAGATCATAGCCTGGGTCGAGGGCAAAGTGGCCCAACACAAGCGCCTGCGAGGCGGCGTACGGTTCGTCGACGAAGTACCCAAGAACGCCAGCGGCAAGCTACTGCGTCGGATCTTGAAAGAGGAAGCTAGGAAAGAGGACGAGCGTGCCAAGGGACCTAAGTTATGATTATAATATATAAGGAAGATTGGTTAGGATGAGACGGCATAAAGATCGAGCTTGGTAATAGCTTTCTGTCTATCTTCTAGAATCCCCAAGTGTATATAGAGTTTGTACATACAGATATAATTGTACAGCCGAGAGTCCTTCCACTCCCCATTCTTCATTCGTAAGCGGCGTGGTTAATCGTCCGGCCAACCTCGACCTAATCTTAGACTTCCAAGCTCTCGTGCCCAACCCATCGTAGAACACATCGTCGTCGCGTAGTATATCCTAGGATCTCAACCCAACTTCTCACTCTCCTCCAACAACCTCTCAACACTAAACCCCCCATCCCCGCGTCCAAACTCCTCCAACAGCCTCCTCTTCCCCTCATCCACCGCCCCCTCCCCACCATAAAACCTCTGCAGTAGCATAACCAACCACCTCGCATCGAGAACACTCGCACCCCTACCCTCCACCACACTCCCCGCCATAAGCACGACCCCAGGCTCTTCCGCAAGCCCCGCGTCCCAGTAATGCGTGATGCTGGTATGCGGCTGCGCCCACTCCCCGCGGGCCTTGTATTCCGCGAGCTGCGTGAACAGCACCGTTGCCGTGCGCGACTCCGCGTCGAACACCCATTGCAGGAAGTGGATTTCCGCGCCGACGCCCTCGCCGCGCGGGACCGGGAGCACGAAGGTCGGGTGTCTGCGCGCGGTCGCTTCGAGGGCTGTGTATGTCTGCGTCGGGATCACCGCGCATAGCGATGTGGGGGAGGAGGCGTGCCGGAGCCGCCAGATGGCTGAGAGCTCTTTTTCGGGGAGCGCGCGGGCTTTGGGGAGGTCGAGGATGGAGGAGAGGGGTTTGATGGTTGAGGTTGCTTGGCCGGGGCCTGTGTGTGGTGAGGACGAGGGCGGCGGAGGGGGTGGCTGGGTTAGGCCGTCTGAGGCCTCGGTGGTATGAGCTTGTTGCGCGGCTGCCGGTGCAGGGCTGTCGTCGAGGAGTGCGTCTAGTCCGGGTATGCTAACGGTATCTTTTTTCTTGAGATCCTGGATGCGGTCGCGATATGCGTCTTTTAGCTCTCCGATATCGTTGTGCCCTTCCTCGCGCGCCTTTCGGTCGAGCTTCTCGCGGTATTTCTCGACAACATTGCGGCCGGCTTGGGTGGTGGCGAGGAACCGTACGTCGTGGACCTGTGCCCAGCGGCGCTGCTGGTTCGGCAGTCGGAGGGGCAGCCGTCGACCCAGTAAGTTGCGTAGGGCGGGGATGCGGGCCGTTGCCATGGTTCTCCCGGCTGTTCCGTACAGTAAAAAAGAAAAAAAAGAAAAGAGGAACAAATAGGAAATAGCGTACCCACCACACTTCACCAATTGAAAGCTGGGAAGGTGGTTGAAAGAAAGGGTGTCTGAATAGACCTTGAAGGATCAAAGTTTTGGAAGGTCTGAATAGAAGCTCAAACTTTCGGAAAGCTACAGAGTACAGGTCGGATAAGATCCCGAGAAAAAAAGAAGGTAAGTGGGGCACTAAAATGGCAGGCTTCGCCCCGTGCATATACCCTCGTTTGTATAGGTACTGTACTGAATATAGCAGTGGAGACCAAGTGAATGGAGCCCGTATGGAGCGTATGGAGTCATTACTACGTTTAGAGGAATCGCCAGCCTATTAGAATCATCATGATTCTAAGCCGACTAAGTTCTTTTCGGCACTTACACCTTCAACATCTCAGCACCATCACATTCAGACCAAATAACCAAACATGAAAGAATCAAAGCATCGAAACATTAATGGTTTGAATAGGAGACGTTTAGTTGATCACTACAAACAACTCTGAGCTTCCCTTGGAGTAACTACCGGTAGGTAAATCCAACGACTAGGCTAGTAAGCACACATACATATATAATATAATATCTCCAACCTGCTCCTTCGCAGGGTACCCCTCATCTCCTCAAACCTCTTCTTTCTCATCGTTCGCGACATGAATCGTCTCTAGTTCTAGGTCTAAGTCTAGATCCAGCTGTGGCATTATCCGTCTTTGTCTTTGTCTTTGTCTTCGTCTTGGTCTAACATCTTGTCTAGTATCATCTCTTCTAGATTTTATAAAATGGTATCATATTCATTAGATAATCTTTAAGCGTTAGTGGGCTTGAAGATGATGGTCTCGGCGTCCTGCTTGAAGGGAACACCGAGCTCGAAAAGCTTCTTGACAACAGCAGCAAAGTCCTTGAAGAAAAGGTTGTTGTCCTTAGCATACTTCTCAACCCACGGCTTGAAAGCCTTGTCCTGGATGAGGGCATAGTCGGCAGGAAGCATCATGAGTGACTTGGTCTTGGTGTCCTCATACTGCTTGGGGCCGTTCCACTTGCGCCACTGCCACTTCTCGTCTAAGAGAAGGGTGTAGTAGTCGTTGGTCAGCACAGTGGGAGAGAAGGTCCACGGACCCTCGAAACCACTTCGGTCAGTGTGGCATCGACCTAAGGCGTGGGCACCAGCAAGGGCAACGATCTCTTGATCATTGAAGCCCATGCGGTAGAAGATGTTACGAAGGTGGTCTCCGCCCTTGGCTCCGTCGGGAAGACGTCCATCGGGAGTGCAAGCCGCAGCGTCACCATCCCGACGACCAGGTCGGAACGGAATGGTGGGGCCTTGCATCTCCTGGACGGCAGCGACACCACCGATGATCCAAAGATCGGAGTAGCTGATCCAGGGGAATTTGGCTATAAGCCGAGTGTTAGTCATGTTGCGTCAATTATCTTAATGGTCCATGCAAGGGCGTGAGATTGCCACTTGACTCATCTGACAGAAACGTACCTTTAACAGGCTCTAGGAAGTCCCGAGCGTTCTTCAAGCCAGCATTCGCACCGTGGTCACCTTCGGGGGAAAATCGCATGGTAGCACCATTGCTACCACCGGTACCAGTTGCCTGGTCGAAGGTACCGCTGGCGTGCCATGCCAGACGAAGGAGAACGGGGCCATAACTACCATCGTCATACTCGTCGTTGTCCTCGAGACGCTTGGCAATCTCGTTATATACCTTCACATAATCTTCCTTGGTGGGGGTGAAGACTTTGGTACTGGCCGAACCACCCTGAGCGTAAAGGTAGTAACCAGCACCACCTGCGACGGCGGCACCCGCTATATATAGTAGGGTAGACGACCCCGAAGACTTAGGTGGCTCAGAAGAGTAAAAACGGCGGCCATGTTGTCGGAAAGCCTGTCGAGACGAGGTCGCGAATGTGTTTCTGGCGGTGGTGCGCAGGGTCGCGCGGGCAATCTGACGAGATACCGTCGTGGCAGACATCTGCAACACCAAATATCACCGATTAGAAACAGGATACAAAAGCATTGTGTTCGGTATAGGAATGTCTCACCTTGGCTTTCCTAATGCACTGCAGAGGAATGTGGTGGGATATAATTCACCGAAAAAGGAAAGAAGAATCAGATAGGATAACTGAGATATATTGTTATGTGGGAGGAAAATAGCGGAAGAGAAGTAATCCCAGGGATAACACGACAGAAAAAGAAATGCGAGGACGGCAGGAGCAGTAGTACCATCGCTGAGATGAACCGCCTTCTTAGTAAGGAATAATCTGGGATTTCTCATTGGCCACCCGCCCCTTCTTCGTCTTCTCTTGACTTCTTTAGGCGGGTCCATAAGGCGCCCTAAACGGCGTTCATGGTGCCCACGGTGCCGTGCTAGCGTTTTCGACGGAGTTACTGTGAATGGCAACATCTGATGCCAATTCAAGTAGCGAATCAAACCCCGGGTATCTAACTCATGGGAAGCATGCAACTCGCATAGCTACGTATCACGTGCCGTATATGAACCTACGATGTGTGTACATAGCGAAATATGTAGTTAAAATGTCATAAACTCTCCTGATATCTACGGATATATCCGTGAATTCTAAATGTCAATTGGTTAGTCCAAGGAAGGAATAATCGGCGAACTTTTCTAACTACATAATCAACTTTAAAGTATTTGTCAGGAACATCAAGCCTTATTTAAGAAGAGCCCACTTGACGCCACTTTAATAGAACGGGGAACTTAGCGGGGGACTAGACTAATGCTAGTACGTGTACCTGTACTAGTACATTGGGGTCGCAACTTGTTGAATATCTCACTAGCGAGAAGGCATCAGGGTCTTTCGTAAGCCAGAACGTAGGAGACGCCGAACCTTTTAAATGTTCGGGCTCTTCGACGCTTCCAGCTTCCAAAACCAAGAAAATCCAAGGATGACTATCCGTAGAGCTTGGCCTTATCTCCGATTACCGGATCATAATTGGATCGTACCTTCGGCTTTTCGTGTCCCCTCGGGTTCCTCTTCTTAGCATGCCAAGCCATATCTAATATCAAAATATTCTCATCAATCAGATTTCAACTATGTAATTTATGAGTCAATTGATTTCTGACTCAAGCAGATCGATTTGAATCTTGAGTCACAAGACTAATAAAAATTGCCAATTGGTTTAGCCACTTTTGCTATACTTAGCAAAAACTGGGCATTGGCACATTGATTGATTGATTATTTTTTTTATATTTCTTTTAATTCTCGATCAACTTAATGAAGACCACAAATATGCGAAGAATTGCCTTGTAATTTTCGAGGGCAACCGGACCCTCTGATAGCAACCACCCCCATTCATTCATTATACACGAAACCTCCCCCACGCTCATCATGCCGAATCACCAGAGACCTAATGTGCTCCTATTATAGTTGTGGGTCCTTGGACAAACGAAATGCGTGTATGATACAGACCCATTGCCTTATTCTGCCTTTTGAGTGTGTGCCCATTGAGATCAGATCCTTCTAAAATTTTAAGGAGAGGCTGGGTTATCAGCCAGCCTTACTGAAAAGGTGCCGTGCCTTGCGGGCTGGAGTCGGGCTCCATGTAGTACTCATAATACGCAGGATATCTACCCTCAGCCTTCGCTCTTGTAGCATCGTCTAATGGAGTTTTCGGTACCCCATTTTCCTTAGACGCGGGTTTATCGAGTACTGACAACGACGGGGGTCTGCAAAATGTTAGCATGAACAGTGGACTGGGTTGAAGAGAAACCACATACCCATAGATTTCGCGGTCGACGGCGAGGAACTGCTTCATCGCTTCCGGGCCACCTCTTTCTTGGAGATAGAGAAGATATATCAAGAACAACTCCCTTTTAGCTGCTGAAGAAATCCGGCTCTTAGCCAATAACTCATCGAAGATATCTCTCACTCGTTCGGTGTGCTGCGACTCTACTTCTGAGTCCGTGGGCTGTTCTAATTCGAACTGAAGCCACTTTTCCCAGAAATGACGACTGTCGGCATACCACTGCACATTCTTCAAGAATACGGTCCTCGCTTCGTCCACGGATCCCTTAATCTTCCATAACAAGTAAGCCCAGCGAGTAACCAGTACTGCCTTCGTGAAGATGTTGACATGTGGTGCGTCGATTTGTGCCTTGTAGACTTGGATCGCGGCATCCAGTCCATTCTGTCGTCTCTCAAGGTTTGCCCAGGATACGATGGCTTCTACACAATCGGGTAGCTGCATCAGTATTGCTTCGTGGATGTCCGTTGCGACACCAATACGGCCACACGACTCCTCGAAGTAGGCAAACTGAAGGCGAACACCCGGTCGGCTAACAGGTACGAACAAAGTAGCCGCCCTCATATAAATGTGGCGCACTTCTTCCTCTTTCCCTGGCTGCGCCGACATCCACCGAGCATAACGCAACCAGAACTCGTCGTACAGGGCACACGTGATGATACAACGCTCGTAGAGGAAGCTCGTTCTGGCGAAATCGTCCTCGCCCTCTTCAAAATCGAGATACTTGCGCCAATTCGTGAGTTGCGAGTTCTCCAACTCCGTGACGTGGAAGTACGGTCGTTTAATTTCCGACTCGTATGTCCATCGCTTATTTGTCTCGTCCTGAGTTTTCTGAAAGATCTCATAGAATAAGGTATCAATTTTTGCGCGAACATCTCTTTCAACCTCAAGCTCCGTTCGCGCCATTCCACCATAAGCAGCGCTCTCGGTTTCCACCTCCGCTTTGAAACGCGTAAGAGTCTCGGCAGGTACTAATTCCTTGAGAGGGCGGCTATGCGCAAGTTGGCGGAACCGCTCGAAATAACGAGCATACTGATGCATCGGAATGTGGATAACTCGCTGCAGAATGGCAAAGATTTTATCTTGTGCCTCCTGTCTTTCCTCATACTCGATGTACTTATCCCAGAAAGGGTGGGCTAGAAAATCGAGGCCGACACAATTTGCGGCTCTCTCGAAGAGTCTACGGATACAGGTCAGTAAAAGGGGAAACCAAAGGGGGAAGTTGGGGAGTGAGGGCGGGCACGAGGGGTAAATACAGAAGAGGAGGGATTGTGCATGCAACTGTTCCGATTCCAAATCATTCCGAAGGCGCGGGGTTGAGAGTACGACGAGGATGTTCAAGGTCAAATAGGTGACTCTGTAGGAAACCATGGCCTGGCAGAATGTGTGAGAAAGTATCCAACATGTCATAGATTCTGTTGGTATTTCTCACCGTCGACGACAGAGCAGTCGTGTATAAACGTTCCGAAGGGTGTTGGGGACCGGTATGTACTTTGACTCTGTCGTGTGGTAAATGTTACGGGGTAAAAAACATCCAGCTCTACTTACTCTCTGACCAAATGGGGGGTGTGGGTGGTCTCCATCTTGAATGAACAGTAAGAAGCCCATAGATCGACGCAGTTTGTTATACTGGCGCATCCACGCTCATAGATCTTAACACATCGTTAGCCTTCAAAACCGACCAAGTGAGGATACCCAGATAACGTACCATTTCAGCGGATTCCGGACCGGAGATGTTGAATTCGAGGTCGGCATACTTCTTCCAATAGCCGAAAAGAAGGGGAAACTTGAGGAGAAATCGATCGTACACATCGCGAAGCGTGGCAAGAGCTTGAGGGCTGGAGTTCCGATTGAGACCACCTTCTTGACCTTCGCAAGCGCGGATGAGCTTCTCCCACGACTCAAAGTTGTCGGTATCAGCCTCCTAGTTATCGTTAGTTTATATCTCAAATAACGGGTTTGCTATTGTGGGATGTGGTCGAATGGAATAGCTCGGATACGTACTACTTCGAGAGTCAACTTCTTAATTTCAGCATTTTCCTCATCGGAGGCGCCGAAATTGTTGAAATCAGCCATAATGAAGGCTTTGGCAAGCTTGCGCGAGTCGTCTATTGATGGGGTGAAGGTGAGGGAGGAAGGTTACGTAAGTTGTCGAGTTATCGAGTTGGCGAGGCTGCGACAAAGAGAAGCTTGAAAATGATGCGCAGGACTCGCAGAAATTTTACAAGTAATGGGTAATTCTTATAGATGATTGCGATTACGGCTGCTCATTATTCCTATAGACGGAATACGGAATACGCGATAATCAATGAGTGGATGGGTATGGTGGATGACAATAGGTAAGCTGTCTCGATCGACGGCGAACAATGATGATCGCGAGAGAAAATTGGTTGGCTCAAATACCTAGGTCCACGGATAGGTAAAAAGGAAAAGCACATGCAACAATCTAAATGAGGCTGGGAGCGAAGACACCTTGCATAAGAGTGGTCTGTGCTAAAATCTTAACTCTCATCACAGTACTGGGTACATATGAAAAAGGAAAGAGCTAGTTAGTCAGGTGGGTATTAAACTTCTCTTACAGTTGGCAGTTGCAATGTTATTGTCTTCGACTTATCACAAATGAGACTGGACTCGTCGTCGAGTTAGTTCTTTCATTAACCTAAAAGTCATGTATTAGGTATTAAATCATCAATGTTCCGATTGTTAAACTTGTGTACCATTGTCACCACTTTGAATGAGAATGAGGTACATATGCATGGTAGCTTGTTCAACGGACTAACTTTGACTAGGCCAAAGCGCTACTAGGCAAAAAGTACTCCGTACAAATACTGAAAGAGGGAAAAAAGAGAGAAAAAATTTGCCCAGCATCCGATTTTCTCTTTAGATCATCTTACATTTCAGTCAACTTCATCTACACAACTCGTGAGGAGAGAAAAATATTATAGACTCCTTGATAAAGGTTTAATAAGTTGTCATAGACTTATTCCTTTACTTCCCTGTCGCAAGTGCGAATAATTATTGACAAAGAGTAACCAAGCGTAAAGTATTCTCAAGGTTTCATTCTCTACATACCTCCAATTCCCTACATCAACATTAAACAGGCCGGTGATGATACCCCAAAATCAAATATGATAGGAAGAGGGATATCCAAAATGGAAATGATCTCAAATCATTAAATCTGAGGCCTGTACCGATGCATATGCTTTGTTTATTCACTTTGCTTCATATACTACGAGGTATACTCTGTACCCATATATCAAATACCTATGTCTTCGATTACTTGCTTAGGTAGTGTTCGCTTGCCTATTGAAACGTTTGTAGGTAAATTACCTAAATACAGTTGCATCTTTGGGTTATAACCCTCTATCGAACATAATAATACAAAATTTACATGATAGGTAACCACGAAACAGACACAAGGAGAGTTGGGTTTTAGTAATTCCCACCCTCATACGCTGTACATTGAATCCAGTAGACAGTACTCTAAAGCAAGTACTAGCCACCGACGTAATCTTCTGACCGTTCTAATCTACAAAACGCCTCAAGAAAGCAAGAGTCTAACTGTCTAACTCGCTAACACCTATGGGTATCTCCAAACCCTTATGCCGCTGTATCCATATGCCCTATTAAAACTATGCTGATAACAACAATTCAAACCACCCGTTATCCGTCCACATCCGGATGACCTTAAGCCACCTGAACTATATGTAACCATCGTTGAGAGAGAAAAATATCTCACCTCCACAAAATAACATGCGTTTCTTGTTATAATACAATAAAGTCGCCCGTCTAATCGTAGTCGAACCGAGTATTCGTGTTCGAGGTGCCCGTACACCGGATCGACGTGAAAAGACTTAAGTTTTACTCTCGCTCTTATTTTGCTTGTCTAGTAACCTTTGGGCTCTGCGTAGCCGCGCTGCAGACTCACCAATGGTTAGCTTAGGTCTTCCACGCTCATCATCATCATCATCACTCAAGCTCGAAAGCAGGGTCTCAACTGACCCAGCTCTTGCTCTTAATTTATCATTCTCGCTCGGAACCGTGTGGTACATCTCCGTTGCCCTCGGCCGTACCGTCGCCGGTCCCGAGCTCACGGATTCCAACGACGACCTCCTCTTCAGTAAATCCATCAGTGGTTTTAGGACCTGCTTCCCCTTGAACTTCTCATCCTCGGGGGTAACAGCTCTCTTGATTTGTTCTAGAGGCTTTCTCGCTTTCCTCTTCAGCCACGTTCTGGGCGGAGTCTTGTATTGCCGGAATGAAAGAACGTCCGATATGCGATTGAGGCTGGTCATCGATCGAGAACTCGCGTTCGTGCAAACTATCGCTCTTTCCCCGCTCCCCTCAATCTTACTAAACAGCACGCCTTCGTTCACGGGCGTCTTGCACATAGGACATGGGTCTCCCTCGCGTACGAATATCCCAACCGTAAGAGGAATTTCTCTTGGGGCAGCCGGCTCTTGCGACGGTTCTGGCTGAATATCAGACTCCATGGCAGTGCTGCTTGATGCTTCGGTTCGATGTCCGCCTCTGCGGGCTACGGCTTTGCCTTTCCCTTTTCCTTTACTTTCGCCTTTGGCTTTCTTTGCGGGTTCAGGCTCAATCATGGTAGGATTTGAACAAATGCAGCGGGTCTGCGAATACTCGACCTCGGTTCTCCAGACGTATATTTGTCGCACCTTCTCATCCGTTAATTCCTTAAACTCCTTTTTATCTCTGCGATACGATGCTCCCGAGGTTTCCGCCATCTTGCTTTAAATGCCGCTTTGGCGACTTATTGAGAAAGGAATAGAAAACTCAAAGTACGCCGAGTAAAGTCGAGGAATCTTAAGCGACGTTGGAAAGTCGTTGCTCTGGGTTTAGTTGTATGGTCGCAAAGGATGTGAGATATCAATGACAATTCGTCAGCTATAATTACTCGACATGGTATAATTAAGCTGTGATGATGTCTGCCATCGGAGTTCTAGGCCGAGTACGAATGAATTAAAACCTCAGTTATATGGACACTGTAAAGTATGGTAAAAAGAACATATGATACTAAAACCAATTGATTCAAATTTCCAATTGTCGTTCAATTAGCTCGGCAATTATTGAGTTCGTCGATGCACGTCTAAGTCAGACGCGACATCCTTCTCAAGAGACTAGAGCTTTTATCTTATCAAGGTGTGACGTCAATCCAGGCACCTGCCTAGTAACGGGAGTAATTCGGGGTGAGTGGCCACCGTCTCGATCAATCTCGTGAACAAGAAGGTGTGACTTCTCAGTCTATTATTCCTTATGCATAGTCACGTTTAATAACATTTATTAACTAGCATGAGGGTATCACCATGTCATTTATTTCAGAAACGTCTCGTGTCTATTGTGCGTAAGAAATTCATCCTAAGCTCGTTTCTTAAAACATTCCTTTTCACCCTGCAAGAACGTCGTATATACTCTGATTGAACAATAACACTGTAAACGCCATGCTGCATCAACGCCAATCCCTTTTGAATGTGATACCTCAAAACAAGAGAAATGTCTAGCTTGGTTTTAGTGTCTCCCATCCATTCATCTCGGTATTGTCGTCGTTGCTAAGAAGATCCATACTAGACCTCGTTACTGGCTGAGATAATTGCATAAGTTGTGGTTGTTGCTGTGGGCGTACTGGCAGCGGTGGTTTCTGCTCTATGTTGCCAAGCCCAGGCAATGGAACTCGACTTATAGCTGTAGCTGAGCCTGGTGGCCCAGTAGAAAACCCATTGTGTGTAATAGTACCAAGATGAGGCGATGTTGATTTGAGCATTCCGCCAGTTAATGCACCACCAGATCTGCTCGCTTCAAGTTTAGAAGTCAAGTTGGAAATATTAGTCACGGTTTTACGTGGAATGGGCGGTTTTGGCGTTTGCTGATCCACGAGTGAATCAAAACTGCTAGTTTCGGGGAGAGAAGGACTAGTAGACGGCGAGGAAGACGTAAGATGAACTGGCTTTCTGGCTATAGGCGGGGGCGCCTTAGACTTATGAGATGCCATGGATGATGTAGACATGGTCCTCATTGGCGGTTCCGGTATACTAGGTTTTGTTGCTCGTAGCATAGGATGCATACTTGGAGAGCTAGACGATTGTGAATGAGGGAAACCTGTAGATGTCTGTCTTCTGGGTGGAGGAGGTGGTGGAGCTTCATTCCTCTGCTCGTCATGTAAATTGATCTGGCCGACTTTCGCGGGCAATGTTGCTGGATCGAAAGGAGGCGGGAGTTTCCTAGGCGAAGAGTTGGATGCAGCAGATGTTGAGAGGATAGAAGAGTGGTTAATGTGTTCATAAGGAGAGCTGGAAATGCTAGAGAATGAAGAAAGTCTTGAATTGGATCTGGGTATTGCAACCCAGTCTGGTTCTTCTGATGGGGTGAATGGATTTGAAGTGCGACTAGGGTTTAGTACCATAGTAGAATTCCCGTTGATGGGCTTCGGTGGTCCAACTGTAGACTTCGCCATCTTCCCATTATCAAGCCACCATCTCTGCCGGTCTGAGCTCGCCGGAGGTAGCCCCGGCTCGATGGGATCATACCCAATGAGGTCTTCGTCATCGTCAGAATCCTCGCTGAGTAGACTTGCTGCAGTGTGTCCAACTTCTGCTTTGCGGCGTTCGTACAGCTCCCGACTGATCTTTTCTCTAAGGGCTTCGTTTACAATGTTTACTGTACATTGAAATGTCGCAAATACGGGGCGGTGATCTGAGAATCTCAAAGGGGCACAATTATATGATAGTTGTCGTATATTTGTGCCCTTGCGCAAGATACGGTCGGTCCATGCGGGGATGCGCAATTTTTCACTGCCAACTATATTAGTCTAGGCCATAAAATGGATACATAAAATAATAACATACGAGCTGTCATATCTATCTGTACCGACATCGAATTTGTATGTCGGCATGAACGTAATTCTGGCTTCGGAGTAGTATGGAAAGGAAAGGCCAGCGACCATTTGTAAATTTAACTAGAATATGTTAGTAAATATGACTTTAGCTGGGTAAGATTTTGTAGGCGTACCTGGTCATTCTCATATAGCTTTTCCAGGTCTTTCTTTTGAACCAGATCCATGACTCTTTCGTGAGATAATCCAATACGATAGTTAAAATCTCCGAGCCAGATAACCGTATCTGTGAACTTGTGAGTAAATGGATGTTCTATTAGATGTAATGATGTTCATACCATGATCGTCAATTCCCCGATTCCGTTGGAATCGCAATCCATGGTGAATAGTAGCGTAATCCTTATTTCTTTCATCGTAGTTGGAGAATCCAGCGGCGAGATGGGCTGTCACGAAACATATCTGAGTATTCGCGTACTCCATTCTGATTGCGACAGCACCTTTATTTCCCGCTATGCCGGACATGCCTGTTTTCTTGACGCTTCCCTCGACATTTTTTATCTTTGGAAGCACCGATGCTTTTACGAATATGCAAAGGGCAGCGCCAACAAGTTGACCACTGCGGAGAAGGACGTATTTCTCTCCCCCTGATTGTTTCGCACGGGTGTTAAGTGTCTTCTTGATAGCTCTCTCCCATAGTTGTTTCCTAGTTGGGTCGCTATTCATGATCTGCTGAGCACTCAATTCAACAATCTCCTGGAAACCTACAGCGACTATCTCAGGCTGCGTTGAACCTAGCACCTGAGGGCAAAGCCAAGGAGATAAATCCTCCTCAATACCGTTTGTGCGTCCATTCAAGTTAAACGTGCCAACCCACCTGTGCCGAGTTAGTTATCATAAATAGTGTAGTGATGCTTAGATTTGAGTTATGTCAAGACTTACATCGTGATGTTTTCCGTCGACGAATACTCGGAACCGCGTTTACCAAGTTCGACGGATATGTAATCACTAATCGGGTCGAAGAGATGAACAGGGGCCTGACCAACCAATCGCCCTAGGAGCATATCAATTGTGTTTTGTCTTGCCTTGTCGGCAAAGTTATTGATGTAAAGTCTCGTTGCACTTTTTCGAGCATCCGCGAAGGCACCAGCTATAGACATTTTGCCGGTCCTCGTAAAAGAGGATTTAAGTGCGCCCGTACCAGCATAAATCCTGGAGAGAGCGTCACCATTATCGGCCCAAAGGGTAGAATGTCGCATCCAAAAGTCCGATGCGGCATATTCCCCACGGTGGGTTAAGAATGCCTCAGCAGCCATTTGAGAGATGATAGTCTGGATAAGATTGGTTCTGTCTAAACAGTCTAGGCAGTTTGTGCGAAAAACGCCCTCCTGTTGAAGCACAACAACCATCCGTTGATGACCAGGCGATTCGTTAATATCGATCATATCGTCTGTTAGCTCAGCTAAATAGTACGCGAAACCATCAGCGGAATGCTCAATATATCGTCGGATTTCCCGAGCAGCCTCATATCCAACCGCTTTCGTTTCTGCGTGGAAATCATAGTCCGTTTCTCGCAATAGGGCATGATCAGACGATTGCTGATCACCAGCACGGCTAAGCGAACAATGCTGTAAGCCATAGTGGAATAGATTTGTAAGCTCTGCCTCCCCTGGTTTCGTTGCGCTGAGCAGGTTGACGATATGTACAGCACCGTAAGACTGCTCTAATTCCTCGAAATGTTTATCAAAGGCTGGTTGAGTTCCATCAGCCGAGCGCGTAATCGAGATCTTCTGCTGGCCCGGGATAAGACCGGGAGTTTGTTCCCAGAATACTGGCACGGAGCCACGAACTTGCGCATATGAGAAGAGAACGCCAGAGGGGCTCCAATATATTGTTTCTGTTTCGACAAAATTGGCCACGTGTCCATCATCGTCAATACCTCGACTGTTGAAGCGAGTTCCAGCTCGCTTACAAGATAGACGTGAGATAACGGTGAGGTAAGATGGAAGACCAGACCTGGCATCTCGTAAAGGAGCAGCACTTTGAGGGATCGTCATAGTTAAGCAGAATCCCCTTATAGCAGAGGTCAAAATCCTGGAGTTGTCAAGAGCCTCGCGCTCATGAGCTAACAGCCGAGATCTAAACTGGACCAAAGGACTGATCATGAAATAATTCCACAGGAAAGAGTCGTCGAAATTGTCAATATCGAATGCATCCGGATCTATCGGCCTATATGAATGGTGTCAGCTTCAGGTGCTGAATTCGACCTATATCCACCCTAGCATGGGATAGGAAACTAGGAAACTAGGAAACGAAGAAACTTGTATAAGACTACAACTATTACGGAAGAGCAAACAAACCTATCTTGTAACCTATTTGTCAGATCAAAGTCTGTACTGTAATAAAAACTGCCATTGCTCAATAGCCCCCGCAGCTCGTGGTATGGGGATTCTACTTCGCCTTCCCTTCTGCCAAGACTCTGACCATATGGAGGGGTAGAGTCGGAGAGGTCACTGTCGTACGTATTAAGGGATATAACATTATCGTACTCTGAGCTGTTGAGGCAGAAGAAGTCGACACTCGCAATTTTCTCGACAGTCTCTCCGGGTCGCAGCGTCGCTACCCGCGATGCCTGCGTTATTACACATAGGAATACATCTTGATTTATGGATATAAGACCCAGTGTTCCGTAAATGGGACGGGGCGTAAGAGGTCTGAAGTCGCTAAGGAGTTGTTTGGATATGGGAGAGAACTCGACCATGCATTTGGACACGGGTCCGTCGCCGGTACTACGGGATCGTGCTGACGAGACGGATACAAGCGAGCCATTCGCGATCGCCTCGCTCGTTGTAGGGCTATATCGGAATATTAAGGCATGGGTCGGCGTAGCGATAGCGATTGCTCGATGAGGATACTCGCGGAGGAGTAACTGGCTGGACTTCTCAGCCGACGGTGCTGAAGTGAAGGTTCGCGACACGGGAGGGTACTGATCCATGCTGAATTAGCAGGACAGCGGGAAACGATAGGAGCTGTTCCGAAAAGTAGCACATGCTACCTAGAAGCAATATCGAGAAAGGGAGTCGGAGGGTCGAAGAGTTGAAAGATCGATGAGAGAAAAAATCAAATCAAAATCCACAAAGGTGGAATCTACAAATGTTGAGGGTACAAATTTTAGTGGTGGGTGTAGGGTGCACAATGCACATGCTTCAATGTTCTTGGAACTTGGCCTTACTTGGACTTGTGACGTTGCTCCTTCCCTTCCGCATCAGCCCTGCGAATTGGCGGTTCAAATTGGTTAAATTTCCACTGTGGGGGAAAGGGCACTACCTATGAAAAGAGGGTCCCGGATTTTCTTAGTGGGGCGCCGAGCACCAACCTATCAACCTATGAGGCTGAAGCTGAGTAAGTAACTCACTCATCCTACCCATCATCGAGGTATATGTAAGGTATTATTACCTTGGGTAGTATAATGCTATGAAACATGTTAATTTTCTCGTACTAAAACTGTCCTTAATCAAGTGATAGATACCAAATCGACCACCTATAACTGAGATCGCTTGTATTCAGAAGTAGCTAGAACAATCATAATACCTAACTATCATCACATATTATAATGGCGGTGAATGCATAGCAAGGTTAGCCAGGTTGACCGTGCCAGATATGCAAAAGGGGGGCTGTATACCAAGCAAGATACCGAACAGGCCGAGGAATCGCAATGTTCTATCGGAAATATGTTAATAGTTCAGATGAGACATTCCTTACTAAAGATCTACTATAGTGGCATGCATACCCCTAATCACAATTGGCGAGCATCTACATGGATACTTCATGTACTAGATAGGTATAACAAGCACTTTCAACTTCGGAGGTCAATAAGTCGGTACTAAGTTTTGTTTTTTATTCTGGTATAGGGAATACGCATTGCGGAGATGCGGATTGGCAATTGACGAATGTGGTGAACACGCATCAAAGCAGCAGAAGTCCAGCCTTAATCGACGCAGTCTGTCCAGGGCCAACCATAGGGAAACATTCTCCTCACCGATTGGTGCAATAAGGCGTAGATCATTTGCAATTCCACCCGAAGCAGACCTGTAGACTACCTGAATCTTACGAGGTACGTAAGGTCTGCCATACAAGGCCAACTATAGGGGATGTGCAATGTATTTGACTGATCAAAGGAAAACATGAGATATCTCTCGAAAACCATAAAAACAAACAGGGGGGAAACGTGTATGAAACTGTCCACATGACCATCAAGAAGCCCTCGCCAGCCCCTGTACGCGCAGAGGCGGTTGAAATACAGCCGTAGTTGTGGAAATGCATATCGTATTGTCCAGTATAAGGCATACTATAGCGTAGCCTTGACTGACATATCCTTGAGGGAAAAGGTGACAAGGGAAAAACCTGCCCATATTTTCCACTCCCACGTTCAAAATAATCGCCTGAGTCACCCATCCCAACCGATGCCATAAATCCTTCGCCAGCTAGGCATTGACGAAACCCCGGCCCTGTTAAAAGTCTTACGGAGTATGCATGTTGAGCCGCGGCAAGAAGGTATCAACGGTGAGGTGTCTAAGACTCGGCGGGAGCGGGAGCCTCCTCCTTAGGCTTCTCGGCTTCCTCGGCTGGCTTGTCCTCTTTAGCGCCCTCCTGGGCGGCAGCACCCTCGCCCTCTGCGCTCTCACTAGAAGTCCACAGAGTCAGGTTGTCACGGAGCAGCTGCATGATGAGTGTGCTGTCACGGTAAGACTCCTCAGACAATGAGTCGAGCTCTGCGATGGCATCATCGAAGGCCTGCTTGGCTAGGTGGCAAGCGCGGTCGGGCGAGTTGAGAATCTCGTAGTAAAAGACTGAGAAGTTGAGCGCAAGTCCTAGGCGGATAGGATGCGTGGGGGTGAGCTCAGTCTGGGCTACGTCGGTAGCGCTCTAATAAAAAAAATACTTGTCAATGCTTGTGCAACGTATGCTCGTGACTTATTGAACCTACCTTGTATGCCTCGTGGGCGGCGGTGGCAGCGACCTTGCGCTTCTCACCAGACGCGAACTCAGCCAAGTAACGGTGGTAGTCGCCCTTCCTGAAAAAAGGGAATACGATATTAGCATGTGGCAATATGAAGCAATAATATCACGGTGGCAGAAAGATAACTTACATCTTGTGGTAAAAGACCTTAGACTCGCCCGTGGCGGCGTTGGGGATCAAGCTCTCATCCAGAACATCCAAGACATCTTGGCAGACCTTCTCAAGTTCGGTCTCGATCTTGTTTCGGTACTCACGGATGGTGGAGACGTGCTTATCGGAGCCCTTAGACTCCTCCTTCTGCTCGATCGAAGAGATGATTCGCCACGAGGCACGTCGGGTTCCGACGACGTTCTTGTAGGCAACAGAGAGAAGGTTGCGCTCGTCGACAGAGAGTTCTCCGCCAAGCTTAGCGACTTCCTTCATGTAGGTAACCATCTCATCGTAACGCTCAGCCTGCTCGCAAAGGCGAGCAAGGAAGGTCTTGCTGTGGAGGAATACTAATTAGCCCATTTTCTCCTTGTACTATACATCGAAAAGCGGTATCATAAAGGCGGGGATGCGCAGTATTAAACGAACCTTTCACGCTACAGGTAAAAAATCAATGTTAGCAGAGTCCTTGTACACAAAAAAGGGCGATATAGAAGGTATAACTAAGGTTATGAGGTTATGCAGTGGTGTGCGGGCGCGGTGGAGGCGAATGGCAGCATGACCGAGACAAGGCAGTCCTCGAGAAGTGCATGTGGAAAAGGGATTCGGGGTAATGGGTAATAGGGAACGGATAGTGGTAAGGATATTGAGAACTTACTTCAGTAGTCATCTTGGTCTATCGTATGTGTACGGAAATGGTGGTGAACAAGATGGATGACGATCAAAGTGGAAGTGGACGTAGAAATAGAAAGTCGGGTAATGAATTGTTTGTTTGTGAGTAGAATGGGAAAAAGGTGGGATTGTTTACAAGTGTACGTCGAAGTTAAAGGGTGTTGAAAATCGACGAGGTTTAAGGTGCGGGAGGAGAAATCAGTAAATCGGCCAGGTGCTGGGTGCTGGGTACTGGCTGTCAGGTCCCAAATTTGTCCCAAAATTGCGCCTGAGTTCTCCAACTTTAGCACTTGGCTTGTGCGGAAAAGAACATTAAAATCCATGCTGTTCATAGTACTTGAGTACCTGGGTACTTCGTACAATACGCCTCATTCTAGCGTGATCGTTGAATGCCTAGCAGTCCCGGTTCAGGTTACGCAGGCAGTAGCAGGCCGCCTAGAGGCAGGTTACGATTACAATCAGCGTGCAATTGCCTGGTTTGTATCTAGGTATCTTGGTACCTCAACCTTGTCAAAAGCTTGCTTGCCCCTCATTGCCGTCTTCGGCCTGGAATCTTCTCTCAATCTCATACCTTATCAAGTATCAGTACATACAAAAAGAACAATCATGAACGATGAAGGATTATCAACATCATAGATTGATATTTTCAATGAAAGCGTTAATACATATAGATACCTACTTTTCCTACCTACATTATCAGGTTTATACGGCTGTCTCTATCTAAAATCTTTCATTTAATGCAGTCCTTTTTTCTTATTCTTCACATTCTGCATAAGAGTTATATTACACGATAATTTGTTTCCCCACTATCGTCCGCCTCAACTTTGAACTCACTAATCCATGTTTTATGTGGTAGCTGAATATTCATTTGAACGGCTATGAGGATTTGGACTGTCGATGATGTTGACCGGGATTTCATATTACCAGTATATATATCCCCTCATGAGAAGACGACATGATTGCTTCATTATCCAGTAGAACCAGTCGACACTGCATGGAACCGACCAGTGATCTAGACGCTGACTCGCATGCCCGCTGCAGCGTTTGTTGCGCGAGTCGGCTGTGGAATGAGACGAGAAGCCTAATATCACATCAGTCAGCGAAATGGCCCCCAACCTATTATGTATCATCGTTCGCCTTCTCTCTATAGTCTCGACGCGTGATCCAGACCGACAACATGATGATGCCTCGTATAGTATATTCAGGTATACAGCAGGTATCTTAGCCTTTAAATACTACCGGTACGTACTGAGGTACTATACTATACACCGTTGTGTAGCGGTGCTACGGAGAATATCTTATACTACTATCCTATAACATTTTATAGTATCGCCCAATGAATATACTACCTGCGAAGTTACCATGAGATTCCAAAACCCCACTACTACCAAGTACCTACTCTCCATGCAGGGTCTTATCATCGTGTGGTCTATCGGTCCATGCGTTGTCATCACTCTCCTACGCAGTAGGCTTAGCCGTCCTGGCTGAGCTGGCATCCTTTTCTTCCAGTCACGGGTCCCTCCTCTACTACTACAAAAAATAATTTTCACGCACCATAGCACAATCGAAACTGATTAGGGCCTTGTCACAAGCTCGCCCTACGGATTCCGCGGTCCTCATGCCAAGACTAACATTATAATCGAACCCGATCGATTGGGTTGTTCACTAAAATCTATAGCCTCATGATCCTATCTGTGAATACCTACCTTAGCTGGTTAAGTACTAGATAAATGAATGTATACCTCAATTTAGATTTTAGATCAGATCATCACTATAAGCACTTACATTACCTAGTAGTACATACTTTAGTGCCTAGCTACTACATTTGTATATAGGTATATAAGTGGTAGGTACTAAGTAAGCATCCACTGCTACGGCTTTACAAGCCCGTGCACTTCAAGGTTGGTGCTGAAGATCAAATATGGCATTTCAATGATTGTCATGTTGCATATTGAATAATATCTTATATCAACACAAATTATGAACTTTTCATTGCCTAGTATATAATACCTAGACATATAAATTATGCATTATCTTCAAGCTTTTGACGAATTATTTTGTTCGCATTATCAAATTGGGTCTCTCCTGATCAACCAGCTCAGAAGAATAGGCACTGGAATGCCTCATATTCGTACTAGACGTCACATAGATGTGACTCATAACTCATCACCATTAGTGTAGTTGGGATATTTGTCCCGGCCCCAATCAATGGGATCGCCTCCTGGTACGCATAATCCTAGTCTCCAGAAGTAGTCTCGATGCGCAAAGAATAATTGCCACAATTTGAACCGGGATGGAATATCCCATAACCCCCCAGTCCATACAGGCGTATCTTGCATTTTTTCCTCGGCAAGAATCTGGCCAGTCCTTTTAAGGGGCTCTCCGGCTGAGCCTGCGATACACCGCGGATCGTGGTTTCCAGCACACGCCCGAATATCTGACGGCCCGGGGGGCAGATCGGATTTAGAGATGAAGAATTCACCGGCGTGAGATTTATACCCCCACTCCGAAAGTGGAAGCGATGGCACGGGGTCATCCACGTGCGTCACGCGCCGAAACATTCGCGCCTCAATTGGCTTCTCTTCACCGCCAAGTTCGAAAACCGAATTTAGATACTCAACAAACCCGTCATTCCCAACTCGAGGCTCACCGAAAGTCGTCACGATCATCTTATCCCAACCAGAAATGACTTTCAACTCCAAGGCTGCGAGAGCTGCAACAGCACCACCCAAGCTGTGGCCAACGAGATAAATTGGATAGTCGGGATACCGTTTGCGTAGTGGCTCGAGTGCTGGCAAAACAATAGTCCTAGCCATTTCCCATGACGTCAGGAAGCCCATATGAACCGTGCAATTATGACAGGTATATTTTGGTTCTCTGGGTGGTTCAGAGCCTCCATGGTCCGGTGAAGGATACGGAACATATTCTTGAGGTATTGTACTCAGGTCGACGACGGTATTGGTGATACTGTATGTACCGCGAAATGCGACAATGATTGCTCCGCGACTTTTGATGTCCATAGTGTCCTCCCTACTATTAACCCTCCCACTGCGTGTAAATGATTTCGGGCCTGCTCCGTGATCAATGGCAATATATCCACAGCTATCGCTCATCAAGACACCCGTATTCCATGTTGTGACGAGGTCGAGTGTCGGGAACTCATCGCATCGAGATACACACGAAAATGGTGGAACGATACCGGTAGTACCAACGCAGTATGTTATGTCGACTAGACGGGAGAAGCGCTCGAGAGATGCGAAAAGATTAGGCGAGACGTGATCAGGAGCTGAGCCATCGTTATGTTGTGGAATGGGGTGCTGGGTCCCCTTGGGAAGAGGCCTGAATACAGACGCAGCTACCGTATATAACAGCAGCAGAGAAAGCATCAGCATCATCATCATTATGTACAGTGTAATACAGGATAAACTTGATTGTGCTTCAGATTCGGATATTCAAAGGAATCTTCTTAAGAAGCAATTAGAAACGGCCATGTCCTAGAGAAGACAGGCTCCGTAGCCGAGGAGGTAGGATAGGATAGGAGAATAGAGCCAAATGAAGAAGGATATTTATTAGATATTATGTAGAATAAGTGATGATGAAGACTGAAAGCGCCCCGTCGATGTTGAACACTTGTGCATTAAACATTGCGCCAATGCTTCCATTGGATTTTAACTCATGTGATGTTTAAATAGAAAAAAGAAAGGGTGTACCAAATAAAGTTGACAGTCGGAAATCAACCTTGGCCATGATCCGGCTATTGCATCGGAACACGTTCTGGGCAACTAAATCTATGGAATGACGAGGTGAATGGTTGTTGGACCAATGGGAAGCTGCTATTACATGAAACTTTGGTAACGCGGGGTACAGACGGGGGTGTTGCTGGTACCTGCTAAATTGGATCTTGTTCTAAGGTTAGACTTCGGTATCTTGAGTAGCGCCATCATTCCCGTACTTGCATGAAACCTGAAGAGGAGATAGAGTAAGATTGCGAAAAAGCGAAATACGTCACGGGAATATCTAGATTTAACTTCGATTAATTACAATACATGTATGTATATGCATGTCTACCTATGTAGGTAGGCCATCTACCCATTGCTCGTTCTCTATGTCAAATAAAGTTTTCCTAATAATGTTCATTGCAGATTATAGCCATCTATCATTAGTTTATTCCCATTATAGAGCTGATGAATCCCTCGATATCCCTTGCAGTCAAGTTGCTAATTTAGCTAACTCATTAGTCTAAGAGGGAGGTGCAGGTTCAAAGCTGTCAAACTCTCCCAAGATAGGAGATTGCTTGGCTACGCACGTCGAGGCCGAGCTTGAATTCGTACAGGTGAGGTTAGGTGTGATAAGACCAGAGGCTTCGAACTGGGGAGTGCTATATTCATAGTTAGTCATCAAGAGATAGTGAGTAAAATGTCCAACTAAGAATCATATACATACCTTCCAGGGCACGCCACTTCGACCAAGGTCAACCCAGCAATTCCAGTCGTCTGGTAGATGAACGAGACATTGGAATTGTCGCAAGGCCATCGGTTCGTGCCTACAGAACTTGGCTTTGAAGTCGAATTGTGACTACACGTGGTGTTGATTCCAGTGCCTGCGTCGGCAAAAGAGAACGATGTGATGTTTTTAGTGCTGTCGACTACGTCTGTGAAGACGGTGAAGTCGGAAACTGTATAGTTGGCCGGATAAACACAGTCCACGGCTGTAGCCTTGAGGCTGGTAGGGACGGTGTATTTCAAAGCATGAGAAGTTGCCGATGCGGTCAATAGACCAACCAAGGTAGCGGTACGCATTTTTCAATATCCTGCAAGCGAATGTCTGCCCAGATGGGTTGTAAAGAGCGTGGTGTAGAGAATGAGAGGTGCAAATGTAGTGGAACACGGAAGAGGGAACTTCAGTGTTTATTAAAGAGTCTCAATTTTCTTAGTGAGCCAGGTACAATTATTAGTCAAACTTGATCTTTCATCAAGATTCAGAACAATGATCAACAATGAACGTACGAAGGTGGACCTTCCTAGGTACTCTAATAATAAGAACTTGTTTTAAATCAGACTTCGTAAGGCCGGGGGACAATCTTCCCCTGCCAAGACATCAGCATTCATCTATTCACTACATACTTAGATCGATATGTTCCTTATATGAATACGAATCTGCAGCGTACTCGCTTATCTTTGTAAGCCGCTGAAGTCGCGTTGCAGATCCCGATGAAATCGGATGAATGATTCGCTAAAACCAGACTCCCTTCCCACATCACATTACGTACCCCATCACCTAGGTAGCTTCCTGCGCGTAACCGACAGGCTGGATCTGCAGGGGCCAGGAGAGAAACAAACTTCTCAGCTTGCTGCTTCTTATGCCTTTCAAGCCATCTGATGCCCAAAAAAACAGGCGGCTTCGTAAGTACGTAGTAGCTCTGGATTACTTTAAGGACTTCGAGTAAAAAAATGATTGAAACCAATTCTCTTCCAATAAGTATCATATTCCTTTATACAATACATATTCTGTATCTAGTTAGGTACATGTAGATAGGTACATATTCTTATTAAAACCCGGCTGTGTCGGACGTCTAGGTATTCATTGATGTATACTCAGTCGATCCACGCTTGTACAACAGGCAAACAAATGAAAGACACGTAATTCAGACAAGAAATCAGACAACTTAAAAGAAGAAAAAGAAATAAAAATATACATACCCAGTAATTAGTAATATGCAAGTAGCTACGATAGGTAGGAAAGTCACTATAGAGGGGTGAATCGATGGATATCTTTATAGACATGTACCTAGGTATGTATGTAGATAGTTCTAAGTGGATCGATTACCTCATTGGTTGACCCCGCCACCCCACCTCTTAACGCGTCCCCTCTATGCTGGCCTAAACTTCACTTCAACTCTAACTAATAATTCTAAGCTTCTTTAACAAAGTAACTATTTGGTACATGATAACGACTCTCATAAGATGACTGATGACCTGACCCATCTGAGAATATAATGGGACTTCCCTTAAGAATGGATAATATTCATGCACCTACGGTTCCTGCGGGACCTTCGTCCCGGCCTCTGGCAAACGGAAATGAGAAACACTTATCCTTTGCTGAGCTCCAGGCTAAGAAGGAGAATTTAGAAGCCGAACTTAAAGCATTAAGTGGTGTACTTGATTCTGTTAGTGGATACTGTTTCTTTCTCTTTCGATGCTGGTCCTGATTCCATTTATAGCATGGAGTCAACATGGAAACGCCCTTGACCACCGCCGATGGGTTCCCCAGAGGAGATATTGACGTGGCACAAAGTAGGGTCCTACTTGATCAACACTCTACCTAATTGGAGCTAACTATCCGCGTTAGTACGCACTACACGGGCACGAATAATCCACTTGAAGAACGATTACAAAGGTCTCATGAACGCTATAGAGAAGCACCTTCACGAACATTTTGCGAGCATCCAAGACACTGAAGATGTTACACCCACAACGACGACCCGTGCTGAGATGCTAGGCGACTCTATCCCAATTACTTTAGGCGAACCTTTTGCAAAAGTCAACAGTGTGGTTGCGAACAGCCCGGCAGAGTCAGCTGGCTTGAAACCTGGAGATGAGATTCGAAACTTCGGGTATGTAAATAAGGGTAACCATGATGGCCTTAAGAAGGTAGCAGAGTGTGTCCAGGGGAATGAAGGCGTAAGTCGAACACACCAGCATCTAATTCGCCAAGTTGGACCCGTTAGACTAAAAAGATGTCTACAGCAAAGGATTCTCGTCAAAATCTCCCGTCGGAACGAGTCGAGTGGAAGACAAGAACTACAGCTAAATTTGACCCCTCGACAGAATTGGGGAGGCAGAGGTTTATTGGGATGCCATATCTTGCCGTTGTAGGAGATTCTGGGCAACGATGCATATTCATTTTTCACACGAACTTATCCCTTGCCTCGAATTCCGATACCTCTTTCTTCCGGCAGTGTAGATTCCTAGGACTACGGCGTTACCTGATTGATAAGATAGATGATTCAATGCTCGTGAACGGCACATGAACCCTTAGCTTATTTTTGCGGGGAGTCAGGTAGAGCTATGTATCCATTTCACGCGAGTAAGCAGCTTCGAAAATGGCCGATCTGGAAATCAACAGTGCCAACATATACATAAGGCATTATTATTCCATAGCCTGATCGATGCCCAGCCTTACTTCATCGCAACAGGATCGTTAACGTGATAAGAGTTGGGCTCGTGGTGTTACAAGATGGACGAAGCCATCAAATTATCCGGTAGGTAAGATCGTTGCAATTCAATTTCCTATCACCCAAAGACATAAAGTACCAGGTAGCCGAGGTAAATGGGTTGAATTGGTGCGAATAGAGCGTGAGCAATCGACCAAGAGCAAAACAACATCCATAAATATTCTTCAGTTAGATACTTCGCTTTTTAGGCAGGAAAGAATAAACACATTGCATATAATTAGGTATGACGGAGTCAGTTCTAGATCCCTTCGTTTACCTACTAGGTAAACAATAGCAAAGCCCGACAAGAAAATGTCTGACTAGCTACAATTGGGGAGCCATGAAAATTTTTGATGAAGCGCACTGCCTTTTGTAAACATTTGAGATCTGCACAAGATAGATTGTTCGCAATGAAAAGAAAGACTTCTAAATAAAGAATCGAAGGTCAATATTAAATTAAGTGTTCAGCTCCTTCCGGCATGGAAATACTACGAAGAACCTGCCTTACACAAAATACATTTAGCTTAATTGGACGCCTGGGCTCAGGTTGGCAGGTTGGGTAGGTGTATAGTTTGTACCTAGCGTGCCTGCCTCCAGAATGAACTTCCAGTCCACCTCAAATGTGCGTCATTCCTTCCATTTTGCCTGTCTTTTTACCTGTCTTTTACAGTGTAATGTACTCATTCTGCTCGTTCCATTCCATTAATGCCCAGGGATCACGTGCTGCCCCGCAACCGTGCGCCCGATTTTTTTTTTTGAGGGAAACCCAACCTTTACCACTTGCCAGGTCCCGCCTCCAAACTCTTAAAAACAATTAGTCCGCCCATCAACTTTGCCAACACCGAAATTTGCGATACTACCAAGACCGCTTCTTCGTCGCTCTTCTTCGATAATATCAAGTACGTCCGCCTGCATCTCGATATATATTGTAGCTATCCTTCCGTCGAGATTGCGAAGAAGAATTCTACATTTCTCTTCCACAATTTTTTAGCGAACACCCCACTAACGTCGAGCCTAGTCCTCTCCATTTTCTGTTTATCTCATCATAACGGAAGAAGATGGCTACTGAAACGCCTACCTTCAAGCTCGTCCTCGTCGGCGATGGTGGTACCGGCAAGGTAAGCAATTGCTCTCATCTATCGCCCTCATTTTACGTTATGTTTTTGTTCATTTATCTCTATGTCGCTACGATGGACTCTGTTTATCAAGATCGCCTGCGCATAAATTGCCCCGCCTTTTGAAATATCCTGCCACTGACCACTGATCATGATTATTAGACCACCTTCGTCAAACGCCATTTGACCGGTGAATTCGAGAAGAAGTACATGGCAACTCTCGGTGTTGAGGTTCACCCCCTTGGCTTCACGACCGTAAGTCAAACCACCCCCCGCCCCCGCGATTTCGCGTCCGCTCTGTTTGGCGCAAACCATCTGACCATAATTAGAACTTCGGTAACATTACCTTCGACGTCTGGGACACTGCTGGACAAGAGAAGTTCGGTGGTCTCCGTGATGGCTACTACATCAACGGTCAATGTGGTATCATCATGTTTGATGTCACATCCCGAATTACCTACAAGAACGTTCCCAACTGGCACCGTAAGTAGAATTCAATTTGTGGATCAACTCTGTTTTTAACTAACTCTTGAATTATAGGTGACCTGGTCCGTGTCTGCGAGAACATCCCCATTGTTCTGTGCGGTAACAAGGTCGACGTGAAGGAGCGCAAGGTGAAGGCCAAGACTATCACATTCCACCGCAAGAAGAACTTACAATACTACGATATCTCGGCCAAGTCTAACTACAACTTCGAGAAGCCCTTCCTGTGGCTTGCTCGCAAGCTTGTTGGAAACCCTGCTCTCGTAAGTTGATTCAAAACAATCGTCGGTGTCAACTAAGCTAACCTAATTAGGAATTCGTCGCTGCACCTGCCCTCGCCCCGCCTACTGCTCAGGTCGACGAGAAGCTCCTTGAGCAATACAAGAAGGAGATGGACGAGGCCGCCACCATGCCGCTGCCTGGTGAGGATGACGATGATGACTTGTAAATGAGGGATAACGAGAAGATACGCCACGTGAGTAGGATGGGCCACGGTAATACTTCGACTTGACGAAGGATAAGGGGCTTCTTGTGTGAGCTAGTGTGGAACAGTTAAGCTGCACAGGCTGGGTTGGGACCGAGAACCTTTCATAACCGTTGATTTCACATGCATGGCTGCGTTTCGCAGCTACTAGATAGCAACAACCACACCCAATAGAGAGTTACGAGAAAGGAATTGCAGGTCTAATTCATAGGTCTAATGATGCCAAGGTATTTATATCAGTATTCCCGGGTTCTAATCATGGAATATCCATTGATAAATAAGTGAAAATACTTAGTAAAAGTGCGTAAATATTGACGTACGGGTTAGGTAGGTAGGCCATCATCGAAGAAGACCTTCCAATTTCAGTCCTGCCCCAAAATCCTTATATCCATATCAAATGTTACTGATAATGTTGATTACAAACTTGGAAGAAATCCAGACCCGCTGCGCTTATCCGACAGTTCATGAAAGTTCAGGTAGGTACCCTAAGGTATACAGCTAACGATGCAAGTCATAAAGTTTGTCCAATCGAAATGATGTTTTGGACCCCAAGATGCTCTAATCGCAAGGGTACTGGTGTTAAAATTAATGGGGCTCGTAGCGCATTGACAACCTGGTGACCAGTTTGGTACAGTTTGGTCGGAACATTTGCACAGCGATAGATGCCGCCTTGCCGCCTACCTCTTGTTACCTAAAAGCTAGAAGCTAGCTGGCTAGGCGGAATTTGAGAGAACACGTTGCTGTGTACAATACCGTAGTATTTGTAAAGGGTCCACTTTTGACTTTATGAGTAACGATTCTTTTCCACGACAATCTTTAATATTTTTGACTTTAACACATTCCTCGTTTGCATTACGAGCCCTGGAGGTCTACAGTTCTTTTTTTTTCATCTGTGGCAAAAATTAGGTAGTGAATGTGCTAAGTAAGTGAAAAGACATGTGGCATCTTTGAAGTGTCGCATAAACGTCTTTGCACTTCGCATTCATATCACCCACCCCTCCATCGATTCCAATCCTCGGTTGAGCCAGTTCCGTTCAATTGCGTATTGCGTGCTTGTCGAAGGTACTCACTAACACGCCTCCCCCTGACATCCCACTATATTTTGTTTGGTTCTATCTGAAAAATAAGCTACGGCCATAAGAACCCCCCACCTACGCCGACTGTCATGGAGAGCGCATTTGCGAAGCCTATCCATGAGGTCTTGGCCAATTTCAAGGTAGACGCAAAGACAGGCCTCACAGACCAGCAGATCATTGAGTCACGGAATAAATATGGCAAGAATTGTAAGTTGGCGTCATACATAGCTGACATTTGTGTAAGCCAAGATGTGTGCTAATAATTGGTATAGCTATTCCAGAAGAGCCTCCCACTCCTCTATGGGAGCTCATCCTCGAACAATTTAAAGACCAACTGGTTATAATATTACTAGGATCAGCTGTTGTATCTTTTGTCTTAGCTCTCTTCGAAGAAGAGACTGGTTGGAGCGCATTTGTAGATCCCTTGGTCGTAAGTCTTCCTTGGATTTCTTCAGTCTTCCCTTTGCGATTTAGAAGCTTACAGATTTAACATTCAGATCCTTACCATTCTCATTCTCAATGCGGTTGTCGGTGTATCCCAAGAAAGCAGTGCCGAAAAGGCAATCGCCGCGCTCCAGGAATACTCTGCGAATGTTGCTAGTGTGGTCAGAAACAATGGACACGTCTTGCGCGTCAAGGCTGAAGAGTTGGTTCCCGGCGACATTGTCTCGGTGTCGGTTGGTGATAGGGTCCCTGCCGACTGTCGTGTTATTGCGATCGAAAGTAACAACTTCGCTATGGACCAGGCTATCTTGACCGGCGAAAGCGAGAGCGTGGGAAAAGATCATACTGCCGTCGTGAAAGATGATAAGGCAGTGCTCCAGGATCAGGTCAACATGCTTTTCTCGGGGACAACTGTCGTAACAGGTCGTGCCAAGGCGGTCGTTGTTCTGACTGGGTCTAACACTGCGATTGGCGACATTCATGAGAGTATCACTGCTCAAATTTCGGAACCTACCCCGTTGAAGCAAAAGCTGAACGATTTTGGCGATTCGTTGGCAAAGGTTATTACGGTTATCTGTGTTCTTGTGTGGCTTATTAACATCCCGAATTTTGCGGATCCAAGTCATGGAAATTGGACTAAAGGCGCTATCTACTACTTGAAGATTGCCGTCTCTCTTGGTGTTGCGGCGATCCCTGAGGGCCTCGCTGTTGTGATTACGACATGCTTAGCCTTGGGAACACGCAAGATGGCCGCGAAGAATGCTGTTGTCCGAAGTTTGCCATCCGTGGAGACCTTAGGCAGCTGCAGTGTTATTTGCTCAGATAAGACCGGAACTCTCACTACAAACCAGATGAGTGTAAGCAAGATCGTATACATAAACGAAAACGGCACCGACCTAGACGAACTTGACGTCGAGGGTACTACGTTTGCTCCGAAGGGAAGCATCACGCGTAACGGCAAGGCTGTGAAGGACCTCTCTCAAAGTTCAAGCACGATCCGACAGATGAACGAGGTAGCAGCTCTATGCAACGATGCTCGGCTCGTGTATGATGCCCGATCTGGTACTTTCTCTAACGTAGGGGAGCCTACCGAAGGAGCTCTAAGGGTCCTAGCCGAAAAGATTGGACCATGCGCGCCTGCGAATTCGAACCCCGACGACTGCATTCACCATGCTAGCGCTTGGTATGAATCCAAATTTCCTCGATTGGCTACTTACGAGTTCTCCCGTGACCGGAAGAGTATGTCTGTCCTCATTCAAGCCGGCGATCAGCAGAAGCTTCTTGTTAAGGGTGCCCCTGAATCTATTATCGAGCGCTGCACACACACTCTCGTTGGCGCAGATGGCAAGCGTGTCCGTATCAATGATAAGCTCCACTCTCTACTCATGAAGGAAGTCGTCGAATATGGTAACCGTGGATTACGAGTTATTGCCCTAGCCAGTGTAGACGATGTCGGATCCAACCCCTTACTTCGGAACGCCAAGTCGACAGCCCAATACGCCCAACTAGAGCAGAACCTCACCCTGCTAGGTCTCGTCGGCATGCTTGATCCTCCTCGACCAGAAGTCCCTAGTGCCATCAAGAAATGTAAAGCTGCAGGAATCAGGGTTGTCGTGATCACCGGTGATAATCGCAACACAGCTGAGAGCATCTGTCGTTCAATCGGTGTCTTTGGAGAATACGAGGATCTTAAGGGTAAGAGTTACACTGGCCGAGAATTCGATAACCTGAGCCCCGGCGAGCAGCTTGACGCGGCGAAGAACGCATCCCTTTTCTCTCGCGTTGAACCTAGCCACAAGTCGAAACTCATCGATCTCCTTCAGTCTCTTGGCGAGGTTGTAGCTATGACAGGTGATGGCGTTAACGATGCTCCGGCTCTCAAGAAGGCGGATATTGGTGTTGCAATGGGCTCCGGCACTGATGTTTCGAAGCTGGCTGCTGATATGGTGCTCGCCGATGACAATTTCGCAACTATTGAAGTTGCTATTGAAGAAGGTCGATCCATCTACAACAACACGCAACAATTCATCCGGTATCTCATCTCCTCCAACATCGGAGAGGTCGTCTCAATTTTCCTCACTGCTGCCCTTGGCATGCCAGAGGCTCTTATTCCTGTCCAACTCCTATGGGTCAACCTCGTCACCGATGGTCTACCCGCCACAGCATTGTCTTTCAACCCTCCCGACCACGATATTATGAAGAGACAGCCGCGTAAGCGTGATGAAGCGCTTATTGGCGGCTGGCTATTCTTTCGATACCTGGTGATTGGTACATACGTCGGTATCGCTACTGTGGCCGGATATGCTTGGTGGTTCATGTATAACCCTGAAGGACCTCAGATCACTTTCTACCAACTTTCGCATTTCCACCGATGCTCTTCTGAATTTTCGAGCATTGGATGTGAGATGTTCAGCAACGATATGTCTAAGGCGGCATCCACGATATCCCTCTCTATCCTCGTCGTCATCGAGATGCTGAACGCTATGAACGCTCTATCCTCCAGCGAGTCTCTATTGACCTTGCCACTCTGGGAAAACATGATGCTCGTCTATGCCGTCGGACTATCGATGGCGCTCCACTTTGCACTTCTCTACACTCCTTTCCTTCAGGGTCTATTCTCAATCTTGCCCCTGAACTGGATGGAGTGGAAAGCGGTGCTTATTATCAGCGCCCCAGTCATGTAAGTTGACCCCATAACCATGCTTGCAAATATGCGATATACTAACCTTTTGCAGTCTCATAGATGAAGTCTTAAAGGCTTTCGAGAGACAGCTCTTCCTCCAAAAGACGACGAGCGAAGATAAGGAGTCTAAGAAGGAAACGTAACCGGACATAGACCTGGTTTCTAGATACTAGACTAGACTAGATGTACTATATAGCTTGTATGTGCCTAAATGGCTGTGCACGATCACGAGAAACACTATGAATTCATGAAAAATTGTTGATCTGATATAATTGTCTTGTCATTGATACCCTTGAACATGGTACTATCTAAAATGATAGTACAACGATGGGTTCTCTTCGGCATCGCATGTATGCCCTTGCTAGTTTTCGTTACCATCATCCCAAGGATTATCATCCGCCCATGCCCACTCTCGGGGTTGGTTCAACAAGACCAATTTGCCGTTTCAGATCTCTAGCCACTTGATATGGCAACTAGCATAGTCTGGTGGTGTATCGGTATGAGAGTAGGTAATGTGATTCCCTTAGTCTTGTCGGCCCTTTAATAATCTCTTGGTGACCTTGTCCTTCTCAATAATGTACACGTGTGCACCCCATCCTGATAGAGCATCTCGGTCCACGGCGCTCAACAAAGCCTGAGAAATCGTCTCGAAGAGGTCGTCGGGTCCCTAAGGATATGTATTAGTAGCTTTTCCCGGCGTATCGAGGTTTAGCTAGTTATTACTCACCAGTTCGGGCTCCCACAAGCTCTCACACATGCCGAACAGCTGTTCGGAGGCAGTACCGGAGACGATGAAGTCCTTGGCGAAATCAATGCAGCCGATAGAATCGAAGCCGCAGATAAACGGTTTCCCCGACTTCGGCTCCAGGCCAGCCACCACTGGACTCACAAAGTAGGGACCAAAGCGGCGCTCGTATAACGACGAAGATACCAAGTTGGCGAACGTAGTAGGCGCGATGTTGCGCTCCTCTCTCAGACGGTACATGTTCACCTTGTACCGGAACAAGTCCGAGACCGTGGATACGTCGGTCGCGAGGCCGGTCAAGCCCAAGAAGACGTCGCCGTATCTGAAGATCTTCGGGAAGTTGTTCGAAACCGTAAGTGCTTGGAGACCAAGACGCAGGTCGCAGGCGATGGCGACGCAGTCTTTGCCTACCATGGCTACGCAGGCGCCGCCGTCTATACATAGGAAATAGCTCGATGGTTAGCAAGGTGCTCGGATTGTTTTTAGAGGTGGGAAGCGAGGTGGGAGAGGAAGAGAGGGAGAGGCGCACTTATGGAGAAGGGTGACGACTATGAAGATATGTTAGCTAGGCCAGTCTTCGAGATCGGTTGGAGCTTGTGGGAGCTTACCATGGCGTCAAGATGTCTGGCTTTGGATTGAAAAAGTAGATGACAAAGCTCGAATTCCTAGGGCTTCGTTGAAGTTTGGGGTGTGAATTGGGTTGTCGATGTTATGTCGTTGTTGTAGTTGTAAAAAGAGATCGTTATGTGAGGACAGCTCAATGGCTAGACCAGGCTGAAGGTTGGTGGTTGTATGTAAGTGCAGGTGCTCCCAGTCGGCAAGGCAAACACGTCTGGCGCGGCAGCTTCAGCTCTAGATCGGGTCTGGTCGGGGAAATAGCGGGTTGTAGGTACTTAACATTTGTACCGTCACCCCTGTACGTTTAGACTTAAGTGTGGAAACGTATAGCGATTGCCCCTCCATTCATCAGCATGAAGCTGCCTGTAGCTACAAATCAAAGGGCTGATGTAATCGTACTTACGACATACTCCGTCTCGCAACAGCGACCTTGTGAATATTCCTTTGCATTCTTTCGTTAACTTTATGACATCTTGCTATCTATTTGACTGAACATATTTGTTGCAGAGATACTGAATTTACAAAAACCCCCAAGAAAACAAGACACTCTATTTAACCCCCCAGATCTTTGTTCTCCTTGATACCTATAAGGCATCAAATTTCCATCCCATGGCCACCAACGTCAAGGTTGTGGGAACCGACCTCAAGCAGGTGACTATTAAGGTCAATCCAGGCACCTACTTGACAGATATCCTAGAGCAGGCCTGCGAGAAGCTCAAGGTCCCTTCAAGCAAGTACTTATTAAAGCATAAGCAAAAACAACTAGACCTTTCAAACACATGGCGAACCTCTGGTCTCGTACCCGGCGCGAAGCTCGAACTCGTCGTCCGATCTAATACACCTACCGCGATCAACGTCGCATTACAATTCCCGCCTCCCGAGTCAAATCTCTTCCCGCCGTCCGGTCGAGTTACGGAGAAGTTACCGAGCGACTTTACACTATGGAAGTTACTACGTCAGTTTGAGAGTGGTAAATCAAGTCAAGGGAAGAATCTGAACATCACGGGAAGGGGAGTAGCACAAACGAATAATGGCATGGCTGTGGGTAGTGGGCAGTTGTATTATGAGACACCAGTCTTGACGATCGAAAATAGAACGCTCTCAACCTTCGCCGATTTCCAAAAGACCCTATCGCAGCTGGGATACAATTCGGGAAGCGTCTTGATACGCCTTTCTTTCCGGAAGACCGATTGCACTTTGGTAGATGCCATGGCAGAGATGAGCCGTCACTTCAAAGCAGAAGAAGAGGATCGGAAGACAGAGTCTAATACTGGATCTACAAGAAACAACGAAACACTCAATTTGATGGATGCTATGCCTGAGGATAACGCACCAGGTATTCCGTCAATAGGCACCCCACAAACAGAGACATCTCCTATCATTCAAGAAGATATCACAAGTCCTTCTACAACACAGGCACCCGCAACAAATGTCGACGCTATGGACATCGACGTACCATCCGCTGACAACCGTCCCGTGACAATCTTTTCTGCACCAGCATCAGGCACCCCACTCGCAGCCCTCCGAGCAGATTCAGACGACGCTTTCGCTCCACGTATCGAGCACGCGCAGGCCCACCAAAGACTCCTCAAGACCGCCGGAGAAAACAAGCGTCTTCTCTCAGACAAGGAACTCGAAGCGAAAGCCGCAGCCGAGGCCGCCAGAGTATCCGCCGTCAAGTCCATCCAGATCAAAGTCCGATTCCCGGACAACTTCTCCGCGGAATGGCCCTTCGGCCCCGACGACACCGGCGCCGCGCTATACGCCGAGGTCAGGAAGGTGATGGCCAACGAGACGGCGCCGTTCAAACTGGCGTTGCCTCCTGGAAAGGTTGTGATCAGGGACGACGACAGCGGTCCGACGAGCAAGCTTATCGGCGGGTATCGGTTGAGTTCTAATACCTTAGTTAACTTCATGTGGGATGAGAAAGTGCCGGTCGAGGTCCGGAAACAGCCTTTCTTGAAGGGTAGTGCCGTAGGTAGGGCTCAGACAGTGGTTGTGCCGGAGGAGCCGCCTGATGTTGTGGATGAAGCAGGCCCTAGTTCTCATGTACCCGCACCAGCACCAAAACCGAGCTCTGGGGGAGACGGTTCTGGGTTTAAGAAACCCAAGTGGTTAAAGGGACTTGGTGGTAAAAAGTAAAAAGGGTCGATACTAAGTAAGGAACTGGGACATTTACTAGTCTCTAAAATGGTGACGGTGGCATTGTATGGAGTTCCGGCTGTATTGAGGGGTTCACGAGCATGTCTTACACTAAACTGGTCATCAATGATTCGAGTGCATGTAGAAGAAATTCTTAAGTTCTGATTTGTGTCATTTGGTATGCCAGTAGGTAGCTATCATTGAGCTATCTATCCGACCCGATCCCGCGTAAATCATCCATGCCGAAAGACGGACGCCAGACCTCATGTCAATTTTACTTTTCGTTCCCTCGACGCCCATAAACTGCCATGCTCTCTCGAGGTAATGTCGTTTAGTGACCGGCTCTGCGGGACTCGGCGATGACTCGCTGGAGCTCGTCGACCTTCTTCTTGGCACGGCCAAAGGTACCGAGCTGGAAGTTTGGATTAGTTTTTGTGGTTTTTATAAAAGGCAGAGAATGGTGTATGAGTACGTACCCGCTTCTTGGCTAGCTTACGCGCACGCTTGTCCTTGCTGTTGCGCAACAATTCGATGACTCGTCGCTCGTAGGGGGCAAGACTAAGATTGGAATCAGGTGTTAGTAATCTTATGACCTTGTACGGACGTAGCCCTCTCTGAGATGCCTGATTACACGCCACACGAAAATGAAACCGACGTAGTGTAACCAACTACCAGAAGAGGGATAGGATTAAGATGACATTGACTTACCCAGCAACCTCCTTGACGATGTCACGGACGAAAGCGGTGCGCTTGCTCAGGTGGCCCTTGGTTCGGGAGACACGGGGCTTGACGACACGAGCAGTGGTTTTCTATAATTTCCCAGAAGGTCCAAAAGTCAGCCCATTGTCCATCGTCTGCTTATATTTGCAACGTGTATTTTCAGAGATAGAAAAAATATTGCAAGAGCAGAGATCCTCCACGAGGTGAGACGGGCGGAAACGACTCTTCTATATTTTTTCGAGGGTTTGGTAGACGGGTAGGTAGATATCGGGATTTCATCTTACATGGCCGCGGTTGAGACCGATGGTGAGCCCAGTACGGGCTGGCGCTTCCTTAGCCATCGTTAATCGGTTGTTGTCGATTGACGTTGGTGATGGCTGTGTTGGTTAGTAAATTTCGCGGTTGAAGAAAGAAAGAGGAGATTGTGAAATTTTACCTGTTAAAGTTTGGAGATTTTACAATTGGGTAAGCGGGTTTGTGGTGTGGGGCACAATGAAGAATTAAGCGAATTCCCACCCGATTGCCCGAGTCGATTGATTGGCTAGCCTTGTCCGATAAGCTACGATAAAATCATCCAATCAAATCATTAGCCTATTAGTGGATACCGCCTAGGTATGCAATGCATGTGATGGATTGACAATTGGGCTGATTGTTACCACCGACTCACCGACGGTGTGCCGTGTCCATTTTCGTATTTACTGTGCCGGTGAGAGCATGTACTATGGTACCTAAGATATTGCATGCATTAGACCGATCACATACACATGTATTTTATATATTATAGATTACATACATATTTCTCATCTTTCTCTTCCAATCTCATTCATATTTACCTGGATACTATTGCTCCTAGCACGATATCATGTAATAAAGAATTATTCAGACTATATGATTTTAGATTGACACCTATTCCGTATGGACGAAAACGCGAAATGTGGATCGTCACTTATGACGTTGGTGTCACCGCAATGAGCATGGCTCGCATGCAGATTCAAATGGAATGCCGCGCCTTCTTCTGTACATAGATACTTACCTACTCAGATAGCTACCAGTAAGGTTAAGATTGGTGTCACCTCATAAACATTGAAAGAACCCGACCAAATATTTACGAAACCACGTCCGGGAGACGTAGGTAGGAGATACTTCTCTTTAATTTTTAACCTCAATATCTCTTACTAGGTAGCTTATTCGCCTATTCGTCCATTCGCTTCTTCGCCTTCTGAAGCTTTCCTCTTTTCGCAGGCTCGAAGCCAGCCTGCAGTTTCTCGTTGTTCGTTGTCTACCTAACTTGATTAATCTCACTGTCTTTCTTTCCGTCCTTCCCTCTCTCCGTGCTAGGGTTGCTGCATGGTTTAACTTGCAGTATCACTTGCATTTGAATAATGCTCCCGAGAGGAGACTCTTCTTTTTCCAGTCTTCCACTTAGTCAACTACATCGTTCCCTTGGTTTTTGATCATTATGTTTTGAATTGAGTCTTGAGCCGGTTGCTTTTGGTGTCTTGGGTGACATATTTGCATCTTCAATTTCTTGGTCCGCATTTCTTGGATCACCATTCATCAGCATCATGTCTCTTGCCGTCTTGACGACCGAATCTCCTCGACCTTGTTCACAGAGCGGCTCCGTGCGTATTGCTGGCAAGACCAATTGGGCAGCGGCCCTCAAGCTAAATCGAACCGATCCGGGCCTGGGCCTTAGCTTCGAAGACACCGATTTCGTTCGTAATGATGGAAAAGACGCTTGGGATACGTTGGATAATATAGCAGCTCTTGGGTTGACTTTGGAGAATGATGAAGATGAAATAACACATTCGACTGGGTTACCTACGTTCTCTCTTGACGATCTCGAGAACGATGGGGTTGAGCCTGAGCCGCTGGGCTCTTCTTCGCCGATAGCGGGTCCATTTCACAAATGGATGAAGAATCTACATAAAAGAGCACATCGTTCAACGACCCAACATAATTACAGCCGATTTGAGTCATTTCCTGAATATTCAGAAACTCCTATGGGGAACGATGCTACGTCGTTGAATAAACACAGGAAATCATCTTCTGGGTCATCTTTTGGATTTGTCGCCGCTGTCAGAAGTGCGAGTGTAAGTCTTGCTAGCGCCAGCGTGATAACGCGACCACGGAGACATACCGGACGATCATCACTCCAAGGCAGGTCGGATATTAGTAGCAGAAGATCCACTTCTGGCCAGCGGTATTCCGAGGATAGCATTGGTTTCGAGCGAACGGTATCTCATGATCCGGGGGTCACGGAACGGTTACTTCAAAGACGACGTATTCTGGAGGAGATCATTAACACAGAAGAAAGCTATATTGGAGACGTCAAGTTCCTCATGAACGTATGTTTTTAATCCAATCTACTCCTGTTAACCTGTCGATGCTGATTTAGCTCTTAGGTCTATGTCACCATCTTAGCTTCTCTGCCCTCGCCGCAGTGGGGCCTTCGTTCCTCAATAAATCGCAATTTGACAGATATAGTTGAATTGCACGAAGAGATTCTTGGCGAGCTTCACCGAGTTGTGCCCAACTCTGAGTATACGCAGCCTGAGCGTATCCCAGTTACTCCTAATCCACCAGCAGCCAAGAAGCATCATCGCTGGCGCAGTCTTGATTCTGTGCCTGAGGACAGAGGGGAGACTTCCTGGCTACAGCATATTCCTAGCGTGATAGCTGAGCCGGCTATTGCTGCTAAGGTAGCTCATATATTCGGGAAGAGGGTGAGTTTGTCTGTAGCCAAGTGCTAACTCCAAGACAACCATTTTTCTCTTTTAAAATACAAATTTGAATGTTATTAACACCAAAACAGATGAATCGATTCTTTATTTATGAGGAATATGGCGCAAAGTATGAGTTGATGATCAAAGATGTTGCTGCTACTCATCGAGAGTTACCCCAATGGGAGACGTATCAAAAGGGGCTGGAAGCGTTGGCTGCTTCACTAGGTGCCGTCAATTATCATCTCGATCATCACAGGAAGTCATTGACTATTGGTGACCTCTTAGTCAAAGTAAGTTCTAATTTCGTCATACTCCAGATGTTTTGCTAATAGAAAGTAGCCAATCCAGAGGATCTGTAGATATCCACTTCTCTTCGCTGAACTTCTCAAGTATACACCCGTGTGTGATTGCCCAAGTTCCCATATGGACATTGACAAGGTTCTTATTCGACTTCGTGAGGCAACTGCTGGGATCAACCGCGCCACGGATGATCCACGATTGAAGGATAGAATGGAACGAACTTGGTTAATTCAAGATCGACTCATATTTCCCAATCAAGTAAGAATTATCACCCTCCTCCGTGACGTTATTTTCCTAATCGTACAATAGAAGATGGATCCTGCTTCGAGAAGCGTTATTCGTTCATTCGGACAAGTTCGTCTCTGTGGTGCTCTGCATGTATGCTGGCAGACTAAAGACGGCGTAGATGGTACATACATGGTTGCGATCCTCTACAGAGACTGCCTATGCCTTGCCAGCGCTAGCGGAGCGGAGCCAGTCTATACAATCCAAGCTTGTATAAGTCTCGCCGATATCAAGATTGAAACGATAGATAATGGCCGAGGTAAGCTCATTGCAATATGTGTCGCTAATTCTATCCTATACTAATATGATTAAGGTCTCCAATGTCACACAGCGCCTTTCTCTTGGAAGCTCGTTTTTGAATGTGACCACCAGCTCTACGAAATCATCATGACAGCCTGCAATGCAAAGGAGGAAGAGCAATGGCGCCATCACATTTTGCATTACACTCCAACTGAACCATATGGATTATCAGAACCTATATTCTATAGCTCGATCTTTCTCAACATAAAAAGTCTTGGAACAATTTTTGGAAAGCCAGGTAAGCCCAGAGACTGTAAGCATAAACCCCTCAGCAAATTAATAAGTCCGTTATAGGCACCATTGCTCGTCGTCTTTCCATTCATAGGGCCACCACGGTTGGCCCAAAATCACCATTATATCAAGTTATACTCAAGAACACATGTACAGTGAGAGATACTACGTCGGTAGCATCTACCACTCAAATCAACCGTTCGCAATCACTCTTGACAACAAATTCACGTATCCCAGTTCTTGCTCCTCCTAGAGCAGATCGGGCTCGTGTTGAGGCTCTCTTGTCAGATGTTTGGAGCCGCAAAGTGTTGCCTTTCCCTGGCATAGCAAGCCGTTCGAGAAGCGAGCACATCGTCCGTAACTCGGCATCAACCGTTATGAGAAAGCTGAGCGTCGCAAGCATCACTAGCACTTTTGCGAAGCGCTCTATAAGCACTACCAGCGTAGCGAGGTTAAATGAAGATGAGCTTCCACATATCAACGGTCTTGTTCATCTTAACCATGACAATATAACGGTTGGGTCTATTAGGACCGACACATCCGATGCAGATGTCAAGTCAAGACTCCCTATAATTCGGGATGAAACCGAACTTGCTAGCAGTATTAGTCCAAGTATTACCTCCACAACTGGTACTCGGAGGCAGTCTGGGGCGGCGAAAAAGGACGACCCTTTAAAACTTGATTTAGAATGGATAGGAGAAAGGGGCACGAGCACTCCAACTCCAACTCCAACTTCACGGTTGTCGCCGCTGAATAGTGTCCGTCGAAAGAGGCAGACATCCTTCTCAGCTAGATCGTCGCCGTCCTCTACCGAAGACGACGAAAATATATACCATGGACTCGGGATGAAGCATCGTTTACATGAAACATTAACTAATGTTAGGCCTTCAAGCAAGTGGGCAAAAGTAGGAGGCATCAACAGGGGTTTGATGGCGTCCAGCATTCGCAGTTTCTTTAGATGAGGGAAGGCAACTTCAGCATTATATTACATTGCACGGATTGGGTATAGATACATACGGTTTGGACTGGTTCTGGCTTAGGATTATACCATTCTTTTGTTATTTCTTATTTCGCGATGAGACCGGAACGGCACCAAATTCCTTATGACGGGTTTGCTTTTCGTCTATTGCCTCTCATTAGGATCTCGGACTTGGGCTACTACGATTATACCCTTATAGCAATGTACTTACTTAGGCGGAGCACTGGAATTTTCATGTTACTCCGTTACTCCGCCTTTACTCCAAGGCATTCGGTGTAATAGGACTAATGGCACGTGCTTTGATACCCCAATTAGTACCTAATTTGATGGCATTTTTTAATGTGAATGTGATAGTGTTCAGTTTATCTCGCGTTTAATTTGTAAGGCTAAAACGTACCAGCATATGTACAGAATTGAATCGAATCTACCTAGATATTGCACCTATGGTTAGCACGAATGCAGCCTTACCCAACCACCTCACACCATTTAGAGAGTTCTAGTTACATGGTAGTTTTGGTGTCGATCGGATCCTCCCGCTTGGTACCCGATACCTAAGCTAATGTTGATCTTCTGTCTTACATATGTACCGGTTACGTACCTAGGTATAAAGCCAGATGTCCTTCCCATCTTATTCCATAACCTTCTATAAGCATGTACCTACCTACCTACATACGTAATTGCTATTAGATTAATAGACAGAGAGAAGGCTAATGTACCTCGTAACAATAGAGGGGCTAAAGGCAAAAAGACTCAGATGGTGTACAAGCTCCTTAGCTGATCCTTGTCATAAAGCTGGATCGGTGACATAATGCGGGGAGCTGAGGCAGGTACAAACAGAAATGATGACGTAGATTGCTGCTGTTTGGCAAAAGTATGCCACATGATGATCGAATGGAGGAAACAACAGCTTCTTGAAAAGCATATTTGAAGCTCTGTACGCCTAGAACTACTTCTTAATTTTCTTCTTTGTGTACTAAACCATCTACTACTCTCAACACATCTTCAACTTTAACATCAACATCATCAGTCTTCAACCCTTCCAAGAATACATCACTCTCGACCAACTTTTAACCAAGACCATTTGACAGTCAATATTGATTGCCAATTCCTAAAGCCTTCACCTGTAAATCTTATTAATTCACTCTTTTACACAACTTCAGTATCAATCGCCCAAAATGACTAAGGGAGAAGCCACCCAAGTTAAGGTCCACTACAAGGGCAAGGATGAAGACTTCATCATCTTCATTGACGACCTCGGGACATACAAGAAGTGGCAGACTGACAAGTCTATTCCTATGGCCCACTTCATCTCTGCCTTTAAGATCTTCGTGACACACAAGTAAGTCTTAGCTCACGTGCCCTTTCTTCTCTCAGCTTCTTCCACCATCCTAAGTACAATGACGGCCTACAACGACTCGCCAAATTTCCTGGGCACATAATTTTACATGATAGGGTATCACAGCAATAAAGCCAGCCACTTCCATCGTGGTATAGCCGCGTAGGCGCGGGCTGAAATGGCGTCAACTATCTTTAATTCTGCAACACTTAGCCCCCGAGTGCGACCTGGACCGTGGCACAGCAGGAATTACTGTCATAAGCGCCGGGAGCCAATACCTCGCCTGAAGACAATACGCATTCTCCAATTCCAAGCCAATTGATATAGGCAGCGGCTAACATGTCATGTTTAATAGGCAAGGAACGCAAGGTCAAATGGATGGCGCCTCTAAGTCGACTCTCGATAACGAGTTCGGTGTTTCTAATGAGGAGGAGGTCATCAAGAAAATTTTAGATAGCGGCACTCTTCAGGAGACAGAGGTAAGTCGCATTGTTCAAATAATTTCTAAGGCCAAATATCGTCCAATTGCTAACGATTACACCTTATTTTAGTTTCCTGATCGCCAAGGACCCAAGAATGATGCTCAGCAAGGCTCCATCGTCACTGGTCAGGTTTCAAGATAGGATCGCAAATATCCTTGCCGGTAGAACCCGAGGAAAGCTGTTGCGCCATACTTTAATAGTAGATCACGTTGATGATTGAGACGGCAGCATTCAAATATGCTAGGGCTGTCATTGTTTAATGTTCCTACGAATCATCAACCAACATGAATTTTACAGGCGATGATTACGGTTTAGCTACCTTCTAGTTAGCGAGGAACATTTTCGCGATGGATTTGTAAAATACGCGTAGCTAGCGACATTTAAATCCTATATGGTTCAAGTCCGGAAATGGTCTAAATGATTTGCATTGTCTCGTGAATGCTGGAGCTGACGTCGTATTCTACCCCTGCCCATTTAACATTCTAGACGTTGTCCTGGCAGCCAGCTAGCCAGCGTCCGGCTGGCCTAAGCCGAGCCTCAAGCCGTGGTGTTTCGTAACCTGGTCAACATACCCACAAATTCAGTATCATGTCCAGCTTGCCAATGTCTGAAACCACCAGCCTAGTCTATAACACTGGTTACGATATTAATTAGGTTCTCAATCTAACCGAGCCTTCAATGAGGATACTTGCGGAGTCTTTGTTGGGGGGGCTTTCTCGTAAATCTTGGAATGCTCATGCGGTGAGAAAAAAAGAAAAAGAAAAAGTGAGGTTTCACAACATCGGTATTATTAGCTAGTGTGCGCTACACCAACGTCGTGAGATGTTGACTGGGCCACCGACTCACAGCCATTGCCATTGGAACTGCAACCACAATAACCTGCCAAATATAATTCTGACCATCGACCGTAAAAATCGCAATCATACCCGCGCTCTCATAGACCATAGCCTCGTCCTAAATAGCAATACCAAATAAAGTGATTTCGTCCACCTCTTCTGTTCCCTCCCCCAATATTCCTCCGACTTATAAAAAATCCGAAAAAATCAAATCAAAAGCAAAAGGGGGTTATATCAACGCCGGTGTCGTGCATGTAAAAACGAGGAGGATCGGACGAGAGTTGGGAGTAAACTGGTATTTCTCCATAAATAATATTTTGTTCTTTGTAATATATAGATATATTATGCTTGACGATGCGAGTTATAGATATGTGCAATACATCGGGGGTATATATTCATTCCTCAGAAGATGGAAATGAGAGATATGTGCTTTCGTATGTACGACAGCCTCAGCCCTTTCCCGAGCCATACTCTGACGCATAATCGTGAGTGAGAACGAGGAAAAGAGGTGAGATCCGAAGTTGACATTTGTACAAGGCCCGGGTGCATTTGCTCGATCGAAGCGAAAAGGCAGTCGCCGTTCTACCTTTACGCCTTAGAGCCACCCGAGCGGCCTCGTTGCGGTAGAGTCCATGGTTTAGCGCAGACAATCTAATATTGATGTTAGCATCGATTATATCCGATATTAAGTGAGATGAAAATAACGTACCTCGCCTTCACTGTATGCCACGAAATAGATGACCATCGCTACCACGTAGTAGATAGCAGGGTTCGTGCCTTGGTATATGAGGACTGCGGCGAGTGCAGCCAGAGGGTATGTAGCGAGACGGGCCTCGATACTTCGGTGAATCGCGCTTCCAGCGATTAGGCCCAGCGGCCATTCCCACGCCATTATCGCTACTCCCAAGATCAGATTTATAATCTGAAGTGCCGGAACCGGTTTTATGGCTCCATCTAGCGATTTCGTCAGGAAGTCGAAGAAAATCTTAGGCCATAAGAACGACTCGAGCGCGGCAGCAATTTGGTCTAGAGATATGTTAGTAAAGGTTGAGAATCCCCTCGATACCACGGGTGGAGGTCCACGTACAAGCTGCGGCGGTGAGAGCGATGAGTCTAGCCCAGTGGTTCTTAATAAGTCTTCCCATTTTGGCGGTTTCCTCTTAAATTTTCTCTTGACCAAATCGATGACTTTTTTCTGCCTTTTGAAATGTCCCAATTGCTCTTTTCTCTCTTGGTTTTTTTTTCTTCTTCTTCCTGAAGCCCCAAACGATCCAAGCGCTCGACCTTCTCTCAATCCAACAATCCAAATAATAACCAACGACCGGGTTGCGAGAGAAGCGAAGCGAAAGTAAAGCGGCGGCGGGATTGAAAGAACGTTGCTAGGTAGCCGGACCTGCGTAGCGGTAGAATAGTATTGTGAATTAAAAAAGCCGATATTAAAGAAAGGTATCGGTCAACGGGCGAGTGCACAGCAGCCGACAACCAAGAGGAAAGAAGAAGAGAAGATGAGATGAGACGAGGGTCCAATTGGGAATATACAGGCGACCGCAAAACGGGGCTCTGCGAGGCTATATTGGGAGAGGGACCCGGATGTGGTCTGGGCTTTCCGTTCTCTCTTGCGATCTTCCGATCCCCTGTAGGGGAGCTAATGCTCCCGTTGAGGGAGGGCTCGTGTCAGAACGGCTGAGGCGAGCCGGGATGGGTTAATCTGACGTTTCTGGGCCGACAGATGCTAAGCTTCGTCTGAGATCCACGTTCTTGAGATCTTGTCTATAACGACAGCAGGCATCCGAGCGGCATCTGTATCATGGACGAGTTTTGTACGACCCCTTGCCTAGGGGTGTATCGTTTTCTAGTATGTATGTACAAAATCCACGGTTCTATTCGAAGGTGGGCCGTTAAGCCTTATCGAGGTTATAATACCATAGAATGGAGAGCCGATGTATGAAGTCGTATCTCTAAGCGGTCGTTGGTACTCCGCAGGGGCACCAATGTCATAACTCGTCTAAGTCGTATATATCAGGGGTGAGTGAGGCTCTAGCTCGATCGCATAAGAGATGGGTTTGAAGATCATACAGGACCAGGAGTATGATACTTCAAAGGAGGTGTTCCGAGTTTCTTCATGTATGAAAGGGTAGCTCCGGGAAATCTTCAGACATTCGGCGGCATGCAAGAGTTTAAGAAAGAGACAGGGACGGTGGGTCTTCAAGGAAACGCATCGAGTCTCACCAGCCCGCGCCGAGACCGCCCGTTTCTTAGAACCAATACTTGCAGAGCCAAGATACAAGAGAGGCTATTTGCGTTGCGGCCCTTCCTAGATGGCCGTAAAAGTAGATACATATTGATGTACTTGGGTAGTAACATGGGGGTTGCGCAGCCAGCGCAGCGGTTGTGTCCTGCTTCCATGATGTGCAGATAGGTGCGCAGAAATGGGCATATAGCCCAAAGTGGTTTAGATGTGGACGGTAGCAAGCTCTCATCACAGACTACGGCTGTGTGGATACGGTACCAGTATGTGAAGTAACAGTCGATTGGGTAAATAAAGGATCAAATAGCTTGGCCTTGCCGGCCTTAGCAATGCGGGTACATGGGCTGGCGGTTGTAGGCTTGTAGCTATGGGTATTGGGTGAGTTCGATATTGCGGTTGAGAAGATGTTCGTCGAGAATAGCCAATATTAGGGGAGATCGAGGTGATTGGGCTTTCCCCCGGCGGCTACAAGTCTTTGCGCAACCAATCAGAGACTTTTTCTGGGTGCTTCTGCTGCATGACAACTCCAATATCCCCGACCCTGAACCCCCGCTTACAGGGGGCTCAAGGTTAAAGAGGGTTTATGTATCTATGTACCCGTGTACCTCCTGGTCTTCCAGTTTAAGTCGAGTTATCCCAACCGCCTTTCCTCTCCTTAACCCTCCATCAACCGTGCCGCCCCCGAGGCCTTGCAATACATGCCTCAGCATACATGCGATGATTCTAAGGGGATAGCAGTTTCATGTTGTTCATTGCCTGCCCCGACAAATGTGTACATGATGTAAATGTACTTCGAAAGCAACAGTGCTTGCAGCTTCACTGCATCAATGGCAGGCAAGATGACAATTACATATTCCTAACCTCGACTATCACACGAAATATACCTAAGTATATTGTGTTTGCTAAATCCCGAATGACCTATCCCGTTTAGGTAGTGTCTCGGAAAATAATACCAACCACACGCGGTAAAGAACTACTCCGAGGAGAGTCTGACCTCATCTACCGGGCAGCGACTCCTTATCCGAGTTTAAACGGCGTAATAATCCGTTAGGTACAGAAGTGCCTTTCAAAAGATTTTACCATACATCAATCCCTGTCAGCTGTTTTACCAGCTGTAAGCTCCTACTTGCCAGCTGGTGGAGCATATCGCCAATTTACCTCGATAACCTCTTAGTCTTCAGTTGATATTTTCCAACCACTTCTGGATTTAAGTCAATGAAAACCTCTTAACAGCGTTCAGTATCAAGTATTAATCATAAATATGTGATGTTTAAAGATTTTGAGGTTGAATATTAAAAAAAAAATAGGTAGTTAAAGTTGATGATTTATCTGGGTTGAAACGGCAGCTGGCATGACAGCTGACTTTTGAGCTTACAGCTGTGCGCTACAACTGACAGGGATTGGTCCATGGTAAAATCTTTTGAAAGGCACCTCTGTACAACATGTATAATTCTCAATTCGTATCGAGTCAGTTGATTGTCACTTGACTCCTAAAGGAATAAGGCAATTGAGGCGGTGGTTCAAGAACGACTAGGCATTTGAGACGTGCCCCTTCCGGTGTTCAGGCCTTCCGAAATGGTTCTAAACGCTGGAGAGTTTCGCAAGGGGAAATCGCTGAAGCAGATCGAGTTTAGACCTGGCAGCCTGGGTAGATAAGATCGACCAACCCTCAGCTGCAAGGGTTATCGCTCATCACCCGGACGACGCTAGACCTAATGTAGGATTCTACTTGATATGCGCAGGGCAAGCCTGCTAGGATGACAGGGCTCGAACCTGCAGGGGGCTGAGAGACTGGGGGTTGAGAAACCGAGGAGAGAGGTCCGACCCCATTTAACATTTCTTTTTAAGATAAAGCATCACACGACGGAAAGTCGAATTGACAAATTCCCGTCTTCCATCTGTCGATGTCAGCAAATCTAGCATGATGTCTAAGCCCGGATCGTAGGATTCCCAGAGGTCGACCATCCTCGAGACCGATCATCATATCCAACCGTGTCTTTCAGCTCAGCCAAATGGATGGCCCGAATGAGCAGGTGAGCAGTTGAACTGGAAGCGAGTCCGACAAGCCAAGAGGATCTATACGGTGAAAATCGAAGATTATTCATTCCTCCCAGGTTCGGAAACCGAAATCCAATGTGTGCATTTGTTAACTAGAAAGCGGGAAATCACCATCACTACACATTAGTGTCTCGGTGATATGAGGCTTGATTATCGCTCACCTAGATTTTACATCGTCAGGTGACGAATCTGTGAACCAGGGGAAAATGAGCAGTTAGTTCGATCTGGGTAAGGTGCTGATGGTTACGTTGCGTAGCATTCGGAATGCAAGTATTAATGCGGTGTGCTACGATGACCACCAACATCATTGGCTTCTTGTCGGCGGTTGCTGCTGTGTTCTAATTGGACTCATCTGCCCGGAAAGCCACATAAGCGTTGGGAATAACTATGGCCCCCTCTATTCTTCGGGTCCTGGCGTCAACTACCCAGCATTTACTACATCTAAAAGCTGACTGGTCAATTTCTCTCCACGTTAACCCCCAGGTTTACATCGATTACTTGCACCAACACGAAGTTGATTTATGAGCTAGCTGCGTGATCCCATCCACATCCATGCGTGTCAGGATCCGTTGAAGAATATCATCGCAGTTGGTCACATCGACTTTACCAACAACTTGTAAGCGAATCCTTTTTAATTGACGCATAGATCCTTTCGACTTATTCTCGAAGGTCCGCCAATCCGCTGAAGAAAAGTTGTCTGTTAATTTGGACAGTTTGTGGCTATATGAGGGTATGCGTATAATATATCTGCTGGTATATTACCCGCCTAGTGATAATCACGTCTCTTAATCGACTCTCCTCATTTAATAGGTGAAAATCTATATTATGCCTTTGCAGACGTCGGTAGCTATCATTGTCACAGTTGCAGCCACTTCTTTAGCTACCCGTTACTTATCCTTCGGGCCTTTTTCTATTGACGGTATCGACTTTCTCTGTGGGTCAGTCTCGTAATCGTTTCTTGAAGCTGTATTGTTATCTTTCCATCTTCACCGATTATTTGACCAGCATCTGATCACGATAGCGCCGACTGTGGACTATTATCCAATGGAGCTCCCAGCCACTTCCAAGTTGTCGACGCCATATCCTAACAAACTTGTTTAGGTACCTAGCTTTAGGTAGCAATGACAAGATGGAAGACTTCCCACATTGCTTTTAAGCTACTTTAGTACTTCTAGTAGTACTCATGTTTAATAATTTACTAATAAATCACCTTAAATAGTTATATTATTTACTTATAAGGATACAGTACTGAGGCCTCTTGTGATATACTTATTAACGACTTACTGCAATTTTCCGTAGCGCTTCCCGGTTGGTGGCGGTCTGATAAGCTTCTATGCGGACAGGTTCAATGTGGCACGATAGGTTTCGTCAAGCGCGCAGTAATCCGTCCTTTCTGGACTCCTAAATAAACCCAATGAGAGTACAGGTGCTGTGCCACCTGGCGCCTGATCTAAACATAACCGTGGCGCTGGCTGAAGAAGTCAACGGCACGCAGGGTCCAGTCAATCGACCATATACTCCTTCTCCCAGAACGAGATGGCGCCTTCCGATTCATCCTCCAACAGGTCGATTATTTTCGTCCGCCCATCCGGTATTGTCATCATATCTAACAAGTCTCTCATGTCAGAGGTAATGTCAGTTAAGACATTCACTGCGTGCTCAGATAGGCGTGGTCCATAGGAGCAGTATGGAAGAAGAGTTTGAGCTGGGCTTGCCATCCTTCGAGGACCGCTGCTGGTACTGATTTGACGATGAAACGCCATCAAGCTGTTTGGTACCATTTGAACTGAGTTGACGGGTATTACAGGCATTTCAAATTCACCAAGACTGATGCTTGTCAGTCAAGATATACGAAGGCGGCACAGGAATTTGGTAAAGAACGACGGAAGGAAAATGAGTGGCAACTCACCTTAACTGAAGTGTCATGAACGCCGACATTGGACTCACCTTATCCTCTTCCTGCTTAAGCAAGAATACAATAACAACGTCTTGGCCTCCATTTAGGTGAAATAGCCGCTGGATTCGGTTCTGACAATCGTCTGTACCAACATCTGATGGCGATAGAAAAATAGCACGTAGGATCCTGCGAGATTGGCCAACGGGACCTGGTATGGGCAGTGCTGCATCATGTGTATCGAGTCGCGCTTCTGTTTTGTAGCTTAGTACTGCGCCGTTAGATTACGGAGAACCTCAGTATTATGATGATTGTACCTTTCCATCTGATGCTGCCATGTAGAGCCGCCGAGGCAAAGGAGACCCAATCTGGGCGCTTACGCAAGGAGTAGCAAATCAAAGGATTATGCGACGTCTTCTCCATGTCTTTCTGTTGTTGAGACTAGGCGCGTTCTATAATAATCCGCCGAGAAACTGAAATGCAGTCCTGCAGGAGTTACGAGCTCAGTACCAGACGATTTTGCTAGTCAGGCTTTATGTTGCTTTGGACGGGAACAGCGACGAGATTCTATTCGAGATGACGAAGTTAAATATTCGAGTACCTAAATCTTATGATAGGTTATAGTTTGTGCTAGTTGAATCCCTTCGCACTTGCCCAGAAATCTAGACTTTCACTCACGATATGAATATGAATATACTAGGTATCAGTTAGCTCTTTCCCTTGGGTTATATCGTCTGATGCCCTTATGACTAGGTATTTGGATACGTATGTATGTCTAAATGACAATTACATGATCCCGTGTTGAACAAGTTTCTCATCGAGAGATATCCCTTTTTTTAAGGTTCCGTTAACAGAGTGTCAAGTCGGACTGGAGCAATTGAGTAGAGACGTGAGGCCTTTCTATATTCGGCGCAAATTGGAGGAGCGGTTCTCACTATTCAACACATGTGCTCCGCGAATATTTTCGCTGATAAGCACAACCCTCCCCTTAGCCATGTCTATCAACGCCGGCTCGATATATACAGTTGTTTTATACATTCGTGAGGTCATACGATAAGAACGTCTAGGTCGTCATCATCATCTGTGAATCCCGCCAGCCCATGTTCTATGACGATGACCCATTGACTTTAGGCAGAAGGTGATGCTGTTGGCGTTGGTGGCAATAGTGGCCTCTGAGTTTTGGGGTCTTTGAGCCCCCTTAAAGCTTCTTCGAGTATCAGCACTCTACTTTGTTGTCGCTTCTCGGCTTCCTCGAGTGCCTTTTCTCTCCTATCAAGCTCTTCAAATAGTGTGTTGAGCTCCTTTATTTTCTCAAGATTGGTATCCGGTTTTTGAGATGATCTGTGATACTCATACAATATCAACACGGTGCCCACGAGGAGAATGAAGCCGTCGCCAACCACATCTGCAAACAAGTCGACCGCCTTAGCTTCTGGGAGAGGTCTGAACTTTCTTCTCCAAACACTTATTATAGGCAACGTCTTCCTGGCACGGGTTTCCTGATTGGTTGTGCCATGCTTGGCACGTATTTCCTCCTCTTTCTCTATTTGACCTTTTGTTTTCACTGTAGGTGCTTCTGCCTTTTCCTTGGCTCTTATTTCCGCCTCAACGTCTCGGAGTAGCGCAACTGATAAGCGCATGTTCAATTGATGTATCGATTGGCCATACTTGGCAGCGAATACTCGGAAGCGTGGATGATCATGAGCTTGAACTTTGATTCGATTCTGATCATCGTCGTCAGCGTTTTATTGAAGATATCGGGAGTTCCGGAAAAGTAGCAATCATACGGCGCCATATTTTGAGACATGTCTGAGGAATAGTGAGGCTAGCTTGAACAATGGTAATGCTACCATCTTGACTTCTCTCCTTTACCTAGCTCCTAGGCAGACCTCGGTAGGTAGGTATTGGTTTGGCGGTGCTGAAGATGATACTAGACAAGAACGGAGGAGCCGGCAGTTATTCCTGCTAATAAAAAGATTTAAACATTCAAGAAATAATGAACATATTTACTAGACCATTTATATCTTACTGTCTCCGTGGGGTGGTCTATTTTCCACGGTACTGGCGATGAACCTAAAATCGAAATACTGTATGAAAGTGGGATGCCGGTAGGTACTTCGTACCGTAGACCTATTTCGAATATTACGTAACCGGTGTTCGGACTCGAGTCCTGAATCTGATTCCCGATTTATCGAAAAACGCAACTTATCGATAACGATTCCGATGCTGATTACCCTTTTAGGCAATAGCCAACAAATACTGTGGATTTTTGGAGCTTGAGGTCGTTGCCTCCCCAACGGCAACTAGCCTTCACTTGTAAATGAACGGACCACTTTTTAGAGTGCACGTTGCTTTTGTACATTGTTTCGTACAACATCGGTCGGTAATGAGCTTGTAACTTGCTGAAAACCTCTTTTGCTTCCATCAAAACATTTTTGCTACGAAGAATTGGGTCGCACCAATTCTCATTTTCCTTTACGCGTACACATTTCCATTCTACTATCTAACTCTAATGTCCTTCAAGACGGGTAAGTCATACCGACTATTTCATTTATGTACTGTCGACAGCTAGCACCTTCTTTCCAGCATAACCGCGATCACCACCTGCGTCAATGAAAACCTTATGAAGCTTAAGTTTATCCTTACTTCAGCGTCATATAATCATATGAGCCTTAATGATTTGTCAAGCATTTGGGGTACCGCGTCCATCTGTTGTTTATTTAACTTCAGGCTTCCACCGCCCAGCAATCACCTACCATCGAGCTGGACGGATTCACAAGTTTTATTTAGCAATTCCACTAATGATTGTGTCTAGTAATTCAATCATTATAATCGTAGCACAAGACGGCCCATTGAGCTATCGCTGTGCTCCTCCTAGCTTGCTGTATTATCTTACTACAGTAACGTCCCCATGGCGGACCGACTCCTAGCATCAAAACAGGCCGCCGATGTAGACGCCCTGACACCGAGGGACGCAAATGCTCAACGATTGAACCGAGCAATGGATGCAGTAAAACCTAGAGCCGCACCTGCTACCAAGCCTGTCCCGAAGGAAAAAGAGCTTCCTCCCCAACCTCCTCCTGTCGTGTACGAACCTCCGAGCTTCGACCGCAAAGATGGAGCTGCCTACCAGGTTGGAAAAATGCTTGGAAAAGGCGGCTTTGCCGTATGCTATGAAGGGTACATCGCAGGAAGTAAGACCAGGAGGAAGTACGCGTTAAAGATTGTCAAAAGTAAAATGCCATCTAAGATGGAACAGAAGGTTAGTTAGGAATCTCACCTTATCCAAGCTTGTTGCTAATTTCCTCACAGTTCCAAACAGAACTTCAAATCCACTCCAAGATGAAGCATCGGAATATCGTTCAATTTTTGAGGGCGTTTTCCTTCGAGAACTGTACATATCTCATTCTCGAATTATGTCCCAATGGGTCATTGATGGACATGGTTAAGCGAAGAAAAGGATTGACAGAGCCTGAGGTGCGATTCTACTCGGTGCAGGTTGCCGGCGCCATCAAATATATGCACGCCAAAGGGATCATTCACAGAGATTTAAAGATGGGCAATATCTTTCTTGACAAGGATATGAATGCTAAGGTTGGGGACTTTGGTCTCGCCGCATTGCTAGTTACAGGGAAAGATATGCAAACTATCCGTCGAACAACCCTGTGCGGAACACCAAATTACATTGCACCAGAGATCTTAGAAAAGGGGAAGAAAGGCCATGACCATATGGTCGATATATGGAGTTTGGGCATCATTATGTAAGGCTGACCAGTGATTTATACTATCTGCAGACTCGAACTAACAGATCTAGGTTTGCGATGCTTACTTCTAAACCCCCTTTCCAATCTTCGACGCCGGATGAGATCTATCGTCGTGCTAAAAATCGGGATTATGACTGGCCAAAAGCAGAGACTACGAACAAATATATCTCACAAGAAGTAAAGGACATTGTCGCTACTATGTTGGAAGAAGCGGAATTTCGACCAGACCCTGATACTATCGTTCAACATGACTTCTTCCTTTCCGGCTACCTCCCAACATCAGCAGAAATCACGACGAAGTTACGCGACTACCCACCCGAAGGAGACCAATTCTACACTGTGGACTTAACACCAAGGATGGTTGCGCAAAACCAACACACCTTGAGGGAAATGTGTAGAGCTTGTGAGGTTGGGCCATGGAATAGCACACAATCAGAATACAAGAGCACATGGAGAGAAGTTGCTCTCGAAGAGAAAGCTGGATTAACTCCCATTATCCCACTCGCGGAGGGCATTGTTTATAGGCCTTACGAAGAGGTCAGCCAGGAGCAGAACCTCGTTAGAGTGCCATCTCGGCCAGTACCGCAGCCAGGCATGAAGAACGAGGAAGAAGGCGCTGGAGCACAAGCAGGTGTCAATGGCTTATTGCGTGCCCCACCACAAAGCTTTGCAGCGCAACAGCGAGCACAAAACCGACCAGCAAAACAACCTAGCATACCACGGTCGCGAACGGTAGACGAGATGCCCGAGCCTAGCGCTAGTGGCACTATGCGGTCACGTTCTAGACGAGAACTTCCCCAATCCTCTACGGAGAACAATCTTCGATTAAAGACCACCTTACCCTCCAGGGCTGCACCACTTACATCATCACACCGGACCATAGCAGCGAAGGCCCCAGCCTCCGCCTCAGTACCCGAAGAGAAAGTATTGTCCCAGAAGAAATCGGCAGAACGTGTCGAGCCCTCCACTAGTGCGACGGAAACGCCGCCTGTGGGAACTTTATTCGGACCTACAGAACGCAAAATGGCGGTGCCCGGAACAGAAGCTGACGTTGTGCTAGAAAGGTTACGTACCTTGCACGGCGAGTTAGAGCGCGCTCTTAACGCTAGATCAATGGCATACATGAGCAAGTCGCCGACACCATCACCACCACACATAGTCGTTAAATGGGTAGACTACTCCAACAAGTTCGGCTTAGGTTATATATTGAATGATGGTAGCGTTGGTTGTGTCCTCAAGAGCATACCTGGAAGCGCGAAGGGTGGTAAGGCCGTTGCATTGCCGCCAAGTTGCATCCTGGTTCGTGAAGCCGAACAACATTGCTCGAGGCGGCATGACCCGGGATACCCAGACCGTAATCAAATTGTGCCTATGGCTCAGGCGGTACAGTTTTACGAAAATAACGGTGAAACCGGTCTGTCCACTGTCTTTGTCCATCCTTCTCAGTTCAAGATTAGCGTTGGTCCAGATGGCACACCAGGGAAGATACCAGTCGGCCGTGATATCTTTGATTACCGTAAACGAGAACACCTTATTTTATGGAAGAAGTTTGCCAATTACATGATGGCTTATGGCCGAGATCAGGATGCCACGACAGACGATACTGGGCTTATTCAGGTCCCCACATCGACGAAGCAAACAATGCCGCCTTGCGACGTGGTCACCTTTTACCAAAGAATTGGCGATGTTGGCTGTTGGGTCTTTGCTGACGGCCATCTTCAGTTCAACTTCCCCGATCACACAAAAATCGTACTTGATGCGACTGGAACCTGGTGCCATTTCTGGCACTTGCCACAGGAGGCAGCTGAAAAACTAGCTACCACCGGAGAATTGGATGAGACCGCGCTCGATGAACGTGCCGTCCTATCCTATCCTTTGCAGACACTCCTCAACTTTGCAGCCAAGCCGACCATCCGACCGACGCGTAACGCTACGCGCAAGCGGCCGGATATCAACCCTATGTTACAGGGTATTCCCGCGGCTAATGATTTCCGTCGAAAGATAGGATTCATTAAGCGCATCATCCACGAATGGGTTACGAACGGCGGTCTAGGCAATAGTAAGATGGCTCGCGAGCACCGACAACAATGGACGGGCGCTCGCGAGACGCTCCACAGCCAACCGACCAAGCATGTCTGGGTCACGATCGGTGCCCGATGGGGCGACGCGAGGTACTCGGCTCTCGTCGATCCGAAGAGGCCCGGCGAGCTGGGCAGCGAGGTAGAGTCTAAGACGAGCTCGTAATAACAGTCTCGACCCTCAAGATCCTATATCCAATACTAGGTGTTGAAGAGATCAGTGGCTTTTAATGTTTCACCGTGCCATGAGTGATGATAAGGCGTTTGCATTCATCATATTTCGTCATAAGGGTTTAGGGTTCATTGCATGGCGTATTAGGTAGTGGCTGTACGGGTTAATATAAATTACTCTTATATCATTTTGATTTGGACTTGTTGTAAAGTTACTTTGTTAAAGGATTTTCTCTTAGTGAATTAGGCGTGTTCTGGATTTCAGTGTATTTTTGAAAGTTTGGTTACATTATATTCCTTCTCTCACTGGCAATCTCATGGATTTCATTAAAATTCTAGGTTTACTCTCATCTGTCAATATTTTCAAAGTGGTAATGCCAGATGTCTTGACAGGTAGAAACTACGGCCTGTTAGCCTGGCATAATTCATTCTATTCAGGTGTAACCAGTGACGATCGCCGTATGATTCTATATTACAGGGGGATTGTGGTAATATGCCGAAGACATATTCATCCACAATATACCTGGGGTGTTTAATACGAAGGCAGATCTCATTGAACATCTGAAACATTTTTATTTATAATGGGATACGACGTCGTTCCGCTGCATCCACCACTCCTTTACGGAATCGCGGAATGAGGGATAGATAGTAAGACTACCTAGTTAAGTTTGTTGTGGTTTTATGGTTGGCATCCCTATTTCAAATGCTGGAACTAGGTCCTAATCTTGCTTTTTGCTTGATATTGTATGACATAATGGACCCAGATGTTTTGTGTATACCTAGGTATCGTCTATCTTGGTTGAAATCAAATGACATGTATCCTGATATGATAACCTTATTCTTCTATTCTGAAGTCTTGATTGACCCTGTATTTGATATAGATGAATTGTGGAAATAGGGTCATTGCTAGTTTTATAGATTCCTGTATTAAATTAGGTACCTATCTATCTTTGCAAGTACTTGTAAGTACTTGACAGTCTTGACTCTGTGCCTTGATGCTTACTGAGGTAGGGGGTATGAATGAAAACAACTTCACAACAAGCGTAAGTAGATAGGTTATGTGAATCAGATGTTCCCAATCCATGCCGCCAACATGGCACGATCAATATTATTAATCATCGGCTCTCCCTGATATATACAAACAGCACTTGCGCCAAGGCATCGGAAAGGGAGGGTATGTATGCGAGGCGCAAGAGGGTCCGAATGCTAAGTTGAGTAGGAGTGTGAAGACTTGAAGCCACTCCAGCCATCCCAACCACCGTCTTCTATGGAATAGTGCTCAGAGCCGCCCCCAACCATCTCAAAGTCGTCTCATCTTATTAAATGGTCCAATTGATAGTGAGGAAAGTAGATAAAGAAGAAAAAATTGAAGGGACAAACGCCTTGTTGTAATACGAGGAGGGATGGAGGGTTATGCTGGAAAGCCTAGCACTTTTCTCATCGTTGTCCCTTCTTCGTAGTACATATGCAGATGCAATGATTTTGGGTTGTGCCAGACAGAATGCGAGAGTCCAACCGCCCATGACCCATTCGATAGAGAAAATGAAAGATGGGAATCCTTTGCGTCTAGGACAAAACAATAAAAATTTCCTAATTTCCTTCCTCACAACTGTGATCTTCGCCACGCGAACCTTTCCATGGGTAATTGTGAATCCGACTTCCCTTCCATAATTCAATGACCCTAAATAAAGTAAGGGCATTGAATATTCTAAAAAAGGCCGACCCCTTGACATGTACTCTGAATACGTAGTTTCCAAAATAGAGACGCCTCATCGATGAGGGCTATACCGGATTCTCGAAAGTACCCGAAACACCTCTGTACTAGTGAATTCCAACCACGTGGAATATATTACATTACAACACAGTCCTTATCATTTGCTTGATTTTTTTTCATCTTGCCGTTGCGGGGCGGGGCGACGTCCATAGGCGTCCCGCCGCCGCTCACGGCAGCCCGAATTGCGGCGAGTCTCTGCTTCGCGCGTTCGTCACCGGAATCGGCTGCCTTGACGTACCAAACGTTGGCTTCCAAGATGTCACGGCGGCAGCCTATTCCCATTTCCGTGAAATAACCGACTGCATACTCAGCCTTAACATAGCCTATATAATTCGTTAACAAGATGGCGAGACTAGAGGTAATTTGCCGACTTACCAAGATCCGCTGATCGACGAGCCCATTCATAGGCTTCTTCCTCGTCTTTTTCCAAGATGGGATCAGCTCCAACCATGTACCATGCGCACAATCCCATCATAGCTGCTGCATGACCACGCTCCGCAGCACCGGTATAGAAGTGAACGCTGAGGGCCGGATCTCGAGGGCAGTTCAGTTTACCGTGTTCGTACGCATCTCCCATGCGGTAGCTTGCTTCAGCATGTCCAAGCTCAGCTGCTTGAGTGAATAATTCGGCCGCGTAACTCTCATCCTTGAAAATATCATCGCCGTAGCCGGTTTCGTATAGTGTACCGAGATGGTAAGGGGCGGCATTGTACATGGCGTCTGCTGACTCGGTAGCACGCTTCAGCCATTTTACACCCTCCCTATATCGATTCTCGCCTAGATCTCCCGAGAGACAAGCCTTGCCAAGTCTTGTCATAGCGCCGGGATGGTTTTTTGATGCTGCTGTTCGTAGAAATTGAACTGCCTTGGCCGGATCTTTCCTACAACCCCATCCAAATTCGTAGCATAAACCAGCACGATAACCAGACTCTGCATGGCCGTGCTTCGCGGCCAAAACGAAGAGGGGAAAGGCGGAATTATAATCCTCCTTACCCTTGTTGAACAAGCCAGAAGCAAAACCATCAGCAAGGTAATACTGTGCAAAGGGATAGCCGCCATTGGCTAACCTTGTCAATATACTTTTAGCTTCACGAACCAACTCGGTCGGCGAGGTATCCTGGTTCTCGTTAAGCGGACTTCCCTTCGGGCTGGCCTTTTTCCGCGAAGGTTCGTCCAAATTTAAACCCTGCTCTTGCGCAGTTGAAATTAAGAAGACGGCAAACGAGTATTGGATGGAAAAGTCATTTGTCTTCTTCACATTTTGTCTATACATCTCAAGGGTCTTCTGCGCACTCAATAAGGAAGCGTTACTTCCAACATTGTTGCGCAAATAGGAGTTGTCGATGGTAATGGGAGCTGGGGCTTGCTGAGGATACGGAACATTCAGCAATTCTGCGTAGGAAGTCGGTCTTGTTTCGGGCGATCTGCGGGAATGAATGGAAGAGGTGCGCGGATTGGCAGCCCCATAGCTCGGAGATCGTCCGCGCGGCCCTAGCTCAGAGTACAGTGAGTACGATGACTGCGGCCGCGGCATAGAACTCCTCCTGTTGAATGAATTTGGGGTCAAGTGGCGGTTTATAGCCATACCCGGTGGTTCGGCGAGATCGGACCTTGACGAATGTCTTGAATTTGATTCGAGAGGCACGCTCGAGACTCGGGGAAGATAGGGTTGGTGATGATATTGTAATTGAGGTACCTGTTGGCCCTCCTGTATCGAGCCTTCGATAATGGACTCTTCCGGGGATGATTCATCCGGCACCACTCGATTATCGCATGCTTCGTTTAGACCCCCTGATATTGAACTTGCGCTTGTCTCAGCAGACGAGTCAGTTGACATCTGTTGTTGCGTACTCGCAGTCGCGTCCGATTCGCGACTGTGCCGATTCGGGTCATCGCTACGAGAACTATCGCTGAAACTATTGCGATTCAGGTCCGACACAGCTGGAGCTTCCATGTAGCCTACTTCGGCCGCATTTAGGAACATTTCTTGACCTGATCTGTGCGCGAAGTCACCAGTATATGTCTGTTTAGGTGTCAAAGTCCTAGACTGGTCCGACGTAGGACTATAAGGAGGCGGGAGCGTAACCGAAGACCTTTGGTCGATGCCTGTCATATGTGGCGGAGGCGGCGGTGCGACTTGGTAACCCCCCTCAATGCTAACATTCGTCGGCCGCGCCCAGTTGTCGGGTTGGAAATTCACCCTCACCGGAGAGACAGGAGCATCTCGGATAGTCGCCGGCTCAGCCGTTTGGCCGACAGGTAGTGAGTTCCCGGAGAAGCTGTCTTGAGATTCGCCACGCTCATGTTGCGAAAGGGGTAGTCTTGTTACTGGAACAGGCTTCCGCTGGAGAGACCTCGGAGGAGACGTGGCTGCCGGAGGAGGCGGCGTAGGGGGATTCGTCACCGTAGCCATTGCTCTTCCGAATCGTCGGCGCAATGACCAATGCCACACAGTCTACTCCTCAGAGGGAGGATTTCGCACAGGTAGTCGTTAGAACCGTGGCGCAACCCCAAGCATCGATTCGCAGTAAGTTCGTAGTAACCTCGTTCCTATTTGGATTCTACCATGACATACATGGACCCTTAATTGCTAATTGAATTGGTTTTTTGAGTGTCGTTCCACAGATAACTCTAATGGTAACTCAATCGTTCACAATGGTCGGACGCCGGGGGGATGCTGGCTGTAGGAGCTGTGGGACGACGGGTGGACGGGGAACAGGGCTCGGAGAATGGAAATTCGAAGGTCCAACGGGGGAAAAAATTAGCAAAGCAAAGCTGTTTGTTTTATTTTATTGCGCGGGGTATCTCGGACAATAAGTCTAATGGTTGATTTGATTTAAAATCTAGACAAGAAAGCAATAAAAAAACAACAAGAAGAAGCTCTGAAGAGAGCGTTGTAGTAAGAGGTTGAGGCTACAATGGCCCGGGATAGGTAGGCTGTTTTGTTGTGTGATGTTGGAAAATGGGCAATAACCAGAATGAGAGACCTGGACGTTGCAAGTCGACGAAACAAAGCGAACAACCTAAATTTGATGGTCGGAGGTAGCAGAGAGTTTAGGGGGGGGCTAGTCGGGTGGTACTTAGTGTACTTCGTATACTTCGAGGTACATCGACGAGAGAGCCCTCATGTGGTTCCACTCTAAATATGGGTCTGCATCTTGTAGTCTTCTATGGAAACTTCAATGCTATCATAAAGTCTCTAAGTAGAATATAGTCAGCCTTTTTTAAGAATGAAAAGAGTATAATTACCATCGTCACCAGTGTTTTAGAAAATAGACAATGACGCATTTCCTTATAAACTTGTATTTAATCGGTCTATTTATATTTACGAAGTACCGAATGTATCACTGACAGGCGATGTAACCATATCAATTGCGCCAATGATGTCGCTACCACCGACCAATTACGGTTGGAGCGTCCCCAGGTGGTTTGTTCCTGTCAACCTCAGCTGCGAGCACTGTAGCCTGATCGTCTCCCTCCACCGTTAAACGTTCCAGGGCTTGTACGGTTAGATGTCAGACGTCTGAATTGTACAACTGAGTTTCCCATGTGAAGCAGTCCGGTCTTGTCGGCATGGACCTTTTTACACAATACACAATTGCTTATGCTACACGATGACGAGTCCAGAGAGATCTTCCTCTGAACGGAGTCAGAACCAGCACCACAATAATAAATCCCTCTCGTAAAGGCTAAAGGCTGACAAGTTGACAACACCACACGTAACAGGAATACGAACTTCAAAGAACAAAAGCGTCCAGGTCCCGCAGGATATATCCATATATCGTCCAATTGATGCAAGTGTGTAACTTACTTAAGCGTGTTAGCTGCTGCAATATTCATTGGCTTCATTGACTTTATTCCATTCTCACTTCCTATTCCGTTATATGTATGTAGGGCTGCCTACATATTATCCACCGCCTACGCACATCACATACATATCGGTATATGGATACCGTAATAGGCGTTACTGTTTCCTGTCTGTAGGGACCTTCCCAACGCAGTACGATGTACGGGATCGGCTACGAAGCTTAAAAAGCTCCTTCGTGTTTCCAATCTCGGGCAGCACGGTGCACGGCTAAGGCTATTACACGCAACTGTCACCAAAACCATGACCAGGCGGTCTAACCGTAAGGCTTCTTTATCAAAATTTGCCTTCTTGCTCGAATATATGAAGCAAAATTTTTTCTTTTTCAGCTTTGGTCCTTGATACTTCACCATTAATACGCGACGTGCTAGCCGCAGTCAATAGTTGCTTCAGCCCGGTACCAGAACAACAACCGGTCTCTTTCGCCAACCTCAAATCGTATGGTGTCATTATATTCGACTCTTGGCACCGAGTCCAGGGCGTTTTTCAACCCTTTTGATTCATTTCCTTTTTTCAGCTACTAGGAAAATACTTGTCAGAGATTTGCGCGATGAGAAAATCGCCAACCTCCAACTATACTCGGACTCTTCGGCAGCCAACAGGATCTTCCCGTTCTTTGGTCCCTCGTTTCACGAAACAACTTTCTTGGACACTAGCATTTGAAGGAGTCCACGTGTGACAGATTGCATGAGCCCACTCGAGTACATGCCGGTACGGTCGACATAATTCATCACGTGTTCTTCGTCATCGCCTTCTTTGGCTTGTTATTTCAAATGTTACTACCTACATATAAGCAGCTAGGTATGCATGTACCAACTTCCAAGGTAATCCATCTTCCTTTTCTTGTTTGAGGCTCTTAATTATTCTTCAGCCCAAGCAGCGGCGTAAGGCAGATTTGGAGGGGTTACCGACCGGCTTGATCTAAATGGATGTCGACATATCGATCTAGATCTTCAGGTCTCGCCTCTATTGAAATTAGAAGATTTCTTTAGGGCGGGGTGTCTCGAACAGCCACGACTTGATATTTTTATGCGAACTTGTACCTCTCAGTACGGAATAGGTACATCCGTCCACTCCCGCACGTGTGGTAGCGATTATGCACTTTTTTGAACTTTCATTAAAGATTTGGCGGGCCACTGCCTAGAACGTCGAAGTAGCGCCAACAATTATGTACCGCTGCTACTACGTAGTACTCAACCCGGTCGGGTGGTAAGTTTATGCTAAACCCCGACTACCCGAAGCTTGATAAAGTATTTTAGTGATTCGAAACTCGCGAAACTCGCCTATGAAGTCTAACCAATAACTTTGATAATATTTACTAGATCGCTCCTTCTAGCTATAATACTGCATTATATATCTCTATAAGATGTATTTGTTGCCGCCCGATCACGCCAAGGATGCTATTATCAAGTTTTCGAACATATCTTTTTCCCTGCTTAGGCGCGGGAGTAATAGCTGTAATTGTCAAGCTTGAGATCTTACCCATGTTCGTATTCGATTCCGTTTAAAGACTTGAGATCCGGGGTTATCTCAAAATCTTTGTAACCATAGGTCGGCTGGTCTAGGTAAACACGAGGCGGCCAACCACCCTTAGGTACCTCGCATTGGCGTACATCCCCCATAGAGAATGTGTGGGTAAGGTACACTTCCCAAGGTAATATGTGGGGATGACGTAAGGTTACTACAGTAACTTATGGAATGTACTGTAGATACCACACTGTGGCGGTCTAGTCAGCCCCTTTCCCGATTTCTCGATTCCTTGCCGTGGCCAACAAGGCCGGGTTTTATTCCTCTCACCACCTTTTTTTTATCCACTTGATCGACTTGATCATCTCATAACCCTCCGTGTCGGTTTGGGGGGATCTTACATACCTTTGCTAGAATCCGTGCTCCAAGTCTACTCTCGTTTGCTTTTCGTTCGCTTTGGTCATCTACAATCATAATACAATCGCTCGAGACCTTATTCACGATAATAAACCTCCCTTTCAATTAATGCGACCGGTCATCTTCTTCGAGTAAGAAACTCGATTGGCTAAGGCCTATTAATAGTGGCGCTCGGTGTTACCCCCATCCTGCCCATCCCAGACCCGCTATCCAAGTATTACCTTGAATGCTTACGGCGCCCTCGACGACATTTTTTCATAGTGATGTTTATTGTCTTGTTGTCTGGTTGATGGTTTGCTGAGGCCAAAATTTGCCGGAACATTGAAGCCAAAGAGGATATCTGTAAAGCAGGTGCATCGCGAGCGCTCATTATACTTTTCCCCTCTTTTACTTTAATTGGCACAATTAGCTTTAAGCTTTTAGATCGTCACTAGTACCTACTTTAGGTACCTGGGTTAGTCGATATTTAAAAAGCAAGGATCCACCTCCTTTCCTTGCAACCGCAAAACCTTGGACGACTGAAATTCGTCCGGTTGCTCATCATAACAAACCAAGTGAGTTAGAGGGAAAAAACAACCTTCGCGATTTCATCTCATCATTCCTACTTCATTCAATACAATGTTCGAGCGGATTTCTCTTCTTATTAACATGTTTAATCAGCAGTAATCCTCGACGACCCCATCGTTCGCTATCACTGGGCCAATCTGCGTCCCGTGTCAAGGCGAAGGCCTAGCCTTCAACACGTCCCTTTATCCGTACTTTTTCAACACCAGTGTCGATCGGACACAGTTTAAACTTACCAACATTCGCCATATATAATCGATTTATACCTGCATTATCAATCTTTGTAATCTAAATACTTACCTACCATCATGTCGCTTCCCGAGCGACCGGGGGCGGCGAGTCCCGCGTATGAACATCGAAGTTCATATCGTCAGTCATCCTCGAGGCGTGCCCGTCCTGCGGATATTGAAACCGGATATTACCCCGTGCCCGGACGGAGAATGTCTTCACATCAGCGTGCGCCATCAGGAAATTCATTTGCTGAGACGATTCGCAATCCTAACGGAACCACAGATAGATCGCCTCTTTCCCCCACAGCGCCTCCAAATGAAGTCCCTGCTGGTGTGCCGTCGCGCAAGAGGAGTCTTATAAGACCTGAAAGAAATAGGATCGATAAGGACCACCCGAATTATCATTACCGACAGCATGCTGCCAACATGGAGACGCTTCCGTCTTCCACGGGCAACGATCCTCTCTACGAAGACGTAGAGGGGAGGACCGATTTGTCTGGGGACCGAACCATCGATGCTGCTACGTCAGACAGCTCACCCCCTAGGAGAAAGCATAGTGGGGACAGCGAGAAGCCTAAAAGTAAAGGATCACAAAAGAAAAGGCGACATTCGAGTGGTCAAAAGATATCTAAATCTGCTAGGGATGCCAAACGGCGGAAGCCTCAGGAGACGATCGCCCCCCCGAACGTTTGGAACGTGTACTGTGCCTTCGTCACGTTCTGGTGTCCCGACTTTATCTTGAACTGCTGCGGTTTTACTTCAAAGGCGCAAAGGAGAGCTTGGAGGGAAAAGATGGGTCTTATTAGCATCATCTTGTACATCATGTCTTTTGTCGGTTTCTTGACCTTTGGTTTCAACCAAACCGTTTGTGCCTCACCCGGTGTCCGTCTGCACGCCAACGATGTTGGAACCGGTTACATGATATTCCACGGCGTTGCGTACGACCTAACGAAGTCCGGCCACCCCCCAGCTCGAGGTATCCCACTCCGCACGGATGGAGCGTACGCCAATATTCTATACGATCTGCCTACCAAATATGGTGGCATGGATGGCAGTTTTCTTTTCCAAAACGTCAATGGAAAATGTAAAGGTCTTATTACACTTGCAGACGGTTCAGATGTTCCCCATGGTTCTACCGACTCCGATGAGCTTGCTTGGTATTTCCCGTGTACGACTTTCAACCAGGACGGCTCATCTAAGCCGAACTTCACCTGGCCTTATGATTCGGTTGGTTACGCGTGTCATACGACCCAGAAAGCCAGGGACACGTTTTATCTTCAACTTCATGGCACTGGCGACGTCTTCTACACATGGGATGATATCAAGAATAGTTCGCGGAACTTGATTGTGTATTCTGGCAATGTTCTCGACCTTGACCTACTCAATTGGTTCAACGAAGACGAAGTTAAGATTCCGGACCGGTTTAAGGAGTTGAGGGACAAAACTACAGGTGCCAACCAGGCGATTCGTGGTCGCGATATTACTCGGTCGTTCCAGAAACCCGCTGATAAACAGCTAGCCGAATGTTTTGAAGAAACCATAAAAGTCGGGTCCATAGACACTGATACGATTGGGTGTATCGCATCACAAGTGGTCCTTTACGTTTCTCTAATCCTCATTCTCTCTGTTGTCGTAGCGAGATTTGGGTTGGCGTTGGTATTCCAGTGGTTCATCAGCCGCAAGTACGCTGCCATTAAAACCTCGCAGACGTCGGACAAGAAGAAACGAAACCGTCAGATTGAGGACTGGACTGAAGATATCTACCGAGCCCCTCCACGAATGCCTGGCGATATTGGGAGCAGTTACATGGGTTCCGATAGGACTAGCAAGCGTGCTAGCACCTTCTTACCTACAACGTCTCGCTTTTCTGCGGTCTATGGTACCGACAGGGCTCCTAGACGGCCGCAACCGACAACCATGGCGAGTCAAGCGTCAACCGGTCCGCTACTACACCCCAACTCGATGTACAAGCAAGGTAACGATAGTAGGTCGAGCATGCTTCGATCTGATCCCTACGGCAATACAGCTAGCCCGATAGACGGTTACGGCCCCGCTGGATTCATTCATGAGGCCGTTGTACCTCAACCACCATCTGACTATCAACCTTTCGGATTCCCTTTGATCCATTCCATCTGCCTTGTCACAGCCTACTCCGAGGGAGAAATGGGTATCCGGACCACGTTGGATTCCATTGCTATGACAGATTACCCGAACAGCCACAAAGTGATCCTCGTTATTTGCGACGGTCTGATCAAGGGTAAGGGAGAGAGCATGACTACTCCCGACTTTGTCCTTGGCATGATGAAAGATCATACCGTGCCCCCCGAGGAAGTCCAAGGTTTCTCGTATGTGGCCGTGGCTAGCGGTTCGAAACGACACAACATGGCCAAGGTATATGCTGGTTTCTACGACTATGGTGCCAAGTCTGCCATCCCGGTAGAGAAACAGCAAAGGGTTCCGATGATGCTGGTGGTCAAGTGTGGCACACCTGATGAATCTACCAAGTCTAAGCCTGGCAACCGAGGCAAACGTGACAGTCAAATCATCCTGATGTCGTTCTTGCAGAAAGTTATGTTCGACGAGCGCATGACAGAACTGGAATTCGAGATGTTCAACGGTCTCTGGAAGGTAACTGGTATATCGCCAGATTACTACGAAGCAGTCCTCATGGTCGACGCCGATACGAAAGTGTTCCCCGATAGTTTAACTCATATGCTTTGTGCTATGGTTCGCGATCCCGATATCATGGGACTTTGCGGCGAGACAAAAATCGCAAACAAGAGAGACAGCTGGGTATCGGCCATCCAAGTCTTCGAATATTTCGTCTCTCATCACTTATCCAAGTCTTTCGAGTCCGTTTTTGGAGGTGTTACTTGCTTGCCAGGTTGTTTCTGTATGTACCGGATCAAGGCGCCCAAAGGTGCCCAGAACTATTGGGTTCCTATTCTAGCGAATCCGGATGTTGTCGAACACTATTCCGAAAATGTCGTTGATACTCTGCACAAGAAGAATCTTCTGCTCCTTGGAGAAGATCGGTACTTGACTACTCTCATGCTCCGAACTTTCCCCAAGCGTAAGCAAGTCTTCGTTCCTCAAGCAGTCTGCAAAACCACCGTTCCCGACGAATTCAGTGTCCTACTTTCCCAGAGGCGAAGATGGATTAACTCTACTATCCACAACTTGATGGAACTGGTTCTCGTTAAGGATCTTTGCGGTACATTCTGCTTCAGTATGCAATTCGTTATTTTCATCGAGTTGGTCGGTACTTTGGTACTACCTGCCGCTATCGCGTTCACTTTCTATGTTGGTAAGTTAATTAAATCTCCCGGAAATTCGATGATCGTTGTTAACATAGTTATAGTCATCTCCTCTATTATAGGACCCGTACAGACGATCCCACTGGTTCTGCTTGCTTTGATTCTTGGTTTACCAGCCGTCCTCATCGTCGTCACGGCCCATTCGTGGACATACGTCGTATGGATGTTGATTTACCTCGTTTCACTCCCAGTCTGGAACTTTGTTCTCCCCAGTTATGCCTTCTGGAAATTCGACGACTTTTCATGGGGTGATACTCGAAAGACTGCGGGCGAGAAGACGAAGAAGGCCGGTATTGAATATGAAGGCGAGTTTGACAGTAGCAAGATTACTATGAAGCGATGGGCCGAGTTCGAACGAGAGAGACGGCTAAGAGACAACTACTGGGGGTCTAGAGAGAATGTCGCAGGGGGTAATTGGGGCTCTGGTCCGACTTCCACAGCTTACCACCACTCATACGACGACCAGTACTATTCTGACGCCTGAGTTGGTAGATCGAGTTGAGTGTTGAGCATATTTATTTACCATATATATAGGAGTCGGCTCTATTATGGGAAGGGTAACCAAACGGCGGTCGTCATTGTCGTTTCCGGGTTTTCGAATCCTTTAATATGGGATTCAAGAGCATGAATGGGGTGAATTAAACGTATAGAGAACCAGGGCATTCGGCATTCTTTAGCGATTTACATTGTACATACATAGCTGTAGCCAGGTTCATCATACCACAAACTTAATTGGACGAAACATACATATTATCCCCCATTAGAATTATTTATTAATAGATATAGATGCAATGCTTTCTGCTCGCCTATTATTGCGTTCATCTACCGGGTTGTACCGCTGTGTAACTTCTAGGACATATTAGATATCTTCTTACGGCGCAGCGGCGTGATCTGTATGGCATTACGTCGGCGCCTCATGTGAGGGAAGCGAGACATTCCCGGGACCGGGAAACTAGACTTGTACTACGATTGGGCAGCGACGGAATCTTTACCGCTACTAGGCTCGGCAGAGTGTGACGAGATCTTGTACAATTGTATTACGATATGGAAAATTCCAAAGCATAAGAAGCTCAAAGGGGCGGCTCGTTTGCTTGTTTGTGTATAATTCAGAGTGTTCGCGAATGTTGGTTGCACAATAACAAACCTATTTGGTCTTGTGGTTGCTCAGAATAAGTTTCGACCTACGGGTGTGATGGTAGATATTAAAATTGCCTGCATAGAGGAACGTTAGGTTCTGGTCAGGAGCTGGGAGATTGTGATTGGTGGTCTTTCAGGGAACCTCCCTTCAAGCCACGAAGTTGCCATGGCGATGCTGAGACATATTGGGGGTCGAAGACTTGCTTATGATAATTCCAAAGCCATATTGGATTGCGTCCCCCACATCCTTGTTCCAAGCACGGATGGGTTGATTTGTCAGACGAGTCGAATTTGCGTAAATGGCGAGCGTACGTCATTTGATGCGGTTCCTTCAGGTTGGGAATAGTGAAATGCACCTAAAACAGAAACGAAGATGGACGCTGATCTCACCAAGCACTATACGGATCTATTTCCGGTGTCGTTTTTGAGTTGATGATTGGTTTGAGCGGCTTTTTAGTCGAGAAACGCTGTCAGCTTAGTATTATTTGCTCCCTGATATTATTTACCCAGGGACATTTACGTAGACAAGCGTCAAGCCTAAGGAACGCCTAAAGATGCGTGCGGCCAGATTGGGAAATAATCTTGGGATCAACTGTGAGATCAGAAATAGTCTAATACGACGCTGCAGCTACCCGTGTCCGCCTCAGGCATGATGAGACAAGAGTGACTCATGGGGAAATTTCGAAAGGAAAGAAGGGAATGGGAATCATCCATGATAATGATGGGCATGTCGGCGTTCTGTGTTCCAATCTAAGGTGTGAAATCGGTCATGCTGTACGACGGGCTAAGGGTAGTAAGTAACCGGGAAGATATCTGTGGCGTGCTGACTCGCGATATTTCTGGTAAAGGGTAGGTGTATGTAGCTAGTAAAGGGCTGTATGATCTTCATAGATCAACGGTCTTTGCCCACGGGCTTGCATTTTTGGATGCGGACCGCTTCGAAACCAGAGATCCCATGGGATAAGTGGTAGTGCGGGGTCTGCAAGTCCCTCATTTCAGGGCTGTTTCTCTTGCTGTCCCGTTGCCCCCCCAGCGCCATATTCTTGGTAGCGATATCTGTATGTTGGAGTGGTCCCTTTGGCCGTTATGTTCGGTCGTACCGCCTTGTTTCCAGCGTTCGGTTCCAGTTATGCGTTATGAGAACTTTCCTACATAACGTGCTAACGTGCCCGCTGTCCACTGCTGCAGTACAGCGCAGCTAGCGGTGAATGCCGCATGTCCGAAGCAGAAATAGCTTATTAAGGATGTTGCGGCGGGACCGTCTATGTACACACCATGCATTGTCCTTGTCTCGAAAACTCGAGTTCTATTCCTTTGTCTCACTTGGCAAGACATGAGATGTTTATAACATCGAATCTTGACTTGTCAATTAAGAAGCCACTCCTCACCGGTTTAAAAAGTGAGAGTTTGCCGAAACAATAGCTTTCTTTCTTACCTAGTCGGCTAGTATACGGACTCGGCAAATGGTTCGCAGAACGGATGCCAGGATTAAAAGTGATATATGATATTTGGAAATTTGCGAGGAATTTTTTTTTAAAAAAAAATTGAGAGGCGCGGCTAAGACGTCCGGCATTGACGAGAACTTCTGATCCAGGGAGATATGTCGAATGTCAGATATCCCACCACACTAAGAAATAATAGAATGTTCGTTTTTGTTATTCCTTCATATCATATTTTGTATGCACCTGATATGTAGTTGGAATTGACAATTTCGACACTTTTGACACTTTTGACATTTTAGACACCAACCGCTACCATGTTGGGCAAATACATGCGGAAAGTTACCTAAGTTTGGACATGTGATGACCTCCTACAATACAAATGTACCTATGAAAATATTCAAATGGCTCTTGCTCTAATTGAATCTTTAAATACCCCCCCACTGTGACTTCCAACTAGGTGGGTAAGGATAGATACTACGGTATATACCTCTGATATATATGAATAAATGGTAGGATTTCGATGTATACCTATACCTGCATGTAAGTGACAGAATACAGAATTTAGTGTGGCGTGGTCGTCATATTCGTCCCTCCACATTGCGTTATGTACGGTACCTGCAATAGGTATCTAGTTTATTCCCCACTCGCGCAACCGCGGAAAGAAGCATCTACCTATCTCTGTCTCTATCAGTTGCCTCCTTCCCCCGTCACCTGGCACACTGGCATCATCACCACCTGGGAAGCACACCCCGACCCATTTCTTTATCTCATACCGATCGATGCCTAGGACTTTAGCTGCCTGGAAAGTGGGAAGGAATACCTACCTACATACATACGTTTATCCCTTCCTTTGACGTGAATTAATTTTATAAGCTTTACAGTACTAAATCTCAATACGACATGACTTAAATGCTCCAAATTCTCTCCACCTACATACCATTTTACCTAGGCTCACTGACAATATACTACCTAGTACTCTAGTACTACCCTGACGGCCGCAAGCTGGGTATCGCGGCTTTGAATCATCTTGGCGTCCTGTTAAAGATCCGCCATACATACGTCCATCTGAGATACCTACCAGCCTACCCAGCAGCCTACCTAGGTATCTTATAATTAACCTTGCTACATCCCCCTTTTACGGGCCAATAAGAAAAGGCTGCACGACCAAAAGAGAAAAAAGCAACATTGTTCCTCTTTAAGTGAACCCCCCAGGAAAACCAAGGCGGTTAGGCTTGAATTTTAGCAAATGACTTAAACAACTCCAAAAACGATGCGCCCTCCCAATTCCCCACCCTCCTCTCCATTCCTCACCCCAGACAGGCCCCAGATCGACCAAGATGCCTCACTCGACTTCGAGTTCCCTCAGCCGCAAACTGTTGGACTCGAACCACTTACCGTCGATAATCCTATGAATGATCAGCCCGAACCTCCATTCGCCCCAATACTCATCGCGCATGCCGACCCCGACCACGCTTACGGAGCTCAACTTGGGGATGACGACGGTGGTAGTAGTAGCGCTAATAACACCTACGATATGTTGGATGTTGACCTCGAAGAGGGCGGCGTGCCCCTGAATAATAATGTCGATATGGGGGAACTTAGCGATGAAGAGCAAGTCGTGTCCACGATCGCAGACTCGGTCTTCGATATCCCTCAACCCTCGATTCCGCTCTCGCCACCCATCGATGCTGCCGACTTGACAACTCCTCCCCAACCCGTAGCCGTGGTCCCGCCGTTGCCGGAAGTTCAAGACCTCGAAGATGACGTCGATCCTGCAAATGCCGGTCTACATCCCATGGCATTGAGCAATGCCAACCCCATGTCGCTCGGACCCGAGAATCCCCACGTTATGCAGTTCCTCGAGCTCTGGGAATGGTCAAATCAAGCAGAAATCCCGCTTCGCGCAAATAGTCCTGTTCCGCTGTTCCGGGAAATTCGACGCCTGGCGCGCGAATGTCCACGCCGGGTCGAGTATAAGCAGCTGAGGGGCGACGATTACGACTTTCAAGGCATCAGTTGGAGGGATCTTGGTGTCACGAGGAATATCGCGAGGCGCCGTCGTATGGCGACGTTCCATAACTATGTTAACAGGCCAGCGTCTGATGTGTGGCATAAAGGGTCGTCCGATAGGCTTTTACCACCCGTCGATAACTTCTTCAGATATAAGAGTATGGATATTAGGCGTGATGTGCGTTTGCTACACTTCCAGCTTCGCAACATCTTGGGCGTCGCATCACGCACGAGAATATTCTATCCTAGCTTTACCTCGGTTAGGGAACATGACCCTACAACCGGGAAGGATAAAACAGCAATGCGCTTCGAGAATCAGACCGGGGCTTGTGTATCTACCTTAACTGCCAGTGAAAACATATTGATCGCTGGTGGCTTCTACGGAACCTACCAATACCGTCACTTGAACTCCGGGGTGAGCCTTGAGACTCATGAAGGACAATTGACAAGCCATAATAGTGGTATCACCAATCATGTGCAACTTCACTCGTCCCGGCATTCGTCGACGCCCTTAGCAGCTTTCGCTTCTAACGACTTTGGTTTCCGGGTGGTAGACTTATCTACGAATAAGATCACATCGGAGATAATGTATGATTTTGCCATGAATTGTTCGGCATTGAGCCCAGATATGAGACTTCGCGTTATAGTCGGAGATCATGAGAATGCACTTATAACCGATGCCGAGTCCGGTGAGATTCTTCAGGAGCTCGAGGGCCATAAGGACTTCGGCTTCGCTTGCGATTGGGCACCGGATGGTTGGACTGTTGCCACCGGAAACCAGGATAAGACTATTAGGATATGGGATGCTCGCAAATGGAAGAATAGCAATGGGCAGGCCGAATCCGTCGCCGCGGTCAGGACTGAGATGGCCGGCGCGCGGAGTTTACGTTTTTCTCCCCTTGGTTCCGGGAAGAGGATCTTGGTCGCTGCCGAAGAAGCCGACTTCGTCAATCTAATCGACGCCCAGACATTTAGCACCAGGCAAACTGTCGACATATTCGGCGAGCTTGGCGGTGTCGATTTCGCCAACGGCGGTCACGATCTCATCGCTCTATCATGCGATTTATCTCGAGGAGGCGTTATGCGCCTAGAACGTTGCGACACTGGAGCGGAAGACACCTTTGATTATGCAGATAGGGGTCATTCGGAAGACGCACCGTGGTGGTGGACTCCTGGGTATGATTGGATGCAAAGTCCGGAACAAATAGTGGCAGCGCCAAGGTCACAGGAGACTCTTACACAGAAACGAAGACGGGCCGCGATGTCAGAGAACTGGAACTTCTGATGCGGCGTACATAGGGTTGAGAATGAGAAATGATTGAAGGGAAGGCGTTTAGGATATTCGAGCATTTAAACGGGTAGCAAGCGACGGCATTGGTTCATTGCTTCCTCTTCCTCGTTCATTTTGATTTATCATTCCCCCTTGACGATTTTGTTCTCTTCAGGTCGCCTCGGGGAGGTCACATACATTATTACGTTACGAGGAAGGGACAGTTGATGAACCTAGCCTCTGGAAGACAGGACAAACACTTGGGATTGGCGAAAGGTAGTGGATATAGCCGGATTATAAGTATATATCAGGGAATTCATTGCTCATCCTTTCACGGAGAGCTTTCACCTATGGCGGATACTTCTCAACTCATCTGGCCTGATCTGGTAGATTGAGCTCGAATCCAACGAACATACTCTCCGTGTTGGTCGAGCAGGGGCAGGGGCAGAGTGTCTTGTACCGATGAGGACTTGATGACATATTTTAAACGAGCATGTGGGAATTATCAATATATTTGATGATGAGCTTAGTTAGATATTAGCTTCAACATTTGATAGGCAGACCTAAGGTGGATGTTGTGCATATATAGTGTATATGCTCCGGCGTCAGGGTTTATCGCACTCTACAAGTGTACCTCATTATCTATATATATATATTTAAACCATTTTCAACATGCTCGTTTGAGACTTCTAATTTCGGGAAAATGAATATATTTAAAAGGGCATGTGCCTACCCCTTTCACACGGATTCTCATACTGGCTTATATGTCGACGAGGAAGGTTTTATTTACGCCATTTACCTGGTGTTCTAAGCTCCTATAGATCGAGATATAACCCTTGACAGTACCTAGCAAAGTAATAATTCAAAAAACGTAGATTTTTCGTTGAGGGTATCATCTACCTATGGGTATCCGCCAACCCGACGCCCCAGTTGCGTTGGTGTTGAAGTATCTAATGCAGCTCATATATGTTTCGTTTCGCTCAAAGTGTACCCAACACGCGTATATGCCCCCTCCCCCTTTTCTCTTTCTTTCCAGACTCTAGCTCTTACCACATATCCCGTGCCTTCATATCTCCATATCATCATCCAACAACCCCTTAAACTACCCCTAAACTCACCCCCCAAAAACATCCTACTCTTTAGCGTGGCCCTTCCAGTACTGAGTCTTGATAAACGGCATCTTCGTAACCAGGGCCGACCTCTCCTTCCCCCTAACCACGACCTTCAGCTCGGTACCCGCCTTATGCAGACCGTCCTTCACGTACCCCATCGCGATATTCTTGCCTAAGCTCGGGCTCGGACATCCGCTCGTCACCTTCCCAACCTTCTCCCCATCCGGTCCGAGGATCTCCGCGCCTTCTCTCGCCGGCGCCCCATCGACAACAAGTCCGATACGCCGACGCTCAACACCCACACCGCCCTTACTCTTAGGCGTAAGCTGCTTAAGGATGACATCGGCGCCATAAAACGCGCCCTTATTAACATCCGTACCCTCGCGGCGATCCTTCCCCACAATCCAACCAAGCGCAGCCTCAACCGGCGTCGTAGTATCATCAAGATCATGGCCATACAAACACATCCCCGCCTCCAACCTCAAGCTATCGCGCGCGCCCAGACCAGCCAGCTTGACGCCGGGGTACTTAAGGATCTCCTCGACAACAGCAACCGTGTGCTCGGGCGGAATACTAACCTCGAACCCGTCCTCACCCGTATACCCTCCCCGCGTAAGCAGCACATCCTTCACAACAACAAATCCCCCACCCGCCGTCGGGATCTTCAGATTCACAGACCTCACCATGCCGAAATACAAGCCCGGGATATCCGCCGCGCGCACATCCTCAAGCAACCCCACAACCGCCCGTTCCGCCAGCGGTCCCTGCACAGCAACAAGGCCCTGGTCTTCCAAAACCACATGTTCCACAGCCTGTCTCCCCTCCTCCCCCCACTTCCGCAGCTCTCGGTCCAGATACTCCAGATCCTTCTCCCTACACCCCGCATTCGTAACCACATAAAACGTCCCATCCCCCAACTTCGTAACAATAGCATCATCGACAATCCCCCCGGTCCCAGGATGCAGCAGCGCCGTCAACGAGCCCGTTCCCGGCTGCAGGGCCGCCACGCTCGCAGGCGTGATGCGCTGCAGGAAAGCGGTGGCGCCGGGGCCGGAGAAGCGGTGCTGGACCATGTGTCCGACGTCGAAGAGGGAGGCGTGCTGCCGCGTGTGCAGGTGCGACGCGCTGACGCTTTGGTCCGCGTATATCACCGGCATGTGGAACCCGCCGAACGGGACCATCTTGGCCCCGTTCCTGACGTGGACGTCGTACAGTTGGGTCTTTCGGAGAGGGGAGTTGGGAGGGGCTTCGGAGTAGGTTCGACGGGCTTGGGGGGTAAGGGTTGGTATTGGGTGGGAAGGAACTTGGGGTTGTCGTTGAAGAGTTCGTGAGGGTAGTCTAGAGGAGAGGGCGGCGCTGGAGAGGAGACGGGTGTGCTGTTCCCGAGGGGCTCGGAGAGCTGGGACGCCCTTTCTGGCCCGAGCGATAACTCGTGATGTCTTCATCTTGAGTCAATTGGGCTAATTAAAGATGAATTGGAGGAAGTTGAACGGGAAGAATAGGCTCCAGTGTTCGTCCGGGCTGGAGGGGATTCGATTGTCGATTGTCGTCAGTGAGGGGAGTTCGGTAACGAAATAAATTGGAAGCAATCGGTCGATATCCGGCCGATCGCGGCTTATGGTGGGGCGATTACAATTGTTCTTACCTCCGAGCTTGTTTAAAAACACAGTCGCGGCTGATAAGATACTATCAGGGGTATGTGGAAAGTACTCGGGGCTGTGACCGCTACAGTGTCTGAGCGTCTGTTTCTACAACTAAATATCGGAAAGATCGACTTTACAGCCTTGCAATTTTTCTATTATTGTAACCTCAACGTTTTTGAAAGTTTGGGAAGGTATGTCTAAGTTGAAAAATATCGTCGAATCTACCCATTAGAGATTAAAGTGAATACCTGCTATAGTTTAGATGCAGACATGTATGTAGGTTGGTAGTTAAGCAAAAAACTAGGTTACGATTATAGATATGTATGTCAAGGATTGATACGACAGCCTAGGATTCCACTCACCGCTACCGTAATTTTAAGGGGTCGTAATCGCGATCTTTATGATAGTCCGCCCCGAGTATTTGGCGAAACTCCATTCGGCAAGCAATGATAAGTAGATCCTATGATATGACACGTGCCATCAGATCTAGGTATACTGCTACCCGTATAATAACCAAAAAATATAAACTAAATCAAAGTCTCATATTGCCGCAACTACTGTAAACTACGAAGCCTTCCAATCTCGTTCTATCTCGTAATGCCAGCGTTAAATGGAAAAAAGGGACGATATACTGAGGACATACTCCACCCAGGCTTTCTCCGTTAAAAACCGTCATCATTCTTGGACGCAGTGTTGATCATCATTCTTATTAAGGGGAACAGTAAACGGAAAGTGCCTTGAGAACGAAAACAAAAAACAGACTAGGTGCGAGGGCTTCCGCTGGCCCCTCTGGTAGCGTTACCATCCGCATCGAGTTCTCTTTTACGTTCCGTAATATCAATTCGTACAGATTCCATCCCGTACGCCGCTCCACTCCCCTCCTTATGCTTCCAAAATCAAACTTGCGTTCTTCACTTTGCAGGAACCACCGCAACCGAAGAGAGCGAGAGAGGGTACCGAGATGAGCGTGATTTATGGACTATCGATTGTTCCGGGAATATGACTTTGCGAGTTACAACCGACCCCATAAGACCGAGGGAGAGGAAACATTTGTGAGAGTCGGAAGGGGGAAAATGACACTGCGCCTCCTCCAGTTTACTGGTGTCCCGCCTTTCGGAGAGTGGTGGCGAGCCACTCAAGACCCTCATACAGACCATCTCCGGAAGTAGCGCAAGTAGATTGGATATACTGTAGCGTAGGTTAGCAAACTGATGGCTAGCAAGATAGTAAAAGGAAGTAGATACGTACCCAGGCGCGCTGTCTCAAGCTGTGAAGACCAAGCTTGTCAGTAATCTCGGCGGCGTTCATGGCATTCTATAATATCGTTAGCCGAATCCAAGGCATGGCTTGTTATATGTTATATAAAGAAGGGCACGTACAGGCAGATCCTGTTTGTTGGCGAAGACTAGGAGAATGGCATCTCGGAGTTCGTCCTCGTTCAACATGCGCTGCAACTCCTCCCGAGCCTCGACGATACGGTCACGATCGTTGCTGTCGACAACGAAGATGATACCTTGAGTGTTCTGGAAGTAATGTCGCCACAGAGGACGAATCTTGTCTTGCCCACCAACATCCCATACGGTGAATTGGATGTTCTTGTACTCGACCGTCTCGACGTTGAATCCTGGAAAGCGCGACGCGTGTCAATAATAAAAACATTGGAACAGTTTGGGACCGGGGGTGGTTGAGTTAAGGCATACCGATAGTAGGAATGGTTGTGACGATTTCACCGAGCTTGAGCTTGTAGAGAATGGTGGTCTTTCCGGCAGCGTCTAGACCGACCATGAGAATTCTCATCTCCTTCTTCCCCCAGAGCTTGTCGAACAACTTAGAGAACGTAAGACCCATGATTGCGACTTGGAAAAAAGATGCGGCTAGGTATCTATTACGGCTGGTGAGCTAAAGGCGACGTCGCGATATCTGAACCGAGAAGGGGAGAGAAGTCAGTTATGATGGCTTGAAGAGAAATGATAATGATGTGATTGTCTCTGGCGGCAATTGTCAACCAGTCGGGATTTATGGGGCTTTTTAAGTTGCCCGTGAGGACAGATCGATTGGATTTCAAAACAGCGCAATGACTCGAGATGAATCAATGTTATTTGGTAATGATTCTAGGCTGCCGCAATAGGAGACTAGAAAATGAACAGGTGGGCCAAAGATGTATTACGAAGGTGTGTATTAGGTTAGGTAGAGAGATTATGTAGAGGTAGGTGTGGTAGTATAGGTATGTTAGGTAGGTAGCAGGTAGAGAGATACGTTATGTATAGCAATAGCAGGCAAGCAACAAAAAAGCAGTAGCAGGCCAAAAACTATAAAAAAGAATCTCTTTGTCGGGAATTAAATGCACGGGATATTTTTTGGTAGTCTCACTTACTATTTTGCAACAATGAGACCTGCTCGGCGAAGGAGAGATCTCGTGGTGATGGGTTATCAAAAAGGGGTGATGCGGTGGATTGTGGTTGGAGATCGGTGAAGAGAGAGTAAGTAAATGTGTTTTTCAGAAAGGTCTTTTGGTTAGGTAAAAATGCTAAATGCTAAAAATGCAATGTGGCTGGAGACCGCTAGGACTGGAGAACGGAGACAAGAGACGGAGGCGGAGGCCCATTGGAAGCGATGAACGTAATTACTTGCCTGCAGGTGCCAATGCCAATCGTTAGCCTGGACCTTGTTCTGTATTTTCTTAGGTATTTTCTTCTTTTCTTGCCTAGGATGTCAAGGATGTGCTGGATATGGTCCACTCGATAAGGGAAAGTGCTGACGATGAACTGAATTTGTAAGTATCTAGGTACAGATGATATACTTCTAAATCTCCCTTGTGACAGCCCGAACTTTTTCACTGGTAGAAGCGGCGCACCCCGGAGAGGTGATAGTCACGAGTTTGTAGCCTGTTGCGACACAAGGAAGTACCTTCCAGGTACCCTTCGTCATCACTTTTGTAACTCAAGGATAACGCGCTAAACCATGTCGAGCTAACCACTTAGATCCACCAGATTCACCCCCTTGGCAATCGCCAAAGTGTCCAACTCGAAGCCTCAGAAGCTTGAAGACTTGAATAAAGTCTTACGCGACAAAATCAATACTTGGTACCACCTACAACTACGTAATTAAACTCAATCGATCCGCATTGAGCTTCTCGTCGTCGAGGGGACATCATGTTATTCTCGACTACGACCCTGTTATTGGCCGCTGGCTTCCTGAAAGCTGCGCTAGGCCACAACATCCAGCTTCCCGCACACGGTCGCGAATGCTTCCACGAGGAACTGCACAAGGACGATGTCATGACGGTCACCTTCCAGACTGGCGATAGAGAATTTGGAGGAGCTGGAAACCTTGACATTGACTTCTGGGTATGGCAAGCTATCCGCAAAACCAAGATTAGGTGCGAACACAAGTGACTTACGTATCTTGCGACTACAGATCACAAATCCCATGGGTCAATACGAGACCTTCCAAAAGGACGTTTCGAACGGCGATCACTCTTTCACGGCTAAGCATGACGGCAAGTTCCTCTACTGCTTCGGCAACGAGCACTGGGGTTCCAACAGCAAGGAGGTCTCGTTCAATGTTCATGGCATAGTATATGTCGCCGAGGACGAAGCTCCCCAAGACCCGTTAGAAAAAGAGAGTATGTGTTGCTCCATTGCTTCCAAGTTAACATGGGATGAATAAGTGACTAACAAACCCCTAGTCAAGCAACTTTCCGAACTAGTCGACCAAGTCCGTGACGAGCAATCCTACATCGTTGTCCGAGAACGTACCCACCGCAACACCGCCGAGAGCACGAATAGCAGAGTCAAGTGGTGGAATCTGTTTGTTATTGGCGTCGTGGTAGGCGAGTCCCTATTCCAGGTATGGTGGCTACGAAGGTTCTTCGAGGTCAAGCGGGTAGTATAAGTTGGGCTAGGAGGCGGAATAGTTCAATTACCTTCTTGGTTCTGGGTAGTCTGGCGTATCATGGATTCATATTGACATGGTGGACTCTAAAAGTATGGGCAGATGTTCACGAAGTAGAACGTCTTGTACATTTGTACAACAATAAGAAGACATTAACACGTCATCCGCAATTACCAGGTTCAAATCCGGCTATTGGGATGGCTGTTTATTAGAAGTGCTATTGCGAATTAACCAACTTCCAAGTGAAGCTATATGTTGCCTTCTACGTTATAGAACATGATAATAATTAACGTACTACGAGGCATGCAATTTCAATAAAGGTCGTGGGTGAAACAGGCTAATTCCACAGTCATCGAGCATCACTGCCAAAAGGAATAGCTGTTCATATTTCAGAAACGGTATATGATTATTGATATATCTTCGTGATTATTTACGTATAAACATATTTTCTCTACTCTTCCTGCGTCATTACCCTTTCTAATTACCCACCGCGGAAATATACTTCGTCATGGCATCCATTCGTTCGCTAGTAAGCTTCAGTGAAATCCTCAATAGTTCCTGAGCGACTTCGCTCTCCTCGCTCTGGAGTTTCTCCCATTTTTCCGTATCCATGACCCAAACAACACAGTCTTTAACAGCAACCACAGTCGCTGTCCGGTTCGTCTCCGAAAAGAACGGCAGCTCGCCGCACGTCGTGCCTTGGACAATTGGCTCGGATAAGCGGCCTTGAGGCGTCTCATAATCAGCCCTCAGCTCACCTCTCTCCAAGAGATAGAAGCCATTGGCGGTTTCGCCGCGTTGGTATATCACAGTACCAGCAGAATACTCCTTCCGGACGAAGTATGGTTTTGCGCGGAACCAGAAATCCTCGTTCTTATCACTCAGATCATAGAAGACCTGAAGCATCAGTCGTAGGGGTTCGCTGATGTTTTGCCATCTCGTCGATCGTCTCATTTCTTGCTGGTTCAGCACGTTTCTTGCCGCTCGGTCGAGATGATCTCTCCTTGGAGATTGAGATAGGATATCAAACGGCTGGCCAAATTGACCCTTGTTAGGTACATCAAGGTTGTTGGAAGGTGCTGGTCGAGAGATCCTCAAAGCTTCCTGGCGAGCATAGAATGTCTTCAGCTGCTCATTCTCACAGCTTTCCAGGGCTGAATTCAGATCAGGCATAAACATGACTTCAGGCCCGTCAGATCCCAATCCAACAGCCCTCAGATCCCGGCCAAGTTTACTTTCCGCATCCTTCCCGCTAACGAGAAGATGAACTCCTTTTCCATAAAGCAGGCGATTGATAGTCTTAAATCCTTCAGCTGCCGAGTAATCGATGCCCGTGACATGCCATAAGTCAACGATCACAAATTTGATCGGATGCTCCGTGAAAACATTATCAGATATCAAGCTTCGAATCTTCTCTTCGACACCAACAATGGTGCCAAAGAACAGGAAACCAGATAATTTGATGACGTATGTCTGGCTACCAACTTCATGGAGGTAATGATGCTGCGACGGATTCCGCCTAACCATGGAGCCAACTTGGTCTCCTGTATATGTTGCTCGAATAGCCGAGACTTGAGATGCGTGAAGAATGGCAGAAACAAATGCAAGAATTATACCAACGAAGATACCAACAACAAAGTCATAGATTCCCATGGTAAGAACTATAACCACGATCTGCAATCGACTCGCGTTAGTTTTAGCCATGTAGAAATAAGAATAAATCATAACTTACCGTTAAATATTCCAATAGTTTAAGTTTACGCCTTGGTGATATAAGAGCGTCCATCAACAGCTCAAATCCAAGAACAAAAATCAAAGTGCCGACAACCATAACGGGGATATAACCAATAATAACAGGACCTATCGTCATGACGCCGAACGTGAGTCCTGCTAACATGAAACCCGCCAGACGGCTATCGCCACCTGACCTCATAAATAACAAGGTATTTGCAAAAACCAAATAGTTTTGGATGCTACCAACACATCCAGAGAGGAAGTTGGAGTAACCGTGTAGTTTCAACTCATGATCTAGATCAAGATGATCTTCTCCGGAAATTTGAGCCAAGGCAGGGACATTGATAGGAACATGAAGCACGCTGAAGAAAGTTAAAGCAAACATAGCCCCCGAGGTCTCGAGAACCGCTCCCCAATGAACTAGATTGAACTCTTTCGATGCGAATTAGTAACAGACCCGACTTAGGAAGAGATAATGGGGGCTCACTATAGAGTGTCCAAAAGTACCACCATGGTTCTCCAGCTTCGGGTGCTTGGAATATCCATCCAGCTTGCCTTAGATTCTCGGGGTCCAGACTATCTATCGAAAATACGAAGAAATAGAAGAATATTGGCACACATAGAATGTAGATAGGCAAGAAATACTTCGAGGTGATCTTCCTCTGGAGACTGAAAAGGATTATAGCCAAAGCAAGAGGGATAAGCCATAATGGGAGAGTATCCGATTGAATCAATCTTCGGCCAGTGTCGAGATCGTAATTGAATTCCTCTAGGCGTGCCGACACCTCGAAGCCCGTCGCGACAAGGAACCAACCGACGCCGCCAATACATCCAATTAAAATATGGCGAGGGATAAAACCAACAACATAACCTAATCTGAACTTTCCCATGAGATAGAAGACAACGCCAGTCAGCATAGAGCTAATAGCAAAAGAAGTTATCGTGGTAGCGATGACCGCGTCGGGCTTATCCTCGCCTACCGTCGCTGTTATTGTGGTCGCCATATTATGAAAGAAGGGGACGACTTCGATCTGAATGAGTTAGTAAGAGTTTGTGAATACTAAAGTATAGATAGATCTTACTAATTCCGACCCAATGCCGCCACGGAATAGACTACCAGTTGAGAAGGTCAGCTGCGAAACAATTGTGCTAACATAGAATATAGATATTCCTGCCGGTCCGAGACTTGAGAAGACCGGATTGCCTAATGGAAATAGAATCATTCCTAAACACATAGTTAGATCCGGTAAAGCATTGGGCAGGCTCTCGATGGTTACACACCATAAGACAGGGCATCAAGTATGTTTAGTAGAAGCCCAACAATAACAGCTGGCAAACAGTGTATCGGATCCATCACAACACTCTGGAAGATGACTTTCTTATCCCAAGTCTTTGGGTTGGCAATGCCCCTGATGGAACGAAGCTTGCCTTGAATACCACTACCAAATATCCCTGACGATGACCTCCAGGGTCCTATCTTCGGTTTTTGACTTTCTATGTCGTCAACCTCAGTAGTACTGCCTGGAGAATCGGGCCTACATGGCAACGCCCTAAGTAGCGGAGTACTCTCCGACACCCCATTGCTTGGGCTAGATTGGGATAGACTCGTCGACGATAATTGTCCATTATATGGAGTTACATTACTTCCAACGTTCGGATCGCATGGAGATTGGGGAGGAGAGCGTCGAAGCATAGTTGTGAGCGCTGAGGGTCCTGAGTCGGGTTCGTCCTCTGTCCTAAATTCTGGTGAAGGTGGTTCAGGAAGCTCATCTATAGTGCCTGCATCTGGCATTTGCGAGTCCGGGGATTCATGCTGGTCGAGGCTTTGGTGGGACGAAGTAGACGATATTCGATGTAGGAATGACGTGCTCAACCTATCTTTCTTGTCTGATAGAACATATGAAGCGAGTTCGGCCGTGTCCTCACGGACACTTCGAGCAAAACCAGCACTATCTACGGGCGCTACATAGAGAGTTAGTTACAAACAATAACAATATCAAACATTATGATGATAATGCAAGGAAGACCTTACAAAGATGGTCTCTAACCGAGCCTGGAACAAACGACCTGGTGGGCTCCCTATAATTATAAGAGTTTAGAGAGGATGAGAGCGGTCGAGTATCGGTTATCGTTAACTGCGAAGCTTGGTTTGGGTTGAGTGTTTGCTCATGTACATCCGTTATTTCTGACTGAGAAGTAATAGAAGAGGATCTTCCCCTCCAAGAGGAAAAGCCAAAAGATGAAGCCGCCATATCGATGGCCGAGCGTCCGTTAGCTTTCTACGCTGGATATATACATCGAGAGCTGGTTGTGATGCGCGTTTATTCGAATAAAGCAGCGGTAGCCACCAAGGTTCCGGTCGTATGTCTTATGGCGGTTGACTGTTAGCGAGTGACTGAGTCGGACTACGATTGTCATACAACAGCCAATATAGACCGCGACAAGAAGCCAAAGCACTATACGGCTTGCATATGATGTACGGTATAGTAGGATTGAATTGAAGAACGGTGCATGAGAGTGAAAAAATGAAATTGTTAGAAACAGCAAAGATTGTTCGATGATAACGAGAGGATCTACCCAGGTAAATTCTAGACTAAAATCTAGAACCTCACGAGATATACCTAGCTGACCTAGGTAGCTTCCAAGGAATTTAACGTTATCTGCCTCGTTGCTGCTAACTCTAACGGGTATTTAGCAGCGCCTTCCAACGTACGTAGTTCCTCTAGCATGTGGTCTGCGCTTAATCGACAGGGATCTGGAGGGGCATCTCCGATTCTAGAAAGGCGCTGAAATATTATTGGTGGCGAACTAAACATTGGACCTGAACTTAGGTACGAAATACTACCTGTGTACCTCGTCGATTCCTATTAATAATCTAATTGGATAAGGCTGAACCGTTGCATAGTAATATTTTTGTGTCACGGATCGTATATGGATATGTGTACACGACATTCTCAAATGGCAGACTGGCAGACCGGCAGACCGGACGCTGTTACCATCTACCGTACTTTCGTAGTACGGTCAACAAGAGGAGATTCGGTTTCGAATATGATTGAATACCTAGATAGGTATATGACCCCTCACCTATGATCCTATAAATTCATTAGCTCTAAGGATCCTGAAATTTCTGGGCTGCATGATGCATCAAGCCCCAAGCCACGCATTCCAACTGCGGATACGATCTAATATTCATTATTAGTACATAGTAGCTACGGTACTAAGAACCTTCATGGCAATGAATCTGAGACAAAGTGGGTCTGTGGATGGTTTGTTATTTTAATTTTTATATTTGATTCTTCACTCTCCGGTCTCAACTCAAGTTCTACTCAGTTTCAATGAGTATAAGAAGGCTAAAGCCCTGAAAATCAACTGCTAAGATTGTTCATGTTGAACATAGTATGAGGATTCAATCTAGTGACCTACCAAGGCAGCGACGAAAATATGACCTGCAAAAATAGGTAACTATATTATTTCAATTGCGTTTCGAGACAACACCCTTGCGTGATAGACATGCATATTGGCAATTCCCTCCGTACTTGACGCCTCTGCGGCCCTCGGCTCTTCCACGGTCACAGCAGGATGGCAGGATGGTTGAACGTCAATTTCTCACCGTGTGGTCGATTACGTACCATAAAGCTCTGGCATTCGTCAATTCTCATCGCGGAGCTTATTCGAACGGGACGGCCCTCGCTCACGCAGCGCGGTTAATACATGTATGTACACAACCTGACAGCCTGACAACCTGCCTGCCTGCCTGCCTGCCGCTAGCTTGCCTATGAGACACATACCCATAAAACCTTTTGTCGTCAGGTGTGAAGTTGAATATTCCTGGGAGCCTCCAACTATTCTCCACATAGAATGCTCCTATTCGCCCCCGCAAATATCGAACTCCAACCGATGGCCCCGATGGCCAGCGCGCCCAGTGCTGTATTCCGTTTGGTTCAGTTGTCCTGGCGCCTTGTTATGTATTGCTAGCTGGGTGGCTGGGATGCACCAATTAGGATGCATATTTCCATATGTAACCCATCACCATTTATGTCTATTGAGCTACTGAATCCCTTGCCGTGCGACTACAGCATATGAGGAGTTAGGTATTGTTTGTGTTGAGTAGATCGGGTTGTTTATTCGCTTCGGATGAAGGCCAAGCTAAATCATTCCACTCTAGGCCACGTAAAACCCCCTCTCTTTGATGTGCATTGAGTTTCCCCGGACATATAACCACATTTTTTGCATCCCGATCAGCCCGATTAATGGTATGTGGCAGAAAACTTGGGGAGTTTGGCGCAGTCTCGTCAATGATTGGGTCTCTGACGGAAGGTCACGCACTCCGTCGTACCGCCCGCATTCGATCGTCATATGCGCCTCTTTTTTTGTGATTGAATTTTGTCAGAATTTGCAAATCGAGTTTGTCACAACATAACCGGGATAGGGCCATTTTTGCATACATGTTGCTAGGCGACCAACATGCAAATAAGCTTCCGGGGAACTACCCTATGCCGCCGCGATGGCTCTGCGCTTCGATCTAACCATTTATAGGAGTTGCCGGATCGGAAGCCCAGTAATACAACACCAATCCGTCCTCCTCCGGTTCAACAGATGGCTGGATATGGCCAATCTCCACCACCTACATTGTATTGTAGGTAGGTATGTAGGAACGCGTTTTAAATATAGATGGTCACGGCTAACGGCAGGTCCCCTCAACTCAGCTTTTGGAGATAACCCTGAGCGATGAGTCGTTCGACATCGCCCTGCCTAACATAAAACTGGCTGTTCTTGGTGAGTGTGATGGCGCTGCGAAGATGCATGAGCAGAAATTCCTATTGTTACCTTTATTTTGGAGGGAACAATCTTACCCATATTCGGTTTGAATTTCCCCGGCGTCTTTCAACACTCGCACGTCAATGAATAGATCACGAGGCGGTTCGAGACTGCCGGTAAGATCAATATCTGTCCATTGACCTTTGTATGCAGCTAGCAGATCGCTATATTGGCGCACGTAATCTTCCTCTTGCGGGCTCAAACTGCTTGTGCCACCATTACCAGCCCCCATACCCGACGCGTTAGCCATTCCGCCCGGACCGTCCTTAACTTGTTGTCCGGCAAGATCAACCACGTCGTAGCCTTTCCAGACAAGCTCTTCCAGCCTGTCCGTTCGGGTTCGGTGATAAGCGAGTAGACAACGTTTATTTCTCCGCATTGATAAATGGTTTACAAGCAGTGTGCAGGCCGTAGCTGGTTCCTCGGCTGGATTAAATGAACCCTGGAACGGTTCTAGCATGTCCGCCACATCTTTATCTAGATCTCGAACTTCTCGTGCAACAGCACGGACCAGTTCTGTTTGATATGGCGGTAAGTGTGTCAAGTTCTGAGTTCGTTTTGCGTGTTGGACCTGATTCAATTGAGTTCTAGTTCACAAGGTCGAACAATATCCGATATGGATACTCACAAGCTTATTGCCCAAATCACCATACATTTTGAACCAGAACGACTGTCGCTCACTCGGGCCTGAGGATTGAAATGATCCTTATAATTGTTTGTCATGAACCATGAATAAATGAGAAGCTAAAAATTAAAGAAGTATCGACGCATTGAACGACGCGTATAGTAGCTGCTTAGACGCGTTTCTATCGCAGTTTCTATACAAGAGGCGGGGCTAAGTATTGGGAAGAAGGATCGTTCCAGATGGTGGGGTCTTGTACGGATACAAGTTAGGTACTTTGTCGACCGAGGGGTTAGTGGGGTCGATTTCGAAATCGATAACCCCGCTATGAGCTTCGAAATTTTATTTTTCTCAAGCTCTACCTCTCTGGGTATCGTGTAACGACGTCAATTATATCTCGCTGAGACGAATAATTGATGCTCGAGGCCAGTCGTTGTCAAAGGTAACCGATACCACTTCTAGTTTGACCACTCCGGTAAACTAATTGAAGTTATATTGTCGACTTGTGAATAGATCCATTGCTCTATTGCAACTCTTCTCTTACTCACATTGAAGCGCGCTAAAGACAAGTTAAATACGTCGCCATGTCGGAATCTCAGAGAATTGCTATCCTCTCCGTCTTTGATAAGACTGGATTGTTGGATCTAGCTAAGGGTCTCGTGCAGCAGAATGTGCGAATTCTTGCATCCGGAGGTACAGCTAAGATGATTCGCGAGTCTGGATTCCCAGTCGAGTAAGATGGCCTACGATCTACAATATTATGTATTCTCGAGGCTGACCTAGAGAAGAGATATCTCAGCTATCACAAAGGCCCCAGAAATGCTCGCCGGAAGAGTCAAGACCCTTCACCCGGCTGTCCATGCTGGTATCCTCGCACGTAACCTAGCTTCTGACGAGAAAGATCTTGCTGAGCAAAGTATCAGCAAGGTCGACTATGTCATTTGCAACCTATACCCATTCAAGGATACGATCTCCAAGCCCAATGTCACTGTTCCCGAAGCCGTAGAAGAGATTGACATTGGAGGCGTTACACTGATCCGTGCAGCTGCCAAGAACCATGCTCGCGTGACGATCCTTAGCGACCCGAACGATTATGCTGAGTTCTTAAAGGAACTCGAAAGTGGAGAGATTAAGGAGGCAAGCCGTAATAGATATGCCCTCAAGGCGTTCGAGCACACAGCCGATTACGATGCCCACATCTCTGGCTTCTTCCGTTCACGATATGCTGGCGAGGGCCAACAATACTTGCCTCTTCGATATGGCGCCAATCCCCACCAAAAGCCCGCTGCGGCGTATGTGTCATCAAACAACATACCATTCAAGGTTCTTAATGGAGCCCCCGGCTACATCAACCTTCTTGATGCTTTGAACAGCTGGCCTCTAGTGAAGGAATTGAAGGCCACGCTCGGAAAGCCTGCGGCTGCTAGTTTCAAGCACGTCTCGCCCGCAGGTGCTGCCATTGGCGTTCCTCTAAGCGCCGAGGAGCGTAAGGTCTACTTTGTTGATGATATTCAGGGAATTGAGACTTCAGGGCTTGCCCAGGCGTATGCTCGAGCTCGAGGAGCCGACCGAATGAGCAGCTTCGGAGATATCATTGCTCTTAGCGATGTAGTGGATGTTCCTACCGCTAGCATCATCTCTAAGGAGGTCTCTGATGGTGTCATTGCTCCCGGATACGAAGATGCGGCCTTTGAGATCCTCAAGAAAAAGAAGGGAGGCAAGTACCTCGTACTTCAAATGGATCCCGAGTATCAGCCCGACCCGACCGAGTTTAGAACCGTGTACGGCGTTACCCTCACCCAGCATCGCAACGATGTGGTGATTTCTCCGGCTTCTTTTACTCGTACCATTACTCCGAAGGATTTTGCGCTTTCGGAATCTGCTGCTAGGGATTTGACCGTCGCTACGATCGCCCTCAAGTACACGCAGAGCAACTCGGTGTGCTATGCGAAGGACGGACAAGTTATTGGTCTTGGAGCAGGCCAACAGTCTCGTATCCATTGTACTCGTCTAGCGGGCGATAAGGCCGATAACTGGTGGTTGCGCTTCCACCCCCGTGTTCTAGGTATTAAGTGGAAGAAAGGCACTAAGCGACCCGACAAGAGCAATGCCATCGACCTACTGGTCAGCGGCGAGTTACCAAAGGGCGGATCGGAACGAGAGCAATTTGAAGCGGTCTTCGACGAGGTGCCGGCTGCCTTCACAGAAGAAGAGCGCAATGATTGGCTTAGCAAGCTAGGAGAGGTTGCCGTCTCCAGCGATGCTTTCGTGAGTTCTCTCCCCATTAGTTTTATCTTTCGTTGAATAACCTGCTAACCTTATCCAACAGTTCCCCTTCGTAGACAACATCTATCGTGCGCACAGATCCGGTGCCAAGTACATCGCGGCCCCCGGCGGTAGTCAAAATGATGGTGCTGTTTACGAGACGGCTGAGAAGCTCGGTATCGTCTTCGTCGAGCAGAACATCCGACTCTTCCACCACTAAAAAGGGGATGTCGTATGATAAAATGGCGTGGATTATTTAACATAACGGATGGAAGGTCGTGGCTGGGATAGAGAAAACCAAAAAGGAAGGGAGAACCAGAAAATCAAATATCCAGCTAACAATGGGAGTGTAGATACCCGCGGGATATATGTATGACAGGGGGCAAGTGGGTAGGAGGAACTCTTGATCTAGGAGTGTGATTTTTTTGTACAATCAATCGATGTTTCCAAACTAGCTAGTAGTATATCGATGCACGACTCTAGCAAATTATGAAATAGATGTGATAAATCCACGTAAATCTTGCTCTCATAGTAATATTGCAACACCAAGCCATATCAACCCCCCTTTTTCTATCATCGGGTTAGGATAGTATTGAAGTTCATAATTATACTGCATCGCCACGATATAGAGATAAATAAGTCAAAATGTTGATTCGGGGAAGCCTCTATTATTAGCATCTCAATCCTATGCCTTCTGGCCTCTACGGAATTTCATCTTGCGAGAGTGTTTTCCCGATATCATGTTGTCCGCCCAACCTCATCACAATCGTTAGCCTTTCTTCGTGGCTATGAAGTCGTTATCATGTATTGAGTGTTGGAACGGCGACCCTAGCTCCTAGTAGAAGAAGTTTACAACTTCTGCATGGCGGCCTATTTACGGAATTAGCGCATTGAACAAGGAGATTTGACGGGGTGAAAACTCACGATATCAGTAGACTGGACAAAGTCCTCGAATGTTTGGATCTCTTCCTCTAGGTCGCTAAGGGAGATCTTCTCGTCCTCAATGACAAGGTTGATTTGGAGCTTCTTGATACCGAAACCGACAGGCACCAGCTTGGAGGCACCCCAGACTAGACCATCCTTCTCGATTCCACGAACAGCGGCCTCCAGGGCAGCCATATCGGTCTCATCATCTAAGAATATCTGTTAGCACTAGAAATATGGTATTGGATGACTTTGTGTAACCATACCCCAGGGCTTGACGTCTAGTGTGACAACAGACTTAGCAATGGTCTTGGGCTTAGCGTCCTTCTTCGCCTTGTAGGCGGCTAGACGCTCCTCACGGACACGAACAGCCTCGGCATCCTCTTCCTCATCGTCACTACCGAATAGGTCGACATCATCTTCCTCTTCCTCAGCAGCAGGTGCCTTGGCAGGGTTTAGGGTGGCAGCGGTCTCGTCGGGGCCGTAAACGCTGTAGGGCTTAGAGGCATCACCCGGCAAAGTGGCGAATTCGTCCTCGAATGAGGCGATGTGCTTATACCATCTCGCGGCGTTGGGGTACTTGGCGGACTCAGGAGCAGACTTGATGGCCTTGAAGACGGCGACATCGGCCTGCGAAGGAGCGTAACTTTTATGAGTCAGTTCAGAATCCTTCACGTATTTCGGAGAATTATGTGGTAGAATTTAGAAAACCGGTAGGTAGTCGGTAAGATCAGAGATGCACAGAGTGCTATTGTATATGTCCTCATTAACAGGTCTTGAGTCTGCTCAGAAACACGGACCAATGTTTCTCATCATGGTAAGGGGTATTTGGGCTCATAGGGGGCTTTTCGTATACGAAGGCGCGAAAAACCGTTACATCAAGGCGTCGCACTTAACAACGGCGCTCGTGTCCTAATGACGAAGACGATAAATAAAATATGACTTACCCAGTGACGTATGATCGGGTAGTCAACCAGCCGTTAAGAACTAGATCGTCGTTAGCCACAGCCAAAATTCAGATGATGCCCAGTCAACAGATCCTGGTATATCTCGACCCCGCGGCAAGGACGTGATTTAGAAAGTGATTGAGAAAGAGAAACATACTGGCTAGACCAGCCTCGGTGAGAAGATCTGTGAAACCCATTTTATCCGACTAAAGTAGAGATCAAATGGTAAATGGTAAATGAAGGAAGAGAGTCCGTAGAAGAGATCTCGGGGTATCTTGGAAGAATTGAAAGCTGGTGAGAAGAAAATAGGAAGAATGTTGTAAGGTGGGGTTGAATATGGCGGGACTCGTTATTTTGAAATTTTTCGAGAAGGGTGGCCCCAAATCACCCGGTAACCAGCCACAATTACCCCCCACCCCACCACCCAATCTGCCTGCCCAAAAGGTACACGGTCCCCTTAAGCAACGGCTAGATTGCAAACAACCCAATTGACGCCACGATTCGCCACTATATACATGTAGGTACATGATGCCTGGTTTACTATCTTATCGTAGATCCTAATCGATAACAACAATAACTGGAGCTTGAAGACCGGAGCGTTAAAATGTTAGAATTTAGAAGCAATGGTTCGATAGTTCGAGAAAGCTCCAGCGGCAACGACCGCACTAGTTTGAAGCTCTCGTGATATCCAGAACCATTTCTAGGTTCAGGAGACCCTCTTCTTATGTAACCAGATTTCTATACAAGAGAAGTCTCTTGACTTTCTTAAACCAGTTTTCTTTTTTTCTTATTGTCCAATTCTCAGCCACCAAAAATTCTCACAATGCTTGCGAGAAGTCAACTTTTGAAGTCCTCGCGACGAGTCGCCGATGCGACATCGAGGGGACTTACACGACTCAACACAGCGCCTTCGCTACTTTCTAGAGCTGCGCTTATTAGCACAGCAAAGCACATTCCAAATGTCACTCTACCTGCTCCCACATACCGAAGCTATGCGAATGGTAGACCTCAACCACCCGGTGGTACCCACCGAATGAATATGAGCGGCGAGCCCGAGAAACCTGCTTTAGAACAATTCGGTATCGACCTCACCGCGAGAGCGAAAGATGGCAAATTAGATCCTGTTATTGGCAGGGACGCCGAAATTCAACGTACCATCCAAGTCCTTTCGCGACGAACGAAGAACAATCCGGTCCTAATCGGAAGTGCGGGAACGGGTAAAACCGCCATTCTAGAGGGTTTGGCATTACGTATAGTACGGGGTGACGTCCCGGAAAGCATAAAGAATAAAAGGGTTATATCGTTAGACTTAGGGTCACTCATTGCTGGTGCTAAGTTTCGGGGTGACTTTGAAGAGCGATTAAAGAAGGTATTAACCGAGGTCCAAGAAGCCCACGGAGAAGTCATATTGTTCATCGATGAACTACATACTCTCCTTGGGCTTGGAAAGGCTGAAGGTTCTATTGACGCTTCAAATCTCCTGAAACCAGCTTTATCAAGAGGAGAACTGCAGTGCTGTGGTGCTACCACTCTTGCTGAGTACCGATTGATCGAGAAGGATGTGGCATTGGCTAGACGGTTCCAGCCGATTCTAGTCAATGAGCCTACAGTGGAAGACACAATCAGTATATTGCGAGGTATCAAGGAAAAATATGAGGTACATCATGGTGTCAGAATCACGGACGGAGCTCTTGTAGCAGCCGCGACGTATTCGAACCGTTATATCACCGATCGTTTCCTACCTGACAAGGCCATTGATTTGATGGATGAAGCTGCAAGTTCATTACGTTTGCAACAGGAGAGTAAGCCCGAAGACATCATGAGACTTGATCAGAAAATAATGACTATCCAAATCGAGCTCGAAAGCTTGCGAAAAGAAAAGGATATAGCTAGCCGTGAACGGAGAGAAAAACTCGAGGAAGACTTGAAGAAGTATCAAGAAGAAGAAGGGGCTTTAACGAAGAGGTGGGAGAAAGAACGAGGGGAGATTGATGCTCTGAAGAGGGTTCAAGGAGAATTAGACAAGGCCCGCATCGAACTTGACCAAGCCCAGAGATCTGGAAACTTTGCCAAGGCATCTGAACTACGCTTCGGTGTCATCCCAAATCTCGAGAAGAAACTTCCCAAGGACGGCGAGCAAGGTTCTTCAGCACAAGGCCCAGATACTCTAATCCACGACTCGGTCACGGCTGATGATATAGCCAATGTCGTTTCGAGAATCACCGGAATACCTGTGGCAAAGCTTACGTCCGGACATGTTGAAAAACTAATACATATGGAAGATACACTTCGGGAATCGGTCCGTGGACAAGATGAAGCTCTCAAGGCCGTCGCGGATGCCGTACGTATGCAACGAGCCGGCCTAAGCGGAGATAATCGGCCCCTCGCCTCATTCTTTTTCCTCGGACCTACCGGCGTCGGTAAAACCGAGCTATGCAAGAAGCTTGCCGCATTCTTGTTCTCGACCGAATCAGCAGTTGTGAGATTCGACATGAGCGAGTTCCAGGAGAAGCACACAATATCAAGGCTTATCGGCGCCCCATCCGGATATGTAGGTTACGAGGACGCCGGCCAGCTTACCGAAGCTGTGAGAAGGAAACCGTATGCGGTCCTGCTATTCGACGAATTCGAGAAAGCGCATCGCGATATCTCAGCCCTACTCCTTCAGGTCCTTGACGAAGGTTACCTGACCGATGCTCAAGGCCACAAGGTGGACTTCCGAAATACTATCATCGTTCTCACGTCTAATCTCGGCGCCGATATCCTCGTGGGCGCCAACGCACATCACCCGTATAGCGAGACACCCGACGGTGAGATTAGCCCCGATGTTCGTAAAGCCGTACTCGACGTGGTCGGCTCTAGCTACCCGCCGGAGTTCCTCAACCGTATCGACTCATTCATCGTCTTCAAGCGACTCACACTCGACGCTCTACGGGACATCGTCGACATCCGGCTACGTGAACTCCAGGAACGGCTCGACGACCGCCGCATCACACTCCAGGTCGGCGACGAGGTCCGCAACTGGCTCGCTGAGCGCGGGTACGACCCTAAGTTCGGAGCAAGGCCCCTCAACCGTCTTATCACCACCGAAATCAGCAACGGCCTTGCTGACAAGATCATCCGCGGAGAGCTCAAGAGAGGCGATCGGGCTGTGGCTCGTGTTAAGGAAGATAACACCGGCCTAGAAGTCTTCCAGATCCCGGCGCAGGCGGAGGCAGAACAGCAGACTGAATCCGGATCTTCGTGATTTACCTGTGTGTATTCAGAATATGGCGTTAATTGGTCCGCAAGGAATAAAAAAGGGAATTGGGGTTTGAAAGTAAAAGGTATTCAGGGGCTGTAAAATATGGATGTGCGATGATGCACTGGTAAATGATTGTATGATGATGATTATATATACCTAGGTGTACAGGACCTCTCGTCTCAGATTGTATATACTGCATATATTACTACTTAGGTGTTTAATGTTGATATTCCACTCGAACTAAACAACCTGTGACTGCTTCTTAGGACGAGTATTACTTAAGTTATATGGTTTGGCATGTATCAAGTTGAACCAGATATGAAAATCCCGTTAACAATTTTTTATGTATTATTTCATCTTTTCTAGAAGTTTTAGAGGATAGGATGCTATGATATATAACCCAATACAAATGATATCCCATTTTCCCGACGCTGAGTCTCCATGTATATATCCTAATAACCAACCCTTTCCTTCCATTCCTTTCCTATCCTATCCTTTGCTTTGATACAAGCTATGCATATCCCATGCACAAGACCCAATTCCGTCCCATCCCATCCTACAAACGAAAGTTATGCTGACCACCAACTCAACTCAACTCCGAGCCAGCCCACGCTATACCTATGCTTCTTCACAATGCACCATGCAACTCGCCTCACACCTTGCCCCCATCCCATAACAAAAGAAACCATCATCACAAATGCGAAACCGCAGTCCCCGGCCTACTCCTCCCCTCGCCAACACTAAAATCGCCACTAGACCCAGGCCGCGAGCGAATAAGCGCGGACCTTAAACTCAGCGACCCGAACATCTGCTCATGGAAGCCGAGAACGCCGGCGCTGCCGAAGGAGCTGCGCTGGGTGAGAGGGCGGCTGGGCGGGGACAGCTCCGCGTCCGAGTCGATGTCGGCTTCGGATGGGTCGGGGCTCATGTCGATTTGTAGACGTGGAGGATTGGGGTTTAGACTGGGGATGGAAGAGTTGGGGTTGTCGGAGCCGGAACCGGAGGTAAGAATGGGGATGGGGTTCGGCGGACTGTTGTTATTATTAGGGTTGTCGGAGCCTGATTCGCTGTGCGAGGGGGAGGAGATCGCGGGTGGGGACGAGAATGTGAAGTCGGGTTTGGATTGGGCGAAGGAGTTCGTGGTGGATTCTTGGAACTCTATTCCGTTCTCGTTCTCGCTTTCTTCCGTTTCGGGTTGGGAGGGGAGATTGGGGAGTTCGGGTTCGGTGCTAGGAGAAGACTCGCCGCTTTCTTCTTTCAGGCTTTGGGTTTCGACTTGGGGTTTGCTTGGACTTGGAAGTTCGGATGTGAACGCATCGGCCGTGTCAATTTCTGTCGTAGAGGCATGATGGATATGCGTTATAGAAGGGGCAGATGACGATTGTTGGCCGAATGTCTGGTCGGCAAGTTCTATGATACTCTTCGACGGCGCGTTGCTAATCGCAGGAATGGAGAGGGGACTTTGGTCCTGAACGGTTTGGCTCACACGCAATGGCGACGAAATTACTGGCCTTGCATGTCGAAGAGTAGGTGAGGGGAAAGGTTGGCTCTTCCCGAAGTCCTGATGAACATCGATACCCGAATCTCTGGCCTCGTCATCGTCGCTGTCTATAATTGCATTCTTCGAGTGGTCCACGTCGGGGCTAAGACGGTGTTTCTTAGGAGTAATCACTATAATATCTAGTTAGTAATCATCGTTGATCGGCAAATCCGAGAAAGACATAAGGGGAGCGGCCGGTTCCTTGGAGGTGTCACTCGGCAACGGCCATGGATACGCGGTCATTGTTCTGATGGAAAGGCCAAAAGGACAAGGATGAATATTGGGATGAACCTACGGAGGCTACTATCAGGGGAAGAACCATCACCGAAGACTAGGCTAGGAGTCGAAGAGGCAATCGAAGGCTCGTAGGCTGGTTCCTCCCCGGAGTTTGTTACGGCTGGCTCCTTTTCTTGGGATGCCATTGTTTCATGGGCAGTGTTCGGGCGGGAAATCCGTGCGGCAAGCTGATGCGGTACATTACCACCGAGAGGCTCATCGGATATAGCCTGTATGATTCTCTTCTCGTGGTCCTTGTCTAAGCCAGCGCCTTCAGATTCTACATAAGAATCTAGATCTGGCACTAATGGAAAAGCTCGAGCACCTGTCTCTGGGATGAATATGGCGGCCGAAGCACTGGATGATTTCCTGGCAGGTATAAATGGTCGACATCTGGTGGGAGATGGAGGTACGGAAAGTTCTCGTTCCTCGGGAGCATCAGGGTTTGCAGCTTTGCATGCTAAGTTGTAGTCTTCTGCCATCCCTTCTGAAATGGAGGTAGCAGCACTAGTTTCCGGGTGTTGGTTTTCACAGGGAGAATCTTCGTGCTGCTCTGTAGGGACCCTGGAGATCGACTCGGTGGTTTCAAGCCCACTTACGGAGACAGAAACATCCGCATCATGAGTAGGGCTCTGTTCTAGAACGCCAGCTTCCGTTCGAACTGTTCCGGTCTCTTCATCTGCATCATCGAGCGTTATGGTGTCTTTGCAAATCATTGCAATGTCCCGCTCAACACGCTGTTGTAACCGGTCTAAGACGAAAGCTTTCGATCTGCGAGACTGCTTTGCCTTCTTTTCTGTCGGCTCAAAAGGTTCTCGAGCGACGAACGTCTTATCCAAAATGAAATGGCCCCGTTTGTGAGCTGTCATTCGGACAGATATGGCGTTGCCCCGGAGTATGTCTGTGATGCCAGCTTGGATCCGATCCAGTACGGCCTCGATATTCCTCTGGGAAAATGACTTGGAGGAATCCAGAATAAAAATTAGTGGCTCTTCCAACGACCAGCCATGTCCACGAAGTTCTGTTATCCTGAATTCCAGGTCGTTCATTCGATTAATGATATCATCAGTAGCGTCTCGAACATGAGCGAGAGCAGTTTCTACTTTGTTGACAAATGCCATACATTCTTGGGCATCAGAGTGGAAGGAAAGATTGCTGTTGCAGTATATAGTTCTCTCTAAACGAGGGAACTGGGGCCCTAGGTTGTTCATGACAGAAAATTGCAATTCTAAGCCGTCATTGTCATGATGTCGACAGTCTTTGCACCCGTCTAGGCTAACACAGAGACTATGGACCTTTTCAAAGGCTTGTCTTTCTGATCTCAAAACGCCTTCCAGGGCGTACGATGTTTCGAAGAATAAAGTTTCTATCCCAATCGAATTTAGGGGTGCAGCCTGGGCACTGTTCACTTCGACTGTTGTGTGCCATTCGGACGGTTTCCGGCGTTGGCATCGGCTTGTGAACGAGAAGGCAACAGTGTAACCAGGAACTAACTCGAAAGATTGTGACTTTTCAAGAAAATAGGAGCGTGGTACGCATGACATGGGCTGTACACGACCGGCGCGATGCGGGAATTTCCCTTGATCATCTAGCGGATCATCTCGTACCGGACCGTCTTTCCAAACAAAACCTTCATCATGCTGTCGCAAGAAAAGCCCTATTATATGATGGGTTGATATGATGACTTCTCTTGCAGCTTCAACTGATAAGAGTTGCTTTTGGTAGGATTTGAAGGTTCTGGACGCCCAAATCTCAGACCAACCCCTAATGATATCGACTTGTATCTCGAATCTTAACGGTTTATCTGAACCACTTGCAGCAGCATACTCCATGGCAGTTGAGTCTTTTCGGGTAATTAACTCATGGCAGCAGTGATCAACTCGCCGTAGCAGGCCCTGGCACATTGCCTCGGTGGCCTGCAACGACGGCGATGCTTCATAATTTCGAGTGTATGAATAGTTCAGGGGCTCATCAAAAGTGATGGTGACCTGAACGGCGAGGTTCGCTGTCGCGGGCAGAGAACTATGTATCGATTGGATTGGCTTCGTCGACTCAGGGGTCAGAAGGACTTCGGAGGTAGAAGTGGGTTCGGGCATAGCGCCTTTGGCCCCCTTCTTCTCACGGCGGTGGATCCTGAACCTTTTCATGTCGTTAACAAGGGTTCTGAATTTGGCAGGGAGAACCCCCGACTTGGGTCTGCGTTCTGACGCATCGGAGGCCATTATAGAGATCCTCTTAGGGGAGACAACGAACGAATGAACAATTCACCATGTCTAGCAGGGTGGGTTAATAAAAGAAGAGGACGAGACAAACATGGTGTATGGTCAAGAAATAGGACATCAACACTGCCCAAGCTTATCTGTGCCGGTACTCGCGGTTGCAATTCTAACATAGCACTCATAACATGCCACATATTACCATATATTACGAGGCCCACTATCCCGGCTTGCCATGAATAGCCATAGCCATTCGTAGGAATGCAGATGGTCTGATTGGGGGGATTGCCATGTGGGACTTTCGGTTGTTTTCAGTAATTGACGCTCTGTTATCAAATGGAAAGTAAACCATTATGACGATTTATGCCTGGACCAGCTTGGACCAGCCGGGCAGAGTCGGGAAATGCGGGTGAGATAGAACGGGATAGACAAAATTTGAACAGATTGATCGATCCAATCAGCAAAATGGCTCCGAGACAACGCAACAAGTAAATAATACGGCGGTTCCCGGTTGGCTCAGTCAGGTATCCATACGACGGTGGGCTGAAACGGGTCATGCACAGCCCAAGTTCCATGCAGCTCAAAACAAGTCGGTGGCGTGACGGCGTGACTCCCATTCGTCCGATTTGACGCTTTGCTGTTCTGCCATTATTTGCAGTACATTAGCACACAATTTCCCCTCGATCATGTTGAGATACAGTGGAGAGGATCCATGATGGGATCCATCCCAAGTCGAAAGTTGCGGCTGTTTGAACGAATTACATTCCAATCATGTTTTTGGAAGAAACTAGAAAATTCAAAATGTTCGGTACTTACATACATACATATGTATGTACGGGGCTACGGGGCTGTGGGTCTCGATCCGATGGAGCTTGTGGGTCCTGTCCCGGTTACCAGAACCGCGGGACGGTGCTCAACTCAAATAATTACAAAGTTGCAACCTTCACAGTCCCGTAATAGGGGGTGTAAATTGTCGTTACATCGATTTAACATATCATGACTTTTTATATCCGAATCTATTCTCTAGGAAAATATACGTACTTGCGATAAATTTATTCGTAACAATATTTCGAGCTTTGATCTCGCCATTTATTGGTAAATTTGAGGCTCAACTCGACCTATCAATCTAGGCTTGACAAGTCAGGAAAGAATGACTGCAGTCAAATTACCACGTGGAAGTATCTTATAGAAGAAAGAAACAGGAATTTATATCATTTAGATAGTTAGGTACTGTAGAGAATAGTTTTGTTACTTGGCTCGTATCGTTCTATGGCACCTATAGCACCTAAACTCTAGAGTATTATCATATATCATATATCACATACCTACTACTTGGTCCTTAGTAACTCGGCTTACGCCAACGCGAACAAGTATCATAACCTACTATTCCCTACCAATTATCAATCACAAAAATAGAAAATTTGACAGATTTAAGATGAGCAGTGCAGTTACGTATGCCTTAGCTGTTTATCTTAAAGGGATCCTGCATCAAACACCTGTTTGTGCGTAAAGCCAACAAGACAAACGGGATCAAAGAAATGATGAGACATCAATTAAAATACCAATAAACGTTTGACTAAAATGATTTCATTTTTATAAGATACCTAGCTATCTACTAGACTCCGCTCGGCTGCTGGTCTTCGATATGTTGGATAAACTTAACGATAGATACAGAGGCGGCGATAAGTGCGGTGCAAATTGAACGTGCGGAATCTTGCCAGCCATGACAAAGTCAAAGTCGAAGTCTCACCGAAAAGTGGTATCGCAGTGGGACGAATACTTCGGAACAGGAGACCTCCAAGCCTGGCAGCAACTCATGGATGATCTGGGTATTCCTGGAACCTTTAGGAGCAAGACGCAGTGCCGAAAAGTATGGAATCCTGAACTTGCATCCCCTAATCCATATATCTAACTTCTTATAGGCTTTGCGAAATGTCTGGGTGAATATTGTGGATTTCCTCCACGATGTTAGAGAAGGCCGGCAACCACATCTCTTCGAGTCCCAGGCCGAACTTGGTCGATATACGCGAAAACATAAGAAGTTCTATCCTAAACGGGAAATACCCAAAGACAGCCCGCTTAAATCCCTGTTGGCCATGGTTCGTTCATATTGAAGATTAGTTAGAGTCGGGCAAGCCGTGGACTCGGGATGGATTTGGTGGATTTGGTGCTACAATGCGCAGAGATGTGAATAACAGTTGAATTGCGGCGGATGGTTGTATCTCGTAATCTTGTCTAGCCTCGAATCTCCCATAATCTAGTCTTTCCTCCATCATTGCCAACAGCTAGCAAGTCACTCTTTCTCCCAAATGCTACACTTGATATTCTGCCAAGTGGTGTCTGCTCTGTTGGCCAGTTCCTGTAGACTGTGCAACTTGGCAAATGTGCTAGTCTCAACGCGTCTTTCTTATGTTTGCTGCCAAACGCCAGTAGTTGCCCGTCGGGACTGAACGTGAGGACGGTAACCGGGGTTGTAAGTTGCATCAACCTTCGAGTCGGTTCGGGCCGTTCTTGGACTTCTAATTCTTCGTCTGAAGAAGGTAATACCAAGGCTTGTCGATCGTATATGTTTGTTACACCACTATTCGAACCGATTGCTACCCATCGATCCTCACCAAGTACCACGGGGCCACCATGGCCTCCTAATGCCATAACTGTCCCACCGTTGGAACCTTCATCCTGCCAAATCGCCAGAAAGCGTCTCGCAGCCATGCTCCACTCACCAACCTGACCTCCTTTGCCCAGGATTGTGAGGCCATGACCATTACTCCACCACGAGAAATCTGCGATACCACCTCGACTATCGAGCCTGGCAGCAGCAATCCATTGCATCGTAGCGACATTTAGGATATTGATGATACCACCGCCTTTTCTTGTCGAGGCAATCAACCCTAGGTATTGACCACATGGGCTCAACTTGAAGCGCTCCCAAGTTCTTTGTTCTAGTCGATGACCTTGTATTTTGTTCGTCTTCTGTATCATTCCGGTCGCCAAGTCCCACGAATGAATATATCGGCGCCGTCCAGCGAAGAAGATTTTATCCCCAGCAGGATACAGAAATTCCGCTCTCCGAACCGGAACCTGTTTAACTTGTACTGATGTCAAGAGAGGGTTTGGCGTTGGGTGAGCAGTTGGTGCCATATGATGTAAGTGCAGCACGGAGGAGGTGCTAGAAGACAGCAGGACAGGGTATTCTGGGTGGAATGCAAGAGATGTGACTTCGTCTTTATGCGTATCAGGTATATCACGAGATCTTTGAATATCAATAACCTCTGGACGAAGTTTCCTCGATTTCTGGACCTTGTTCTCTCTCAAGGAATTGGCGTCTCGGAGGAATTTATCCAGCGGTAGCGCGGAGGCTTCTGCATCTCCTTCATCATCTGCCTCATCCTCTGATATGTCCGAGTCGTCTGCTGCGACAGATGATCGTCTCCGACGCTTCGCCGGACGTTCCTCAGTCTCTCGTGCCCATGCAGGGAGAGGATTGAGGCGCAGGTATTGTTGTCGAAGTCTTATAGTATATTCGGTGCCACTTATCACGTCCTCTGCTTCGCTAATCCGTAGCTTTCGCAATTGGGTTGCATCCGCCAGTGATATAGTTAGGCGCTCGTCGTCGCTATCTTCCCAGGCGGGTTTCTCCTTGCTAGAAACATCTTGGCTCTTAACCGCTGGTGTTACCATAAGATCTTTATTACCACTTGGAGCGGCTCCCCCCACGTCAAAAGTGAAGAGGTCTGCATCGTCCACATCCTCCAAACCAGACTCGGGTTCGTTTTCTTCCTCGTCGCCGAAGCCTCGAAAGAGTGTATTCGCATTGTTCTCTCTCGAATCGTCCAGGAACAGATTTTCACGGAAATTAGCTGTATCTCCAAGCACAAATCTTTCAAGTTCCTCTTCGTCCGAGTCTTTATCGATCACCTGCGCTCGTCGTGTCTGCTGTGTGGGTTCATTGTCACTGGCAATGTCGGAATCGTCGTGACCGGAAGACGACGACGATGTGTGGTCGTCATCTTCCATTGTATCTATTGGATGTCTCGGGGGTATTGGAGGCATTAGCATTCACGAATTGGATTTATGTAGTAGAATTGAGTATAGCAAAAATCGGAAATTCTATTGTAGCACCGATTGAACTTTTTTTTTTCGGACTCCCAGAAGCTTTGCATGTGCCCCACTATCTAGCGCTACCACCCCTGCTCCGAGGTACGTACTGTTCTGTACCTATCAGCATCAATAAAACTTGAAGCCACCAATATTTCCCATCGAAATGAGAACATGTGCTTTTTCATCCTGCTGTTCAATAAATCCCTCTTATTGCAGTTGAAATGATGCCATGAATGGTTTTATATCATGAATGCATCGAAGTCAACCGAGAATGATTAAACCACGGCAGCTTTTAGCTCATCCCTTAAGATACCCAAGTCTTCACTTACAGACTGAGGGCTCCGAAGTGTGAGGACGGCGCCTTTCTGAGCAATATTTAGGATATTCTCGGTCCTTCCACCCTGTGCTAAACCCGCAATCAATACTCCGAGGAACGTGTCACCAACTCCATTCACGGAGACGATGTTTTCCACCTCTTCTATTGCCGGGAATAATCTCATATAGACCCCTCCAACATCTGGATGGTCATTAAGACATCTTGAGAGGATAAACTTCTCATATGCCGGATCCAGAAGGCGGGGATCGCCCCTCTTCAGGATCGTTGCCATTAGAGCGCCACCACTTCCCATCTTTGTTATGATAGTAGGGATGTATGGAAGAAGTTGGATCACCTGCTGCGGAATACCGTCATCTGTCATGTCAGCAGAAGTAAGCTTGATAAACCGATCTCTCGCCCCTCTCATGCCAAAAGCGTCTATAATCTCCCACCACCGTTGGTTGTCGAAGTATTCGTGTCGCTGTGCAGCTGCGTGCATTGCTGCCAACTCATATTGATTGGGCGTCGCTAAGTCGACACTGGGCTTCGGGAAGACACCCAGGCTCTCCAAGTCCTTTTCATTGCAAAATAGACGGCTAGACTTCTCTTTCGACACAGGCTCGAAAGCCACTTGGGCATCGTTGTCTTTGCCAGCCCGTATCCAAGCTCGTACATCTCTGTCTGCCCAGTTGCCGTCAACTACCAACCACTTGGGCTTCGACGATCGTATTGTAGAGTTCCAGTGCTCTGGGAATGAGTGAGTTGCGAAAATTCCCATATCTGCCATACCTAGGATTAGATTCTTATTAGCATCATTGACCGCCACGTACTGGGCAGTCCGACTAGATGGATAATGCTCGCGGCTCAATTGCCTGATACATGATGTGTCCATGCCACTTGTATGCAGGGAAGACAGTATAGTTGAGCCAGCACTAGATCAGTTAGCGGTTGTGTTACTGATAGCTGTCCATCGCAACTCACAGGTCATCACCAATCATACTACAGAGTCGTACTTTGGGACTTTGCATCGCTCTTTGGGCCGCAAGCGCCACGTTGCGACCAACGCCACCTATAGATTGGCCAATATGTGCTGGGTTTGATGTATGTAGATGAGGAGCGGGATGGTCTAAAGAGTCTTCGCCGACATAATCACAACTTAAGTCAACAGCAACAGAACCGGCAACTAAGATGTCTGCCTCAGAAATGACCTACAACTGTCAGTATAGTTCAATATCATGGTCATATCCGCAAGAGGAAATATCAAAATTCGTAATCGGCTCGCAATGCTAAGATATGGCAGGATTGTGGATGCAATATAGGCAATCTTACATCAGTCTCTTTTATTGGCTTGTCTATCGGCGTATTCTTAGTTGAAAAGCTGGGTTGTATCTTCACCCTAATCCACACGCGTTAGATCTAGAGATTACAGTAAAGGGGAGCTCAAGGCTCACGATTTATTAGACGACAAGGCTTCTCCCGCGATAAGTCGAGAAAGTGCAGTGGCTATCTTAGTAGCTCGTTCTACATTTGCCTGCACCAAGGCTTTGTTTGCTGGCACACTCCTTCCTTGAGTGAGTGCCCTAATCCTGTTTAAGATAAAGGGTGTGTTTTCGTTGCCAAGAGCTCCTTGTTGTGTTGACTCGTTGACAGCTTGCTCAATAATAGCATCCATTTCACTCCGAGGGATAGAAAATTCCTCAGGTATCGGATTAGCAAATAAGAGACCCGACTCAATGCCTAATCTCTCTTGTGCCAAGATAATAGAAGCCGCCTGTTCCTCGTCGTGAACAATGGACGGGCTCTTGGTGCCACTTTCTCGTGCCCAGAATGCAGGGAAATCAACAGCGCCTGTCCGGCCATCGGCGAAAGTCGACACGAGCACACCTTGAGTTTCCAGATACTCCAAGGTCCTAGGAATATCCAAGAAGCCCTTGCAGCCACTGCTGATTACTGCCATCCTCGTACGGCCAAGCTCGGTAAGATCGGCAGAAATATCAAATGATTCGTGCCCGCCACGGTGTACGCCACCAAGACCACCCGTCCCAAAAACTCGAATTCCAGCAAGCCTCGCCAGAATCATAGTGCCAGCGATGGTTGTCCCTCCGTGGATCTTATTACCTGCCAGGCCCTATATAAAAGAATATATTCAGAATTAAGCGCAAGGTATGGCATGATGTGTGATGATGGTAGATCAGCGGGGTTCAACACATACCATGCCAACTAGGTAGGCAATATCTCGTCGAGATACTTTCTTGGGCGAGCCTTCGACCATACGAGTGACTTCGTCGGGTAGGAGGCCAACCGTAGGTACCCCTCCCAAGATACCAACGACGGCAGGCACACCACCGTTGCGTCGAACAATATCCTCCAGGTCCAAATCATTACCTAAAGCTCCATGGGTATAAATGGTCGATTCAAGCGCGACCACGGGTTTGTTCGTAGCTAGTGCATCAGTCACCTCTTCAGACACTTTAAGTGTTCCTCTCAAAGCTGCTAATTGACTTTGGTTTGATACTTGGTTTAGCTTCCTTGAGCTTGAAAATAGCCTTTTGTGGGCAATGTGACTATAACGACCCCTAGCCAAGAGCCATGATTGATGTAGTAATCTCATAGTAGGCAGAGATAGATATTCCCGGTTGGTGTCTAAGAGGTGAAATGAATACTCTCGGGATTAAAGCGCCTAAGTAGATAGGCATGAAAACACTTGCATTAACCTCGATCGACCTGATTAGACACTTTGAAGTGTCACTGTATCAGAAGAACCAAATATGGTTATAGCACCCTGTTTTATATACTTATAGGTGGAATCACTATGTCTCCGGATCGGATGAGTTGCAGATGAGGTTGCGCCCTTCGGCGTCAACTAGTATGGTGAGAGAAGTTGGAATACGAAGATACGGAGACGGACTCCAGACCCCCACCTTGATAATGTACAAAGCTACTAGGTACCTACCTCGCACGAAAGTCCCACTTAAATCTGCAAAATGATTATGTAAGTATTTTATGTATTCAAGTGCCTAGTACATAGGTACATGTACCTTCATCCGATCGCATTTCAATCTGAAACCATCTTGGGCTTCATCGTCATCCTAAAACTCCCGTCTTCTCACTCTTAACTTCCAAGGGATGCAGTATTATGGCTGAATTTTCAATAAGTGAGTACCTATCACAATGGCCTATTGCTCACAGTCTTAATAAAACCCGGCATGCTATTCAACCAGGTTCAATTCTGAGAGGAGTCATCTTCAACCTTTTAAATAAGAGAGACATGCGCGAAGCATTCAGGTAATCGAGACATATACCATCCTTACATGCATTCATGCTATCTAGCTCCGTGGGCAGGGTTCCTAATAGTCCTATGACATCCTGTTCCATAGAAACTGCCAGCTTCTCTTAGCAACCGGGACAGGGTATACCATCCATAAACCCCGAATATAACATAATGGCATCCGGATCTTGCTGCCGCCTTTCCATTGCCTTACTCCTCTTCTATCCGTCTATCCAATAATAACAATCTTATAACTTATAGCTATATATCTGGTGCTCCCCACCTAGTGATCTGGTATCCCCATGTATTTTTCGGTCTCTCTTCCACTTTTTACAATATGCAAACGCATCTCAGTGAGATGCAGCCAGCCTAGATGAAACATCTAATTCATCCAATCTTTCTCCTCTCTCTACTCCTTCAAAGAGCTATAGCTCTCAATTTCACAATCGCAGGCGGCCAAATATTCACACCTGGTTTCGCCGTCCTCGATGCGCCACAGCCGGGTACTCCTTTGGGTGGAGGTAAGTCACCATGCCATAACTGAAAAAGCAAGAGTCAGGACCTAAGAAAATATTTACAGACATCATCGAGGTAGCACTCGACGTAACTGCCAACGGCAAATTACGTCTTCCTCCTTATGCCAATAACAGTCCCAGTAGGATTAATAATATCACTATCTTCCTCTACAGCTATGTCACAGGAAGAAACTTCACGATAACGAATGGAACGGCTTCGACCAACAATGTCAGCCTAGGAGATATTATGCAATCCGAGCCTGGAAGCACGGTCAAGCATGTCAAGTGGAACTGGCCAGACTGTCTGATAGGGGATGGGAAACCGACCAGCGCAGACAGCGACCGGGGGGCCTACAATGTCAGTCTACCAGATTATCAGAGTCTCGCTCACTTATGCCCAATTACTTACATACTAGCCAGATTTCTATTCGGCAGAACTTCCGTCTCAATGGAGGGGACCATTATACAGTCTTTGACGTCCCCATTTCCGTCACGAATAAGATAGATTTCACTGGCAATAATCCGCCTTGTGACCCGCTCAACAATCCTCTTCTCACGCCTGAAGAGATCAACGCGGATGCAGCTAACACTGTCGGTATCCTATTCGCGCCGGGAGATTCGACAGTTATCCAGCAACCTGATGCTGGTAACGATGATGGTAAAGACGGGATTGGGCCTGAGAAGCCGGAAGCGAACCCCGGCGATGGTCTTGGGAGCGGTGCCAATGCAATCCAGTGGACATCCACAGCATATTGGGTTTTGTTATCATCTGTTATTACCTTTTTCATTTGATATTATCTTACATTGGCATAAATTCAGTACAACTTGTACTCCATTACTGCTTCTGAGTAGGAATTCCTAGAACCAGTTACGTAAGGGAGTGAACAACTCAGCGTGGGCCAAAAGTCAATGACTTACATGCCAGCTTAATTATCCACTATTTGAGTAGTGTCCACTTAGTAACATCAATTCTACATTACTAAGATGCAACTGGCATGCCAGGCATATGTGTAGACTTAAGCTAGCTGAGGCATTTGAACATGTATACTTAGGTAAGTAGGTATGTACCTCGACTTCGTAACTTAATATTAAGACCGTAGAATGTCCTTCCAAACACTAAGCGATTTCTGGCTTACTCGTGGGTAAGAACAAAGGAAACGACTTGATTTGAATTTATAAAGACATTGATTCGAAATTAAGGAAAAAATCAAAGATAATGTTCTAAACTATATTAACTAATAACTATTACATCTGTTGAAAGTTACCCCTAATTACCTGGTAAGCCATGTTTCGTAACTGGACCTTTGATTTTTAATGATTCTTTGCCTCTGTTATCCTATAGAGTAATATATAAAGACGTTGTTTGGATACAATTGCTACGTGTTGAAACTCGTGCAAATTTCCAAAGTGCATTTAGCTCGACAAGCGCAGGCGCTTCCTAGGCATTTTTAACTAGGCTAAAGTATTCGAAATAAATCTACCTCGGATTAAACCAGTACCTAGTGCTTTACCTACCTCCTTGATAAACAAATCCAAAACCATGACGTCCAGATCGAAGATCGCGAAGAATGTCGTCGCCATAGGCAACTGTAAGACAAAGAATAAAACAATAAAAGAGGACAAAAAGACATCCAAGTTTTCTGCCCTGATCGCGAATAAATTTCTCAATCGTCTTCGCAAAAAGAAGTGGCATGTGAGTAGTGGACTCGATCATTGGTATAATGCTACATTATGCGCCCAAGCTTCATATGCTCTCAAAAAGCAATACGCTCAAAGACGTGGCAATTTCCTGCTCTCATATAGCGATACCAGTGAGACAGCTCTAAGCCAAAATGAAGAGTCGGATTGGGATGTAGACGAAGAACTTGAATCGGGCGAAGATGATGAAGTCTCATCTAGTTATTTTGAAGAGCCTTTTCGAAATGAGTATGAGACATACGAAATGGAGTTTGACGAATATTTTCCTCTTTATTATGGGGAGTCAGAGCCTGATGATTCTAAAGAAGAAACTCTGAGTAAGTGATGGGAACACGTTAAATGAAGAGCAGACTGATTCTACAGTCCTCAACGTGGATGCCGGCATCAACTGAATATCGTAAAATGCAGAAGCATTTCGTCGTAGATATTAGAATATACTAATTGGGCATACGTCCCAAGATTTGACTCAGTAATGTGCCTGTACATATTGTGCATGATTGAGTGATATGGATAAGATGCTGAAATGTATTGTCACGTGATACCCCGGACAACCACCACATCGGGGAAATCTTCGGCACACGTGACGAATCTTGTCCGCAGCAATGGCCAATCACAACGCACTATGCCCCGACCAAACTAAGGTTTATATATCGAAACAATATCTGTGTAAGGCATGGACCACAAGTGCCTTTCAATCGTGGGGTTGACGGAGGGCCCCTGTGACCCAATGGTTGAGAGTGTAGGTCAGTAAAAATTCCTGCCGGGCGAGATGGGTTTTTCGTAGGCTGCTAAGATTTCCCATCGGTGATGCGGAGAAGCTGGCGGTTCACGGTGGTTCGAGTACCACAGCTTCCATCTTTCAGCTGAGCTTTTTTGCCTTTTTTGTATTTTTTTTATCCTTCACCCAGGCTCTTACATGAGTTCATCTTCATGCTAGATACCAATGCACCGGTGCACCTGACTATGACATATTCCAACTCCTATTTCCTATTTCCTGTTTCCTATTTTATGGCTCCTAGCTACCTAAGTATATATCGATCAACTGATCAAAACGAACAATAAATATAATACAATTTACAAATACCTAATCCCTTGATTACAGTCATCTGGTCCGCTCCGCTTTGAATATAATTCTCGCTACATCAGAAAGCCACCCAAGAAATTGTAGTCTCGACAAAAAACACTCAAAGCTTCGGCTTCTCCTTCCTACCGCTCTTAACATATTTAGAGAATTCGCCCTTGAGTAGGAAGTCCGGGTATTTCATGTCGGCGTCAATACCAACGGCCATTCCCTTATTCCTCCAGTCGGCGCCGTCCACAACAAGAACCTCTCCGGATACGTAATTGGCCGCATCGCTGAAGAGGTACACAGTCGCATCTGCGATATCCTTGACAAAACCGAACCGACCAAGGGGGATGCCAGAGGCGGCTGTATTTATGTCTGCCCGGCTACTTGAAAGCCTCTCCATCCCCTCTGTCCCCCCAATACCACCAGGAGCGATGACGTTCGATGTAACTCCATATGGTCCGTACTCTACAGCTACTGACGCCATAATCGAATCGACCGATGCTTTCGCAGCCATGACGTGTGCCTGCATAGGCATCGCGGTATAGTGGAATGTGGCGGATACGTAAATGATTCTCCCTCCTGTCACCCCGCCTGGGCTCCCCTTGTTCCTTGCGGCTGATTCAATAAGATACGGTATTGTGGCCTTGACGGTGTTAAAAGTCCCAAGTACATCAATTTCCATGACTGTTTTGAAACCATTGGAGGTGAGGCCTGAAATAGGGGCTACGAAATTGCCGGCAGCACCAGCTCTGAGAACAGTTCTTGTTAGCCAAGCCATTTCACCATAAAACTGACCAAAGATCCTTACATAACATAGTCGATGGCGCCAAGCTCCTTGACACATCGCTCAGCAGCCTTGACTAGATCATCGGGCTGTTATTATTGTTAGTGCCTACGTAGATAAGTTACCGCGGACTCATGGTTACACAGACATTTCTGACGTCACAGCCGCCAATTCCGATGACCTTTGCGCCCTCTCTGGAGGTCGCAATATCTTTGGCAGCCGCATCTGTCTTCTCCTGGTTACGGCCGATGATGCACGCATTAGCTCCGAGGTGAACTAGAGCTCTTGTCTGCGCACTGCAAATTGACCCGGCACCGCCAGTGACGAATACGACACGACCATCTACATAGATACGAATTAGTCGCGCGGTCAATACATGTTCATTATCAAGAGGCTAACCGAAGATCCCTTGTTTCCATACATTGCTTACATATTCAGACGAAGGGACTGGCATGTTGGTAGATGTAAGTAAGGGTATATAACAGAGACAATATATTAAGAATATGTACGTATTTAAATAAATAACACCAAAAAATGAGAGATATATATGAGTATAAATATAAACAAAATATAGTTCCGCAACTTTGGGATGATAACTTAAAAATGACCTTGGTATGAAATATGAATGAATGACTGATAGACGAGTTCTTGCCGTGGAAAGCGATGTGACACAAACCTCGGCTCCTAGTGTTAAAGCTCCACTCGGAGTTACTGACGAATTATATTCATTTATAAGCGGAAAAGGGATAGACTAGTCCAGTCTTGCTCTAGCACCCGCAGTCACAGGCATCAATACCGCAAAGGGTTAGCCCAGACGGAAGTAGAAGCTTGGACCAATTACGTATTCCGGATATCGATGGGTCCCATTTACAACAGCCGTCATTTGAACTTTGCCCGAGAGTCATTCTTCGAGCCCCTCCAATCAGTCGATTTTATCGATTTTGTAAGGATAACTCATTGAGGTCAACACCTGAATCGTTCATTGTTATTTGCCCACATTAGGCGTATAACCGTTTGACGCCCGAACCCGACCAACCGTCATGTATTAAGTACATGATACTTAGTAGAGGTAGACATTCGCACACCATCTAAGATCTTTAACCACTCCATGCGACTTTGACCTTGACTCTCCGATAACCCGGATTCAACCTCATCCAACAGCATCTGGTTCAACATCTTCTACTTCTGCACAGAGGCCATGGCATCAAAAAAGGTGTCCGTCCTGAAGTTCGTAGGGACCATTTCCTTGGGTCTCTTGACAGTGAGTACTTTGATCCATTTTCCGAATTTGCCCCTCCAGTCCCTCCTCCAGTCCCCGCGCGAAAGGTCTACGATGAGCCACTTAAGCCCAGGCCATGCATCCCGACATACCCCCATATCTCATCGTCTTCTTTGTCTACAAGTTGGTTCTAATCTAATCATCAAATCATAGGGGACTTCATACACCATCTCGACCCTCACGATCCCGTCTCTCCTTGAACTACCTTCCGCCTCGGCCGCGGCCAAGGCCTTCCGATCTCTTGCATCATCCGCATCGTTCCATATCGACGCTCTGACTACCGTATCAGGCAGTGCCTTCCTACTCGCTTTCGCCTTATCGCCTCGAAACTTCAAGCACCCGTACCTACTTTACACGTCGCTGTTCTGCTTCGGCACTCGTCTAACTGATTATGTAACCCCGTCCATCTTCGGCGAGCCTGTCTCAAGCACAACTGCCGCTGCGCACCGACGTGCCGAGCTCAACAGGGCTCGCAAGGAGAAGCAGGCCGCGAAGCGTATGGAAGCTAGCTACGAACTTCTGGGTGAAGCGCACAGTGATGAGGATACTAGTGCTAATGGTGAGGAGTTCGATGAGGATTACAACGGCGAGGAGGTCCGCAGCGAAGTCGAGTTCTTCGTCAGGAATAAGCTAATACAGACGGCTGTCTCCGGTATCGGGTTCTTGATGGCTATTGTCGGTATCTGGGGAGATGGCGTCTCAGAGATGTACGTTATCAGGATCTAAGATGGAGAGAGGAGCCCAAGAGAAGGAATTCAAGTAGGGATTCAGCCGATCTGTTTCTCATCACTCATTATGGCACTAGGAGATGACATGGTCCAGTTATTTGGAGTTGGATGGGATGCTGTCTAAAGTCATAAAGCCACAAATATCCCGGAGTTAGGAGGGTTGTCTGCACCAGAGTTGTATATTTGCACTCCCACCTCCCTCCAAATCCCTCTACACACATATGGATGTAGTAACAAAAGACATGAATAAAAAAGATGGCATGGTACACGCATTTATTTCGGTATTCAGCATTATGAGATTATGTTCTCGTTGCATAGCATACTCTTCGTGGATCGGTGACACACTTGATATCATACTAGGAGCCCAACTTTATATTCACTAAGGGAATGATGCCTTATGAAGTAAACCGCTCAAAGACGAATCGTCGTTGAGAATACGATCTAGCCTGGACGCTAGTAGGTGACGTGGCAATAGGCTATACAACTCGGGTCAGTTACATAACATGGTGTACAGATTATACCATGTGAAGTTGATTCTTTGTGACTAATTATTCAAAACGTCTCTAGTTATTGCGGCTTAAGATTACTGGAAGCATATAAAACTCAAAGTTAGAGTGGATTCTTACTACTTATTCGGAAATAAAACGCCCGATTATTAACCCCAAGCATCGTGTTTTCATATGGTACCTATATGTCTTTTTTAGGGTAAGGCACGGTTTGAAACTATGATATATGATCGAATCCTTAAGTTAGATTATAGTATTGCTAGGTAGATATCCATGGATATTCATTATCATTGCTGTCAACCCCTTTATACCCCTTAGTCCACGCCTATAGGCCATTACCAAATCAGATGTACTTGAGACTCCCTCAACTACAGATTATAAAAAACATGTACCCATAAACAACCATCAAGTTCTAGAACCTCTCCGATACTACCATGTAAAGGCCACGCGACGAATGCCGCGGTCTCGGTAAAGTGCCAGTTTCTGGGTTCGTTTCCCTGAGAGGGCACGGAGATTACCAAACCTATCAGTAGCACTAGACCTATCAGCAATATAACCTCGCAGAAGCAGGATATAATTAGTTCCAAGCCCTGGAAATTAAAGTAGTTTATATACAGCCTACGGTTAAGTGAAGCTTGTATGACCACCGCGAATAACGGCTAAATACACTAGGTACAGACTCACCCCCCTAGCTGTTGTTATATATAGAGACCCTGAAGAAGGTCAAATCTTCGGTGTCCTTGCTTACACCGTTCTCTCGAGTGAGACTCTACGTAATTCAGACCGATAGAAGATAATCCAAAATGCGAGCACTCAACACCCTCCTCACCATCCCCTTAACAGGCGCCACCGCCCTCACCCTCCCCAACCACCACCCCCGGCAAACCGACTGCACCGACCTCTCAACCAGCACGCCAAACTGGCAAATCAACAACGCCGCCTCATCGGACTGGCCCGGTGGCGCCAGCGGTCGCGTCGAGCTCTTCGCACGACACCTGCCCACGCAAATCCTAACTGACTGCGACGTCGAATACCGGCTCGACGCGGACGGGAAGCTGGTCGACTACGACCCGACCGCGGTTGTCACATGCACGAACTTCGGGGGCAGCACGCTAAGCACGAACGTGACGCTGGACATGGACATGTTGCTGCTGAAGCTGACGAGCAGCTGGACGTGCGAGGGAAGCGAGGAGAGGTACACGGCGACGGGGGAGACGACGCTGGATCGGGATACGTCGCCTGGCGCGTGTCGCGTCGAGCCGTCGCAGGTGGGCGATGCGACGACGTGTCCGATTGCTGATGTGGTTGTTGAGGGGAAGTTGGCGGAGGCGTGAGGGGGATTTAGGTGGTTGGGGAGTGAGAGGAAGGGTGTTCGATGTTACGATATGGATGTTCCTTAATACAACCCCCTTTTATATAAACCAAAAATATGACAAGATTTTATCTTGAAGATCAATTAGTAACTGCGTGATAAACTTTGACCTGTTAGTTTTATTAAGCATTCAATCTGAAGGTCCTTGGTTTCGCTATATTTTTACATACGTACCTATAATTAGTGCTTAGAGTAAAGACTGGTAAATGTTTTTTAAGTTGATTTGGCCTTCATTCCCCTAGATATCATGGAAATATATCTTATGACAGAGCTGGATTATTAGAGGTTGTAGAGTGCATCATTGGCACTCACTATCAATATTTGTCTATTTCCTACTGATGTTAGCTGAGGCAAACCACCTAGACATTTCCCTTAAGCACCGTATACTTGTCTGTCATAATCGGCAACAGCGTAACGTCGTAAAATACCTAGTCAAGTGTCACAGGAAAAACGACAAGAGCGTAATACAATGGTAAGGCGGACGAGGTAAGACCGACTCTTGCCTCTCCGCCTCAATACCTGTCATTGATGCTACAGAATAAGCAATACATGCTTGCTAACATCCATCATGAAATGCCCCCTATAAAATGCAACGCAACAGGGTATCAAGCAGCCTTTGCAGAAACGCCTAACTGCCCTTCCTGACCGAAAAAGAGAAAATCAGATATGCTTGCAAACCGGACCAGGACCCGCCTTTTATGCCTTGTCTCGCGCCGTGCAACGGCGGTCCTTCACTAGATTCCACTAGGGGCGTAGTGTACTCAATCTTCCCATATTGTTTCCAAATCTAGATCGCCGCGTCGTTCGGCTCCGCAGACACTCCAGCGTTTGCGCTTGTCCCTAGTTCCAATGCCTAGCGTTCTTCCACGGATAGGCACGTCTAGGCCACCTCGCCCCTTCGACTCTCCGGAATCTCCGTCTTCCGCCGCCTCCGCCGCAGCTTTCAACTGAGCGATTCTGTCTTTGTCCGCCTCTAACGCAGCTTCCTCGGCATCTGGAGAATCGGGGATCGTCTCTAAGCTTGAAATGCTGGGACTGCGGGATCTCATAGAGCTTGGCGTTGACGGGATAGACGACGATGGATAATAAGAAGGGAAGGTGTAACTATTCGACAGACTTTCAGGTTTAAATAAAGGTGAACCTGCGGTGGCTGGGGTCCCGGGAAGAGACGAGGTAGTGCTCGGTATCGAGTAGGCCGAGAACCGTAAGGGCGAAGTCGTTCTTCGATGAGTTGGATTGGTCCAAGTCGTGACACCAGGGTTTGTGTAGTTACTCAGTTCAGAATGTCGCTTCTCATTCTCCAAAACAGTAGACCTAATAGGCGAGATGGGAGGATAGGCTTCATCAGCCGGCTTTCTCGGCGTTCGGTTTCTGTTGGGGGAGCTTGAAGGGCTCTCTAGACGAAATGGCGGGTAGAGTATTCGGCCTGAACCATCAACACCTGGCATAGAGCGTGTGCGGCCTGTGATAGGAGGTGCAAGACTGGCAACCGACTTGGATCGTGCATGGCCACCAGATAGAGGTGATGTGGTTCGAGGTCGATAGGGGAGAGCATTGGCACTTGTCCAAGATGGCGAGCTCGGTGATGGGGGCTCTGTCGATCGACGGACTGTAGGAGGTTTGCGATTGGGGTCTAGATCAGTGGTATTGATCGCAGCCGGCTGGTGTAGACGTAGAGTAGGCAGAGGAGATGAGCGGAACTCCTCCATTCGCTCGGTCTCAGGAACGGGTTCCATTTCCCTCGAGAGTGGCCTGGGCGGTCTACCTTAACTGCACCTTGTTTTCATAGAGTTGCTGTGTGATCTAGGACGATTTGTAGAAATGGGCTGTTAAAATGCCGGGATATAACAGTTGATGTTGGATGGGGAAATAAATTGTTGGTCCGTTTGGAGTAAAACTCTGGAATGTAAGTTTCAAAGTCGAGTCGGATTCAGTAAACGGAAATTCCTTGCAAAGTTGTAAAGGGAGAGACAAGGCGAATAGATATGTGACGGTAAGTTAGGAGTGCTGTGGAACACAAGCAGGGTAGGTCGACGGATAGAGAAATTGAATCTTATGCGGTCCGTATGTCGTACCGAGTCAGTTTCGAAGAGTCCGAGCTCCTTTGGTGACCTGGCTTGTTGGGGTTGGTTATGTTCGAGAAGTGCACGGGCGAAGAGAGAACGATTTGAGTTAAGGTGAGGGAAAGGTGTGAAGATGGAGAAGAAGATTGGACCGGTAACGGTGTTAATGGTGTTTTTGGTCCTTTAGTTGGCCGGAATGTTACAGGCGGTGGGTGAGCCCATTAGTATTGATACGGGCGACAGTGGACCTGGCATTTGGAGCCGAGACGGACAAGTCCGATGCCAGGGACGTGCAGGATTGCAGATGGAGATGGTATGGGGTGGGAGGCGAGTCGAATTATAATAAAACAAGATGTTCCCCGGACAGCCGGGTTCGGGAGAACGAAAATGTACTAAAAGAAAGTAGGGGTCCCTTTTATGATCCTTAACTGGCTGATGACCACGAAGCTTGCCTTTCTCGGTATCAAAGAGGGGGACGGAGACGGAGGAGATGGAACGGATGAGTGGATTGTGGATTGTGGATTGAAGATGTCTAGGTAAGTAAGGGTAGGTTAAAGTTGGTTAAGGTAATTGATGTACGAAGTCACATATGGAGGAGATCACCTGCATTTGGAAAAGGGTGGGTTTTTAGTTTGGGGCTTGAACTTTGGGGGTCCAACAGGTACCTGCCTACAGTGGTAGAGGTGGCTGCTAAGACTGCTAAATCCCCTTAGTGGATGCTGCGCATACTATCAAGGTCGGTCTAGCCTGCCTGAGTAACTAAAACGTCTCACCGTTCCACCACCGAGTAGTGTTTGATTGGCTCTTGATTGGCCCTGATTGAGCCCCACAGGTACTATCCCCTAATTCTAGACTGCGATTGTACTATGCGTACCAAAGTTGTACGTCCGTACCAACTTTCCATCTGACGCCTTGGCGCATATGCTCTTGTATGTGCATATGTCAATGACCAGCAAAAAGTTCATCTCATTGGTGGATTTCCACTTGGCAAAGCCGTAATACCCTATCGTTTCGAAAACCAATGCCCATTCTGGCGAACCTTCATGTGAATGTAACACAAGCAACGCAAGATCTAGAGGTTACTAAAGCCTTTACGCGCGGTTAGTAAACTCGCTTAGTACCGGGAATGGTTGGCCAGTTGACTCATTACGTTGGTTTATTCATATATATATATTTCAAGGCAGCATATATCTGAGTAAGTCATGGGGCGGTTTCTTTGTCAGGGACGAATAGGTGGATGATTGGTGATTGACACCGCCTAGAAGATTACTTAAGCCTATAATGGTGTTGCATGAGGATGATCGATAGGCCTGTAATATTCGTAATATTCATTTATGTATGTAATAGCCTGATGGCGTACCTATTAGGTCATGTCTAACCCGAATATATTGTAGATAAGCGTGACAGCATCAGATGAAAGTGATATCTTAGTTTTTCTTGCCAGCATCGAAGATTTGGCTGAATAGATAGGGATGAGGTAGTTGCCTCGAACTAAGATACTGACTTGCCTCGTAGCACTCATATAAATGAAATAGGAGGTACCTAGTATCAGTCATGCCTTTTAATGTGATACAATACTTTGTACAATGCAATCCGTAAATGAGCTGAGTGGGTCTATAAGATGCGCTAAAAGTTATTCAACTCGTTTGATGGGTGCGAACTTTGAAGGGTCAAACGAACGCTCGTATTGTACCTTGCCTAATTATTTAGGTGTAATAGGTACAAAGTCTTCTAGGATGCACTTACCGACCTACCGACTTCAGTCCATTCCCAGTTTAGTGGCGGCTTAGTGTTATCTGGCAATTCGACATGGGAAATTTACTGCAACCACAATTTTCTATACTACTACTACAACAGCCTCATATCACCAAACCCGACGACGAACACATCGTCGCCCTTTGTCGGCGTGATAGTACCTTGACGATTTACCGCGTTCTTAATATTATTCATCGCGAATATTCACTTCGATACCATTTCGATATTTCGATATACACGCCCTCGATGGCCCGTGCCAATTGGTGATTTCATTTTAATTCATCACGTTCATCACTCTCCTTTTACGTCGTCTTGAACCATTCTCTACCGTCCTCTTCCTGATTTGGAAGTTAATAAACAATTCACGATGGCGCGCCCTATGGGGCCGGTCCGCCTGCGTAGGACGAACTATGTTACCTTATTTATCGGCGCGATACTTTGCCTATTCATAATTTACTTTCTCTCCCACAACGGCTCGAGCTCGCAACCTGTCAGCGCGAACAGACCTCCCACCCGTAAACCCGTTGCGAAGTCTAGTCTCATCGGCGAAAGGCCACCTGTCCGTCGTTTTAACCTAAATAATGTTACAATTACGCCTGATCCCATTGGTAACCGAGAGGCCGTCCTGATTTTGACGCCGATGGCGCGTTTCTACCAAGAATACTGGGATAATCTTCTGAAACTACAATACCCTCGCGATCTTATCACCATCGGTTTCATTCTACCAAAAAATAAGGATGGAAATGCCGCGACAACAGCGCTACAGGCCGAGATTACGAAAACCCAGAAAGGTCCAGCAAAGGATCGATTCAGGAGCATAATCATTGAGCGACAAGACTTCGATCCTCCTCTAACATCGCAAGATGAAAGCGAACGACACAAAATGGCGAATCAGAAAGCGAGACGCGCTTCAATGTCCAGGGCACGTAATTCGCTGCTCTTCACTACCTTGGGAGCGGATACATCTTGGGTGTTATGGTTGGATTCTGATATTGTTGAGACACCTCCCACCTTGATACAGGATCTTGCGAAACACGACAAGCCTATCATCGTACCGAACTGTTACCAGAGATATATAGATACTGAAACCGGCAAACCAGCAGAGCGACCATATGACTTCAACAGCTGGCAGGATAGCCCAACCGCACAAGAGATCGGTGCTAAGATGGGACCAGATGATATCATTCTCGAAGGATATTCTGAGATGGCAACCTACCGAGCATTGATGGCATACATGGCAGAGAAAGAGGACGAAAGGAATTTAGAAGTGCCTTTAGATGGCGTGGGTGGTACTGCTTTACTAGTCAAGGCAGATGTCCATCGCGACGGTGCTATGTTCCCTCCATTCCCATTCTATCATCTGATTGAGACGGAAGGATTTGCAAAGATGGCGAGGAGATTAGGGTGGCATTCTACAGGACTGCCTAACTACAAGGTACTAATCTTCTACATCGATGTTGGTTGAAAAGACTTATTGGCTAACTTTACAATGCAGGTTTATCATTACAACGAGTAAACGAATAGGGGACGAAACAAGAATTGCGGCTTAAATCGCTTTTTGGTTATTACGAACCTTGTAATCTGTCACGAGTCTCGGAACGGTGCATTACGGAGATGAGGAGTTTATACGTGGCCGTATTTGTTTGCGACGATGGAACATGCGTTACTGAAACACGTCCACAGCCGTTACAGCCGTGGTGGAAAAAGGGGGCTTCCTGTAGATATTTATTGCAGCATCGCAGGACGGGGTTTATTGATTGCTTTTTTATAACTGTTACATCAGGTCAGGGCCTAACGGGCGTTATGACAATACAAGGAGTCGGGGCAAGAATTGCTCTAGGCGCGTTGGCGATCATATAGTTAGATGGGTTTCCTCCCTGTACCGTGTGAAGGCCGCGATGAAATGAATGGCGTATCGTCATCAATTTAAGAGAATACTTCGATACTATGGTCATATACTAGGGACAGCGGCCCGAGATCTCGCAATCCAACAAACGCCACCGTGTCTCATCCCAATTAACTACGACCTGACGACCGTGTCCCCTTCCAAGTGCAAGTGCAAAATATGTAGCGCCTTTACCTCATCATCGAGTCCTATGTTCGAGTTGGTTCTTCTTCCCCCCAGTTTGCCGTTCGTAATGATTATAACCCAATCTCCTATAATAATAGTAGGCATCGACTAACTCATCAATTCATCATCCCCTTTTCCCTTCTACCTTCTTAAATCTTCGGTATTTTGTAGCCCTAGGTAGATTCCGTATTTACTACCTTCCCTCATACCGTCCCGCTTCATCGCGAACCCAGAATTCGACGAGTCGCCGGGTGCCGAGGACGTCGCCACCGCGTAGTAAAGCTGCGACATCGACGTTGAGGGGACTGTCTGTTTCGGGGCAGCTTAGCAGCATTCGCACAGCGCGCACGCACTCTAGAACGCTGTACGCTGGCGTCCACGCTTCTTTCAATAAATCGAGACAGATCTCGCCGCTTCGGAAGGCAATGTTGGCATGCACGATTGGCGTCTCGAAGGAAATCTTGGGGGGTTGTAGGGGGTACGACGGCGGTACCGATATGTCGAGGAGCCAACGGCCTTCTATTTGTGAGAAAGTGAGTGAGTAGAGCGTTGTATTTACGTATGGTATAATAATTCATCACTCGTAGATTTGTATGGGGATGTATGGGAATGCTTGCGTAGCTGCAAAGGGATGAGAAGGGATGACGAGTTCGAACGTACCATCGTAACCAGATCCTACACCCCGTCCGTTGATGACGGCTTCCCAGTGCAATAATTCATCCTCACTCACTGGCCCCAGGCGTTCTATCCCCGTCTCATTCGGCGCCTCCTTCTCCCAGACGGCGAGTTCCTTCAGCAGACGTTTCGTCGCATTGAGTGGGGAGGCCGCCGACACGGACATATTATTAGATGACATAGGTTCTCACGACACGAGTAAGCCCAAACTTATTTCCTTTTCTTTTCTTCGCCTTGACAACGTTTACATAAATTTGGAGCGATGGAGTTATCGAAAGGGGTTGATGAAGAAATCTAAAGTTGGATCTATTCTGGAGAGATCTCGAGATTTCCAAGGGTTGGTTGAGATAGATACCCAAGATTTCCAAGATTGAGAGAAGACCAAGCTGGCCAAGCTACATGTATGATATGATATGGACCTAAGGGCAATAAAGCTCCGGCGCCGACAACTTGGTAGGTATCCAATTGGACTAGACAGGGATCCGCGTTCTCATTGGGTCGCGGGTCTGGTCCAATGTAGGCCGAGGCATCGCCTTGTGGAATACGTGCATTTAAACGAAGAATTGATTAATCGAATATATTGCTTTTGTTAGACAACATTCATTCTCTTGGCTCTACCATAATAGTATGTTGTCGTGGAGTGTCGTGATTAGCTTCCCTAAAGACAGCTAATCTGGTATATTATCTGCCACGAGGTGATATTATGTAAATGACAATGCCAACTGTTGTATGTTTAGTAGTACCAGATTATGTACAAATTAAATTTTAATACAAGACAAATGATTGATTAGGTAGTTATTACTTGAGGACGAGGGAGACAATATGGATACCCTCCAAATGGGTTAAGTATGTCGAATCACATTGCACCCAGAAATCTCAATAATATATCATATGCATAATAATGTATGTTCACTATTATTTGTGTACAAACCTGCATATTGAAATAGTCGGTTTAGGCGACTACCTATTTCTGCAGTAAATGTAGCGATGAACTCGAAGTTCTATGGAACATCTTCCTCAGATCCCTTTCCGCCCATATCATCCCTCCCCTTCGCGTGCTATGTCCAGAGAAAGCAGACACATCATCCTTAGATGATGGTATGTAATTTTTTTTTGTGCTGTCAGCCTATACGGCTATTCAGTTTCTTCATATTGTTAAGTAACGGATATGGGCTTGATTAAGCCCTAAAAACGGAACCGTGGTCATGATATGGCTCAAGGTGCCGTCATGCGTTCGTTAATAAATGATTGTGAGAAAATAAAAACCCTTGAATTTCGGGTTCTCGTGTACGCACAGAATGTCTGTTGCGTAAATAAAGTCGTAAGCGAGTGTTTCAAATACCACCAAGGAGCTGTCCATCTGTGTGGAGCTCGACTTCGTGGCAAGGAAAAATCCGTGAGAATACATGAACTTCATCGTATCCGTAAATGGTGTGGATTGAAGTAGAAGCAAAGGTGTCGACCGGCCTCGACCCATCGTTATTAACGATAGGAGCATCTAGCAAGAATCTAGCTATAAGCAAATTCCAAAGCACTCCCCCCCTTTAAGATTCAGTTGACCCTTTTGGCTTCCAAAACTGCATCAACCGACTAAAACGTCTGGTCTTGCTAGTCTTGGGCTTCTTCTCCGGTTCGGCGTCGAGGGGAACTTCCATGCTCAGCTTACTTCTCTCTCCGTGGGCGCTGCTAATCAGTCGGCTAAGGCTGACTAGACTTGACCGCCGACGACCAAACGCCGAGGAAGAGAATGAAGCGGGTCGTTGATCGTGGAATGGCATGTTTCTAGGTCGAACGCCAGGGTTGAAGCTGCTTTCTCGAGTCATAGTCGAGTTGCTGCTCGTCAAAGATGGGACATCGACCGATATTCGTATCAATTCAGGACCAGGCTCGCCCATCAAAAGAGAATGATAGTTGTGTTCATCATTAATAGATGATTGCGCGGTTGAGATTCTGTGCGCATCGTACGACATCGGGGAACGGGGGGAAGGAAATGACGACGAATAGCCTGTCGAGTAGGGAGTAGTCGGTATCGCCGGAGGAATTGGGTACGATGTATCGAGTGGGTCGACTTCGTAGCTGAGAATAGTACGAGGAGAAGGTGCTCCTGAACTAGGCGTTTCGGGAGTGCCCAAAATATCACTATCACGTCTAGACGTGACATAGCTGGGTTCTTCTATGATGACTTCCTCGTAAAGACCGCTGCTAGAATTCTCGGTCCTCATTCTGGAACCTGGTCTTTGTATGTCCAGGCTTGACCCGCTACCTTTACGTTTGGTCGAGGTGGGAAGGAGAGACTGGTGAGTGTCTTTTGGGCTAGGTTTATTAGGCTCATGTTCCTGGGTAGGTGTTGAGCTGGCGTCATCCTCGCTGTTGGAAGTAGAGTCAGAATCATCAGAACCATCCTGGGTTTCGGTGGCGGATGCCTCAGATGGAGTTTTCGCGCTCATATCCTCATCATCTTCCTCATCCTCTTCAAATACGTCGGCCATGGTCGAAGAGCTAGCGAATCGATGTATGCCGTTTCGAGCGGCTTCAAAAGGAGGCATTTCGGGAGCGCTCTCAGCACGACGGTGGTAGTGCATTCCTGGGCCACTGAATCCTCTCAGACCGGCGGCGCTATGGAGTTGACGTTTTGGTGGAGCACCAGCTTTCTGTGCCTCTTCCCACTGAAGATCACGGCTGGACGGTGTGTTAAACGGGCCAAGAGCAGCATCGAGATCAATCATAGGATAAGCTATATCGTCGTCAGACATTCGGCTAGGCTTTGCGGTGACTGGTTCGGTTTCTGATGGCGCGGGTTCGGTGACCGTAACCACAGGGGGTGCTGGAATTGAAGGGGTCGTTGGCGCTTCATACTCTTCCAAATCGCCATCATCCAGGTATTCGAAATCTCGGGTTGGCGGTGTTTGCGAACGACGGCGTAGAGATTTCGATTTTTGGCGCGACTTGGATTTCCTAGTAAGAATAGAGCCAGCCCACGATTTAACCTTTTTCTGCTTCTTCTTTCTCCCTGTGCTCCTCTTGCTGTCCGAGCGCGATGCAATACCATCAACAATTGGTCTTGGTTCAGATTCCCCCGTTGGATCTGCGGGTTCGATCTTCTTCTCCACTGTACCAGATGAACTCGAACTGGCTGATCTCGCTTTTGTAGGCGAGCTGGCACCAGCGAAGGGCTCGAGCCGGAAGAATGACCACCTTCTAGGCGTTTTGGTGGGACTTGGGTTTGTGGGTGAACCAGAATTCCTCTTGGGAAGGTCCATCAATAATGGAATCGAATTTCGTCTCCTAGGCGATGGGGAATCTCCGGTAAGCACCAAAAGACTTGGGGATCGTTCTAGCACAGCGCCTGCAGTACTAGGGCGCGAGTCACTCTTTGTGCGAGAAACATTCGATCCAACCAAATTGGATGAATCTCGATCTGCAGGTGCTAAGTTCGTTCCTGAAATAATAGACGAAATGCTTCCTGAAACTCTGTGGCTAGGTCGAACTGTCATCGTACTAGATGTATCGGTTGAAATCAATGACAAGGGTCGAGGAATGACTTCAACCGTATCAGAGAACCCAACTCGTGTACGAGCGGGTGCTGTCGGTGACGGATCCGGCTGTGACTGCAATGTGGGTTGGCTGTGTACCTCGTGGATCACCCTCTCGTTTGTCTGTTGTGGAACTGGCTCGGTTTGAGGAGGCTCGATGCTTGGTTCCGGGAAATTACGATAGTTATCACCAAAATCAGCCGGACTAGCGGGCGCACTACTGCCCCTCATCGTAGGCGAATTATTCGGCTTGAGTATCATGGTCAAATCGTGACTAGAGATTGCACCAGAACGGCGATGAGCGTGTCCTCTTCGTGGATGCGCATCTGCAGGCGATAGTTTGGGCGATGCAAAACCACTCTCGGATCTGGTCGGGCTTGTGCTCATTACAGTAATCGATCCTCCAGCCCTAAGCTTACCACCTACAAACTCACTTCCACCTCGTCGATGTCCATTACGATTTGGAGACATAGGTGAAGGCGGAGAAAGCGGAGGACTGAGCAATGATTCGTCGGGTCCGAGAGTTGCACCGGGATTAAACGAAAAATTAGGCAAGGCTGGGGATCTGGAAGGACGGCCTGCGTTATCTGAACCAGAGTTGGCGCTTGGATTGAAACTGAAGTTCGGTAGAGCAGGAGATCGGGACGGGGGACTAGCTATTTCATGCGAGAAGTCAGAGATTCGTCCCGGGATGTCTATTGCAGATTGAGGTCGTCGACCTGTCGCCCTGGAAAATGATGGCGGCGCCGAACATGACGCTGGGCGAGCCGGAAAGACGAAGTGCGGGTTCGGTGGAGGCAAACTATTTAGCGGCGAAGGTTGGGGGTTAGATATAGCTTGCTGGTTCATCTTGCTATCGTGAAGCGCCGTAATACGAAGGGGACGCGACGGAATATCATTTGCTTCACTCATCGTAGCCGTTTCGGTCGGACGGCTAGTGACTAATGCGGTCGCCATCTTCCTTCAAACCGCACCGCGGCAAAGAACCGAAAAACTAGATGCGGAGGGATATCATAGAGTATTTTCCGAGTATTATACCGGACGAAAGGCGTCGGGACCGAAGAGGCTATTCGGACATGACAGATTGGCGATGCGCGAAAGTGGGAGAGTTGAGACGCCTGAGAGGCAAGTCAAAATTAGTTTTCTGGTGATATTGCGTTGATTACTATTAAGAAAACATTGAATTGGTGAGGTCGTGGCCTCAGATGAGACAAAAATCGTACCTCGTCGTTGGCGTGAGGCGGAATGTTTCGTTAGCGGTCGGGGTCAAAACAACGGTGTAGTCAACGGTGGCTCTGATTTCCTCTCTCCGACAAGAATTGCTTACGAAAGGACCAAAATAAGGATAGATGTAAGATATGGAATTGAAAGAATTAATTCAAAGGAGCGGACGGTCAAGACCAGAGTAAATCGTTTAGGAAAAACGAAGATTTACTCATAGAATTGACCAAGTAGTTGGTGGCGGTAGAGGATTGAGGGTTAGAGGGAGTGTGAGGAAGGATTGAGGAATTATCGTGTAGGTGTGTAGACGCTGCTTAGAAGATAGAAAGTGTGCACGGAAAAAAAGCCACTCTCCACTGTTAGGCAATCGGGTTGGTGGCAGGTTGAACCGTGCGGGAGACAGGCTTGTCTGAACGCTATACTGTACGTAATAAGTATCCAAGTAATAAGGATCTCGGGCTTGCAGGGCAGGGGACAGGGGTTAGAAAAGTACCTTCCTAGATGTACATGCGTATAGTACATCCATGGATCTCTTTTCTTCTGCGCTGTATCACTGATGCCTGCTATGTCTGCACCTGCCGCGGACACTAAACAGCACGTACCACTCCCGAGTGACCTAAATAACACTGGGCATTTAATCAATTTGCGCAATAGAAGGAATGATGACCATTTCTCCTAGAGATTTTTGTGCTTTTTTTGTGTAGGTACATTAATATTTAACATATAGGTGCTGAAAAAAAGAATAACAACCTGAAGTCGGTAAGTAATATTAAATGACTTAAATTTCGAATTTCCACCATTGATAACTTCACAACCCCTTCGACTAAACAAAGAAAGTTCATGACGACACGGAAACTAGTTTCCCATTCAAGACAGCTGAATCAAAAATGTGTCGCTTACATGATGTGTATCGAAGTATGAAGGATAATCGCCAAGGTACCACTTATTAGGAGTATTAGGAGTACGCTGCACACACCTAAAACCACCCAGCTACCTTAACTGGTCACTGTTCTGCTACCTGGACGACCTGGAAGACCTGTTTAACACTCAACGCACGGAGTCTATGTACACGATCTGCAGTCACACCGAGGGTACGCTTCTCCGTAAGGAGCCCTGCAGAATATTGCGTCTACGTGGACTAGTCACTAGTGTACATCTCGTTACCTAGTACCGCTACCGCTTCCAAGATAATCTCGTTACTTGTAAGGGGACAATGGCTCCAATGGCTCCGTCCATGCTGCCATGGTCCAAGTGGAAATTCGCAACAGGCGAGTCTCGAAAGCCATACTAAACTAAGTAGCCCATGACCTCATGATCAGTGATCACAACAAGTTGTGCCGTTCACGACTTGATTGAGGCTCGTGCGAGGTATGACGAAGAAACAAACCGTGGTTTATGGGGAAATATTGCTGGCACCTTTACAGGTAGATAAGGGCACCGTGGCAACCTGGAACTCGAGCCCTCAGGGCCCTGTTTATGCACCAACTGTTTCGTTACCGCTATCAACGATCAATACTTATGGGTGGATCATCATTATGAACGACATATAATGTGCATACCAAATTATTGCGATGCGCAATTCATAGAATGGAACACTGATCTCCCTAACGATACAGAAGCGAGCGGCGAATCGCAAAAAATGGTTCAAGTATTCTCCGTCACTCTCGTTCAATCAAATCAGGAGAAATCAAAACATCCCTGGAAAAGGGTTCATTACTCTGTCAGTCTGTCTACTTCACTCATTCAAGTGGTTCATTAATAATACTACCTATTATGTAGAGAAGAAAAAAAGAAAGAAAAAAAAAACCTTCGAACCCCTGAATAGATAAGTACAGGTAAATTAGTATTGAGTATCTTCAACAGGCTTAGCCAGGCACAAGCAAACCGGCATCTCAACACTACGCTACACTATTACACTACTGGAAAACTCTGGAAATTATGCATCGACGTGTACAGTACCAAGAACAAGCCTGGTTGCGTAGTGGAAGACCGCTTTCCTCTTTCGGACGTAGGCTCTCCAGTCCTCGGGGTTCCCCTGCAGCGCCCTATCCCTTCTTGGATATTGTCCATCGCACCTCCTAGTCCTCCTTCCTCTTAGCGGCTTTGTTACATTTGAGGCTGGAGGGGCTTCAAAATCGGCAAGATTCGATGTTGGTTTAATCAATCCTACACATACAGATATGTATGTAGGTATTACACTCATCCCAGGTACTTATCATTGCTCGTAAAAATTAGTAGTATTGTCTATGGAATGCATGCAGCCACCCGTTTCTACCTTAGTGGCTTACGTGGGCAGTAATAGTTGAGTGTTTTCGATAATTTCACTTTTAAAATATCGAATGATAAATAAATATCAAAGTTGCCCAGGGACAAGTATAACTTCACAAGATACTGTCAACCAAGGAGGTGAACAGAAAATCTCATCCCACGTCGAGTCGGCGCAAAGCAGCCAGCCGGGTTTGCCGTAGCTACGATTCGTTTACGCTGTACCTTACTGCATACATGGTACATATTGCTGCAAGCCTGTAAGCAGTCGTCGCATTAGCCCTTCATGGTTTATAGCCAATGAATGGTAAACAATTCGAGGCGCTCAGATAACTTTGCATTCGTCTGTGGGTATTTCGCCGGATAAACAGTACTACATATGTACTTCGTAGTCGATCTTGCTATCTGTTCCCGGTCATTCTACTCCATTAAGATGTTTGCAAAGGGCTTAGAATACTGTTTGAGTAAAGGAACTAAGACAGAAATTTATTGCTGAGCAGTTACTAATAAGAGAGCTAAAATGCGGAATGAAGCTGAAATCAATAATCAACTACCAGTTATATGTCATCTCCGATCATATATCCCGTAGCTAAGAATATCGTTACAAACGAGCGATTAATTTCGCCTATAATCGATCTAATGACCCTAAGAACCGAGCAACGAAAGTTAGGACTTTACGCGTGTTGCTGGCGGCTACGCCCATTGCCTAAGCCTCGATTTCTTATGTTGTATGTCGGTTGTGTGTAATTCTGAATACGGACACGGAGCGCTGGGTAGCGATGAATAACCGGGATGAGTCCTTGCCAAGTCGCTTCCAGGCTCTACGGAGTTGGGGGTCAAGTGATAACTGACGACTAGATTTGACAGTCTCGGTCTAGTTGATTGAATCCTTTGCGGAGAGATCCTTGCCTCGTGATATCAAACCCCCAAGGGTCAGCTGGGGCTAGCGTACCATAATCGTATTGTACGCCGAGAGAGAAAATAAACCGATGTCATCCTCGACAACCGTTTGAACTTTGTCCTGTGGATTCAAATTGTCAGTGAGGTATCTGGAGTTCCAGGTGTACATATGTACATACATGGATCTTTGCCGGCAACCTTTAAATAGAAGACACCATCTTAAATTTCCTTGTTGTATCTAATACAAGATGGGTCTCTAATAGCCTTTGCGAGATTCACGAAGTTGTACAGATGGAAGGCAACGATGATCTCTAGTCTTGCAAGTCAAAACATGAAAAGATGTTAAAAAATCCAATAAATTCAAGTCTAGAAGCATAGAACATTGGATGGATGTCAAGCAACTTCCAAGTTGTTTCAATGAAAGTACGATGATTACCTAGTGCAACGATTAGGGGACCAATGGAACCCTGAAATAAGTGCATAAATATGCACATAAACAAGCTCACAATTCAACATTGAACATTCACATATGGAAAAAAGATAATGCGAGAGCAATCCACCGCCCACTTTTTTTCTTGCAAAGTTCTGTGGGGTTTTAGGATATCATTTTTTATTCAAGTTCGCAATAGATTCATACATTGCGCCCAGCTCATAATAAGCCGCCAATAATCAGATTTTCTTCATGGGATCAATCATTAGTTGTGGGCCAAAATAGAAGAATCATACTAGCCAGGCACCTTTTGCGCATCATGTCAACCACCACCGCAACAGCTGTGAAGAAGCCTGAGCTTCAGGGAATGCGCAAGAATGGTAAGAGCGGTTCGCCAAAGCTTTATGTATACCTAATCCAAGACTCATACAGTTACATAGGCAAGCAATGGCATCCCCAACGGAAAGCATTTCGACCAGGTTCGGGCCTAACTTCATACGAGAAACGGGCGAGACTGCGCACGGAAACAGCCGCGACGAAAGCAAGAGAAAATGAAATGAAGCAGGAAAAAGAGAGCGAAAGACAGGTATAGCCTATGTCGTTGATATGGAAATGCGCTAGAAAAGTGTTACTGACATAGGGACTAGCAACGAGTGCAATCAATCAAGGAAAAGCGGGCGGCAAAGGAAGAGAAAGAGCGGTATGAGAAGATGGCAGAGAAGATGCATAAGAAACGAGTTGAACGGCTGAAGAGAAAGGAAAAGCGGAACAAACTTCTCAATTCATGATCCGCACCTATGTGTCCTTCTACAGAAATATCTACAGCTACGATCACTTGTCTTTTACGTCCTCGGCAAGGGAGGATCTTAAACATGGGCCAGTCATCTACCGATAACGACGGAACATAGGCCAAACCACTAGAAGATCAGAATTATCTTCAATTAATCAATTCAAGAAGCAGCCTGTGGGGACGAAGTCGGTCCGGAATGGAGTACTATGTTGCTGGTGTTCATGTAAGGGGGAGGGACAATTCAGCGTATGGGATACCTGCTGTGTCACCGCCAGATCGGACGCCACAAGGTATCACGGATCTTAAAGTGCAGAAAGATAAGCTAGCAATTGGGAGAAGAATGATGATAAGGTCTAGGTAGCTTACATACAACGGCCAACTCGACAAAAACCACCTGGCAGCAGTAACTCCATGTGCAATAAATAAAATGCCATCCAAATATATATCCCCACCTATATATATAATCATAGGTATACTATAACTAGTATGAAAAAAAAGTGATTGAATTGGCATGGCCTCTGTGATTGGATGTCTACCTCAATATATACCTAGGTATGTATCTAAGTAATCCGTGACATGTGAAAAAGCGGATGTTGCCGTGGTGGGGTGCCGGCGGCGAACCTTAACCAGCTTTATCATTACCGATCCAATTGAAGCTTGCTATTATTCCCCTTTACACCAAGTTAACATACACTACATCAACTAAGCACATATATGCATACGCTTTCAATGCACGGTGCATTGCATTATATGGGTGTGCTGCTCATTTCATCCATTAAGATCATCTATCTCTGATCCAAAATAAAAGCCACCCTACCTTAGGGGCTACTTTCGGGAGTCTATGTACTTATTTACCCAGCAGGTCCCGGTACGAAAATGTCCAGGAATCAAGATTTCGACCACCTAAAGCCTGCAACTACCTCGCCACAACGACCTCGTCATCAAGTTAAACGATCCATAACTGAGTTATCATCGCCAATCAAGCTTCCCCGATATCACCACCTACATCATCTTCAGCGGAAGGACCGCGACAACGATGACCAACCTCCCTTATCCGCAAGCATCATGCTTCATCTCCCGCGAGGCTCGTTCGACCTGCCACGGTCTGAAGGAGCAACTCCGTCAGCAAATTCGGAATCAGGCCTCAGGATAAGCATGCTGAATTCTGCCACCGAGGATGCTATTCGCAGTGTTGGGTCCACGACACCCCAGGCACCTTCGACAAGCCAAGAAGAGTTATCGCGCGAGCAAAAAGAGAAGGAAGTTTCAAGAATATCGTCTGTCGCTCCACTTTCCAAGCAGTCCGACAATGAGCCACCCACGGATTGTTACGGCTAACGTTATAATAGGGGATTGAGAAAATCACTCGTGGAATTGAGCACATCTTCGACTACGACGACAAGACGCCTCGACGATACATATTATGCCATTCTTGAAAAGCTCGGTACACTCCAGGGTACAATCATAGCTCTTAAAGAGCTCGCCGGCATGTCACAGGAACTGGATGGGAATTTCAAAACGGAATCGCAAGGATTAGTGAACGAGCTGGAACAACAGGCCAATTCGTTTGGCCACTTTCACGATCAACAAAAACGCATCGAAGAATTACAGGGTCGTATACATGATGGTCGCGGCAAGGTTGAGGCGCTTAGCAAGCGAGTGGACGTGGTGCGGGACCGAATCGAAAGCTGGGAGAGAGCAGATATGGAATGGCAGGAAAGAACAAGAAGACGCCTCACGATTATATGGATCATTACATCCATTGTGATCTTCTCACTGATACTTCTCTTTGTCGGAGCCCAGTACGCCCCTTCGGAAGACACATCCGGTCTTACCATTTCGGTCTCGGCATCGAGCAACGGACAAGGACAACACGATGTAGGCGATATGGGCAGCAATCATAGTACAAATGTCGCTGCTATGGTGGATGAGGTGAGACAGGTACTCGGCACTAGGAGGGGCGGGGAACCTGTCGAAGACAATGTGCTCCGAGCCTTCGACGAGTTGTGAGCCAAAACTCCGGGAAAGGCTTCGGTTTTCGGGTCGGCTTTCATATCCGGTGAATTAGAATGCATTATCGTAGAACCGTAGAAACAATGATACCCCTTGCAAATTTAGAATTTAGATAACATAAAGACGATGCCGTTTTACCGAGCGGTTATGTTCGCTATTGGCAGGTCATGATATTATGTAGCTGTCGTCGCACCTATCAGGTAGTGATACTGTGATCGCAATCCTGACTGTCTCATCACTGTTACTCGTCCTACTCATCCTACACATCCCTTACATCACCTACTTAGTAATGACGGCTAAGGACCACCCATGGTTCGTTGTCTCTAGAATTCACACTGAAACATACCTACATATATGTAAATAAATGCCGACTTTATGTTGAGGTTTACTCTATACGCCCGTACTGGTTTGTATGCGCATATGTAGATATTAGCGTCAAGACGGAACTCGGAATAGAGCGATACGCTAAGAATTAACTAATCGACTTAATATATGCCGTCTTAACCGCGTGGACTTTTGAGCGAATCAGGTCTTGGCATCAGCCCTGTACAGCTGAAGCTGTGGAACTTAGACGTGATCTGATGCGTAAGTCCTGCATATCTAGATGCCGAATGACTAACTTTTCTAAAGTGCCATGTTAATCGATTCTCAAGAGCCGATCAAATGTGTATTCGAATATCTACAAGGATAAAATTCTATAGATGGTGAATTCCATGATATCCTATTCCGAGTGTATGTAGCGATAGTGGGGTACATGATTGGAAGGTTCTTACTTGTCGACGTCATCTCTAAGCCACTTGCTAATTTTCGGGTTACAAGAGAGACTGACTAGGGGTAGGTAGGTTAGGTTGGTAGTCACGACTAAAGGCGGTTCCGTCCATGACCAATTGGGTCAACGAAAGACGCTACTGCTCAACGGCGCGTGTCAAATCAGATCTAAGCAGCTCGGGTCTGCTAGTTTGGCTGTTCTTAATTAAAATAAGCTCTGAGTTTCCAACGCAATTTGATCACTGGGACCTAGGCAGCTACATAAGAATGAAAATACATACTTGTACCTACCTAGGAAGGGACAGTACGTCATAAAGAAGGCACAGTATACACACAGGGTACCAAGGTATATCCAACTTCCACTCTTTCACTGCCTCACAAGTCCAAGCCTTGTTCCTTGTTTGTTTTTCTTTTTATTCTTCATATCCGCATCTTCTAAAGTTCTTCTTCTCCTACAATACCCATACCAAGCTAGACCCTTGACCGTGGGAGGTTAAGTCTGTTTAATTTGCTCAGTTGATTTTCGGGATTTCGAGGTTGAGGATTCGAGGGAATACAGGGCTATTGGCTGACGACATTAAATCCATTCAACGATACCTGGAGATTCCCCGCCATAACTAATCTACCCGACGAAATAGCTGTACACCATACGCGCCTAATACATAGTACAGCTACGACCTAATTACGCCAAGCCACAGATTTACTTACATACGTATTTACATACGAACCTAGGCGAGAACGAACACGAGAGAGCTCGTAGAATCGACTGACATCGGTCCATATCGTCGAATATCAAAAAGTTAAACGAGCACAGTCCAAGAATCAGATAGATATGTCTGGTGCGGATTCCGCACCGGGGGTCGCACCCCGCGATCCCATCACTACTAATAATTCTTCTGCCCCTCCTGGCCAGACCTTGACCGGGAAACAAGAGCATTGTTCGTATTTTTTCCGAGCTTGTGGTTTGGGAATTATTGAGACTAATCGTTATACATTGCAGATCTCAAACGAGAGCTTATATCTGAACAAGTCAACTGGGAGATTTCCGAATTGAACTCCCCAACCGCGCTTCGTAGATTCGGTGCGCCCTTCAAGTCAAACTTTGGTGAAGTATCACCCTATGATTCTGAGCTTCCTCTTCTACGTTACATATTCGTACATCATATACGGGAGTTCCCATTCCTAGATAAGGCGAAGGAGAAGGAGTTTTGGCAGGACAAATTACAAGTGGTAGGTATTCTCGTTAACTGGGAACGTACCACGATATGCTAACGTTATCGCCGCCGCAATTTAGTTCCTCGAATCGTTTGCTAGCAAAAATATCTCATCCTCGGAGGACCGCTTAGAAGAGACCAAACGCCGCAAACTAGCTTTGAAATGTCGCAAGTTAGTCGAACTCATGATGGTGTCGGGGGTCCCTACGGCCTCCGGCTTCGAGGAGCGGATAAGATTCGCAGAGATGGAGATCGTCGATCGCGATGCGATTGATACTGGAATGTTAAATTCTATGCCAGAAGGAAACTACGTAAATGGATGGGACGTCAATGTCGCTGGAGTGCGCATTACTCTTGTAAAGAGAAACATCAGGCGCCATAAACATGCTGTAGGTTACGATTCCTCGAAATCTACTCCTAAGCTTCATATCCTAACTTGTTATAGGAATTCTTATTACGCGTTAAACGAAAGGGCGAGCTTGAACACTACATCGGCAGACGTTACGGCGATTTCGCCCGACTACATAAACAGCTTAGGACAGAACTCCCTGGCAAAGTCCTCCCCCCGTTGCCGAAGAAGAACAAATCAGATACATCTGCATCAGGTTTAATGTCGCGCATGACAGATGGTTCTTACGATTCTGACCTTTCGTCAATCTCATCTGTTTCAACCAATGCCCCTGGAGCTCGAGGTAATGGGTTTAGGGATTCGATGAACTTGACCGTTCGAGATCACCGTCGAAATCGATCGATAGCTTCTGGTCGGACATCACCACGCCCATCCATGGATGGCACAGCGAGCCCCATTCAAAGTCCTAGGAGTCCCAAATTCGATAATACGATCCTTTGGCGTGAGGACCAGCGTATATCGCTAAGAGCTTACTTACGATATCTACTGCATAACCCACAAATTGCGCAGACAAAGGCCTTGCAACAGTTTCTAACACATGATTCGATCACGCCAACTGACGCAGACGTTGAGGACATCATCCGGCGCAAGGCTGTTGACGAGAAGCGTGTGGAAGAACAGAAGCAATTCTACGAAATAGCAAGGAAGAGAGCTGCTGAGTTAGATGTGTACATGGAGCGGTTCCGACAAGACATCGTCGAGCACAATGGGTTAACAATGCTTCTTCAAGAGATCAAAGATAAGGATACCATTCAAGATTTAAGTCTTCAATACCAGAAGTTTGCCGAATGGCTCCGCATCGAAGTGGCCGCTACCATTTACCATCTATTTCTCGCCGAGGACAATTCACCGGAACTGTTTGCGCAGCTCAAGCGAATTCATTCCCTAATACCATACTCGGTCATAAAAAATGTAATTCGTCTTGCCAATCCAGCTGTCGTGATGTCGGCAGCACTTGACGTATTTTTGGCACAACCATTTGGATCTCGCTCTCTGATGCAACGTATCTTCTCGTTAACTTTGAACGACGGGATACGGAGCCAGCAGAAATTGATCGACGCTCTGGCTGCTAAGATAGGAGACGAGGTATTCGTAGAGAAGCTGACACGATTCATTCATGCCGAGGAGAAAATCAAAGTCTCAATCCGAGAGGAAGCTGAATCTGAGGGTGTCGATCTTCTCGTGGCTATCTTACGCTCTGAGTTCTTCTCACCAGCGCTTACAGCCGATCAAATTGGAAAGCTGTACAATGCATATGTCGCTTTCAACAACGCAGTGGAGAATGTCGACGAGGAATTCAAGCAAGGAGCTCAACTTTTCTCATACCTGAAGCAGTTGATGAAGCTTCAAACTAGACAACGCGATAAGCAAATGATGCTTCACCTGATCGAGGAGCCTGTTACTCTACAGTTACTTCGAGATCTCTTCACAATCTTCTACGAACCTCTCGTGAGAGTTTATAAGTCGGCCAATGTGTATAACAGCATCACTGACTTTGCCGTTTTCATCGATGACATGATTCAGGTATGTAAAACTTTCCGAATATTCTTTCGAGCTACTAACATTATGACAGGTCGTCGACAAATGCAGAGATCAGGATGCTTCGGCCGATCCAAATCAGACCGTGCAAGCGTTTATTGATCTATGTCAACGCCATGAGCACAACTTCTATAAATTTGTCCACGAGGTCCATACACATGACAACGGTCTCTTCACACAACTTATGGGTTGGATCGAAGGCATCCTAGAGTTCCTAAGAAAGGGACCAGCAGGAGGAGCGCTGGACATCAACGCTCTCTTCGAGGGGGGCGTCGCGAGCAACAACCTAGACAAACAGAAAGCGATCGATGAGATCAACCAGCTCATTTCCTGGCAAGAAGCCCGCAAGAAATGGCATCACGACAAAACTAGACAGAAGATGGCCGCCGAGGGTTCTGCCAGCGATTCCGGTATGCCGGGTATGACCAGTTTCCAAGCCAGCGATTTTGGACTTAACAATATGGATCTAGAAGACATGACTTATGATGATGGATCTGATGACGAAGCCGAGGCTGAGATCGAGGACGAATTGGACCCTATCGATGCCGAAAGACGAAGGAGGGCGAAGAGACAAGATCGCCTCAAGGCTCGCGCCGGAGAACCTCAGAAACCAGTAGTCAGCGAGGTCCACAACCTAAAAGAAAACTTCATCGAGATGCTACGACAAGTATTAGCCCCTTAGAGAGCCTATCTAGGGTTACGAACAAAACACATTAGAGCCGGTGTTTAGGACGAGGGCTGGGTACGAGAAAATTCTAGGCAAAGGGGGAATCATTTGCATTCAGTGGCATTTGCTATGGCATGGTCACGCAATAGGACATATCAACAGGACATGGATAGCTAGACGACTCAATATGGCCTTTAGGCCTTCTGGTATACCCGACTATGCATTATGGGATTTTGTCATAATATGGCATACTAGGTACAGTAAACCTTAGCCATAGCGATAATTTCATATAACGATATTATACGAGAGACGGCATGATTTTATATGTAAAATAACGATATTTTTACTATAACGAAACATCGTTATTCTTAAAAAGTTAACACCAAAATCGTTATATTTATAACCTTATAAATTACCACTTTCGGTAATATTTTCACCTATTTTAGCCCCTATATTAACACTTTTCGGCTTAAATCCTTCATTTTAAGTTAATGCGTAATACACTTTATTGCTTTAAGAAATCTACCATCGATAATTTACTATAGCGATATGAGAGTGGTGTTTTTTTTTTTTTTTGGCAATCGTTATGGCCAAGGTTTACTGTATTAGGTACTTCTAAACTGCCTTGTTTTTACAAATTGCTTGGTATTCTTATTGATGTTATGTGACTGTTTTCTAGATGCGCTGCGTATGCTGTTGTTCTCTTTATGACACTTACCCACCGAAGGTATTCGGTACATGATCATCGGCTTGTTGCGGTTTGTTGAAAAAGGACCGTTGTGCTTAAATGAATTTTAGATGTTAATATTTCTGACACGTGATTATGATGCAGATGGCTAAAGTGCTTAAAGGCGCTTACTGTAAGGTGGGATGGAAGGTGGTAGGTACGAAATACTTGTGGAAACGCCCGGTTTTATTATCCCTCGGTAATCAGAATCGACGCTATTGGACCAGCGCTCAATTGTCTGGAAGCTGCGGTTGAACTTCGCCAGCATCATCACTTTTTTTCTGGATTCCTGGACTCTGCCATTTGCCATACCCGAGACTTGCAGGACAAGACAAGAGCCTCCCCGTCGTTGGCGTCACCCCTCCTTCTAATACGTTTCCAATCCACGATGGCATCCTCAATGGCAATGAGGAGGTTAGCTACAGGCTCTACCGTGAGTTTTCCCCTCCCTTACTTATAAAGTCGAATCGCATGCGGCGATTACCGAGATCTATTCTGAGTAGACATTGGATGGATACTGACTTCATCTTCGCTTTGACAGTTCTCTCGGGCGGCAAGGTACCAAACAAGAACCTTCTCTTCCACGCGACCTGTCTGTAAGTGCGACATCTACCTTTACCAATTGTATAATTGAATTGGCTCCTAATCATATTATCCCACGTGTAGCACGAATAATCGCGAATAACCCACTGCGAGCTAAGGAAGCACCGGTACATGTTAGCAACAAATACGCAGTTATCGTACGTCGCACATCCCACATCGCATTTCTTTGTCCAGAGGTGGACAATTCACACAAAATCAATGACGATTAACTCGATCGTAGGACCACGAATATGATGCAATCGTCGTCGGCGCAGGCGGTTCTGGATTGCGCGCTGCATTCGGCCTTGCGGAAGCCGGTTTCAACACAGCTTGTATATCGAAGCTCTTTCCCACACGAAGTCATACAGTCGCCGCCCAAGGTGGTATCAACGCGGCTCTAGGAAACATGCACGAGGATGACTGGCGGTGGCACATGTATGATACTGTGAAGGGTTCGGATTGGCTCGGCGACCAAGATGCTATCCATTACATGACGAGAGAGGCTCCTGCGTCAATTATCGAGCTCGAGAACTATGGTTGCCCGTTCTCCAGAACAGAGGATGGTAGAATGTAAGTCTGAGCCGGTCATCTGCTGGATACCAATGGTTGCTAATGGTCGTTCACTAGTTACCAGCGTGCGTTTGGTGGACAGTCGCAGAAGTTTGGAAAGGGTGGTCAAGCATACCGTTGTTGCGCTGCCGCTGACCGAACGGGCCACGCTCTTCTTCACACCCTATACGGCCAATCCCTTCGTCACAGCACCAACTACTTCATCGAGTTCTTTGCCCTCGACCTGATTATGGAAGATGGAGAATGCCGTGGTGTACTAGCTTACAACCAGGAAGATGGTACACTCCACAGATTCCTTGCGCAGAACACCGTTTTGGCCACTGGTGGATACGGCCGAGCCTACTTTAGTTGTACTTCGGCACATACTTGTACTGGCGATGGTATGGCTATGGTTGCTCGTGCTGGTCTTCCCAACCAGGATCTCGAATTCGTCCAATTCCACCCTACCGGTATTTACGGAGCTGGCTGTCTGATCACAGAGGGCTCTCGTGGTGAGGGTGGTTATCTTCTCAACTCCGAGGGTGAGCGATTTATGGAACGATATGCGCCTACCGCAAAGGATCTGGCCAGTCGTGACGTCGTTTCGCGATCCATGACCTTGGAAATTCGTGAGGGACGTGGTGTTGGTGCTGAGAAGGATCATATCTTCCTTCAGTTAAGTCACTTGCCCGCCGAAATTCTTGCTGAGCGTCTACCTGGTATCTCCGAGACCGCTGCCATCTTTGCGGGTGTTGATGTTCGCAAGCAACCCATTCCAGTCTTACCTACCGTTCACTACAACATGGGTGGTATCCCAACGAGATACACTGGTGAGGTCCTCACGGTTGACGAAGCTGGAAACGACAAGGTTGTCCCCGGCCTGTTCGCTTGCGGTGAAGCTGCCTGTGTCTCCGTTCACGGTGCTAACCGACTTGGTGCCAACTCTCTGCTCGATCTTGTCGTATTCGGACGAGCCGTTTCCCACACTATCCGAGATAAATTCACTCCTGGTGCTAAGACTAAGCCTGTCAGCGCCGATGCTGGTGCCGATTCAATCGAAGTCTTAGACAAGGTCCGCAACTCTGACGGCCCTAAGAGCACAGCTGAAATCCGACTTGCCATGCAAAAGGCCATGCAAACAGACGTAAGCGTCTTCCGAACCCAAGAAAGCTTGGACGAGGGTGTCAGACGAGTTACGGAGATCGATCAAACATACTCTCAGGTTGGAATGAAGGATCGCAGCATGATCTGGAACTCGGATCTAGTCGAGACACTCGAGTTGAGGAACTTGCTCACTTGCGCGTAAGTATCTCACGGAATCTCAACAGTTGGTGAAAGATAAGCTAATAACCTTGGCAGTGTTCAAACCGCCACTTCTGCTGCTAACCGAAAGGAGTCGCGTGGCGCTCACGCTCGCGAAGATTACCCCGACCGAGACGATGAGCACTGGATGAAGCACACCCTATCCTTCCAGAAGCAGCCCCACGGCAAGGTTGAGCTCGGATACCGACGAGTTATCGGCACAACATTGGATGAGAACGAATGCAAGGCTGTCCCACCGTTCAAGAGAACTTACTAATCGGGAGGGTTGGGTAGCAGCAGTATTGGTAAACAACTACGAGTGCAGTTCTTCCAGTCGTGTAGTATGACTGGGGAGGCGTATTAGATTCCCACCTGATGAGCAGGCTGAAGGCACATGTGGGATGAAGTGACGATGGCTCGTAACCCGTTTAATGTAGGAATACGAATAATGTACCTTACGTATGAGCTTAAGGACATTGTGTATACAGATAAAACACCTGTTTTAAACCCGTTCAAGCTCAGGTGTGCAGCAGCTACATAACGATGGTTCCTGTGGGCTAGATAAGCAAGACATCTTGCCTTACTACATCAAGATTAGAAAAACTAGGTGCCTACGTCATATTGTCTCTAATGGTATCCTACACCACCAATGAAGTTATAAAATTATCGTATATATCATCGAGATATCAGCTATTTAGTCATTGATGATATCGATGACATAGCTCGTGTTCATAATACGCCTCTTAAATTCACCTCGTGATATGGTTTAAACATAATTCTCTAAGTAAGGTCCTGTTTTCGTAAGCTCCGAGAATCGGTTCACAGCAGTTGAACGAGAGTTCCCCCGCTTCGGGTCTACGTATATATATTAATAGCTAGCTAGGTAGTCGACGAAGAGAAATTAAGCTCGAAAAAAGCTGACATTCTATTGTCTTGAGTCATTGAGTCATTGTCAGTATTTAGACTTTTACCACCTTCGTAAACCTAAAAGCATCGAGGAGCATCGAAGTCGAAGCTACTCCTCTATTTTTATGTTGAGATTTTCTTTCCGCTCATACAACAACTTAACTCACCTACTCCAAACATGGCGCGTTTCCTAGCCCTCTTCACGCCCTTGTTCCTCGGCGCCACGCAGGCGGAAAACAACTTAAACATAACGGCCCTGACGGGGAGGAACAATGTGTCGGTGCTGGAGTGCTGGCAACTGAGCGCGCCGTTCGTCCCGGCTGAATACCCCAATTCTGTGAAAGTGGGTTTGGGTAATTTGTCAAACGCGACATATCTCGTAGCTGAGGGCGAATCGAAATTAGGGCTGCATAATGCTCCGTATAAGCAGTGAGTTCGACGTGTTGTGCGTGTACATGTCTTTACACGAACCGAGACTAACGAGAAACTCATTTCTGGATAGATGGGTCTGGTTTATCAACGGCCAGGCGGAAAGTAAGTCTTTCGTTTGGTTATATATAGCGCATATCCGTGGTATCTGGAGATCGTTAACCCGGGGCTAGTCACCTTGCCGAATAAGACGGATACGGCTCTTATTGACGGCGGTAGGTACGGCCTCATTTTCGCCGGCGACACGAAGGATATGTCGGGCTGGGGTCATGAGACTAGGCTTATAAGGTACGTTCTACTTTCAATGCGTCCCCTACCGTGAAATAGTATATTGAAGGATTAAACCTTTTTTTATAGCGATGGCAAGTTGATGGTGATTATGATTCCTGTCCGAGACAATGTCGTGCCTTCGCACTCGGTTTTGAATAACGGCCCTTGCGTCATGGATGAGCAGGTTGCGATTTTCGATGAGTGATTAGGTACCCGTATGTAAGAGCCTCTAGGACCACTTCCGATATATACTAATACCGATAAGGTTCTAGGTAGTGCCAAGTCTTCGGGATCTGCGGTACTACCTTGGCAGTAGGCACCTATCCGTGGATATTCAACGTTAATTAGGTCCATCTCCCGAGGGAACCCCTCATTCTAATATGGATAGTATTGTGGTTAGAGTATAGGATAGAATCGTGCCCCCCTTGTCCTTTCGATCTAAAAGGCGTTTTCTTTTTTCATAGAAAATCATTGAGGAATAATTAAAACGAGGGAAAATTCCTTAATTCTTTACATTCATAGAAGCCCTAGTACATCATGTCCGTTGCATTAATAACGGCGGGAAGCGCCGGACTTGGGGCGGCAGCCAGTCGGCTCTTCGCCAAGAACGGCTTCCGGGTCATCGTAAATTATGCCAACAACGAGGAACGAGCAAACAAACTCCTTGCCGAACTTCCAGCTTTGTCTACCTTACCTCAAGACAGCACAGGAGAAAACTTTGCTGTCATCAAAGCCGATCTAGGTAGCCGAGATGATATAAACCGCCTCGTCAAAGAGACTGTAGAGAGGTTCGGTCGACTAGATGTTATCTTCTCAAACGGTGGATGGACTCGCTTGTAAGTTCACTGCTGGTTTTGGACAGACCCTCGAGTCCATACATCTCAACTGGAAAGATAGTTCCTTCCTTCCGGATAACCGCTGATATTCTTGCTTATAGCCGTGGTTGGGCTAGCATCGATGACAATGCGCATGAAGAGGACTGGGATCGTACCTTCAACCTTAACGTCAAATCTCATATGTGGCTCATGCAGGCTGCTAAGAAACACCTCGACGAGACTGAGGGCGCCTTTATCACCACCGCTTCGATTGCCGGCGTGATACCTAGCGGAAGCTCTCTAGTAAGTCACCCGAGTTTATAATAGCCGATCAGAGCTCGTGATAACACTAGACAGGCCTATTCTGTGACCAAAGCCGCGCAAATACATCTAGTAAAAGCGCTGGCGGTTATGGCTGCTCCTAAAATTAGGGTTAATAGCGTGTCCCCCGGATTGTTACTCACTGTAAGACCTCCAACAAGCCACCAGGTACAAATGGGAGAAAAGAAAAGCCTAACATATAGGTATAGGACTGGGCAGAGAATTTCTCCGACGAGGTGAAAAAGAACCACATAGAGAAGACGAAGCTTAAACGCACCGCCACTGTCGAAGATGTTGCCGAGCAGGTTCTTCTTTTCGCAAAGAGTAGGAGTATCACGGGAGTCAACGTCGTGGTGGATGCCGGTTACACTTTGTGACCCCGTCATAAGACTGGTATAGGCCTCTCCTATGTTACGTGTGTATGTTAGTTAAGAACAGGGACCAGTGCAGGGCGGCTACTTGATTGGTTTATAGACATTGCATATTGTGGGTAGGAGAGTGATGATGAATGCTGCCTACCAGTAGTTAGTACAAGGTAATAGAAAAGCGGTGGTGAAATGGAATTTCAAGACTTTGAAGATATTATATGGACCTATTATAAAGATCATGGGACTTATTAGATGGAAGTTATACACAGGTTAGTCATATGGAGATATCACGGGAAAGAAACAAACGAGACGAAAAGTAGAAGTATATAAAGTGGGATGACACTAAACCATCCCTTGTACTACAATCCCTAGGCTGCCACGTGGGAATATTGGGTGGCTGTGGGGGCTTTTTAAGTTACCACTATGCAATTATACATAACTAGCGTTCCAGTCAGCTGAGGAGCTTGGTGTATCTCTTGTGACTATCTAGTAACTAACAGCCTCACACATTAAAACAACACATAACACACAATTACTACGCCTTGTTACCCTTACTAAGGTAGCTTTCGCAGTTACAATATTTCTATATTCCGCCAGTCTTAAGTTTGAATAGATAATCTCGACGCTTCCTTCTTACCTACCTACCCACCAACTCAACCTACGGAAATATATTTGCTAACTACCTAAAATCTCACCAAGAAGTCACTATCTTAGGCCTATTCGAACGTCGAAAGTCGGGCGGAAGGCTCGGACATTAGTTTCAGCTGGAATGGAGGAAGTCCGGTCAACTGCAGTTATCGCAACAACTGTAGCGGTAACCGTCGCACTCACTTCGCTCGCCCGTTTTGCACTATGGCCTGAGAAGAAAGCCATCATTCCCGGTCCTCTCTCGACGGGATTTCACAAATTGTCCAAAGATGAACTTGCTCGGGTTCCGTATAGTCCGGACACATTTCCCGGCGCCCGGGATGTAGTTACGCCAGTAAGTTTGTCCCTTATCATTACTTTTTTATAAGTGGATGAGCGAAATAGTTATCTAACAATAAAACCCTAGTATGGCAATATTCGTGTATACGAATTTGGACCTGAAGATGGTCGCAAAGTCTTATTCATCCACGGAATCAGTACATCATGCATGACTCTTAAGGATATTGCGATACCGCTTGCTGAGAAGGGCTGTCGAGTTATGCTTTTTGTGAGTAACAAATTTTACACAGAATTCACGATGGAAATATAAGAACATCATTAACAACTCTTAGGACTTATTTGGCCGAGGTTTCTCTGATGCGCCTGGTGATGTGCCTTACGACACACGACTATTTGTCACTCAGATATTACTTGTGCTAGCATCATCGTCGCTGTCATGGACAGGCGATAATGGCCTTCATGTCGTCGGTTACTCGCTTGGCGGTGGCATTGCTGCCAACTTCGCAGCCACATTTCCCAACATGGTCGAGACTTTAATACTCCTCGCACCCGCGGGACTCATCCGCCCGGAAAACTTCGGCGGTATAAGTCGGCTCATTTTCACATCCGGCATCGTTCCAGAGCGTATTCTTTCATGGATTACCAAGTACCGCTTACGGCAACCCATCGCCTCGTCCGTGTCTAAGAAGGTTAGGATGTCGATTTCCGACGCATCCACCAAAGCTCCCCTTAAGAGCGAGCATAGCGAGGACTACGTCGATCTCGCGATACAAGAAGCCATAGATCCCGTAGATGAGCCGCCTCAGACCCCCTTCGAGATCCAGGTTATGGATTGCGTACACTGGACGCTCGATGCCCACAAAGGATTCGTACAAGCTTTCATGTCCACAATTCGATATGCGCCATTAATGGACCAGCATGACTATTGGCGACAGCTGGCCAAGCGAAAGCCCGGAACTACCGCCGTGTTGCTCGGGAAGAATGATAATATGATTCAGCGAGACGATTATACCGAAGATGCGCTTCCCCTTCTCGGCGGGAAGGAGAATGTATATTGGCGTGTCGTACCCGGATCGCATAACTTTCCTTTTACACACGGATCTCAGGCGCTGGAACGTATCTACGAGTTTTGGGGTATGGAATGAATAGGAGTTCAAGGACAAGGAGTCTGGATACGGCGTTTGGAGCGGCTGGTAGATTACTAGACATTATAAATCCCTTGCTGGTAACATGGTCACGATTCCTACAGAGACGTTTATAGACTGGAGAGAATTGTATCATTATAAATTTGATTACAAACTTATTACTACAACCAAGCAAATTAAACAACCCTCGAATCTCTTCCCTGAGTGCAGAATCATCATCGCTACCTATTCATCAATCATTTCACCTCATCTCGTCCCATAACACCCCCCGCTCTAAGCATCCATAGCATCCCTCCCATTAAGCAAAATAATACAAGTCGAAATCGCCACAACATCATCCAGCTCGTTCCCATTAAGCACAAGCACGGCATCTTTATCAAACCCGTACCCGGCGACGCGGCCGATCTCGACGCGCTTCTGGTTAAGGCACTTGTACAGAATGCCGACGCGCCCGCGGGTCATGTCCCAGAAATACGGGATGCTGTTCTTGACAAAGGCCTCGTGCTTGCTGTCCTCGCCGGCGGAGCGCCCGCCGACAGGACACAACTCGATTTGGTGTCGCGAGTGCGCGCTGTCTTTTGGGAACCGCACCGTGCTGGAGTCGAAGGATACGAATGTGATGTTGAGATCGCATATGCGCTCCCCTGACGAACCGTCCGTGATTGTTTTCAGTGTTCGCATCATGTTCCCGCTTGATTTGATCTCGTATGTTGGTGGCGAGGAGGACGAGGATAGCTTTTGCGCTACTTGCTCGGCTTCGTCGAGGAAGGCGTGGCTGAAATCCCCGATGAAGGGAGACTGTACCCGTCCTGAGAGCTCGGTGATTTGGGCTGTTGTTTTGAAGTGGATGCAGCCCTTTAGGTAGAAGATGCGTGTCGGCTGCAGCACGACGTCGGTGTTGAGGGGGAAGTCGTCGGGGTGGAATGGGTGGCCCATGGTTTCGGAGGGGCGTTATTAGGGGTTCTTTATCGATATATTACGGTGTAAAATGAAGAATAAATTCCTTGCTCTTTTGGTGAGTCTTACTTCTCAATAATCGCTATATCTCGCTCTGTAAATCGCTTAGGGGTATCGCTCAAGCTGCGATGTTTGACGCTTGCGATAAATGGTTATATTCTCCTTAGAGGCAACGGCAATCAATGTTACATTACTTTAGTCTTCCCGCGCGAGATCTAGCTAACATCAAGTGCCGGCGCCGTCGTGTTTATAAAACGGCTTCCGTAGCACGGCTGGGTGTTTGGAGTAGACGGAGGCTGCGGTGTATGACATCACTGCTGATCCTACTGCCTTGATTTTCAACATCAGCAACTCACCAAGTTCAAGTTTTGAGAACAGAATGTGGCGTCGGTTGGCGTCACCAAGACATATACGAACCCTATTGTGTTCGTGTGATAGGTCTGATGATCTCGATCCTTGTGGCTGCCGTCTCCCTGGCATCTTTAGATTGTCATGAGGGCGCGAGGCGCAGTACGCAGTCCTTTACTTGTATGTATGGTAACAGGTATTTTGAGATGTAAACAAGAACTTAATCTAATCCTTTTTATGATTCTTTAGATGGGAATTTTATAGTTTCCCAAGACCCGTGAGTTTGGTAAATGATCCCGTCGTTTGACGGTTGTCCAAACCTAAAGTCTCAACTTCCCCAACTTACCCGCTTTCCGAGGTCATACATGACGTAATAGGTAACAATTTCCAAGTTAGAATTGATATTGGTGTTCCGGCTTACAGCTCGTGGCTTCTCGGATATTAAATAAATGGTATTCGCTGTGTGTAATTATGAAGCTGCAAACATTTTATGTGAGACATTAATCAATTCTCAACCTTTTATTACTTATTAGGTATCGGTTGTCATCGAATTATTGCTATTATGTGCGGACTTTCCGCGCAATTTTCAAATGCGACGGTCTTGGATGCCCCAGATTGAGACTCGTTTCATAACTTGACTTTCCACTGAGGATATTCTTGTAGCTTGTCGTCAAGTGATGAGCTGTCGTTCACGAATCGCATAGCAGTGTCATACCGAATTGCGACGGATGTTTGGAACTATGCTCTACAGTGAATTCAAAAAGTCTTCGGCTTTGATGGTTATCCGAAAATCCAATAGAGTGGGATGAAGCCGGATAGAAAGTTGATTCCCGCTGCTAAGCGTTCTCATGTATTCCGTATGGATGAACATTGAAGAAGCGGAGTCAGAGTTCTTATCATGAGACAAGTCTAAAATTGATAGTCTGATAGGCAGGTACTTAGGAAAGATAAGGTAATTGTGCTAACTTTGCCCCTTTCCGGCAGTGTATAAAAGTATTTATGTAACATCTGACTAATGAACATTCCTCGGGTACCTTAAGACCATTGGAAACGAACTCAGTCTCCATCCGGCTTCAACACCGCTTCACCTACTTTTTGGAAAAGTCATAATGTCTTTGCAATACGAGAAACACTCTGCTAATGATGCGGACGCGGTTAAAAAGACTTGCTCGAAATATGGGTTGACAACTGAAGAATTTAGCGAACTACATCAGCGAGCTGTTGCCGCCAAATCGACAGCTTACTGCCCATATAGTCAATTTCGAGTTGGTTCGGCAATCATATCTATCAATGGCGTCTATTTCAGCGGAGCCAATGTTGAGAATGCATCGTACCCGGTTGGAACGTGTGCTGAACGCGTTGCCTTCGGCAAGGCTGTTACCGAAGGACAACGGAAGATGAAAGCTGTAGCTGTGTCAACCGATATAACTCCTCCGGCTAGTCCGTGCGGAATGTGTCGCCAATTGTAAGTTTGGTCTGACTTACAAATCTTGATATACCGGCATGGTTTGATTACTGGGTAGTATACTAATTTCTAAAGCATTCGAGAGTTTTGCGATCTTTCCGTTCCAATCATCATGTTCGATAAGAATGACGATTATATAGCATTGCATCTTGAACAGGTATGATGACTAAAGTCTTCTATATAAACATAAGCTAATATTCGTGCGGCTAGTTGTTACCCTTGTCTTTTGGACCCGAAGCACTTCCTCCGCCGGGATCACGCTCTGCTTGAGTCGATGCATTGCAGAAGTTTCAGCATACGGTCTTGCAGATCTCCGTCCAGGATCTTTAATTCTATGGTCGTACAGCTGCAGTCTCGATTCTTGTGTTTGAATCGAGTTTAGCTTGTGAAACTCGTCTGCTTCTAGAATTTCCAATCAACAGCTGGTCATTCAAATGTGGGGGATTGGGGAAGCTGGAAGCTGGAAGCTTTAAGAGATCCAATAAACAACCGTTGCTCCCATCGAGTCGACGCAGCGATCTACCGTTCGTTTTAGTACCACGCTGCAACCGAGCAAATTTTGAGTCATATACTCTAAATGGGAGAAGGTTTTATGGAGATGCTTGATACCATATCCTGTTCTGCTATATTGAGTTTGTTGTTCTATCGCATACACTACTATACCCAGGTATACGAAGTATATGATGTTGAGTAATAAGCTTAGCGAGGTTTCTATTTATTGCACATGTCATGTGGTTGTAGTTGTAGTTGATCCCGGGGATATGGTCTTTCATTTCAATTTTTTTTTTCATGCTGTAACCTGACATTCTATACGATAGCCTCATAAGCTTTAGCGCATCCCCAACCCAGACACGTTCTCACAAGTTATAGTTTACATGGTCTTAATCGAGGTCTTTCAAGGGTTTCTCCAAGTTCAGTGAAATTGCGACGGTTCCCCACAACTGACCATCTCCGGGATTTGTTGCGCCTAACGAGAAATCTCCACACTAATAACCCTGGACGATCTCGAGCGTTGATGCGCACCAATCACTAGCCTGGTTGTCGGTCCGAAGAAGAGTTAGCTCGAGAATCTAAGTCCTTTCGCCTCCGCATTTCAGTGGCTTACCCCGTGTCTAGAGGCGTGATGTGGAGGACCGCAGAACCACAACAAGGCGGCGATTGGTGGTTTGGCATCGACTGTAACATTGGCAGTGATTATGTGGAGAAATATACGGCCTGGTCGTCTGAGAAGGCTACCATAGGCTCGCCTTGCAGGTGAAGGATCTGGGATACTGATGAGAATGTGACGTCGGCCCCAACCGTGAGCTCACCTAGGGTGAGTGGGCAAGTTATTGCACCTATAGCAGCTCGTCTTTCTCTCTCCTCCGCATGGCAAGCCTGGACCGTCGCTTCGTGAAGCTCCTCATATGGGTCTATGGCCCGACGCGTACCTCCTTGCCCGGCGGGAAAATCCCGAATGGGTCCAAGATTGCCCATGCTACGCAGTAAGCACGAGGAATTCCGTGTCTTAGTGTCGTTGGGTATCATCAGATGCATGCAAGAAAGCTTTATTATATGAAGGGTTCACTCCACCTACATCGAAACTGTTCCCCAAGCTACCTTTGCTGTTCGGTTTTGCCTTCACGTGTCAATTTGCCTTCCACATCTGCGACGGACCTTCGAGGGAAGCGATCAAGATGGCGCGGCTTCCAAAGATCAGTAAGTCGATGCTGAGATTTTTATCTGTATGCGCTATGCTAACGTATCCCGTCAGCCAATACCTACTTCATGGCTATTATAGCCACTGTTGGAGGTATGCTCTTCGGTTTCGATATCTCGTCGATGTCTGCCATCGTCATTACCGACCAGTATATCAATTATTTCAACAATCCGTCCGGCCTTATTCAAGGCGCTATCGGTTCTGCTCTCGCTGCTGGGTCTGTTATTGGTAGTTTGATGGCTGGTCCCATTTCCGACAAATGGGGTCGCCGAGACAGGTGTGTTCATAATCCTTATCCATATCAACCTGAGTCTTGAGTCTAATACGTGCTCAGTATCATGTTTGCCTGCCTCTGGTGGTTGGCTGGAACCGCTGTGCAAGTTGCTACTAACGGAGTTGGCTCGCTGATCGCTGGTCGTGTCTTGAACGGTGTCTGCGTTGGTATCACTTCATCTCAGGTCCCAGTCTATCTCGCCGAGATTGCCCCACGAGTAAGTTGTGTTTTGCAGGCATATCGACATTGCACATGAACGGGAATCTCTAACGACTCATAGGACTCTCGAGGTCGCATTATCGTCATCCAGCAGCTGGCTATCGAATGGGGTATTTTAATCATGTACTTCATTGGTTACGGCGTAAGTAATTTCTCTGCTTATGTTTTAGGACTCTTATTTGAAAGATCATGTTCCGTTCAAAAACAAATAAGAACGCCACCTTTTTTATGTACATGCACTAACAATCGCTACTGCAGTGTTCTAAGATTGAGGGTACGGCGTCTTTCCGAACTGCATGGGGAACACAATTCATCCCCTGTGTTGGGCTTATGCTCGGTCTTCCGTTCCTCCCCAGATCTCCGAGATGGCTTGCCAAAGTCGGTCGCGAGGAGGAAGCAATTCAAGTTCTCGCCGATATCCAAGCTGGTGGTAACAAGGACGACCCTGTTGTTGTTGCCGAATGGGAAGAAATATTCACCGTCCTTAATGCTGAGCGCGAGGCGGCTAAGGGATGGAGGAAGTTCTTTTCCAACGGCATGTGGAAACGAACTCTTGCCGGAATGAGTGTACAGGCGTGGCAGGTAAATAAATCCCCTACGGTCTGACACCTGCATAAGTTTATGAGAGGCTAACACTTTTCTAGCAAATGAGCGGTGCCAATGTTATCGTATACTACATCGGATATGTCTTCCTGATGGCTGATCTTCAAGGCGATATTAACCTCATTTCTTCCGGTATCCAATATGCCCTCTTCATCATGTAAGTTGACTAATATGTACGCTGTGCCGTGGCCGATACTGACTAGGTATTTTTAGTTTCACTACCATCATGTTCTTTTTCATCGATAAAACTGGTCGTCGATCGCTCCTTGTTTATGGTTCGATCGGTATGGCTGTCTGCCACTTTGTTGTTGGTGGCTTGCTTGGCACTTACAGCGTTTCCGTCCCCGAGGGCGTCGGTGGCAACCATAATGTTGTCATCAGAGTTACCGGTTCCCCCGCACATGGTGTTATCGCATTCAGCTATCTTCTGATCATCGTCTATGCGCTTACCCTAGCCCCGGTCGCTTGGGTTTACGCAGCTGAAGTTTGGTCACTCGGAACACGAGCGACCGGTATGTCGCTGGCCGCTGTAGCCAACTGGCTATTCAACTTTGCCCTTGGTCTTTTCACCCCTCCGGCTTTCCTCAACATTAAATACAAGGTATTCATTATCTTTGGAGTACTTTGCATTGGCGCAGCCATTCAGGCCTGGTTCACTTACCCTGAAACTTGCGGTAAGACCATCGAAGAAATCGAACTGCTGTTTGCCAAGGGGGCACTACCCGCGTGGCAGACTAAGAAGGGCGGTTCTCGTCTTGAAGCTGAAATCGAAGCCGTGTTGAACCGTAAGGAGCAGGGCGAAGATGTTCATGCGGTCGTTCACGAAGAACTGGAGAAGACCGGATCTGCGAAGGAAGTGCCTACACAGACAGCGTAAGAGGATAACTTACAGTAATGTTTAACATTCTAGCTTAATAAGCGTCGAGGGAATAGTGAATAATTGGAGGCTTTTTTAGTTTGCGCCATAATCGAATCGGAAGTAGAATGCTAGATTATATACCATCTCATGCAAATAAAAGTGTATCTTATTATATTACGAGGTGTATTAAATTGTGAATTTCTTAAACTTCAACGGTGTATAATATGAGAATGAAATCAAATAGGTATAGAATGGTGTCTCCTTGAAGACTAGATCATACGTCCTCGCGTGTAATGTGCTCGGTTAGTTTGCTGCCATTTTACGCACTGATGCAATTTAGACTTTACACTACAGCAACTTACCGTTGATTGGGGAATCCATATTCCTTGCATGTGCTACTAGGGGTACCTGAGCTAGGAACCGAATAGGAACTGCCCCCACACCCGTGTCGGAACCTTTAGAAGGCTCTCCCTGCCCAATACCACTGCACCGACTTAATACAGGACCGCATGCGCTATACACGGCAGGCACGACTTCTCCTAATCCACCTATTTTTTATCACTTTCCACGCTCGAACCGCGTTGCTAGTTTTTCCCTCTTCTTTAGCCCATCACAGCTCTTAGCAAAACGTCGCAACTTGTGCGCATGTCACTTCATACTTTATCTAACGATTATGCATTTATAGTGCCTAGTTGAGGTTCTTTAGCCCTTTAATAACCACTTCGCGTTGGTTCATGCCGATTCATCCCCGGCCACTTCGCTCCCCACACTCTCAGTCGCAAATCCTCACGATTGCAATCCACCTACCGCCACCATGGACCAAGCAGATATACCCGCATTGCTGTCGCGACTTGCTAGCGACGAAGATGCCGCGCGGAAAATGGCTGTGTTCAAATTGCAATCCTCCATAAACGATCCTTCATTTGCAGACGTCTTCATCTCTTCTGGCGGTCTGATCATACTACGACGATTGATCATGAGTACCGGCGGAAATACACTCGCATACTCGTTACAAAGTCTAAGTAGATTACTCGAGGTCGATATGGGATGGGATATCTTCGAGGGCCCTTCAGCAAGCGATCTAGTCGAGCGCGTTGTCGAACTCATCGTCACGAATCCACTGGTTAACATTCTTCGAGGTGCTATGTCCATTCTCGTTGCACTTGTCAGCCATTCGCAGTCTACATCGTCGGGAGGTCGTGCGCCTGTAACGTTCGGGTTCCGCGCATTGAAGCCAGCCGTAGCTGTCTACCCGCAATTCTTCGAACTCGTCATCCAGCAACTACAATCGGCCGATCACGCTCTCTGCGCCAACGCACTTATGTTGATTAATGCTCTCATAAGGGATGCTGTCTCGAGCGAATCTGGTAACGAAAATGGTAGGATAGGCGGAAGTGGAGAAGAATGGCCTAAGTTTATAAGGCGATTACAAGATCTGGGCCTGATTAAATCGGTATACAACCTGATGCAGAGCTCGGCACTGCAAGACCTTGCGCACCCTTTATTGGAGTTTCAGTCTCTTACTAAGGTACTGCTTCAAAAATGGCGGCAGGTTCAGGTTGACGTCGAAAGGCCAGAACACAGGAGGGCATTGAAAGGGCTTCATCTTGCGAGCGCACCGAACAGAGACCATGCGAACGGGATCGGGAGAGTTGAGGAACTCCAAGAGTCTGGGAAAAAGGGGAGTAGGAGACATAACCCTGAAAAATGGAGAAGACTTGGCTTCGAGACGGAAAGTCCAGCTGCGGAGTTCGATAATACCGGTTTTCTTGGCTTAATGGACCTTGCCGATTTTGTGCGGAAGAACGAGGATGGTTTTCAGAAATTACTCTTGGAGCAGTCGACCAAACCACTCCACGAGCGCTGTCCTATTGCGAGATCGAGCCTAGCGGTTACGCTCATCTTGTACGAACATTTCGACTGCGATAGATCAGAAATGGAAGACTTGAGGGGATACCAGCTATCAGATGGGAAACATCAAGACAAGCTATTCCGCCCGTTACTCTTGCAATGGTCCAGATTACATACAGGTGGACTTAATGCATTTTTCAAGTTATGGAGGTCTACCGGCGCAGACCAGGATGATTTTGAAAAAGTATCGGAATTAGTTCGTATACTTGTAGATCAGGTTATAGGACAGGCTGGTCGGTCGAAAGACATTTTAGAGGTCGAGGAAGATCTAGTGGAGTATGATTTTGGACGTTTGCGCGAGCTACAGATGGAACTTCTAGAACTCTCCTTCGATGACCAATGGGGCCAACACCTTTACAAAGTACGGGACAGTCTAAACCAAGAAGCTCTTACATTTGTCAAGGAACAACGGGTTAGGTGTCTGTTAGAGGGCTCCTGGTTTTCAAAACCAGTGCCACGAAAGGATAGTCAGGGGACCAACTATCAGAATCGCCGTGGAACTGACGGCACACTTTGGCGGTACGCCAAACTGTCACACAACCGCCGTTATCTCCACTACGCTGACTTCGGATTACGGACTGGTCCGGATCCAAACTTGGATTCTCTAGCTGAGAAGGTGGATTTGCGACAAGTCAGCTCTGTTGCTTCTAATGTATCCGCTCCGTCTACCGAGGCTATAAACGGAACAAGCAACAGCACGAAAATTACGATCTTCGGTTACGTTAATCCTGACGAAGTTGACAAAGCTAAGGACTTGAGCGAAGTCAAGGAGACGCCATTACTCACTTTACATCCCCTGAATCATAGCGTGGCCTCGGAATGGCTCGACGGTTTATTGATGCTGCTAGGGCAAGCTCCGATAACATCGGAGACCAATAAGCTTATCAAGCTAGTCCAAGACTACGGTATGAAGATCAGGCTGCTTAATGTTCGGATGGAAGCTACCTATACAGGACCTCCGGAAGGTGCTGGTGTAGTTCCGAGTAGAGAGGGGCTTAATGATGACTATTGGTATGAGATCTGAGATGGTTTTGGCCCTATACACGAACGCGTATGGGATCCTTTGGGTGGCATTGTTTAATGTTATTGACGTTATCATTCGGACAGAGAGTACAGATCGCATACTGTTCATACGACCTTGCGATCCAGGACAGAGAGAGGTCGTACTATTGCACTGGTTTCCGAGCTATTCGACATTCAGAGACGCCCGCAAGGGAAGCTAGGGAGGTTCGCATTGTCTGAGGATACCACATTTTGGTTTGCTACGCATAATGATATACCCATGACTGAATTGAGAATCGCTGTTATAATGAGTTACTAGTCTACAGATTATGATATTGGTATTATACGTCTCCCCTTTATCCTTATTGTTTACGCTATGTCCTTCTAACAAGCTTCTCGGACCCAAATTTATTATTTTGGAGACATTATCTTGTAGCTTTTTTATAAGACCTAGTACCTACTAGGTAGATTGTTAAAAGTGACTGTTATCGTGTTACCTACTCAATTAGGTAGTCTGCTTCAATTTTCGGAGTTGAAGAAGGTGGGAGCGCCCTGCGGAATTATGCAGGTTATGCAGGTAACATGCCAAGCCTCTGGAGATCTGGTAACACTAGTGCGGAATTACCCGCACCCCACGTGTCTTGGTTTCAGCTCAGTTGTCCCAGCCACCAGTTTTGTACCGTAGTATGCGATTTTGTACACTACCCCAACCAGGTACATCATCTGCTCCGTCTCCCGGTTACATACTAACTTTAAACCTGTCGTCATTGCTACGATAGCAGGTATCAAAACATCAACATCCTGAGTTGCCCATCTCCAGGATACTTGTTGTTTTGGGCTTTCCGAACAGGCAATTATAACATATTCAAACGAATTGATGTGTTAAAGATCAAGCAAGATCCAATCTACTCGCCACCATGCAACGGTCGCAAGCTACTCCTAAGACGCCGTCGAGCAAAGCTCCGCACAACGGCTTCTTCAGAAACGGAGTATGGCATTGTAAGTTACGGCTTAAAGTTTAAATCATCCCGAAGCTCATACTGCACGGGTAACAATCGCACATGCATAGAAAACTAATCAATTTGTTTGTTTAATTGTAGGCAATTGCATTCCTCGGCTACCGGCGGTCCAGTTTACGGTTAGGAAGAACACAGTCAACAAAGGCCGCTCGTTCTACACCTGCCAGAAGGACAAAGACAGGAAGAACAAATGCGACTTTTTCCTTTGGTTCGAAGATGCTCGCGAGCGCGAAGTTGGCGCCGTTTTAACCAATTCGCGCAGCGAGACTGAGGACACCCCGAGTCGTAAACCGAAGAGACAGAGAACGCTACACGAGAGCATCACCCCATCCAAAGACAAACGACCGGAGGGAGAGAAGACGCCTGTTCTTAGCATTGCTGGACTGAATCAGTTTCTTAGTCGCAAAAACCGCAACGAGAGCACACCCTCTTCCACGACTTTGCAGAGCCAGACGGTCAGAGGAAGCCTGAATGTTGAACAGGAGTCGGCCAATAATCTAGGCGGCCTTTTCACCTCGGATGAAGATTCGGATGAAATAGACCAGATATTTCAGGAATTAAGCAACAAGCCGGTGTCCAGCGCAATGCAGAACACACCGTCAGCAGGATCCAAGAGAAAGCGACCGGACGCCGATGAGTACAGCGACTTTTCGTCCGGCGACGAGGAGGAACTCGCGATTATCACCGACAACTCCGCCAAGACCCAGACCAGACACCGCGATGCATTCGAGACGCCTTCCGCAACTCGAACCTTTGCCCCCAAAGACGGTCTACCGACCCCGCTCACCGAGAAGCCCATTCGTCGGGTCCTATTCGCCGACCAATCCACCTCCACGAAGCGGCTGCGTACCGACGAATCCGGATCCTTCTCTACCCCCGCGGCCTCGACTTCTTTCACCTCCACCTCCACCTCCACCACCCCCAAGCAGACAACCTGGTCACAGTCCTCAACCCCGTCCTCGTCGCAAGGAAAAAGCAACCCGAGCATGACGGACGAAGTCATGTCTTTCCTCGACGGCACACAGCTCGACAAGGACGTCGAACGCGCCGTGCGCGCCGCGCTGGACAGACACGCGGCGCGGGCGCGGGGACTCGAGAAGGGCCGCGATGCTGCGCGCGAGGCGATGAAGACGGCGAAGACGCAGATCGCGGGACTCCAGGCTAAGATTGCGGATCTGGAGAATCAGCGGAAACTGGATGCTGAGGCGAGACAGAAGACTCGCACGGATCTTATGCGGCTGTATCGCGATAGCTAGGCGCTTGAGGCGGCAAGGTGGGAGGATGGGGGCATGTGAGGCCGTCGTGGTTAACGCCAAGGACGGCCGTTTCATGGGATTGAAAATCGGGCTATGTGGATTTGGAGCTTGGTGAGCTTGGGAAGTTGAGGATACCCCTTTAGTTTTGCTTTTGCTCTTAATACCGTGAATAGGTACATAGGTAGTTAGGTTATGAGACGTTGATACTGCTCTCGTAATACATCCTAAAGTCCCAATCAATATGCGCGCTCATCGAAGATGTCCTGAGGGATCTCATTGGGACGTCGTGTCTTGTGACATGTTATTGTTTTGTTCATTTATCAAATATCTAAACCCGATAGCCTTCAATCTAAGTATACTCAATCAAACGGTATCCGGCGTAGCTCCCCAGCACCATTTTTTCTCATCGCTTGGGCTGCTGCAATTGCGCTAGGCACCTTGATACCGCAACAATCACCCCAGCTATTAGCATTATGTACATGCTTCATTCCATCATGGTCAATAATGACACCTCCCCCTTCGGTTTCATCCTCTTCGCCTGCTATACCTGCTTCAGACTCGCTGCTCATACCCTCTACGGCCGGCACTAGTGAGCCGAAAAGGAAATGCTGCATCACCGGCAACTTTCGTAGGACCTCTGCCACAAACATCCTTTTCATTCCGCCTTCGATCTTAGTCCAGCTCTTCGCTGAAGATATATCGTCTAGCATCGGGCTATGCCATCGTAAACCTTTAACCGTTTTGGTGCTGTTGACGAAGTTGACCTGCCCTAAATACATATAATCGTGACCAAACTCTTCGAGGGTTAACTCTTGGTGGATTGCCAATGGTGTGATAAAGGGATGGTGGAGAAGTTGGCTGGCCCCAAATAGAAACGGTAGGAATTGGTAGTCGTCCAAACCCCAGACACCGTGAGAACCAGCTGGTTCAAGATAATATGTCGACTGAATCGTTTGCATAAGCTGTAGATAGCGGATGAAGACTTTTAAGACTAATGCCTTAAAGTCGGATTTCTTCACAATCTGGAGTTGGTATAAACATAGGAGCCATATCATGAAATTTAGCTCGTGACCTGAGCCATAGTCTATTCGAGTCCGATTGCCTAGTGAGTTATTGAGATATGTTTCAACCTCCGAGATAGCATCTTTAGATGTCAAACCAAGCTCCTCGTGCCAAGAAGAGCTTGCGGCTTTCTCCTTGTCAAGAAAGGTGCGGAAAACCTTGTTCCCAAACCTCGAGCCTTCTGCGTCGTCAGGAGGCGTGGCTAGAACTAGAGCTTCTGTCTTATCAAGGATTCCAAGAATAGACTTTACGGCAGGACTACAGTCGTCGTCTTTGACGGCGGACACTGGAGTATCTATCACGGCGTCTGAGAGGCCAAAGACAAATGCGACAATAAGATTGTGTGATGGCGACGAGAGAAATAGCTGATGGTCATGGATGGATAGGATACGTCGACCAGGAACCTTGAATGAATAAGATGAAGTGTCCGGCGGCGGTGGTAGAACGGGCGTTTCTGGTAATGGAAGGGGATTTGAAGGTGCAGGTCGGCGACGGCGGGGTTCGAGCTTAGGAAGCTTGTCTCTCAGATTTGGAATTGCTGCTGCAGGTTGTTGAGTAGCCATTTTCTCAATAGGGAGCTTCACGGTTATAGTTTCGTGAGAATGTTGTTAATGTTAAGTAATATACATGAGAGGTTCTATGGATGGGTTGATTATAAAGATGTAGGTAGAGGCAAGTACGCCACACGGAGGTATACCGTGTTGGCCGATTGCCCCTCTATGATGTATTAATGAATAATTCGTTTAGTGAATTCATATAAAAATTAAGTGGGGGGTTTATAACGGAAGTAGCAAGGCACCGATACAGAAAGGTGGGGCAGGAATACCCAGCTTGTACGACATATCGTCCCACCTTATCCAGGTTGATACCCGATTGAGAAAAAGTTCGACCCCATCGTCATCTCACTTTTTGATTCCTGAATAGCCAACGCATGCGCCGTTCATCACCAACTAAAATAAAACCACAACAATTCCTAGGAAAATGACGGTCAATACTGAGCCAGAAGCTTTATTGTCTCATCTTCAAAACGCTGACGGTTCCGCTACGTTCTCCTATGCCGGGTATACTGTCATCGGGGCTGTAAATGGGCCGATCGAAGTGCAAAGACGAGATGAGCTCCCAGAGGAAGCGGCCGTCGACGTGATCGTACGACCAGCTGCAGGGGTTGGAGGTTCGACTTCGAAACCTGTCGTTGAATCTTACTTAAACATCATCTAATTCCATTTTATTTTAGGCACAAGAGAAAAACACCTGGAGTCATTAATCCAGTCGACCTTGCGCCAAATTATCCTCGTCAACAACTTCCCGAGGACCCTCATCCAGGTTATCCTACAGGTCACTACCGCCCCGGAGAACGAATATGTAAACGCCAAAGTTGTGCAGGCTGGTTCGGTAAGTTATACTTTTATATATTGTATATTATATATTGTGGCATCACATAGGGCAAGCTGACTAGGTTGTGCAATTCAAGAACCTACCTATCCTACCAGCTCTATTGCAAACAGCTGTACTGGCCCTCCTCTCCGCTGCTCTTCCGCTGACAGCGACGTTGACCTCAACCTCCCTGGCTATTGTCGCCGACGGCCAATCGAAGAAGGTCCTCATAAACCCTTCACCGAGAGATATACAGACATCGGAGTCCTTCCACGTTTTCTCGTTTACCTCACACGATGAACTAATTCTTGTCGAAAGCGAAGGGAGCTTCACAATAAAAGAATGGGATGACGCCTTTGTCGCTGCTCAGAGACAATGTTGCTCACCAGCTGCCACGAGCGATGGCGACACCCTCATGGATGATGACAGCCGTGCTGGTGCGGACTTGAAGCAGTTTACACGATCTACGCTCGAGGAGAAGACAGCTTCGGACCTGCATTGGAAATGAACGACACTGCTTCTAGTCTTAAACACTACATCGCGGACCAACACGTGTCACGGGGTGTATTCTAGGGATGTGACTGGCTAGAGTCTGCACAGTAAATGCGCCAGACCGCCGGTTCGGATTATGCCAGGTTGGGCGCTGGGTCCGTGTTGACATGTTTGATGCTCCCGAACGAATACATTGCTCCCTAAGAAGACATTGAGGATCGTCTCCTAGGAATGGTGGATCATCGGCTTAAGTTGATAGGGTCGCTCTGTTTACATTGCATGGCAAAATGTTGATCGGATGTGCCTTTGGTGGACAAGCGGGACGAGCGGGAAAAGCGGCAACTATTGCAGTAAGCTAACCATAAGGTATGCCTTGCCCATACTCTGCCAAGAGTTTGGCTAGTCTGTTAGACTCGTTAACTGCCACAGGGTCACGTTTGGGACACCACGAAAAAACGACGACTGTGTTTCATCCCGCGTGCTGACGGCTAACCAAGTGTAATAACGACAGCATGGCACTTTTGACGGTGTCTATGGATAGCCTCCACACATATAGTTTCTAGCTACGTTTTGTCAGTTAGAACTCCTACGAGGTACCGAAAAGATTGGTTGACAACCTTCTCGAAATTCGAAATATTCTGTGAACCAATGGACATCGTATCGGTAGAGTGGCGGCTAATAGATGTTTCTGGATGTGTGATCTGCGCAGGGGAGGTGATTCTGGTCGAAGATGTTCCAGACGCAGGATTCATCCTCAAGTGAGAGGTCAAAACAATTCGGGATTATGCAACTATGCTCGCAGGAGATCACGGAGGCTCAAGGAGGCTCAAGAGCCCGTATCAATCGCCGGTTGGTTGGCAATTTGATTGATCGGAAGCTGTTGCAGATAGCTGCGAGCACCTGGAAGCCCTGCGGTGGGAGCTGGAAAGATGAGACGAGACCAATCCCCTTATGCGTTGCTCGCTTACATGCCCCTGGCTCAGGGTTGCAATGTGAGACCTGGCGCGAAAACGCTTCACAGAATCTGTTAGGGAAAACAGGAGAAGTGCTAGTAATGGTGGGTCAAACCACAGCCACGTACCCTACATTCTTCGTTATCATGATCTTTTAAGATGCAAAATGCTGCATTTCTATACGGGCTGACGGGGTGATGGTACACCTACCGGGTTTTATTACCGTACACGGTATTAACTCGAAGTTCCCTAAGGTCTAGTACTTACAGCGTACATGTAGGCGCCACTCTTTTTTTGCCCTTCTGTTTTTTCTAACAAGCCTCGTTCCTTCTACCCTGCTACTTTCCTTCGGCGAAGTACGTACTTCGGAACCCCCACAATTTCCCGGTACCCTTGTACCTTATTGCAAGGTTTTATCCTAGATGTAACTCCACATGCCCAAGCACGGAGTAGAAGCTTGTTGGAGCACCCGCTTAAGCCATCTCAAGACATCTCCACATTCGGTCCTCCATCTCTTATCTCTAGGAGATCGAGCTCATCTTAATAAGTTGAGTTGGACGCGATCAGTTCTCGAGGCGTCTCGTCTGTCTGGATCTTCAGTCACTCAGACCCAAGCCTTTCTCTTCTCAAAGCTGTTTGTGCATACAGCAAAGCAGAGCTCTGGAAGTTCTCGCAACTAACCTCGAGTCTCTCTGCATTTTTAACTATTTTCCGGCCTGGCTGCTCACCCTTTTTTGCCACTTTCGTTTTTTACCTATACCATCGTATATGTTGAGTTGAGCTCGAGTTATTATACCTTATTATTTTAATAGGCTTGTCCATAAACCTCGAATATTTTTCTGTCAACGTCGAGACAACCACCATTAATATAAAACCTCCCGGATCTCTATCGATATCCCCCGCCACTAGTTCGATAATAAGACCAGACCACAATCACCTTATAGTCTGTTCACAACGTCTAATCGAGCGGGTTCTCACATCGTCCGGACTTTATTTTCCTGCACGACACAAGTCTAAGACATTTCGTCACAACCTTCCCGAAGCAAGTCTCAGTCTCCAGTCTGCAACTCGACTTCCCGGAATACCGCCGCTATAGTGATAGAATTTATAATCACGTCCCATCGAACAATATCACAGGACTAGTGTGTAGCTTGAGGGGCATTCTTGTGTAAGTTTCCTTGACGATGATTTGCCGAAGAGAGGCTGCGCTTGTACCATTCGTCCCGCCACTGCATAGGAGTTTTACCTAAGTGCTACTAGACAACAGAGTTTGTGGTCATATATGTAGTACATGGAATTTCCCATGCTTAATACACGTGGTGTCTTATATAAGACGTCAGTATAGCTGACAAACTGCTTTTTTTAGTGTCGTTGGCTATTCGATCCTTACAGACACTGCTTTTGTCATACGGAGTCAAATAGAATCGAAGACGGACTTAAGGACCCAAGCCACTGGATCCCGCTGTATTCGATAAATCCTGCAAGTTTCGGAAATAGCATAGGACCTTTGTACCTCATCGGATTCGGCGTTCTTTTGTTAAGCCGTCTCGATACGCGATAGGCGAGTGTCACGGTGCTTCGAATACATCGATCGAGCACATTCTTTTTAGGTACATTGTTACCTTGGTACCTAGCACGGACTTAGCTTAGGACCCACGTACTGTACTTCACGTTTAGCGCAGTTGCCTTGTGGAGCTTCAGCGCTATGTCTAATTTGGGCTTAATGGGTTCGCCTACGATGGGGGTACATCCTACTCTCAGCAGTAATAATAATACGCTGGTAGGGGATGCCGCTGACGGAGGGGTCGGGGTGGGTGTCGGCCATGTTACTAAGGCCTCGTCCACTATCGCCATTTCAGAATACCCCCTGCGACATTCCAGTTCGCCTACAACTACAAACTCCGACACTGCGCCGCATGTTCCTGCCAACTCTTCCCTTCCTCTTCAACATCAATCTCATCAATGCAATGCTGACCACGACGACGATAACTCGGAGCCTTCAGCTCTAGCCTTAAAATCTCCCGACGACGTCCCTTCCAAAAATCAATCGCGCGGTCACCACAGTCACGCTCCCTCCGTTGAGGCTATTCCTCGCCAGACTATTATGAAGGCGCTAGCCTCGGTCGCACGAAATAATAAGCCAGAAGCATTATCATTGAACGGGATGTTGTCCGCACACGCCGCGGGCGATCAGCGACCCGACTCTTCTTCCCAGCAACTCTCTGAAGCCCTTTCCAGAGAGCTCGCCGCCCGCAACATGACTCCGACCACCGCATTCCCTTCTCTTCAGTCGCCTTGTTTCTGGCACAATCGGTTTGACGATGCGGTAGACATTGAAAAGGTCTTGGAGGAGATTAAGAACGACGAATGGATGTCGCATTCGAGGCTCGTACAGACTGCTACGGGCGTCCGTGAAGTCTCAAAGCAATTGCAACGCCGACCTATCCGTCGCGCAGTGCGCAATGTCATGATCGTCACCAAGGCCCGTGACAATGAACTAGTTTACCTAACTAGGGAATTGACCATGTGGATGCTCAGAACACCCCGATACGGCTCGGATATTGGAGTTAATGTCTATGTCGATGCGAAGCTACGCAATTCGAAGCGTTTCGGTGCTTCTAGTATCGTCGATGAGGATACTCGATTCCAATCCATGTTACGTTACTGGACCCCGGATCTATGCTGGAGCAGCCCGGAGAAATTCGACCTTGTCTTAACTCTCGGAGGTGACGGGACTGTCTTGTTTACGTCTTGGCTTTTCCAGAGAGTTGTTCCTCCGGTCTTGTCATTTAGTTTAGGAAGTCTCGGCTTCTTGACGAGCTTCGAGTTCGAGAAGTATAAGCAACATCTCAACCGGATCATGGGCGAAGAGGGTATGCGTGTCAATCTTCGCATGCGATTTACGTGCACCGTCTTCCGCGATGGCGCTAAAGGCCAGGAAATGGAGGAAGGAGAGCAATTTGAAGTTCTTAACGAGCTCGTCATCGACCGCGGCCCGTCTCCTTACGTTTCCAACCTCGAGCTTTACGGCGACAACGAGCTCCTAACTGTTGTCCAGGCGGATGGATGTATCTTCTCTACTCCAACTGGATCAACAGCATATTCTCTCTCTGCAGGCGGGTCTCTGGTCAGCCCCGACCTACCTGCTATTCTCCTTACTCCGATCTGCCCACACACATTGTCCTTCCGTCCGATGGTACTCAGTGACACGATGCTTCTTCGTGTTTCCATCCCGCGCAATTCGCGTGCTACAGCTTATTGTGCATTTGACGGGAAGGGTCGGGTTGAGCTAAAGCAAGGAGATTGTGTGACGATTACGGCTTCTCAGTACCCATTTCCCACGGTCATGCGCACCGGAACCGAATGGTTCGACAGTGTATCACGCACCCTTCAGTGGAACACGCGAGCTGCCACTCAAAAGGGCTTTGAGAGCAAGCAATCGGGCTCTGTCAACGGCGACGACGAACCCGAATGGGATATAGATACCGATTCTGCCTACTACGCAAGTGAAGATGGCAGCACTAGCGCGAGTCCTTTACGACGACAGATGAGCCTTTTGGGCATGTAGAGATGGCATAGACTTAGATTCGCGGGTTAGAGAACTAGATGGGTGGCGTATGATATAGTTATATCTATTTTTCCCCTGCACACATCGCAGGAGGGTCGAGGTGATCTCTCGATGACACCTCGAGGAGTTCTTTGGCGCTGACTGAGGGTTTCAATGGAGGACAACCTAGGGTTGCCTCCCAACGAGCGGCTGTTTAGTTTTGATTTGGGTATTTCGCACCCACCGAGACAATTCTTCCCCGTCACGGATACCACTGTCCTTTCACCGCCAGTCACGACGATGGCGATTAGATAGACCTTTCCGAATGAGATTCATATGAGGCCTACCTAAACTACATAAACTCAATCTACTGCACGTGAGGATCTGCGTAAATCGTTATGGTACACAGCTGCGAGAATATTCTTTGATGGAAAGCGGGTCAAACTGTTGTATCACTGCTTGTAGCCAAGCCCGGCGCATAAATCCACATGGTAGATTTCAAAAGTTAGGTGAGTCTGGGTCGGACCCGTCGGGGCGGTGTGAAGTCAATGCTTACGCAATACCTAGTAAATCCGTGCCTAAGTGAATTAGGAAACTAGGACTCGAACAGCGAGGTCTATGCAGATCAACGTGTCGAGCATTCCAGGTTCTAATTGCTTTTGGTAGCCTGGAAATCGACTTAAGGTCTTTACTCATACATATGTATGTCTCGATAACGTCGGACTTTTAATGTCATAAACGCTGGAGTCAATTTAATTGCCGATGCCGATTTGCAATCTTCGGAGAATGCCATGTAGGTATGTATCATAGTTCTTGAACACTTCTCTGTGTCGTCATTTGGGACTTGGCGTTGAGGCAATCGTCTGAGCGCGGCTCGTTCGCTCCGTGGTAGATCTCTTGAGGAATCACCTACTCTGTACATGCAAGTAGATTGGCATATGTATTATATATCGAAATTTTCGTTTACAGCAATGGAAATATACCTATGTTTTGCGAATCATTAATATGACTATATGAGCTTAAGCTGCTTTTGAGTTAATAGGTAATTAGGTGTAGTTAGTTACTAAGGTATGATAAGTTAAGAATGCCGAAGAGGTGTCTAGACCAGCAAGTGGCTTTTCCCCTGAGAGAGCGGAATCATTTATATGAACTAAAGACTCTAGCTAAACAAAGAACTTAAGAGGGACATCCATAGTTTCTAAATACAAACATAGTATCTAGGAATCGATTTCACATGAATTTAGTGGGTGATGAATTTGTTAGATGCATTCCACGACCTGAGTCAAACGGGTCGGAATCACATGGGTATCTATTAATATTATAATATCGTAACTCGATTATTTATTCCGATTGCAACTTGAATGATTCTGACTAATTTTAGATCTAAGAGACAACCTTAGAACCCACTTTCAGTTGGATATGATTCTTAATGGAATACCATGAACTATATTCATATTATCTATCATTTTTAGATCGCGACATATCCACTATGGAGATTATTGGAAGGTCAGATAGAGGCGTGTGCTTACCTTCCCCTCATGAGGCTCCAGGCTCTTCCACACTGCCACATTTAATCGTCTACTGTGCGTCGCACTTCGCGACTTTTCTCAATTGGAGAAATCAGGTTGCAAAGTTTGGTACTTAGGTGGCTGGAAACCGGAGGTTGGAAGGTGCCGGATGGTGTACTTCGATTTTCTCTGGTACTATTTTCATCTATTTTTATTAGCGCATTCCTGTTGTACTGTTGTGCATACCTGGAGATGTCACGCCCTAAGTAAATAAGGTTAACTAAATAAGTTACTGCATTCGGTAACTCTAAAAAGACGCGACGTATGTTTTGATTGGTCAATTCATCAACGCGATTACCAGGTACCTAGACTGACACGCCAAAGGCCAGGGACCCACTATGATCTATTACTCCAACACCAGCCTGCTCTTCTCTTTCCTCGACTTTCAATAGTTACTACAATTACAATCACTACATAACCTTTTCAACTTATTCTTGACTTCTCAATTACGGTATCCTACGCAGTGTAGAAGAGGACTTGTCTCTCGTTTTAATCTCCTGTCCCACCTGCTGCGTATATAATGCATGGTTAGAATAGCCGTAACAACATGTCACCCTCAACCGCGTCTTCACCTCTCGCTATGGCACCCGCACACGAATCCCACGAATCTCGATTATCTTTTAGCTCCCAGAGCAGTAACCCGGACTCCTCCGCCATGTCCTTCGAATCCTCTTTCAGATTAGAGTCTGGCTATCCCACCCACGACTCTAACTCCGAGAAGCATCCCAAGGGAAAGCGAAAGAGAACCACGTGCGTGTTTCGAAACCAGTTTCCTCGCTGTTTTATACCAATGGACCTACTAACTTGTTCTTCTATTCGCGTGTAGTACTCAAGATAAAGCCATTCTCGAAGCCGCGTATAATTCTAACCCGAAACCCGACAAAGCAGCGCGTCTCGATATCGTAAGTCGCGTCTCGCTCAACGAAAAGGAAGTTCAGGTTAGTTTAATCCATATTCTTCGAAAAGACGCGATAGACACTTCGTTAGAAGCTACGTCTAGGTCATCTGGTTCTAATGCATTTGTAGATTTGGTTTCAGAACCGCCGCCAAAATGATCGTCGAAAATCGCGTCCACTTTCCCCGCAAGAAATTGCAGCACTTAGATATGGCGGGGGTGTGCAAATTCTATCATCCGATTCTGCCCCCATGCCAATTGCTGCGTCTAGCCTAGCTGTGCAGCCGATAGACGCGCCAATTGACGACGAGAAAGCTTCTGATGTGGAAAGGCTACCCCTCAGCTCCCAGGACGCGACGCCCCAGCACTCCATCCAGTCTTCTCCGAAGTTTAGTGGTATAGATCACCCCCCGGCGGAGATGATTGCGAGACCGCCATCTGTGGGATCTGAGAAGGCCACGTCGCCGTCGTCCCAGAAATCTGATTTAGAGGGCTACTCGTTCTTCCGGACTTCTTCAACATCAATCGCACATTTGTCGACTCGACGAAGCTTCGACAACTCTTTTTCAACCCCCCCTGCCTATAGACAGACAGGCGACGAATCCTTCAGGTGGGTGATGTCTTTTCCTAATGTAGGTCTAAACACTAACTAATATCCATGCTAGACCCGGATCATTCTCGTCCTCTTTCAACTCGGCGCTTAGCAGTTCTCCTGGCTCTGTTCTTCCGCCGCCTTCGTCATCTTCTTCACAGGTTCGCCTGTCCCTTTCCTTGGATGGAAAAGCCGAGCTGGTTTCGTCTCAGCCATCGCCACCCTGTCCCGCCCAGATGCAACTTCCAGGAGAGGCAGATACATTGCCTCCGGTTCGTGTGAGCCGGACTCTTCACAGGAGTCGGAGTGCTTTACCCGGCATTACTTTGCCGCCTATTTCAACCCTTACTGCTCACCTTCCTCCACAGTTGACCCGAGGTCGATCACGGGATGTTCATGCGTGGGAATCTTGCTGTGAAGCCGACACACGAGATGAGTTGACGAAACTAGCTGAGAACGAGTCTTCGGGATCCGCCGTTGCGGCTATCAGCCTCCTACGCTCTAGCAGCAGCTCTGCTAGCCTCAGTAACTTGATTCACAGCCATAACAGCCCGAACATACTCCAATCCAACCCGAACAAACGCAACGCGCCACAGAATAAGCCTTCTCACCGAGAAGGCACTTCTAAAAAACCGAAGCTTAGCCGTGCCAGTAGTAGCGTCGCACGCATGCAAACCCTACCACCTGTGTCGCTCATAGATACTGCGGCAGCTGTAACTGCAGCGCTGGATCCGGAGAAGAAGCCCACGAAGGGCTGTCTATCTGTTATCCTAAGCCCCGGCGGTGACTCTGATAAGGAGAACTGGAGCCCGGATGAAGACGGCAACCCTCATATGAGCCATCGACGAGTCCCACCTTCTCCCAAACCACATGCACGGTCTCCAATTAGCAAGAATCCGCGCCGTGTCGGACGTATTCTTGGCGAGCAAGATGCTACGGCCAAGCGTTCACTACTCTTCGGAAATAGGGCAAATACGGCGCCTTTGTCGAAGGCACGCGACGCGCTGTCCTTGTCGATTTTCGAGGATAAGGAGAACAGCCCAAAGCATGACAGTGAAGAGGCCGGAAAGTTGGCTCAGGGCGAGCTCAGCCCTAGCAAACGTCCCGATCTGGATTGTATTGCTGGTCTTCTATCGCTTAGTCAAGGAAACTGGCGATAAAATGGTGCCAACCATGATCTTCATGGAGAGCTAGGTTTACTTTTCGACAGAGACTGGAGCTACTACGAGATATGTGGTTCGGCGGTTTACTAAATTTATTTTCTCCCAGTTTAACTCCCGTGAAAATTAAGACATTTCACGTGGAACTTGAAGTTGGCGTTTCGAGGAGAAAAGGGAAAGGGGTTTTGGTTGATCGGTTTGAACGACGGGAATGGAAAAGTGCTATTGGGGGCGCGTGGAGAATATCCCGAGCTCCGCGGGTTGTTACGACATTCGTAGTCTTTTCATCCCTTCTCTGCAGGCGTACCGTGGGCTAGGTTAGCCGCGTATAGGATATCGGACGGCAGGTGGTTTCGCGAAAGCTTCTTGTTGAGGAATGATGGGAGTTTCGTCGGTTTTGGCTAGGCTATGTTTGTTGTTATTGTTTCGATACGACAGGCTAGGTAGCTATAGGCGACCGGTTTGCTATGATTTGCTCGGTGGCGAGTTGATAGGATGGTGTTGATGGCGGGGCTTATAGTAAATGAAACCAGACCAAACCAATTCAAATAAATAAAGCCAACCTTTTAAGGTCAATTTTTAATTATGGATGTCTTGAAATAGTCATGTGATACCCGTAAAGCGATAACATTGGACTAGATTCGCAAATATCGTGAATTAGTTGCTGTCGTAGGTAAGGGGAGAAGGCACTCGCATTCATTCTCGCGTTGGTATCTCATCTATCTCGTAATTGTACAACAAGACGTGCCCAGATCCAAGCGACCCAAACACATATCCGTTTTCTTGCCCCTTTTTTTCGCCTTCTCCCTGAGAGGAGCAAAATCAATGCAACACAGTCCTTTCAATCGTAGTCCGGCACATTCTTTGCAGTATGTCTACCTTACAAACTCGAGAGCACGCTCTGCACGCCCGCGGTCCTCGCATCGTCCCTGCTCTGTATAAAGGCCTTGAAATCGGCCTTGCCCAGTTTCTTCTGCGCGCCGCCAGCGCCGCCGCCACTCGCGCTTGCGAGGTTTCTGGAGCGCTCTCGTAGGGCCTCGGGGCCGATGATAAATAGGTATCCGATCTCGGTGAGGAGCTCGACAGCAGCTTCGACTTCCTTCGAAAGGGGCCACTCCTTGAGAGTGGCAACATACTTGGTGACGTCCTTGGTAACCATCAAGCCGCCCGTGGCGTTAACCTTGAACTTCTTAAAGTGCTCGAAGAGCAGGCGCTGGATCTCGATAGCGAGCTCCGAACTGAAAACTTCGAGGTTGGTACCGTCGACGGCTTGGCTAATAAGCCGTGTGCACCGCGACAGGAACAGGCATATGGAGGTGCAGGTTTGCGTCTGTAGCGACTCGATGATGCTGAGCTCGTCTTTAGGAAGGAAATCGAGCTTCTTCTGCATCGCGAGGGATTTAGCGACCCAGTTGACGATTACGTCAACGCTACTCTTCATGATACTACCGGCTTTCCTTTCGATGCTCTCGATACCCATCTTTGCCTGTGCCTCCATGCTTCTTCGGACAGTAGTGTTGGACTCAGCAAGGCGGATGAGTACTGTGGTTATGAAACGGTTCATCATACTACCGATCGTCACTGCTGGCCGGACAGAAGGTAGATAGCTGAGATCCGGTTCCATCTTCACATTCTCCTGAGATGTGGCCCTCTCAAGAGCTGCTTCCAGGGCTGTCTCTACGTAAACTTGGCCCATGTTGGTTAATAAGAGATTCAGGAGTATGGCGACATCCTTGGGTGTTTCGTGCTGACTTCCTAACTCCAATGTTCGTCGAACACTCTCAGCAAGCCAGGTTAACATACGCTTAGCTGTAGCTGTGCTTAGGACGCCTTCGGACTCTGAAACTTCGATCTCGTTCTTATTCCCGGTTTCCTGGACACCGGCAACTCTCAACATCATCGCTTTCTGAGTTGGAGTGAGATCGGATGATTCAAGACGTTCTAGATAAGCGTCCTTAGCGGTTGCCATAAGCTGGTTGGTTTGTAGGGCTAACGAGGCCATGAACCCAGTCGGCGCCTTTTTCCTTCTTGAGTGATAGATGTTGTACTTGAAGAGTAGTGAATTAAACAATTCTTCCAAGCTCCTCTTCTCGCGCTCGATATACCCGTTGCCCACTATGTATGGAACGAATAACTCTTCCATCTGCAGGTCCAATGTCTGGGATATCTGGGGAGAACAAGGTTCTGGGTGTTCCGTAAGGCCATGAGTCTTCAGGTCATCTATCAGAGCTCCAATATAGCTTCTGGAAGAGTGGAGGGATCGGAGAAAGGCTAAGGATGATATGGTGTTGGCCTTCTCTAAAACTAATTCTAGGCGTTGTTGTACCGATTGTTGGAATACTCGTTGTATGAACTTGATTAATACGGTCTCATAATATGGGAAGGCCCTCTTGATGATGAATGACTCTTCCTGCATGACGATTTTGACCTCGTCGATGAGTGACTGAAGGCTTGGTTCGACACCCGGGGGTTCGGAGTCAGGATCTGCTAGTTGATCCCAAGTCTCTCCATCCATTGTTACTTCGTCTGTGATAAGCTGGTCCCTATCAATGAAGAATTGGTGCTGGTTTACAAAAACAGCAATGACGCTGGCACCTCCGTTGAAATCATATAGAACTTTGGCACATTCTTTCATATCGTCGAAGTTCTGTTTACGGTAGCTGCCGTTGAATTGCTTTAGGAGGTCTTGCTCCAGGGTTTCGCAGAACTTCTCCAGGATCTCACGAGTATTATATCTCCTCTCGTCATTAGTATTGCCGTTATTCGTGATTCCATTGCGATATAGACCATTCTGTTGGCCCCAAGATATGGGGTCAAGTCTTTGGCTAATCCGCATCAGTTGATGTGCAATTACGGCACATCTTACTTTGTTTTCAGATCCGCCCTGGCGTTGGATGTCTTGTAATAGGGTGAGCTCGCCTGTTTCACTAACTTGGAGCCAGCATTGTATAAGGAAGTTGGCGTCCAGCGCTCGTCTGCGTTTCCTATCTAACTCCTCTAATTTTTCTCCTATTTGAACGGCAATATTTCCTCCCGCCTCGCCACGGTTACCTCGTTCGGTCTCGCTGGGGTTGTTGAGGGTAAGGTCCAGAGCCTCGAACTGATCGATGGACTGGTCCAATTTGCGACCAAGGGTATCAACGGTTTGGTCATGTTGAGTCTCTGCACGACGTGCTTGGGATAACAAATCTGATTCCTTCGCCTGTAATTCTTCGGAGAGGCTACCAAGACCCTGTAGTGCGTCTAGGGAAAGATTAGTTAACACACGGCTTGTAATGGTACGACAGAATAGAACTAGGACATACTCTCAAATGTCCGGATTAAAGGTTTCGGATCAAAGGCTTGTAGAGCAGGGCCAGAGCGACGATTGAGAGATACGGCGCTCTCGGCAAGATCATCAACGAAGTCACGCACGATGAAGTCTTTATTAGAGAAGTCCTCAATGGTGAAGCTAGGTCCCTTGGGGAACAGAGCTCTCGACCCAGAGCTTGTCCGCTCCATTGCCATTGCATCAAGCATTGACCGGGGTCCTATACTACGACATAGAGGGTTAGAATAACGGAAAGCGACAATATGAATGGCGGTTACAATTAGGAAATATTCTTGATGGTTAGATGCGCCGGTTGGTGGGATAGATGAAGTTGATTAGAAGGAAGTCGTCACAAGTTACAGGGGTCAAGTGCGTATCATAGCACCTACAATTGTTACGGTAGCGCCTTCGATCGTTAATCTGCCACTCTGCCACAGCTAAAGTGGCGAAGTTATAGGAGCTTTGACCCGATAACTGTGGCTAGGCAGCTAGATAACGCAAAATCGGAAACACGGCATAGCGGCTTAGGTACATATCCGCCATTATTAGGTACCTAACCGAAGCTAGTGTAGCTGAAATATATCGTGGCCTATCGTTAATACATGCTACATTTTAACATCTGATCAGGAATTCTGGCTTGTCCATCCAAGCCTACCACTTATTGCGCGTCACAACGCGAATCTCAACTCAAGCAGTTGAGGCTATGCGATCAATCCCTTAAAGATACGACCTTCCCTTCTTTTCCATTTTATCTTTTTTTTTCTTGTTGAGGTCATTACGTCAACTGCGATAATTCGTAATACATCATCATGTCGTCGTTCGCTTCCAAGGATATCGATGTTTATAGAGAGGACGAACGGGTCGGTCATAAAAATCTCGGAGTCCAAGAACGAGAACGACTTGTTCAGGTACGAACTCAAATTTCATCCGGACTCATTATACTTCATATCTGCATCTTCGACTAACATGGATTATTCGATGAATATAGAATTACCTCCCCAGTCCACCTAGCCGATCACGAAGTCACGGGCGTCAGACTAAGCTTGAGACGTCCCGCTTCGGCATCAGGAAGTTTTTCAAGTCTCAACTCTATTCGTTCCTGTACTTCTCTATACATTTTGCCTTCTCGGTTTATATCCGCGCTCGGTCAGCTTACCATAGCGTATCTCTACGTACCCTTTCCATATTCAAGTACCACCACAGCACCCCCGACTTTGTCCGACGAGACGTCAGTACCTTGAAGCGATTACCGAAGCACGTCAGTGTGATCTTAACATTGGAAGATGGCGGGAGGGCAGGGAATGCCTTGGAGAAGCTTGTCAATGAAGTATCTGAGATAGCAGTATGGTGTGCCTCAGCTAACATTCCTCGATTATCCATTTACGAGCGGACAGGTAACAAAAGCACCAATCTACGTATACCAACCTAACAAACTAACCATTGATTTTTAAATAGGTGTTTTGAAGCGCTATATGCCTCAAACCCATCGTGCCTTGGTCCAGAAGCTTAAGAGCTGGTTTGGAAAGAGTCAGGTTCCGCCCGTCTCCATATCTACTCGCGGTGCCTCGACCATCCACACGGCCAATCGAGAGTACTTATCACATGATCAATTGCCACTCGAAGTCGTACTCATCTCAGAAGATGATGGCCGAGAAGCAATGGTGGATCTTACCAAAGTCCTAGTACAGATGGTTCAGAAGGAAAAGATCAAGGCTGCCGATATTACGGTAGACGTCCTTGACAACGAGCTATCTGAAGCCGTTATGACGGAGCCGGACCTCCTTATCTCGTTCGAGCCTTACGTTGACCTACAGGGATACCCGCCGTGGCCGATCCGACTAACCGAGATCTACTGCGCCCCTGACAACCAAGGTGTCGGATATCAAATATTCCTCCGTGGCCTACGGAAGTACACGGAGGCTACTTTCAAGCTAGGAAAGTAAGCCAGGTGGATATGGCAATGCTGTAATGGTAGATGGAGGCTTAATTATGGGTATTGTGGTGCCCTCTCCTAATTGACAGCATCACAATCAATACACTACACTACAATGATATCAATCACTATTCCGCCCCGTTTTACGCCGCAGCTCGTCCAAATGTGACGTCAACACCACTGCGAGATCTCGTCCAGGTACGAATCGTACAACTACCTGTCTAAGATAGCTAGGAGATTCCTTGTTCAATGCAGCAGGGACCCGCAGGACATGGATGAATGCAAGACTGCTATGTATTCCGAACGTCTAGCTGGAAAAAAGTTCACAGCAAGCGAATATTACGTGTAAAGCGATGTCATTATGGGAACAAGAAATTTCAATTTGAGTACAGGATACTCAATATCCGAAGATCCAAGGTTTCCCCGTTAGATGATTAAGTTTGCCAAGTGATTGCTTCGTCCAAGGTTCTCTTCAACGTGTTCCATTAGACGAAGGCATTATTGACACGTGCATAGACTCATTGGCATCAACCGCTCTTCACGTGCTTTCCATCAATATCCATGATCATGGATGTACTATGTATAGTAATCGGATAAGTTCAAAAGTTAAGTTAAAGTTAGTCGAACTGGTCGAGGCAAGTAACGTGGAGACCAATCGCTTTCCTTAGCCCGGCGCAGCCTTCCGTCTAATAGATATGACGCATGCACGTCACACACAAGTCGTGGTAGCCTTGCATTTAGCGTGGGTCCGTAATCCCTGTCGAAATTTGCGTTGATCCTTGGGTCTTCGCTCGTCGCACACTTTCTTCACACAAACCAGGCGTTAAAAGTCTAGATTTCGCGCGCAGGTGAGCTTTACCAAATAATACTATGGCAGTGGGCAATCCAATATCGGCGCTAATATGAATATGTCACTTACATGTTGTGCAAAGGATATCCCGGCCGGGGACGACGCCATGAGTAATCTCCTCCGTCCTCCAGTGATCCGCTCGGCTTTGGGTGTGCTTGACCGGTCCCTTTTTTCTAAGACTGTCAGCCTGGCTGCTGCTTCTGTTGCCGACAAGAGGAACATTGCGGCCTGGCGCCAGAAGTTGTTGAAGGACAATAGCCTTTTAGGCCTCGAGAGGATCCAAGGCGTTGTTTCCCATCCAGATCAGACTCTCGCATCTCAGGGGACAAAGTGTCTACTCTTAGATCCGAAAATCAGGGCTCAAGGTATTTTCAATCCGCGAAATATCCCCGCCCTCAAAATAATTGCAACTTTTAATGGTGATTTTTCCAGAACCTGAAACATGGACTCCTATCCTCCATGAAGGTGTAGCTAGTAAGGAAATAGGGGTCATCCCATACGACTTAACCCTGGATTATGATTATTGGTCTTATGGTAATGAATATATTTTAAACTTCGACTTTGATGAATATCCTAGTTAACTCATTCCAGAGGATGTGATGAAGTCCCTGCTTCCCTCGGACTTACGAGACGAGCACGACGGCATTCCCCAAGGCTTCAACCAAGCAGGACACGTCGCGCACATGAACTTAAGGGAAAGATATCTTCCCTATAGAAAACTTATCGCCGAAGTCATAGTCGATAAAAATCCGGCGGTCAAGACGGTTATTAATAAAGTCGCCAACGTGGGAACCGAATCCGAATTTCGGACTTTCGCATACGAAGTGCTTGCCGGACCGGATGATCTTAACGTTGAAGCGCGGGAAAATAATTGCGTCTTCCGATTTGACTACTCTAAAGTCTATTGGAATAGTAAGTTGGAAGGCGAGCACAGTCGGTTAATCGACATATTTCAACCCGGCGAGGTGGTTTGCGATTTGATGGCCGGTATTGGGCCATTCGCAGTACCGGCTGGTAAGAAAGGCGTTTTTGTCTGGGCAAACGATTATAACCCAGAGAGTTACCGTTACCTCGGTGAGAATATCAAACGAAACAAGGTATGTAATGAAAATAGAAGCGGTACTGTGCATATCCCCTACCGAGTTAACAATCATTCTTAGGTCTGGCAATATGTTCGGCCATTTAACCAAGACGGTCGAGTTTTCATTAGGGAAGCCGCCGACCTGGTGTATGCAGCGTCCACGAATGGCGAATATGCCGTGTCGGGACCGAATAGAAGAGAGCAACGTAATCGGCATCCGAATTCGAAGACCACCGACAAGTCAGCGCCAATCCCGAAATCTAAACGCACCCTCATTCCTCCTACTATCTCTCATTTCGTCATGAATCTCCCAGCATCTGCCATTACCTTTTTATCGCACTTCCGCGGCCTGTATGCTGGCCGAGAGCAGCTTTTCGCTCCTCATGCAGGTACAAAGTTGCCTATGATCCACGTGCATTGTTTCGCAGCCAAGGCAGATGACGATTCTCCCTTCACAGACATATGTGAGCGCATTTCGACAGAGATTGGCGTCGAAATGAAATTCGGAGAAGCCGAAAACGCCGACGAAGTGTCAATTCTGGAGGTTAGAAATGTTGCGCCCAACAAACGCATGTTCTGCGCCTCCTTCAGACTTCCCCCTGAAGTGGCGTTCGCCGACCGACCCTCGCGACCTCTGTAAGATTTAATAAATGCAGTCAAGATCGCGCCAGCCTTCAATCAACGGAGTACCTATGCACAATAGACAGTTGCTTGAGCGGCTTACCACTTTGGGCGTTGGAAAGCCTATGTGAAGTACGTATGCGCGCTCTGCAGGCCATTGCACCATAAACATGTGAAGATTCCTAAGAATAGCGTTGTAGATCAGATCCATGGATAGCTTCTAGACCTGTATGATTCGATTGATGGCGGGACTGGCCGCAGCGGTGGATCGCTACAAAGGACACAGTACAATATTTATAAGGGGACGGCATAGGTACTGAGGACCAGGTAGAGCCTTGCAGAGGGAGGTAAGATGTTGCTTTTTGGCGCCAGGGAGGGTGAAGCAAGGCGCCGTGGAACGTTCCCCGTGCATCGCGGATCACCAGGACCCGCCCGTCAGATATTATGATATTATGATCCGCACCATCTGCGATATAGGTACTCAATTGATGGCGCGTCTCGCCTCCGGGACCGCACCAACCAACACGAGAGGAAATACACATACTACATACTGATATCTTCCTATCTACATAGTAAAGCAGTGTAGATGAAGAAGGGGGGTCGGCGCGATAGCCGAAAACGTTCATGCAGATAAGCCTGCATGGCTGCGACTCTGAGTTTGCCTCTGTGGTCGGATTGAGAAGCCCTATTGGATAATTGTCCAAAGTTCTTTTGTCGAGATGATTGACGCTAGCTCACCTCGATACTTAATACCAGGCATATAAACAAGGAAACTAACGCAACTTGCAGCACCTCAGTTTATTGGCTTCCTGCGGTCTCCTCTTAGTATCATGTTCTTCCATATTCCAGATCTCTTTTCATACCTTGTCTAGAAGATTTTACGTGATAGATTTCGTTGGATAAGGCGACATGAAGCTAATGCTGCATGGTCCGAAGACCCTAGTCTCTCGGCCATATGGCAGTCACTTTTGACTCTTCCTAGGTAATTTGAAACTCGCAATCAGATCGTATAATAACGAGGCTTGAGCCTCACACGCGCGAGTCAGCCCGTGCACATTCGAGCGGTAACCCAATCTGAGTACTCCGCTCTGGCAATGATAGGTCATCCACCGGGGATTACGCCCACGAGGAATACCGGTTCGTTTGAAGGAGGAAAAGACGACGAATATTCGGTTAGAAATGCAACAAGTGGAGAAAATATGCAAGTCTTTGTTGTAACACTGCGTCTAGTCTTGTGTCACATTCCGTTCGACATAGGAGAGTTCGAGGTGAGATGATTACGCTGTTACGTGGTTGCGTGGTTGCGACTTAGGAATTAGGATAGGAGTCCCGCTCCTCCCTTCATTTCCCGAGTAGACAGATAAGACGCAGCAATGAAAATGCACGGGATCGCTGCCGGACAATCTTTAGGCATTGGAGGCGCTTCATATTCTCATGTATGCGAGAGCATAAATGTAAGTGACGATATCATGACGGTATCGCGGCGATACAAGAGGCTGGCAACGTGCCCGGATAACTTGAAATCGGGACTTATGAACACCTGGATAAATTTCCCTCCCGTCTTATCTAGTTAATTCGGAATCCGTCCCTCCCGGAATGCCCCATTGTTCATCGAGAAAGTAGAGGTGGTATACGACCACACCACGACGCTCACACCGGTTAGTAATAGCAAACAATTGGACTCGCGGTCCGATATTTCGGCAAATAGCAAGCGGCATAGGGTCCGTAGATTTGACTTCAAGAATCAATTTAGTCGGCCCCAATTTATCTCGTTCGAGACCGTGTTAAGCTCGGAACGGCTCGAAGTTGTGCGCCCACAAGGCCCAGCATTATATTTTAATAGAGATCTCGAGCTCCAGTGTAACCGCGATTGCAACAGACCAAGGATCATAGCTGTTGAATGCTGTACTAGCAGTGAGGCGTTCCTAGCTACATTGTTCTTATAGCCTTAAGATAGCTGCTGGGTAGTGATGCCTAGTACTCGTGGTCTTGCATAGAAGCAAACTCAGTGCGACGAGTAACGTTTCCGAGTAACAATTCGTTCAATTGAGTTATAACTCGGTGTTGAAGCGTCGAGTCTCTTGTAATCGCGATGAAAATGGAGAGACCGGGATTTGATCCCTTGCTGGTTTAATCTTGGGAAACGATCTTAGATCTTGAAATGGAGAAGTTAGATTCAACCATAGTCAGCTACACACCACCTTACATGACAACCCTATGTGCGATTGCCACGATAGAATTTGGCTGCTGTGCACGCCGTTGAGGGGAATGCTCTGGTCATAATCGTGGCCCTCTGATACGTCTAGAGAGATATATCAAAATAGGATTATCGAAATAGCCTCCAATTAGCCGGCGTCTTCTTGAAGTGCAAGTTCACCTAACTTGAATGGACCGAATGGATAAAGGTTCGTGGATTCTAATTTGTTACCCATGTGTTTGCTATACCGTCGCGGGAATGAGGGCGTTATGCCGACGTCATCGGCGTCAAGTCGGTGTGCAAGGAATGGGACATCGGTCAAGCTCAATGACACCACGACTAACAAGGCTTGCCGATTCGATAGCTCCGTATACCAAGTCGGGCAACAGTGCCAAGAGACCCGCGGGAATGGTTTGGCTGCCCTCTTGACCTTTCAAGGAGCTATTACTATTATTTTTAGTCAATATCCAGCTCTATGTAAGATGAGATATTATCTGCAGGGGGGGTCTAGCAAACCGTAGCCCGCTAACATGTCCGTTTCGTCGTACAACTTGAAGCCGTATGCAGCTTCTACAGACCGTAATACTCGACACGTCTTGTACAGGGCGCGGGGTGTAGGATGCATACCTAGGTAGGTATCTACAAAACTCGTAATTTCGCAGAACTGACCTTGTATGGCTAGTTGCAGACTGCAGGGACTCGAGCTAGTATGTAGCTAGATGGACAAAATGAAGGGAATCCCGTCAGTCCAATCGCGTACATGCTGGATATATTATACCCCGGCTAGATGGCTCTTAATGACGTCGGTGAATAATATTGTCATATCGAACTCAAGCAAGCTCATCATGATCCGGGCAGCTGCCGGGCTAGTAAACCAGTCTTCGGCGTTAGAGGTTGAGGATCAAAAACGGTTAACAAATGAAAGTGTTCCAAGCTTTTTGAGTTGTCAAAGTCAATGGACCTTACCCAACTTGGAGCCTGGTTGTCACACAGACCACTGCGGGGGTGGAGATTGCCGTGGTACAAAACATGGAGTACCAGGTACCTAATATTTGAAGTTTATTAAACACAGTACGTACTATGTTGTACAAAGATAGGTAACACATGCAGTTACTCAGTTACTCAGGTTGTCAGGTACGTTTTAATGAAATTAATGTTGCTTACATAGGCATTTATTTCAATAAGAATAAGACGAGTTGGCATGTTTCATTTCGTTTTTTGATAAACGATAAAACTTGAAATTCTAGAAGGAAATGGAGCAAGACAGCTTACCTAGTGGTTAGATTTATCTCCCTATGTCGATAGCGTGACGAACGGTCGGTACTCGCCTCTGAGACTACCATGAGCGAACATCTCATGTTAAGATACATATTCAATGCGTATATTCCATGGAATTTACCCCGGTGTCTTAAATCAATCAAGATTAATATTGAGAATACTGAACACTCACACCACCAAGAAATTCGCAATGTGGGCAGAAATATGTCATTGTTTCAAATCGAATTGAACCTATTGGTTATCTGCTCTATGATGGGCTCGGGGTTCATAGTTGAAGGCTATGCTTCATGTATTGAGACGATTATACCTAGTCTTTAAAGTGAAGCGTCGTAGACTTCAATTTCATGATTATATGTTCATACTAGGTATTCCGCGTCAAATTGTTCTGCCCGCCTACGCATATACACGAACACTTCTTAGTTTATCCGCCATTCAACGGGTTGATAACACATCATTTTAAGTAAACATCCATGATATAACTTATCTTATATAATACGGCACTTCATGCTTTTTGTCTGCGTTGGCCCCCCTTCTCACTCACTTAGGGCCGTCTCTCGCATCTACCCTTGCAATATTCATAAATAGGCTTTTCTGGCCCGTCCGGGGAAACCAACCTACACACCCATCAAGGTACTAAATCCTGCTGATCTTCTTTCAACCTCGTGCAACTTAGAATTTTTCTTACCCTAACTGTATGTGCATACGTATTTGTGTATTTGTTATTATTGACGCTTCTTTGCCGCCCACAATTGGTTTGATGCGAGGCACGAAATATCAAGAATGCATACTGTGTTCTACGCTAGACATGTTCTTATGTGATTAGATAAAAATGATAAATCGATACATAGATCTCCAGGACTATGTAACTAGGTATTGATTGGAATGTTCTACTTCTGTTGTGAATGGATCCTTCGATTGCGTCCGTTTCATGCCCGAGTTATCTAGTCGGTTAATCGTTTCCGAAAGATCCCTTTTTCTCTTCTCTTTCCCTAGATACATATCTGTTATCTAGCTCCGCCAAATTGGCCGAAACAATGAGATATGAGCTGAAAAAAGAGAAGATGGCAATTGCCTTGTATGTATAATACGCAGAATCTGGAAACAACCTTGGAACTATGTACGTTGTATACGAAGTTTGTGGTCTAGCCTACGTTCCACGAGTCCTCTTTTTTTCTTTCCTTCGTCTACCTAGCGAACTGTAAACTGAGACACTCTAGATTCGACCCATGCATCCAAAAAGAAACCCACTATTTCGTTATTTTAGTCGATTCTGATTTGGTGTCTAAATTTTTTTGAACTCGGCCATTTTTTACGGCGTCGTTCTTTAATGGCGAACGAATGTCTGACCGCTCACAGAAACAGAGAAACATCCAGCCCACTAGCCCACTTGCATACATGTCGCAACGCACAAACTGCAATACTAAGGAGGTATCAAAACTGCGATGCAGCTCGCGCGTATTGGCCTGCATGTGTCGTACTGTATGTGTATGCAGCTATCTTGCACCTATGCATGTATTATGTAGGTGTGGGCGTGGGCGTGGACGTGCAGATGAGTAGCTGCCTTAGCTTAGAGTACTTGGCCTATCGAGATGCGAGTATGCAAAATTTGCCCATCTATGGATTCCCGTCCTAGTCGATCCTGTTAATGCAAAACTTCGTCTCTCTAATCGTTCGCATTCCCTCCTTCCCCACTTCTTCTTTTTCTAGTTCCGGTGGATACTTTGAGCATCCTAGGTACGTATTAACGGGGCCTTAGGTTTGGTTGATCAATGTTATCAGCTCTTCGCAGTCCAATACGCAAATTCTGCGCCAGACTGCGCCAGACTTCAGGGAAGCCCCGGCTAGCTTTGCATTTGCGTATGCATTCACCAATCGCCAATGTTTAGTATGTATGTCCCGGCAAAGCTCAAACACACTTAACAGCGTTAGACACAATAGAAAGTTCCAATTTGCAAAATAAATAAATAAAAATGTAGTGGTAAATTACCTGGTCATGTAGGTTCTCAATCTGAGCAGCGAGGCTTGCCTTTAAGTTTACCTAAGTGGTATGTAGGTGATTTATGGAGTAATCCATAGGCATGTAACCAAACGCCAAATGCAGATAACAGGATTAATTATACCCGCTAGGCACCGCTAGCACGTAGTAAAACTCAGAACCATGGGAGTCCACTTATATAGTAAGTAACGTTCAAGTTGTACCTACCTTATTATTTAGAGTCATTCGTCCTTCCACCTTATTATTCATGTTCCTGTACATATTCCATATGGGGTAGAAAGGTAGAAAGATAGAAAATTCCCTCTGATCCGCACCTTCCCAGCTTCCTTGCCGTCCCATCCACCTTTAGGTCGTCTAGGTCGTCTAGGTCGAGTCATCCATGCCACTCGCAGCGAAATTCGCTCCGTGACTGGCTAGCCCTGTCAAATAACGACCCCTCAATCCTCCTGTACATCCTTGCAACCTTCCGATCTCCCGGAATTCCCACCTTCTTGTACTTGTACTAGCCTAGGGCAACTTACTGTACAGCGTACTAACATTTTTGCCGCGGACTGTTTTCGATCCAATACCACTGTCCATAATCCAAACTCTTAAGCCTCTTATCTGGGACATAATTCCTTCCACACCACACTCCATACACCATACACCAACACACACACACATATACATCTACACATCCGATTTCTCAAAATCCGATTTTCTACGAACGAACTCCTTTCGACGCCCCCATTGATGCATTAGCGCAATCCTAGATGAACAATTAAATTCTTACACGGTATAAAGTCTACTTTCATCTCGGCATCGCCGAAAAAAAAAAAGTGCCCCAGTTGCGCACTTACCTCGACCCGTCACGTCATCCGGAAATTCCCCATCTAAGACGAAGACGTCTCGGAATAACTCCAGAATTATTGATATTTTTGAGCGCGGATTATCGTGAAGGCATTCAGTCGTCTTAGTATAGACGATACTACCGTGCCCATGAAGGACGACACCGGATTTGTACTAGAGTCGTAATTGTTGGAGGATTTAGGGCTTGTGTTAGAGGGAATAATTTTTTCGGCATGGCTGTGGTTCTTTCTTCTGAGGATAACGATATGTTCTCTTCCTCGGCTCTAAGGAGATCTCACTCTCAATCGAAATTCATGTCGAAACCGAACCAAAGCTTTCACACCTCAAACTCGACATCCAAGATCAACGAACCGTTCGACGATTCCTACCGCGAAGCTTACCATCGCCACACTACCCATATCGTACCCAATTCCAGCCCGTCCTCCGCCCCTTCATCTCCTCGTACGCTTCAGCCCGAATCCATCGATCCATCATATTCTTCTACACCAGCTACCAATTTATCCCTAGACGGACAATGCGAAGACGATATTCATATTCACCCTGAAGACATCTTCGTACCAGAGTTCGATCACAATCCATATTTTGGACCGATCGAAGATTTAGAACCTCCCCCGAGTCCCCGAACCGGCGATTCGTATACCGTATCACCAACTGATCCTGATACATCCGTAACAACATCGCGCCCCGGATCACCGGACGCACTAGACCGCGCCGAAGATGATACGGCTATTGAGCATCCTCCTACTCAACATGTTGACTACTTGTCACACGACTGGAGAGAAGAGGACATTTGGTCTTCTTGGCGATATATAGTCTCCAAGAGAAGTGAATATAGCAACGGACCACGACTTGAGAACGCATCCTGGAGAACCTGGATGAAAGCTAAGTACAAGTTAAAAACGGTTACCCCAGAGACCCTTAATTGGTATGTTTTACGTTTTCCCCTTCCCCTGACTCATCTTTTACCCAAAACAATTCTTACTTGTATTCCAGGCTTAAGGACTGCGATGTGACTTGGTTATATGGGCCTCTGCAGACTCGACAGGGGGAATTATTCTCCAACGACGCCGAACTTGGGAGCTCATCACTATCGCGGTGTAACTCGTTCGTCACCAAGAAGCCCATTCTCAAAAAGAGGAGCATGTCTGAGATCATGCTTCAGCGATCTCTCTCCTCTTCGTCTCTGTTGAAACAAGCCACGGCTGCAGTCCAGGCTCAACAGAAAGACAGTGGTGTTCGTATCGCTCGACCGATATTACATCGAGCCACAACAGATTATGTTACTTTTCCATTCTCCTCTCGAAGGAAGAGTCGGCATAACACGAGTATTCTACCTTCTACGGCCACCTCTGGTCTTGTTTCACCTTCCTCGGAACGAAAGCATATTCACTTTAACGAGCAGGTAGAACAATGCATCGCAGTTGACGTTAAGGGGGATGACGAAGAAGAAGAAGTAGATCATTGTCGTTGGAGATTTGACGACAGCGACTCCGACGACGGCGCAATAATGATGAAGAGAACCAAGACGACAAAGAAACCTGTTATTCCACGCAGAAGATCTCCTATAAATACGCCTAACGAGAGCAAAACTATTGCTATGTTACCTTCAACGACCCTGAAGTACAGGGAAGATTCCCCCAACCCAGAAACTGCGATAAAGCACAGCACTAGCAGCCTAAGGAGCCCACTCCTGTCACCCTCTTCCTCGCAAGAGACGCTGAGGCCTTCCAAAGCCTCAGGCCCATTCTATGTGGGTGACGATGATGGAAATGAACTAGACGAGGAAACTAATACGACTCCAATGTCTAGCCCTATTGAAGCGACATCACCCTTCAAACAGCCTAATTCCCAGCGTTCGACACCCACTAGTACTCTTACTTCCGAGCCGGCTGGCATGCGCCGGACGGCGAGTGGCATGTTCATGCCATTCGATGACGGTGATGTTCAGCCTAATGATGGCATCATTGGCAGGGTAATAGATACGGTCAATACCGCCCGTGATATTGCTCATGTCATATGGAATGTTGGTTGGAGGAGATGAAACCCGGCGAACTTGTTCATATAATCCCGCCACCAAAAGATATTTCGACGAATCCGGGATGGTAATAGGTTGATAAAAATGCTTATCCTAGGAATTCTCCTTGGTCGCTTGGGATGGTCGATCTGACGAAATCTCGGCTGACCGACGTATCATACGAAATTCACTTCACCTTTACTGTATAGCATCCGGTATCTATCAGAATTGCGAATAAACGCACTAATATCTTTTTTTCGGGCAAATTACTTTCATATCAAAGAACTAGGGTCTTTGGGGTTGGAGCATGGAAGATAATAACATTAAACGGTATCACGGCACATACGGGAGTGATATCCTCTACCAGCAATTTTACGGGGCGTTACATGGACTGATTACCAAAGGAAACCAAATAGTGGGCAGGCTAAAGGACAGGAAGGTCGATGTATAGAGGGGAAAAGCAATATCGTCTATTGAAATGCGTTGGGAACGGCACCTACGAGGGCCATCCGTCGACCTCCTAGGTATCATAATGCTTGAGGGAGTGCAGTTCTATTTGGCACAACGTTACTACGGGTGTGTGGCGTGGTGTTATTGTCCGCGTCCTAACTATAGGCGCTACGGGGAATGACGTATAAGTCAACCCCCAACGGTCCTGGATTTTGGAGTGCGCCTCGATTTGTTACAGAGCCTGGTAGGGCTCCGGGTCGATTTGCCCTAAGCAGCACACGTAGCAAGGCAAATAGGCAGTCTATCAAGTCTTATGATCACGACACAATACAAAACAAAGAAAGCTCTTGCAAATTTCACCCCATAATCAACTCACCTAACCCATCGTGCTAAGCAGTGATAGTAGTGATAGTAGTGATAGTAGTGATAGTAGTCATTGTCCACTACTCGCAGGAGATAAGAGATTTCGTCATAGACTCGAATACAAAGACCCGTAGATTATAGATCTCGGTGTTGTATAGGTACAAGCGGATTTAGGAATTAGATCCGTACCCCAGCCCTCTACGTACGAGGTTCCCCCCCCTTCCTCCGGATTTTCAGCCTCCAACCCACCCAACCCCCCTTTTCTTCAACCCCACGGAGTCTTAGTCTGTGGAACCAACTCGAAATGGGAGGGCTATGTTTTGCGAGATAGTGATATGTGATAGCACTGCTGAGAGCATATGTATGTTTCAATTTTTACAGATCTGAGAATTTGCGCTTACTATTATACAAAACAGTACAGGTAGATCGTAATTTCTCTTCGGACTATAGTTGTAGGTATAGTCGTACAGGCTGATCTTAGATCTATTGATTACATATCTTACACACCGCACGCGGCATGTCACCGCAGCCTCTCGCATCCTAAGGCGTGGGGGGAGCTTGCGTTAACCCATCTATGTCTATTTCTAGCTGTGTCTCGGAAGAAGGGGCAAGAGTAGGAGGGTCTAGCTCGGCCTTCGAGATGATGCTGACGGCCTCGACCATGATACGGTTTGCGTGGACGTTTACGTCGCGCAGCTTGACCTCGTAGACGTCACCGACACGCACGTCGGCTATCCTAACGAGGTCATTCATTGCGTCGGGGCGCAACCTGGCGGGCCTCTCGAACCAGTCCAGCTTGCCCGTGACGGCGGAGCGGCCGATCACATGGTCGACGCTGAAGCGGAAGGTCTCGGGGATAGGCGCCTGACCGAAACGCCACGCGCGGACTAGCGCCTGCAGGATCCATTGATCGCCACCGATTCCACTTGTCAGCGCGCGAGCCTGCTTCTCGCGGACGCGGAGCATGGGTAGCATGCGGTCGAGATGTTTGCGATCGAATGGGAGGAAGTCCTGCTCCTGGTTCCCCACCAGGCTCGCACCTCGGCGATGCTCCTCTTGCAGTGCGGCCTCGATCTGCCAGTGCACGAGGAGGTCAGAAAAGCGGCGTAGCGGTGACGTCGCCTTGGTGTACATATCAACGCCGAGAGTGAAGTGCGGGCTGGGCACTGTCGTGAGTTCGTCGCTACCTATGAGCGCGCGCAGGTGCCGCCACTGGCTATCATCTGGTCGGATCCCTCCTTTGAGGAGAGGGTAGAATACCTCGCGCGTATACTGCTGCACGAGCTCGGTGTTCTTGACAGCGTGGGGTTGCGTAAGGTATGGGATTGGGATCCCGCGGTTGTAACACCATCGAGCTGCGATCTCGCCCGCCAATTTCATCGCGTTTTCGACCAAGTCGGTCCCCGTACGTTGAGAGTACCCTATGCGGATAGATGGGTCACCGACCAAAGACAAAAAGTTGTCTAGCTCATGCGTTGGAAGATGGTCAAAGTAAGCCTGGGCTTCGGGTCGTGGCTGGAAGAAAGGCGTCGCACCCTGACGAAGTCGGTGAACTTGAATCGCCTTCCCCAATTCGGAAAGTAAAGCCAGTTCGTCCTTTTGTTGGCTGCTTAGATCATGAGGCCGAGTCATTTGTCTTGCTGGGACTGTCTCTTTCGGGGTGGGGCCAAGCATCATCTCTGTATCTCCGATGAGAGGGTCCTCTCTCTCGTCTTCTATTGCCAAAGCAACGTCCTCGCCAGTCATATACACGACGTCCTTGAGAGTCCCAGGGGTAATTTTGTAGTCTTTTAAAGAGCCGTCCTTACTTACTAAAGCGCTAAAAGTTAAACAAGGCCTGCCTGGAGCTAAAGAAAATATGTCCGAGCCAATGTTGGTTGGAAGCATACGCTCAAAGTGTCCAGGCAAGTATATCGTCTGCGGGATCAGCTCAGCAAACTTAGCAACTGGGGTGTTGGGTTGAATTGAAGAAGCCGGGTCTGCTACGTGGATATGAATCCAATTTCTATCCGGGTTATCGGTCCGCTCGAGCGATACGGCATCATCAATATCTACTGTAGTCTCAGCGTCGATGCAGTAAGCAGTGACTCCGTCCCACGTCTTTCTCATAGCAGCCAAGGCGTCACTCTTCAAATGACGATGAAGACTATCTGAAAAAGGTCGAATGTAACCTCCTCCACGCTTGATCTCGACCCCTGGAAAGCGTATATTATATCGAGCAGGGATTTCCCAGGACGGTATCCAGCCGACTTCTTGCAAAAAAGTCCAGCCGGTCGATGCGGAAAGAAACTCAGCATCCTGATATCTATCGAGGGCTCTCAAAATAGTAGACCCATAGCACTGAAGGCGTGAGTAGCTTGGGAATTTTTGGTAGCTAGCCCATAGTTCTATGAACTGTAGGAGTTCTACGTCTGTTTCGACAGACCATTCATGTTTGAGTGGTGCTGATTTAGACTTCGGTGCTGTCGATGGCCCGATGATTCCGGCCCCTGTCCACTCGCGGCTCTTCCGGCTTTGGTCAATTAATTCACGGGCACGCTCAACGAAGCCAAGAACAGGAGATTCGGTAGACTCTTGATTGTCTGATAGCCTGGCTTGCCTCTCTAGATACTCTCGTATCATAGTCTCTGCCCTCTGTACGATGCGAACCTCGGACAGTGGGCTAATTTCAAAGAGATAGGACCTTTTATGGCCAGTCTGTCTAAGCGGACGGAAGAAAACTTCGTTCTGTAGCAAGGCCCGGTGTACAGCGTATAAGGCCTCAGGTTTGAATTTTCCATTCTTTCGATAAGATTTAGGGAGAAGTAGTTGAGCGATTTCGTGTAAGGTGAGATAGCGATGCGTTTCTGGGTCGCCGATGAAGGAGCTAGATGCGTCTAACGTGGCAGCATTTTCTTGGTAGACAGCCTCGGCCTCGTGAGCAAAGTTCAACATCTTACGCAGCAATTCGGCTCCTGTCGCTCTCGAAGGATTGTGGTTGAGGTCCTGAAGAGCATTTAAAGCCTCTAGCGGTATTTCGCTATTTGGTAATTCATCAATGACAGGCTGGAGTTCGGACGGCTCAACAAAGTTGTTGACGATGAAAAGCGTCTTGACACCCAAGCCACTAAACCATTTACCACTACTTGTGTAGTAATGCTCATATCCGTTAAAACGGCCTAAACATATTGCCATCATCGGCCGTCTCGAGCTGTCTGAGCTGGGAATTTATATTAGTTTTCAGATGAAGTTTGAAGTTTGGGAAGAGTGAACATACCTTAACTCGACCATGTCACCAGGCTTTAGATTAGCGTCTTCAGAGCGCAAGTCGCCCAACTCATCCCCATCAAATAAGGGCGAAGCAACATCGAAAGTGGCCATAGCTACATTCTGTGGTCGAGTGAAGTTGTTTGACAATTCGCCTGCGTCAGCATAATCAGCCAATATTGTGTGCACTTCATCTTGGTGCCTTTCCTCCCATCTCCGTAGGCGTTCTCGGATGTTTTTCTTATTCGTTCCCCCTAGCGTGAAATGAGGACCATCATCACTTATATTTGATTTTTGTACAGTGGCTAAGTTCTATAGATATTTATTAGAAGGTGGACTTTCAGGACGCTATATTGACATACTCTTCTCCATAAGTGATTTTTGGTTCTTGGCAGCAACTTTGCTTCCGACTTCACTAAATTTGATGTAGGTCTTTGGAAAGCGCATCTCCAGCATACGTAAGCTCTTGCCGAAGTTCGTAACATGCTTCCTATAGAATTATTTAAAAGAAGAAGACAATTGAAGAGATATATAAAACTTAAGTTGTTCGTGGCAAAAATTTCACCCATGGATGCTGCAACTTTTCAACCACATGTGGGTCTTCCCTTACCCCACTACCAGCTGCATCCTCTATTAGTGCAATTGTCAACGGGCCGTAATTAACGCCATTTTAAGTTCGGTATTTAATATTCTACAAACCCGCAAGGACTACCTAGGTTCTAGTAGTTAATTCTATTTCTACTATAATTTGAGACAACAAGTCAAATGCAAGTCTGTCGACTTCAAAAAATTTTTTTATTTTGACCAAATCATTTGTAATTAATAGAAGACTATTTACAACTAATTTTTTCGAGTCGCTACCTGCTTCGAGATCACGATGTGTTACGAGCCTGCTAGCCACCTTAATTCTGCTTTCAAACAACTTACAAGGAGCACGCTTAACATGCACCTCTCTGCTTTCAACTTCATCACCTAGTGGCCAAATGCAACGTGAAAGGAGTAATGGGTTCTCGCCTTCGGGCATAGGTAGAAGTTGATTATGTCATAGCCTCAAAGACTCTTACCTTTGTCTTTGTCTAACTACTGGCCTTTTCAACCCGGCATACCGTCCTTTTGCACATGGCCTCAGACCCTTTTCTATTTCATCTCATCTCATCTCATCTCATCTAACATCCAACGATTCTAATACATAGAATTATCTACGCTGTTGACGTTGTCGTTGAAACATGACTATCAAACACCTGGCACTTTTGGCGTTGGTCGGTAGCGCTTTTGCGCAGACATCTGACACGGATGACACCGCCACGAGCTTGACCGACATCTCCCCCACAAGCGATGCTAACACTACCACGGAACCAACCGACTCTTCTACCGATATGTCCAGCTCCGTGATGACGACGACGGTAACGGATACTAGTGTTACAACTTCCGTATCAGCGGAGATGTCAACATCCTCATCCGATACGTCTAGTGAATCTCTCACTGTGATGACTTTAACGTGGACGGAATCCTCCATGTCCTCTATGTCTACTACTGACATGGGGTCTGATATGTCATCTATGGCCTCCGAGACCGGAACGGGAACGACAGCCGGCGTTGCACCCGTCGGCACCGGCGGAGTAGCATCTAATGGTACCGGCTCCGGCTCCGGATCCACACCCGTGGCAGGAGATGCCGTCATGACCGGCGTTTCGGTAAGCTCTCATTACTACGTAGTCTCTTATCCTGCAGCTAACGTTAGGTCTAGGTCGGGCTGTTCGTCGTGTCCGTAGCACTTACTGCCTTGATGCAACTATAATAACCTAGACTGGAGATATTGGCAACCATTTAGCAACGTATATGTAATGGGATTAAAGGAAGGGAATCGGATGAATTAATAACACTCTCTTGGATGGCATTTCTCCATATCTATGCTACCTACACTATTCTTTTTAGGTCAGTCGAAGTTAGAGCGGTGAGAATGAGCATCGACCGACCGGACTATTTACAGGGAATGTCAATAATCTATAATATTTATTCGAAGGGGTATTGCTTGCTTGTTAGAATAACTTCACATGGCGTTGCTATTCTAGCGTAGGTATAGTTATGAGAATATACTCAAGTACTTGAATAAAGAGTAGTATGATCATACTTCTTGAGCCTCCAAGTGACAAAAGAATAAACACAGGTCGCTTATTGGTAGGTGACTTGCAAGGAGCGATGAGATTGGCATTCGAACTACCTGAAACAACACGTTATTAAAAGCTTGAATAATGGAGATGTGGAGGATTTGCATGATCTCGGCTCTGTGTGGACAAATGATCAATGATCGGTGAAGATTATTGCCTAATTTGCTGCTTCCAGGCAATATCACAGTAAGTTGTAGGGAAACAAGGCTGAGAACGGTCTAGCTAATAGGATTCTCTACATGGCTGCATGGGTGATTCATGAATAATAAATCGGTATCCACGTGCATCATCGCAGACACGGCTAGTTTCCTTTTCCCCATGATTGCTAGGTAGAATTAACATTTAATACAATACCTAGTACCTACGTGGTATCGCATAGAGGCTAGCCTTGGAATTTGGAAAGTCCAAGATTTGACATCTGCCCTAACAACAGGCTAGACCCTAAGTTTCAAAACGACGAGGACCTATTAACCTGTTATTAATTTGTTCAGGTCCACAACTTAGCCAACACTCCGGTGCCCAGCTGTATTAAGGGGTCTTCCGGGGCGTAGGCCTTAAGCGTGGTCAATTATTCTGGTAAATATCTTATGGTAGTATTGACTGCTCAGGTGCCGGTATGCAGTGTAATGTGAAGGAAGATTGAAGCCTGTACAATACCGACAGTAGGCTATTCTCCAGATCAGCGTAACCAACACACCTAACTTTCAGATAAGCGGCGGAACGGTCAACAACCGGGACGGAAAGGACCCGTCAAGTTTTTAAATGTATTCTGTGCGGCTTAGTGGCGCTGTAAGGCACAGTTGCAGAGTATGGACCCGAGCGAGATGGACGATCATCGATGATTGATCAAAGGATCAGCGAGCGAAGAGTTGTTGGCGTCTCTGCATCTGAGATCGCTCCGCCTTCGGATCATTCTGACCATCTTCCGTTCATAAGTATTCTGTAGTGTACCCAGATGTACATGTGCAGATGTAGTGGAATTGCCGAAGACCGTCGACCATCTACCATAACAGGTAGCTGAGCTGGCTGAGCAACCTTGGTCAGCGTCCTTGAAGGCAACGATAATTATTCCTTCGGGTTGAAATGACGTGGGTTATGAAATATGTACCATGATAATTGAAAAATAGGAGAGAAGATGAACCAATCAAGCATTAGTTAACACCCGAACGAGAGAAAGGAGTGGTGCTTTCCAGCGTTTCCCCCCCATGTTTATCTTGATAGTTGACGCGCTTGCAAAGTTTAATAATAATAGTTGTAGTGCCCAGTGGTGAATAGTGGTTAGGTACGAGGGTACTTCGTATCATGGTTAGTCCTTGGCGTCTCTAGAACGAATAGGTTTAGTCAGGGCCGACGTGTAATTTCGCTTGGCCGTCGGGCAATTTCCCTGAGCAACAAAAGGAAAGACCTGGAAAGACCGCATATCCCCACAAGAAAAAGAGGATCGCCTTCCAAGAAAGGTCGAAATTACTCGCCGAGGCTACGCATGATTGGCCAATCCAACAAACACTTTATTGAGTATTCTCTTAATCGGGCCAAGCTTACACCTTTTCCACCTTTTCCACCTTTTTTCAACGCCCCTTATTCATCATTTTCTTGAACATGTTCTACCAATCCGGTAGTGCGGTCACGCCTAAGCGATTATGCAGTACTCATTTTCCACCCAAGATGGATATTTACTTTTTCTGTTTTCTGTTCAATATTCGGAGTTTGATATGGTCTGATGAACAGCGAGACACCGTGGCGGGCGTAGTCTGAAAAAATTACCTTGCCTGCTTAGGTGCCATCCAAGGATGACTACTAGGTGCTAGGTATGCCAGCTACTGGAGGACTGCATATTAGATGTACCAAGCAGTCCAGTAAGCCTAACGCTGTCTGTGCAAAAATCCGACCAAGAAGAACTGGGCAATTGCTGGGCGCACTCGAACAGGCACCCCTGGTTATCCTGGCAAGGATCCATGCATCGCCAGGAACCATTTGCAGAAGATGCAGAAGAAAATGGAGAAAATGGTAGAATGGAGAGCAAGGGGGTGATGGATAAGCGGGGACAGACGCTGTCAGTGCTGGCTCCTATTTGCCCCATTGCCAAAAACAACATGAAGTAAAATTGGCACTTGACGGACCCATGAAGCCATGGCGCCCCTAATAAAACTACAAGATCTGCTGTTGCCATGATACCCTCCTTCCTTTTTCCCCTTCCCTCCCTACGAAACGATCATATTAATGTCGATGCCGTGACGTGAAAGCATCTCCCAGCTTTCGTCCTTTCGTACCCAACCCACCGCTTCACTCATTCAGCGGGCACTCGTTTTTACGACCTCACGAAAATCAACAAGCAGCTCTACATTATTGAATTAGCGCAACCGACCACGGTTAATTGAAGTCTGAAATATTGAATCTGAAAAGAGGCGGACATAATGAAGGCCACTTTTGCTGCCGCTGCCGTTGCGGCTCTAGCCGGTGGTGCTGCCGCCGGTAGCGTCCATCACAGACACGCCCACGCCCACGATCAGGCTCGTTCCCTCGCAAAGGCGGATAACAGCACCTGTGGATGCACCACGATCTACAGCACATACTATGGTGCCGCTACTCGTATGTGATAAATCATTTAATGATCGCATATGTTATTGATGACCTAACAATATGAAATAGTCTCTTTCCCTCCCGTCCCTGCGACTACTGCCGCTCCCCCGCCGGTTACCGCTACATCGACCGCGGTTCTAGTGCCTACGCCAGTTCCTCAGACTTGCTCTACCACTGGTGTTTACACTTTCCCCGCGACCACCGTCACTCTGACCGAGTCTACGACCGTCTGCGTTCCCTCCACCACCTCCGTACCTGTCGGTACCCACACTCTTGGTGGTGTCACGACTGTCGTCAGCACCCAGACTACGGTCACTTGCCCGTACGCTACCGTATCCACCAGCGGAAGCGTTACAACCAGCGTCATCAAGACCACGGCTTACGTCTGCCCGTCTGCTGGTACCTACACCATCGCCCCTCACACCGTAACTGTGAGCAAGCCCACCACCGTTACGGTCCCCTCCGTCACCAGCTACACTCCTGGTACCTACACTCAGCCCGAAGTTGTTACAACTGTCACTGAGACCAGCACCGTTGTGTACTGCCCCTTCGTCATCCCCACCCCCAGCGCCTCTACCACCCCCGTTGCCGTCCCGACCAGCGCCCCCGCTGTCTCCGTGTCGGTGTCCATCCCCGCACCCGCTGTTTCTTCTGTCGCCACTGTTCCCTCCGTTATCCCCTCAGCCACCGTGGTTCCTTCTTCCTCTTCCGCTAAGCCCTCGCCTTCCGGAACTCTTGGTGGACCTGCTGGAAAGCCATGGGGTATCTCTTACACTCCCTACGGCACCGGTGAGTCTGGTGGATGCAAGAGCCAGAGCGAGGTTGAGAAGGACATTTCTGCCATCGCCGCTGCTGGCATCACCAGCGTCCGTGTTTACTCCACTGACTGCGACACTCTGGTCAACGTCGGCGGTGCCTGCGCTAAGCACGGTCTTAAGATGATCCTCGGTATCTTCATCGACTCCCCTGGTTGTGACGCTGCCAACCCCAGTGTTACCGAGCAGATCAGCGCTATCAAGAGCTGGGCCCAGTGGGATCTTGTTGAGCTTATCTCCGTCGGTAACGAGGCTGTTTTCCACGGTTACTGCCAGCCTTCCGAGCTTGCCTCCCTCATCACCAAGTGCAAGGGCGAGTTCAGCGGTTACACCGGAAAGTACACCACTGCCGAGACCGTCAACATCTGGCAACAGAGTGACTTCTCTTCTGCTATCTGCGGTGTCGTTGATGTCGCGGGTGCTAACGCCCACGCTTTCTTCAACACTCAGACTGATGCTTCCCAGGCTGGTCAGTTCGTCAAGGGCCAGCTCGACATCGTCGATTCTATCTGCCAGAACGTCCCCGGTATCATCCTTGAGACCGGTTGGCCTTCTCAGGGTGAGACCATGGGTCTCGCCGTTCCCGGTGTCTCCCAGCAGGCTCAGGCCATCAAGAGCATTGTCAGCGAGTGTGGTGACAAGGCTGTCCTCTTCAGCTTGACCTCCGACCAATGGAAGGACCCCAACACTGCCTGCAAGTGCGAGCGCTACTTCGGCTGCGCTTCCGTCCTCGGCATTAGCATCTAAATAGACAATGAGTGTTAACGCATAAGCGCCGTATTGTACATTCTCACTTAGTTGTCCAAACGATTGCAATATATACGCTCTAGGTCCGGCGGAGTTTATGGTTGGATTAACATCGGGGAGGCCCCTTTGCGATATGTAGGAGCGATGCCAAGGGCGGATCGGGCGGCGCAAGCAAGCGAATGTATGTTCGAGTCGCACGACTTAGGTGCTACGAATACCACCGGCCTGTTTGGATGTAGGGTCTGATTCATAATGTTGTAATCTACTAGTGTCTATTATTGGATAACTCTGTTTGTCTCTATCTGCGTTCCGTGTGTTCACTCCATGTCGTTGTTCCCCCTTGTGATTTCCGGTCTTCCGATACGTTACTGGATTTCCAAGGTTGAAATCATTCTTCGCCGGTCGACTTTTAAGAATTGGGAGTGGATATCGGATTTATTTCACTTCGTAGTATGGTTAACTACCTACCTATACTTGTGTATCTTAAATGTTACACTTTTATTCACATATTATTTTCCAAATATCAATGTAACTTGTCCCTAAATTTATGGTTCGTTTCCTATATCACATCTTGCGGCGCTTAGTAGTTTCATCTTCGTGGCCTCGATTCGTTATACATAGCTACCTTTTCGAACATGACCATTCTATCAGAAGTGAGAGTGGTCTATTCTGGTAGAACCCTTCTTAGGTAGTTGATGTCACCTCAATCAGCGCCACATCCTCACTAACAACGCCAATCACTATCATCCCGTGGGTGGCGTAGTTAACCTTAACTTTAGGCCCTACATTAACGAGTCTTCACAGGATCCGGTGCTAAAACCTCGATATTTGCCTCGAACCTGCCGTTCCTCCCACTGGACTACGAGGCGCCACAGGAGATACCACCACAACATCAGGAGAGCTAGCTGTCTATCATTCGAGAGCAGGAACAGTCCCAAATACAGAATCTCTCCAACGTTCAATTGACATATTAGAAGGCTTAGGGGTCTTCATACGATAGCTGTCATCTATTACCTACCTAATCATTTAGCAAAGGGTTGTGGTCTTGAGTAAGGAAATGGCTGCACCCTCATTCAAAGAGTTGCCCCAACAAATTATTCCGTCTATATATCCAGGTATCAACGATTATAATGTTTTCCCAGTTTGCTAACATGACTACGAAACGCAGAGTTAATACATAGACATGAACGCCGGAGGAAACTAATACTACATCGTTGCAAACCTTTCGAAGATAGCCTAGTTGGGGGTCGAATTTTAACATTACCTGGTACACGAATCAAGTATAACACAAGTCGACATACGTCCTAGAGCCTTTGCTATCCACACCCGAACAACCATATAATGTCGTTGAAATCGATGAAAAGGTGGCTTGGCCCTTTCTTTCGGATACTGTACCATTTATGTTCAGAGGAGGGATAGAACTTTCTTAAGCACATAGCCGGAAAACATCATCATAGGTAGGGACTGGGTGACATAAATAAACAGATTACTGAAATCTCGTCAACGGATCACGAACTAGAAATGAGACACGATCAACGATATCATTCACAAGAAGCCACAAGAGATTTAGGTCATATTCACTCATCAGATTAAACCCTACTTTCTAAGCAGGTACCATATCCATCCGTTCTATGCCTCCATATTCCTCTGACTGTGCACGACAAAATGGTACACCGGTAATCTCGACGCGCAACGCTTGCTCTGCATCGATCACACAAACTCGCTCTGAAACACAAAAGTACGGGAGAAACCGTCAATACCAAGCTTTCCAATCAACGCCCCCATAAGTGCTAGAGTCCATATACATTACAAAACCCCTGACCTATGCATCCCTTTGAGCATCTGTAACCCCTTGTTCCGTGATATGTTTTGTTCACGCCGTGGGGTCTGACTCGGCTATTCCGTCGATCGGTTCCTCCGGGACGGCCTCGACAGGTAATTCAATGTCTTTGACGGGGTGAAGCAACATGGGCGGTAGGCACATCCTGCCCTCGCCGCCGCGCATTTCGTTGACACTTGTGGCATTCTTGCTCTCGTCCACCGTCATCTCGAACTCCTCGCCGCCATCATTGTTCACCTTGAGACCGAGCCATCTTCGGTATAGGTTCGGTGCGAACCCAGAGTTGTAAAACCACGAGAGGCCAATGAGGTTGTGCTCACGCTGACCGAAGACCGATGTCCGTGAACCTCCTGTAGCTCCGTTTCTGCCGTTGTTTAAGGTTCGGGCAAAGATCTCTGTAGGCCATTCGCGGTCTACATATAAGGGGTGTGGTACGAACACAGCCTTGTAACCATGTTGCAAGGCAACGGTACCTGGCCACATCTCTGGGAAAGCGTGGTGTTTTACGAATGCAGTTTCTCGGTGCATCTTCATGAGAAGGCGACGAGACATACGCGATGCTGTAATGATCTGGGCTCTTCGAGGAGGCATTCCATTTCCATCTGTCGTGTTGTAACCGGTGATATCGTCGGCTAGACCCCACGTTGTCCCTTCAGGGTCAAACATGGGATTGAATGTGATATATTCAGCCTCTTCGCCAACTCCCCACACATACTTGTCCTTTTCATAAGGTGTCGGAGGCACAGGGTCATCCTCGGGTTCGAACCAGTCTTTGGGATCTTTAGGTCTTTCGGGTCCCCAAATAGGCTTATCACCGTGGCTGGCCGGCGGCTGCTTGTTGGATCCGGCAACACCGTTCCAGATATTATCAGCACCAGTAGTACCCATTTCACTTTGTACTCGTGCCATCTGCTTAAAGTCTTCCCATGTTCCGTGTACAGAAGGTACGTAAAACCGTCCATTGCGTTCCCAGAGGCCCTTTCTTGGCTGTTCCTTGGCCCAGTTTTCTATCTTGGTGAATAGATCATAATAATGGCCGATATAGCGGATATCCATCTCCCATTGCCAGTAGTAGTCATATTCTGGGTGCTGGTAGGCAAAATATTGCATAGCCATCTGCAACCCTCGATAGACACCGTGTACGGGCAAGTCCGGACCACGAGCAAAGAGGTCGAAGATTCCTTGGTAGAGAGACAACATTTGAGTTTCCGTCCAGAATGTGACAATACCTCGGAATTCCTCTGGTATAGTCTCCTCGATTCGTTTCTTATATATAGTTGAATCCGCCCAGATAGGGTGTGCAGCATCATTTTTTACTTGTACGAGCAAGTGAACGTCGTAACGGCCACCGGATGCTAGTACTAATTCGCTGATTAAAGAACGGATATTCATAATATCTTCCTCCTTCCAGAAATATTCATCCCAACATCGGATGACAACAGCAGTTCTTGGTAGCCGTTTTTCAACTGCTCCATCATCGGGAACCGCTGCCGAGCTCTTTCCTTTTACCTCATCCACAGGAGACTTGACAGATCCGGCGGGTAAAGTATCGCGTGCCTGAACCTTGATAGCGGCGGTAGCTTCATCGACATAGAAGCCATGAGGGGAAGGGTGCTTAGCAGGCTGGGTCTTGTACCGGTCGGCATTTGCTCGATAGCAACGTCTTTGTACATCGGCCCAGTCCATCCCAGTCCAGTCAACTTGTGGCACCTTCTCCCAAGTGGATTCGTAGCCTTCCTTCTCGCCAAGTTCCCCAGTGCCTAGGCCACCGGACCTAACAGAGTAGCCAAAGCCATACGGCCCATATCTGCCATATCGTTCGAAGCATATGTCTTCGGGGAGTCCCAAAAGTTCATGCGAACCAAGAACAGCATCGGGGAAACCGTTAGGACGCCCTTCATAGTATCGAATAGGAGGCACGCGGACCTTGTTAGCCTTATCGAGGTAGCACTCCTGGAATTGCTCAGGGGCACTTTGGAAGACACTCTGCGGGTAGCGGATGTACTCCTTGCTAGCAGGCAAATTCCGTTCTTGGACATCAGGCTTGTAATTGGTGTTGTTGGAATATGACAACTTGTCTATAGGTGGTTCGCCTGGTAAACGTGGGTACTCGGGAAGATTCTGGGAGAAAGAGACTAAATTTCTAATGCCACCATAGTATCTTGTGAGGAATGGGTATGATTCCCACGAGGGAGGAGCTGATGCAGGTCTGTCAATCCTGCCTTCAGCAAGTGCTCTATTTTCGTTGTGACTGGCCCTGATGAGTGTGAGGATCATCAAAATTATAAATGACGTTAAGCCAAAGCAGAGATACCGAATGACCTTGTTCGGTAGACGGTAGGCAAAGGGTTGGCGCGGTTTGCTAGAAACCATGAAGTGTCTTTTTGACATTATAGGTGTAGCGGCGGTTATAGAAGCACTCGTATATCGTGAGTTATTGGTGCCTGGAGATGAAGATGTGATAGAGTACCCATCGGAGTCGGAATCATCGTATGAATCGTTTGAATCTCGCTCCTTGCTTGGTGTTTGTAGGTTTAGGTTTTCGTAGAGGGGTAATTTAGATTGTCGGCCATCGCGAGAACGCAATGGGTTCCAGGATGATTTTCCCATCTTGGATGGGGTTGAAGAATTCTAGTGACGATAATCAGTACGATGATCCATTATTTGTCAAACGTCCGTCCGCATATGTTTTAAAGGGGTTACCGACTTGTACAACTTGACCCTGGTACCGATTGATTTCTTTATGCCCAGCTTGGGAGATAGCAGGTATGTGTTTGGTATGTAGTAATATTTTCAGATAAATTTGTAAATATTTTGAACATAGGTGTTGACCCTTTTTACGAGTTGTTTTCTTTAGAGGGGGGGTTCATAATTAGAAAGCAAGGAAATAGAGAACGAAATCAAGCTGGATCGCAATCGATACGTGATTCGATATGGTTGTTTTGGTAGCACAGTCTCACACAGTCCGTCATGCCCCTATCCTTGTCATTACCCCTGACGGCTCTAGCGACCTGGCAACGGCCCTAGAGAGTATTAGGCAAATACTTAGTGACTTTGTACTTTCGGGTAAAATCCTGGTCTATTGACGTAATTGCCCACAATTAACCAATCAAAGTGTTCTATTTTTGCCGACCAATAAGATGATAGAAATGTGTAGTTACCTACTTAATCAATTCTTGCATCTAACGAATAAATGTACGTACAAGGTAAGTAAGATCCCCGCCCCCCGGATCCGACTGGTTTAATGTTCAATGTTGAATCAACATCCATATCAATTCCACTCCCATACATAACACATTCAGCATCTCAACCAATTGACGTCAATTGACATCGGCAAAGTTCAGTAATATCAATTGATCTTGAAACTAGAGACGAAAGCTGCCTTTGATACTTTGACATCTATTCTCTTTGTGTAGGTCTTACATATACCATAACAATGAAGTCAAACCTCCTCCATCGGGCCAAGCATTTTCAACTATTGACAACAAATCGTCCACGTGGTCACGAGGGCAGAAGAGCTAAGAAATTGTCATAAGAATGATCCCTTATGGGCTGATGTCCCACGCAGAACCCATCGAATGAACGAGACCACACCTACATACCTAGGTGCGTATCCGGTACTCTATAGATCACTTACGCAGTATAAGTGCACCGACTTGCAGCGGCTTGCAGGTTCGCGCTGCCGATAGGATCGTTCCGTTACACTTATTTACTATCACTGGATCATGATACGCTCATATACACTCGTAAACGCTTCACCTTAGCAGTTTTGGGTTAAGCTACGACGCCGCCTCCGACTGCGGGCTCCTACCTGCAGCCGCATCATATGGAGATGCTACTCTGGATATGATATATATTGCATTTTGCATATCTGCAGGTCCGATCACAAATACAAACGCAGCAACCTAAGCAACCTGGGCATTTTTTCATCAGGAAACAGTGTAGTCGCACAGAATTCGCCTTATGCTGCTGTCTTTCTGTGTGCGAATTGGCTCTTCAACCGGGTTGGTTTGCGGTCGTCTCTGGACCCAATATATACATCACTCCTTCGTAACCTCTCGGCTATGGTTATGTCAGATTTCCTTCCTCAGCCCACCCAACTATCGACTGTGGATCAATCGTTATAATTATGTGGAAAGGACACTGGAGATGTACGTCGACGTGCGGGAGTCCAAGTGGCTATTTCCATCCTATAGCCCGTACTGAGTTCTCCAGATGTTATGTCAAGGTTTCAATACCGATCCCGCTGACGGATCGTGGCTACACTGGCTAGTTTAGTAGCCCAACGCCCCTGTGTCTGGCTTCTAACATCTATCACTTGACCCTCGGTAGGAAGCGACCAGTCATCTGAGATCTCCAATGTCTCTCAATTTTTGTTCTTTCTTCCCTTGAAAGATATAAATCGCCCCTCCTGACCCTAATCCCCCTCCCCAGATACAAAACCTTGGGTAAGACCTCACTCATGCTTTTAGGCTTTCAGGTTCTTCTCTTATAAACATCTATTCAGCCACTTCCTTTACTCAATAAACCCCTTTGCGGCGATCCTCACTCTCGTTGTATGGTCAAGCTGACCTCTTACAACGTCTACTCTGACATCATGTCCGGTATACTTACACGGACTAACACCTTCACACATTCTTCCATCGACGCCTGTCCTAACCATGATGTCGACCCTCTGTCTATCAACGTGACTATCAGACAAGACCCTCTCTCCATCACGTTGGATGGATCCGCCATATTTGCCATTTCCATCATTCTTATGCTTAGCATACACCTGGTCGAACCATCTGTTCTGGCTGTGTCCGTCGGGTTGGCTACCGGCCTTGTTTTCGTCCACAATGATTACCAGAATTACCTGAAACTTGGCCCTGGGGGAACACCAGCAACGTTTCCTGGCTATATCCGTATCAATTGGTTCAAGTTCTGGGCCTGCCGAGTGGATCCCTTTGACCCCCTCCCAGCAGACCCGGACGTTCAGCCTGCTATTGGGGTCTTCCGTAATAGACCCCTTCCTTACCGCTGTGGATTGCGCCCAAAGGTTGTAGGGATAGCACCGCAACGGCAAGTCAACCAATTCGGGTCCCGGGAATGCTATCTCGCTCTACGGCGTATTTTGGAGAATCACGGCCATATGAATTCCGAGGAGGTAGGCGTTGGCACCTCTTGCTTCGAGAAGCACGGCTTGGGACTGTTTGCTCGATTCCCTTTCAATAAGACTTGTCAGGGGGAGATCTGCCACATCCACAACTCGGACTATTCGATGCATCTAAACCTTCACCCGCACGACGTGAAGGAGGTTATCGAGAAGGGTTGGGGACAACGTCACCCATTGACTAGTCAGTGCCTACTGAAGATGCCCGTTCCCAAGCAATTCACGATGGTGTATGCCCCCCGAACTATGGATGAATTGAAAGTTGTATGCCAGATCATCGAGGCGGCTGGTTGGTGGGTTACCGCAAAGGAGATGAAGCTGGATGTATTGGAGGATATGCAAAGCTACTAAGGAGTCCTAAGAGCTGTGCAGCCGGATTACAAACACCATAGCTCAGGGCAGAGAGTGGCTACGTGAGAGACCTCGCTTGGGCTGCCATGTCAGGTCAAAACGTGTCAATGACTTCGAATAGTTTACAAACGTAAAATTTCAGAAACAAAATATAAATTTATTACTTACCTATAATATTCCCGATAAGCAACATTGGTGAAAGACATGTGGCTGCTTGGTCAAATTCACTTGACTGCTGTTTGAAAAAAACCCACGTAGGGAAATATGCTTGATTACCTAGCTATGAAGGTATTCCCAACCACCCAACCGCCCACGTAGAATCTCTTTTTACCTACGAGAAGCATGTTTTGGGAACTTTCTAGTCATTTTGTAATGCCATCGCATGGAATCAGCACTCATGCCCGCCCTCCAAATGCACACTTAATCGCAATCGTACATCGTGACTATTTTCTTAGTCATCATACATAATGCACACACATAGTCCAGAGACCATCACCCTCTATCATTTTTTTCTGCTCTTAGCACGAGCTCCAAGTTCAACCGTCACTATCCTCACCCTCGATGTCTTCATCCTGCTTCTTACCAGACTTCTTGTACGTCTCACGCCCCGTCGCTATCGTAGCTCGGACCGTCCGACCATCAAACGCGCGGCCGTCCATCAAGTTCACACACGCCTCAGCCGCCTCCGGAGTCTTGAACTTGACGCTCGCGATGCCCTCCTCTTCCAAATCGTACAATATCACATTCGTCACAACCCCAAGCTTGGAGCACTCCTCGCGGATATCCTCTTTAATCTCCAGCATCGCGGCCGGGTCCTCGTCTAGCTCCTTCAACGTGAACATGTGTCGTAACACAACGACTCGATCACGCCGCGCCGCCGTCTCGAGCTGTGCCCCGTAGGGATCCTCATCGTCGTCCCAATCCGCAAGCTTCGCATCGAGCTTCTGCGTGCGCTTGATGATCTTCTGCTTATCCTGCTCGCGGGTCCTATCGCGCGGCTTCCCAGCGCCGGTGATATGATTACTCCGCTCGCTTTCCCCCTCAGCCTTGCCATTCCCACCCGCACCCTCCTCGCCGCCCTCACGTTCATAATGCGTCTTCTTGTAGCTCGAATCCGCAGCTTGAACACGCATCCGCCCGCTTGCGAGCCCCGAGGCCGAGAACCGGAAGTCCGTGTCGTCGAGGAGCATGATCGCCATATCGACGCTCTGCGGCTTGAAGAAGACGACCAGCGCGTCGCCTTTGAAGTTCCCCGCCTCGTCCGTGTATAGCTTCACGCGCGGCCGCCCGCTGTCGATCTCCTCCGCGATCACCCCGCACTTGCGCGAGAACGCCTCGTGCACCTCGTCGACCGTCACGTCGAGCGGTAGCCCCGTCACGTAGATCGCCGTGTTCTGGCGCGGCTGCGGCGGCTGCTTCTGCCGTTTCTGTGGCCGTGGCCGGTCTCTCGCTCCTTCTTTTCCATCACCTCCTCCTACACCCCGATCGCCGGCTCCGCCGTTCGCGTGGCCTTTCTTCCGCTTCTTATTGGGTAGGTTACTGCTATTGCCCTCATTGTCATCTGGGCTCGCCGCACCACCGTACGCCGATTGCTGCTGGGCAAGCAGCTCCTCGTCGAGCACAGGGATCCACCGCCTAAGCTGAGCGTCCCACTCGAACTCGCTGCCGTCGTCCTGGACGGCGATGTACTTGCTGTCGAGCTTGGAGAAGGAGATGCGTTCGTCGAGTTCGAACTCCTGGGGATTCGTCGGGAAGGAGAGACCGCCCGGCGCGGGTTGCGGGTCTGCCATCGTATTCGATGCGTGTCAATTGAGGAGATGGGGCGAGGCGCGAGGTTGTGTGGAACGAGGCGAGAGCGGGATTTGTTTGAGTGACGATGGTGGAAAAGTAAAAGTGAGTGTTTGTATGTAGAGGTACTAGAAGAATGTACCTAGGTAGCTTCTGTACTTCGTACGTCAGCGCAAAGAAGTACCTACATTTAGGTAGCGTTTTAGGTAGGTGCACTGGGTGTAATATAAAATTACCGGCACTAAGGTCATATTACCCGATTAGTATTAGCTTGCTACTTTTATGCATAGAACACATTGAGCACACCAGGTTTAACAGATGCAAGTTGGGTAAGTTGTGACCTGAAGTACATCCATATTCAGATTCAAAGTCAAATACATACTATCGTACTGTCAATATTCTCAAATAAGAAGTACTTCGTATCCTAAGCTAAATCTAGTGAGAAACAAGAATCCATATTGTAAGATTTACTCAGTATCACATGTCACGATGTAAGCCAGCAAACTAGCATCAAAGTCAGGTATGAGATCATAGTACAATTCCCAACACGGGTATCAATACCCAGATACTACGCCGTCAACGTAGTCTACCTGCGTATATACGTTGTGTATTCGTACACAGTACCCCTATAACCCTACACCTGAACGCCGGGTACGAAGATGCAATATGTTACCGATTAATGGCAACGGTATAAGATGATCTAACAGGCAACCCCAAGTCTTTTCCCCCGACAGAAATTAAGGCGAACAACGAACGGCGGACATTCACTTCTTGCCTCCCTTCTTCTTTCTAGAGCCTCCAGGTGTAGATGCAGGGGTACCCGAGTCGACTAAGACTGCGTCATCGTCACTACCTTTGACAGAGCCCTTAGTCGATGATTCCTCATCCAACTCCCTCATGAAGTCCTTCTTGATTGCCTCACGTCGCTTCTCCCACCACTCCTTGTCAGTTTCCGCGCGGCTCTCAATCTCGTCAAGCTTAGTACGTAACATGGTGTTTGCGGCAATCTCGTTCGCGGACTGGAAGATAGTCTGGCCCCAACCAGGTGCGAGAGCATTGGCCTATAAACAAGTTAGTGTCTAATGTTCCATATATTCATGTCTCCCATATTCTGTTTTAGAAGCTGTATGTCTCGGGCAACTCTTACCTCTGTGACGACATCGCGCAGCTCTTCCTCAATCTCTTTCTCGGCTCTCGTGAATCTTTGATTCAAGTCCTCGCCGACACTTCCTCGTTGTAACAATGTGTTAAGGGCTTGTTTCGAGGTTCGGATCTGAATGATGCGACGGATGTCCTCGACGGCTCTTCGAAGAAGTGCAGCTCGGATAACGCTATCAGGTACCTTAGGTGCTTTTTCTTGACCAGGTTCGGGTTCCATGTGAAGGAGGGTTAGGTAGATATTTCGCTGCAAGTGTGACGGAAACCATGGCTCGAGGTTGGCGCTTTGTGCTACAGACTTGTCAATTTTGGCGCAGACTCGAGAGCCGAGTAGGGATCACATACACGCCTTTCGTTTTCTGTAAATAGTGGAAAAGGTATACAGAGAACCACCGAGTACGGTGATGTACGCGAATGGGAGCGCGAGACTTAACCAGTCTATGTCGAACATATTGTCGTTGGAGTTATGATAGACTGTGAAATTGGAAAAGGTGGGAGAAAGAAGTTTGACGGAGCGTCAAACCGAAGGTTGATATTACATATAGTGGTGTACTTTTTGGGAAGTCGGGATCTTGACACTTTTCACGTAGCTAAACCCACATCACTGGGCATTTCGATACATGCATGTACCTAAGTATATTCACGCTAAAACGATTTAGTCGACAAGCCACAGATGCTAAATTTGGTACCTGGCAATTCACCGCCTTTACCTAGCTAATTTTTTTCTGCTATTCGGACGGCAGAATTTCTTCTGCCTTCATTATGAAAATAAACGGGTACTAGACAACCTTTTCGCGGATTCAACCCAACCGAATCAACGATGTCGACCCCACGACCAGAGTTCCTCAAGTTTACAGGCCACAAATCATTTACACAGCGTCTGGTATTATCGACATTAACAGGCCGGCCTATACACATATCCAAAATCCGTTCCAATTCCCCCACCAATCCCGGCCTCGCCCCGCATGAGGTTTCCTTCCTCCGTCTACTCGAAGCTGTCACCAATGGCAGCTCTATGCAAATATCCTACACCGGTACGACGATAACGTATCAACCTGGTTTAATCACAGGTGCTATACCAGGCTTTGGCGCTTCAGATGGCGATATCCTCGAACACCAGCTACCCGCCGCCTGCACGCGAGGCGTCACCTACTTCCTCCTACCTCTATGTCTCCTTGCCCCGTTCTCGAAATCGCATATGAACGTTCGATTCTCGGGACCAGGCGTCATCACATCATCCACCGAGACAGGTGATCTTTCAGTCGACTCCTTCCGCACAGCCATTTTACCACTATACAACCTCTTCGGCATTCCCGCGGCGCGGATAGAGCTACGAGTTCTCCAGAGATCATGCAGCGGGCCCCATGGTAGCGGTGGCGCAGGTGTTGTCGAACTCAGATTTGCGAGCCAGGTCCGGTTGCCCAAGACATTACATCTAAACAGAAGCCCCGGTAGGATAAAAAGAATACGAGGTGTCGCATATGCGACAGGTGTGTCGGCGTCGAATAATGCTCGTATGATACATTCCGCGCGAGAAATACTTAACCCCTTCGTCTCGGACATACACATTGCTGCACAATACGATCAGGCGCCTTTGATTTCCGATGGGGCGGAAAAGTCCGGTAGCAAGAAAAGGATGGGAATCGGCTTTGGCCTGAGCTTAGTTGCAGAGTCGAGCGCTATAGGCGTGCTATATTCGGCAGATGTGGTGGTGCCGCCGAAAGGAGGCATAGTTCCGGAGGATATCGGAAAGAGATGCGCATACCAACTCCTAGAAGCTATAAATCTAGGAGGTTGTGTTAGCGGAGCAGCAGCAGGGACCGTTTTAACACTGATGGCTATGGGATCTGAAGATGTTGGACGCTTACGTCTTGGGAGAGACGTCATGGGCACAGAACAAGTAATAGGACTCGCACGAGATCTTAGGAAGTTTGGATCTAGTAGTTGGGGGTTGCGGGATGTTGAAGACGACGACACGGGCGATATTATAGTCTCGGTGAAGGGGACTGGAGTCGGTAACGTAGGAAGGAAGATTGCGTAATAATATGATATCCTTTTAAATTTGTACAACGATCTCAAATGGCTATTTTATGGCTGCCTCGGCTGTGTCGCTGCTAGTCTCGCTCTCCTCTGCGCTGCCAAAGCCGCCAACGTCGCATTATATCCGACATTCTGTATAGCATAAGCAGCCGCGCTTTCAGGCGAATTCGCCCGGTTGTGCCAAGCAGTCCGAAGTGACTGCCGAACGTTAAAATTGGCCAGAACAGCATTCCCAGATCTCAATGTATCAGCTAGACTTTCAAGATTGTCTGTAGGGGTAGTTGTCCGTCTTAGTAACCCAACTCTCTCTTCTACGTTGTGTTGATGGCCACCATTTCCACTTCCTAATGATTGCATTTCAATGTCGTGGGTCTCATCCACGATTGGCGCATCCCTCAAAACCCCCCGCTCTTCTGCGTCGTAGTCCTGGCTTGAAGAGCTCGTTGTCGTGGAAAGATCGGAATTATCGAGCAGTGTCGGCGGCTTCAACGCTTTACGTACTCTCTCCTTTTCCATATTTACGGTCAGCATGACGCACTGCAGTCCAAATATCAGAAGATCCAACAATAGGAGCGAAAACTTGGACGATGGCGCCTTCTGGCCGATGAAGTCGAATAGTATGCCACCATGGAGGTAGCCTCGCGAGGCTTCGCCTGCTTCGGGTAGAGAGGCGATAAGATGCATCAGGGTGCAAAGGAAATTTGGACCGATGATCGCGGAAACGTGATAATTAGGTATAATAAGAATAGTGTCCTCGGCCTTAGGACTAATAAATAGGGCTTGTGGTACCCATCGTATCATCAATCGGAAAAAAGAACAGCTAGAGGTGTGACGTCAGCTATTATTTGCACGATGCGCAACGATGTTTTTCACTTAATGCTACTGAGTATAGACAAAATGGAGGGATGGAGGAATGGCAGAATAGGGGTACTTCATACTCCATATAGTACAGCGCACATAGCTCAGCATAGACCAGAGTATCCAAGCTAATACTAAGATGTATCATGAACTGCAACTTCTTCGTAAGGCCTTCCTTCGCCGCCTGGGAGAGTGATGGGTTTTGCGTGGTGGCGCTGCCATCACGGTTTTGCTCGGACACGGCGGACTGTGCTGGGCCGTCGGCGTCGTCCTCTTGAAGACCGTGAGATATACGATGAGGGTCCGCCGGCGTGGTCGGGGTGGGAACATTGTTCATAGCTCCACCACAATCGACGTGAGAAGCCACCCGGATAATGTGTCTTTTACATGCTGCGAGGTCTTCATAAATGGTGTAGAAGGAGGCTTGCCTAATGCGTGGTCGCTCGACGTAGAATGTGGGGAGCGACAAGGCAAGAAGCGCGTCTTACGTTGCGGCGTTGATTGTCTTAAGGATTTAATAGCGACTAAAACGGAAGCTGAGAATCTGATGTTGGGCAAGCTTAGTGGACTGCCTACGCACAGTATTAATATGTGTCTCATACGCTAATTTATACAGTACGTCCCTACGCAAATCGATTCAGCCTGCTGACTAATAAGAGGAGGTCTGCCCTACCTCTAAGTACTGAAGTTTCTTGTAACTGGTAGGTACCCCTGAGTTCATGTTATGAAGCTTGATAACCAACAAATAATCTGATATAACTCCTTAGATATTACAATTCGTAATTGTATGGATCTGTATCATATTCTCTTTTCATGTTATGATCTCTTTAGAGGGAAGTATATGAAGCTGAATTGTTCCTTTACAGTTCTTGAAGCAACTCCAAAAACGAGGTTGGGTCGTTTCCCACATTTAGTTGTAATAGTATCACTGGTGACGATGAAGTAACTCCGAGCCAGCGATGGCGTCGGACGTTTCACCAAGCTAGTAACTTGAGATGGCTCCAAAGGGAGCGACTGAGTGTTACATACCTACCTACAGCAGGGATCGCCCATTTTGATAGACGAAAAACGCCACCGCCGCCATTCGTCAAGCAGGTAGAGCAAAACCGTAAGTAACGCAGAGATGTGATATTTCATCAGCAGCTTGTTGTGTGATTAATCCAATTTGAGCTAAAGCGACATTAGATCCAATTGTTATAAGTTCTACGAGATTTATAGCGCCGAGAAGATAACTAGTCATTTCGATTTCCGATGGTGTTTTTATAGTGCCCAGATCGACCATTAGATGACAAGAAACTATGACATTGATGAATCTCAGCTACTAAATATCGACATAAAATGTACACTTAATATGTTACATAATTCAAATCTTTAGCCATGCTACCTTATAGACGACGTCATTGCTTCAAAGTTCTGTAATGTAAATAGTAATTTTCAGATAGTATTAGGTAACAAGGTTCGACTGGGTAGGTACATGTTGAACGAGAGGTCTATGTACCTGAGCTTTACTGAAAGTGGAAATCAGGCCAATGGAAGGGATGGAATTAAACTTTTCATGTACCGTACCCCGTTAGATCGGGTATGCCAAGAGATTTGCTCCCCTCATGCCTCCGTAAATCGCAAGCCGTCTCGCAGTGAATCTCATTAGCGGGACCCTAAATACTTTTTTTTTCTATCCTTATCGGCTTATCTATGCATATATGGTGGCATGCCTTGAAATTTATTAATTTCGACCGGACCTTTTATAAGACTCACACATTGCTAATAAGTCTAGATATATTGTGACTCAAGAGAGTTAAGGAATTTTTTCCTAGAAGCTCAATTGACTTCAATTGGGAGCAGGGAGCCCCAAACTTTGGTCTCGTGAGCTCTTGAGACCTTCCTCCTTCCAATCCCTCCCTACATTCTAGCTCCTACTTGCTACCTACCTAGGTAGCTTGTTAGTTATTATGGCTCTCTCTACCAAGCTTGCAGGTCGAGCACCTATGCTGCTACGACATACCCGAAGGTTACCCATAACTCGAAGGCAGCTTACCACAACGAGTTATCGAGCTCCCTCCCAACTTCTCGCCTCAACTCGAAAAGCCGGATTTTTACAGGAAAGGAAATTCTCTGTCACCGCCCTTTGTTCCGCTGCGAACATAGCTGCTCAAGAGGCGCCTAATCCTAAGGCCTATCTAGAGAGTGGCGTGATAAAGCCAAGGGATGTTGTAAATGTTAAGAAGGTGCTGGTTATTGGTAGTGGTGGCCTAGCAATTGGACAAGCCGGAGAGTTCGACTACTCAGGTTAGTTTTACGAACCTACCCTCAATAAGCCTAATGGTCAAGGGTGACTCATATTTTGTATAGGTTCCCAGGCACTCAAGGCTCTCAAGGAGGCCGGAGTAGCCTCTGTCCTCATAAATCCAAATATTGCTACTATTCAAACCAACCATAGCCTCGCTGATGAGGTTTACTACCTCCCCGTCACTCCGGAATATGTAACCTACGTTATTGAAAAGGAACGGCCCGATGGTATCTTCCTGTCCTTCGGTGGACAGACAGCTTTGAACCTGGGTGTGCAAATGCAGCGCATGGGGTTATTTGAGAAATATGGTGTCAAGGTACTCGGTACAAGCGTCCACACCTTGGAGCTAAGCGAGGACCGAGATCTTTTCGCAAAGGCTCTCAACGAGATCGATATTCCAATCGCCAAGTCAATTGCTGTCGGTACCGTCGATGATGCTCTAGATGCTGCCAACAAAGTCGGATACCCTATCATCGTCCGCGCTGCCTACGCGCTAGGAGGTCTAGGTTCCGGTTTCGCCAACAATGAGGAGGAACTGCGCAACATGGCTGCTCGATCTCTTACTCTCTCGCCCCAGATCCTTGTTGAGAAATCATTGAAAGGTTGGAAGGAAGTCGAGTATGAAGTCGTTCGTGATGCGAATAATAACTGTATCACTGTCTGCAATATGGAAAACTTCGATCCTCTGGGAACCCATACGGGCGACTCAATTGTCGTTTCACCTAGTCAAACGCTTAGCGACGAGGAGTACCACATGCTTCGTACTGCAGCTATCAAGATTATTCGTCACCTAGGGGTTGTTGGCGAGTGTAACGTCCAATATGCCCTCCAACCAGATGGACTCGACTACAGGGTGATTGAGGTTAATGCTCGTCTTTCTCGGTCATCAGCTCTTGCTTCGAAAGCTACCGGATATCCTTTGGCTTACACGGCGGCAAAGATCGGCCTTGGTCACAGCTTGCCTGAGCTACCGAATGCTGTTACCAAGACTACCACCGCCAACTTTGAGCCTTCCCTCGATTATATCGTAACAAAGATACCTCGTTGGGACTTGTCCAAGTTCCAGCATGTAAAACGGGACATTGGAAGCGCTATGAAATCCGTGGGCGAAGTAATGGCTATCGGAAGAACCTTTGAGGAATCATTTCAAAAAGCTATTCGCCAAGTTGACCCCAAGTTTGTCGGATTCCAGGGCGACAAATTTGAAGATCTTGATTATGAACTTTCGCACCCAACAGACCGCAGGTGGCTAGCAGTTGGTCAGGCAATGCTCCACGAAGGTTACACAGTCGACAGGGTTCACGAGCTGAGCAAAATTGATAAGTGGTTCTTATACAAGCTTCAAAATCTCGTTGACTGCACCAAGGAATTGGAAGCTGTCGGTAGCATAAGTGGGTTGAAACGGGATCTCATCCTTAAGTCCAAGAAGATGGGCTTCTCTGATAAGCAGATCGCCAATGCCGTCAAGAGCGATGAGGACTCCGTTCGTGCTCTTCGATTAAGCATGGGCATCCGCCCATTCGTGAAGAGGATAGACACTTTGGCTGCCGAGTTCCCAGCAGAGACAAACTACCTATACACTACTTACAACGCCAGTTCTCACGATGTTACTTTCGATGACAAGCCCACGATGGTTCTCGGATCGGGTGTATATCGTATAGGATCGTCGGTTGAGTTTGACTGGTGTGCTGTGAGTGCCACTGTCGCCTTAAGGAAAATGAACAATAAAACAGTTATGATCAACGTAAGTCCAAATTTCACATGTTTCTTTTTAAACTACATGACATCCATATTTCCTATGGGTCGGATGTGCTTGCCCTCTAGAACTAGACGTGCTTGCCTTTCGGGGTCAATCGAGCCCCGCTTCGGACCCGTCCGGAGGATCTCCCAACGGGACCCCTCCTAGAACACTATCCTTCCAAGATATTCGTTCTCTTGCCATTCCTTGCTAATATCTGGATAGAATAACCCGGAGACATTGAGCACAGACTTCGATTCTGCCGACAAGTTGTATTTCGATGAGCTTAGTTATGAGAAGGTTATGGACATCTATGAGCTAGAACAAGCCTCAGGTGTCGTGGTGTCTGTTGGTGGTCAACTTCCGCAGAATATTGCTTTACGACTCCAGGAGGCAGGCAAGGCCAATGTTTTGGGTACCGACCCGCGTGATATCGACAAGGCCGAAGACAGACAAAAGTTCTCTGAGATCCTTGACAGCATTGGCGTGGACCAGCCGGACTGGAAGGAACTGACTTCTGTAGCTGAAGCTGAGAAGTTCGCCGAACAGGTTGGCTACCCGGTTTTAGTCCGCCCAAGTTATGTCCTGTCAGGCGCTGCTATGACTGTCATTCGAGGCCAGGCGGATTTGAAGGAGAAACTAGAAGCTGCAAGCAACGTATCACCCGACCACCCCGTTGTTATAACCAAGTTTATTGAGGGCGCCGAGGAGATCGATGTTGACAGTGTTGCCTACCAAGGTAACTTGGTCATTCACGCCGTTAGTGAGCATGTAGAACATGCTGGTGTTCACTCTGGTGACGCTACCCTGGTTTTACCCCCTGTCAACTTGGATGACAGGACAATGGAGCGACTCAAGGAAATCGCGAAGAAGGTTGCTAAGGCTTGGAACATTACTGGTCCATTCAATATGCAAATCATCAAAGCAAATGGCCCCGAAGGCGAAGAGCCTGCGCTCAAAGTTATCGAGTGCAACCTTCGAGCATCTCGATCCTTCCCCTTCGTCAGCAAGGTCCTCGGCACTGACTTCATCGACGTTGCCACAAAAGCGCTTGTTGGCAAGGATGTTCCTGAACCTACGGACCCGATGGCTGTTAAGAGGGACTACCTCGCTACCAAGGTCCCTCAATTCTCGTGGACCCGTCTTGCCGGAGCTGATCCGTTCTTGGGTGTCGAGATGTCCAGTACGGGAGAGATGGCCTGCTTTGGCAAGGACCTCGTGGAGGCATACTGGACCTCTCTCCAGTCCGCCATGAACTTCCGTGTCCCAGAGCCTGGTGAGGGTATCCTCCTTGGTGGCGAGACATCCAGGGAATGGCTTACTAAGGTCGTTGATTATCTCTCACCCCTCGGCTACAAGTTCTACGCAGCTGGTGAAGATGTCAAACAATTCATCGAGTCGACCGCCAAGGACCAGGTCACCGTCGAAGTGATCGAATTCCCCAAGGAGGACAAGCGCTTGCTCCGAGAAGTCTTCCAGAAGTACGACATCCGAGGAGTGTTTAACCTTGCTCTAGCCCGAGCTAAGACAGTTATGGACGTGGACTACGTGATGCGCCGAAACGCCGTCGACTTTGGCGTCCCGTTGTTCATGGAGCCTCAGGTAAGCGTTTCTCATTACATATAATGATTACACTACGTTATAGAACAAACTTGCTAATCTCGATTATTATTTAGACCGCAATGCTCTTCGCCCAATGCATGAACGAGAAGCTACCCCGGAAAGAAGGCATCCCATCGGAGGTCCGTCGGTGGTCCGACTTCATCGGCGGCAAGCCACTGTAGAGTACCAGATACATATACCCTATTTCCTCAACCCCCTAAAAACATCAAAACTTCAAAAATCGTAACGTTGGTTTGCGATAGTTCCCTTTTTTTCCACTTACATATAATAGGCGTTGAATGAGGATTCGTTCATGGTTTCCTTCTTTGCGGGGGGAGGGGCGGACGGGTTGGTGTAAGAGAAAAAAAAAAGGATATGACGAAGGATGGGTTTTCCCCCTCTAATTCTATTCCGCAATTCTACTTCTTGGGGTAGAAGTAGATTAGGTAGATTAGTCTATCTAAAATGAAAAGTTAAATTACTTAATGAACATCGTCGGTGAAATATATGTGCATTGATATTCTTTATGGTACGACGTCGTCGTGGTAGTCGTAGTAGTAGTGGAAGAAGAAAACAAATCAAAGGCTATGGAGTATGCAGTACCTGGGCATATTTATCCGTGAAATAATCACAGTTATATTTCACATTCACATTCACATCAATAAAAGGTTAATCATGATGAGGGAAGTGACATTTCAGCTTCATATTGAGACTCCGTTATGTACGACGACGCGTACCTCCGCCCCCCATATGCCAGAGAGAGAACAAGGAAGCCGTCTAGAATAGGCCTAAACGCCTGAGAGCTATTTACTATCGCAATCATCGTCGATCAACGAGACGAGGGTTTCTTTCCCTTAACCCCTACCCGTAGCTCATTGGTCCCTTGTCTACTTTCCCTCCGAATGAACCTAACTGTAAGTAGGTAGGTGCAGGTACACACTTGTTTCTATCCATTGTACTTGTATGGCATCACATCTCCTCGTGCTTAGCGCGGTCGAATATTGGCGAAGACGCGTTTCGGTCGTTCAGCCTAACGGCAGCAAGACGCTTAGTAAGCGGTTCACTGGATCTTTTGGCGGAAGCGGCGACGGATGAGTGCGAAGAGGGCCTCGCGCCCCCTTCGCCACTTGTTCGAGGCCGCTTTCTTTTGGGGGTTGTCTCACCAGTTTCTGCTAAAATAGCTTTTAGCGAAAGAAAGCCGGGCGTGGAAAGCAGTTGATACATGTCCGCGAGATCATGCGTTGTCGCCGCCCGGCACAAGAGCGCATCCTCTTCCTATATATTTGTTATTACACTTAGATCAAGGAGGGGAAAAATGGACAAATGTGATAAACACAGAGTTGTAACAACTTACCTTAGATAGCACACCCATCTCGTGAATGAAATTAAGAAGGTGAAAGTCTGAGAGAGATCCAAGCTCCGTGCCACTACCGGTACCAAGAGCCTTGGTAACAGACTTGTACTGTTGATTCTCTCCCATGATCTCACGATTCTCAATCGGGAAGTTGGGTGTGTTGAATAAGGGCTTCGGTTGTGCTGGGAAACCGTGTGTTAATGTTACGAAAAGATACTCGGCGGGGAAGGACGGCTTTGCGTTCTCTTGTACGTTGGCGCCGTACTCGTTAATCTTTCGGTAGAATACCTCGGGAATGTATCGCGTTCGGCTTGTCGAACCGTCATCTTCTTCCTCTTCCCGCACGAGCATGATATTAGGGTCGGCCGACGGCTCGACGAGGTCGGCGCGTACCATTTCTACGGTATCGTTGGATACCTGGTATGATGAGATAGCGATCTGACCTGTTTCGTCACCCGAGATGATACATGTGACGAAGTTTGATCCGAATCTTCCCGTATCACTCCACTTGGTAGGCTTAGGATGCTGCGCCTGCAAGCGTGCTGCGAAACAAATCTCTAGCGAACTGAGGAAGTATGAATCGGCATGTCGCTTGCAGATAACCTTGCCATCACCGGTGCCCGCGTCCAGTAAGTCTGTGAATATTACCCCCACTTGTTCAAGTCCACATAATCTGGCAACATCATTGATGCTACTCTCGTTGTCCCAGGGGTTGAGCGATACCCCGTCCACTTCGTCTACTTGAGGCACTTCATATATGGCCTCTACTATCGCCTTAACGCCAAGGGGCACTTCGGTATATTCCGCATAACGGCCGTAGAGATATCCAATCCGTTGTGCGCCGGTTCTTCGCCAGGCGTCGATGAAGGAGTTCACGAGCTCAAATGACGCGAACTCGACGTGGTCGACCATACGGAACGTCTGTGGTTGGAGGGTAATGGCGCTGGGTTGGCACTTTGTGCAGATACCCTCGGGCCACTGCGGGTGTCCCGAGGGACAATCTCTCTTCACTCTAAAGTATGGCTCCTTTAGCGGAGGAATGAATGAACTACCAAGTTCGGGTTTGTTCGTGGCCGAGTTGATCTTTCTGAGGTAGGAGTGGAATGATAGGTATTTGATTTTCTTGTCGGCAAGGTATTGAAGGTTGAAAGGGTCGAGGGGCATGCAATAGTCGCACATTCCTTTGGGACCATGCTTGCACATCCGATCTCGACCTCGAGGGATCTTTCCATCTTGTCTATCCAACCGGTCATCCAATGCTGACTGTCTCACCACCTCCCAAGGATTCTTAATAACTGCCGTAGACGACGTTAGCGGAGGTGGATCGACCGGTAAATCCTCCGTCGGTAAGATGGGCTTTCCATTTAGTCTATTCGTCGACGATAATGTGGTAGATGCTGTGGATGCGCCATTTGTGTGACCGTTGGCTGCATTCTGGTGTTGGTAGTTAATGAAGATTAAGTCTCCATGGCTGGACGTATGTTAGCAAATGTTTGAGGGGAGCTTAGGGAGGTAAATTTAGCAGGTGCATAATACTTCAATCCAATCTGCGCCAACTTGTATCTCGCAATATCCGTCAACTTCTTGGAGTCGCTGGCTTGGGGATCCGGGGACATGGATATGCTGTTCGGGTCGACGGTCGATGGTAATTGTGGTACGAGCTATATCCGAAGTTAGAGACTATTAAGACGCGGAGGTAGAAGGACAAGGCGCATACTAGACGACCAAGATCGGCGAATGTGTCATCTTTCTCGATGTTAAGCCGGATCATGCCGTCCGGACCTCGAAGTCGTAACAACATCGTGATGGCAGGTGTTCGGATTTGTAGTGGGATGTTATAACAGGATGGGGATGAGGGGGGAAATAGTTCATGAAATCAAACTTATGTATGTTTCTTCAAAGTTTGGGAATAAGAAAATAAGGTGCGATTTCATGAAAAGAGGGAATGAAGGACTAAGGCGGCGGAGAAAAATAGAGAAGGAAGGTGATTCGAATAAATGATCGAATTCGTGAATGTGATAGAGCTTTCCATTTACTTATTTCATCTATTCACTTTGAAAGTTACAAGTTACAAGTTACAAAATGTCAGGCACTGACGGCTGATGACGCGCGCCTTAGAGCTTTGTCAGACCGGGTCTACGGTGGGGTGGCCCTTGCAGCTAGTGGATGAAATGGTCCAAGCTCCCAGCTCTAGCCCGTAAATCGACATATTGTCACAGTGCTTGTGTAGAGGTACGTACTCGAAGCTCGTCTGAATACACAAGTACATGCATGTAAGTACCTGCTATTCAACACAAATATCATTTAAGACAGCATGATACACGATATAATTCTATAGTTCCACAGTACTAGGTAGGTAGTTATAAGACAATCATCCGGCAATGCAACGAACTTTTTTTATTGCAAAATCTCCTTAAAACAATTCATCACAGCCCTCCCAAATTGGAAAAAAAACACAACCACTAATGACATACCGCGTCCATCATCCCTACCGGCCGACGAACTAATTAACGGTGCCAAATACCGAGTAGGAGCCTGACTTTTTCATTGTTCCCTCACCCTCCGAGGCCCCAAGGCCCTTCCCCGACCAAAATATTGACTGTTCCAGGACCGCACATGACCTGTCTGATCTGATCTGAAAACAAGTACTTCCTAGTTTACATAGAACGAACATGACTTCAAGTCCAAGTACTCGAAGGTTGTACGAACAATCCAGACGCATGGCCCACCATCATTCAATGGTAGGTCAAGCTTGAGTAATGTAGCCTTTCTTATACCCCTGAACGCCCCTGGTTACCGCCGACTTTCAGATATCAAAGGAAATCGTTGTCGTTTCGAGTCCAGCGCTTGTTACTTCATGCTGAAGCTTCGACCTCTGCTACCGTCTCGTCGGCGGAAATCTTCGTATCCTGTAGGTATCTAGTTAGCATCGTAATTCCATCCATTTCGGAAATGGCCATCATCAATGGACAAGCAATCTTAAGACATACCTTCGCTGAGTCTGCCTTTTCGTCACTCGCTGGATCCGCCGCGGCTTTTTCCTTGGTGTCATCCCCTACAGTGTCAGTTTTGCCGTCTTCCTTTTCGGGATCCGATGCCTCCTTGACCCCGTTAGCTGCTCCCTTTCCGCTCTTAGCAGAAGCACCGTTGACGCCATTCGCAGGAGCGGGAGCTCCGCCGTCGGTAGCAAGAAGCTTATTCCACTTGTCTAACAGAGACTGAGATCGCGGCTTGAACTGGAATTCATCCTCCTTCGGGATTGTCTCCAATTTCAATATAGCTTTGAGAACCTTGTTGATCTTGGTAGCTCGAATGATGCTAACCTCGAGGTCGGGGAAGGTTTCGAGTTTAGCAAGGAATTCTGACATCGACTTCATCTCCTCCTCCTTTGGTTCCTGATCGCGAAGGAGCAGACCCTTTTGAAGTCGATGACGCAAGAATAAAATTTCTTTCTATAGACTAGTGAGCACCAGACCAACACAACCACTCCAAATCGATGATGAATGTCTTACCTCCTTACGCATATGCTTCTCTTCGGGGCTGAGTTCGGGTTCTTTGGGAGGTTCCTTCTCCTTCTTACTCTCGGCTTTGTCCTTGCTGCCCTTACCTGACTTTGCCTTAACCTTGACGGCCTTTGAATCTTTTGTGGTGGGTGATTGGACGCCATTGGTGGCCTTAGGGGTGGACGAGTTCGTGATCTTAATCTTGGGCTTCTTGACAGATTCGGAACGTTGGGGAGTCTATATGGAAGTTAGCAAAAGTAAGAGAATAAAACGGACGGTCACTTACACTAGCCTCGTCTTCAGCCTTGCGCTTCTTTGACTTGGGCTTCTTCTCAACTGGCTCCACATCGTCACCTTCTTCGACATCGGCCATTTCGACGTCCTCGTCTTCACCGCCCGCGGCAGCTTCAACAGCTTTACTGGCCTTCTTGGGTGTCTTGTTCGACTTGTTCATCTTAGCTTCTAGTTTCGCGATACGCTGCTCCTCGAATTCGTGGAGGACATCCTTATAGTAATCTAAAGAGTTCTGTTCAGCAGCCAACAAATGAGCATTCTGTAGATCCTTGCGCATCTTAGTCGTAATCATGCTCGCGACTGTTGTAGGGTCGAGTTCGCTGAGATCGGAGTTGGTTGTCCAAGAGCTATTATAACAGTTAGCTTCTAATTACTACATCTTAGAAAAAAAGGGAATCCCCTTACAATTCATTGGTGTGGAGATACATGACCGGGAATGTTCGGTCCGCGATCCTCTTACCACCATCCGCAAAATCTTCGCGGTAGGTACCATCAGGACGAGCAGCTGTGACGGGCCGCGAGCTCAACATGGTCCCAGGTAGCATACCTTCCTCGGCGATGATAACAGGCCATGGGGGGAAACCCTTCAGCTTAGCAAAGTAATGCTCGCCAGGTTGCGCGTCGACGTGTAGAATTTTAGCCTTAGATGCCTTCTTATTCAACTTTTTACTCTTGGAATCGGCAGTAGACTTGCGACGCGATTTAGATTTCTCTTGTGTCGTCGATTCCACCTCAGCTGCTGTACCATCAGCAGTGCCTGTGGCCGCTTCAGGCTCCTCCGCGGCTTTCTCTGAATCAACCTTGTCATCGGCCGTAGGGTGGTCAGCCTCTTCGGCTGGTTTATCGGGCATCTCAACGTCAGGATCAGTGGACTTCTCGTCTGTGGTTTTGGTAGTTGGGGCAGAATCGGCAGTTTCTATAGATATCGTGTTAGCACGCCGGGTTAACATGGTGGTTAAAAGTGTGTGGGTTGAAGGTAATCAATTGCTGTAATATTTACGGCGCGGGCAAAAATGATTGGGGATGACGTGTTTATATGGGCGAGTGGTGTTGAGAGGCGCTCGGGCAACCCCGACGAGAATGTTTTCGATTTATTTTTATGATTGTTATTATTTTGGTGGATAGGACTTACCTTCATCTTTAGCTGCCTCTTCAGTATCTGCATCGGCTGCACTTGCAGGTTTTTTCTCAATTGACTTCGCGTCGCTAACAGGCGCGACGGACTCTGACGTAGTGCCTTCCGCAGCTACATTGGAAGAAGCATCTTGAGACTGCGCGGCGGCAGGTTGCGCGACCGTCTCGTCAGACATGTTGGCAATCTGCAATGATGGTATTGGGATAGCAGATAGATTATAGAAGAATCGCGATGTGAAGGTGATGATGGTCGGATGACTGAGGGCCGATAAAAAAGAGAGAGGTAAAAAAAGGGTTGGTTGCGGCGAAAATATGTTGACCAACGGTTGGAGAGCAAGGCAAGGTCAGGTAATGTATTGGCAGGTAAAGAAAAACGCGTCCAGTCAACTTTCCAAAAACTGGAGAAAGTTGACGGGGCTAACAACTAGTGACCGCCGTCGATGCTAGGTAGTCGATGGGTCACTATAATTGTCTACAATTGGAACGCGCGATCGGATGGCGTTATGTTGCGTTGTTTGTATTATTGTATTGTTTTGGGGAGATATTTCCGCGATTTTGCGGTTTTGCGGAAAAGGGAAGGGGGGGTTTTTGAAAAGAGAGAAGGGAAAAAAAGATGAAGGCAGAAGGTTGATGGATGAGATAGTCCAAAGAAAATTCCCAGGATCGATGATAGAAAAGCCTGTGCTCATTCAAAAGTAGGATGTACAGGATGTACAGGATGTACCTCTACCAGCTGATGGACGCCGGGTAGCTCTCTCTCTCTCTATCTGAACAAACGCACGTGACCGTTTTGATGATGGCGTCTCGTGTTGCCCGACGGCTTGAACCGTTGGAGACTGGAGACTGGAGACTGGTGAAAATCAGGAAGGGAGTTTCTAGAAATAGGTTATCTACCTCAAGTAAGCGGGTAGCTTCTTGGCCTCGGTCTTTTGATAGTCTTGGTCGTCCTGGTACGATTTGGTTCAGATTTGCGCCGGTGCAAATTTCTACGTGGGTCTCCTCTTCTTACTGTTTACATGCCTGTCTGCCTATGAGGTATCGCCTACCGAGATTTGATACGTAGTAGCAGCGGGAGGTACTTAGGTAAGGAGGCATGGTAGGTAACGCCAACCCACCCTGAGAAACACACACACACACGCACACACGCACCCCCTTGGCAATCCGCATTCGCCAACATAGCCACCCGTATTCCTCCATCTTCTATACATATGTAGTCATTTATCCACACCAGCCCATCTTCACTCTCCTCCGTAAACCTTCGTTTGCATCTACCTCCTGATTTTGTCCGCTGAGTCCTAGTGACATCTTAGCATCTTAGCCGATGCTGGCCCTTTCTTCCTCACCAAACCCCAGCTCACGCAGTCCCGTTATCTGCATCACTCACGATTTAATCATAGAACTGGAAATGGACCTCATTAAGACCACTCGATAATAAAAGAATTTAAGTAGCAAACGTTTTGTCATATCCCTTTTTGTCCTAAATCAGTCGCCGGGCAGCCTCTTTCGCCTCCCCCGAATGACTTGCTATATGTACAGTAAGCTTTTCATACACTAGGTAGGCGTAATCCCACCTTTGGAGAGTCCCGCGGGGACGCCTTGAGGGGTTTACTCATCCTCCTCATCTTCTTCGTCCGAGTCCGAGTCGACGTCCATACCCTCCGCCACCGTTACCGAAAAGGTCGGTTCTTGGTCCACGCCGACATAACTGTCACTCATCAAGAATAGCTTCAAGTCATGTTTGCCAGGTGTCGGGACTGTGTACTCCAACTTAACCTTGAGTTGCCGGCCAATTGTGACCCGCTTGATTGCGAGCAGCGTCTTCGTGCTCTCATCTCCGACGACCAGCCACCAGTTCTCCACCTTCTTGGCGGGGTAGAATGGGGCGTGGACTGTCGTGTCAACTTCCCCGTCCTCCTCTTCTACCTCACGCTCGATCTGGACGTTTATGTACGCCGGCTCTCCCGCGTGGATATTGTCCTCGTCCACAAGCTCGAATTCCAGAGAAATATCAGGATATTTGTTGTTCGTGAAAGCCGCCGCTTGGGCCAATTGGCTTTGCGACAAGCCGAGGCGTTTAACAAGCGTAGAATAGTTTTTATTCTCTTCGGGATTCATCGCTTCCATGAAGTCGAAGATGTCGTTAATCCTGGAGAATAGAAAGTTAGCGTCGTTGCAACTAGAGTTATTGATTAATACATACCCGAATTCATTTGCCACCTTGACTACCTCCGGAGTAAAATGAGGGATCTGCTTTAAAGGACTGTCGCGGTCCCACATGGCTTGAACCACCATCTGAGACATTTCCATGGCATTCATGGCATTTAAATGTCCGTCGGAGGAGAGAACATCGACTGTTGCGCTCAAAAGACTCAAGATTTTCGAGACAACCAATTCTTGATCTTTAGCAAGGTCAATAGGGAGTTGCATCCGGGAGAAGTGCGCTTGTAACAATACAAATGCCTTGAAATGCGGTGAGTCGTACGCTACCTCGGACATCTTGACCGGAACTCTGTCATAGATGCGCCGAAGTAAATTGTCTTCGTGGCGTCGGATTTGGATCGATTCAAACTCCGTAGCTGACGTAACGATCTCAAGAATGCCCTTCAGTTTCGTTCTCGCACTCAGCGACAGTAGGAAAGTTTGCATTGTGATGTATGAGATATTGTAGTAGGCCGCAATCATAGCCGCGTTCTGGGGAGCAACTGAGCCATCATCCTCATCAAAATCGATAATCTTGGACTCCGTGAGCTCTTTCAGGGTGGTCTCTACTAAGTCAGAGAGGTAGTTGCTGAGCCCATCATGCGTTGGACTTGTCAAACTATAATAACTAGGATTCGCCAGGAGTCGGCGGTAGAAATACGTAAACGTAGTCCAGTTGATGGCATCATCTGCCGACTCAATCATCTTCGTGCTGACCTCGGTAACAAAAGCGTCGTGCACAAAATTGTGGAGGTGGGATTCTACTGGAAGGGCCTCATTCAAGAACTTCTTGAAGTATTCTCTCTTGACTCCTGGGACCATGAGAACACCTCGGCTGCGACCCTCTCGGGAAGGGCGCAGAGCTTTTCCGAACATCTGCAATACTTCGCTTAGCTGGTAGTCGACATAGCGGTGTTCGCGACCCTCAAAATACTGGGTACCCATTACCACAACTAGATGTGCGACACAGTCTAGTTCCCAGCATACATCACGGGATGCGACTAAGACTTGGATCGCACCTTGGTTGTAAAGGTGGAGGACAATACGCTTGTCGCTCTGGCTAAGAGCTTCATGGTAATAGCCAACGCCGTGCGAAAGTGCTTCGGCTAACGCTTCTTCCTGGACACGCTCCAGAAGTGGGCGAAGCTGGTCGATGTCTACGTGTAGAAATCTATCTTCATCATCTTCCGCAAGGCAAGCAGCAAGAATATCGCGCGCGCTTGATCTAGTTTGTTTCCTGCTCGGGACGAAAACTAGAGCTGGCTGATCCGGTGACAATTCAGTTATCGCAAGGTATGCTGGCTTGGCCATGGCAAGCATTAGCGACGGGAAATGGGGTATGGAGAAAGATTGTATGCGAAGATCCAGCGGTACAGGACGGACATGGGGACTGAAGTTGTATACGTCCTTCTTTTTAGCATCGATCCATTCGCCAATATCTCTGGCATTCGCGAGTGAAACGCTGAGCCCAACGATCCTCATTTCCAAACTAGCAGTAGTGCGGATGTAATGCATTCGAGATACTATGATCTCGTAGATGTATCCTAGTGGGCCACCAAGTAGGTGCAGCTCGTCAGCGATGAATAGCTCGACAGTAAGGATATTCTTGCGCCTCTGCCATTGTCGAGATAAAACATCCCATTGCGTTGGTGTAGCCAAAATGAGATCTCCCTTTTCGAGTAACTTAAGATCCGTCGCCGTTTCTCCAGTAAGTTTAACTATCTCCTTGCCGCCACGTAGGTGACTAAGGCGCTTCGTCCAGTCTTGGTACCTAATGTCGACAATTTCTTGGAATGGTGCGATATAGACGGCACGGCCAATTTCTGGCTTAGACCAAAGACGCAAGATAGCAAACTCAGCACAGACAGTCTTTCCGCTACCAGTTGGGGCCCCAATTAAAACATTATCGTCCGTTGTGTAGAGAGAATTGAATGTCTGCGTCTGGATTTTGTTGAAATAATTCCAAGACTCGTAAAGGTTGGAAAAGTCCTTCGCTTTCAATGCAGCGATCGGGAGTGGTTGTAGATCCAGGAGCTGGGTATGAGGAGGAAATTTCTCTGGGAGGATGAGCTTCTGGAACGAGACGGCTAGCTTCGTCTCTGAATGCAGCCATCTATCGGAAACTACGGAAATGAAGTAGTTAGGGGGCATAGGTTCAGTAATAGGGACCGTGAAGTCAACTAAATGCTCGTTAGATTCCGATATGGCATAATCCTTGCGCAACAGGAATTGGTCATGGAAGAGAATATCCTCGCCATCACAGTCTTCAACGATGATCCAGAAACTTTCTGTAGATCCATGCAATTCATCGTCCCATTGGAAATTCGGTGTGATGGACAGCTCAACCCGAAGCATGGATCGGGTCATTGGTTGGGCCTGAGCTTGAATTTCGACCCTTGGGAATTTGGCTACCAAGTCACACACTAAACGGCCTGCCTTCGGCTTCCCAAGAAGTTCTCCCATGCGCGGAGGGTCTAAGTCGAAATAACTACTCCATGGAACATCCAAACCGTCGGCTTTCGTTATGATGTCTCGAGAGCAACGAGGGAACTGGCGAAGTGGAGTCATAGTTAGCCACATTCTCTTCTCCGCCATCTTGCACAAATCCAAAGCCGTCTTGGTAACACTAGACCACCCTTTTTGGAGAGTAATCTCAAAAATGGCGCGAAGGATACGGCCCGCAGATTGTGTGACGTAGACCATATCAGCCATAAGCGCTAAGCCGTCAAGCTTAAGGCGACTGATATACGCCTGCAAAAGCACATTGATTTTACAGTGTGGTTCTTCGATGCTTTCCTTTACAGGAATCGGTACTCGAGCAAGAATCTTTGCCAGCTCCAACTTTTCATCCTGGCGAACGGGAATGTATTTGAACTCAGCGCTGAGTGCGAAAACTCGGAAAAGCTCAATTGTCGTGATTGAAGGTTGAATGAGCTTGTTATAGGTATCCATTGACCCATGAGTGATGTAGTAATGGGATGCAATTCTTCCGAGTTCAGTTGCCTTAACCTTCCCAGTCTTTTCATCGTAGGTAATCAAGTTAGACTTCTTCAGGACGGTAGCCGCTGAATGTATCAGATCAACACGCTTCTGCTCTAAAGCCTCGTCATCCTCGTAGTCAGCTCCCACACTATAAAGACCAGGCGACCTCAACATTCGAACGAAGAGATATGTGTATCCAAGCCATTCCACTCCCTCATCTCGAGTCCGGACATTGCCTAAAACAATTTCCGCATTCAGATTATCTACAAGCTTACTGGCAAGCTGACTCTCGATGGGCAGTTGCTGGTTAAGCAGGGACAGGTAGTACTGCATTTCGCTCTGAGATGTGATGATGATACCCTCACCATAAGTGTCATACTGGGGTCGACCGGCACGACCCAGCATTTGTAGGACGTCTTGTGGACTCAACTCTACCCAACTACCCTTCTCTGGCGAGTAAACCTGAGTGCCTTTAATAATGACGGTATGTGCCGGTAAGTTGACACCCCAGGCAAGTGTAGCTGTACAGACAAGGACTTGGATTAAACCGGAAGCAAAGAGACCCTCAACTTCCGATCGATCGATACGACTCATACCAGCATGGTGGATGCCGAATCCGTAAGGAATAAGATCCTTCAAATCAGTATCAGTAATATCATTAACGATCTCATTTAGAGCTTCTCTGGAACCTGAATCGTGCTTCAAGATTTGGTTGATCGTTTCCATTTCAAGGGCCTTATCTCGAACATAACGCGCAGTCTTTGCAGTTTCCTTTCGAGAATGAACGAAAATGAGCATCTGGTTTCGATGGGTGCCCACGTGCTCAATGACCTTATTATACGTGATATCATTCATCGTCTTGAGTTGTTTGATGGCCTTTTTCTCAGTAATACCAATGAATTCTTGTCTTAGAGGACATGGTCGGAAGGAACCATCAAAATGGAAGAGCCCCTTGGCAGGGTCCACGCGAAGGAAACTGGCGACGTCTCGATAGTTGGGTAGCGTTGCAGACAAACCAACAAGTCTGACTGGGTCGCCAGTCTGCTCGGTCTTCCTAACAGTCCTGCTAACGATGCTTTCAATAACAGGACCTCGTTCGTCGTGTAGAAGGTGAATTTCGTCAATGATGATCAATCGCACGAGGTTCGTGTACGACAAATCCGTAGCTTTTCGTGTGATGACGTCCCATTTTTCGGGAGTTGTAACGATTATCTGTGTCTCGGCGATTTGCTGCTTAGTGAGTTGGCGGTCGCCAGTCAATTCGGAGACGGTTATGCCATATGGCTTGAGGCGGGCACCGAAGTTTCCGACTTGTTCTTGGACCAGAGCCTTTAAAGGCGCAATGTACACAATCTTAAAAGCGTCCAAGTCAATATCTCCGGTTTTTATGTCTCGGTATTTCCCAAGCTCTCGTAGAATGGTCAACATAGCTACGTTCGTCTTACCACTACCAGTCGGAGCACAAATAAGCATATTCCCATCATCCTCAAAGGCCGTTGGAAAGCACTTCGTCTGGATTTTGTTGAGAGCCTTAGCTGAGCTGAAAGGCACACGTGCCCACTCAGGTAAGTCGGTAATGGGGATATTAGTTTCGTCTGCTTGGTTGCGTTTCTTGGGGGGAGGGACATGAATCTCCTCATAGCCCTTGAATGTCCGTTTCGTTGAGCCATCGGGGAGTTTGACTTTTGGATTTGTCATGAGATGGTTGCCTTGGTCAAACACAAGATTCTCGAGATTGATCAATTTCCGTGGTTGGAGGCCACCAACCAGTTGACCCTCTGCTCGCTCCTCTTTCGGCGCAGTACTGAACGATGCCGGGACATCAATATCCATCTTGATCTCCATCTTCTTTGCACCGTCAGTTGCCTTCCTACCCCGAAGCTCGTCTAGAATCCACCTGACGCCTTCGGAGGCCATCTCCCGCTCGATGACACCCTTTTCCTCTTCACCTTCTGCCCTGGCCAGGCGCGTAAGCCATACAATCTTCTCACGGTTCTCGATAAGCTTCTGAACAACTTCATGATGTTCATAATCAAGAAGCTCCATTAGCTCGTTCTCGATTTCCCTAAGCGGTTTCTCGTCTCCACCAGGCTCGTCAGCCTCGCCGGAAAGTATATGCAAAGCTTGTGTGGTTTTCTCGTGTCGGATATGGTCATCGCTGTATATGTTACCGATCTCTCTTTGCAGCCAGTATGCATCAATCTGACGTGCAGGGATGTAGTTGGTTTCCTTGGACGCTCCCGTGCGCTTGTTGCCTGGTAATCCAGAATCGATCACCATCTCTTCCCCGTCAGCTAAACCGGCGCTTTCCTCGTCTCGATCTTCCGCTGCGCCCCCAGCCGTCGCTCGTTCTTCAAGGCCGGTTAGGTCCTCCTCATCACCATCTGCGGCTGCTTCATCGTCTGATGATTCGTCCCGAACCTCGTCTAATAAAGCTTCGTCATCATCTTCTTCGTCATCGAAGACAACAGCGACACCTTGGCGTTCGTCAAGCTCTTCATCACCTTCGGCTGCACCAGCACCTGTGTCCATCTCCTCATCATCATTCTGGGTATCATAATCTGTAATTTTCTTTCCGAGGTTGACTAACTCGTTGAATTGCTTGGGGTTCAACGAAGCACCCAGCAAATCATCGATTTCCTTCTTCTTATCGAAATCTTTCATGTCCTCGTCCTTTAGGTATTCCAAGACAGCATCAGCTGCACTTAGGACAATCTCGTGAGACACATCACCAAGATTACTCCTAACGACGTTTAATATGAGATCGTAGGTAGCACGGGTAGCCGGTATGCGTGGTCGGTATCTGAGACCTTCAACTAGGAGATCTGTTTGTCCAAGAATTCCTGTTGCTCGCATCTGTGATGGGTCGCCTTTTCGTTTCCGTTGCTCACGAGCTAGGATGTCTTTCCCCTCTTGCACGTCTCCCCTTTGGATATTAGATAGACCTGAAGCCTTTTTCTGCTTGGGTGCCTCATCGCGCGCAACTCGAGAGCCCATGTCGTTAATTTTCAGGCGCCCGGCGAGGGATTCGGGATCACCAGTAGCCTCGTCGGTTCGTCGCGTAACAAACCGTCTGTCCGCCTGGAGAACCAGGTTGGACATAGCCGAGTACTTGTACTGGGAGACATCTCGGTGATGGTCACCCATTTTTGCGGTGTTCGTATGGTGGAAAGTCGTTTGTCGATAGTGGGATTATTAGGATGGTGGCGGGAAAACGACCGTCAACAAGTCCAATTTAATCAAATGGACAAGGGCGCCGTTCTTGTCAACGGATATCGCATTTAGAAAACTCTGCGCAAGATGAAAGTCAAAATCAATGGTTGTTCAAAAGAGATTTTGTCTGGTGTACAACGAATATTTGCGGTAGTTGTAGTTGTAATGGAAAAGCGCAAGCATTCACTGCGTTGCTGCCAATATGAGATTTATGAAGCTAGATCTTTTCACGTTCTAAGAATCTAAGTTAACCTGAACTAAATGTCTATGTCGCGTTGATTGGTCAGGCGTGACCCGCTTATGATGGAACTAACCAGAATTCATTTTGATTGGCTACATCAGATAGTACATACTCCATAAATACATGTACGTATTTCTTATTGGGAACATCGAATATACAAATAGTTGTACATCTGCACTTATAATGCCAGGTAGGTTACCGCCTGAAATATATCAAACATTTCAAGTGCCCTGGAAAACTCAAGAAATTTGTCAAGAATTAGTATCAACCTTGACTTATTACCTGGGTAGCTAGCAATGGCCACTATGGAGAAAGAATTACGTGAACGGGCTCGCGATGTCCTTAAAAACCGAGTACATCCTCGTGAAGATGTCACTGCCGTGAAACAGAATTTGGCTCGCGATCTCGCCCAGAGTTTAGGAGCTGAGCAGCTCAGCAGCCCCTTATCGCTTGTTGACTTAGATACTACCGTCACCCCAACTGAGGCATTGCAGGGCAACTATCGAGAATATATCGAAGCAGTTCAGAAGAATATCAACATCCGTTCTGAATTTGCTCAGCTGCAGGAAGAACATGATGCAGCTACTGCTTTGCTCTCATCTCCAGCCGAGGAAGATCAACAAGCTCGACTTCTTGAACTTCAGCTTGAAATCAACTCCCTGGAACAGGAGCACGAGAGACTCACTATAGCTGACAAGTACCTGGAGGAGCTCGATCAGCAGCCCGCAGCAGCACCTGATTTTCTTGATTCCGATCTCATGTACAAGGAATGTACACCCCTTCCTGAACTTCCCAAGGAGCTCATGGACGGCTTTACCCAGGATAGAGAAGGGCCAAACCGCGAGATCCAAGAACTGCTTTCGCGCCTCCAGAAGGCAATGTTACGCAACAAACTACTAGCTCAGCGAGAAAAGCAAAATTTCGAAAAGCTGAAGACTAAAACTCCGATTGAACCTGGTAGTCTATCCCCGGAGATACAATTGCATGCACTCAATGCTGTTAAAGATAGTCTCATCAACTGGATTGAGGGCATGCTATCTAAAGCCGGCGGTGACGAGGACGAGCCAAGCATTCTCGAGTCCCCAAGCAAGCCACGCCAAGGAGAATCCGAGAAATTCGATCGCGATGCACATATGGCCGAGATACAGAAGGAATATCAAACCCATATCGATCTCCGTAAAGAGATATTAATCTCGATGGCTCAATTAAAGCAACTAAAATTTGAGTCGCCGAAGAAACAAGACCAGCAGCCAGAACATGAACCTGAGATGGCTCCGCCGAGCAGCGCAAAACCCGAAGCGTTCCTGCTCATGCCATACCTCGAGAAACTGCAAGCCATCTCGCGCGAGCAGAAGGGTCTAATCCAAGAAAAATCGCACATCAACACAGCGCTCACACGGCAACAGCAAGACCTCAACAAGCTACTGAACCACCTAGTAGATGAAAGCTATCTACTCCAAACATTCCCCGCCAACACACCTAACAAGCAATTAAGCTTTGGCGAAGCTACTAAAGGAGTAAACAAATCCAACGTAACGAGCCAAGTTGAGCCCTGGATATCTGCGGCGAATTCAGCCCAGATTGCCATGCTCGAGGCCGTATTTGAGAAGGTCGAAGAGGGTCAGGTAGCTGCTGAAGATGCTATGGAGGCTTTGGATCAAGTTCGAAAGCTCCTCAACAAAGAAGAGGCCGAACCAGAGGAGCCTCATGGGGATCAGGATAATGCTGAGCCGGATATGTGGGTGGAAGACGACGAAAATGGTAGAACTCGTGTTAGGAAGAATAGGGAAAAGAAGGTAGAAAAGCAAAAAGGAGAAAGCATCTATGCAAAATTAGATGGCAATCTTGGATTGATCAACGAGTAAAGGGCTGTGGTCATTTTTCTACAGCTAATTTTTTGGGGCTTTGCCTTCTAAGTACGAAGAACCCTTACTTAGTTGCTACAATATGACAGAATAACCCTCCTAATGATCTTCATAATGTAGCACATTCGCATTTTGCCAACCTAACGCCGTAGCTATGACATTTGTCATGTAACATATCGGGTCCTCATTTCGGAGTAATTCGAGTTTATAATGTCTCAGGTCTAGTAGCCATTAACCTTTCCCGGCCAGTATGTTCGATATCCTCAAAGCTAGATCTAGAATTGAGAGATGTTCATCTGCACCATCCACCAATCGTTTATCAACCTCCGAGAAGACGAGGGTTATTTTGTTCTTGGCTGCATCAGGAATCATCTCATCTTGGATGACTGCTTGATATAACTGCGAGAGCCCGTTAGTCTATCGAGAACGTACTCGAATTGCCATTAGAGGAAACTCACCTGAGTAAGGACTTGACCAGCGCTCCATCCATCCGCAACCATGTCTTCGACGATCTTTGCGACAGCCGGGTATGCCGCGCCGCCAGACTTAGGTTGTATTGCTTTCTGCAATTTCTCAATGGTCTCGTCCGGTATCACACCAGCAATTTCTTCCACGATTTTTACGGTGACGATCTTAGTGTCGCCGTCCACATCCATCTCATCTCCGTCGCCCTCTTTCTCGATAGCACCCACCAGCCTTGCTCCGCTTTGTAAGAAAGTTATGGCTTTTCGCAAATCACCCTCGCTACATTTGATAAGCGCATCAACAGCGCCATCCTCAAGCGTAACGCCCTCTTTGCTAGCAATATCTTCCAACCGCTTCTTCGCATTCCCTTGATCTAAGCTCTTGAACCTAAATTTACTACATCGACTCGCCAGAGGATCGATGATCCTAGTGACGTAGTTGCAGATCAGGCAGAATCGGGTAATCTTGCTATACGTCTCCATCGTTCGTCTGAGGGCGCTCTGGGCATCTTGTGTCATGCTATCGGCTTCATCGAGGATGATAATCTTGAAGGGAGGGCATGGATAACGGGACTTATACCCGGCAGGAGGGTTTGTTAATTGCATTCGTGCAAAGTCCTTCACTTTTTCTCGTACGATGGATATACCTCGCTCATCGGAGGCGTTGAGTTCGAGTACACGCGATTTTATCATCTCTGGGCCATAAAGTTCTTTTGCGAGGGCGAGGATCGTCGAGGTTTTACCCGTACCAGGGGGGCCATAAAAGAGCATGTGAGGCAACTGAAATAGTCGTTGATAAGTATATAGGATATGAAGAGACCAGTCTGATTTGACGAAGTCAAATCAACTTACATTCGAAGCTTGCAGAGTCCGTTGGAGGACGTTAACAGTATGGTCTTGAGCGGTGACATCACTCAGAGTCTTCGGTCGACTTCAATAACAAGTTAGTTACTATTCCCTTCCATTTTACATTATATTTGCCATTTCGAGTCAACGAGTAAGGGAGCATACTATTTTTCTACCCATGGTTGCTTTCTAGTGTTCTGCTTCGATTCCTCTACTTTCGACGATGATGCGCCGTTTGCAGCGGCCGCTTTGCGCGCCTTTAGATCGAAGAAGCTCGCCATATCTGAACGCAGATTATGGCTCGGTTATCTAGAAATCTAAGGCAAAAGTGGTAACCGAATTGAGCAGCAAAATATGTATTGATTAGGTTAAGATGTCATGAAATGCTTTGTTAATTCAACGTTCAAGTTAGCTAATGGGCGGCATCATAAAAAAAGTGGAATCTCCGCCAACGCGTGAAGAACGCGCTTCCCGTTTGCACACTCTAAACTCAATTTGGTAGTCAATTAAGTCAAGGGGGGGTGTTTTCGGATACCCTTAGTTATCGGCTCCCTGCAAGGCTTTAGCTGTTCAGGGTATAGCGCAGGCCACTTTGGGTATAACGCGGTACATTCAAAGAATGACAAGAAAGATACTAGCTTATGATTGGCCAAGGGTGTCCGAGTCACCATTTTGAGCATAGCCTACTTGAGCTAGTCAATTAAGCTATATACTAGCTGTGAATAGGCTTAGTGCTCTGGCAAGCTTTGTTTTCATTCGTCAAATATGGCTAATGTCGGGCTCGGATTAACTTTAATTCGTTCAACCGAAGCGTTAGCTACTTTAGGCTTTTGCAGTTTACTTACGTAATCATCAGTTATTATTTAAATATATTAATATTTAAAAAGTAATCATTTAATTGGTTAACGAAATTATGATTTTATGCAATCTTTATGAAGTTATGTAATTCGACGGGAATAGTCGTCCAATGAAAGGTCTTTATTTCCATAAAAAATATATCGATAAGAATAGAATCGATTGATTGGTTCAAAACGGTACATCAGACTTAGTTTCCAAAAGGTGTGCGCCATACCAGAAATAGTTAAAGCCTTGCAGGGAGCCGATAACTAAGGGTATCCGAAAACACCCCCCCTTGACTTAAAGAATGGAACGGGAAGGCGGTACATATAGATATGTATCTAAAAGTACCTGGTACTAAATAGTTTATTTGTCGGAATACGCTTCTATTGGCTAAATAAATACTGGGGATTGTCTTCAGAGGGTTTCAATTTCGGACCTCCGTTATCCTATCAATTGCCGTCTCATCCAGAAATCTTCAGCTCCCCAGGAAAAAGATATTGGAAATATAATGCGCTACGCTCTTCATAAAGACAAGTTAACCCAAATTAAGAATACATTGAACCTTCCAGCGAATTTTTGCATCAATCTATGCAGCATATACCAGTTCCCGGAGTCTTTTTTCGATGATATCACGCCCCTCATGTGTGTCCCAGACTTGATGTGGCGCCTCGTTCACGATGTCCCAATGCTGTAATTTGCGTGTTAGGTGGCTAAGATCCCTTTGCTTTTCTTCCCAGCCACTATCTTCCCGTATCTTTACTCCGGAACTGATTAGATTCAGCGGAACATCCGGGTTCTGAATAGCTGTGCTGCTGGCTAAATCCCGTTTCGACAATGTGTCGGCTACTAGGTTCTCTTGTAACTTTGCGAATAAGAACTTCCCAGTCTGGTATGCAGATTTGCCCCACACTCGATCTTCTTTAGTTCGTCCCTTTAAGAGTGAACCTGGAATGCGATCAAGACCGAGGGGAGAGATGATACCTCGGATCCAGAGCAAGAGACCTCGTCCTGGTGATCCAACATCATCAAGGTAATCCTCATGAAGCGGGTCAATGAGGACGATGCCCTTTACGTCTGTGCTATAGCGAGCAGAGAGAATTCGTGAATAAATGGAGCCAATGCCGGCACTCGCAAGGACTATTCAACTTGTTAACAATACATATTCACTGTGGCTTTCAAGGCAACCTCACCCCATGGGCCAACTTCTCCGGCCCTTGTCAAGGCTTCGCTTACAGCCTCGACCGCCATCCCAGCAGATAAGGGGGATGGTGCAGTATCACTCTGTTGTGCATTAGCAGGTATATTCCGATATCAGCTCAGCCCAACTTACCCAGGCAAGTCCAGGGCGATCAACGAAGCAGTATCGACTAATCGAACCGTTTTGAATGGCGGTATTGGCAAATTGCCAAAGACCGTCCTCCACCGTACCCTCTCCACCCTCAAACAATACCGTAGGTAGTCTTGTCCCCTTCGAATCTGTGTGATTACCATGGCAATAGACGTGGATGGTATATTTGTCTCCGTCTACCCAGTACAGCTTGCCTGGCGGCGCCAACCCGGCATCGAGGGCACGAAGAATTAAAGTACAAAATGTTAGCAAAACGGCGAGAGCAAGTAGAACCATTGAGATTGTAGATATCAAAACGGCAGTCCACTGGCCCAATGTACGACGTGTCTCAGCTCGACCGGTGAGCCGCTCTTCTTCCTCGGACTTTCCCCATGCGACTAGGCGATCAGTAAGTAGAGTCCATACAGCCATCAAAAGCGCCCCTATACGGAATCGTTAGTCATTGCGATGATTATATATTCCTACTACGTGTAACAACTTACATAGGACGCTAACCATTCCCACCCAACCTTCTTCATGTCTTGTCTTCTCGACTGAGATCAACAAGACAGCATCCACCAACAGTAGGCCGCCCATAATAATACTCAGTATCTGGACAGCCTTCGAGGGGATGGCGAAGAATATAAGCGTGAAAAGTAGGTTCGCAAGCGCCAGACTAGTATAGCTGAAGGAGAAGAAGCCTGAGCCTCGTGTATGGAATCCGGGTGGCGTAACGAAAGCCGAAATCAGTAATATTGTCCACCATACGAAGGTGAGTATCGTGAAGAGGATGGTAAGGTATCTGACGACTCGCACACTCCAGAGATTATACGGCGAAACCTATGATGTACCTATGTGTGAGCCAATTGACACATTAGACGACAGCTGGCGAGAATGCTTACCGCTGGGTCATCTGGACTCAAGTAATTCGTGCTCTCAACCCGGTTTGGTAACAGGCGAGTATGTTCGTTCGGCGCATTCGTTGTCTCTTCTCTATCATGTCCCTCCAGGTCCAGCGAATCCCGCGGACTATCATCATGTGTCTCGGGCCCGGCTTTCCAAAGCTTGTTCATCTTGAATATCCTTGGTGGCTTATCACGAACAGATGTACATTAAATAGACTGCGAACTGTGTACGTAGGTATACACGAGGCGACTTTTGCAATCCGCAATTGAAATTAATAGCTATGGCTATGGCAATGTTAAGAGAACGTTGGAAATAAAGAACATACTAAGCTTTATTTATCTTCAATGAACTAATATTTATCTACCTCGTTATATTTCCGCTCGTGACACCAGGAGAATTTGCCCCGGCAGGTCGAACCACGCCTGCGCTGAATGAGCCCATTGATCACTACGTCATTGACTATTAGCTCTACGGGCTAGCCCCGCATAGAGCTCTACCTGGTAGGTATTGAAGCTGCAAATTTGGACTACAAGCGTAGGAGCACTAATAAACTCAATTTAACGCCAGGCTCTGCTTAAATGATAGTCTTGATGGTTCCAGTCACCTGGTCCTCCAAAAAGAAACACATCATCCTTTTCTTCCTTTCTATACCTACATAATAATTAGTAGTTATCGTTAATAGTTTGCCAACTTAGTAAGTGCGAAGGTGGTTCAAGAAGACTTCTCCAAATTCTCCAAATCCTACCTACCTCTAAGATCTCGATCCATTGCTACCATAGCACGATTTTAGATCGTACATATTAGACGAACCGACCCTTGCAACCTCTAACTTCATATACACCTAGCTTATAAGGACCTAGCACTCATATACAAGTACGACTAGCATTAAATAACTATTCCCTCGAGTATCAATAAAAATCGATTATCTGGTCTATCTAATCTATGAGTTTAATTTGTTCCACCTCCTCCAAAATTAAGTCTAGCTCCTAAGTATGGTAATAGGCGTGACGCATTTAGCTGAGAGGTCCTATTTGGGATTTCGCAGATTGACAAAAACCGAAATTAAAAATCAAGTAAAGTCACAGACAGTGTGTACCCTCCTACCTCCGGTTATAGTGAACCATTTTCCTTTCCACCACTAAATATGGTACTACTGGAAGATGAATAGCGACTAATACTCGATCTAGAGCCCTGAGATGTACTGCCCATTCGATTGTCCGAAAGTCTCATTTTCTTCCGTTGCTCTGTTTGCCTCATAGCAATATCCTCCGGATCAGGACCCCGACCAGCCGGCTTTATAGCATCTTGGGGCAGCGTCCCAATTGGTAAGTGAAGCTTTGCGTTTGCTTGGGGGTCATCAAGAGCGATGTGAGCCTTTTCGTATGTTTCCTTCTTATATTGTTTCAGGGCTTGGGTTGAAGGCTCCGACACGGAAACCCAGCCCTTGAGCTGAGACAACCAGCGGTGTTTCCCGTCAGCCCTCTTATGTTTTACCGACTCCGTCGCCGTTTCGGTGCGTTTTCTACTGCTGGCATCTTCGAGGGCATTGCGGTTTGATCTAGAGTAGCTGTATACGGACTTCCCGTGACGACCCGAATCCATCTCGAGAGACTTTATTGATGTAGTCGTCTGTAGTATTAACGATTCTTCCTCAGGGTCCGCTGAAAAATCAACGGTGTCTTCCCGGAGTAACAGTGGTGAAGGCTTAGGTCCTAAGCCCGGGCTCGGAGATCTGAGTCTTGTATCGATGAGAGGGACTCCTGAACTGGATGCAGGTCGATCAGGGCTATCAGGAGGTAAAACCATGAGACGGGATGCGTCCAACGATATAGCAGCCTTATGCTGTCCCAACGAGTTACGCTTGAGGCGAGAGGTAACAATGGAATTCTGAGTAAAAATACGGTCACCTAAAGATTGACTCTTGGATAATTTGGATGCCTTATCCTTTAGCGCATTCTTCTCGGCACTCTTCTAGAGTCGTGAAGAATTTTGGGCCTGGGACGAGGTTAGTCCCATCAAGGTGCTTCTGCGTTGCTTCTTTCGTGCTTTGGGCTCTTCTTCAGATGGTGACTCTCGGTCAATGAGCCTCTCAGGCGAGACGCTAATACCGAAGCTATCACCCTCTTCGTCCTCTAGCCGACTATATGGCTCCGCCCCAGATTTGAAGAAAAAGGGATCATCTAATGTGGGCGACCTGATTTTCCCTGTCCGTGATATGTTATCGGGAGAAAAGCTACAAATTTCACCAAGCCGGTCCCAAGCTGTTTGTCCGGTTGAGGGCGCCGATGGATGTGTCAGTTGCTCTGAGTTTCCCACGTTAGTTGGGTAGGAGAAATTCCGCACCACAGGTGGCCTGGAGTGTTGTGGGGTAGTTGGTTGTGATGGTAATATATGATCTTTGGAGGGAGAAACTGGGGCGACTGGTAGCTTGGGCTTCCGGAAACGTTCAACAAACCCTACCATTGTACGTTGGAAAGACGAGATGCGAAACAGTACACAGGTTTGAAGAGTGACAATGGCTCGCTAGGTCGTATATGAACTAATGTAGATGAAATAAGTCGATAAAGAGTTATAGAGAACGACCCCTCGAGCCTCGAATTTTCGAAGGTATTAGAATTCGATATAGTAGAACTTTAGCCGCGCTGTGGTGGAGAGCTAGGTCTCAATCTAATAGAAGATGAACAAGGTATAGCCTTCCTTGTGGCAGATTCAGCTTCGATTATGTGCAACACATGTAGAAAAACGTGGCAGTCCGTGAAACTGTCGATTCAGATTTGGTAAGGCTAGAATCTCGATATTTTAAATGAGATCTGACAAGTCTGACAGGTGGTCTTGTCTCACTTTCAGATGATTCAACACGAATATAAGAGGTTTAACAAGTTATGATAATAAGAGGAATCATCCTTCGAATTAGATCGGCTGTTTGGAGGTGAGGTTTCAAAGCAATAAGAGGGAAGATTAGACAGTATGGAATACGAGGAGTGGTGGTTTAAGAAAAGAGCGTTTGTTGTCACGTAATCATTCCCTGAGAGTCGAAGTTGCCTTGTGAACTAAAATATGTATTGAACTTATGGCGAGCACGCTATGAAACGTGCCAGTTTGGTAACGGCACCCATTAGCTGTTGGACTTGCCATGCATGCCTCGATTTCAGGTCGTAACACCGCGCCTACCTGCTGTTGGGTGCTTTCATATAGCCCTATCCCGACTTAGTACCTAGTAGGTACAAATGATCGTACCAAGTAACTTTAAGCGGGTGGCTTGTAATGAATCCATGGATATCTTCGAGTCTAAGATAACCGGAATACCTGTACGTGACTCGAAGAAAAAGAAAAACAGAGCCACGCACCACTTAAGTATGAGGTTGGTAATGCTGTGGCTTCTAGTTGGCTTTAGATGTATAGGTAGTAAGTAGTAAATTGTATATGTCCTCGTCCTTGCATTATCAATTTGGCGTATGAACAATATTTAGTCGGCACACAAAGTATCTTTTAAGACATCTAGAACATTAAATGAGCTGATTTACAAATATATGACCTGAGGACTACTGTTTATTAGAAGGAAAACGGGAGTCGCGGCGCTTATTGGAAATATGAGACGTCAGCTGCAGGCCACTCTGAATTCCAAGATCTGCAGGGTTATTTCTGGCAAGGGGTCCCCGGATCTCGCCACGGTCTTTTGCGGCTGCAGCTGCGCACAGACAAGAAAGCCTTGGAAGTGAAGTCCCTTGCTTCGTTTGTTCCTTCTCGCGTCCCTATTGGCTTGTTCCTCCCCGCCATAGCCCCACTAGCCCCCAGATTGGACTTGCTATCTAAAACCGCCACGATTCGCGGAGGAGCTTATGCGCCGCCTTCAACTCATACAACAACCACACTAGACCAGGCAGTCCACATTGAAGCCATACTGGCGTTTTGCTACACGGAATTTTCCATTTGAACTCCTCTTACTCCCGCATAATTCATACGGCGAATCTACTACGTGGTAAAGAACAAAGCAGCGCAACATTACACACGAAACTACGCCTCCGAACCTCGCTGCCGCTGCCGTCATGCCGGGCCTCACTCTTAACACCGACGGGGCCACCGTATCTAGGACGCCCATATACCCGCCGGCGCACCTAACCAGTCAACCACATACAACAACAACCACCACAACCACAACCAGCACCACAACCGCCGCTCCCACAAGCGCTCCAACAAGCGCTCCAACAAACCCAACCCCAAATCCCACCACAGCCGCCAGCGCAAACACCCCCATGCGCTCCTCCTCGCCCCAAAGACCGCCCTACAGCCCAATAACCCCGCCTCTAAACCCCATCGCCTTCCCACCACGAGCCTCATACACCCACGTCTCGCAACAGTCCCAAACCAGCATCGCGCCCCCCGCCGCCTCTCCCATCGACTTCGACACGAACCCCGACGTGCTCGCGCTGAAATCCGCAATCTCCGTGCTGCAACTGCAGCGACGGAAAGCCGAAACCGACATGTCCGTGCTCTCGCGCGTGAAAACAGCCGCGCTCTCCGAACCAAGGGCCTTCGTGCGCGATCTAACGGAGGGGCGCGTGGGCGTGGAGGGGGACGGTCGGGGTGATTCGGACAGCGAGTCGGAGTCAGATGCGGAGATGGGAGACGCGGACGCGAGTACTTCTGCCGGCAACCAGCACGCGCCCCCGACAGCCGAACAACCCAACCAACCAAGTACAGACATCAAGCCCGACCCGATCATCAAGTCTGAGCCCACCAACACACCCACGCCGCGAGCAAAGCCGCAGCCGCGCCCGTGGGCGAAGCTGCCCAAGCCGCAGAACATAGTGCGGTGTCCGCCGATCAACTGGTCGCAGTACGCCGTGGTGGGCGAGTCGCTGGAGAAGCTGCACGCGGAGCAAGTATCGCGGCCGACGCAGGGGGTACCCGCCGTCGTGGCGGCGGACGGGCGGTACGAGTTCAGCGGGGCGACTGGGCGACAGGAGCGGTTGGTCGGGATAGCGGCGCCGTATGCCCCGGGCAAAGACCGGATTGATCGGAGGTCCAAGGGCCCGAGGAGGTGAGGTGGTGAGACCTATCTAGCGGCTGGAGACTGAGGCCCCAAGGTAACTTTGGTGCGTGGTGTTAAAGGGACACGACTCCCGGGAGTGGTCTCGTGATGACGATGTAACGGATAATGACTGAGCATGCATGTATTTTATACTATAACGGTTTACTAGCGTGGCCCTCCGTTTATAGGAACTTGCTTTATACGTAAACAGAGGAGTTGGGACTCGGCGATTTGGGTGTTTTGTGGCTAGGTACTATATTCTATATTAAATATCAATACCCATATACCTTTATTTAGCATCCCTCAAACTACATGTAGAAACAGTCTATGTAATCATGTATTACAACATGAACTTGAGCATGTGCTATTTTATAGACTTCAATTTATCAATACTAGGTAGGCCCTTTTACACACTTAATTGAGAATCCTCATCACGTTTTGTGTGAAGTATCGTATTTGCACCTATAACAGACCATGCTCTGACCCCTGAAAGCAAATGAGGTATCACGCCTAGTCTAAATCCCATCGATCTCGATGGTGCACCGAACCTTATGCCCTAAGAAACGTCATTGTTGACAGCTCATCATCCATGTTCCTATTCATAAGGTCGAATAGGAGACACAGTAGCCGAAAATTCCCCAAATACACCAGACCATGCTCAACTGAGGTTAGTAATCCACCTGAAATAGCTAGAGGAGCTCATCTGCAAATTATCCGGTCCAGCGATTCGTCCTTGGAAACCATTGGCTATCCGTGGATATTACATCTCCTCTAGACTTCTTTGTACTGATCTGCGCAGCTGTCTGTTGTACAGCTTTCTTCCGTCTGCGCCGCCCCAATACAACTTATGCGCCTCCAAGTTGACAAGAGTTCGAGGATCATAAGGGGGCTGTTCTTCTTCTAGAGCTCCGATGATTGCTTCGAGATGTTGCTTAACATCTTCCCGGCGAGTAGGGTTAGGAAAGTAACAAGGTGTACCATCCACCGCAATCCGATGATGAAACATCGGTGTCAGGAATTTGACCCGAGGTTGTTCCTCAGGGAACCGGGGACTGAAGTGTATTCGGATGCGGAACATGCCTCCATCCAGATTCGTCATAGGTCGTCCAAAGTAGGTGAAGTTCCATACAAACGGGTTGCCATCCACCAACTCAACACTATGAGGGGCGTCGCAACGTTTATAGGACTCTTTAATCTGGTCAAACTGTCGTGCAAGGTTGACTGCAACCGTGGTATCTCTCATCTTCGAGGATGTTCCCTCTACCGCCCATTTCTCAGGCTCGCCATCTAGAACCGCCTTGATGCGGCGCAGTCTTTGCTCGAGTTCGGTATAGTTAAACTTTCCATCCATCGTATTGGAAGCACCTTCAAAGGGCATGCGCACGAAAGGTTGGCCGTCTTTGACCTCCTCCTTCGCCTTCTTAATAGTCTCTAAGTACGAATCGTAATACCAGAGGAAGCGTTGCTTGCAAAGATCCCTGAATGGCTCCCAGGGAATACTTCCATCGTCGATCTCCATATCATCGTCCAAATCAAGATCGTAGTCTTCGCCTCCCGGTGGCATGGGCGGCGCAATGCTAGTGCCGGTGATTCCTAGATAATCCTCTAGTCTCTGTATGATAGAAATACGTAACGTCTCGTGACGGATCTGGGGTATATTCTGTTAGAATATGTCGTAATGTAGGTAGGAGCACTTTATAGAGCGAATTACCTTGGCGATGTACTCCTTTTGATTCTCCTTATCATGCGACTCATTTGCATCCTCAAAACCAGGTTCGTTCTCGTAAGGGTTTGTCGACATTAAGCTCTGTATCGAGACTAGGATAGATTCTAGACCCTGAGCTGGAGACCACTCCTCTCCTCGTTCTCCACGCCATGTTCTGGGATCATGTTAGGTTGAACAACGGTGAGTGGATGTTATGGAAATTTATATACCCGAGGATTGACCTAGAGGCTAGGTTAGCAGATATCTCAACGTGACTATAGACAAGATCCGGTTTGCTTACAGACAGACTTTGCCGGAGGCATAGATATTGGGATTGAACCGACAGCGTCCACTGTTGGTGGTTGTTCCAGTGACGGCGGGTGACTTGCGTGGATATTCTTAATAAGGTTACATCTAGTTAGATATCTATAATCGGCCGGGAGGTGTTCACGGGTGGAACTAACCTCTGTTAAATTTCACCACGAACTAAATAATATTATTGTTAGTATATATAACCACAAACGGCTCGGGAATTTTGAAGAGGGGACAAACCTCGAAGAATCCAAACTCATAGGGTGTCTCGTGCGGACCAATGATCAAGGCCTTGACATTACGAACGTCCCGATCGCGAAAAGCAACAGCAAGGGCTATAGAAACGGTTAGAGAGCATCGGTGATAGACTATAATGAATATGCAGGAGGATATTTCTCGTACAAAGGTCGGAACTCTTCTGGAGTTCACCGATTTCCTGTGAGGTGCGAAGAACTCGTCAGCCTCGCTGCCCCTCCAAGACCTACGACGCCGGAGCGTACCTTGGTGATGCGGATAATGGATTGATCCGCCATAGCTTCTACTAGCTATCATAGATCGGCGCTTGATGTTAGGGTTATCGTATTAGTAGAGTGGATGGGTTTCTTGACGGATACGGAGGGGTTGGATGTTGTTGAGTAAATTTCGGTATAGAAGGTTTTCGGCGCGTCTGATGAAATTTTGGGTTACAATAGTTAAAGGAAGAAGTATGTACTGTGAAGGAGATTAAGTTGGTAAGGAAATACTTACGGTAGCACTTGCAGCAGCTTTGAGGTGCATGCGGGCAAGTGGGGAGCATCCCCCAAGGCAGCAGAAGAAGGCGGGGTCTACTAGAGTTTAGAGGAAGGAATTGGGACCGCGGGGCTGACTACGAATGTCCGATCTTTACACAAGTTGTACCTACATATACCTAGTACTTAACAGTCGTATAAATGAGCACCAGAGTGTAAATTTATTCAATTACGTCAGACTAGACATGTGCTCGATCTTGATGGCTGCCATTCCCGTGTATCCTCCATCTATTTATCCATTCATTCATCTCAGATTTCCCAGTTTCCAGGTGAACAACATCGTTACATGCACCTATCAGACGACTAGGTACATGAAATGATGTAAGAATGTTATCCACCGGACAGGTACCTTAAGTACGCTAAAAGTACCCTGATAGGGGAGACAACTACCAGCCTAAGGCACCTAACCAGAAATGGTATAAGCGCTGTATTGACACTAAATAATGCTGGGATAACCTATCGTCCTATGTACCTCTCCTGGAATTTCCACCCTTGCCTTCATCCTGGGGGAGGAAACCAGGAACGCCCCACATCCAATTTTCCTTTTTCTCCCTAGGATCTTCAACAATTCGGGCTTCTAGGGTGCCGAGAAATGGGCCATCGCTGGAGCTTCCATACCATCGCATACCTAGCTTATTGCCAGGCGGTGAAGGGTTCTAAATTGCAACTTGTTTAACCTGTACACTAGCCCTTCCACGTCCGTTTAAGGTTCACTCGGTGTCGGCACCGTACATTAATCGACAAAAACATCGAAGCAGACATATCGCCAATACACCATGCCCGATCCTGTAGCGCATCCCCTGCTCGGCAGAGTCCTCGTTATCGGTGGTTGTGGTTTTCTCGGCCATCATGTCGTGAACTTGCTCCTGCGCGACTGGACGAGCACCGTTTCCGTCGTTGATCTCAAGTGCCAGCGTAACCGTAGACCCGACTCTGACGGCGTCGAGTACATTGAGGCCGACATTACCGATACCGATGGTTTACTAAAGGTCTTTGGGAAGCTGAAGCCCGACGTCGTCATCCACACGGCTTCCCCGCCTGCCCAGGGCCTCGGCGCCGTCGCCAACGATGTGTTTAAGAAGGTTAACGTGGACGGCACTCGCGCCGTAATCTCGGCTTGCCAGAAGAGTGGCGTTAAAGCGCTGGTATACACGAGCTCTGCCAGTGTCATGAGCAACAACAGGGATGATTTGATAAATGCAAACGAAGACTATCCAGTAATCAGGGGTAAAATGCAGACCGAATACTATTCTGAGACAAAGGTGCTTTCCTTAGCTACTATACATATTGTACGTGTCATACTGATGCTATTAACTAGGCGCATGCCGAGGAACTTGTCCTAGCAGCGAACCGCGTCGATGGTTCTGAATTCCTGACTGCAGCTATCCGACCATCTGGCATCTTTGGAGAAGGCGACATGCAATTAGTTTACCACGCCGTCAACATTTTCCGCGAGGGCAAGGATAGAGTACAAGTCGGCCTAAACGAGAACTTATTCGACTTCACATACGTCGAGAATGTAGCCCACGCCCACCTCCTAGCCGCTCGCGCTTTACTAGTAACTCACGCGTCGACTACCGAACCGCTCGATTACGAGAAGGTGGATGGAGAGGCATTCATAATCACAAACGATAGCCCGGTCTACTTCTGGGATTTGATGCGTGCCATATGGCGGGAAGCCGGATCGCAGAAGGGGACAGATCACGTGTGGGTTATGAGCCGGGACGTAGGCATCCTCCTAGGATTCCTGAGCGAGGTCTTCTTCGGCATAATTAGGAAGACCCCGACCTTCAACCGCCAGCGAATCGTATTTAGCTCTATGACGAGGTACTATGATATCACGAAGGCGAAGCGTCGTCTCGGCTACCGCCCCCTGGTGAGCCTGAGCAACGGTGTAAAGAGGACTGTGAAGTGGACTTTGGATCAACAGAAGAACCAGAAGGCGTAAAGGAGTTTCACAATTTAGTTTGAAATGTGTATGAGTAAAAGACGCAAAGCTTCATGATACCTGTAACATCAAATCTCTACGTCAAAGGAATTAATGGCTGAATTGCTGGGATGTTGTGTCCACGGCAAATAGTATAGCTGGAATAATTAAAATGGTTAAGGACACAAGTTTATTCACTATTATTCCAGTATCAAGGGTTGATATTTTGAAACGCATGGTGTGTAGTTGCCGGAGATTATATTACTTGAATATTCCTCATCAAAGTATTTTATGGTCCTATAAATGAGAAAATAGGTATATGTAGGTAATTATATCTGTATCTGGACTGGTAAAGCAACACCACACAACCTTGGAGCTGTCATCCATACTCTTCATACCAGGTTTCTGTACACGCCAGGGTCCGGCTGCGATCACGTAGTTGCATTGAGATGCGTCAATTGAACAGTGTAGGCCTGAAATGCTTCTCTGTTGTTTCTGTCGTGGTCGCGATTTGATGGATCTGGCTCGCCCTCCGTGGCTAGTCCACTTGCGTAGCCGCCTTCGTATCGGCCGACCACTCTTCGAACTAGCTAGCACTTCCTCACAAATGAAAAGCCTGAGGCGCGCAGCCTATCTGAATCGGACGCTATAGGCACCAATATCTCTGTCTCGGTCCTTTTGCCCCTACTCAACCACACTGGACCGTCGTCCCCTAGCTCCAACAATAATTTAATAATCCGAATTTTTTCAATTGAAGTCGGAGTCCTTTGAATAAATTTGACCTAGTTGGCCAAGCCAGAAAGAAGGCAAAGGTGTACCTCCCCTACTACTCCAAGCTGCGCTGCCAAACCGCTCGGAAATGGCACACCCCTTTCCCAACACAAATATGCTCTAGAACGGAATATAAGCACACTAGAAGACCGCCTTGCCCAGGTGAATCCACCTCGAAGATGTCAAAAAGCGAATCAAAAGTCGTAAGGTCCATTTAAGGGAAATTGAGAGATGCGCAACGCCGGCCGAAATGCTGTTTAGTCTCGCTACAACCGACTCATGCTATGTCCTAGAGAAAATCAAGACCTGCGAATATTGATGGGGGTATCCCTCCCGCTTCATAGAAGTCGAAGAAGCATGCTGCAGTAGAGAGATATATACCAGATGAGGATCGAATAATCATCCTGTGCCGGTCGTGACAGAGTTATTTGGAGGGGGTCTACCCCAGCCAGAATTACGCCACTCTCGGCGCTGACCATTTTCAGGTTGCTTATCATACTGCTCTGGGTAAGGCGATGGCCCGTTCTCAGGTTTCCGCCAATTCGGGTTTGGTGGTGGTGTGCCCTGTGGTGTCGTAAATGGAATCGTTGGCTCTTGTACGGGACGTACACTGCTCTCTTGCTGCCACGCTGCTGGGTCCGTCGCAACTCTGGTAGCCAGGGGTCTCTTGCTCTCATGCTGCTTAACAAACTCGGTGCTGTCATACTGTCTGGGGAGACCGGTTACAGCTCGCGATTCAATTTTCTTGAGTATCTCCTTGGTGGTAATCTCGCCGTTGTTCATGAACAAAGTCGAGTCGCTCAAAATATCCATCAGTTCAACAGGAACCTATCGACGCAAGTTAGTATACTCTAGAACTTAGAGAACGGTTTTCTTTTCTTTTAAACATACCATGCACATTTCTTCGTTGAATTGAATTAACTCCTCGACACATGCTACCGCAGTCATAGGCTCGTCCGAGAAACTCGGGCTCTTCTCGTTGGTATATAGCACGTTCGGAGCAATGACACGAGCAAGATTGTGTACGTCCATCCTCGATCCAGTATCCTCATCAACTTGGTGGAAAGTAGCCACCCATTTTAAGAAACTGAATAGTACCTCTAGCGTATCTCGATGGATTTGTGGGAGTAGGCAACATGTCAAATGTAGACAATGTCGCCTTTTGTCGGTGTCTTTTATCTTAGTTGCAGCTATCCAGACTTTATATAGCTTCTGGGTCATGAGTGGATCCGGTAGTTCGCGAAGGTACCGCTTGAGAAGTGCAGCAAGTTGATGTGGGGTCTCGTCGTTCCATCGGATAGCGTCACAACCTTCTCGATCGACGGCGGCAACTTGCTCGGTGAGTTTCTTGATGTTACCATTTTTACGGAAGACACCTTCGACGGAAAGATCCTTATTCTTTAACGCCGTGATTGTGTCTTCGATAATGGCTGGTATACGTAGAGCCCCTGGTCCCACGCCATCTGTAGAATCAGCACCGTCCCGATCGATGATTACGTCTAATGGGACCCCGAAGATACCCTTCTTCTTGTTGACTTTGCGAGTTTCGTTCTTGCCAAAAGCCTTGCCGAACTTATTCCAGAATGTCGCTTTTCTTGCCTCGATGAGGCCGAGCAACTCTTCGAGTGTGAATTCCGGTTCCAGCATAGGTTGCATCGTGAGAACCGCAACGTGTCGGACGATGAAGTATTCCAGACCAGAGAGTTCGGAGAAGAACTTCGTCCCGTGTCTTTGAGGTAACGAGTCATCCTGCATGTTCTGGTCCGCATCGCGACTAGTAGAGAGGCTTCTCTCGTTGCTGCCACCGTAAGCGGCGTCACCGGTTGCTGATCGGAACAGCTCCTGGCGCGAGGTCCTATACGCGCTGGGTTGCTGCTCCCTAGCTTGCTCGGCCGCGACGATTCGAGGAATGTCGTCCAGAGTTAATGCGTCCTGGTGTCCAAAGTATTGCTCCGTCGTACCGCCTCCACCCATTTCCCGATCCTCCTCAATCTGCATCACCTTGTTTTGAGAATTAGCTTCCCCACCAGCAGATCCAGGTCGGACGCTACGCCCTTCAGGTCCGTCCATGATCCTCGAAGTCCGAGCCTTCCTAAGGCTAGACGATAAATGTTTGTCAAGACGTGTGCTTCTAAGTCTGCGTACATCATTGAGAGTATTTTCATAAGAAGACTCTCTCTGGTGGCGTTCTCTCTCACCACCAGCAGCGGATTTGGAGCGAGGGTCCGAGCCGGCAATGGCGGCACCACCATCAGCTACATCAGCAGAATCGTATCCAGTAAGGTTTGGATCGTCTGAGGGTAAGGCGCCGCTAGATCGAAGAATTTCTAGTAATCTTGCTAAGGCAACTTTAAGGAGGAAGATGTACTGCTGAAGCTTCGTTATTCGCTCGAGCGGCTGACCTCGCCCATCAACCGGAGTCTCACAAGTTGCGCAATAGATATTATGGTCTCGGTATAGGCGAGCTTGCTCTAAGCTCTTACCTAATGCCTTGTTGCACCGTACGCATGATACACAAAACAGATGCCACCTCTTATCGCCACTTATAGCACATTCATCTTCTATGGGTTTCCGGCACAGCGTGCAATGATCCGAATCGTTGGCAGACAATCGGGACATACCGAGACTAACCTGTAGGGATTCATTGTCGGTCTTGATTGACTCGAGGACGCTGAGATCATCAAGGAATTGGTACAGTGCCTCTGTAGAGCGTTGTTCCTTTTCGACTTTAAGAGACCCCTGAAGGCAAATTCTAATCAGGAGCTTCAAGTAATGCGCGAGACCCGTCACGAGAGACAACAGTTCCTGGGTCACACCCAGTTTCCGCGAACCGGTGTCTTGCATTTTAGACAACAACGAAAAGAAGGCCACAATTTTCTTGCAAAGAAGCTTGGCTTCTCTCGCATAGGATAATTCTATGATAAACATTAGTAAGTCAGTCAAGTCATGTTTGCATCTTTTCATACCGTTCATCTCTAACTTCTTCATGGTGATGTCGAGTCTATCTGCAGACCGGAATAGGATGTCCACATGGATGATAAACTTTTTGGCGACGAAAACCCCGTCCATGTATACGCCGTTGCTTACATGAAGAAGCATGTCCGAAATACAGGCCGCTGATGATTCTTCAAAGGTCGATAAGACACTCCAAATTCGATAAACTTTATTCTCCATGTCTTCTTCTTCTTGCCGAACTAGATCACGGCTCTCTGCATCAACAGGCTCCGGACGAGGCTCTACCGACTCTTGGGGCGGCGTCAGACGCACGTTCCAGAATTTGTGTATCATGTAGCACTCGGGGTGCCAGTGCTGATTCTGCCCATTACGGAATATCTCGACGAATTGTTTGAGTATGGCAGTCTGGCAACCGTTACAACGTTGGGCGAATTGCGTTGAATAATGGTAATGGCAATATACGTTTCCGTCGTGTTCGTAGTAGCTGTCTTGAGCTCCAAATACGGTCGAGCATAGCGAGCAGGTGAAATGGTCGACATGGTATTTACGGTCGAGAGCTGTGATATAGGACCCACGCAAAGCACCACCACATTGATAACACAAAAGGCCGAGCCGTCGAAAGTAATCCGTCTCACACAGCGGGTATTGCCCTCCGGTCTCTTCATCGTCGGCAGGGAAGAATTTGGATGCCACGATCTGGCCACAGTCCTACACTTTGTTAGAAAATGCGGAATGCATCTTATTATCGGTATATCGGAAGCACTTACTCGACACTTGAAACAGTCAAGATGGTACGTCCCATCTAATGCTCGTACAAACTGGCCCGTTAAAGACTCGCCGCACTTAGCGCACACACGAAGATGACCACTTGCCGTTCTCCCACCACGGCCTCGAGATCGTTCCCGCTCACCGCTCGGCCTCGGGTCGCTTCTCGCGCTGAGAGCTGGCGAAGTAGGGGGAATACTTGGTGGAGGAAATGCTCCATTTGGATAAGACGGGCTCGGTGTCAAATTTGGTCGGTCATGATCGAGCTGGTAGCTATGTTCGTTGGGCATCGGCGGTGGATGCCCATGAATCCGGTCACCAGACAGACCGCCGTCGTAGTCAGGGCCCATCATGGCGACCAAAATGAGGCCCTACCTCAACCTGGTCGATTGCAAATAGATATCACCAGTAGTAGAACTCGTCGTTGGATTGACCGAAACGCGAAACTAAGCGACGCTTGTACAATTATTGTTACGGTTGGGATAGCGTTGTCCAACGTCAGACATTGGCATCAGACGGTTCACCTCGTCGTCCCTCAAACAACGCGTGCGACTGGGTACGGATGCAGGAACGAGGTGACAATTATTCGGCGTTATGCAGGGCCAGAAGATATGGACGGTATGGCGACGCAGGAAAAATAACGGGGACCAGTTTAATATCCAGGTATGCAGTGATAGTGGTGAACGAGTGTGGCAGTGAGAGACTGCTGCAGCTGACTGTTAGTGAAGATAAGTGGTGGGTATTTTTTTTCACGATGCGACGAATTCGGTACAGGATTGGGGACTGCGCTGGAAAAGTGGTGGATGGTCTGTTTGGTCTGTTTGGTCTATTTGGTCTGCTTGGTGGGTTCGGGTGCAGGTGGTTCGGGTGGTTTAGGTGGTTCAGGTGTGGTTCAGGGTGTTCAGATTGTTTAGATTGAGATTGGCTGGCAATTGACTTTTTGGGCGTGTATGTACGGTGCACGATGGATGATGTACGATGTACGAGGATTTATGCTAGGCCGCGTCTAATTGTCGAAGGATTTCGTAGATATCGAGGGCATCGAGAACATGGATACTATCGGAACATGGAACATGCGCTGGAAGAGAAAACGATCTTGGAGAATATGATGACACCGCATCAAGTACGTGACGCCGTAATCAGCTTAATTAGCGGAGGTGATAGGGAGGTGAGAATATGCTCGTTGCCGACGAGGTTGCAACCTTCAGGTTCAAGGGGACGCAAAGCTAAGAAGCGGGAGCTGCAACAGAAGGGGGGAAGAAAGACTGGGGTGTGCCTAGGTAGGAGTCGAATGCAATGCAGGACAAAGGGATAGTGGGATAATGGGATAATGACCTATGCGATATGAGAATATAGCGCCTAGGTGTTCTGGTGTTCTGGTGTTCTAGTGCTCTAGCCCTGGAGTGTTCTACACGTAGCAGGTGGTACCCAGTAGGTGTGATAGGCAGTAGGTAATTGGAGGTAATTGCCCCTAATAAAGTAAGGTTAATAGCTAAAGGTAGCCCTGAAGGTTTTTTTTAGTTGTCTAGCAGCGAAAGGGACCTTCTCTGTCAGGTGCTATTGGGCGTTTGTTAGAACCGTTGGTTAGTTATCGAGGGGTTGGCTCGAGTCCGAAGGGAAACTGATTATGTACTCGTAGGCAGGTATTGTATGGATTGTAGGAAGATAGATAGGACAAAATAATTAACGACCATTTAATTGTGGATAACGACTGACGAAAGAAACAATTGAACAATGGTGAGTTGAACGAAGTCCGTCTATGTAGTCAAGATGACCACGACCGCACAAAAAACCGACCCTTGATTTGGGGGGATTGATTGAGGAATGATGCCCCTAAATTGACTTCTCCTCCAGGAGTGGTAGACTCTCCCCTAGTGCATATAAAGGAAGATTAGGTAGGAGGCCAGGATACCTGTAATCTCATTAATAACCTTTTAGTGCCAATTTTAGCTTCGGATCAAGCCCAACCAATCTGCCAGCTACCTCACAAGGACCCCACGAAACACAGACCCACGCAGCTGCTACGGTAGGCTGGGTAGGGTCTATCACGTGATTATTTATCGGGAAATCGCTTTAGCGCGATATCCATTCTATTCGTGCAACTGCACCTGATCCGAAATCATTAATATTTTCAGTTACACTCCCTTAGCCCAAGTTGACTAAGAATCAATTCACGTACGAAGGTCTTCTAGTACATAGTAGACGATTATCTCCAAGTCACACAACATACTATCCAGTGCTGGTACAAACAGATAAATTTTTGTTTAGTTATAGTGGATAGATATCCTCACTGAGACAAAGATGTTGGATTGTGTACTAGGAAGGTATCTGATATCTTATTCGTCCGAAAATTCATGTTGAGGCACCGGGCTAAACCTATCCGAGTTAGCTATATGGGTACCTGTATGTACCTATGTATCGTGCATTTCACTGACGGTAGTGCAAAAAGTTTGGACCCGGTTTTTAAAACAACATTTCCGGTTACTCAACTACATCAACGGAACATTCTCATTGGATACGACTAGTTAAACTGTTAAACACCCACCTAACCTACCTGCCTGCTTACCTAGTAGTATTTACCTCTTTGCTCATCGTACATATCATACACGTTGCTATCTGCACTTCGTCACCTTGCATTGATAGCCTACCTCGTCAATTCACTAAAATGCCCCTTGGCGCTCAGCAGATATGACACTGACGATAAATGGAACAACAGCCAGAGGTGGAAATATTAGTCCATATTGGCGCTCCAAGCAGAGCAGTCGATGATACTCGGTACCGGTCCCTTACTACTTCATATCTAGAATTTCAGCCAGTGCGCCGTGTCGAAGTATTTAGCCAAGCTTCCTCTAGGCTAGGTAGGAACGACGAAATAAAAAAAGATCAGGGAAATCTGCAGGATCTCTTAAGGGACATATCCACGACCCAACCGTCAAGTGAGCCCTTCGGCACTCTTAAATCGCCCCAGGCCTCATTTCAGAGTGTGCTGGACAATGCAGGCTCGCCCCGCGTGCCCAAGAGATGCATCCCCGAAGATGAGTCAGCAAGCGCCGCAGAAGGGCTGACGATGCCGATGACACAATCGTCATGGCAAAGTCCATCTAGCATAGTACAAGATTCGTTCTCGGAAAATCACATTGACATCTCTAATTTCACTTCCCCTACGAGAGTTTTAGAGCATTATCTTCAACGTTTCGATTCTCCATCGACGGGTCCGACCGCTTCTCAGAGGAGCGTCAACAGCATCTCCCGTGGTAGCACTTCTCGAAATTCTGATCATCCTAGATCTGTGGCCAGACATTTAGCCCCTTTAGTGCCATGCACCCCATCAGTTGTGCCATGCACGCCTCCCGGCGACTCCCTTTCTCCCGTTGGGGGTTTATCTAGGAGGGCGTACGCAATGGAACACCATAAAGGATCAGTCCAACAAAATCAACAGCAGAATTCACAATCGCAGGACGAGATAACCAGTGATGATATCATTGAGGAAACCATTATGGAATCATCGCCAGACCTTCGGTCTCTCGTCAGAGCAGATTCCGAACCAGTGCCAAATAAGCAGTACAAGCCAAGCTTAAGCCCGCGGGCTCTTCTCAGAGCAGCCAGTGACATTGGTCCAAGGCCATCTTCTCACCAGAGGTCATCTGTCCTAACCGTCAGCTTCCTGAGAGACCACGGATACACTTACGATAGTCTAGAATTGCGGGCGCCGGATCCCTCTATCTCTATGATGGAGGTCGGGTCAGACAACTTCATTACACCTGGGCTGGAAAGGCTGGCTCAGGACCTTAACATCCCAAAACGATATAGGCCAAAAGAAATGAAAAGAGATTTACGCCCTTTTGAACGGGGATATTGGCTTGTGGATTGTTCAGCTTGGGATTCGCAACTCAAACGGGACGCCTGGGCATACCTGGCAAATTACATCGGGACTGGGGTTGCGGGATGGGGTATTTGGTGTAGGAGGGATGTAGATTTTCGGTCGCTTCGGGTTTACTGTTGGGGATTGGTGACAGCCCACGTTTACTTACTATTATACTTGGCTAGCCAGCGCAAGATCCTGTATACTGGGAGCTCTTGGGTTGATAGCGAGGGCATTCCGGTTGTGGTGATGGAGACAAGGGACTAGATATGGAGCATAATTGGAGAGTAAGATGGCGATGATATGAGGAAGTCTGGTCACGGCGCGTGAGATAGAACTTCAATAATAGATACCCTTGGCACGACATAAAGACCTTCGTAGCTAAGACTATTCATAAAAACGAGCTCTCTTATTTCACGCACATCTAGTCTCCTTTATCGCTATTGCTAGCGCACCTGATAATAGCGGATGATCTCTAGACGGGCCTATGTGTAAGGAAACGGGGAGTAGATACTGCATAAGCAAGGAGAATTATAGTACAATTCCGTCTTGAACGGACAGCCAGCGTCAAGTCCTATGGATAATCTCGGAAAGCACGTAACAAAACCTTGCACACCCACGAGGCGTCATAAAGAGGATTAAACGAGCCGTCCTTTTAAATACCCACGCCGCCTGTCGATTTTCCGAGTCCATCCCTATCCTTCACGTGTTTCGGCGAGAGAAGAGGGGCGAGCTTATGCTTTAGGCTCATATTTTACCTTTCGGTGAAAAACCTCTCCTACTTCCTTTGCATACTGATCCGAAGATACCTTGAAAAGGTCAAAGTATGGCTATAGATTTGTTAGTTTCATATCAACAGAAACCTAATTTATGAACTTACAGCTCGTTCTGCCTCAGACAAGCTCTGCCACTCGACGCCGAGCGCCTTGGAAGACTCGGATATGGACTTATTGGCGAAGTCTCCGGTAGCCCATCTTGCTTTTGTGAACAAGCTGAATGGGGTAGTGGGCTGTTTAGGCAGACGATCGTCGCGGATGATCTTCACTCCGGACTTAGGAGGGTAATTGTGTTTCTTCTTCAGAAGTCGACGGGCATTGTTGGCATTGTAGATCTCTTGAGGGCTGTAGCTCTCTGTCCACGCCTTGTATGCTGCCACATTAGCGAGCCTGTTCTGCTCCGCAATGTCTTGGAGTCGCTGGGCAAACGTTAGAGAATTTGACACGATAAGAGACATGGCTCAGGAGAGTCACTCACCTGAAGTTGGGAGGATGACAGGGTTTTATATTCCTGACCAATTCCAGTCATCTTGGCACGGAAGATTTCTGAGCCACCGGGAATACCCTGATTCTTCTCAACCACGAATACTGTCCAGGCAGTATCTGGAAGTTTTTTCGGCTCGGCGAAGATGGCCGTAACCTTGAGTTCTCTTCGTTCAAGGATAAGCTTCTTCTCCGGGCTGATTGGCTGACGCTTTTTGGGCTTGGTCTTGGGTCTGCCCCTTGGTTTGGCCTTGGACTTGGGCTTGGGCTTCGCGGATTTGGTGGACTTCGTAGCCTTCACAGTCCTGGTGGCCTTAGACGCTTTAGTGGCAGTATCTTTAGCAGTGGCTGTGGCTTTGGTCGTGCCCTTGGGACGTCCCTTTGTGGCCGCTGGCTTCGTTGTCGCACTCTTAGTGGTAGTAGAAGCCTTAGGTCTCCCTGGAGTCGCAAAGCTTCGAACGAACAGACGACCAGATCGCAAAGAGTTCGCAGACAAGCCGGAGGCTCCAATGCGACTAGATGACGTAGCGATAGGTATTGGGATCAAGCGCCTGATGGCGGCGCGTCCAATAGAAGACAACATGGTGGGCTGTGGTGGGCTGTGGTGGGCTGTGGTTGTAAATAGTAGTCAATTGATATCCAGGAGAATTTTTCGAATAATTGAAGGGTATAAGAGACCCGGGAGCCAATTCGCGGAGACGATCCGAGACAGTATGAAGGGTGCCTGAGGAAAATCTTTAGCACCGGACTCTGACCCGATGTTTATTCAAACACGCGACATTAATGTATCACGTTTGGAGAACTAGAAGCTTAAGATTGTGCGGCTGCTATATTTTGCGGACCCACTCTTTCAAGCTTCTGTGCTACCCCACCTCTAGGTGTTGGAAATTGACGAGTTTCCAATGGTAGGTGGAGGTCACCGAGTGGCGTCATGCAAGTACTATATATGTAGTGCTTGCCGATTGGTTCATATATATGATATGTAGTAGGTACATATACTGTACAGCTAGGTAAAAATCATATTGATCTTCCAGCCACATCCACAATCAAGAAGTAGCTAGGTACATAGGTACCTACGGGATTCAACCAGCGCATCAGCCACACTCAATTTTTGAGCCATGAAATCGGTACTCTTGGTTAGTACCAGTCCAGAACTAAAATACATTTTGTAGGTTGTCAACTTACCTCATTCATCAATTCTTACACTCGAAGTCTACGAGGATCTCCAGCGATTAGATGAATCCGTCAGTATAAACAAGGCGAAACAAAACTTCCATGCTTCTGCTTCTATCTAGGTGATCTTCCTAATTAGCCTGGCCGTCTAATTGAAGCTTCCCTCGCGTCTTTTGGTAGCTCTCACCATTGTAGTGCGACCGAGCCGTACTATCTTTTTAATAAAAAAATCATGGCTCGGCTCAGAGACTCACGCTCACCAACTCCAGCAGGAAGCCAGCCATCCTCAAGACGACATCGCAGAGATGACGATAGAAGAGATCGAGACCGGTATCGGGATCGGGATCGTCGAGACATCGCCCGAGATGCAAGGCGTCGCAGTCGTTCTCGGAGCCCCCATGATGTAAGGCGACGTGATGGTCCCCACAATTGCTACTTGTCTAACAACTTAATCACACAGCAGCGTCGAAATCGCGACCGAGATAGAGACCGCGATCATGAATTTCGCCGACGTGACCGTTCCGCAGACCGTCGAGATGATGACCACTATCGAGGCGGAAGGGACCGTAGACGATCGCGTGATCGTCCCTTAGATAGGGATAGAGAACGCTCACCCGACCCTCGCCGACGTAGAAGTCGTGATCGTGATGGAGATAGAGACCATCGAGCTAGGCGAGACGATTCCCGTGATCGAGCCAGAGGACGACGCGAAGGTACTGCTGACTCTCATCCACGAAGTAGGCGAGGTGATAGCCGCGAGCGAGGCCCGGCATCAAATGACACAGCAAAGGCGAAGCTATCTGATGTACGTCACCCCATCTTGTTTCATTCCACCATAGAGACTAACTCGAATTTTCAGGCGGAAGTGAAACCAAAACCTGCGCCCGCCCAGTCCGATGCCGATAAAAAAGTTGAACGCCTCGCAAAATTAGCAGCATGGAAGAAGAAACAGGAAGAAAAAGAGAAACAGAAAGATCCAACTCCAGGTGGAACGCGGAAGCTTCTAGCTGAAATGGACCAAAAAGCTAACACTGCTACTTCTAATTCAACGCCTACAGGAGCATCTCCAGCGCCGATATCGCCTGCCGAGACTCAAACGACCTCGCCGGCGGCTCCGTATGCCGGTAAATTTGACCCCAAGGCTATCGCGAAGAAATCCGCTCCCAAGACACATATCCCAACTACAGCACCTAAATTAGGGGTCGTTGCGGGTCAACCATCAACAACAAGTCTCCCGTTAGCAACTAAAGCTCCACGTGGTAAGTACTCTAGTCAACACAACCCTTCATGTGTTGCTAACGAGATCGATCAAGTTTCTGCTCTCCCACAAAGTAGAGCTAAGACAAGCGGTTTTGGTTTCCACAAGCAGAATGCGGAAACTGAGAAGGTTTCGCAGAAGCGGAAATTAATGCTAGATGAAGACGATTCGTCAGATAGAAAACTTGCTAAGCTGCCTTCCCTCCTACCCCTTGGCGACGTTGATGATACGCCATATGAGAACCAGGATGAGGAGGACGACGACGATGATGCGGATCACTTCGCTGGAGATGAAGCTGAAGAGGCTGCTCTCGCTCGCGCAGCCCAGGAGAGACGAGAGGAACGTATCGCGCTAGAGAATGCCCAGCAAGGAACGGAGATGCAAGTTGATCACGGCGAAGAGGAATCCGCCCCGGACACAAATGGTGCGCCTCAAGCTACTCATCCGAATGAGGCCATGGAAGTAGACGAGGATGTTGACCCCCTTGATGCTTTCATGAATGATCTCGAGACTAAGCCTACAGCGAGTAAACTTCCCAAAGTAGGACCTAGCAAGAGTAAGAATTCACAGGAACCTGAGGCGTACTTCAGCGATGACGAGTACGACTACCGGAATGAGAACGTAGAGCCCGACTCGTTCTTAGCTATCGCGGCCAAAGCTCGCAAGAAGAAGGACATTCCATCAGTTGACTATAGCAAAATCGATATAGAGCCGATCCGAAAGAATTTCTGGGTTGAACCAGCTGAGTTGGCAGAAATGACCGAAGCGGAATTGGCAGACCTACGCGTCGAACTGGACGGAATTAAGGTGTCTGGCAAGGACGTACCTAAGCCGGTCCAAAAATGGTCCCAGTGCGCCCTATCACGAAAGACGCTTGACATCGTTGATAGCTTGGGCTACGAAAAACCTACGCCGATTCAAATGCAAGCCTTTCCCGCGATCATGTCTGGTCGAGATGTAATCGGTGTTGCGAAGACTGGCTCAGGAAAGACCCTCGCTTTTCTATTACCTATGTTTAGGCATATCAAGGATCAACGGCCACTTAAGGAGAACGAAGGTCCTATTAGCCTGATCATGACTCCTACACGTGAGTTAGCCACCCAAATACACAGAGACTGTAAACCATTCCTAAAATCGATGAATCTACGGGCGGTCTGCGCGTATGGCGGTGCACCCATCAAAGATCATATCGCCGAGTTAAAGAGGGGCGCAGAAATCGTTGTTTGCACTCCAGGTCGCATGATCGATTTGCTGGCAGCTAATCAGGGCCGCGTGACGAACTTAAAGAGAGTGAGTTATGTCGTTCTTGACGAAGCAGACAGGATGTTTGATATGGGTTTCGAACCTCAGGTGATGAAGATATTTGCCAACATGCGACCTGATCGGCAAACGATTCTCTTCTCGGCTACCATGCCGCGTATCATGGATGCTCTAGCCAAAAAGGTCTTAAATAGTCCGGTAGAGATCACCGTCGGGGGTAGGAGCGTAGTTGCCCCCGAGATCACCCAGGTTGTGGAGATTCGAGAAGAGAATACGAAGTTCGTTCGCCTGCTTGAGCTCCTGGGCGAGCTTTACGACAAGGATGAAGATGCCCGAACGCTGGTGTTCGTAGAGCGGCAGGAAAAGGCAGATGACTTGCTAAAAGAGTTGATGCGCAAGGGCTATCCCTGCATGTCAATTCACGGCGGTAAAGATCAGATTGACAGAGATTCGACCATCGAGGATTTCAAACACGGCATTGTTCCGATCCTCATTGCAACATCCGTGGCAGCTCGAGGTCTGGACGTCAAGCAGCTGAAGCTAGTTGTGAATTACGATGCTCCTAACCATCTCGAAGATTATGTGCATCGTGCTGGTCGTACCGGGCGTGCTGGTAACAAAGGAACAGCTGTCACTTTCATCACTGGAGAACAAGAGAACTGCGCACCAGGAATCGCGAGGGCCCTAGAACAAAGCGGCCAGTCAATTCCGCCACAACTTGATGAAATGCGTAAAGCCTTTAGGGACAAGGTGAAGTCCGGTAAAGCTAAAGATCAGTCGGGCTTTGGTGGAAAGGGGTTGGAGCGTCTTGACCAGGAGAGAGAAGCAGCTCGCTTAAGAGAACGAAAATCACATAGGACGGAAGGGGATGAAGAGGAGGAGAAGAAAGAAGAGAAATCTGGAGAGGATAAGAAGGGTGATAAAGCCTTGTCGGCCATTCAAACGGCTGCCTCGGGTATCATCTCTCGCGACTCTGCTGCTCCTCCCAAGGTTGACCTCGAGCCGAAATTTACCATTCATAAAAGGGAAGACGCCCCGGCATCCTCGAGTGGCAACAATCCCTTGGACAAGGTCTCTTCCGCGATCAATGCTATCAATGCCCGTTTGGGCCGCGCTGGTCAATTAAGACCAGGTCAACCAATCGATAATAAGGGACCAGATGCCGGTGCCTTCCATGCAACGCTTGAGATCAACGACTTCCCGCAAAAAGCGCGTTGGGCTGTCACTAATAGAACTAATGTAGCTAAGATTCTCGAGGCTACCGGGACATCTATCACTAACAAAGGCACATTCTACGCACCTGGAAAGGAGGTACCGCCTGGTGCTGACCCTAAGCTTTATGTATTGGTAGAGGGTGATACAGAGCTAATGGTCGCCAATGCCATGGCTGAGCTCACTCGCTTGTTGAAGGAGGGCACCATAGCTGCGGCTGATGCGGATAGCAGGGCTCCTATTGGTGGTAGATATACAGTCACGTAAGGGTGTAAGGGTATGAGGCTCTGTGCGCAATAAATGTAAATCGGTATCTTAGGCAAGGCAGGATTAAGTAATGCTTTCTATTTACAAAAGGATACGGGCGTTCGGTGGAAGTGGGTAGTTGGGCAGAACGTATACAAGCAAACCTGGACGAAGGAATCTTCCTTTAAAATAGGGAGCAGTAGGCACAGTTAACAAATGCCAAGAATTGAAGTATCGGATTCGTAAACCTCTCGCTAATTATGAGTGCGCGACTGTGCTGCTTCGTCGGCATCTCGTTGTCGTATCTCAGCATTACTGATTTCCTTGAGCGTCTCGTTGCGCGTCTGTTTCTTCTGCGCCGCCAGTTGCGAGCCTAGCTTCCCCGCGTTCTTAGACGTTGCAGCTTGTGCTCTTGCCTGTATACGACGGTGTTTAGAATGATCGGTGTTCGTGAGAGGAAGGGGGACGGGGTAGAGACGGCATTACCTCTGCAGCCTCAGCTGCTCGTCTCCTAGCCTCGACAGCGTCGCTGCTAGTATCCGGTAACTTCGGCGGACTTCCCGCTCCTCCTAGGGTCCGAGGCGGGCCGCCGACCTGAGCGGGGACGGACGAACGTTCTGGTTGAGGAGGGGCGGAACCTAGGACGCGACCCGGCTGGGAGAAGTGGTCGCCGTCCGACTTGCCGCATATGTTTCCCATATCTGTTGCGATAGCTCGCTATGGATTTTAATCGGGCCGTTCTTTGGTGTGGGTGCGAGCGCCCAGGCTAGTGAGATACCTTATAAGGTAAGGTTATTCTAGCTTCCAGGTCGTTCGCTTGAATCCCGTCACGTTGAATCCTTTAAGGTGTGTGGCGGGTAGGTGAGACCAGGTGTTTACGTTGCTTTGTTTCGTCCGAACAAATGATGCAGTCTGTTTGCAGTAGCATTTGCTATGTAGAAAGGCGAAACAGACGTCTATTCTAGGTATGTGACGTGGAAGGTAGGGCTGTGGGCGCTGGGCGCTGGGCTGTGCTGATTGATGTTGAGGCTCAAGGGATCTCTACTAGGTATTAGGTAAGCGCCCCAGCGTTCTTACCGAACGAAGCTTAGGACCCTGGAAACACATGCGGGGCCAGAGGGGTAACGTGAGAACATGTCCACAGGTAGCGCATAAGTACCTACATAGGCATGTTTAGTGCTATATTTACCGGTTTTATACAGTGTAGGTACATACAGACATGGATCATTAATTCATCGGAAACGTTGAAATGCACTGAGCCTTAACATTTTTCTTTTTTAGTCAGATAATTGGACAAACAAACTCAGTGATGAAATATGGATAAAAGCATCATAGTGAGTAAGGTCTTATTATGTAAAGGGAAAATCTCTGCGGTTGATGTCGAATATTATATGTAAACGTGCATAAAGATCTAGATTGTATCATATTAACTTTTTTATTTCTTTCGGAACCAAACGAGCAGGTACAGGTTCGCATGTATGTGTGTGTTGCATGTGCCCATAGCGGGCGGGTAAGACCCACTCTATATGAGAACCTTGATGGCCATCTTGCACTTCGTCTGCTCGCGTCGTTTGCGCCTTGCTGACTACGAGATACCCGGGCTTGGGAAAATCGAACCCCACATTGGTAATTCTAACAAATCCACGCGAGATCATTGGTGAAGAGCAACGTCAGCCATAGAAAAGCGCAACACCGGAATCCAGCGCCCGGTCAGCACACGTTTAAACTTTAGGCACAATAACGACATTGGAGCATAAAGATAACCACAACAGAATACAGGCCTAGGCCTGGTTGCGTTTTGGAAGGGGAATGGACGAGGTTAATGAAGGGTAGGAGATTGATATCTTGAATGTCCTTGGTTGGGTCTGGTGCTATATCGTGGTAACTTTAAGCTAAAAAAAGTTATGAGGAGGCCGCTTCCCTACACAAAAGTGTACCACAACTGCTCAAGCAAGACCGACCACCAAGGTCCATCAAGGTTCTCAACTGCAAAACTGATTTCCGCCATTTGCCCACACCACCTTCCCTCTATCCTCTTAAATTTTCCATTTAAAAAGCCCGGACGACAAGAGCCTCAATTCATACCTAAAACATTTTTATTGTGGTCGGAGTTGATCTATCCGATCCCCAGATCTTCCAAGTTCCAGCTATCAAACGCACTGGCCAATATACTGACTTGATACTGGCTCTCTCGAATTTCGCTCTCCTTTCAAACTGCGCCTTGTCTCGTCTTGTTTGTAAAGTATTGGCGGAAAGCCGGTAATCCCTCACTTTAGCCGGGTCATGCTTAAACGGAACATTCAGCATGACTATCTACGGCAGGATGGACGACTCTGTCGATCCCAATGACGCGAGCTATGGCGGCATGCCCTCCCTCACTTCTTCACCTTCGATGGAGAGACTCGCCAGTTCTGTTGGATCTAGTCATCATAACTTTGACAATGCCTTCTACTCGCCGTTGTCTTTTGACACCATAGAACCTTCGTCTTTGGAACTCGTTCATACCTCTCATGACGATTCGTGCCTTGATAAGTGTATGGGTAATTATCTTCCCCAAGCGATACACCGGAACTCCTATGCGCCGCTTTTTCCTTCGAAGTCGCGGTTTGCCGTCCCATCATTTTCGTACCCCTATCATCTACCCGACAATAATGCCTTTCAATTCCCTCCACAACCTTTTAGCACTCTGTATTCGGATGCTTTTTCGAATATGGGTTTAAAATACAACCTAAGTCACGACAGCAGATTAGGACACCATACCTCCAGCAGCGAATCACTCATTGGCAACCATTTTAACGCCTCGGACCTAGGAATACCACAGCAACGCTCGGTCCCTGATGACTGTGCATCCATAAACTGCAGCAAATATTCGTGCTCAAGCGAGTGCTGTTCTACTCAGGTCTGTCAAGAAGAAGAATGCTCCGGTGATGGGACTCCCTGCGACGATCTTCATTGTTTCGACGGTACTTCTCAACCTCTTGACGATATGTGGGCTCTTAACCAAGGCTGGCATAATTCCCTACCGCCAGAGATGGTGCCGACTTTACACAACCAGCCTTGCAACCATACGAACACGGAACACGATGTCGCTATCACTTTACGGGATTTGAGTGCGCCAGGTGCTTCAAATACCCAGCAGCACCAGCAGGAGCAACAGGAACATGACGACGGCTCACAGTCAGCAGATTTTGCTCGCTCTCTATCCTTGCCCGTCCCTACTCATACAAGCCTTTCGCCCACCCCCGATGTAGACTTAATACCGCCTCTACTGGAAGATTCTTTGATGCAGCCGGGTAACATAACCGAACATATATGCCAATGGGTTACTACCCCTGAGGGTTCAGGCGCCCAGGGGAGAATCTGCGGGCATGTTTGCCACGACCCATACGCTCTTCACGAGCACCTATGTAACGATCATATCGCTTCGCTATCAAATAAGACGAAGTATCTTTGTCTTTGGAAGGGTTGTACACGTCGTGGTGATCAAGTATTTGCATCGCGTAACAAGCTTAGAAGGCATTTAGCAACACACACCGCTTGTAAGCTCGATCAATCTAGCATTTTTTTAGAAAAAAAACTGACAATAGTGAAGACAAGCCTCATAAATGTGAGATATGTGGTGAGGGATTCTCAGCACAGCAGGCCCTTGACCAGCATGTCAGAACACACACTGGCGAGACACCATATAAGTGCGACTATGAAGGTTGTGGCAAGGCTTTTAAACAGAAGAGCGCCCTAAGTACGTCCTCGGTCATCAATTGTAACTCTAAATAACGAGCTAACACGAAGCAGCAATGCACAAACGCACACACACAGGAGAGAAGCCGCTAGAATGCGATATATGCGGCAAACGGTTCTGCGAATCGTCCAATTTATCAAAACATAGAAAGACGCACAATCCCGATTTTAAATTCAAGTGTGATGAACCAGGTTGTGGGAGCCAATTCATAAGAATTGATCAACTTCGAAGGCATCAAGCGAGGCACGATAGACCAAAGAAGAAACAGAAGGCTCGCACTGCGGCAGGATCATCATCTTCCGTCTCTCCTACATTACCAGAAACGCCGCAGGATTCTATCCTGCTAGACCACGAGCAGCAGATTCGAATCAAAGTATAACGGCCTTAAATATACTTATAGGTAACCCGGCCTAAGCGTTAAAAATCGGGATCGGCGAAGGCACGCCAGAACACTTTTTGGGCATGACTATATTAATATCGTCAATCCAATCGGTGCATATCAGCGCAGGAAATGCCAGTCCAAGAGAAAGGTGCGCCAAATTCCGGCAAGGGCTAGTCAGCAGGACACTTGCTCGTTCATATACTTTGTTATAATACTACTTTGCGAGACGCTGGCCAAAGCGAGCAAAGTAGAAACAAGGATTTCAAAGTAACAGGTTTACAAGAGATAAGGAAACACTTGCCCTATATTTTAATCGGGGAACGAATCTATTCACGATCAGAGGAAAGGTTAGAGCAGTCGAAGAGTTGGATAACCTAAACGACGCGACCAGCATAATGGAATCCTCCTTCAGCCACTTCAACAAATAGCGCAGCAGATAGCGTGTTGCTTGCGGGCAAGGGGTTTTACAGCACAATCATCCATATCATTGAAGGTTTTGGAGTAAAGGCCTGGGTGAGGATGGGTATTATAAAACGCAATTTTAGAGGATTGCGGGAGCGAACAAAAGAGATCCATAGCGATTACTGAATTCAAAAGATATCTCAATTTCATTTGGGTGAACTACCTAATTATTCTAGTTGTGCGTGTCGTAATGTGTCTGCTAAGGTCGTCGATCGACTAGTCTTCCTTGATAATCTCGATAGAGTGCTAAATGGCCTTGAATGAATAGAAGAGAGCGAAGTCTACAACATCCCTAGGATGGCATACATACCTAGGTACTTTATATGCCTACATATTTAACTATTGTTAAGTACTGGTGAGGTAGGTTTACAGTTGAATAACTCCGTTCTTGAATGGATATCCTGGCAACTAATGTTGTAGAGTCCTCGGCAGACTATCGCTGTAGATGACGTCTAACGTTACCGTTTCTCGTATCAAATTACATGGCCATTGTTCATTAATAGGTAGTTATGGGAACCGGTTTGTCTCCTTGTCGAAATATGTCTGCTGGCTCTAAGAATTTGCTTGTGCCTGGGTAGGGTATTATGGAGAAGTCGAGCCGGTTGAGTCGATCCCAGGTAGAATTTCTACTCGCCATTTCGCAAATCACACATGAACGAATTCCTCGAGATTTGTTCAGTGCCCTAAGGCAAAGTTTTTGCATTGGGCAGCGACATTGACTGCGTAGTGTGACCTCATAAACACCTATGAACCGAAAAAGCCGTGTGATGCCATGCAAATATCAGGATTCCTCTTTTATGGAAGACCACGACGCCCATCCTCAACCAGGGTAAACGTCTGCGCGTACGTGCGCATCCCCTTTGCTACAAACAAACCAATTCATTTAAGCCTGCAGATACCCGTGTTGTTAGTTTGATGTCCTCGATTCCTTCCAAGTCTTTTAACTTTTAGCGTACCTTGACAGCGTATTTTCGCTGCGGGAAATGTGTGGCTCGCTTCTGCGTCTTCTCCAGAGTCTTGGAGCTCTCTTGGGGAGATAGGCGTCGGCGGATAGCGCGGGTCTGCTTGGGTCGGAGATCGAGGGGGAGGTACTTGTTCTTCTTGTAGAACAAGCGTAGCTGTGATCGCTGCTTGACGTTGACAACGGTAAGAACGCGGGCAATGGACTTTCGGAGGTCGTGACTATAGAACAAGATATTGTTAGTTTAAATTATTCGATGAATGATACTGTCTTCCACCTCGCGTGACTATCGTAGTGGGTTTCGAGGATCGTGAATCGCGATAGGTGGGGGAATATGGTGCAGCTAGACTTGGGACGAAGCATTTCAAACGTACATCTTGTTAAGTTTGCTTCCGGAGGAAACGACCTTCTGGATGCGAAGTTGACCAAGCTCGGTCTTGAGCTCACCCAAGGTCTTCAATAATTCATCCTTGTTCTTGTTCCAGAGCGCTCCGGTCTTAACCTTAGCAGTCGACTGCAAGTGAAGAATTAGCAGGTTATTTTCGATTGATTCGGCAAGTGCGCGTTGGTGGTCGCATTATAATTATCGGCATCGACTTACCATCTTGAAGAATTGCTGGTGGTTGAGACGAGTTGAGGTCGGGTGTCTGGTGAATGGTTATTTGAAGTCGTGAAATTTCCACCCAAAATTTTGGTAGACTGCGAAAAGAATTGAATTCCTCGTAGTAGGGTTGTGGGTTGAAAAGTTTGGTCAGGTGATTAACCGCTTTCAAGTTTCGGTTTTCGTTTTTAGTGCTGGCAGTTTAGACGAGAGAAAGTACGAAGTACATATGTACCCAGGTACACTTTCTATGAGCCACAATTCTAAAAGTGGCTGTGCAGAAAAGACCCTTGCTGACATAATACCAAATCCCTCCTTTGTCCCGATAATAAGATATTCATTAACCAGACCTTATGTACCGAATGCCAAGTATGGAAACCTCGAATTGTACCAGACCCAAATCATCATTTGCATCGTCATCATCAACTAGGTAGCCACTTACACGACTAATCTGGATATCCAGCTATCTGAAGATTCATTAAAGTCTATCATCACGAACACGACTTAATCCTATCGATTTCTCGTCTAGAAGAGTAACAACAATATCCTCTAATACGATCCGAGCATCCACAACGAACGATAGCTAGTGCGCTGCCTGTGAAACGAACTCCATTAGTGATGGTTGTGATTTTGGAAGTCGGCATTTATATCTAACTATTACATCCATATAAAGCTTGACCATGGCTGCCCCGACAGGGAACCAGGGCTGGGCTCAATTGCGCCAGCAAGCTCGGAGTTTAGAGTCTCAGGTAACAAGCACAATCGTCTTGCGCGGTTGTATAGAGGATACTTTGCTAACCCATTCGTGCGCAGACGGAAACGTTATTCCACACATACTCTCAGTTTTCTACTGTTGCCAATATCCCGGCGAAGCCGACTAAAGAAGAACGAGAAACGGAAGGAAAATTGGAGGAGATACTTGATAAAGTACGACTATCCTATTCGAAGAATCTATCATAAAATCATATCATTTTTCTTAGCTAACTGGTATTTAAAGAGGGATAGTGTGGTCAATCAATTAGGACGCCTACTAGATTCGGAAGCGAGCCTTACATCATCAGCTCTAAAACAGAATAATCTTTCTCTCCTCCGCGAGAAGCTCGCCGAACACAGACGAGACCTCGGGCGATTGCGGTCTGGCTTACAAGAAGCAAGAAACCGCTCAAACCTCCTCTCAAATGTTCGAGACGACATCCAGACATACCGAGCGAATAATCCCGAAGCCGCCGAGGCCGAGTACATGTTAGACGAACGGAACCGCATCGACAACAGCCACAATATGGTTGACAGCGTCCTCAGTCAGGCGTATGCCACCAACGAAAACTTCATCGTACAACGGGAAACCCTAGCCAACATCAATAGAAGAATCACCATGGCCGCGAGCCAAGTTCCTGGCTTAAACACTATAATCGGCAAGATTTCGGCGCGGAAGCGACGCGACAGTCTTATTATGGGTGGCTTCATCGCTTTCTGCTTCGTAATCTTCTTTTTCTTCTTGTAGACGGGTACAGTGAAGATCGACTTCCTCGTTTTTGTTTTCGGCGTGATGAACAAATACCTTGGCTTTTCGAGTTTGCATCATTGTCCTGCAAGGCGTTCGGGTGTTTTTAAGGCGGCCCCAGATTATGTTGTATAATACGAACGGAAGATATGTTAAAGAATTAGCCTTACGAAGTCTGTTGAGAGATAAGAATTGACGTTACGATTGGCATCATCATGTTTCAATAGGGGTTTTTGGATTCCGTTAGCGTCAAGCCACTTATTCACCTTCTTGACACATTAAAGGGAGGTGGGTATCGTTTTAATTTAGAGTATATAATGATACATAGCTTCCATTTCAACTTCCCTTCATCTTTTTCTCTTCATCTAGCAGTCTTTGAATACTGTAAGCCAATCCCTCACGTTCGTCAGCTTCGCTAGGACCACTGCCAGCCCATCGTATCCTACACTGGCTATCAACGAGGTATACGTAGCCGACACTTTTATTCAGCAGGCCAATGCTCTCTTGAATCTCATCCGAGACTCCCTTTCGCACGATAAAGTACCGACCCCAATTCGGCTCACCAATTCGCCTCCTAATACCACCTAAGAAAAGCTTTATCAGAAACGCCTTGAGCGAATTCTCCTCGATGTTGATCCAGACCCGTTGGGCCAGTTGCTTATTTTGCTCTAGTAAATGGTCGAGCATGGGATTGCTTTTTTTATCCACGAACGTCTTGACTTGATTCTCAGCCCACACGTTGCTGAATACGCTAACGACCGAGATTTTGCCCTTCAAGGTAGGGGTCGTGTCGCGGGGGTCGGTATCGCTCTTTAATAGAGTCCGGCCGTATACGTTCGGGAAGAACAGGGAGAGGTCACTTTTAAACATGCGCGGCGGCGCGATGAAGGTCTTTCCCTTGTGGAATCTTAAGTTACCCCAGTCGCGGAAATATGGGCGTGCCATCTTGCTCTTCCTGTGAGACGGCGACACATTAGCTATCAAATTTTCCAGCTATCTCCCAGCGGGTGAATCAAGGGTGCGGGGCGCCATACAGTTCCTCTCGTCTTTTTAAGTGCTTATCGTAGTTGACGAAGTCGTCTCGACGCTGTTTCAACGTCCGGTGATCTATGCCGGTATTCTCGCCCGGTTGCGGCGGTAGCGGCATGCCTATCGGCCGACTTAGCGGCTTCGGCGTGAACTCCTCGTGCCGCTTGCCATATCCTCTCGGCGCATCTTCTAGCGGAGAAGGAGCAATTACTCTAGGCGGTGCAGGTGAATTTGGTGTCGTCGTCGTCTTCGCCGTCTTCGCCTTAGTCGACTGGTGGTTATTAGTTTTTGTGGCGGCTTTTGCGGCAGCGCCTTGCTCTGCTAGAAGACGGTAGGAGGTGCTGAAAGCTCTCGATTGGCAGAGTAGGCATAAGAGCCTAGGTCTGCGGGCGAACGACATAATTCGATAACATAAAGCTAATAATACATTTGATTAGAAGGTCGTGGACTAGCGTTAAACGGGACGTCGCAAAATTTGGTGGGAGTTGGAGAATTATCGAATTATAAAAATTTATTACTTTATCGCTCATCAAGGTTCCCGGCAAGCTGCAGGAACGAACTCTGATTCCGATAGCATGGTCAGCCAATAGTAGTGGGGCAGGGCTCGAGCCGACGCTGCGGCAACAAGCGGCCCCGGATTCCGGATAGCGACGGCCCAATGTGGGGGATTAAGCGTCACTCGAGAAAGGCGGGAGGCGCGAAGGTAATAATAAGCATTACAGTTTACTCCTCTTCCTTCTTATAATCTTTTCCCGGATTTTAAAAATGTAATTCTCTTAATTGTTTAATTATTTTTTCTATATATTTGTATACATGATATTTTATATATAATGTTTCTTCAACGTAGTTCTCGCGTATTTCAACGGCAATGGCGAGTCTGCCGAAGCCTGAATCGCACTGCCGAATGTCAAGTCCGTGCCGCTATGATAAGAGGATTCCATTCTACTAGGAACTTACAAGTGGTAAAACCAGTTCTACTTGCTGATATTGGCGAAGGTAAATATCTAATTCTATTCCATTATATCTAGTTTGCATTTATCTAATTTGCATGTAGGCATCGTAGAATGTGAAATAATACAATGGTTCGTCGAAACCGGCGCTCGAGTCGAGGAGTTTTCACCCTTATGCGAAGTCCAGAGCGATAAAGCTTCCGTCGAGATCACAAGTCGATTCTCCGGTGTTGTAAAGAAATTGCATTATGAGGCCGGCGAAATGGCAAAAGTAGGCAAGCCATTCGTTGATATCGATATACAAGGCGGTGCAAGCCAGGAAGCTTTAGACGCTCTCACCGCCCCTGAGCCCGCGAAAGAAGGTGTCTCGGAACCTTTGAAGAGGGATTCATTCAGCCAGCCACCACAATCTACAGATAGAGTCGCCGAATCTCCGACGCAAATACAGTCGACACCCCAGGCGCCTCCGGTAAAAAAGGACAAAAGTAAAGCCATAGCTGTTCCCGCGGTTCGATTTCTGTCCAAGCAATTGAATATCGACATAAACGACGTCGAAGGGACAGGTAGAGACGGCAGGGTTATGAAGGAAGATCTTTATAAGTTTATCGAAAAGAGAGATTCCCCTTCCCGGTCTACTAAACCGGGAAGTCTATTCCGCAGCATACCGACAGACACGGATAAACAAATCGAAACTACAGTGCAACTCACTAATACACAACTCCAAATGTTCAAGACCATGACTCGGTCATTAACGATACCCCATTTCCTCTACGCTGATGAAGTCGACTTCTCCCAACTATATGAGTTGAGAAAGCGACTCAATAAGGTCGTCTCGCAATTAGCGGGAGAGGGAGAAATATCAAAATTGACTTACCTACCTTTTATTATAAAAGGCGTTTCCATGGCTTTGCATCAATATCCCATACTGAATGCGCGCGTTGACGTAGATACCGAGACCTCGAGGCCAACAGTTATCCATCGTAGCCAGCACAATATTGGCGTGGCCATGGATACACCCTCGGGGTTATTAGTACCCGTGATCAAGAATGTAGGAGCCATGAGTGTGCTCTCTATTGCTGCAGAATTATCTCGTCTACAATCACAAGCCGCTGCCGGAAAATTGTCGCCGCAGGATCTGAGCGGCGGTACGATAACCGTATCCAACATAGGTAATATTGGAGGCACGTATGTCTCGCCGGTCATCGTCGAGAAGGAGGTGGCGATCCTAGGCATCGGGCGCATACGCACCGTCCCGGCCTTCGACGATAAGGACAACGTCGTTAAAAAACACGTTTGCAATTTCAGCTGGTGTGCCGATCACCGCATCGTGGACGGCGCAACCATGGCTCGTGCCGCCGAGGTCGTGCGCAAGATTGTTGAAGAGCCAGATGTTATGACCTTGCACCTGCGATAATCTCACCTCCTTTTTCCCTCTCGATCCCTTGATGCCCAAGATAGACGTCGGTTGGGAGTCACACGAGAACGCCACCTGCGTAAGGCGTACCAGCTTTGCGTGCGGAGGAAGATGCGAGGACATGTATGATTTGATTTGGAGTATATGATATGTCATATACAGCACCATACAGTCGCAAGGCTAATGCGAGATGTAGCATGAGCAGAGCATAGCGTATTTCCCCCTATTACACAATGAGACAGCATTTCCGTAATACCTCCTCCCGCCCTTCCATGCTTCTAGTGCTGAGTACACACGTACATGCAGTCCGTCATGCGTATAAGCAGGTTGACGGACTTTGGGACTTGGCACCTATACATAACATCGTGGCGTCTGTCCCCCGGGCTGCTGTGCTTGCTTATTTCGATACCTTGACTTGAGACATTGGCATTGGTCTGCGTCGAATCCCCGCCGAGCCGTCGAATAGGAAACCCGATCGTAATTAGTAAGACGGTTTATTCGGATTCCCTTTCTTTTCTTTTTTTGTCTTTTGTCCTTTGTCCCTTTTTTTTCTTTTTTTTTCTGATGATCACGCGCGGGAAGCGGGATAGGACAGCCACGTACGATGCGGCATTGTGCGGTTCGATGCATGAGGCTGGATGTGGTAACGGTGCTAAGCCCGTCACCCGTTTCTCGCTGAGTTATGGCTTACGTAGGTGAGCAGGTACCTTCTCAAGACACCTTATTAATGGCATTCCAAGAATGGGGGACAGCTTTTCTTCTTCCTTTTCTTTTCTCTTTTCTGATTTGCATAGGTAGGTATGCACTCTGAAGTCATGGGGTTCGTCCAATGGCTATCTCGGCTGCCTGCTTGCCCGCCTTATATATGTCCCTGGCTGCATCTGGCGGATCTTGGGTGTAATGCAAGGATGATCCCACGAAACCAAACGGGTAACTGCTCGTGTCAGTACCTAGCTGCTTAGGTGTGTATGTACGTGCCGCGTAACGTAAAATGTGTGGATGATAGAAGATGCCCTTGTCGTCATGACTACTTCGCCGGACCTAACTACAACATAGGGTAGCTTTCGCTCACTAGATAGGGTCACCTAAATGCAGCTCGGCGAATCCTACAATCGCTTCGTATAGAACATATAGTCCATCTAATATTGTTCTTCTATAAACCAATGAGATAGATATATCCCCAAAAACTCCTGTACGGCAGCTCACGCTGCTTGCGTAATGCAATCATCCCAACGTTTCTATGCTTACGCCAAAGTGAATGATAAGACCAACTCCGGAACTCATATGAAGGGGTAACGCTAATCCTTGTGATATCTCTGCCGCTTGCTGTTGCGCCTACTGGTCCATGTCTCTTCTCGTGTCATGTTATCCCTTTCCATGTCGGCTTCATGCTAGCTTGATGCAGTTTCGTCGATCTTTTCAAGAACCTCGCCCAGTGCATCCCTCAGAACCTCATCTATCGGTCCACTCACATCGACACTTATCACGTCCGTCTCTTCTGCTGTTGGCGGTTCCAGAATCGAGAATTGGCTGTGAACCATGTTGGCCCCCATGTAGTGACCCTGTCTTAACCCAACACGTTTGAGAAGAACATCTTCTGGAGCATGGAGGTAAATGAAATGAAGTACAACGTCGTGCGAATAGTAAGGGGCCACTCTAATAACGTCTCGGTACTTGCGCTTAAGAGCCGAGCATGTGAGCACGACCCCCTCAGCACCGGACGCAAGCTGTCTGAGCGATTCCTCTCGCAGAAGCGTCAGCCAGTCCCATCGATCGGCATCTGTCAGAGGTATGCCATTGCCCATCTTCTCGATGTTTGCTTTCGGATGAAACTAGATTTCGATTTAGCGGTTTGCACAAACACGAAAGTAAAGCATAGTTTTTGCACGCTTACCTCGTCGCCCTCAATGTAGGGTAAGTTTAGGGCTGTTGATATATGTTTCGCAACGGTACTCTTTCCGCAACCGGCGGGGCCGGTAACTAGCCAAATATGGTGGTACTTGGGCGCTGAGTGGCCGTTAACCCTCGGAATAGAGTTATTCGACGTTGCCGGCACGACCGTACCGTTGATTGGTTTTGGGTTCGACGCCATAGTGTTCATCGTCGCGGCCATGCTAGCTGCAGATGAACAATTTCCGTTCACAGCAACGGGGTTGTCGTAGGTTAACATGGTCATAAATTTATAATTTTTAGGAATTTGTTATGAGATGATATGGTGGTGATTCAGTTGGAATTGTTGTTGTTCTTTTTCAGTGACGAGAGCCGCAAAACGGAAATGAGGGCAGATTAGCCACTTAGATGAGCCGAGCCAGGGGTATATAAGAGCTTTCAACGTGCACGAACAACGAGCAATTGTGGTTCATAGGTTAGAAAAAAGCAAACTTGACTATGTGCTTAGAAAAATAAAAAGATGAAGAATCAAATTACAGGAAATCGGGGGTAATTAAAGAAGCGCAATATGATAGAACTAGGGGAGATAGATGTGGACCATTAGGAGCGCCGGCGAAGCATTGGTTTTATAAGTGGGTGTCAGCAGCTCGGTAGCTGGGAGGTTTCGCACTTACAAGACGTGGAATGACGAAGTACCTAAAAAATGCTGGCTGTACCACACCCACAGTGCCGACGACGGCTGGGATGAGCAAGAAAAAAAAATAAGGAAAATTCAGCGAAAAAAAAAGAGCCTACCTAGTACCTGAGATCCCCGAGGCGGGCGGGATCAGGGATTAGTTTGGGCTAGACGCTAAAAGAAGTTCGAGAGAACGTCAAAGAAAGGCAATTCCTTTGGCGATGGACCAATCATATACGAGATTTCAACTCTCTTTGGGGCTCCAGACTTGCTCGACGTCAGGGAGGGAGGGGTGCTTTAGGGTGCGGGTAAAGGGGCCAAGAGGGTACTTGGACGGCCTACCTGGTAGTTTAAAGGATACTCCAGATGTATCCCATACCGACACTGCGTACATCCCATAGCATCCCCATATCATCCCCGTGGCATCCCATCACATTCTCCATCGAAATAATAAAAATAATAAAATAATTCTCGAGTGGGGGAGCAACATCGTCAACGCAAGAACCGATAAATAGGGCCGAGTTGAATGTAGGGAGGTGAATGTAAGGCAAACCAACACAAGTAAACGGCATCCACTAGACCGAGCCGTTGCTGTTCGCGCTGTTCGCTATCGATGATCTGCTACATCATCGTGTTTACCTGCATACCAGAATAGGTATCAAGGTTATCCACGATCCACGATCCATGGCTCTAGGCTTCGCTCGAGAGTCGTAAACGTATTTCCATCGTTTAAGGACTGTGAACGTATGGCTTCTTTCGAGCTTACCCAACCCACGATGCGGAAGAGTGTGGCTAGAACCAGAGTTCAATCATCTAGAAATCAAAGGAGGATGGAGAACGGCGAATGGTGAAGAAGGGAAGCTGAGAAAAGCAGCCTTTTGATAGGAGCCAACAATTCGAAAACCTAGATACTTTTCATATATACACAACAGCCGTAAACGGGGTTTGCCTGCTTTTGGTAGTTGATGAAACGCACTGAGCAGAACCGAGCTGCCATTGTTGAGATATTCAATAACAGGCTGAACTCCAAGCAGTTGTAAAAATTGAATTTTTGGGGATGACAGGAAAACGTAAAAGATATCCATCGGACTGTACATTGTACATCACCTAGTACTATACATTTTTGCTTTTACAGTTGGAGTTCGGGGCCGGTTTTTTGGGATTAAGATTTGGGGAAGGAGTTGACGATACACCGACACTACATGGTAAAAACCACTAAGGAGGAAGTAAATTCCCCCTTTTGGTTCTTTCCTTCGCTCACTTAGGTAAATTTCCCCGATTGCTCTTTTCGGATGCTTCGCTTTTGCTTTCTCTTTTCTTTTTTTTTCTCCAATTCTTTCCTTCTTCCTTTTTCTGATTTTTCGTCTTATCATTTAACTTTTTTTCTCTTTCGATGATTTAATTTTATACATTTATTAATTAGATCACGTTAGTTAAAATTGTTCGGGACCCTAATACCGAGGCTCTTCTCATCGGTTTCTGGTGCTACCCATCTCGGTACAAAAGCATTCTATTGTACAGTGTACCACTACGGGAATGTACATAGTACATACAGGAGATGTAACGTGGGGGTGGGTACGTAGTTACACACGTACTTAAATTTGATTTCACTCATTTTTTTCACATTAGGCTGATGCCAGATGGAAATTTTATCGAACAAAGCATCGAAGCCTGAGCTAACCGACACGCCAATTCCGCCCTAATGTGAGAATGGCAAAGTGCGGAGGAAAAAACGTGGTTTGGACAAGGGCGGACAAATCTATGGGTCACCAGCTGATCTCTTCCCTCTTCGATGGTACCTGATGATTGTACTCTTCAAAGTTGGCCTTACGAGTGAGCTCCTCAATATACGATATATCTAACAACAACCGCTCGAAGCGAGCTTGAAGAGATATGATGAATTATGACGGTATACCGGTAATTTTTCGAATACTATACGACAACGATATTACCATTACCTGGATCGGTAGTTATCTCTTAAGGAAGGCGATTCTTTGTCGTTAAAACCAGCGACAAATTGGCCACGAAAACTCTTGTCCTATTAAAATCCTGAATTCGACCAGGGCAAAGCCAAGGATGTACCATCGCATTGGACCGGGTCTTTGACGCCATTCTAGTGCCTATATTTGGGCTGTTACAGAACAATGCCATGTATCCCGTTCGCAACCAGAGGCAACCCAGAGGAGGTTTGGAAATAGAATGGGAGACGAAAGCATCGAAAGCACCCTCCTGTCGCAATTTATTACCTACCTGCAGGCAATTAAACAATAACTTCAGCTTGATAGGTGTGTTTCCCGTCACACCACCTAAGTACCATGTGGTATGTGCTACACGCTGCGCAGTGTAAAAGCCACCCTAACATTATATGTAAGTGTGCAACAACGGCTGATCATTAATAGGTTCGTTGTAGGTATTACCTGTTTTGTATCAGAAGTTAGCCAGGTTTTATACCTGGAGATACAACTACCAATACAAGGGCGGCCTCTTTCCTTGTTGTGCGTACCTACATACATCTAACATAGATGGGTGGTATTTTCAAAATGTTTAGATTACATTTTGATACCGATACTAATGATCACTAGGTGTTCGTATTGGTACCGCACCTCGAATTCTTCTGCTTCTGTCTCCTCTCCGTTCGGGTGCTAGTTCCGGTGAGTCCACTCTTTATGTGTCCACATAAATTGTCCCAATCCGCTTTCTATTCATGAGCACCCACAGTTATAACAGGGTGATACCATCGGCGTTAGTGGACCCGGGGAAGACGGGGAGAGCGGTAGGAGCTGAATATGTACTACCCTTCACCGCTCAATGGCACCCCTCTCGCCAATCATGCATCGTTATACTCCTATTTTGATCAAGTGCCTCATTCGAATACCAAGGTGAAAATGCCAGGCAGCGCCAAGACCAGGTCTGCATGATTCTTCACACATAGCATCTGTAACCTGCATATGACAGACCAGGCTTCCGAAGAGCACCCGACTACCTAAAATAGCTTCACCGTCTCCGCAAAACGGCAAGACCAGCATCAATAAGCTAGATGATATACCCACCATCGCCAAGTGTTACTTGATCTTGGGACTTGGGAACTTGATGCTCTTGCGAATGCAAGAATACTAGATATTGCTACTAGACGGGGTAGGATAGCAGGGAAAGATTCGGCGACTTTGATGAATCATAGCTGTAAGAAGTTTATTCGGCCTAAGCGGACGTCGAGAAATGCGAAGTATCGAAAGCCGGGGAATCAGCATGCAGGTAAAGGTCATGAGGTCCGTTTTACTGGGTTAAGGCTCATACCGGTGTAACATATTCAAGCCTTGCCCGCATGCTACATAGTATACAGCAGCGGGTGGTTCATGATCTGAACTAACGATGTGCTGCCATGTACCTAGCCGCATCTTAGCCGAACGAATATTCATATACTACTAGGTATTACACATATTCCACGTACCTTCATCGGAGTAGATATTCTACTATCATCTGAGTCAACCATTTTCTAACTTCAAGATACTTCGCTTCACGTAGGCTCTAACTACGTATTGTAGATGAGGTCATATCACGAAGATAACTCGTAGTTAGTGATCGTCGTTATTTGGACATCCTGACCTTATATCCCTCATTGAATACAAGCATCGAATGCCGGCACACTCGTCACATACTCGGCGGGCGAGTGTCCAGCCTTCAATTCCGCAGAATGTTCAAGGCTAAAACGCATGTTCCTCACATCTCTTTGGAGATTAGCTGATGATTTACCTCGCGATCCGTTTTTTTCCCTATAAGTGCACCACCAGAGTCTAACACATAATTATCAATGATCTTGGTAAAGGGTATGACCTCAGAGGCTCAGAATGTATTTAATTGGAATAGATTGTGATTATCTAATCTGCCCTATACGCCCGATATCGTTCTGTGGATAACCTCACTCGTAGCTGTGGCGTATTTGGAAATGCGGGGAGATATGAGTGACAAACAGGCCATTCTCAGCCACGGAAAGCTTTTGATGATTGGACCTATGTACCTGCAGAAACAGAGTTAAAACTGCAGCTACAGCGGCAACGGCAGATACAATTGCACATGTGTGGCTAATATTAGGTACCTACGCAGTCGTTTATGGGGAAGTTGCCTAGGACTTTGGTGCTTGCTTTTAGCTGCCTTGGGAAGTCCCCTCGTCTTGAAATCTTCACATGACTTTACTCTCTTCTTTGACTCGAGGTTTCCCTTCGATATCTCGAGTATCGAAACAATCAAAACAGCTAGTCCCTAGATTTCCTTTACGGTATCTCGGTCCATCTAACTCGAAACTCTCTGGTAATTATCCTCGCCAAACCACAATCCGATACCTCTCTTCCAAAATGGATGCCCAAGAACTCAAGCAGTATCTTGCCGATGCACCCCCGAGTGTCGTGAGGCTTGAGATAGAAAAACATTTTGAAGCTTTGTCCGAAAAGCAGAAGAGATATGCTCATTTTATAAGCAGGTAGGCATTTATTTGATCGATCCCATAGCAGTGCTTGAGCCTTGAGGTCAAAATTACGTCAGACACTAACAATTAATTATAGAGCATCGTTCTACGGTAGCAGGATCGTGGCCAGACAGATTTCACCCGAATCTGAACCAATAGTAAGTTAGGCGGCGAATTGGTTGTTCAGTCACTTTAGATAATATGTACTTAATTGTATTTAGTTCGATTTTATATTGGCTCTTCATAAAAGCAGTGGCGGGGATTGGAAAGCGCTGCAGGCCAAAGCAGGCATATCTGACGAAGAGCTTGGTTATTTCTTGCAATACGCCGCGCAGTTCCTAGGAAACAATGGCAATTATAAGAGTTTTGGTGACGCCAAATTTATCCCACGAGGCCCTGAATCTGCCTTTTCTGCGCTTGCTGCAACGTCGCCAGAAGCCCAAAAATTCTACGATGCCACTTCTGGGGCGATCTTCTCCACGGATAAGCCTTCGCTACTACATCTCGGATATCCGGAGCAAGGGCATATGACTACTTACTATCCGGGATCTCCTGATATCACCAAGGTTGAAATTGACGCTGTTTCAGCGTGGATGGAGAAGAAAGGGCTGCTTCCCGAGAACACCCGTCTTGTTCAAAAGAAGGATGGTTCGTTTGAAATATGGATTGCATCTGCAATCACTACGATTCCTGTAGAAGGCGGCGATGTTGGCAAGGAGACTGTTTTCAAAATTGAGGATGGTATATTGGCAGGGAAAACTATCACCTTGGTCTACGGTGATCACTCTAAGGAGTTAGCTGGCGCAACAGCCAGTATCAAGAAGGCTGTAGAAAACTCAGACAACGAGAACCAGCGTAATATGCATAGTGCTTATGCGAAATCCTTCGAGAAGGGTTCATTACTTGCCTTCAAGGCTAGTCAAAGGTTCTGGATTCGAGACATAGGTCCAATGGTCGAATGCAACGTTGGGTTTATCGAAACCTATCGTGATCCCGCCGGTATCCGAGCTGAATGGGAAGGATTTGCTGCCGTCGTTAACCTCGAACGGACTCGGGCCTTCGGTGCCCTCGTTGAGGCTGCTCCTACCTTAATCCCACATCTGCCATGGGAGAAAGATTTTGAAAAAGACAAATTCTTATCACCGGACTTCACGTCTCTCGAAGTGTTAACATTCGCTGGCTCAGGCATACCAGTCGGGATTAACATCCCAAATTATGACGACATAAGGCAAACGGAAGGCTTCAAAAATGTGTCTCTCGGGAACGTAATGAGTGCGAAGGCACCAGATGAGAAAATTCCATTTATTGCCGAAAAAGATCTTGAAGTCTATAAACGTTACCGGGACGGTGCCTTTGAAGTCCAGGTTGGCCTACATGAGCTCACGGGTCACGGCTGTGGAAAACTACTACAAGAGACATCAGAGGGGAAGTTCAACTTCGATAAGGAGAACCCACCTATCTCTCCCTTAACCGGAAAGCCGATCACCACTTGGTACAAGCCTGGCCAAACATGGGGTTCCGTCTTCGGGAGCTGGGCTGGTTCTTATGAAGAGTGTCGTGCAGAACTCGTCGCCATGTACTTGAGCTGTGAATTTCCTGTTTTGAAGATCTTCGGCTTCGGCGACGGCTCGATCGATATAGATGGTGAAGCGGGAGACGTGCTATACGCTTCATATCTCTCCATGGCTCGAGCTGGTCTTACATCGTTAGAGATGTGGGACCCGAAGAGCAAAAAATGGGGTCAGGCGCATTCACAAGCCCGATTTTCCATTCTCAAATGCTTCCTAGAGGCTGGCGATGACTTCTGCAAACTCGATTATAAAGGTGATGACCTAGCCGATCTCAAGATTAGCCTGGACCGATCAAAGATCCTCACAGCCGGCCGTAAAGCGGTGGGTGACTATCTCCAGAAGTTACACATCTTCAAATCAACAGCCGATGTTGAAACTGGAACCAAGTTCTACGCTGATATGACGAATGTCGATCCGGAATACTGGGGAAAGAAGGTTAGAGACGAGGTCCTGCGGAACAAACAGCCTCGGAAGGTATTCGTTCAAGCCAACACATATTTGGACGAGGCAACCGGCAAGGTCACGCTGAAGCACTATGACGCGACCCCCGAGGGCATGATCCAAAGTTGGGCTGAACGAGATGTCTGACTGGACAATGGATGTCCTGTGATTCGAGAAAGGAGTTTGTTATAAGCATTAAGAATTTGGCATACTCGGCGGTAGGGGTTTGGAAGGTGATTTATATAGCCCACTCGAAACGAATCATAGACATTCACAAGAGAAACTCGTGATTTAACAAGTTAATGTGATACTTGAAAGCCCTCTGAAGGATTGACCTATAATTGGATAGTGGAGATCCCCTTTACTTCCATTCATGTCAGTAATACGTAAATACCATCCACTCAACAGAATTGTCCTTTTTTTTCTTTTAAAAAAAGTGCCTTGATAGTCGTTTATTGACTAGAACCTCGATTACAGACGCCAGAATCAATGTGACCGATGCCTCAACGTCCAGATGCAATTGGCAAAGCCAGCCCAGTTCCGCGATCCGCCGTCCGCAAAGTCATTTAAGTGATTTTCTCTAAAGCAAATCCCATTCCCCCATAAGGCCCCACGGAATCTACCACTTCATCTCATGCGGCTTGTCGCCCTTTCGGAGACTGAAAGAGCTCGCAAGGTAGCTGGCGAGCAGGTCTACCTTCTTGATGTTGGCGATCAATGCCTGATCGATGGTCTTCTGGTCTGCGGCTCGGCTGGTGCTGATCTCCTTCTTCTGTAATATCTTATATTAGCTCATGTCCCGCAACCCGAGTTCGAGTATATCCTGTCATATCGTACCTGAGGCTTCTCGCCCTGCTTGAAGAAAGCTTCCTCGCTCGCCTTGTCCTTAGCCTTGTCCCGGGTGAAGTACTGGGCTTGTGCGACTTCGTTAATCTTGCTCTCGTCTAAACCCTTGAGGTCGATCTTGTAAGAGGTCGCGATGACGTATCGAGCGTTAACTCGTCGTAGGGGAACACCGTTGATCTTGAAGGGGCCGGTAACCAAAAGGACACCCTGGTCGAGGCTCTTGAGGAGGACTACGCGCTTTCCTCGGAAGCGACCAGCGAGGAGGATAAGAACGGTACCGGGCTGGAGAGACTGTCGAGGGGCCCAAGGTCGGAGGGCCTTGCGGACCTATAGAAAAAGTGATGTTAGTAAAATGACTTAGATGCAATGATAGTAGATTGTTGGTAGATATGCGGTTCTTCTGGGCCATGGCGATCTTGCATGTGCATGTGCATATGCTAATTCGATTGTAAAACTGCGTGGTTGTGAAGTTGGGATATAATATCATAGCGGCTTCGGACTGTGTATGATTTTCGCGATGGCCACATAATGTGTTTTTCTCCATTCTCCGTTCTCTTAATTGCCCCGTACATTCTGCTCCTGCGAACACGACATATCGACCAAAATCTCAAAATTAAATCATCATGGTTGCAACTCACCGTCTTAGGCTTGGCCTCATCATCGGCAGGGTACCACTTCTGAGCCTTCTGGGAAGGGTGAGGGACCTCCCGGGTCGACTTTCCGAACGTCTTCTTTATGGTCGGTTGCGACATCGTGAAGGTTGTCGGAGAGGGAGGTTGTGTGGTGGGTGAAAGGGAATTGGCAAGTTCCTCGATTTGTTGGATGTTGCTTGATTGCGAGGTTCAGAAATTCCACTTCGCGCAAAAAGATTCAATTCAGTTGTGGGCTTACTAGGTAGGCGAAGCCCTGGTGCCACCCACTGAGAAATCTAATGCACTAGAGTGGGGTAAACTGTGGCTGGTGAGCTATGTACGGAATTTTGCGGCGACCGAGTGAATCAAGCAGTCAAGCCACATTGTCCAAGGTACGTCGGTACTTAGCACGAACCTAAAAAATTGGAACTTTCAAGAAGGCACCAACGATGGATTACCGGACTCCTGCCGTGCGGGTAGTGACTTCACACCGTTTCAGGTAAGTCCACGGTACCGACTCCGACGTAGTCATTAGGTAAGCTTTGAGCTCCTGCATTTGCTTGACGAAGCTATTGCAGCCTTGCACCTGGCACCTACCTAGCTTTAAAGTAGACTTTACATAATTGCACTCGCCATCCCACCATTTCTTCATCCTAATTCGATCTGAACATTTCGTACTTCCTCCGTCATACAAGGCTTTAAGTCACCATGTCTGTAATACCCATCATAACGTTTAAGGCGGGCATCTGTGATATCGATGTATGTATTCCTTTTTCCCTTCCTAAGTTTATTGAAATTAAGAAGCCAAACGCTGACAGCACTAGCACTCCGAAAGACCCTACAAGATCAAGGCTTCACCACGGCCTGGCTATATCTACCTCTACTCCGAAGATGGTGAGTATTTATCACTACTAATCGCTTAGGATATCATTCAATTGCTAACGTATACTTTAGAACTGCTTCACTTCTGCTGGCGCGAGCGCAGCGCTCCCGCCGATAACCCCGACCTAGATCTCGTAATGGTTCCTACTGATGGCCACTTCGTCCCCTACGACCCGAAAGCCCAGCCTTCTCGAGCTATCAAACCAAACGGTCGTGTCTTCGTCCTCAAATTCCTCTCCTCGTCCCAACGTCACCTATTCTATCTACAATCGAAACCCCAAGGTAGGACTGGAAACCCTCGCTGGTTCAGTCCTCGCGATCTCAAGATCGGAGATATCGTCGATAAACTCTTGCAGGGCGAAGATGTAGATGTTGCGCGCGAGCTCGCCTCGATCAACAATAGCAACAACGATGACCGACACGGAGACGATGACGACGAGGCTATGGAGGACGTTGAGGGCTCTAGTGATCCTCGCGGCGGAAGCGGTGGTGCTGGCGCAGGCGCGACTGGCGGCGACGTGCGGGAAGAGGGAGAGGGTGCGCGAGAGGGCGGTGCCGACGGAGCTCGAGCGTAGGTTTAATCCCTTATTCTTCGTTCACGGCGTTATTGGGAGAGGATTGGGATGAGATTAATGCATACACTTGACAAATCAAAATACCAGGCAAAGTGCTCAGGGGTCTTCGGCCTGCTGAGCCGCCATGTAGTACTACTAGATACGAAAGCCTCAAGAAACATGATACGTTTCTCAGTCTCATTACTTTGGTCCTTACTTAGCAAGTGAATCATATGCTGACATAATGTTAGTGCCGCCGGAGGCGCATCCGATGCTGCTACAGCAGTAAGAAACTTCTTAAACTCGTTACAAGGAGGGGGTAGCGGCGCAAGCCAAGGAGACGGAAAACTATACCCGCTTCTTTCGGATCTTCTTACGCCACCCGTCACTGTCCCCATGGCCCGACAGGCTGAAGAGGAGCAGGTAGACAACCTACTTAGCTTCCTTCCCCCCTCGGTCCTCATTCTCTCTCAACAAGCCAACCAAGGAGATTCTACAGCCGAACCTACGGCCGCGGCGATACAAGCTGCTCGGGAAGCGATGAGCCTCGGCCAGAAGAAGGCGCTTTTAGAAAAGGTCTTACGGAGCCCACAGTTCCATCAGAGTCTAGCGAGCTTGACGATGGCTATCCGAGATGGCGGCTTGCCCAGCATCGCGGACGCACTCTCAATTAAGGTAAAAAATGGAGGATACTTAAGAGGAAGCCAGATGCCGCTAGGTGGCGGGGATGCTGTGGAGGCTTTTGTCGAAGGTGTTAAAAAGACCGTCCAGGAGAAACAGTAGATAAGATTTGATACTCCTAGGTTATACTATTTAAACAGAGAACCCCAGGCGGTTAATAGATGCACACAGTTGATCTTGGTGTATAGAGTCTATCGTCACTCTCCTATACTTCTGGATACGATTCTGTGATCTATCTTTTTCTTTGCCTTTTTCAAATTTTGCAAGTGCTCATAAGTATTAAACATAGTAGTCTAGGGAACGTGAAGAACGCAATTATACCCCCCTCATTAGTCTACGTGTCTCCCCTTTCCCCTTTCTCCTTTTCTTCCCCTCTCCCCATCTAGGCGAAACTAAATAAGTCTCTTTTAAAAAACCCAGCAGTGAAACATCTCAAGACGCCCAAACCCCGATTAACCAACTCATCAGCGATGCCAGTACATTTTTCTCCGCCAGACATCCTCCTCCTCCGCAAGCCTCGCCTGCCGCGCCTCCTCGTGGATCTCCTCCTCCGTCTTAACCCGGATCGGGGTCTCGCAGCCCCGTAACCCGATGAAGCGTCCGATCCGCCGCCGCTTCTCCTCTAGCGGCATCTCGGAGCCCCAGGCGATGGGACACGGGTAGTGGAAGGTCCAGCGGCACGGTGTTCGCTGGTGGTAGAAGTGCGCTAGCTCCTCTAGCTCCGCGTCCGTTAACAGCCAGAAGTTCAGCAGCGTGCCCGGGAAACACGGGTGGATCTCTCCTGTGGTGAGTTGGACTAGGGGCGCGAGGGGAAGTGCCATTTGTCGGAGCTTTTCCCGGAAGGCGGCGTTTTTGGCGGCGCGGCGGTCGGAGAGCACGGCTGTTTTGGGGTTGCGTGTTTGGTGCTGCTCCATGGTGGCTGGATGGCTTGGGTTTGATGATCTGATCGGGGGGTTTGTGACGTTGGGGTGGTTCTTGTGTGTGTTTTTTCGCTGGATATTCTCTTTGATTGCGTAGAGATGTCTCGAAGCGTTTCTCGTCAAGTCAGAAGACGAGAATAGTAATAATAATAGTAAAAAAAAAAAAGCGAATGAATGAGTGAGTTCAGATTTCAATAGAAAGCAATAAAATAATGAGTGAAGGCTTGTACGAGATCCGATCCCGTTCGCTGGTTTTAATTATGAGAAAAAATAAATTTCTTTTCTTAATTGGCCTTCGACGATTGTGTCTAGCCGCCAGCAGCTATGGGATGAATGATAATTTATATGATGGGACGTTAGGAGAAACGAGCACTTGAAATTCTATACTTAACTACGATAGCTGCTGGGATAAGGACGCGAGTCAACACGCAGCTTCGAGGGCGGACTGAGGTTTCTTCTTGTAGGTACGAGGATCGTAACGATGCTCTTTGTCCTGTTGTCGTTGCTCCTGAACGGGATGGTCCAAATTCTCGGTTTCTTTGTCCTCTAGCGCCGCCATAGGCTTAAATGCAACTTTTGTCTTAGACTTTTGAAGTCTTTCATATATTAAGATAGCCCAAAGACATTGGAAAGTCGGTAAATGGGTAAATGGGTAAGTGAGAATTGGTTGGCAAACTGTCCCTTCATTTTGCTTCCAACAGTCATTGTGTCAAAAGTCAATTCCCCCATCGGCTACACCCGAACAAACACCAGGCTATTTTTATGACTTATGACTCTTCTTCGACGGCCCGAGTTTGCATACTCTGTTCTTTAAAGTCCCTTCCAAGCAAGTTTCGCAATGTGATCTGCCTTTTTCCTACTCTGCTTGACAAAGCCCATCTCCCTCATTTCGGCCAGTCCACGATAAAACAACACAAGCGCGGCCCGCTCCTCCAGCCCCTCCTCATTTTCCTCGCCGACAATCGCGTAATACGCAGACCAGAGATCGGCAATGTTTATGAGAGAACCGGTCTCAGAGTAGAGTTGATATAAGACGGAGGTTGTCGGGAAGGACGGAAGAGCGCTATCCCCCTTTGTTTCACAACAAGAACAATTGAGGTAATCGTGGGGTCGTGACAATGCCCGTTCGATTACTCCTCGTGGTCGCGGGATAAACACATCCTTATATGGCGCCTTTGAGTCAAAGAACCAGAGTTCGCTAAAGCACAAGTCCTTTGCGTTGTCGCATGGAAGTACCTCTTCCAAGTGTCTCACAAGTTTATCCATTAAATCAGTATACGATTTATCTTCTTTCGTGAGAGCTGCCGTGTCTTGACTGAGCTGGACTTTCTGAGCAATCACAGTAGTTCTCAACACCTTGGTTTGCCCGCTGTATTTGCTCCGGAGAACATTGCCTTGGTCTTCAGCATCGGCTTGTAAGGTTTTCACCTCGGCCAACATGTCAGTGAGCAGTAAAATCGACTCTTCAGCTTCACTAGCCCACGGATCTAAACCAAGACTCGGGTCACCATTCTTGATATCATAGAGTACCTGACCTAGAAACGCTTCGGTTTCGACGGGTTGCGCCCGCTTTATCGAATCTGTAAACTCAGTGATTTGGTCGGAGTCAATACCGCGAGAAATAGCTTCCAAGTAAAGTCTCGTGAAATTAGTAGATAAATTCTTGCTGGCGGTCAAGATTTTGAGCTTGCGTAGAACGTTTGACGACCACCTACGGGAGTCCTGAAGAGAGCGACGTAGAAGCGATTGTAAATGTTGATCGTCGTCAAGGAGTAACCTAGCCTGCTTAACTTCGCCATTTTCAATGGCTGTTTCTACAGATCGGCGAAAAGATGGTAAGCACCGCACCGTTTCCATGTGCTCCTCTTGTAGGACTTCCTCATCTATGCTGTCAGACAAGAATACCGTCGAGGGATTTGCATAGAAGTGACACATATAGGCGTACTAAAACCGTCAATTTAATACACATGATTTTTATAGGCGTATAACTTACTTTTAAGGAGCTCACAAACACCGATATGCTAGACACCTGCTCTCGTTGGCGATCTAGTAGGCTATACACTAGTGAAGAACCTAGTCGTAATGGAACTTCAGAATGTGCGATGGCCGCCTTAAAAATCTTATCAATAATTGACGTTGACTGTTCGACGTCGAATTGATCTCCATAGAGACGTTGACAGGTGGATTTGAGGAGACGCGCCTGGAAAAGCTCTACAGATGTAGCTACTCCAAAAAGGAGTGCGAATGGGATCCGATCAAGCCAGGAGCTGGGTGTCCATTTAGTTGTGAGACATGGAGGGAGAAGAACGAGTGTACAAACCTGAAAAGTGAGATGAGATCCGATAGCAGACCACTTTCGAAAGCTTCACTATCTTGGAAGGCGATGACGATGTAGCGACGAGGATTAGATTTGAGGTGCACATAGAGAGCCTCGAGGTCATAATTGAGGTGTTTACGGCCCTAAGATATTAGTAAAAATACTAGGTATATATAATTAATACAATATTTCAACTTACATCTTTGCCTGCAGATAATTCTAAGTCGTCTTCATCGTTTGTCTCTCTTGCAGTGACATCGTGTATAATCTTTTTCAAGACAGCTTTTAAATTGGATGCATCACCGGATCTCAGTCGAACTACCTTGGCATCAATTTCACGTTGCAACGTTCCTGAGAGTTGCTCAAATAGAAGGTCCTGAGAAGCCAAGTTGGGGCCTGTGATAATAAAGGCGGATGGTATTTTGTCGGTGGATGCATGGTCCGGAGTGGCTTGTAAGAAGGAAGTGACTTCATCTAGTGTGGACTGATTTGTCATTCGGAGTATGCGCTACACTCTGTTGTAAGCCACCATCATTTCATAACAAGATTATGAGTGACACTAGACACTAAGTACTAGTAGGTAACTGACTTGAATCCTCTCATCGATTTGAGACCATGACTTCTCAAATAACTGTTGACGAAGACGAACAAATCGATCATCTTCAGAACCACCAAAAAGCGGTTGGAAAGTTCGCCAGGAATCGGCTTCCTCAGTATCTGGCTTGTCTAATTTGCTTGATTTCTTCGAAACTCTTCTCCGCTTAGCAGGTCGATTTGCGCCTTCGGTCTCTTCTAAGGGGTCGAAAACATAGGCGGCCTTATGATTATCAGTATGGGTCCAATTTGCGTTGATAATATAAGGATTGCTACCTGATGCTGTTTTTCCTCGTGAATCGCCTGAAGGGACTCATCGATAGCCATAGTGAGATGTCATTCAGGTCATTTGTGTAAGTAGTAATTAGTCCTAGTAATTCATTTGATATCGAACGCGTCTCGATACTTTTTAAATGGATATGGATGACCGTGGTTTCCCTTAATAGGGTCCTTGCTAGCTCTCTAGCGCCGTCGATCCCTGCTGAACCCTTGCCGTTTCCGCATCGATTTAAGGTTATATCCGTGCAATGGGACTATGATACTTCGTGAACTAGCCTATTCTAAAGAGCAATTTATTCGATTGAATGTAATGCATATAAGAGCCCAGATGTTTCCCATATACTAGGTATGGAGGATATCGCAGATTTATATCTATAACCTTGGAATTTGCCTTCGGCGTAACCAAGTGATTCATGGATGTATTATAGATGTACCTAGCATGCAAGGTACTGTACCTAATTTATAGCGGGGTTAAGTGAGGGAAGTCGGGACTCGGAACGCGCTAAACAAGCTAACGGTGATATCACTTCTTATCGGCCGTTAAATTTTAATTGAAAATATTCCTGTCCCTCAACAGCATATCGTCGCCTACGCATCTAAGAATACGACATGGTATATTAGTCGACTCTATAGTCATGCCCCCAAGGACTCTTCTTGTCGATAGCTTTATTTGTAGGTCATGCCTGTCGAATTTACGAAAGAAACAGAACACTGCAGCACTATGGGCGCTCCGGCGCTCTTCGCAAACCACTCGACCCCTCTCCTCAGCGTCCCCCTCAGCGTCCCAATCCCATCCATCTCAAAGCGATCAAGAAATCGAGCGTCAGAAAGTTTTAGAGACACTAGGTCTCTCGACGAAAAAGAGCAGCAACGATGATATATCAGTCAATTATTTTGAGCAAGGAAAGGGGGGGAAACTGCGCCGACTGAAAAATAGTGACGAATTCGGCCAGTCGCTGATGGACCCGGATGGTAAAAACGAAGCACGCCTAAAAGAAATGGAAGAGCAACTAGAACAAGCAACCCAATTTACCAAAATTGTGGAAGATATCTGGGGGAAACAAGGCGCCGAAAAGTTACGGAAACGAGCTGCCTCTTCCGATGAAATTCTATACAAACTCTCAGTGCTATTACCCGAAGAGGACTGGCCAACTTCTCAAGATCGAACACACGTCACCCAATTAAATAATATGATACGAACCATTGGTATGAAAGCTCATGGTGGAATCGCAAACCAGAAGAGGATCAACTCGCTATGGCGATATTATTCTGCCGCGCGCATAGCTTTATTGAAGAAGCCAAAGCTGGTTCACGCAGACATATGGGACCTCCTTTGGCAGATTCTCGGCACAGACCATGCGAATAATCCAAACCGCATGTCTCATATTCACACCCTGGCACAAGATATAGAAAAGGCTGGCGTGAGTTTGCGTGACGATCAACAATTGCTTGCGATCGAGGCCTCGTTCATCACCGGTCCCAAGGAAAACGCGATTACGGCGCATAAAAAATTGGTTACTACTCTCGGGACCAACCCAGAGACCTTCGTGGAATTCTGGCAACTTGGCCTTAGGATGTACTGTTTAACGGGTGACATAGTACGAGCTGAGCGAGTTGCTAACACTCTCCTCGAATCCCCTCACGAAAAGGATGCTCGGTTTCTAATGTCATTTATTCGGACGTGCGCCGGCAGCCCCGCAACAGTAGAAAAAGGATTCGAATTATATCAGCGATTACGATCCATCCTAGGTGATTCTATCACTATCGAGGATTATGATCAAATTATCTCCCACTTCTTAGCCTCGGGTCAAACGGAATATGCATTTTATATATTCGTGGAGATGATGACATCCAATACCATTGACCTACGCGGGGCCTATCGAGTGCCTCCGAGTGTTGCTAATCCCTTCTTCTACAGCAAATGGCTGAAGCGGTTAATAGGGGCTGGTGATCTGCAAGGCGCTTATAACGTCTTACTTCATATGAAGTCTAAGGGCATCATGCCTCAAGCTATTGTTGTCAATGGTCTAATTGGTGCATGGCTGAGATCACATACAGCTGAAAACATAGAAAAAGCCGAAGCAGTCGCTTGGTCTATGATCAATGCCCGGATGCAATTCATAAGCATAAGGAAGGACATGAAGAGCCTCGCTGCTTTCGTTAGGCTACGGCAGTATGGGGAAGGCTGGCCTAGAGCAAATCTAGAAACATTTTCGCTACTCGCAGAGAATTATAAGGAACGTGGAATACATCATAAGATGGAGGAACTTTGGACAGCGTTTAGGATAGCAGAAATTGCGCCTAATTCGTTTATACTAAACCAACTGCTATTCTCTTACCTTCAAGATGGACAGGGGAAGCAAGTCGCGGCCATCTCTCGCGACCTAACGAACCAATACCAAGTTGCACCAGACTCGTGGACATTTTTGGCCCTTTGGCAGGCCCTGCCAGTGAACCGTCTTGTTCAGGTACCATTGGGGCAGTTCGTTGAAGAAATATCAAAGACTCGGTCCTTGTTTGCCGATATGGTCAGATCAGCTCATATTTTCGCCGAAGGTAGTATCGACACCCAGCTCGCAAGGTACATTCTGCATTCGTTCCGCAAATTAGACGACAGACATGGCCTGCTATTGGCATATCGAGCGTTACGACAGATATTTAAATTTGCGCCTCCAGAATTCATCGTACTCGAGATGCACGTAGGAGCCATGGATCTGGAAAAGATAAGAAAGGGTAGAGGTGGCCTTCGACTGATGCACGCTGGGAAACAGATGGAAAGCTATCTAAGACAGAGATACCAGGCACTCCTCGCATCTGGACAGCTTCAGACAGGCGATCATCTACCAGAAGAAACAAAAAAGGAGGAATTGGGCGATTTTCTCGAGGCGTTTTTGCAGAACCAAATCCCGAGGAATGAAAATACCGAGAAGTTCCTCGAACGGGCGGCCATGGAAATGGGCTTGCATGGCGAGGTTCCAAGCTTTGAGAAATCACCTAAGACATAACGTCGTATATATCAAATACATTTCCAGGACCTGGTTATCCAGTATCTGATGAAAATACAATTGTGTGTCTATATGTAGTAGCTAGCCAACCACCTCATTATGCTGTATATATCCCAATTCTTCTTCCAGCCTTTCCCATCAAAGGATATTGGCCTCGCGTAGTATCCACTGTCACTTCTAGAGAAGGGTGGTTTCTTCGTTTGGATAACTATGTATATATCCATAAAATAACTAGCGAGTACTCATTATCTTCAAATATTCCCGGGATTGTATGCGAATTAGACGACTTATGCCAAAACACATGTTCTGAGCTGGTGATAGTGCCATCTAAGAACGTTCTGAGTACCTAGGTACATATGAATGAATTCCAAGGTTAGTCTTTGGCGATAATTGATAAGCTAATAAAGCGCTAGTCTATAAACAGCAACGGGTGGAAGGTAGCACAGCAAGCCCTAGCGGGGAGTTTGTAGTGTGGATACTGCACACATTCGGACAACTCAAAAATCAATTAGCCGAAATTCCACCAGAGTGTTCAACCTCTAGTGATTTTCCCCCCAATCTCTAAAATACCAACACCAACTTTACCATTCAATCACAAAAAAAAATCGGCTTTAAAAATCCTAACTTCAGAAATAAGAAGATATGGGAGCCAGCAAGCAGAAGAAAGCGGAATACGTACGTGATATCAGAAACCCAAATTTCAATCAAATACCTCTTACTAACAATTAACTACAGTTCCCCAAGCTCAAGGGCTTGCTCGAGGAGTACCGCTCAGTTTTCCTCGTCACCGTCGACAATGTCAGCTCTCAGCAGATGCACGAGATCCGACAATCCCTACGTGGAGATGCCGTCGTCTTGATGGGAAAGAACACTATGGTAAGTACTATTATGATCAGAATTACAATTACATTATCCTACGCCTCGAAATCTCATGCTAATCCTCTTAACCTCCAGGTCCGCCGAGCCCTGAAGACCTTCATTCCCGATTCGCCCGAATACGAGCGACTTCTTCCTCACGTCAAGGGCAACATTGGCTTCGTCTTCACTAACGGTGATCTCAAAACCATCCGTGACAGGATCCTGGACAACAAGGTTGCCGCCCCTGCCCGTGCTGGTGCTGTCGCGCCCGCCGATGTCTGGGTCCCCGCTGGCAACACCGGTATGGAGCCTGGTAAGACTTCTTTCTTCCAGGCTCTCGGTGTCCCCACCAAGATCGCTCGTGGTACCATCGAAATTACCACCGATTTGAAGCTCGTCGAGTCTGGTAGCAAAGTCGGTCCTTCCGAGGCTACCCTTCTTAACATGCTTAACATTTCTCCCTTCACCTACGGTCTGGGTGTCTCTCAAGTCTACGACCAGGGCAACACTTTCCCCCCTGATGTCTTGGACATCAGCGAGGATCAGCTCCTCAAGTCTTTCTCAAGCGCGATCACCACCATCGCCGCCTTGTCGCTCGCCATTAACTTCCCTACTCTTCCCTCTGTCATCCACTCTTTGGTGAACAGCTACAAGAAGGTTTTGGCTGTTGCTATCGAGACTGAGTACAGCTGGCCCGAGATCGAGCAGCTCAAGGACCGCATCGCCAACCCCGATGCTTACGCCTCTGCCGCCCCGGCTGCCGGCTCTGGCGCCGCTGATACTGGCGCCGCCGCTGCTGCCGAGGAAGAGAAGAAGGAGGAATCAGAAGAGGAGTCTGGTGACGAAGGTTTCGGTGGTCTCTTGTACGTTTTCCCTCTCGCCCAAAGCACAAATCTTTTGAAACTGCTAACACATCACTTCTACACAGTGACTAAATTTCATGGCATGATCACGGTGTTGTGGGAACGGCATCAAACAGGGCTTCGGTTGGGTTGGGAAGGTCTAAACGTCCGAATAACGACGGTAAATAGGTCTTTTAACGATCAATTGAGGAAAACTGCAGAAGAGTCGAGGCTCCTTAAACGTGATATGGATATTGCATGACTACGCGCAGAGCCATGCTACCTTGCAAATGGTAAGTTCTTAATTCTTTTTTCCGGTCTTTCCTCCCCAGTGTTCGATGATTATACTATGAAATTCAAGAGCTTTTTAACCCTGATCTTTCATTGATGACAAATTTCATCACCACCCTATGAGACACGTTATCTTATAAGCAACCTTTTTTTTTTGCACGCCTTTCTTATAAGGAGTTGAGCGCTAACCCGCCTCTAGAATTACAGACATATCAAACCATAACCCGTAACTCGTAACCCGTAATCCCGACTCTGGCCAATACCCAGACTCGATTCATCATGCGTTGGCCAGCTGCTGTTCCGCAGGGACGTTGCGTAGTAATTCCATATCCTCCTCCTGGCCCGTGTGATTGTCTTTTCTCCCTCTCTTCTCGAGGACTTCCCTCGCGACCTTGATAGCGGCCTCAGGCAACCCAGCTAGACGCGCGACCTTGAGCGCATGGCTCTGTCGGTTGACGCCCTTCCGCAGCCGGTGTATGTAGACGAACCCACCAGCGCTATCCTCCTGTACATCCGTGCAATACGTCTCGACGGCGCCGCCCCGGCTCGCCTGCATATCCCGCTCCTCTACCAAATCTGCTAGGCCGTGGTAGTGCGTCGCGAACAGCGCGCGGCACCTGTTCACGACAACGATGTGGTGCAAAGCGGCGAAAGCCACTGCGCCCCCGTCCTCAGGCGTTGTGCCTCGCCCGATCTCATCCATGATGACGAAGGACCGCGCGGTCGCGGCGCGTAGGATCGCTGCCGTTTCTAGCATCTCTACCATGAAGGTGCTCTGGTCCGCGAATAGATTGTCCGCGGACCCGACGCGCGAGAACACGGCGTCGGTTACGGGCAGGCTGGCGTAGGTTGCGGGAACCCAGGATCCGATCTGCGAGAGGATTACTAGGAGCGCGTTTTGCCGCAGGTAGGTTGATTTGCCGGCCATGTTGGGGCCGGTTATTAGGTGGAGGCGGCCGTGGGAAGATGGGGGTGAGGTTGGAGGTGAGGAAGGAGGGGATGGGGATGAGGGGAGGGGGTTGGCGTCGAGGAGACAGTCATTCTTGGTGAATGAACGGCCTTGCTCCCGGAGTCCGGCTTCGACGGTGGGGTGTCGGCCGCCGAGGACTATGTGTTGGGCAGTGCCCGTGGCGATGGGAGATGTAGATGTCGATGTCGAAGTTATGTTGGACGCGGAAGTTATCGATGTGTCGTGGAGTACGGGTCTTGTCCACCCATGCTCGGCGGCTAGCTTGGCAAACGAGGCGGCGACGTCGAGCTCGTCGAGAACGGCGGCGTTACGGCGCAGCTTGACGAGGTTGGCGACGACCAGCGCCCGTAGGTCCGCGAATAGTCGTTGCTCCTCGACGCCGACCTCGAAGCGTGTCTGGTGGATGCGTCGGCCTAGTGCTGTCCATTCTGGTGCGTGGAAGGCGCGTGTGCTGCGGCTCGAGCTCACTACTGCTATTGTCTTGCTCTCGTCGTCGGCGTCTAGTTTCCGTAGGTCCTTGGTTCCTTTGACGTGGCATACGTGTCCTAGGTTCGGCGTCCATTTCAGCGTTAGGCTTGCTGCGCCGAAACGCTCGCGTAGGGTCTCCTCGAGGACGTGTTTTTCCTCAAGGAGCGTGGATAGCTTGGCGTGTAGGGAGCGCAGACCCCGGCTGGCGTCTGGCTTCATGACGAAGGCTGTGTTGTCGTCGGAGTAGTGGTCCCGGAGCGAAGCTGCTTGCTTCTTTTTCTTGGTCGTTTTTGGGATGGCGGACTCAGCTCCTCGAGCACCTTCTGAGGCTACGACGTCCTCGGCGAGAGAGATGAGATGGCTTGCTTCGCTGTCTTCGTCGCGGTGCTGTTGGACTAGCCCCTCTTCGTCGATGGAATTCTTGATACGAGTGGCTAGAGTAACGGGTTCTTTGAGTTTAATGCGTGAGAGGAGGGGTGTGAAGCATGATGCTCCACTGGTTGAGTTTTGCTGCTCTTCTTCAGGGGCGTCATTCGAATCGATTGTAAAAGCATCCTGCCCTTTAGCAGCCTTTAAGAAAGAGACGATATGTTGAGTGGCTTGGATGGTGTTAGCTAGAGAGATGAGATCGTCCGGATCACCACGGCCCAGCGCAAATTTCTGCACCAAGCGCTGCGAATCGTGGCTTCTCCTTAATAGCAGCACGATTTCGTCACGGAGGTCAGGGTGCTGGATAAAGTATTCCACGAGATCCTGTCGGGCTTTGATGGTCTCTAGTGATGTCGACGGCGCGCTGAGCCATGTATTTAATAGCCGAGCGCCTCCCTTAGTCACTGTCCTTCGGATGGCATGTAGTAAGCTTCCCCTGAAAGTGCCATCTCTAATGGTCTGCTTGATCTCGAGTGAGCGCATGGTGCTCTTGTCGATAGCCATAACCGACATGTTCTCATAGCGCAACGGCGGTTGTAGCTTCATGCTTAGGCCTTGTAGGCGGTCCCGGACGTATTGTAAGAGTAGACTCCCGGCTTGCACTTCGTCTGGGGTGAAGTCTTGTGCTGTCTGTGTGGGGATGTCGGATTCTAGCATTGGGGTCCATTCCGATAAAGGTAGTTGTTCGCTATGTGGTGCGAATGTAATCAGGTACTTGTCTTCGGCGAGGACGGAGAATAGCTGGTGGTCGCTTTGTGACTCAAAGACTTCGTCCATTACTACTTCTCTCGGACCAACACGCGAGAGGATAGATCCAAGCGATGTCACTGTTGTCGACTGCGTGTAGAACTGGCCAGTAGACACGTCTATCCACGCTAAGCCTATTGGTGTATCATTTGCCTGTAATGCTGCCAGGCCTTCTGCTTCTACAATACCCTTACCAGGAGTATCAGATTCAGCTGAGTTGGAAGTGTCGTTTCCCTGATGATTGATATGAACCGCCATCACATAATTATTAGCGTATGGGTCGATGAAATTCTCATCTATGAGAGTACCCGGCGTGATAACTCTCGTCACTCTCCTATCGTGCATCAATCCATTCGCCTTGATCTTGTCCCCCGGGTCGTTGGGGAATTCCTCTGCTATCGCTACATAGGAGTTCAGGTCCAGAACCAAAGTCTTGAGAAACCGGTCTAACTGGAAGAATGGGAAACCAGCCTGTATAATATTAGAACTACGAGCATAGCTCGATAAGAAACGCATATCACAAGTTAAATAAAATAAAAGGAGGAAATATGTACCATAGGCACAGGACCGGCATTGGTCTTCTTTTGCGCGACCTTAAGATTTAGCATAGGGCCATACTCCTCAGCCTGATCGAAGTAAAGCTCGTAAAACCCGCCAACACGCGTAAGAAGGACACAGTTCTCGAACTTCTGCATATTATGACGTGCTTGCAGGACCACGGTGGGATACGCGGGCCCCTCATCCTCAGCGGGGGTAGGTGGCGGCGGAGGAACATCCATCTTAATAGGACCCTGCGGCAGATCTTCCAGCCTCATAGATGACCTTGTCTTCTTCCCACGCACCTGCTGCAACCTCAATATAGTCATTGCGTTCAAGCCTACGCCACGAGGCGACGGCGACGTGAGGCTACACCATCGCGAGAGCGGCAAACAGCACCGGCCGACATAGCCTTGGGAGCGGCCGGCGAGCACCGAGGTTGTCTGCCGGCATGCTAGACCATTCATCTAGTCGAGATGCCAATATCTGACGAATTCGAGTTGTAGTGCTTGCTGTCTTAATTTGCTTATAGCTAAGCTAATTTAGACTTATTTGTAGCTTAAGACGATGTCAAAGTTGCAGATTCTTGATTGGTTCGTTGCGGTAGGGCCGTTATAGATCGACAAAATATACTGTGGGTACTCAGCCAATTATAGGCGCCTTACACAGTCTATCTTTACAAATCTACTGTATAATTCCTTTCCAATAGATAGTTATCACCGACTTCCTAGGAAGTTATCGTATATGCCTCTTTTTGGAACTTTCTTAATATAGATTTTGGTATAGGGGATTTATAAGGTAGTTGAGGTATAAATAACATGGATATAGTAAAATTCTTGAAATTCGTTTAGATCCTCAAATAATGAAATACTATGTCACGGTAATATCACTTCCTACAAAGGACACTTAGATAGCATTGAGAGGATCGTGATACCATCATAACCTATAAAGTACATTTCATCATACTGCATACCCGAATAACAGAAACAAGCAGGCAACTCTCAAGGGCTTGTGGTCCTTGGAAGCGCTTTGAGAGTATCCTAATGACTGGCGACGGATCTTCTAGACTAAACCTCGCTCTAGAGGACCCCAGTCAGGAAGTGCCTATCCTTAAGCAGAAACAATCAATATGTTAGAAAAGCCGACAATTTTAATACACTCTGTCCTTTTCTGTGAAGTCGCACGCGCCACCAACAAACGCTGACTACCTAGGTATCTACAATCCTTCGACGCTGGGATTCGCGTGTAGTTTAAAGGGGTATTAGAGTTTTGCTTAGCTCAGCAGCGTAATTACAACTGAAGCCTGTAGGTTGCCACCTCGAAGGGACGAACGGAGATTAGGAAAGAGCCGTCCTTCTCAAGACTGATCTCTTCTAGATCATCCTCCAGAATGTTTGTTTTGAATACCTTCTTCACGTCCCAGTTTGTCTCAAGTTTTCCTGAGCTACGACCACCGAGACTGTCGTAGACGCGGATGATGACACTCCGTCCCTTGCGACGGGGAATCGAGGTGTCTTGAGAAACGTCTTCGTCATCCTCACCACGCTTGACGCAATCTAGAATCAGCGAGTCGTCGCCGGTGAGCTGAACGGGGTATTTTGAAAGCGTGGCGATTTCGTCCGATTTGTCGGCTGTCGAGGGTGCTGAGAGGACCTTCATTGGGTGATTGAAGTTGTATCCTGCGCGGACGGTTGTGCCGCCTAAGTCTCCCTGGTGCGGCAAGATGGACCAGCGGATGACATGCTTTCCCATATCTGCATGAGCATCAGGAGCCTTTGGCGACCGTAGTAGAGACAGGCGCATAAGGTTTCCACAGGTAGCAAACCCGTATTTGCTGTCATTGAGGATAGAGACACCATAACCATGCTCTGACAAATCAGCAAACTTGTGGCAGCACACCTCAAACTTAGCCATATCCCAGCTCGTGTTGTAATGAGTAGGTCGTTTGACAATACCGTACTGGGTCTCGTAAGAGGCTTCCGTGTTTCGAATATCGACTGGGAACTCGACCTTTAGGAACTTCATGGTCTCACGCCAGTCCACGTGAGCAGTACACTCGACGTAGGACTGTTGACCCTCAAAGGCGGCAGACAAACTCAAAATCGTAATGATTGAGCTGTTTTCACTGATCTTTGCCTCGGTCGAGACGCTAACTCGGTGTTCCTCATCCTCAAAAATCCTAGTTTTGCCGTAGGGAACCACTTTGCGTGTATCAAGATGGTAAACCTCAACATCCCACGCTTGCCAGTACAGGGGTTTGTCGTCAAATATCACAAGCTCGTTTGCCTTTCCGCCCTTTGCAATAATTTCACGTCCTGCCTTGCGGTCTATGAGGGAAGTAATGGTGCCGTTTTGGACCTTCACAGTCAATTGGTCATTCTGCATGACGAAAATACCATCGCTGACCTCCTTAACGGTTACAGCCTTGGTTTCCTTTATTTTGAATGGCTGAAGGTTGACAAGGTTTCCAGCCCCGCAGGCGACACCAATAGCCGTCGGGGAAAGGTCGATGATCTCCTTTCTGTACCACGGGAGAGTATTTAGGGCAACAAGATTACCATCCAGGCCAGCGGTTTCTATCGGCGTGACACCGAATAATTTATAGATATCTTTGTATATCGAGTGGCCTGTCTCGAATACCTTGGCATATAACTGGGTTTAATTAGCTTGCTTGCTCAATATAGTCCTATAGTACGGACTTACCTCATCAGAGTCATCGTAGCACATCTCAATTGAACTTCCGGGGAGACAATCGTGGAACTGGCAAAGAAGGACTGCCTCCCACATTTCATCAAAGTCCGCCTTCGGGTACTTGTAAGAGTCGAACTTGAGGGATGTAATTGTAGCCAATAATTCGAGCTCTCGTAACATAAACTCCGATTTTCGGTTATTACGTTTGTTGTTTGCCTGGGTCGTGTATGTGCCGCGGTGAAGTTCGAAGTAGAGCTCGCCATACCAAGTTACTAAGGACTCACCCTTCTCCTCGAGCTTGTCGAAGAAATCATCTACACTATTGCCCAGGTGGACTCTGGGTAAACGACCGACTTGGTCACTGATACCACGGCAACGTCGCAGCTTTTCGATGTGCTGCCAAGTAGGGCCACCACCACCATCACCTTTGCCGAAGACCAATAGAGAAGTGTGGTCTTGATCCATTGACTTGTGCTGGGTGATACTGCGTTTGACATCGCCAAACTCGGCTTCGGCTGTGTAGGTTTCGGATGGCGGCATGTGGCATATAACCTGGCTCCCGTCAAGCGCGACCCAATTGAAAGTGGTGTGGGGGAAATTATTGATGTTATTCCAGCTGAGCTTCTGTGTGAGGAAACGATCCATGCCAGCCAGGCGACAAATCTGGGGAAGCTGACTCGAATACCCAAACGTATCAGGAAGCCAGAAGGTCCGGCAACGATCGCCAAAGTTGCTCTGGAAGAATCTCTGACCATATAAAAATTGTCGGACGAGAGACTCGCCGCTAGGCATATTTGTGTCATGTTCGACCCAGCTCCCGCCAATCGGGTGGAACCGGTGTTCCTTTACCTTCTGCTTGACCCGGTCAAAAGCATACGGGTATAGGGCCTTCAACCATTTGTATTGCTGTGCTTGGGAGCAAGCAAAGTTCAGTTCCGGATATCTTTCCATTAGGTTACACTGGTTAGACCAGGACCTTGCCACCTTTCTTTTCGTCTCGGCCCAGGGCCATAGCCAACAAGTATCAATATGACAATGACCAATCCCAAAAACTTGAGGAACGAGATCAGTATCGTAGACCTTGGAGGAATCGACATTGGATCCAATGTATTCCTGCGCGATCTTACGACCCTTTTTGATAGATTCCTTGTCGCCTAGAACGTAGGAATCAATAATGTCGGTGACAACGTTCAAGGCTTTGTGCTGCTCCCATGAATCTTCAGGAAACTCTCTCGCGGCATCCCCAATGATCCAAGTATCAATCCATAGCTGTCGGGCATCTAGATTCACAGCACATATGGCAGCTCTGACAAGCTGGAAATATTTGTTGGGATCGGGCGGCTGGATAGTATCACCGCCAGTTGGATTGCCAAACATACTGTTGCAGGCCACCTCGATGTAGATTGTGTGTTCCTTACCATCTCTAAAAGAGTCTGGAAGGATCCATTCGACACGTTCACCCCCGCCGGTAAGACCCTGCAAGGGCTTTCCATCGTCGGTCCAAACCATGCCCTCACAGTTTGCGTCCCATTGGAATTCTAAATGTTCCTTCTTTCGGAGATCTTCGGGGACTCGAAGTACAACTTTGAACCAATGTGTAGACCATGAGGGGCCGAAGGCTTGACCAACAACAGCCGGCTCATACTTTCCAGCCATAGCCTCTTTGAATGTTGGTCGCTCGAGATTTGGAGCCGGCCAAGTCCAGAGCTGAACATATGGAGGACCATCGGCGACACCCTCAAACATCATAGCAAGGAGGTTTCGGTTCTCCCATTGTCCCTTAGAATAAAATTGTGTGATGCGTTCCTTGTAGATGTGGGTGATCCGTTTGCCAACCGGAGCACGAGCCCGGATGGGGTATTCGGTCGAAGCGACCTTCGGCTTCGTAGTTTCGCCACCCATTGCAATTGATGAATCAAATTGATGTAGTCCCGCTACTGTGTTGTTCTTGAATATGTGTGGTATACGTTAGATCGCAATAACAGAAGCAAGTTGGTTTCGTTTTTTTGAGAATGAGCGTGAGGTTATCGGACAGTTTATAGTGTTACAAAGTTGGCTTCGTCAGTGTCAATTGAAATACATCTATAAATATGAGGGGTGGAATCGTGACACGATAATATAGAGCACGGCAGCTCATGCAATATGCCGATATGAAGATACGACGGTGTAGTTATTGAATAAGCTACACCGTGATCAATTGATGTTTATTTTTGTGGCTAGTATGTGGTAGGTATGTAGGTATGTAGGTAGTAAATGCGGTCTGATGATTCGGACCTCTCCAAGTCAAGAGCTAGGTAAGCTTTACCTGCCGCGGGTTCCTGAGACGCAGGGGCTGGGGGCGATAAGGAGGGGAGGGAACAGCTGACTTGTCAGCTGGTCCGTGGTTTGGCGGGGAAGTGCCTTGGCACCCCCAAATCGAGGCCAGTGTGATCCGCACTTACCTCATTGTGGCTAACTGATACTACCCGGGTCCGTATCAGCCTTATTATTACGTAGTTGGCGGGTGGTGTAGCTAAGTTTATAGGAGTCTTTGTTCAACAAACATGAGATAATAGGTTTATATAAGCCAATTAGGTTGGGTGAGTCCTATAGGTAGGTATGAATAGTAATAAAGATTGTGAAGATGAAAGGAAACGAAGTTGATATGTCAACTATCAAAATGATAGAGTATGAGAAAAGCCTAAGATTGGTCTTTCAGAAGCCGCAATATCCTATAGAAAAGGTTTCCCAAGAAAACGAGCTCAAACCATCTCTCCAACTTGAAACCTCTGAAAGCTAATTGAGTGAAACAACGTTGTTAGGATACTTACATATGCAGAATAAGAATATTGGCAGGCATAGCCAACTGAGTTTAAGAAAGAAAGCGCTGTACGCCAATTGATAAGATACCTGATCGTCATTCCGCTGCGGCTTGCCGATAATGTATATCTTCGTATTGGATTGGCCATTTCGATTACACTAACGTCATGTACTCCATCAGACTAGCTTTGTTTACTACCTAGTAGCAACTGCTGTTAGGTCAAGATAGCAAGCTATCAGGTTACATGGATAGGGGTGCTTTCTCTAGTATAAATCTCCCATAGCTCCTCTCCCCAGACCCGCATAGCTTCAAGAAATTTCACTATCTAAAATATCCCTCAAAATCCATAGTTCTACGAAGCCAATATCAAACAAGCAAGTAAACACCATGGCCAGCATCGCTATCCATCCCACCCCCACCGCCGCCATCCCCGCCGCGGCGGAGCACGTCAAGCCAGCAGAGGCAAAGGCCGATGCCTACCCCAGCACAGCGGACGTCGTGCTGCTAGACAGCGCCATCCAAGCGCCCTTCCCAGCAATCCAGCAGCTCTTCGACCACCTACGCAGCACGCCCTCCGCCGCCTCCGCGCTGAACGCAAGCTACCCCAGCCGCGGCGTCTTCAAGACCGCCGCGATGAACAACAGCGTTTCGGACCAAAAACTCACAATCGACATCTCCCCCACCCGTCTCTCGCGGATCCCCGCGTCTCTGCAAGCTTCGCTCTCCACCCACGGCTTCAGCGAAATCGTGCAGTTCTTCACCGAGCTCACAAGCAAGCACTTAGAGCCTATGCTCGCCACCCTCGGCGCCGCCATCGACGCGGACCTGAGCCCCCTGCACAAGAGCCAGAACCTGAACTTCCGCCTCTGCGACTACGCGCCCGAGACCGCGGCGCCGGCGAGTGAGAACGGGTGTGGCGCGCACCGCGACTACGGCACTTTCAGCATCATCTTCCAGGACGGGACCTCCGGACTCGAGATCGAGGATGCGGCTCATCCGGGGTCCTGGGTCCCGGTACCTGCCGACAAGGTCGTCATGCTGTGCGGCTGGTGCGCTTTTGTGCTTAGCGGGGGTGCCCTGCGAGCTGTCCGCCACCGCGTGCGTCGACAGCCCGGTGTTCGCCGTCTCAGCGCCGTGCTATTCGTGGCTCCGGACGTGGACGTGGCGTTGAAGCCTATTACGACTGGTAGCCATGCGGCTCAGTTCTCGTCCGAGGTGCTGCAGGGCAAGGTCAGCGTCGGCTGGTTCAAGGAATTCATGGGTAAGCGATGGCGCTGGCGTGAGGGCAACGCGCAGCTCGAGGACGGCCAGGATGTCACCCAGGACGAAGACATTGAACGGTTGATCCTGGGTTAGGTTTAGAATTAGGTAATATCGGGCATCCTTGGAAGGTAAATTAGGCGTTGTTGGAAACCCGGAAATTGGAACTTGGGGTGGGACGGGGACTTACGAAGTATGAATGTGGATGAGATTCGAGTAACATTACCTGGCCTAAGTAACGCTCCTTTTCAATACACCTAATAAAAATGAATTACCTGCATGAAAGCAAGCCTCCCATTTCAGCGGGCAAATAGGAAGCGATCCTGAATAAAAAGCAATGTGATGACCCATATGAATTTCCAAGGCACTGCATAATTATTATTGGGGACCCTTGTCATTCCGTCCTATCCTACTCTCACACATAACAGGTGGGTACTTCGAGATGTTTGAGGCGTAATCCACCATGCGGTTGATCGCAGAAATGTCCTATTGGTGGCGTGGGCAAGTAGTCCTCATTAATACAGAGTGGTATGTACATGTACATAGACGAAGGCGAAGCCATTTGGTATCAAATCAAACCGAGTTCTCCCTAACGGTCCCAACCTCTCTAGTTCGCGGAAAACGTAGGTATTATCTAATTATAGGGGTTCACTAGCAAATACAAACATCGAAAAGAGGCAACATGAATTAGAAGGGACATCAAGTCGTGCTGTATTATAATACATCTACTCAACTAGTAGTCGGGAGTAAACAGAACCAGCCGGGTCCGGCTGGTCTCAGTAGCATGCAGACCAATCATTTTGAGGCCGTCGGATCCTCGAAGGCATTTTTTCCCAACCCCGTCCAAAAGTGTAAAGGTATACGGTATACATGCCAGAAAAAAAGAGAGAAAACCAAACGCGAAGGATATAGGGTAGTCGGATTAGAAACAGCGGTAGTGGCGATAAAAGTGAAATCTTTGTGGTATCATCGTTCCGAAGCAGTCGTTAATGGCAGTACGTTTTCCCGTAGAAATTAAAGGTCCGACCTTGGAAGCGGACAGAAGAAATGGATGCCAAGGTAAAGTTACATGTGGACTTTGCCATAAAGTTGGATACTTGAGCATCCGGGTATCTCTTTTTTTCGCAAATGCTCCCTCACATATTTTGGTCGTCGAGTCGTATCGGAGACCGTGACACCCATTAAAATGCATCTTCTAGAGGGCAATCAATGCTGTCATGTCCGTCACGCTCACATAAAGCACACCACTTTTCTATGTCCACCACCCCGCTGTCTTTGCCAGCCAACGGTGCCGAATCCTGTGGGCTAGGTAGAATCTTTACTGTAGGGGGTGCTGGCATAACCTTAGGCTTTATCGGAGATAGAGGACGAGGTGTATCCTCTTCGCTGACAAACGAAAGATTCTTGAAACTTTCTCTAACGACGTCCTTGCCTGTCTTATGCTCGCCGTTAGCAACCTTGTTGGGTTCGTTTTGAGGCCCGAACATGTTGGTGCAGGTAAGAATATCGTGCCCACTGGTCTCGCATATCTCGCACCAGAGCGTGCTGGTCTCTGTGACTGATGAGTAGGCATCACTTTCGGGCATGGTGTCTAAGGTTGGTTTTCGCTTATGAGTGACCTCGGGGGAGTGTGGCTCGCGCGCAAGAATGACGGTTCCCTTAGAGTCGCGGTATGACGATCGGTGAGCGCTACTAATAGTCGTGGAGCTAACACGGTTGGTTGACGCGCTGTTACGTCGGAGAGACTCAATCTCGCGCTCTAGTTCCTCTTCTCGTAGGTTTTTGTTGTCGATAAGGCTGTGCAATTCGAAGACCTCTCGTTCCAACTTCTCTTTCGCTAGGCGGTTGTCGATCGAGTCTGGGCGAGACTTGACGAATGAACCGTTACGTGTAGGCGTCTTGTCTGGAGAATTTTCCGAGCCGGGAACGGAGTCCCGGCTAAGGGAGTGAATGATGGCCTTGAGACCTCTAATCTCATCTTCTTTCTGCTCAAGCTCTTTCGACATAGATAATTTGTCTTCTCCCGGACCATCTCCATTTAAGGCTGCAGCAGCTTTCTCGCGCTCCCTCCGCAACTCTGATCTGGTTCTCTCGACCTCTCCTCGCAAGAACTCTACTTCGCCACGAGCTTCCGCCTCGCCCCGACGAGAATCTTCCAAACCCTCTTCAAGTTCCTGAACCAATTCTTCAAGCTGTTTGAGTTGACGCGCAACGCTATCAACATCTTCGTGTCGCTCCTGCGCGTCACGGAGATCCTGTTCTAGTTCGCGAATCTTGGCGTCGTAGACCCTCTGAGTTTCTGTGCTAGCCATCTCTAGCGTATCGATAGTACTGCGGAAGTCTGCTCGATGGGCGTCGAATTCAGAAGTGAGCATGGCAATCTTCTCGTTCTTCTCCCTAAGCATCGCGCGAAGTTGCGGGGAATCCTTATCGTCCAAACTACCCGCTCGCATTCTCCCAGCATCTGACTGGTCTATTAACATGGTAAGTTCCGAGAGACTGCTTTCCATCTCAGCTAGAGTAGAGGCTTGGTCCTTTAATTGACGATCTCGGTCTTCTAGTTGGACCTTGAGCCGCTCGACCTCCTCCTCGTTCACGTGAGCTGCTCGAGATGCAGGGCGTTTGAATGAGAAAGACGAGGCCGATCCCACACTCCCATTTCCGTTGGTCTTGGTACGCGAAACAAGAGGTCTAGCCTCATCCTCGTCGAAGTTGGAAGTCTGGCCTAAAGCCGATGCACTCCTAGGTACTATGCTTGGTTTTCTATCCAACCTTGATGCCTTGTTAGGATCTCCGGATGTGCCTCGCACGCTTGACGCGAATCGAGAAACAGAGGGTGTTCCATATCGAGGGGGTATTCCGGTCTTCGGTCCTGGTGTCACCATCGATTGCCGGGGCGCCGGTGTTAACTGTAGCCTACGAACGGGTGAATCTGGTCGTGGGAGAGACGTTCTAATTTTTTTGGTCGCCGGGCTCGGGGCTCTAGAAGGTCCAAGGGATTTGCTAAACGTGGACAGCGACGGAGTCGGTGGCGTGTAGTTAACAGCATTCTGGTTTGCGACCTTCAATCCTTGGGGTGTGATGGAATAGGAACTGGATGGTGTGGGCGGCGCGTCGCGTTGGCTATTCAATTTACTGATGGGGACAAATATACCAGAACCGGGCGCAGAAGTTTTGAAATAGGATACACTGCGAAAAGATTAATTAGTAAGTTGGAACCCTACGAAACGGAAGCAAACGCAACGAGAATAGATAAAACATTAGAATATTGGAATATTGAACAAAGGGGATAATTTACCCATCGACATCGCCACTATTCTTGCCGCGCGCTGCATAATCAGGATGTAATTCTACGCCAGCGAAAACGCCTTTCCTTCCGGCAACAGAACCGACAAAGCGGATGACTCCGGTCATATTGCCAGGAACATCGACAGTATCACCTAGGGCGAAATCATCGGCCGAGCCGGCGCCCTTAGCTGGCGTGACTGGAGGCATTTTGCGCGATGAGTCAGAAAGGACGGAGGATATGGCGTAGCTTTCGCTGTCATCAGGAATGGTAGCAAGAGTGCCAGGGGTTAAAGCAGCAAATGAAGCTTTGCGCGCAAGAGCGCTCGTGCTTGGAATAAGTCTTGAATGTGTAGTATAGACGCTATTAAGATTTGGAGTAGAAGCTGTAGCGATACCAGATTTTCTAGGAGACCGAGACAAAGTACGTCTCGGTGGAGGATGAAAAGATGTTGCCGTAGAAGCCATTGTGGGCTCCCTTCCCGTCTTCTTTTTACTCCTGTGCTCCTGTGTGGTGGTACTTTGTGCCAGTTCCTAGGTACTTGGTAGTTGTTATTTTTTTACCCGCTATTGATTTTCGGGGGTGTCTCTTGTCCAATCCAGTAACTTTCTTTGATAGGGGGCTTGAGAGGCGGGGGCTTTGAGAGGCTTGGGCTGCTTTGGGTTCTTTGGGGGGGTAGGTACCCTCCTGTACAAAAAGAGCCCACTAAAAATAAAGGTCCGGCTCAGCGCTGCTGGTGGCCGTCGCGATCGCGTGGGAAAGGTGGGAAAAGGTGGGAAAGGGGAACCGCCCCTCAACCAATAAAACGTAAGGAATGTCGACGGATGGCCGACAAGTTGGCCGCACTAGAACCAAGAAAGATTAAATGTCAATACGAGAAGTATGAAGTACAGTGCCCAGCAACCGGCAACCAACAATTTATAAAAAACAAACAAAACATTGGGATTTGCAATTACCGTAAAAAAGTAGCAATACTCAATATCCAAAGTTCAAGTTGGACAGGTATCGAGTATTACCTAGTATCGAGCACCTAGACTAATAAAAGGAGTCTGAGCGCAACGGAAAACTTAAAGCCGTGGCTGTGGCTTGTAGCAGGCGAGATTGAGGTTGGGATTGAGATTAATGGCAGAAAATCGAAGGAGAATTCCGAAGTTCGGGAAGAACACAGCATAGGAGAAGAAGCTGCAAAATTATGCTGTTAGATCCTGGATTCCTGGAGAAGACAAAACTTTTCTATTTGTGTACAGCTAACCAAGAAGACGCTTGGTGATGATCTCTTACCATGCAATAGCTCCGGAGTAGCTAGGGGTGGTCAATGTGCAGTGGCTGCTAGGGGGGACGGCAAAATGGTTCGTTGCGATGCGACTCGTTGAGTCGTTGATAAGCAATAATATGTAGTACCACTTACGACAAGTGACGGGTGATAGCAGAGACAATGTAGTGTGGTTGTCAGTGGTGTTGAGGAATGACAATCAACATCAGCCTCAAAACTAATAAAGAGAAGAAGTGAGAAAAAGACTTCCAAAGGTTATAAAGATTTGGCTTTAGTCTCGGACCTTTCGTTACTTGGAAATATACTTTCCGCTTACATACAAACTTCGTGGGGTTCCAGCGTCATGAAGCTATCATACTATGTACCTCCTACCTCCTACCTAGGACCTACATAGAAACCATATAAACAGGCTGTGCCAATGACATGTCAGAAGTGACCCTTGGGCTCTGGCGGTGAAGACCTTATCAGTTTTTGGAAACTCCCTTGATGCAGCTAGATGCAGCAGCGCCGATGATTCCTCTATTTTTGCTCGATTTATTCCTAATCCGATCTCGCTACTGTACTCTACTGCAACATTACTCGCTGCAATACATGAACATCTGCGGACCGGTGCATACTCTTGCATGCTCCTGCATGGTATTGGCTTTACCAGATTATCCAGATGACCCGGCCGTTGCTAAGGTAGCCTTTTTGTTTACGTCGGCAATGTACGAATGAAACGATGAAAACTTGTTATCAAAGTAATATGATATCAGAGTTTGAAATTCCCGTGAAATTTGAATCGGATTAAATCTTATATATCATCAGAGTATACCATGTGTCAGCTACCTGGTAAGGCGGGGAGACAGTGACTGCGGTCAAGGTGAGGTAAAAGTAAAAATAAATTATCATATCCATCCATGGATGCTGCTTCCCCTGATCTCTAAAGACCTAAAAACAAAAATCCACGGCTCTGTGTCAGTTTCATTAGGGCCTATCCTAAACCATATTAGCGCTTTCGCGGCACGGTCTCGGAAACTAACCTAGCTCGGGCTTAACCATCTGGGCGTTCATTAGTTCCTGGTGCTTGGTAAGTACTGCCCAGTATGATATACGCAGTACATAAAATGGTTTCATAGTCTCACAATCTCACTTTAGAATATCCATGGATATCTCTTTCATTCATTATTAATGGTATCTAGTCGTTAATTAGAGAAATTTTAGCCAGGCAAAGTTTCTCCATTCTTATTTTTAACGAGCCCGAGATACTCATATCGATTGAGTCCGTCGAAAAAACTCTCCGATTTACCTATTACGTAGGTAGGGAAGGATGTCAGTGGAATAGAGGCTGCTATGTTTAAGACTTCGCAGTAATAGCATAAGTTCCTCCAAACGTATAGCGGTGTCGTGGTATATAATATTGGCACTTAAATGCCCAATCTCAATCAGATACCGACCTTCTCGGCCTGAGAACCTAACATTCTGATATCTCATGTAGGTCTGAGTGATGTATGGTCTATGTGCATGGATGAGAATGCTATGCCATGCAGTCTAGGAAGACTAGCGACATTTGAGGCTAAGCGCTACATCGAAAGATTGCGACTCAGTATTAAAGAGTAGGCAACACTCAACTGTTAGAATCATGTTCCCGCTCGATAATATCGCTGCGGCCTAGGGAATGCGTCCCATCGTTTAGTACCATAGCCTCCCGGTGCCTTCTGCGTAAACGTTGCTCCTCGGCGCTCTGCTCGTTCACACGGGGAACAAGTTCGGCTCGCTCGCGTTCGTCCTCATTTATACATATTTCCAGCACAACTTTAATGTCGGATCTGTCCCCTCGCCTCCTCCTCTTCCTATTGATAAGTTTCGCCTTGAATAAAGCTTTCCGCCCTACTTGCGCCGTGGTAAGGTGGAAGCAAATGTCGCTAATGCGGTTCTTTCTTCGTTCCGAGTACATCGCGAAGTTCTTTTGCCTTTCTTCGACATTATCTCCCCATGGTTGTTTCGCCAGCCACCTCTCAACAAATCCAGCTTCGACCAATCTGTGGACGCCGTACCGATGGACTAGCTGGGAGACTAGCATGAGACAGCGCCGCTCACCGATGTCTCGGAGGTAATATTCGTCATACAGCGGATCGTCAAGTTTCTCGTGCTCTGCGTTGCCAAGTCCTAACTCGAGTGACCTGACGAGCGCACTGTAGGCTTTCGGGGTATTGAGTGCGGCCAAGGGCTCTTGGAATGCATCCTCTGCGAATCCGATTAGCTGACCATTAGTCGCGATATTCGAATAGCTTCAATACATACTATCTTCCATAGCAAATGCGAGCGCTCTCAACGCCTCCATACGTTCTTCACAATCCTCACGGGTGATCCCCCATAAAAGTTGGTAGATTGCCGAACCATCGTTAGTAGCCCGGCCAGCGATAATCTTCAAGGCCGTGTCTCGTATCGCGAAGTTATAGTGATTAAGCAGGCTCTCGAGAGTACCCTGTTTTAGTGAATCTTCTGTCTCTTGAGTGATATACTGGGTCTTTGGCGGCGTTGGTTTGATCTCAGCCTCATCTCGGTAGTATTCGAGGATTGTTCGCATACCGAAAAAGAAGCCGATGGTACTCAAGCCAAGACTAACCGCAATGAACCGGTCATCTTTGATGAAGGAATAGAATCCCATCTTTATGTACCCTCCTATCGAAAATCCATAACAATAGCGGGAAAGTGTGAAGTGAATGGTAGTACTGATGAAAAGCTCACAGTGCTTCCGAAGTTGGTATATATATATAAGAAGTGTGGGTAGGTAATTTGACGTATTTGACGTGATGGTGGCGCGCAGAGCTCAATCTTCAAGGTTCCGAAGTTAAAAGTCCAAATGCTTATCGATAGTCGGGCTACCCCAGTTCCAAGATCCTAGCTAGGTGGACCAAGCGCCTCATGTGTAACCTTGAACTTGCGTAGTGGGGCGATAAGATAAGAATCCTGGGAACAGTAAAAAAAAAAAGTTCAAGATTTCTAGACGTCAATTTATCTGCATATACACGTTCAGTATCTTAACCCCTCCACCAAACCTTCACGTATCCGGTTCTTGGTACCTTCACAATGCCAGGTTCCCAACTTAAGAGGTTAAAGGCCTCTCTCAGAGACAAAGGTGTTATTGGCCCACAGCTGTCTAAAAAGCAGAAGAAGAGAAATGCGCAGGATGGAAAGACGAATAATAATCGAAGGTTTCAGAAGGCAGCAGAGTTAGAGGGTATCCGAGAAGAGTTCAATCCTTTCGATTTCAAGCACAATGTGCGCGGTCCCAAGTTTCAGGTCACCACCAACCGGCCAGCAACTAGCAATGCTACCAAAGGAAGACCAAGCGAAGCAAAGTCTCTCGGCGAGGAAAGGGTACGTCTTCTGAATAAGGCGCCGTGTCCTTCTCTTATTCATTTACTAACTCTCTCAATCAGCGACGCCAAACTCTCCTTGTAGAGCTCAACCGACGCAATAAAGTAGGCGGCATACTCGACCGACGATTCGGAGAGAACGACCCATTCATGACACCCGAAGAAAAAATGCAAGAGAGATTTGTGAGGGAAAAGCAAACTCACAAGAGCTCCACGTTTGACCTTGAAGACGACGATTTTGGCGAGGGCTTGACTCATCTTGGAAAATCCTTGTCATTTGATAAACCGGGCCTGGTCGATGATTTTGAAGAAGATCTTTCAGCTGGATCTGATGCGGCCGACTCAGACGACGAGCATCGCGGCTCGAAGCGCATGCGGCCTTTGAACGACGATACCCAAGATGATGACCAGGAAGAAGGGCAACCAGAACGGAAAAAGACGAAACAGGAGGTCATGAAGGAAGTCATTGCAAAATCTAAATTTTATAAGGCTGAGCGACAAGCAGCCAAAGACGCCGACGAAGATCTACGGGAAGAACTTGATATGGAGCTCCCGGACCTCCACGATCTTCTATTTAATAGAAAGAAGGCGCCTAGCGGTACTGAAAGCAACACGGCCGAATCCGCTGCTGCTGGCAAGGAAAGGATGGAACGCGATTACGATATGCGACTCAGGCAATTAGCACAAGACAGGAGGGCACAACCCACGGATCGCACCAAGACAGAGGAGGAGAAGGCACAAGAAGAATCTAAGAGGCTAAAAGAACTCGAGGATAAACGCCTTAAAAGAATGCGCGGGGAGGAAGTCAGCGACGATGAGATCGAAGAGGATACTACCGATATTCAGCCAGAAGATCTGCCAGCTAAAGGCCCAGTTTTATTCACAGAAAATGAGGAGGACGATTTCGGGTTGGGAAAAGGAATCAAGACTCGGCCGACAGCAACGGAACTTGGTTTCGACGATGAAGACGATTTTGTTATTGAAGACAACTTAATAGCCAGCGATTCGGATCTAGAGCCTATCGAAAGTGGCGCATCGTCAAATGAAGAAGAATCAGACGCCGAAGATGATGACGAATTCACGAAAGGACTATTAAATGAAGAAGAAACGCAAAACCCAGTGTTCAGCAATCGATTCACGGGTTCTAATGTATCAACTGATACTAAGGAAGATTCAAACGGACTACCTTACACCTTCCCCTGTCCAGAGACTCTAGATGAGTTTGTGAAAATGACGCAAAACATCCCTATAGAGCATCTCCCAGCCGTGGTACAACGAGTTAGGGCGCTATATCATCCGAAACTAGACAGCGACAACAAGGCGAAGCTCGCCAAATTTGTGGCTATCCTCATTCAATATTTAGCACATTCATCTAATCTTCCGAAGTTACCTCCCTTCTCGGTACTCGAGAACCTCGTACGACACATACATTCCCTTGCGAAATCTTACCCTGTTGAGACAGCGAACGAGTTTCGTTCGCGACTCGAAGACTTTGGTCAATCAAGACCACTTTCTCCCAACTTAGGCGATTTGATAATTTTATCTGCTATTGGGACCATATTTCCAACATCAGATCATTTTCATCAGGTGACAACTCCGGCAGGGCTTCTCATTGCGAGAAATCTTGAGAAGGTTCCGAAGAAGGTCACAGACTACGCCCAAGGAGCTTATCTGTCGACTTTAGCCCTACAGTACCAACAAGTCTCGAAACGTTATGTCCCCGAGGCCATGAATTTCTGTCTCAACACATTATGTGCCCTCGCACCGGAGAAAGCTGCAGAAATTCCAGGGTATTTCCCAGTCCACGAGCCTACACCAGGGACTCGCATCTCCAATGCCCAGTTACTCGCCATTCGAAAGCTAAGTCCGGCGGACTGCATCAAGGATGATATAACTGACGAGGAGGCTGTCTCCACGAAAGTCGCAATACTAGCTGTTACCGTTCAATTAGTAGACGCAGCAGCAGATCTGTATAGCGGCAAGCCTGCATTCTTCGAAACATTCGAGCCGGCTAAGAACGTATTGAACCATCTAGTTAGCAAGCCGTGCCAAGCCAGGCTTCCAGCTACACTGGTTGAACGGTTCAACAAACTCCAATCAAAATTAGACAAAATGCTCGGACTCGCCCAGGTAGCTCGGCGGCCCCTCGAGCTCCACCACCACAGGCCACTTCCCATCAAGTTGGCTATTCCCAAATTCGAGGACTCATTCGATCCTAACAAACACTACGATCCCGACCGCGACAGGGCGGAGCTAGCGAAGTTGAAGGCGGAACACAAGAAGGAGCGCAAGGGTGCTATGCGGGAGCTGAGAAAGGACGCCAATTTCATGGCTCGCGAGCAGTTGAGGATGAAGAGAGCCAAGGATGCCGCATACGAGAAGAAGTACAAGAGACTTGTGGCGGAGATCCAAGGCGAGGAAGGTAGAGAGGCGAATGCATACGAGCGCGAGAAAGAGGCTCGAAAGCGGGCGTCGAAGAGATAGAGTTGCGGGTCTCTATAGATTAGACTCTGTGAGTGTATACGAAAAGTATATTATACCAATAGAAGCACTTATTGCAACGATAGAATCATACGCTTGCCTCTTTTTTTTTTTTTTTTTTTGGCGATGCAAAATTGTATGGTTATTGCCGTTGACCCGTTCACCCCCTGCTCGGGCGACATCTGGCCATAGCCTCCCTCTTTGTGCTGCGATCTGCTTTCTCCTTTTAATAAGCTACCTGATTAACTCTTCCTGCTTACAGAGTCGTGTTGTCCAGACATACTCTCCGTGATCTGATTGGTCCACTCGGCTTCGTGATACCGAAAAATACGATCTATTCCCCCCAAAACCACGACACAGCCTCAGGCGATTATATCGTGGAATCATACTCCATCAAGTGTTCTAGTGAATTATGTATAATCTTAGTAATTTGTGATTAGTGAACATTATAATGGATCAGACTTCTTTTCCCGAGGTCGTCTCACGCTTACGTCTGGGGACGTGCTGTTCGATTACGTGCATATGTGGGCAACCTGGTTGGACGAATATAGCTGCATCGGGCTTATTTATTTTGGCTCCTCGGCTATTACGCTTTGTTTACCGCCCCGGATTTATCGAATGAGATGTACTCCATATCTAAGAATTCTTCCTACTAAAACCGATCTCCTGGGCCGTGTTTACTGCTGGCGCTTGACCCTCGTCGCGGTCCGCCTGGGATATATTAAGCGTGTTTAAATGAGAGGGTAGTATCCTAAGTATGTTATCTCGCGTGGGGAAACTAGGCAAGGAAGTTGATAGCTAGGGGTAAGGTGTTTTGTTTGGGAGTGGTGGTTAATAGGGGGTCGTCTGAATATCCGGGGGTAGCCAAGAGAACAATTCTACAGAACAAACGTCTTACTCTTAGTGAATAGGATCAAGTGCACATGGATCAATAGAGTGTTATGATATAATAATAGTTCTTTCTGGGTTAAGCCTTGTGGGTCTTGTATGATATTACTTCGTAAAATAGCTTATTCCCACGTTAAGCAACCAGGTCGTCTGTACACCCATGAATATCTCCTCTCTCTGAATGGCGGCAACACGCTTGAAGAAGGTCTCCTTAATAGTCTTAGGTGTGTCAGAAGTCTTGTCATACATGACCTTTTGTTATACAAACCTATTTAGCCAACAGTTTTCTTGATATGTCTGCCCGAGTAGGTAGGTAGGTAGGTAAGTAGGTAGTACAGCATGACAGTGGTCTTTTGGAACTATCCCCTGTCAATGCCACGCTCTGTTCTATTAAATTGGTAATAAATATATGCGCTAGTCGTAGTCGGGATAGTATTAGAGTTGGATCTACATGTGTACAACCTATCCAACAACGAGAGCAAGACGTTGTTTAGCGTACTAATTCCACATGCTTTGTTACTTAGTAAGGACTCCCTTTGGTTTTTATTTGCTATGGAAGGATCGAACGTAAGTTTCTCACGAGATCATAGCACTAGGAGAGTTGGAGACATCAAACCATGATTCTTTCGTCGTCGTAGATCTCCAAATGCTTGGTATCTTAGCACGGACGCTGTAGAGGGAGGTTCACCATTATAATTTGGCAAACCATACAACTTCCGTTGAAGCTAGCTCCAGCTGGGTGAAGCACCTATCGATGGTTTGTCTAAGTATCCCGGGTATAGGCTTCTCTGAAGTCTATAAAAAGCGTATTCAACTACCTGGGCAAGCGTATATAATTCGTAGTTGTATTTTATAAAATGGGTATCATTCATGATCTATTTAATACAAAGCCGTACTCCAGTTCAGTGAGAACTTATGTCTATTTTTTCCGTTGTGAGTGGATCATTCTCTCTAATCCAGGGGACGATGGCCGACCTTTGAGGGTGTACAGCACTTGGTCGGCCCCTTTCCTCTTTGGCCTGTTCCCAGAAACAGGGCATCCTTTCATAGGCATCATAGAAATCGTAACCTTTCTGCCTATTATCCTTCGTGCGTTTTGAGCTATTCTCCGTGATCTCTTACTCTAAGGATATGCCACGCATCTCAGTGGCGACTTCGTCTTATAGGATCGATACTATAACTCTTATATCTCATCGATTTTCCTTGGTATTCTCTCAAATACTGTCGATAGCGAGCAGGGAGTGTATTTGGTGTGCTTAGATACTTAATTGTAGTATCCAGTCACATGGTTTTCGTTAGTCGATGTAATCAAGTAAGTAACCCTACTTGATTCGCAACACATCTAGTGGTGCCCGTGAGGGATAGGTGATCCAGAGGCCTGTCGCATGCTCTGGTATTTGCGGAAATCACTATTGACAAACTGGGCTGGAACTAGATTAGTATTTAGTTATAGCCCTTGATAAAGTCCGGGATATCATAGTTTACTCACCTGAAGGCGGGGGTGTTGCTTGACAAGTCGGATATCTGTACTCTATGCCTTGGTGTCCAGAGGTGTTGTGTGATAAATTTCTTCTCTTTTGTACCCAGGCTAAGACTTGCTGTTGTTGAACGTGGCTATATTCTCCAAACCTCTCGAGTGCCATCAGCGCATTATCTTCGAGTGATCCGACCCATAATTGTCTTGAAATTTCATCATCGCCACCAATTGGATTAGATGAATTTTGCATGCTCTGATTTTGCGCTGTCTGTGGATGACGATGCTGCGTGAACTGGCCAACCAACATCGGGTCCAGTGGAATAGAAGGTACGGGTGGTGTTGATGGTGTCGAGGTCACCGAGGGCATCGATTGCATATTGTATGAAGCAGAGGCATCTAGAGAATGATCTCCAACCTCTGTAGCTAAGTATGACTGCACATAGTCGTTGCTAGTAGGAAAGTTATGGCTAGGATGGTCAAAAGAGTTCATCCAGCCGTCATAAGTATCGTGGCCATAACTAGGAACCGCCGAAGACATTGGCGGACTTACTACCGGCCACGATGAGGCAACGGGCACGGTAGAGAGTGCAGCCGGGATAGGGCTGTTCGAGGCCTGTCTGCTCTGCAATGACCACGACGTAGTATATCCTTCTGTTTCATCAGACACCGAACTCATAGAATCCGTTTGTGAATCAGACTTTAAGATTTCGTCGAGGAGTGCCAACTTTTGTTTGCGCTTCTCTCCTATGATTTGGTGTCAGCGAAAGATTTGGATGTTGAAAAATACTCACGATGTTTTTTTCTCGGGAATAACTTACGATAGGCACGAGACGCGATTCGGTTTTGTTCTTTACGTACGTCGCTATTTCTCTTTTTGGGAGCCTTCGTCCGTCCAGAGGCAGTTGAAGTGTTGGTGTTCATTTTTTCCGTGGCGCCAGCAAAAAAAATGTAGCCTTACAAGTGAAGCGGGTGCTACCTTTGTATAAAATGTGAAGATTGTAGATCGTAGATGAGTCAGTTTATCAAGTTGCTTTAAACGAGCACATAACCGGAATGAGACGAGTCGTTATATAAGATGGCGTTAGGAGATATGGAGGTGATTTTGTTACTAAGTAGGGTAGAGATACGAACAGCCCTATCATCTCGCATCTCTTAAAGCTAGTACCACTATTTCAGGTGCAGACTTCAAACCCCGTCTTGATTCCACAGCTAGGGGAGTCTCTCTTATTGGGTGACCATGGGCCTTTTCGCATCTGCGGGCGATCATGATGTGGACCGCCATCTTTAAGCTTAAGATTTAAGAATGCTACACATGTTGACATGGGATAGATGGAACGACAGTTAGTGATCTGGCCAGCGAGATATAATCTCGTACGCGCAACCCGATTGGTGAAGATTTGAACGAACGGTCAGTTAGATAGCTTGTCGAGTATCAAGCGACTGTATTAATTTGGCATAGCGTGAAGAATATGGGGGAAGTTGAAAATAGAACACGACTAGCGATGTTCATGGTCAGGGGTATAGAACAAGCCCTATAATTGGCTACCCTTAGTAATCTTGTTACCAAGCATCTAAGCAGGCAAGGGTCGACCAATCGAAGGTCAGCCATGATCTCTTCTAGATGTCTAATTCGGTACTCATCAAAGCTCACCTCAGCACCTACTTATGCACCATGCACATCCCAATGATTATCTAAAATCTTGAATGCACGGGATGTCTCCGTTGTCCAACTTTTGTCGTTATACTCGCCGCCACCGATGACTACGATAGCTTCAAAGTTGCCTCGTAGGGCTACGCTTTTCCGTACTATCCTTGCCACGGCTCGTTCCAAATGACGACATCCAGGGGGATTCGCTTGACGGTTTCTACCTAGGTTTCCAGGGACATTGTTATGTGAACTCATGGCTTGGTAGTCTATTATCTCCGACCAAGTGCATAAACAGCTCCAGGGCTGCTGTTGTGCATTTGCACATCAAATACCTTAGACAAGTACATGTGGGATACCCTGAGATGTCCCTGGAAGGCGTCTTTTTAATTACTAGGTAGGTACTTGGTATTTGGGAAATGTACAGCGTAATCAAACGCCACATGCCGAGGTATCTCCTACTAATTATGGTAAGCGAGTTCAAATTTAATGATCGAATATTATTCGAGTCTATATTAGGTTCATACATGCAACCGTTATCTCTTTTAGTTTACCAAAGTCTTGTTGGTAGCACGGTTGCCATGACAAGACACAATGAGGGTTCTACCAACCTCCTCTCACGACTGATATTGAACGAACTGTTTATACCTACTAGTACACAGCAGCTAGCCTAGTAAAGCAGGTATTGACTTAGTCGGTAAACGGTCTGTACCTAAAGATGTATTAATAGCTGAGCACGTTCAGTATGTCAGGGGTATCGGCCCACTTACACCCGTCCGCAATTCCGCTAGGATTTTTCTCAGCTCTCAGCCTTATTCTTATTCTTCCTCCTAGAGGTTTTCCACCAGGCTCTTTCTAGTAATCAAGAGCGATGTTTGAATCGGGAAACCTCTTTACCTTCACTTCCCGCTCTCGGAAGCAGTAAATAAAATAAATATCTGGGTAGGGTAACGATTTGCGGATGTATTTATTGATTACATACATGTGTATGTGGAAGTTCCAAGTTCTGGGCGATGGTTTCTTTTGGCTAAGGCTACTTTTAGGTAGCAGTGGTGGAGATTGATTGTCCTTTTGCTTTTCCTTATGTAATTCGGTACGATGGTACGATGGTACTTACTCCGTGCATGGATGCATCGAGTAAATGTCGGGTATGCTGTAGAAGAGCGGACTAATTAGCGGACTAGCGGAGTTAAGCAAGACTCGTTTTGCGGCTGACACCTCGAGATAATACCGTAGTCTATATCTGATTGGTCTAAATTTTTACGAGAGGGAGTTAGACGATTTGGAATATTAATCCATCTATTCTTATGAGCAATAGTTAGTAGGTAGTTTAAAGCTACCCATAGATTCGGTTCGCTGAAATACTACATATTTACATACTACATACCTAGATAGTGGATGGTCAGGGATTGTAGGTATATATAAACTTTTACCTGAAGTATTTCGAACTTACTAACCTGTTTCCACCAATGGCGGAAGAAGAAAACTTGGTTAAAATGAGTAAGAAGGCGATCGCTTCGCATACGTCAGATCCTATTCCGTGTCTGACATCTTAGTCAAATATATGAATGAATATCTACAATACATACCTAGATACCTACTTACATATAGGTCTGTGTGAAAATAGAGCTGACTTGTCGTAGATAAATAAGCTGGCGGCGGCAAATATCTGTGGTCTCTATTTTCCTCGTCGAATATTTCCTGTTAGAAACCTTACGAGGCAACAATAGCCTGTAATCCTCTTCGATTACAATTCCAGGCTTATTCGAATGAGATATTCGTGGCCCACGCAAGCAGGACAAGCAGGACAAGCAGGACAAGCAAAAGAGGCATCGAATCTATGCCCTTACTTTGCGCCACTTCAAATCATGCGCCTTAATAGCTAATGACGTTGCAGATGACGGTGCGGTGAAGAGAACTCTGCCGACCTCGAAGACGATTGGCGGTTAGGCACCTATAGACCTAAGACTTTGGACTTTGGTGGATGTGTGTCGAAAGCACGATGCCTAATGATGATAAGGCTGTACTTGTGAACATATTATTTGGAAGTTCTCGAGAGAGGGCCTCCCGCCTCTTCTAAAAATCTTACGCTGTAAAAATCTTTGAAATCTGCCCACGGAGCGCCCGAGGTCCGCTGTGTGTCAAGCATCGACCCCGCCTTTTGGCACGCGTATCTTAAGGCTGCTAAGTAGAAGAAACTTTGTTAGATACTAACTAGGTACTAGGGAGGTGACCTTGGAAACGCTCAGATATCTATACAAATATTAAAGAGTATAACAAAACTTTGTGCCAAAATATGAACGTAAATCAAATTGCCGACCAATCCGTTTGCGTAGAAGCTTTGAGCTGGTACGAATCCGTAGGGGTCCGAATTGGAGAATTGAAGATTGTGCTTTCTCTCGTCATAGGTACATAGGTACGGACCCATTACCTAGGCGTGTAAATAGCGTGGCATTGGTTGTTATGCGATCCGTGTGTATCCTGGATAGCGACTTCCTCCACATTACATGCAGCACAGGCCAAATTGGATGCCGAAAAGAGCAAGGAAGGAGGCAGGGGCAATAAGTACTTGAAAGTATATTTGAGGCTGAGTTTTAAAAATTGGCACCCAACTCACTCAGAACTCTCCGCATTCTAGCCTCAAACTACAACTAGAGTACTTCGAAATCGAAGCCACGATTCCATCAGATTCTACGGCGGAACAGTGGCACACTAAGAAAATCTCAGCCTCGAAGTGAACAGAAGTAATTGTTGGTTCTACGCAAAGACCGACAAGATTCACATTGTGCCTCTTCTGGGTTTCTAAAAGTTGCTTGCTAATCGGCAGTAGAAAAGTTGATTTATCTGCCAGATATTCTTCTTGACGACTTTTCTATTCTTTTTCATTTCTGACTATCAATCATATAGAAAGGAAGGCACCAATCGTCGTTAGTTTACGGACTAGAGCCTTCTCGAATCAGTTCGCGGACTATTTTCAGCAGGAACGTAGCCAGAACCTTCCAGCAACTCCAAGGAAAGGTACCTACATACAGTGAGAATCCACCAATCTCGTGTATCGCAAACCTGCTAAAGCCAAAGTCAAACCATAGATACCAACCAAAGAAGTTCACCATTCTGCCGTCGCCTTTTCTTCTGCCGTCTTCTTCGCCTACTTAATTCCACCTGGTAAGTCTCAATCGAACTATTATCCCTTTACATTCCTTTTCTACAAATTTCCAAAATCCCACCCAAAAAATCCTATGTCGGCCGATCTTCGCAATTGTGGGGCGTTATCATAACGACTACTGTGCTGTTTTTCCCTCTCTTCTTACTAATACTAGGCTTTCACTCTCCAACATCTGCCCAGTGGTTGGGTTGCTTTGACTATACTACTGAAATTTAAAGTCGCATCATTGGCTAACACCGATCAATACTTAAGATCCTATTTAATTTGATCAGCGACTCGTCCACTCGCCGAATACCACACACTCTCCGACCATCCCATCTCATCTACGAATTTGGACAAGATGGCCAAGGAGACGAAGCTCTACGAGGCCCTTGGTGTGCGTTTTACTCCTAGCCTCCAATTATCGAATTTCTAGGTACATATGCTGATGTTCTTTGTTTAGGTTGCGCCAACTGCGACAGACCAAGAACTCAAGAAGGCATACAAGACAAGTGCATTAAAGTGGCATCCTGGTATGACATAGCTCGATTGCGTGGTATAGATATTTTAGAAGCACCTGATATTAACCCCGGCCCGATAGATAAGAATGCCCACAACCCTGCTGCTGAAGACAAGTTCAAGGAGATTTCACATGCATACGAAATCCTATCCGATCCTCAGAAGCGCCAGGTCTACGACCAATATGGTGAGGCTGGCCTCGAGGGAGGTGCCGGTGGTGGTGGTATGGCCGCCGAAGATCTCTTCGCCCAGTTCTTCGGCTCCGGTTCCTTCGGTGGCGGCATCGGCGGCATGTTTAGTGGAATGGGCGGGGCCCCTCGTGGCCCCCCCAAGGCACGAACTATTCACCACACACACAAGGTATCTCTAGAAGACGTTTACCGAGGCAAGATTTCTAAGCTTGCACTACAACGTTCTGTAATCTGCAGCAAATGCGAAGGCCGAGGAGGCAAGGAAGGCGCAGTGCGACGCTGTCCTGGCTGTGATGGTCATGGTATGAAAACCATGATGCGACAGATGGGTCCCATGATCCAGCGCTTTCAAACGGTTTGCCCTGACTGTAATGGTGAGGGTGAGATTATTAAGGAGAAAGACCGTTGTAAGGGTTGCAACGGAAAGAAGACCGTCGTCGATAGAAAGGTACTTCACGTCCACGTTGATCGCGGTGTTAGAAGTGGCACCAAGGTCGAGTTCAGGGGTGAAGGCGACCAGGCTCCAGGTGTCCAAGCCGGTGACGTTGTCTTCGAGATCGAGCAGAAGCCTCACCCTCGATTCACCCGGAAAGAGGACGATCTATTATACCGCGCCGAGATCGACCTTGTTACTGCCTTGGCTGGTGGCACAATCTACATCGAGCATCTGGATGATAGATGGCTGAGCGTCGAGATTCTACCCGGCGAGGCCATTGCACCAGGTATGTATTGGTTCGATAATGTACACTGAATTTGGAACTAATGAGACTCCGTGTAGATACCGTAAAGATGCTGCGAGGCCAGGGTATGCCTTCGCCCAGACACCACGACTTCGGCAACATGTACATACAGTTCTCTGTCAAGTTCCCCGAGCGTGGGTGGACAACCGACGAGGCTTCTTTCGAGGCTTTACGTAAGATCCTCCCCTCTCCTCCGGTGCAAAACATCCCTCCATCAGACGCTATGACGGATGATGTGAGCCTGGATGACCTAGACAACCAAGGACAGGCGCGAGCATTCGGAGGTGCTGGTGGTATGGAAGACGAGGATGAAGATGGACACCCTCACGGAGAACGCGTGCAGTGCGCGTCCCAATAAACAGGTTGTCAAGCGGGAGCTGGCCAGTTCATTCCCAGGATGCTTCGACTACACGAAGTTTCATGATTCGCATAATATACGAACCCCGTCAGGCATCGCTTTCCGGCCGAGTTAGTAGAGGGTCTACATTTACGGCGTGATGTTTCGACGGGTTGAGGACACGAATGATTTGCATGATCAGGGGGCATGGGAAAGGGAGCTGCTGCTATACATCTGATACGAAGGGTTCGTTATTTGTCTGGAGGGCTAGGTTTTTTGTGTTCTTTGCTGGAGGACCATCACCGCCTTTCTCATCGATTACACCGGCGTCATCTTACTCCCACCCCTGACGCTTCTTGCTAGTTGGCGTTACATGGACATAGAGGAACTAGGACAGACGTGCTTTTATTCCGGCCTCGATTGCATTTAACAGTTCATCCTAATTTTGTTGACGTCTAGTTATTTGTGATCCTTAATAGTGTGTTACCTATGTACATTTGAAGGGTGACTTGTTCCCTCTCTGAACTGTGAACCAACGTATTTATGATTGCCTGCTCGGATTAGTTTACTTTGCAGAGATAGATCTAGAATGCACTACGTTGATGTCGAATAATCAGACGAGTAATATTCGCATTAGCAAGATTACCTAAGGAGCAACCGAGCCCCTTGCAGAATCCCCTCCCTCTGCTTCTGCCTCCTCCTCAAATTCGGTCTTGCGCAACTTTTCGACTGGGTAGAGGATATTTTCTAGCTGGTCTCGTGAAATATCTAGGTTCCCATCGGCTGTTTCCTGGATACTCCCGGAAGAAACCCAGGTACCTGCGTCGTCGGGTTCGTATAGCAAGAGTGATTGTGCTGTTTTTGTGATACCTGAATTTCCCTGTACCTCGTCATTGCTGTCGGTAGATTGGTGAGGATCAATCGAAACGATTAATCTCGGGTTTCCCTCTGAGCTGGGAGCCATAATAACATCGAGCGGACTGCCGGGTACATTCAGAGTCTGCACGTGTTCGAGCGTGTTATCTTGCAGAAGCTCGAAGACGAAGATCGCTGGTACACTGTTTTCATCACGTTGTTAGATTTTATACACAACAAACAATACCACGTCAGGAGTAGAAAGGGGGAAGAGGGGTGGGGAGAGGGGACTTACAGCTCGCAAATCACCAACACGTAGCACCGGCCACGCACATCATACGAGCACAACCGCGCCACAGCGACCTTGTTCGCAGCGGGCACAACCTCCCTCACCCGCGCCAAAACATCAGCCTTGCAGAGAAGCTTCCCAGCCTTCCACTCCCACACGAAAACCTCGTCGTCGCCGCCCGCGGAAACGAGGACTTCGGGTCGAAGAGCCGGCACGTCGAGCGCGGCGACGAAGGACTCGTGGCCGAGACAGTAGGTCTCGATTACGTGGGCCTGCGGCACCCCGCGCGAGACGCGGATGTGTTCGTCGCGGTCCGCGGTTAGGATGTATGACCGTCCGTCTGAGGACGCGGTTGCGAGCGAGGTGAGCATGGATACGTGCCCGAGGATTAGGTCGTGCGTGAAGGCGGGAGTGTCTTTCTCTTTCCGGATTTCTTGGCCTTGCGCGAGGATCCGCTCTTGGTCTTCGAGGGCGCGGAGGTTGCGCTTGGAGTGCACTGTTAGGCGGTTTGCGGAGGGTTTGAAGGGGGTTGATGGGGGAGGAGTGGTGGTTGAGGCGGGGGTTGGGGGGTTGGATGTTTCTGTGGTGGCGGTGATGGGGGTGGAAGTGGGAATTAAGGGGAGTGAGTAGACGTCTCCGAATTTATCTGCGGAGAGGATGGTGAGTCCGTCTGCGGTGGTGGTTATGGCGATGGAACTGGGGCGCTTCGGCATGACTCTGTATACCTAGTGAGATGGTATTCCATATATGATCTGGAAGAATTTCGTCGTACCTCTGACTTAATTCCTTCAAAGTGCCCTTTCCATCATGCTCGAACACCCATATGGCCTTGTCCTGACCAGTCACGGCGACTACATGACTTCCATCTTCGGTTGCCGTCAGCAGAGCTACGAATGGCAATTCTGGCTGTTGAGCTCGGGACTCGGACTTTTGCTTTTGCTTCTTTTGCTTCTTTCCGTCACCGCTTGCCGCTGGTTCTGCTGTGCCAGCGTCAGCTTGTCCATTTCCCCCCTGAACATCGGACTTTTCATCCGAACTGAGCTTGCGCTTCTTTGATGGACGCTGACCACTCTCTTGCTCAGCGGGATCTTGTCCTTCCTGAGTAGTTATTTCTTCATTTTTGAGAGGTTCATCCTTTTCGGCCTTATTCGATAGGGGATGAGTCCATGAGGACAGAAATGAGCCCCCCGAGCTAAGGTCGAATGTGTGAATTCTGGTCCCTTTAGCAGCGCAGAGGACGGAGGTTTGTCCAAGTTGGTATAGACATTGATATGGAAGATTCATGGTGTTGTAGCTCTTAAGAACTCCGATTTCAGGGCTGTACTGGCCACAATTAGCCTTTTCAACGTCCGGCCGTTGATTACTTGTAATAGCCCCCTTATATTCTTATATAACAGAAATTGTTTAGAATAGAATGCTTGAGCTCACTTTTCATATGAGAGAGAAGTTAAAGTGAAAATTCAAGCTGTATGCTTAATTGCACAATCGAAACAAATTTCTAGAATAAATGGGTCATATGTATCTATACAGTGTGTATCTTTCTTCCGAAGTACCGGGATACGTATATCTCAGCCTCAAATTGAGGCGCAGCTCACGCTAGTCGCGCGACAGTGGATACCACCTCTTACGTACCGTCTTATCCGCTGTCTTACACGTCTCACGATAATTTTGAAGACAACTCAACATTAGTTACACATCCATATGGAGACGTTCATATAAACATAAAATCAGCGTTAATTGCATCTTCGTCCGAGCTTTCTGTTGTCTCATTTTAAGCGTTGTCCCTAACACCAAATTGGAATTCCACCTGAAGGATCACCGACGGATCCGTCGTCACACGGACTTTTAACGACAGCTGTCACTCTTGGACAGAAGCTGCGCGCAAATAACCTTTCCATATAGTGAACATTCTCACCCAAACAAAAACTCGAACACATAACTCCATCTTCGTTCACCATGGCGCAGCTTCTACTTGACCTCGTTTACTCGTTCGGCAATTGTCTAAATTGCTTCCCCGGATCGCCGACCCTGAAGATCAACAGCCGATCCTTTAAGATACTGCGACTACTAGGAGAAGGTGGATTTAGCTATGTATATCTCGTACAAGATACAGCGACGGCAGAACTCTTTGCGCTTAAGAAGATAAGATGTCCTTTTGGCCAAGAGTCAGTCCAGCAAGCGATGCGAGAAGTCGAAGCGTACAAGACCTTTACCCATACTTCCAACATCATCCACAGCGTCGACTATTCCATTGCGAACGAGCGAAACGATGCAGATGCGAAGACGGTATATGTGTTACTACCATATTACAGACGGGGTAACCTACAAGATATTATCAATGCGAACTTAGTAAACCATACGAAATTCCCCGAAAAGGAACTCATGCGCCTCTTCCTCGGCGTATGTAAAGCTCTTAAGGACATGCACCTATACCAAGGGCCGTCGGGTGGTGAGCGCATGGTAGCAGACAATACAAAAAATGGCAATGAAGGACGTGGCAAGAAAGGAAAGCGCAATAAAGCTGTTGCAGCTGCAGACGCAGATGACGAGACCGAACAAGCAAGACCGTTGATGGTAAATGAGGAACTGGTGAGACCTGGCGAACGGAGATCGTATGCGCATAGAGATATTAAGCCAGGTAAGCTCTTCATCCGAAATACTTCTGGACTGCCGTCTTGTATACTAATTATAAATCTTTGAAGGTAACATCATGATCGACGACTCAGGCTCGCAACCTATTATAATGGATCTAGGCTCGATCGCCGAATCTCCTATCGCCATATCAACACGATCTCTTGCCATCGCCACTCAAGATACAGCAGCAGAACACAGCACGATGCCTTATCGAGCGCCTGAACTCTTCGATGTGAAGACCGGCACTGTTATTGATACCAAAGTCGATATCTGGTCTCTGGGGTGCACTTTATATGCGTGTCTAGTAGGCAAATCGCCTTTCGAGATGCGCAGCGACGAAACTGGTGGAAGTTTAAGCATGTGTGTGCTAGGAGGAGACTGGCGATTCCCGGATGAGGGGCCTAAGGGTCAAAAGAAAGGAAAGGCTCCGGCCGGATCTGCTGGTCGCGAGGAGGGTGCGATTAGCGAACCAATTAAGGACGTAGTCAGGAAATGCTTGAGCGTCGAGCCAAGCGAACGCCCGGATATCGAGGAACTAATAGATCTAGTGGAAGAGGTTCTTGATGAGTTACCTGAAGATGACGTATGAGAGGTAAAAGGTTGGGGAGTCGTTTCTTCTGTGTATACTGTACATTATAACCTTCTGTATTAGATGTACCTAGGGACGGGCCATGAAATTTGGTATGACAATGACGGCGTTGTTGCTCCGAGAGCAAATAATTTACATGGGCGTTTGGTGGTTACCCATGATCTATCTACATAGTACTAGAATTAGTACTACGTACTTGATGTTAAGTGATTTGCTTGTGACAATACTATGTACATATAGTTATGAGCGTGCATAAAATTTATGTTGAAGATATTACTTTGTCAACCGCCAATCACAATCATCAATTCGTGTCGTTTATAGAAATAAACCAACCCCACAATTTTAAGTGCGTAAACATCTTGTTATAATTGGCCAATATCTTTACCAGTACCAACTACCCGGACACCAATAATTCCGAATCATCAATCTTCAAATACATACCTAGAAGCTACACTCCTTTTCTCACTACTACGCATCCCTTTATCACTATTATTTTCAAAATTGGAATTTACAAGAGTCACGTGCCTACATACAACCCGCCAGTATGACATCACATCAGGCGTCAGGCTACTCCCCAGAGGAGGACGAAGATGACGATTATATGAATATGACCTTTGGAGAGGAACCAAAAGCAGTCGAGACATCGCTTCAACGGCGACAGCGACTGAAGCGCGAGGGCGAGATCAAGGGACGCGTGAAGTCAAAGGAGGAGCAAGCCGCGGAAGAGCGAGTAGAGCGCGAAGAAGCGCTCTCCCAATCCCTGTTAGAAACCGCTCGCGCGAAGAAAAGCAAGGGTTTCGCCATGATGGCAAAGATGGGCTTTAAGCCCGGCGCCGCTCTGGGAAGCAAAGAAAACGCGGAGAACGCGAGGCTGGAGCCGATTCGCCCGGAGATGAAGGATGATCGTGGTGGCATCGGTCTGGACTCGGAGAGGAAAAGGCGTCTGAATGAGGCGGCGCAAGGGGTCGAGAAGAAGAGAAAAGTCGATGAGACGGAGTTTCGAGATCGTGTTAGGAGGGAGAGGGAACAGGCGAGGATGGAGAGACAGGTTTATGCTGGGATGAAGGTCTGCGAGAAGTTAGATGAGGAGAGAGGATTGGATGGAACGCAGGAAACGAATGACGATTCGGACGAGGGAGCTACAAAGAGGAAGAAGAAGAGGGCGATATCAACTAGACCTCTCAAATCCATCCCCGTGGTCTGGAGAGGCCTTATTCGGAACCGCGAAGAAGCGGAGCGAGATCGCCGCATGCGATACGACCTAGAGCAGAGTTCGACACGCCTCCCAACTTACGTGGACGATCTAGAAGACGAAGACGATAAGAAGGCCATGGGTAAAACAAATGTGGCGTACGCTCCCGTCGAAGATCTCGATGAAGAGGATCCGGAACTAGACGAGTTCAACGCACTTGAGGTTGAGGAGAGGTTAAGAAAATTGGTGGAACATTTGAGAAAGGAGCACAACTACTGCTTCTGGTGCAAATGCGACTATCCTGATGAGGCTATGAATGGGTGTCCCGGCCTTACGGAAGAGGACCATGATTGATAATAGATTGTGGCGGCGCCCCTTCGGACTTCGGTATATCCATCCTCTTTCCATAGTTCACCCTCGGCCGGCTTAACTTTTAAGCGCCGCACATAAGATACCCTCCAGGCGTTTCTCTCGATTTCAATTATCGAGAAATAGTCTCGACGCGGTGTTTTCACTGCCAATTAACTAGTGAATTCATGACTCAACACCTATCGCGATGTGGACTATAGGATAATAAAACCTTTAACTAATTGAGATTTAATGATATGATGAGAGTGTACGTAAGTTAAGTATCACATTTAGATGAGTTGATATTTTTAATTTACCACAAGTTAAGGTCACCCAGCGCAATCCAAGCCCTCAAGCCCCCGGCGCCTTAACACCTTCCCGAGAATAGACCCTCTCTTCCACGCCAATATCCTCGTTCCTAAACCACGCCCATCTCAGCCTCAAGAACGACACTTCCATACACAGAGAATAGGAGGATAAAAAGAACTTACCAAATCTCGGGCTTTTCCGCAATAAACCTATCCATCAACTCCTTACACTCTGACGAGTCTAGTACGACGACCTCGACGCCGCGCTGCTTTAGATACGACTCGCCACCGAGAAACGTCTTATTCTCGCCGATGACCACGCGGGAAATGCCGTAGAGGAGACAAGCACCGGTACCTATTCACCCCAAACCGATTTCGGTCCCCTTAGACAAGATTCGATATACACAAGAATGACACCATTGGAGATTATGAAGAGGGATAGGAGTATAAGGCAGACTGAAGATAAAATAAGCATTACTCACACATATCGCAGGGCGAGAGGGTGGTGTACATGGTACTACCACTATACGCCGACGAGGGCAGACGGCCCGCGTTCTGGAGACAGGAAGTCTCGCCCTAGAACAAGATACACATTAGCTCAGGCCATCTAATTAAAAGCATATCTAACCATCATAAGATAGACGTACATGAAGAATAGGGTTACCGTTCTGCACCCTCATATTGTGACCCCGACCAAGCACCTTGCCATCAGCAGCGACGAGCGCCGCGCCGATCTAAATATTCCACATCTCAGCATCCGAACTATGTAAATTGCGCGGTGTGAAACCATACCGGAACGCCGCCTTCTTGGTACCCGGCCTTAGCCTCTTCGATGGCCAAGGCGAGACCCTTTGAATCATCCATCTTAGCTATACTGGCTTAAAGGGGTGACACAGCGTTGCGACAACTCGGCAGGGAAATTTCAGTAACGAAGTTGTCAGAAATCTTATAATATACTCGGTTTTAAATAGGTGCTAGATATGTAGGTTGACTGAAAGATTTGAGACCATTAGAGATAAGCCGGCTGTCCCCGCTTCGTAGCTTTTATAGTCCACTTTACTATACTAGTAGGATCGGATTTTACATATCTCTGATGTACCCCGTATACAGGGTAATCAAATAACATCGTTCACACATGGGTCGAGTATAATGTCACTAAATACAATAGAGACGCCGATTACGTAGTTTGCAAGAATGTTCTTCACGATTATGTCTGATATCCCTCCAGACATCTTGACTTCATACACGTCTAAGTGCCTGATTCCTTTTTTGGCCAAACCGCCATCTATGACCGTGGTGACGCCTTTGGTATTTCCATGCCCTTTACTTATACAACAGCCCAGCCCTAGTAACGCCGAACTTGGAAAAACAAATTGCTATGCGAATAAATCACTGCCCCAGAACCCCTGGCCTCCCCATTCCCTAACATCTACGACAGAAGATTGCGTAGCGATGCATTAGCACTCGCCCCGCTTGCAGGTCGACCGTCATTCGGTCGTGCAGGCGGATTGCTGTTCAGACTCGGTTCGCGGCTCATAGAAATTCCATCTCGAGATGGTGGGCTTCCGTGCGCGTTCATGAAAGGAGAAGAACGTGAACCAAGTAAGCCTTGGGAGAATGAATGCTCCGAAGCTCGAGGTGGCGGCGGGCTACCATTAGGAAGGCCGTGAATTGAATTATGTCCCGCATGGTATGGCGGCATATTATAAGACCCATTCTGAACCGTCGCCGGACCTCGTCGGGGTGGAGACGGTGGAATACCATTAAGCATGGGTTGTCCGAGTCCGTGCTGAATCGCCGGTCCCTGATGATGTGACATAGGTGCTATAGGCGGCGGTCGGAGATCGCGGAGATGGTTGTGGTGTATCGGACTAGGGCCAGCCGAACTGCCATTTATCTGATGAAGAGCTGGGGGGTGCTGGGTCGGGCTGCGATGCCAATCCCCATAAGGTGTACCAGGGGGTGGGTAATGGTGAGGCGGGACGGGTTGGCCACCTGGAGCTGCCATTGGGCTCGTGCTAGCATGAGGAGATGTTAAAGGTAATGGTTGAGGAATGCTTGCTGATGGAGGATGTAACGGTGCCGCAGGGATCGCCGATACAACTGTAGGTGTTGTTGTCTGCACCGGGGGAGCACGGGGTCCCCATGAATTTCCGAGATCGGCGATCCTGTTCACAGAATTCGATACATTCGGTGGGTTATTTGCTACATTATTAGGAACCGAAGGTGCCGCCGGCCTTGGAGGTTCAATGGACGGTGCATCCACTTTCGGAGGAACATGCGGAGTCAGTTTTCGGTCCTCCCTGTGGCACTTATGGCACTGGACACTCCTCTGTGCAACAAATCTCATGGCCTCGCGACTAAGAGTTCCATGATGCCCATTTGTCAGAATCTTTTGTTGAGTCTTGTCGATAGACCACCACTTCGGACTGACGTCAATACCACAGGTAAGGCAGACTTTATCACCGGATTGAGAGGCAATTGAAGATACGTCGGTACTATCAATCGGAGAAGCCCTCTGGGCCGATGGTGCCGAATTGGTAACGGTTGTGGTCGACTGTCTTCGGTTCAGGTTTGTCTGCGTTATAACGGATGGCGGTTTTGTGGCAAGATTAGCGAGATTCGCCTTGCGGACGTTGCCTGTAAGAGTAAGATCTGCCTGCTTGTAGTTATGCACGTAAAGCTGCAGGGCGTTGACAGCGGCCAGATCCTTGCTCTGACCATCGGGCTGAGGTACAGTGTCCTGCATCCGATGGACTACGCTTTTCTGAGGAATGTGTTCCTTGCACCACACAGCAGCCGACATGATCCCTGTCTCCCCTCCAATAGTCACAATGTTGTGTTGGTCTCGCCGGGAACCTTTCACCGGTGTGATCTCGAAACCAAGTAAATACCCATTTTGATGAGCGCATTCCACGTGAACTAATTGATTGTCAGCACTAGAAAATTAGTCATCTAAGAATTCAAACTTACCAGGGGCGCGGCAGTGATGACACGTCACACAAGCACCGCCTTTTTTCTTACACGCCTTGCAGACCTCGTCATATTTGCTGCGCGGTATGGACGGAATGCCTTCGGAGGGACCAAGGGCTAAAGCGTTGCCGAATTTTATCTCCGGCATCCATACGGAACAAGTAACATGAACCCAATTATTATCCGCTGTTCTCTTCAAAGGCTCCCTGGGATTAACAGGCCGATTCATATCTTCCTGCTTCTTGCGATAATACTCTGCAGCCTTCTGAGCGAGCTCACGGTCAAGCCGTTCTTTTTCCTTCTCCTTCTCGGTCTTTTTCTTGTGCGAATTCTTCGGTGGTTCTACAAAGTCGTGCTCCGTAAATTCCACTGGGCACAAGACACATTTGTAATCCTAGGTAACGGTTAGTCGGTAGGTTCCAGGAATGGCATTGTATGTACTTACGATCGATACTTGAGGATTTCTATCGTTGAGACACATATCGCAAGTCCATTTGCCGGGAAGTCGGCAGTCTATGACACCGTAACACTTCCGGTGAACGGTAAGTCGGCATTCTTTGCAAGAAAGATGAGCCGCATCTCCCGTGGGGGCCATCTGGTGGCATATTGCACAGGGCAGTGTGCGAGGCTTAGGTAGTTCCGGTGCGGGCGGTGGCGCTGCCTTCTCGACTACCTTCTCCTTCTTCTTCTGTTGGTGTTGATGAGTAACATGCGTGCTATTGGAATCCACTCCATTAGCCTCCGCCTCTTTATCGGCGATGGTCTTAAGCTTCTTGCGTGGTGGTGGTGCCTCGCTCGTACTGGGTTGTACAGCAGGCGTTGTCGCAGTAGCTGGCGTCGCCGGAGCCACCCCATTCGGCAAATTATAAACAGTCATGCTCATCATTTCTTCAGCAGCTCTAAGCTCCTTGAGCAATTCCTCGTCGACCCTTCGCCTCCACGAACGGCCTCCTGCAGCAGCAACCTTCTTGGCAAGGTCCTCTATATCTTCCCACTGGATAGCGTAGCGTCGCCACAACTCCGCGCATCGTCTACACAATGCTCCAACATATTGAATACCCTTATCTTTGTTCGAGTGTCTGCCGCCTCCCTCGGTCACCAGACCAGCTGCGCTATTGGGCGCTCGTCGCCATTGTCGCGAGGTTTTGGTTGAGCAAAATTTGCATATGAAGCTTCTCTTGAATTTCTGGGCCTTCCCCGTGTCAAACGCTGAATCGTCCTGATCGTCAGCAACATCGTCCTGGAGCTTATTCGCTGTTGCTTCGGCCTTCTTAGCTTCCTTTTTGCCCTTTCTACCAGAGAAATTACCCCAAATTTGTTTTCCTCGATCGGTTTTCTTCCAAGTATAATAGAAGCGAACAGTGGTTGAATGTTTAATCGTCTTGACATGTTTAGTGACAGGGAAGAGTTCTGAACCAAATTTGGTTACACCCTCTTCAAACTTCTTGAGCTCGGTTGCTGTTAATTCCGGTTCTTTAAAAGCCGACTTCTCAACTTTGTTCAATGCCTTTAGAGACTTAGTTGGATCGTAATCATTCTTGAACAAAGTATTAATGGCTACATCTTCGACATTTGTAGATAACTTCGGAAGATTGAACATCGGGATCAGCTTCGTTTTCGCGCTCGTCATATAGTCGTTTAGCTGGGATTCCTTTATAGACACATCCGGTGCGCCCAATGGCTTCCAAAGTAACTGGGCCGTGTTCCTGGAGTCACTATTGTCGTAGTCCTCCCCACGTGCTACATATCCAGGAGGCTCATCCTGGACCCATATCGGTCGCTTTTCTCGGGCGGCCTTCTCGGCCTCGAGAAGCGCAAGGGCTTCTTTAGATTGCTTGCTGTCTTTCTTGCCCGTCTTCTTGATCTCTAGGGGTTTCACTAATTGAACTGGTCGACCGGGCCAAGGGAGTACGGTTGCTTGATGTTTTGGTCCTAAACGGGAGCCTGCCCGAGGATATATGCGATCGTCATAGTCTAGCGCATCCTCCGGTTTGCAATGCTGGCCCAGATACCGCCAAGGCCACAGGCTTGCATGGTATATCTGCTCTGCAGTGGCGGGTTGGTGAGAGTCGTCGATACCGTCAGCAGGGCTAGTACGGTTGGTTTCAACGGCGTCATCCTCGTCTTCCCAGACCTCCTCTTCTTCGGCATCTGGATGTGTATCTAATAAGCTGGGGGTGTGTCGGGCCTCCAGCTTCCTCTCCTGGGCACGACTGCATGCAGCACAAGCCCAAGCAAAACCACGTGACGGCTTCTTTAGTAGAGGTGGGCGAACACAGTTCATATGATAAGTTTGCGAACACACGGCACAGTCGACGGAGTCATGGCTATTAGATCGAGTCAGTCGCTATTCATAATTGTGGCTCCCAATTGTATGGGAAATGGAAAATGGAAAGAGAGAAAAGGGAACGGAAAGGGGAATGAGTATCATGACGTAAGCAGGTAAAATAGGTAAATGGGGGCATGTAAAGCTACCCATGAAAGGGTACGTACCTCGCGCAGTAACCGGTACATCTCTTGCATGATTTAACGGCGCTAGTGAATTCCTTTGCTCGGCCCTGCTCCACTAAAATGTATTTCCACCGCTCATCCAACACCTTTTTGACTCGCTCGGGAACGTTGACGATTTGAAAGCACGGAATTACATCGTAATACTTCTGGATGTAGCGATCATATAGCTTCTCAAACCAGAAACAATCGGGTGTTTTTCGGTAAGCTTCCATGTCCTCGATTTCGGCTTTGTGGCGGATTTGACACTTGCCGCGCAATGAGGTTAACGGACTAATATCCGAGTGCATTGTGGCGAAGACCAGCCGAGTGTCATTCATGTTTTTAGCGATGTCCTTTGGACGGTAGTACCAATTCATTCGCAACGCTTCTACCGCCTTTGTTGCGTTGTTCTGTACATGAAGGAATTCCATGATGCGTCCAAGATAGTACGGTTCTCCGGGCGGCTCGCAAATGAGATATACGTGATCTATATAGGCCAGAGTCAATAAAAAAGAACCTCGCGATACATGATTGCAAAAATACAGGGTTTGGTTGGGTTTGGTGGCTCATACCATTTGCTTGCAGCGTGGTCCCGTCGTCCGCCACCAATTTCCCGTCTTTCAAAACCGCACCACAGCGTTCAAATGACATCATGTTCGTCATGTTGTACCCTGCGCCGGCCATCACTGGTGTTCCCTGCGTAGCGCTGCGTCTTGTCGCCGTTGCGTTAGAGCTTGTTGGCGCTGGAGTATTGGCGTGACTATTGGCATGACTATGCGCGTTGCTCGAGACCGATTGCGTAGGTGCTTTTCGCTTCTTCGACGGTCCAGAAGAGGTAGTAGCCGGCGTAACGGCCGAGGTCGCGTTGTTCGTCGAGTGCGAATGTGAATCCTTCGGTGTTGTGTGTGAACCATTACCATTACTGGCAGCCTTGCCATCCTCCGGCGCTGCACCCTTTCGTGATGTCGAAATCGTAACTCGCGGTGCATCGCTGGTGCCGTTCGCAGATGCACTAGTATTTCGCGAATTCTTCTTCGACTCGTCGTCCTTCTTCTCCGCGTAGGAGTCGTACATGTCGACATCTACATCTTTGTCCTCCGCGTAATTGGGCCGCGCCTGACCGCGATTGCGGGAGCGCGTGCCATAGGGAGATGGACCAGTCATGGCCTCCTTTGCAGAAGGGTTCGATCCCGATGAGGTTGATTTTGTCATGGGTTGGGAGTTGGCTGCATCTTCTCCCGAGTGTTTAAGGTTGGCGGATTTTGAAGGTTGAGGATTGTTGGTGGTGGTATGTGCTGATGTGGATGTGGGTGTGGACGTGGATGTGGAGGGTGCGGATGTGTGAGGTGTGCACTTATTTTGTTGCGTGGATCCGGGTTCTGGGCTTTCCTTATTATTCGAAGATGACGAAGGATTTAGCTTGTCATCGGGGTCGCTTGATTTCTGCGCCATGGTGGGCGATTAAAAGGCGGCGCATCCAATGTCACACGGAGAAACGCCGAAAGGTGGACGGCGTATTAGTTGCAGGAGACGTATGCAAAGCTGTCCCGTCCTATGAAGAGGTGCGGAAGTGCCAGAGGTGCCAAAAGTGCCAATCTAGGTGCAAACCTCGCAGTCAGAATGTTTCAGACAAGAACCGGGCAGTATGCCATGGATTTCGTTATGAGCGTTTCGCCGGTGGTACCACGGCAAGCTAGAAACAAGGGTCTGTGGGAAGCTTTACCGAATTACGTCCCACGATCGTCCTGGTTCGGTCCTCTTAAGAGAGGGTGTACGTAGAGAAGTAGAGAAGAATAAACGGGGAGATAGAGGAGGTGAATATTGCTTATTGCACCTGGCGGGAGAGTTAGATACGGGAAAGCTGCAAGGAAGAGAGCGAGAGAAAAAGGAAAATAAGCAAAACATGCAGAATATAGATTATAGAATATCCTGCCGCGTAGGTAAATGGGTGATAAAGTATTATGATGTGGGAAGTAGTGGTTAAAAAAGAAGGTGGGAGAGGGAAAAAGAGGCGTGGTAGGCGTGATAGGCGTGGTAGACGTGACGGCAAGATGTGGGACGGGAAAAGGATGTACAGGTAGAAGTAGTAGAAATAAGAAGTAATAGAAGTGAAGGTTTATGTAAAGCAAGGCCAAGATGACCGGGGAGGTTCGAGGCGGCGGGACAGACCATCAAATCGGTGTCCACTCTCGACACGACTAGCCGGGTAGGTAATAGGCCATAAGGATCACACAGGATGACAAGGTAGGGTAAGGTAGGGTAAGGTAGGCAAGGTCGGTAAAAAGGTAGGTAATAAGGTAATAAGGTAAATAAAGTGACAAGGTAACAAAGTAATAAAAAAAAGGTAGAAAGATGATGATGTGTGTACTGCTTTGCTGCTGCTATGTATGTGTGTGTGTGTACGAAGTACTGGATAGATATGGGGAATGGAGAATGGATGGGTAGATGACAGGAACCAATGACTTACCAGACTATCTAATATAAGTAATTATGTACGAAGTACGTATGATGCGTTATGTGATGTGTGTAGTGTGTAGTGTACTAGGTACGGAATGATGGATGCGTAGATGCGTGGATGCGTGGATGGATGCGTGGGTGCGTGGATGAGCCTATGTAGATATTGTCAAAGGCATGGGTCGCCAAGAACGAGCATCAACGAGGGAAGCATACGATGGTCGGCCTATGATATCGAGACTGTCGATACATAAAAAAAAGGAAGGTTAATAGGAGAAAAGCGAAGAAGGTCGATGATCGAAAATAGAAATGGAAAATCTAAAATCGAGAGATCTTCTTCTACCGAAAACTTGGGAATTCCAATAATATGTATTGATGATACGACACGGATGCTCTAACCTGGATGAAGCAGAATCGGAAAAACGAAACGAGATGTTTGGGACAAGGTACTAGGTAGGTAGGGTTGGTCTAGTAGTAGTAGGAGGTTTTGAAAAATCGAAAGTCGAAAAAGTCGAAAAAAGGTAACATACCTTGCTGCTGTGGATGGAGGAATGGATTAATAGTAGAATAAGAACATTAAACCTAAGGGTCGCCTCTTTTTTTTTCCTTTCGACGAACGTTAGAATAGTACCTCGATACATAAAAAGTACCAGGGTACACTAACATAATAAAGCTAGAACCTTGGAAATGGGAAGCTAGGAGTCGCTCTCACAAGGGCTGATATGTATTCCGAATTTCGACTGGCGCATCGCTTTAGAAGAATATTGAACATCGATGGACGAAGGGCGAAAATCCATCAAATGGTCAGAATCTTCAAAATCTTCGAAAAGCTCAAGAGGTCAAGAGATCGAGAAGATCCGTGGGGATTCAAAATGCAACATATTTTACCCATACAAGCGATTTTATTATTTCGAATGTATTCGTACCAAGCAACCAAGCATCCAAGTAGTAGGCATGCATTGATTTGCATACAGTACACACTAAACTGGGTGACTGGGGGCACCGTACGTAACGTGCAGCAGCTAAGCAACTTCTTCAATGCCCAGGCGTATGTATGGATGTAGTAAATACTAAATGAATATGAATATAAGGGAGGGAAACACCAGCGAGACCAGCGAAACTGTACTGTACCTACATACTAAATAAACTACCCGTCTAGACGCGCGCACACAACACACACAGCACACACACAAAGAAAGGCACGGGGAATTTGTGGATGGATGGGGGGGACCAGCGAGAGAAAGATGGAAAGATGGAAAGATGGAGTTGGGATCTTCAGCCATTCAAACTCTGATATTGTCCCAGCTGGAATTATTAGGAAGACGGTAGCGCCGCGGTACCGATACTTCTTAGCTGCAGGGCCAGCATACAATAATCCCTGCCACCATGAAGAATCAGGAGGGATGAAGAACTATATGTTGTACATCTACTTTGGTGTGGGGCAACGACTGAGGTTAAAAAGTCTCGCCTTGGCCCACACCATCATCCATACCCCTGTCAGTCCAACCAACTTACGCTTCCTGCTAAAAGGCTGCAGGCTCTATTCGACTTCATCTCATCATTCTTTGCATCTTAAAATCTACGCCCTGCCCTGGTCGTTCTTCTCCTCGACAAAGAAATACCTTCACGGCCGTATCGACGGGAATGTCTTTCTCTATCAACATTTTCTTCTACCTTTTCGGCCCAGTCTATACCACGTAAAATTCAATCCATCGTGGCTATATACTACTAAGTATCCTTTCAAACTAGCTGTATACCCGATCTATTTTGCCTAGCTTGCTTGCTTGTCAATACAATATTTTCGTGATGCGTTTGTATTTTTGCTTGATCATCATCACCTAGGAAAGCGCAACATGTTGGTAAGTATCTCATGGACGAAAACCGACAATTCTCTTGTTTTATACCAACACAGATCGTCGTCGCCTCATTATTTGCTGTTCGTCATTTACTCATTTTTAGAGGTGTTGCGCGCCCCGAATCCTCAAGCTCACCTCATCGGGGCGGACTGCGCATAGTATGTATGACAGGCAGCATTCCTATCACCTGTCGCACTTTTATGGGTGGGGATCTGGCCAAGATTGGCCGCGAGTCAAGACCGCCCATCCGAGATTTTCGACGCAACCAAGCGCCGTTGTCTATCTGCCCTTTTTTTGCACCGAGACGTTGCAGTAGCAACCAAATTAAGCCGCACCACATTACCTATCTATCCCGCGTTGTTTAACAAAATGGTTGTCATTAACCACGACCAGCACGTGTTTTAGCGTGATGTAGAGGGTAATTCGATCTCGGATCTTGAGACACGCTGCGAAAAGACGAGGCGCCGGGCAGCCAGTCTGGCGAGCCCTAGGCATCTTTGGCAGCCCGGACAAAAACGACAGGTGTCGAAGCAAACCCCCACCTTGCGATTCGATGGTCCAACCAGATCGCCTAGGACAGGGATGCCGACCGTCACCGCCGTGCAATACAAGAGACATACCCAAGACAACCGAGCTCATAAATCTGCGAGAAGAGTATGGCAGAGAGTACTATTTCTAATGAAAATATCCGCTTTTTTATCAAAATAATTAAAGGCCTATCCCGTCGACTGGTAGAACAATGGCCTTCGGGACGCGTATTCATTTTATTTTTCTCTCTATGCCCAATATAATAACAAGTGTTTTAAACCCGGGCGTATCCGGGGCTAGAGTGGCCCTACTCGGTGTAGAGGATCTCTAATCTAGGGTCTTCAAGGGAACCGGTCTTGAATCGTGGAGGAATGTTTGAGCCACATTATTATTCGCGAGTAAACCAGCGGAAATGATCATGCATCCGCATAAGAAGGAAGCGTCATTCTATCCTCAAGTAATTCGTCGAGTAATAGTTCGATCGACGCGAATAGACTCTAATGGTATAGAACCTACCTAGATAGGTAGAGATATACTACGATGTGGTCGGCAAGTTGATTCGTATCCAATAAGATAGGTACGCATTTCCATTTCCCTAAGGTTTTTTACTTGCTACCCAAAAAGCATCACACTCCTGATCTCTCTTCCATCGATACCTGCTGCTCCACAGTTCCTGATCGCAAGGATGGGAGCGCCCAATAATAGCTAGAAATTGGAGAAGCTTGGCATCATGGACAGCTTTCATATTCCAACATCAGCACCACCACCTAGGTAATTGCCTACTACTCCTTATTCTCACCGGTTCGACATTATCCCCGCAGGCCGGGAACTGTCCGAGGGATACTTGATGTGTACTTATCGGGCAAAAAAGCGACAAGATGAGCAAGACAAGAGTAAAGCGATAGGATGGATACTAGCTTTACTATGTCATATACGTGCAACTTAGTTTTTTTCGCCACCCACAGAGGTAAATCGGGAAGCGAATCCACTGATCTTAGGCGTACCTATCCAGCCATCCAGCCATTCAAGCCATCGTTTGTCTCCCAAAGAGTACGGACGAGGATGCATCCAGGTAGATGTACTTACCCAATGAAATAAAATGGCGCTGAGTCACTAGATTGTATATCGGGCGTGATTGCAGGTTAAATAAAAGGTTTTAAAAAGGTTTGAAGTCGAAATCGAAGCCGAGGTGATCAGGTGTTTATATCGGTACATGGTTATTAAAAGCAAATGATCAAATTCCTTAGTAACCCCGACGATGCCGAGATAGATGTAGAAAGAATCAAGGCTTTCGGCTGCTAATTAGCTAGTGGTAAAGAAAAGTCCTAGGTTCGATGTTGAGGTTGCCTATCCGTTTAATGTTACATTAGTACATACCGAAGAGGCAATTAAGTTGGAAAGGTTGACGTTGGAGGAAGACCCCCGACCGCGGCGAGGTTTCGCAAATCGGTCGGCACGGGCCACCTTTGACAAGCCAAATCAGAGATCCAATGAAAGACCGCGTGATTCAGTTGATGCACTATTTCCCTTTTGGGATTACGGCTACATTGATTACGCGATCCCGTACCTGATTATGTCAAAAGAGTGGAGACTTCGGAGACAGGCGCCATTTCCCGGGTCTATGTTGTCTGCGCAGCGCCTGCTTTGATTGATCCTCCACTAAACTTGGCATATGCAAGGGGGATTTCTCTATGCATTTCTACCGAACAACTATACACTTTCGGCACACGTGACTCGGCGTAGGTTTCGTGACTAACTTCTATCGATCCCACGCTTCGGCATTTGTTCACATTCACAAATTACAGACAGAAGTCGGAACAATTTGCATGTCACTGATATTTTCGCTTCTCTTTGTATAATGTGCATTGGAATCACCCTATTTGCTCTGAGCTAATCGATAGGTCGGATGCATCTTATCGGCATCTAATTATCAGACCCAATTTGTCGCATGGTCATCTAACCCCTTGCTCGACTAGGGGGTCCGTCATGGATCAACAGCGGGGGATTTTCCATAAGACAACACTTGAGTCAACGACTACTTTGCAGCAAAAATCATTTCATACAACCACTCTCGCAGGTCATAAAAGACCGCTTGCCGATCCCGGCGGTTCTGAACAGCAGCCGACCTCTGTACCGAGAAGGCAGAATGAATTCCAAAAAGCATCGGCTGTAGGGAAAGATATTCCTAGGTTAACCGCTAGCATCATCGTCGCTGCTGATCCCGATGCCGATACTACTACACAACCCTCCGAATATTCGCAGCGCCGGGCAGTACAAGCTACCCCCAGAGCAGTAGTTGATCGATCTCTCTCGCTATCATTTCCGAGATATGGCTTGCCTAGTTCACTAGTGAATAACCTAAGTGCTCTTGGCATCAAAGAAATCTATCCCTGGCAAAAGCAATGCCTTTTAGGTCCGGGCCTCCTAAATGGGTCAAAAAACCTGGTCTATACGGCGCCAACTGGGGGCGGAAAATCCCTAGTCGCCGATATCCTTATGCTGAAAAGGGTCCTCGAGGATTGTGACGCTAAAGCTTTGTTAGTGCTTCCTTACGTTGCATTAGTGCAGGAGAAAGTACGATGGCTACGGAGTGTCATGCAAGATATCAAGAGGCAAGATCCTCACAAAGAGGTATCCGAAAAGAAGGAAAATTCGCTTTGGCAAAGACGTGCCGGCGAAGACACTATCAGAGTTGTCGGATTTTTCGGTGGTGGCAAAGTTAGGGCTACGTGGGCTGATTTCGACATTGGCGTTTGCACTTTCGAAAAGGTGCGTTTATGTTGGTTTTCATGTGACTTAGACCTAATAGGAATACAGGCAAACACGCTTATAAACACTGCTATCGATGATTGTACCATTACTAATCTTAGAGCTGTCGTGCTGGATGAGCTACATATGGTAGACGATGATCATCGTGGTTATCTCATGGAACTTATTGCTACGAAGCTTTTAAGTCTCGAGCATGAAGTCCAAATTATTGGCATGAGTGCGACCCTACAAAACATCGATCTATTATCACGATGGTTAGATGCGCACATATACAGCACTTTCTATCGGCCGGTACCTATCGAGGAGTATCTCGTCCACGAGAGCCAAATTTACCCGGCTTCATCAACTAGTGGACTACTGAAGACCGCCACTCAACTCACTTCGGTGCATTCCAATGCGAGCCAGTCCCGGAATCATCCCGTGAGAATTATACGGCCAAGCCCACACAAGGAATTCAAGGATCCGGTATTAAATGCGGTTGTCGCATTAGCAACGGAGACAGCAAGATCAGGTTATGGTGCTCTTGTATTCTGCAATAGTCGTCGGTAAGTACCTATATATAGCTCCTTACTGAATAAATTTGTTACGAGAGGCTAATATAATTATAGTATGTCACAGTAGAATTCATTGTTAATTTTGGCTTTCTCGGAGAGAGCCATTCTTAAGTAACCCTTCCAAGCTAGGTTTAAGAATACTAACATATAAGCAGATGGCTGTGAATCCGATGCGCGGCTTATCAGCCGTGCTATAAGTGATACTTCTCTTCTCGACCCAACCATCGTGGAGAAAAGACTGGACCTTTTAGCAGACTTACGTAGTCTCAGTACGGGACTTGACCCCTGCTTGGCTGAGACGGTCATGTCTGGGGTTGCTTTTCATCATGCCGGCTTGACAACAGAAGAACGTGATTTGATTGCTAGTGCTTACGATGGCGGCGCGTTAAAGATACTGGTAGCAACTTGTAGTCTTGCCGCCGGTATCAACCTTCCAGCCAGGAGGGTCATCCTTCACAATGCACGAATGGGTCGAGATTTAGTCGGGCCCTCTATGCTTCGTCAGATGCGAGGTCGAGCAGGGAGGAAAGGAAAGGATGAGATAGGAGAGACCTATCTATGTTGTCGAAAAGAGGATCTCCAGGCCGTCATCGAGCTTATGCATGCCGAGTTACCTAACATTTCAAGCGGGCTGACGACGGATAGACATCGCATACAGCGCGCGTTACTAGAAGTCATTGCTATCAAATTAGCGAATTCGAGAGACACGGTTGAGGATTATGTTCGGAAAACTTTACTGAACCTGTCGGCAGAGCCAGATACCATCAAATCTCATGTCGAGTCAAGCTTAGAAGACTTGATTACGATGGGGTTCATCCACTCCGATGAACCCGATTCATACGTTACGACACAACTAGGCAAGGCAGTTGTCGCTTCATCACTAGAACCAGAGGATGGCGCATTCGTTTATCGCGAGATGCAGCGTGCTTTACGCGCCTTTGTGATGGACGGAGAAATGCGTAAGTATCGGCATCAATCTCATATTTGCCTATGTTGTTTAATTCTAATAGCACACCCCATATTATCGGAAATTATCTATCAAGAAAAGTTACTTACAGGGGTGTTGCAGACATTCTCTATACGTTTACGCCGGTGCACGATACATCTGTTATGATTAACTGGCGGGTGTTCAGGTCAGAAATGGAAGGCCTAGACGATAGCGGACTCCGCGTCATGACTTTCCTTGGCCTAAAACCGACGCAGGTCAACAAGATGTAAGTGATAAGGCCTACAACGAGGTACCATACTAATTTAACATAGGGCACAAGGTGGAAACCTCAAAGAAACAACGGCGGAAGAAAAAGAAATTGCGCGGATCTATCGCAGATTCTACTTAGCCCTTCAACTGAGGGACTTGTGTAACGAGATGCCTATCCATATCGTCTCTCACAAGTACGATACGCCCCGAGGCGCCGTCCAGAACCTCGCACAAACATGCCAAGGATTTGCTGCTGGGAGTGAGTAGACTCGCAAACCGCCCATCTCGTTTAATATTCTTTATCTCAAACGCTGGGACTCCAACAGATCGTCGTTTCTAACTTTAGTCGATGTAGTGATAAAATTCTGCGAACAGATGAGTTGGGGGTAAGTTCAATACATGATGTAGCAAAATGTAGCAAAATGTAGCGAGATGCAAATGATTCTCGTTCCTATCTTGTGGTCGGACTTGGGACTAACTGTGTATGTACGTACTTAGGGCGATGGCGGCCATTCTCGACCACTTTTCAGATAGGCTGAACTCGGGAGCAAAGTCAGATCTGCTGGCGCTAACCAAAATTACGTTTATCAAGAGCCGGACAGCAAGGGTATTCTACGAGAACGGGTTCAAGACGGTCGCAGCGATCGCAAACGCCGACCCCAAGGAACTGGTGCCGATTCTTATTCAGGTCCGTGGAGATATTACATACTTACCTACCTAACTATAATAGAAACTAGGTACCGGGTACTAGATACTAGGAATGCTAACGTATTTTTTTTTCTAAAAGGCGCAACCGAGCAAGGTGAGGCTCAAATCGAAGGATGAGGAAAAGTTGGAAGAAAAACTGGTTGCCAAAGCAAAAATCATCGCGGACTCAGCGAACCGGTTGTGGCGTACGCACATGACCCCGCCTATGGAAGCACCGCAGCTAATACTTGTGCAGAAATCGAGATGCAGCAGCAGGTTTATGAGGAATAGGATGTGGTCCGCGTCTTACCCCAACTCCTCTTGTACCTGTCCAGTCCATGCTCCGTCTTTTTTTTTTTACCATCAATCCATCTCCATCAATCCATCTCTATCAATTCAGCCAGTGTCTATGATTCGACAAGATCGTATTAACTCCTCCAACCCGCCAATCTCGAGTAACCTATTAGATAATTCTAATCGAATCAGACCCGATGTTGAATTTTTATTGATGTGGTCGCTGTAAGTTACTGCGGCTGCGGCGTAACCCCGAGACAAGTCGATCTTTTTCTGTTTTATCTTTCCTACACCAAGCTACCACCGCTACTACCACCACTACCACCTACACACACATTGGTATGTAGCAGGTACTTACACTGAAGTAGCGACGTCTATGGCGTCTCGGACACTGCAGCCGCGCTGTTGGTTGCCTCGACCGCCTCAGCCACTGGCAGGGGACGTCTCATCCCGTCACCAACAAGTGAGCTGCAGGCTGACCCTGTTCACGGGTGAACACTACAACCCCCCCTTCTTAAAGTATGACAAGGCATTTTTTCGCACTTTTTACCATCCGCCTAGTACTAGCGTCGATAATATGGTTAACCGCGTGAGTTATGCGCTTTAGTCGCCAAAGGACTGTTAGGCTGCCCAGGCTGCCGCAAAGACCTGTGATACATCTACATACATACATGCCTAGTTCCAGACCCTTCCCAGACCCTTCCAAGATCCTTCCCGTTCGGTTGCCTAGGGATCGGCAAAAGCCGATATATATCTAATGTCCAAGACCGGAACACAAGTGACTTGCTACGTAGTTCGTTAAAGGTAGCACCTTTTATATTTATATTTCGTCGCTGACTCTTGTGGTCGATTTTTGTATCTTGGCATACCCTTCGGCAATCTGATTAACACCAACTTCTCCACCCAGCGCCGTGAGATTTTTGGCTTCTAGGTTCTCCGCTCCAACTAGCGGAGGCGGCTCACCTCACCTCGTCACGATGACTTCCACCACGGCTCCAACGGAAAACGCCGGCGAAGGACCTAGTAGGTCGAGCCCGAGGACGATGACTCTCGGCGACGCTATGAGAGCGCCATCCGCCAATCCACCAGTCGTCGTACTAGACTCGCTACATCGCGTTGGGGAGAGAGATGAAGTTATAGATCCGAAAGAGGATCTATGGCTGACATCAGCCGACGGGTAAGCGTAGACAACTCCAATTTGATGCGCTAAACATCCCCTCGATCCCCTCCGTATGGCTCATCGATAGCAGCTCAAACCGCGTTGAATGCGAAGAGGTTGTTTTCTGATCCGCGCATTTTGAGCACGGAATCTCCTTACCTCAACTTGATACCCAAGCTGATGCAGACGCTATCATCCATCTATCGCCTTTGCCCAACATACAATACCTCATAACCAGCTTAGCTAAGTCACGTATCGCAGACGATTCAACTCTCCGATCATTCCTCTCCGTGTCGGTACCGCACCGGACTGCCAGACATTTTACGTGAGTCGCATGAGTGGTGAATGGATCTAGCCGCTGAGAAGTACCAGGTCCATAAGAGCGTCCTCTTAAAGGCAAAGTTCTTCAAGAAAGCGCTATGTGGCGAGTTCATGGAATCGGAGGCTCAGGCCATGGAGCTGCCGGAGGAAGACCCGGCGATATTCCATTTCGTCGTAGCCTTCCTCTACGAGAATAAATACATTCCGATCAAGGCGGCTTCGACGGTGCTTAGTTAGTATCTGGCTTCTGCGCGGGCAGAGAAAATGTTCTAACGAGGAGTAGTTCCCGATGATAAGGTGAACTCTCGAAGAGATGACGATCACGCTGCTTCGGATTCCGATTCTAGCGCGAGTATTCTGAGCGATTCTTCTACCGCTCGCAGTCTAAGGCGACGAGAAAGGAGACGAAGACGAGAAAACCGCCACTGGGAGAGGGAGAGGCGGAAACACCCCGGCACGCATCGGCCGGGCTGTGGTTGTCGACAATGCCTAACAAGAGGCGGACCGCCCTGTTGGAATTGCAGTATGTACCATCAAGGGATCCTTCTCTCCTTTGAGCCTGTCTCGGGAGCGAGAAGTTCTTAATCGAACCGACCGAGAAATGATCGCTCACAAGACACGCTTGAAAACCTATCTCTCCCTGAAGAAATTGCTGACTCCCGTTATCAAAGTGGCACCCCGTATCCCTCCACCCCCTCCAGGTCCAATGCCCGTCCAGATGGGTGCCGGAGTGATGGTAGTAAACGTAGAGAACCCACGACGGCGCGAAAACCGACGACGCCGCCCGAACAACCGTCACCGACCACTATCCCCACCCCCAGCCATCGACAACAACGGCACCAACGGAATCAACAACACCACAAATAACAACCCCTCCTCAAACCTCAACATCGCCAACGAAGAAATCCGCATCCAAGGCCAAGACCTGCGCACCTGGCTGCTAACCTACGAACTCAACATCGACGTGTACATCTGCGCGAACAAATTCCTCCTCGACGACTTCAAAAGCGCCATCGCGCGGTCCTGCATCGACATGCTCGAGACGGCAGGGCCTGACGCCGCACACATCGAAGTGCTTCGCCTGTGCCAGAAACTCTACGAAGGGCTCCCCGAATCCGACCGTCTCCTACGCATGATCTTCGCGCGCGTCGGCTTTCTAAACACGTACCTATGGCGGCGGGCCCATGATGCCACAGCGGAGTTTTTCCATGCGCACCCTGAGGTCAGCGCGTTGATGTTTAAGGAGACGCTGGTGAGACGCGAGGAGGAGCATGGTGAGTTGCCGGCGATGGAGAGGCCGGTTGTTGTGGCGGGCGGACCGATGCCGCCTTTTGCGCCGAATGATCCAAGGGGGTTTAGGGGACAGAGGTGGAGGGGGGATTTCTATTAATTGGGATGGGAGAGGGTTTTTTTTTTTTGGTTTGAATAAGTTGGTATTTAATGATGGGGGTGAGAGTTGGGAATAGGCTTGCTTCAAGGCATAGTGGGTTACGCGCAAGTGTACGATGGGCAGGACTAACTACCTAGGTAAGGATTGTTGGGGTGAGTCTGGTGGATTTGGGGTGTGGCGTTTCATCTTCCATTAACGAATTGCTACGGTTCTCTCTTCCTACGGCTGATTTAAAAAGCTAGCTTGATATTTAGGTATGAATACCACAAGTTATAGACTGGGTTAATCTATGGTGTCGTCACGCAGCTTGAGTAGTTGCGGGATCACGTCTTCCGGGTGCGCGCGTATGCCGTTATGGTACAGAACATTTGTCTCGAAAACCTTGATTCCCTTGATTCTGGAGGCCGTTACCCTCGCTAGGTCGGAATCGACGTACATGTCGTTGTAGCATGCTGCATAAACGGGGACTTCGTTCTTCGCCAACTGCGGTATGTCATACAGCGGCGCCCACCCATCGTACTCGGCAAGGATTTGCGCTGTTTTCTTCAGCTTCACGAGCTCGGAGCACGTGTCGAAAAGGAATGGGTATATCATCTCGCCGGAGAAATATAGCGGCTTGTCACCTAGGCTTGCGGGCCCAGCCCAGTCCTTTTGAAGCCACTGATACTCTTCTAAGCCCTGACCGACTCGCTCTGCTGCCCATTTTCCGGCTACGCCTGGGCCGAAGCACCAACACGGCTCATGTAGTAGGGTGTAGATAGGGGCAATATCCCAGGCGCCGTCTTGTTCCAATTCATTCAAGGTGTAGCGGGTGAACGCGCCGAATTGATCTAAGTCCGCCTTCATCCTCACTATGTAATTGTGAACCCGGTCAATACCCCCGTGAGCGCCGAAATTGAGACCAACGGTCATTAACCGTTGAACTGTCAGAAAACTACCAGTAGGCAGCGGGATTCCCTTCTCGCCGCCAAGCTCCTGGATCTTCCCCGCGACCCATTTGACGGTAGCAATGTCTTCCGGGAACTTCTTGTAGTAGGCGTTGTTTCGTTCTATACACCTCTTATATGTGGCCGCATACACATCTGCAGGACCTTTATCCAAGGCGGCGAGTCCGCCTGTGATGAAGGATTCCCGGAGGCCTTCCGAGGCGAAAGAGAGATAGGTCAAGGTCATCATACCGCCGAAAGATTGGCCGAAGGTAGACCATTTTTTCTTCTCGGGCGGGTAATCTTTAGTTAGACAGAGACGGACAGCTTCGCTATCCTTGACGAGGGTATCAGCTCTGAAGAACTTGAGGTAATCGGCTTGCTCCTGAGGACCACCGATGCGCTCAAGGGTATTAGCGGCGATGGTGCTGCTGAGTCCAGTGCCACGTTGGTCTAAGAAGAGCAACTCGTAGCCCCTTTCGAGAAAGTAAGATGATATAGGGGAGTCTTGAGGCGAAGATGTACCGAAACCAGGGCCGCCTTGAAGGAACACAAGATAAGGCCTTTGCTCGACCTCGGATGTTTCGACGATAGGTCGCACATACTTGATGCCACTTCTTGCAAAGAGTCTAATGGGTTTCGAATTTGGGTTGGAGTGATCAAATGGGACCTCGAACCATAATTCCTTTACGAGGATCTTGCCTGACGTAGCTTGTGTTAGTTTACACAGGAACTATACATACCCATGTCCTAGGTCGATAGACAAACCTGGAACGAGATATGGTTTGCTTTCAGAAACCAGACGGGCAACGACCGGAGCCATGATTGACCCTTAGTATAACTCTTTTTATATAGAGTTACTTTTTCTACGGCTGCTCTTATCTTGCGGTCGCTTGTATAGATGTACAAGTTTGGGTTAAGCGGGGAAGGGTTGCGAGTTCCAAGTTGCGATCAATCAGAGTTGAGTTAAGCTAGTCTTGTGGATCCTGATTCAAGAGTACCTTGGTATAGTCGTTTATATAAATCTAAGTAAGTACATACATATGTAGTATATTCTCGACTTGTGGCTATTAAAGGAAACTCCCTCTTATCGTAGACGTTGCTGCTACCCTTTGATAACCTTGCCTGACGTAATTCGTTATCAGGGTTGTCGAAGATTGGTATTAGGTGGTTTTTTTCTTTTATATACTTAAGACCTATGAATATATGTAGATACTTGCGCTTTTAACCGAAGTCTTCGTTTGGGAAACGATAGCAACTATGCCTAACTAGCTATCTAGGTATTCTAGTAATTATATGCAATTCCTATCTGTCTGTCTAGGTCGCTAGGGAGTGTTTCGGGATGTGTCTTTGTAGGTTTATCGGATGTCGTACCGGATATATCGAGATCATAACTAAGTTCGACGTTGTTAAAGACGTTAAGATGGTATATGGGAGGTAGGTTTATGGGGAATTGTACTAGGAACAAACTATTCGTCTAAAGGCACGGTGTCAATGGCCCAAATCGCGATGACCCATGCTGCCAACCTTACCGTATCAAATTACCAGTTAAGGAGATAGATACTGGCGCTGAGATAACTCTCTTTTTGGAGTCGCTAGTGACAACATATTAGTCACCGGAACTTCAACTGTTGACACCGTGGCTTTAGACGGACCGACTATAAACCGCAAGTAGTAGGTATATGATACATGATACATGACTGAGTGAGATATGAGTGAATCCAGAACTATAAAGTTTCTTAATAAAAGACACGACGAACCAACTTATTATGAAAACAAAACATCTAGCACTGTAAAATTCAATGCCACATACTTGATGGATCTTAAGTAGACTTATTATAGACTTGTGAACATCGACCCAAGGATAGCCCAAGGATACATAGCTCAAACTCTTCCGACGAGGTACCGATGAGATCTACAGATGTACCCATGTTATTTATAGACGTAATGTAACACAGATATGCGATTAAACAACCAAACATTCCCATTGGAATGGCACGTCCCTGTCCCCACATCGGACCTCGGAACTAACAAAAAACGACCAAACAATGGGTCTATCGGATCTTTCATTTCATCACTCCACCTTCACCATAATATTTTTCTTCTCTCCATCTCATCTGCATTTTTTGCATCTACAAACTTCGTCCTTTCGCATCAACCTCTAGGAGGATATGAATTGTCAAAATCTCGTCCAGACCCTGATAGAGTCCTTTAATGCCTTAGCCGATGAAGTTCAAAATCTGAGCGACAGACAAACTGTCTTGGAGCATAAGCTCCGATATGCTCATGAACAGGTATGGTATAATATTCCATGATACTCCAATCCTGAATTCGTCCTAGTCTGTCAGCCTATTCTATTCCTTTCTCCTCCACTTTCTCCGCTTTACATGATGAGAATATTAGCTCTAGATCAAGAGCTACCTTTGTAGCTGTGTTTGACAACATACCAAAAACTCTGATATACTGCGCGAAAAAAAGAACAATTGATTACAAATGATGTTTTCCGACGTCCGAGACTAACATCATCCGTTCCCACAGTTTCAATACTTAGCCGACAGATATGCCCCGGCGGCGCCAGAGATCTCGGAGACCTTACTAAATTTGCAAATTCCTCCCGAACTGCATAACCCATCCCTAGCAAATAATAGCTTCGTTCCTTTACCTAAGAGGAAAACCTCCGATTCAAAACATCAGATCGCTGTTATTATCAGGGAAGGGAGACGCGTTGCCTCATCTCTGACAGCTACTAGCAAGAGCAGTCGGTCTAGTAGAGACAGCTTCCCTCCAACGACCATGACTACCCTTTCGACTATTCTCGAGCAAGATTTCACTGTCGAAGGGAAGAAGGGCAACTTGAATTGTCCCTTCTCTCAACGGAATTCCAATACGGAAGAGAAAAAGGATGGCGCACCCAATGATCAACCAAGCACAATCCCACACGATTCTCAGGATCCTATCTGTTTAGCTATGGGAGACGATCCATCTTCGCAGCCTGCAGCTTCCAAATGCCCAATCCGCTACCTGGATCAGCACTCGCCTGAAGAGATCGCCCATTACCTAGAGACCCACAAACATGAGTTACCGAGAAGTCACGAGGTTTGCGTGAGGAGATATCAGAAAAACGAGGACCACATCAAGAAACTAGACGCCAAGTACGGCAATCTTGCTAGCATGGTTGAAGGTCTTAGTCGGATTCATCAACCTATGTTACCTGAGCAGGACACACGGCCTCAGAGCGAGGTCGAGAGGACTTCAAATGAGCGCGTTGAGACTTGGGCTCAGACAGTCAGTGCAACTGTCACAGATGACCCGGACCGTACTGTCCCAGAGCGTGATGAAGATTCCGATAGACAAAGCCACTTCGACAGGCCCCTCAAGGAGGTCCGTGTAGGCGAATCTCCGAGCCGTCCCTGGGGTATTTCGGTACCGATCTTTGATGCTCCTGTTAATGGAAATGGCTTGGACCGACCCGAATCTCCTCCACCAGCACCTGTTAAGATCCCTTCATCACTATCTCCAGAACCAGATGGAACGCCGGTGAAGAAGACTGGGAAGTGTCCCTTCGATCATACGAAGATGGCGGGAATGATGAATGACTCGAGCCCTGTCAAACGCGAGGACAAAAGCTCTATCAGACTTGCCGATATACCAACAAGCAGCCAAACTTCTATCCCCGCACATGAACCGGCTCTTGCAGCGAGCCAGCCGCCTCAACCTGCCTTTATCAACCCAACTGAGGCAGATTATCGCAAGCAAGATAATAGGCCGCAGATGCTCTTTACAGGTCCTGTTTTCATCGGTTATCCCATTGAGGATGCGATCAGGTTTATGCAGAGCTTCCAAGGACAGCAGTGATACCTGTTGAGCTTGCTATTGCATAGCAAATCGATGGATTCATATAACGAGCTACGACTTGAGTTTATTGATTCGTTATGCTTTTTAACGTTGTTTTATTGCCGAGCAAGGGTTTATGTGGAATTTGGCTATTTGTGTTTGCTACTCACTGGAGCAATTCGCTCTTATGAGTTTGAGTCTTTACGCAACGAAATGAATTAGTAGCAGGCGGTGTTTTTTTTTTCTTGATTACGGTCGCATTAGTTAGGCGTTAGGAGATGGGATATGAGATGCACAGGACTGATGATACGATACCCCTCAAAGTAGGAAATTGCTTTTAGTTGATAGTTGATAATGACCACAAGACCAATACCAGTAATATTGCATTGCAACTTTTCTTGTTTTAAATCAACCCTTCCCCCGGCCTAGCTGTACCGTCCTGTCTAACTATGATGTGATCTTGTATGTCCGTACACTCCGATTCCACATCCCAATACCAAAACCAACCAAATCCCCGTTCCAGAAATGCAAGAAATTGTGAGCTGGCCGTGTCTTATGCTCTCTTTACCTCGCCAAAACGCCAAACATACATACCGTTTGCCCTACTACTCCGTACACGAAACCCGTCGAGAACTTCCAGATTACAATGATTTTATCTACGCACCCTTCCTTTCCCCAATCTTCGGCTCTCAATGTTTCTGCTTTCCGTTCCCGTTCTCGATACCGTCGGTATCCTCGTCTCGGTACCCAGACTCGAGACCCTCCGTCTCCCATAACGAGATGTCGTCGTCGTCCATCAGCGCCGCCTCATCCGCTTCGCCGGGCCGCTGCTGTCTTCCGCCTAGCACACCCTCCTCTAGGTCCTCGTAGCTTAAATCGACGTCGCCGTCGATAGGAACACCGCTCTCAATACCCTCCTCACGCGCAAGTTCTTTCGCCCGCGCCATCGTGCGGCGGTATATAAATAAGCTAAGCGCAATGCCGACAACGGAACCAACCAGCATGCTCAGGTAATTCACCACCTTATCCCCCACGCTCATCTCATCACCACTCTCAGCAAGCAACGCTAGCCGACTCCCAATAAACACATGAACGCACAACTTCGGGGTCGCCATCGCAGTAGCAAGCGCAAAGCGCAGCGGCGAGATAGTGGAAATAGTAGCGAGGAAGCCATTACTAAGACTAAACGGCAGGGGACAGAAGCGTATAGCAGCAAGTACCAGCAGCCCATCCCGTCGCAGCACCTGTCCCAGCGCCACGAACCGCTTATCCGCGCCGACCAGCGAGTGCACGTATCCCGAGAACACAGTCCGACTCGTCACAAACGCAGCCAGCGAACCCACCACCGTCGCCCCCGCGACAATCGGCCAGCCCCCGGGGAATCCGTACACGAAGCCCGCGATGGTGACACAGGTGCTGTACCCGATCATAGGCGGGAAAGCGCTCAGACACGTCATCAGGAAAACAATGACCCAGCCGCCCGGCAACGCGCGCCAGCTCTGGGCGACGGGCCCCAGGGCCTTGAAGATGCGGTGGGAGTACACCATGCCGAGGATCAGGAGGACGTTTACGGCGAGTAGGGCTAGCACGGCGAGGACGCGCTGCAGCGGGGTGAGCGTGTAGAAGAGCTTGAGCATCTTGTTGGCGATGGAGAGGCCTGTGCGCATTACACGCTGGCCTAGCGGCGCGTGGGAGTCGTCGGCGGCGGCGGCGGAGCGGGAGTACGGGGTTGAGAGACGGCGGTGGTTGGAGGTTCCGGAGGTTGGACGCTGGGGGCTTTGACGGACCCATGGGGGCACGGGGGCGTCTGTTCGGGGGGAGTGAGGGCGTGGTGAGGGGGATGGGGACGGCAGGGGAGACGGCGTGGGTGAGAGTGAGGTCGATAGCATTGGCACTCGGGCCTCGGAGAGAGGATCGGGTGGCATTTTGACGGGACGTGCGGTGAGGCGCGGTCTGAGGTTTCTCTTTTTAAATTTCCGTGTTGTTGAAGGTTCGTTGGTCTAACGGGTCATCGGTGCACGTTGTGAAGCTCTACGCTAGTTGGAGGGACAAGGCAGACGGGATTACTCGGATCGAGTTTCGATATCGACAGTAGGTACCTAGTGTTAATTGCTTGCAACAAACACTATATGTCCATATTTGCCGATAGGGTACAAGTACAAAGATGATGATGATAATGATGAAATCACCTAAGGAAGTTGACACATGTAAACTTAAGGTTGGGAAGTTGGAAGTTAGAGTTCGACTGTTAGGAGGTCTTAGTAGGTAGCGGATCGCTGGGATCGCAAGGTGTCAGGGACGCAATGTTGCTACCTATCCACATATTAACGTTTGGCCAGATGTGAGCGGCTGAGAGCTAAAAAAGTAGACCAATTGGAAATGCGCCATGCCTTAAGTATCTCCATCGGTACTTGGAAGTTATACCTGAACTGCTATGTATATCAAGTACCCTATAAGTATACATACATTGTTCAACAATGCTAGTGAGATGATAAGGTGGGTTGTATTATGTTGTATTATGTATGACAGCTAACTCAGCCACAGCAGAATCCGCAGCGATGGAAGACAGTAGGCATCTACCGTGGATATCTGTCTATCTGGCTAATAAAGATGGCTTACAACACTAACGTATAAGAACAAGGGATCAAATCAAGCCATAATGTATGAAACACTCTTGAATTTCTCAAGTTTCTCTAACTAGCGTCTGAGACGTCGCGACTTAGTAATAGAAATACGAGGCATGTACCCATAAAATACCTACATGTAGAAACCTTGCATGATGTATCTTCAATGCTACACTAGGTACCACGTATCTCATCTTGCTCGGTTAACTCCGAGAGAGGTCGAAAGGTCGAGACCGTTCAACCGGCCCGCATCGGCCCGCTTAGCCCCTTAAGTAGAGCTCCTTCTACTACGTCAGGCTTAATTCACATGACATAGTACGTCGAATACATATCTACCTACTTTGGCAAGGATTGGCGTCAAGACCGTCTTAAGAGAATATTTCAGCTTTCTTTATTAGTCGCGTTATCTGCTCCTAGTCACCGGCCTCTGCTACCACTTGGTCCCTTAGGAGGATCTCGAACGAGAAGCCTAACTTTTCCATCGCCAATCTCAACGCCCTGGCTCAGGATATCGACATCTTCCTTAGGCTCCTCCTTTTCTTTAGATCCATCCCTAGTCAGGGACTTGTCCCAGCTTCGAGCATCGATCCCGAGAATACCTCCCATGTTGTTGCGATCTCCGGGAACTGAGAACTCACGGTAGGCATATCTCCACTCGTTCAGAAAGTTTCTGATTGCCTTGCCCACCTTATCCTTCCCATTCTTACTGTGGTGACCGGTTCCAGTGATAGCATACACGGGCTTGCTTTCTTTACTGTTGTCCAAGAGAACCCTCTCCAGATATTCGACAGCTTCATCTGGATGTAGGCCATGGAGATCCACGAAAACTTCTGAACCAGGCATGTTAGGCTTGTTGCGTTCCTCATACAATTCCCGCGCAGCCTCGCGATGAGCTTTTCGCATCAGGTCGTTCTCGCTTTGGCCACGAAGACTAAGAGCCTTTGCCGCTCGTGCATCGTTGCGGTTCCATGCCTGGGCAGCACTAACGACAGGATTAGCAAGGAAAAATTTCTCGTGGATTCTCGTGATCTAGCAAACCTTTGTAAGAACTTGTTTCGGAGACCACCATGCTTGATAGCCTCCTGACGAGCCTTGAGATAGGCTTTGTTGGCTCTATCTCCTGTCTCTAGCCATGGAATGTGTTTAGGCATGGGAATAGCCTGAGCAGTGGCACTGTTCTCTCCGTTCTTGATGTTTGTGGCACTTCCATTACGGCCAATCTTCTTTGATTCTTGTCGACTAGGCCCAGATCCAGGACCGGGAGACGGTGACATTTTCACAATGTCAGCTAGAGAGCTGGGAGTGAAGTTCTCCTTGTGGCCATGGCCGTGCCCACCACGCTTGCCATGGTGTTTCTTATTAGGCTTAGAAGACGCAGACCCGAGAGAAGGGAATGCATCGTTGTCATCTATCGACGGGGCGCTCATGCCTTCCTTCGTCTGATGTCGACTTCCAGGCCGCGAACGTGGACGAGACCCATCGCTACCTGCGTAACCTTGTGGCTTTAGTCCGGGTGGAGGAGTTACCCCAGAGGTTGGATAATTAAAACTTGCAGCATAAGGATTAAGTTCTGGCGTGCTTGGTCGAAGTGCTGGGAAGGAGCTGAAATCCTGAACCTGCAGATTTTGGCTTTTCTGTGGTGGTGTATTGGTTCCATCCACGTTAAGACGGTTTACAAGGTGAGCTGGATCATGAGAGAAAATACATGTATCTCCAGCCAGGCAGTTGCCCATAACCCAATATCTAAGAGATTAGCATATGCAACGTAGTCCAACCATATGATTCTAAACTTACTTGCAAATATGATTACTGAGATCATGGCTGAATCGACAATCTGCGCGGAGACATTGTCCAGTAGACAAATAAAACTTGCAAATAATACCAGCCTTTTGTTGGGTTGATGGAGTTGTAGGTCTTCCTTCCGGTGTCATGGACTTTCCGATGAGGACACTTTTAGATTCGGGTGTAAGTCCAGAAGCATTTGTTGAATCCTGAGTCTGGGATTCCATTATAGACGCAATAGTAGCGCTCAGATCGTAGCCGTGCATGGAGAGAGCCATCTCAATCTCTTCGTCGGTCTTGGATTGGCCGAGGATCGAGCGAAGCATATCATATGGGGTCATGTCCGTCTGTTGGGCAGACACATATTCAGGGGCAGCGGCGTTGAGGCCACTAGATGTACCCACGGATGAAGAGATGCTGAGTGCATCATCACTCACTAACCAATCAACATTTTCATTTTGCAGATCACCGAAGATCTCTTGAGACGGGCTCGTATCGTTGGCAAACTCGTATGCATTTAAGTTTGGACTGTGTGGTATTACTGGAGCAGCGAACGCGAGCCGGGGTGACGGACGCGGAGACGAAAAGGGAGATACTGTAGAAGATTTGGTACGGCTTAGGTTGGTCGGAACAAAGCCCGGAGGAGCTAAGGGGCTTACTCCCAGCCGGGGAGAACCTGACAAAGGAGTCGAGGAACCCCGCCACGAGGCTGGTGAAGGTCGACGAAGAATGGTTTGACGTATTGGAGGAGGTGAGGTCGCACTACCCCCTCCTTCGCGAAATCGCCATAGCACATCGAGTACCGCGTTCTCTAAGCTGGATCCGTTTAAGGTTGTCTCCTTTTTAAGCAGGTCCTCGAGTTTGTCCGTTTTGTCGTCGTCATCGAGATCGGGATCCTGCAGGATAGGGAGACAGATTTCGAACGTTTCATCCGAAACCATGATTACGCGACTTGAACAGAGAGTTGAACGTCAGTAAAGGCTCGGGACGCAGTTGATGAAGTAAGGGGGGGATAAGCAGAACAAGGAGGAACGACGATGGAATATATCAAGCCCAGCTAGCACGTAATAGATGTAGGCAAGGCCAGGCGATGCCAAGCATAAGCAAGCTGAGCTATCGTACCAAAAGGAAATATGCACCTACATAGTCCGGATAGCCTAGATAGGAGATGGGTAAGAAAGAGAAAAACAAAGATAGGCGCAAAAAGGCAGAAAAAGACGGAGGGTTAACTGAAGGATGGGTGCCACAGAGAATAAGCGACTATTCGCATTATGCAGATGCCGTGAGACGAGATCCGAGTATTGAAGAAGAGAAAATGGACCTGACAAAGCAGGTGGAAAGCAGGTGGAACGAATGTGTGTCTGACGAGTATTGTATTGTTGTATTGTGGTATTGTGGTTAAGCAGTGTGCCCAGTGGTATTGTGGTATTGTGGTATTGGTAGTATTTGGTAGTGTTGTCGTATTGTAGTAATGTTGTATTTTTGGGGATTTTTAGCTGTCTGGCAGCGTTATGGATCAGAAACTAGAAAGCCTTGTTGGGACCTCAGCTCCCAAGACTAAGCAAGAACTGGCAGATGGCAGATGGCGGACTGGCTGCCTCGAAGTTGCACTTGCGTGTCGCGGGAACAGGGAGGCTTTCACAGGAGAGACGTGGGAAACCACTGGGCAGTCAAGAACCAGTCAAGTTAGAAGGTCTGGACGGCTTGATGCAATCGATGTGGGGGGCTCAGCTAGGTAATATTAACGACCACTAATACTAGGTACCCGGCACACTACTAACCCGTGTCGTATATGTACATATATGTAGTAATGTACTTATTCCGTCACCACCAAAATCCTATTAATACTCCACCCCACCAAGTATATATACCTGCCAGGTCCTACCTGCTATAATGTAAGGTACAAGACTCACAAAACTCAACATTAAAACAATGAACATGTGCAGTTTGAAAGTTCGTCCTGGTCGGGGTCCCGGCTTTGTCTCGAAACGCCCGTACCAAGTACCACTAAGACCTCCAGGGCTCATGTAGTACGGTCTCAATACGGGTGAATGCGCCTCCCCAGTGTCTGATTTGAGCAATTTCTACACCGAAATACTTCCAATAGGTCCGAGTTTAATTGCCTAGCTTCCTATCAAACCAACTCTATTGTATTACGTACCTTGCAATTCTAAAAATGAATATATGCATGTCAACTGGTGTATATGTGTATACTATGGTATACTAAATATGTTCAACGTATGCAGTAAGCCTCGTCAAAAGTGAGGCCATGATCCTAAGTGTCTTACTTAACCCGAATCATTCCATATATGTATGTGTGCATGTGCCGGAAACAGGTAGCACGCCATAGAAATCTTTTCAGAATGCAAGCCACTTACGTTCCGAGGTCTTTCTACCATTACTCAGCCGCCTCATTAATATCAATACCTACCTAGGTACCTACCTACCTACTCAAGGAATCTCATCCTCATCCTCGTCTCCGAAGCCAAAACCGAAACTAAACCCTCCAGCATTACTCTCGGCGTCGTTCGTTTTCCCAATTGCCTCCTCCCATTTTCGCTTCTTTCTCTGACTTCTCTTTTCTAACTCAGCAATAGCCTCATCAAGAAGGTCGGGATAATGCGTCCTCAATCGCTCTTCGAAAAGTTGAGACGGGTTCTCAATGTTTCTTTTGAAGCCGGTGACCTGGTCTGGCTTGTCTTTGAGAAAAGACAATACGTCCGCAAGATGTGATTTGGGCACAAAGTTCTGAGTGAGAGCTATGCCAGCCTCAAGATTCACGACCAGATGCCACCAGCCGCTCGGCACATGCAGGATTTCACCTGCCTTGCAGACGCCCTCCACGCAATCCGGCAGCGTACGTGCTTCCGCATGGAACTCTAGTAACCACTCAGCTATACTCAGAGGACTAGTGACCTCACTACTATCCTCTGAAACATAGACACCAGGAACCCGTGCGGTCGGAGGAAACACTACAGATATATATCAGCCGCCGATATTCGGGAACTATGCCCCCAGAACTTACTGATCCAATATTTTGAGCCTTCCAGAACGGCATTCCAAGCGCTAGTCGCATTTGGATCTTTGTGGAACGTCGAGCCACTACGTTCAGGACCGATGATAAGCCAGCGGTGAGCGGGTCTTTCTTCACCAAGCAGCTGAAACAAATCTGACCCAAAGCACTCAGGGGGCCAATATACGGCGCCCGCGTCTTCTCCGATCCGAATGTCCATCTTCTCCGCGAAACCCTTATCGAATAAATATAAAGGACTCTCATCTTTGTTGTTCGACATGTACTCATGGTATATCGAAAAAGACCAATCTACGGCTTCGGCTCGAAACTCAACGTTCGAATATTTGTTTTTGAATTTCTGGATGTTCCAGTCGCTGCATACTGGCCATCGTTGAATGCAATCAGTCAGTATGAATGGCTTACTACTCCAACTCTCTGCGAAATCATCATAGCTAAGTTGTTCAAACCGCATAATTTGATTTGCTTCAGGAATATTTGACGAGTATTTCCCAAGGGCAATATGAGCACAGACGAATGGCCTATGCATGACATCAGAGAAGACATTGCTACAGTCAATCCCAGACCGCCATCCAGTGGGTGCTCTCAAAAGCGTGCTTCTCCACGAACCTTTCCAGGTAAGTGGTGGAAAACTAGTCCTAAATAGTTGAATATACGGATCAGTCAGACGGCACATGAGACATGTACATATATTACTCCTTCCACCAAGGAGTCATATATGACTGGTTTCTTTCACATGATTATAGCATATCACTTACTCAAGGAATAAAGCTTTCCATAAGTCGTCTAGTTGACAAAACGCATAGAGAAAGCGACAAGAGAACCCGATATTTTTCAAAGATGTAGTATCGAGATATTCGAGAATCTGCAAAATCATCTCGTCTGGGAGTTGGTTCATCGAACCAATAGATCGACGAGCGTTTGGACCAGATGCAAGATACTGGTTCCCAAGCGGTTTGACGCCCATTGGGTGGACGGGGATGGAATCTGACGATATCCTGGTGGTTGGTATAGCCAACTCGCCTCCGTCTGCTATTGAACCACCACTCACGCCCCCTTGATCGATGCCTTTCGCTAGTAGCATAGTTGTTACTAGATAACTGCCCCTTTAGGACAAGTTCTTAGTTGAAGCAGTCACTATGTGCCTGTATGCTTGAGACTGGAATGCTTCGCCACAATAGTAGCAATTCAACGTCGATGAGTCATAAGATTATATCCATGAAACCCTCTTCTAAAAACTGGAAAGTTCGAGCTTTGTGGTAGATATTATGTTTTGTGGGCCATAAAATTGAGTCAACTTGCATGGGAAGGTTGAACGAACTAAAAAAAAAATAAAAATAAAAAAATGTAATGGGCACGGTAAAAATAAAAATCGTCTGTTTCCGCGCTGCATAAAACTTTCCACTTTCTAGGCTGCCAAGGTACAATACAAAGTTTAGGCCCCGCAATCAGGGTTTCCCCGAAGTTTTACCCCCACTCAAATTTTTTTCCCTACCTCTTTATGTCAACCTCGATCTTGGGCTTTTCCTCCCACCTTTGATTTTTCTCAATCCTAACCGATTAATCGACACAACGCAAAGTTACTATCACCGTCGGATTGTTTTGCTCTCTCATTTTTTGAGAGCACTCGGTCCATTCTTTTCACAGATTTATCTTTCTACGCAGGACGACTTGCTTTGTGCAAAGTTCGTGCGCCCATTTTCTACATAACCCCACCAAAGATCGCCCCCCTAAGTCCTCCTGAATTCTAAGCTGAGCTTGGAATTCGAGAGGTCGCATCGATCTATTACTTGCAATCATGGCTACCGACAAGGGGCTCGAGGATATCGAGTCTTCCCAGATCGAGTCTAACTATGACGAGACTGTCGAATCCTTTGATGAGATGAACCTGCGAGCCGAGCTGTTGCGAGGTAAGAGACAACACCACCGACCCCGAATTTTCTACGAACTTTCCCCCCCCAAAAAAATTTGCGACGATTAGCGACTAATATTTTATTACCCTACAGGTGTCTACGCTTATGGCTTCGAGCGTCCTTCTGCTATCCAGCAGCGCGCCATTATGCCTGTTATCAAGGGTATGTATCTACGCGACTTCTTCTCCCCTCTATCATCATATGCGCCAAATACTAACCTGCGGATAGGTCACGACGTGATTGCGCAGGCCCAGTCAGGAACTGGCAAGACCGCCACTTTCTCCATTTCCGTTCTTCAGAAGATCGACCCTACCGTTAAGCAGTGCCAGGCACTGATTCTTGCCCCGACCCGTGAGCTGGCTCAGCAGATTCAGAAGGTCGTCGTCGCCATCGGCGATTTCATGAGCATTGAGTGCCATGCTTGCATTGGTGGAACTAGCGTTCGTGAGGACATGAAGGCTCTTCAGGAAGGCCCTCAGGTCGTTGTCGGCACTCCTGGCCGTGTCCACGACATGATCCAGCGACGTTTCTTGAAGACCGATGGAATGAAGATGTTCGTCCTAGATGAGGCTGATGAGATGCTTTCTGTAAGTACCTCATTAAAATCATGATTTGCCACTGGAGATACTAATACTTTTATTTAGCGTGGTTTCACAGAGCAGATCTACGACATCTTCCAGCTCCTGCCTCAGTCTACACAGGTCGTTCTTCTCTCTGCCACTATGCCCCAGGACGTTCTCGAGGTCACGACTAAGTTTATGCGCGACCCTGTCCGTATTTTGGTGAAGAAGGACGAACTTACCCTCGAAGGTATCAAGCAGTTCTACATTGCTGTCGAAAAGGAGGACTGGAAACTCGACACTCTCTCCGATCTATACGAGACGGTTACCATCACCCAAGCCGTCATCTTCTGTAACACTCGCCGAAAGGTCGACTGGCTCACTGAGAAGCTCACCTCCCGTGACTTCACCGTGTCCGCTATGCACGGCGACATGGACCAGGCGCAGCGTGACTTGATCATGAAGGAGTTCCGTTCCGGATCCTCTCGTGTTTTGATCGCCACCGATCTCTTGGCTCGTGGTATCGATGTCCAGCAGGTGTCTCTAGTCATCAACTACGATCTCCCTGCTAACCGTGAGAACTACATCCACCGTATCGGTCGTGGTGGTCGTTTCGGCCGAAAGGGTGTTGCCATCAACTTCGTCACTGCTGAGGATGTCCGCATGATGCGCGAGATTGAGCAGTTCTACAGCACCCAGATCGAGGAGATGCCTATGAACGTTGCTGATCTTATCTAAGCATCGGCGGTGCTTCTTACCGGCAGTGGTCTAATGCATCACTCGGATAAGGTGGCCGGTGTTTTGACGCTGACTATGACGTTCCGAGGAATGAACAGACGAGGTTTGAGGTTCTCGTCCTGCATGATTTCATTATACACGTCTCGCTTATGAGCCGTGGTCGATCAAGGGGGGTAAAAGATCCATTGCATCTGGGCATTTGCGGCTAGGTAGTTAGCACCTAATTCGGTAATGCATGTGGCCTGATGATAGGGATCGTGGACCAGGTTATCACTTCTTTTCCGTGCTACTATGTACCTAGGTCGCCAGAACTTTCCTAAATAAACGCTGAACTTTATGTTATATTTCTTTCGTCTCAGATGTGCTTTAGACTTATATTGTTTTAATTAGAGACGGTATCTAGTGATATCGTCATGAATGATCTATATACATATACTATAACCTCCAACCGTTAACATCATCAGGACTCCCCATGGTCACATATTTAGCTATTCTAGGTGTAATATGCGCTATCCTATCACGAAGGAAGGCACTGCTTAACGTAGTAAAATTGGGCAAGAGGTCGCAACTTTGATTATACAATGTGACTTCCTCATATATCCGGGCCCTCCCAACTCTCGTAAGTTTTTCCCTTCCTTTTCTCCTCATCTCTATCACATCAGATAATCAAGCCTTCCGGTTTAATCACTTTGCGATTCTACCACGATAGCTATCACCCGTGCCACTTCTGCTTATTGCGCCATGCAACCCACAGAAGAAACGCAGAAACTTGTCAGAGCGGCCCGGTTAGAGGAGAAGCTTCAGCGACCCGAGAACCAACTAAATGCCCTGAGACTTGTCCAAGCACTTACAATTAAGGAGATATATGGTGCTAAAAGGCAACTGGACTTAATCGAAGTCGGATTCAGTAAGCTCCAAGAAGCTAGCATTGCGGAAGGTAATCGCAATGGAACTGTCGAAAAACATTTGGAAGAACTCCGAAGGGATAGGGAGAACTTTCAGCTGCTGATATCCGAGGCAGAAGCAACTACCAAGAATACTAAAGACGATCTCGACGGCCTCCGGGTTAAGCTTAGAGACGAGTATTTCAAACTAACCGCGGACAATACCAGGTTTAGTAAAGACATCAAGATGCTCACTAAACAGATGGATCACCACCAAGAACAAGTATCCACTGTTGAGAAGGCCGTCGAGGATTTTCGCTCAACGCTACCAAACCCTCAGGATATCACTACAATAACCGAAACTCTGGCTCGCATAGAACCCATGGTGAAATCCCTGTACGAGAAACTCGATTCTGTATCTAGGATCACCCTTGACCAGAAACAAGCATTGGAGGAGACTATCAGCGACCACGCGAGGATCCGAGAGTTTCTTGAAGGCTTCATCCCCAGACAAGATGACTTTTTCCAATTCCTCGAAAAGGTCCCCGAGATGATTTCATCAGGAGGTAAGGCTGAACTTCACAAGGGTGTTTCTATCAGATACTAACTGGTTCTTATCAGATTTATCCCTGAACGGGATGGCGAACGACGAAAACTCAAGCCAACTAGCAAATTTCAGTACTTCGTGTCCGCAACCGCCACAGAAAGCAGTTCTAATGCTCGAGCAATACAACCACTTCAGCCACTCATATCGAATCAAGCATCCCAAGAGCGAGGCCAGGTTTATTAGACAGTATCTCAAGAAGATAGACCATAGGGCCGCATGGCTGGTCCAGATAAAGCTCCAACAGGAGTATCCTGATCTAGTGGAACCACTTCAATTCCCTGAAATAAGCAACAGAACGGATGTGGTGATATTCCTCGACATCGAAAAACTAACTTGGAACCACATCAAGATCATAATGCGTCGGATCAACGGTAGGGAATTGTTCAATCTATTGGAGATGGCTGAACAGGGGGAGGGTACGTCATTGCCTTGTAACAGGCTAATGATAGAGACACCGTAACCCAGATTCACGCCTACTTCCCTATTTTCAGTGAAGGACCTCCGACGAGAACACCTACAGTGTAGTTATGGAGAATCGTTTATATTGTTTCAAGAGATGTCTCCCATCTTTGTCAATAACTTCAGTCAGCCATTAAATATACATAGGCTGGGAATTCCTGTTACACTTATGGACAGTTATACGACACGTTCTCTTGTAGCAAAATGCTATACATAGCTATTCTTGTTCCAACTTATCTTTCCCTCAATTTGTTCTTAATTTCATCAAACTCCGAATATATGCCGTTCATTTCAACCCGAGGTTCTCCGTATCGTTCGATAGTCCCGTGGTATCTAGGCCGGTATACTTGTTGATCCAACCTAATACCTCTTTATGCCAGACCAGGGAATTCTCAGGCTTCAACACCCACTAGGAGAAATTTTCGATTAGCAATGTTTCACTATACGATCCAATGAAAGGCCATGATGACTTACGTGGTTTTCGTCGGGGAACATCAGGAACCGGCTCGGAACACCGCGTGTTTGAAGTGCTGCAGATTAAATTCATGTTAGCTGGCGCTTCTCAAAAGTACTTATATACGTATCCAATCTCGACTTTCGACGTACCGTTGAACGCAGCCAATCCTTCTGAAATAGGTAAGCGGTAATCGAGCTCGCTGTGTATAATGAGCTGAGGCGTGGCCCACTCGCCGACGGAAGCAGCGGGGTCCCAGCGCGCGTACCCCTCGTGGTTCTCCCACAGGGTACCGCCCATCTCGTGGACGGGGAAGAAGAGCTCCTCGGTCGACCAGTTGCTCATGGTGCTGAAGATGCCGTCGTGGCAGACGAGGGCCTTGAATTTCCGGCCGAGGGGGTGGCCTTGGACCCAGTCTTTAGGGAGATTGTTGTTAGTACAGACCCCAATGATAAAAGGGAAAGGCTATGGGGGACGGGAGACTTACTGATCATATAGCCACCATACGAGGCACCAAGAGCCACAGCGTTGGTCGTGTCGATGTAGGGGATATTGTCTTCGATGTACTCGAAGGCGTTCACCACTGTAGATTCTTTGGTTAGTAAATGTCATCTAAAGTTAGGCCACAGAAGTAAGAATGTGCTATCGGCTGTCCTGCAAGGATGACATCCGCGGGTAGAGAATTCATCTTTCAAGACATGGATAAAAGGGGTTGGTTCCTAGCTGAGAAGTCTGATACTTACAGTCGTTATAAGGGCGTCCACCCCATTCATTAGCAATCCCATCAGTAAAAGCCTGTCCGTATCCAGTGCTTCCAGTCGGGTTTGGCATCACAGCAACGTAGCCCTGTTCAGCAAACACGGCCGGATTCCATCTCGTGCTCCAGCTCTGTCCCCAAGCTCCCTGCGGTCCGCCGTGGATTAGGAATGCCAAGGGGTACTTCTTATTAGGGTCGAAGTTGGATGGCTTCATCACCAAGGCGTGGACTTGATAGTCGCCTGCTCCCTTGTACCAGAACTCGTCTACCTGGCGGCTACTCAGGCCGAACGACTTGCCCTCCTTAGAGCTAGAGGATATGAGACCTCGTTCCTTCGAGCGGGGGTTGAGTATCGAGTACGAGGAGTTATCTATAAGGGAAGTAGATGTGAGGAAGAGACGGTCGTCGTCTTTGGATAGGGTGTGGAAGTCGCCCACCGTGCCATCTGTCGTCAACGGTTGTGGTAGCTCCGTGGCCTTCAAGGGACTTGAGGGGAGCTTGAATAGGATCTGTCGACCATTCTTCTCGGCTGTAACGTACAATTCAGAGTCGTCGTTACTCCACACGATGCCCTCAGGCCGTAAGTCCCAGCCACCCTCACCATCGTCCGTCTTGTAGAATTCCTGCACGTTGCTTAGGTCCTTGATGTCGGGAATTAACAGAAGTCGCCACTTGTCCGATTCGTACTGTTTGTGTCGCATGCGCTTGAACACCACTTTAGTTCCGTCGTGCGAGAATACGGGGACACCGGCGTAGCCCTGTAGCTCACCCGTCTTGACGATCTGCGGGAACGGCGCTTTAGCTTCCGTAAAGGTCTTCAGAGGTACATAGTATAGGTCTGTCTTAGTCCACAGAGCAGGGTTTAGCTCTGGGTCCTTCGACACGAAGACTATCCCTTCTTTTCCGATATCATAGTCGTTCGCGTCTCCGAAAGGTGGCACCGGACACTCCAACTTCGTGCCTGCTAGTGCATTCACTAGACCCTGGCCTTGCAGCTTGAACGACCCACCCTCCTTCTTCAGTGCGCCGTAGAAGAGGCCTTGCTTGTTCTTGGATACATACGAATCCCAGTGGCGCACAAATAGTTTGGTGTAGACCTTGGCAGAGGATTGAGGCTTGGTCTCATCTGTCTGATCTAACAGCTCTCCGGAAGATGTAGTGGGGGCCGTAAAGGCGAAGGCTATGGTACCGTTACCAATGTCTTTGGCTTTGACATTGGATACTGAGGTGTTGACGGTAGTTATCTCATACGGACTAGGTACATATGTAAGTATGGTAATTTACCTGAAACTCCTAAGTATATCAACTCCGGTAACTTACTCCGAACGAGGCTTGGTTGCATCAGCTATCAGCAGAGTTGTAGTAGATTCACCACCCTTCAACACCAGAAACTCATTTTCTGAAATCCAGGTGGGCTCGGAATAAGCCGAATCATCGAACAACGGGGTTGATTGCTGAGTCTTGATATCCAAGACCTTAATAGCATAGTTCCTAGAGTGTGACTCGAAAGAGTATTGTGATACTGAATGACATTAGCTTCATCTACATCTACCTAAGTACCTAGGCGTCGGATCAAGAGCATACCGGTGAATAAAGCAAGGGTACCGGTGGAATTGGGTAAGGCTGCACTGCGGCGTGGCGCGGAGAGGAGCACCTCCGGGGTGAATTTGGTAGCCATAATCGTCATCGTGAACGGGAATGGAGAATAATAACAAGGATGATTAGATGAATTGAGTCCAACGAACAGTCAGGTATACAAGATATATAATATAGCTCTCAATAGATGATCACAATAACCATTTTAGGAAGCTCCCTCTGACCACGTACTGTCTACTTTGTTGGCCATCAAGGCAGATCAGGGTGTCCATCGAGGGGTGCCCACATTGACACCTAGGTACCATTTACGTAACTAAAGGGTTCCAAGGTTAATGGGGTTGGTTGGCCACTCCCCCGCTGGCTCCCCGCATATTAAAAAAGAAAAAGGCACTTAAATGCATACATGTATGTAGTACCTACATAATTCATAAAAATCAATAATGCGTTATGAAATCCCATTGTGAAAGTACCTAAGTACATGAAAACTGCAAATGTAGAAACGAGGCATAACACCATTGTGCCATCTCGGCCGTTATGCTATCTCGCTAAGGTTATGCTATCTCGCTAAGGACGTAGTTGTCCATCATCCAGACGGTCGGGTATCTTTTAAGGAACAGACGTGAGAACTTGAATGCGTGAAACCCTCTGAAGAAATCAAAGCAGAAATGTTCCCTAACCATGAAAATTCCCGAATGTATCCGACGCCATAAACCCCGAGCTTACTCCTAATTGAAATTGTGAAAGTGATTGTCGAGGCGTGTTTGAAGTCTATGCTGCATCTCTCGCAGGGCGCAGAGACCGCACACTCCGATGTCCGCAGGGGCGTCAGGGTCGTAGGCGAGAAGAAGAGCAGGCGGAAGGACGCAGTAGCAGTCATGGCGCCTGTTATTTCCGTGCGGCCCCGAAATGCGTACGTATCTTCTTTCCGTCCCTTGACTCGTTCTCGCTATCGTCTCCATCCAGATCACCACCCTTCCGGACATGGGGTCGCTTCTTTGGATGCTTACTGCCCTTATTTGATGATTTCTCAGTTGCTGAAGTAGGCGTCGGTTGACCCGATCCACTGTCTCGGGTGCCGCCGCCGAAGGTCGTGGAGATTGGGGTCGGTGCAGCCGGAGTGGAAATTGCAGAGAGTACGTCGACATTGTCAGGCTACAGCAGGTAGAGCAGAAGGTTAGAAGATGTTCTGCGACAATGCGGGGATGCAGGTGAGATGAGAGAGAATATAGTGAGACTTACGTGCAGACTGTTATGCGATATTGACGATCGCGACCATATATAATCCTCTTCTTTCAATTCGCCTTGCTTGCGTTGCGCGGCGGAACTGGTGCCCTTGATGTAATTGTCGAAACCTTTGACGATATTGCCGAAGCGCGTATTGCTCAGGTACTTTGCTTCGAGATCGACTATATTTTGTTCAAGTTGTGCCTAAGGCGGAGTGGTCAGAAGTTAAGTTGTTTGTCTTAAGAAGTTGAGGAGTGGAAAAAAAGAAGACGCGACTTACCAATTGACGGTCTTGCTGTTTTCGTTTCGTGAGAAGTTCTTTGAGATTTTGCCGTTGCTTGTTATATTCTGCTAAGGCAGCCGGGCGATCACCATTGGCAGTTGCACCCCCGCCAGGTTGAGTATTTTCTGTCATGATGGATCAGCTGTAAAGAGAATTCTGTCGTCGTGACTACACACAGGATGGTGGCAGCGTTGTTGTTGAAGATATATGAATTTACTTTACCTAAATCGGGTTAAGTACATAATTAGCCCCACATTCAAAGAATCAATATGCACGGTGCATTTTATATTTTTAACACAATCAGTGCTACTGTACAGTGCATGCAATGCCTGGTACCAGGGATCTTGTACCGATGTACTCTTACCTACAACCTTGAATATTCAATTTTATCATGAAGAATCACATGTGTAAATTATAACCAGCAACATCGAAATAAGAACTAGATCTTGAGGTCCACATTCTTTACTCTAGTTGATACTACCTGATATGCTTTTGCATAGGTAGGGTTTCTAATTACAAGTGTAGAGTACCTACAGGTAATAAACATTGGTCATATCTACCAACCCAACTTCACCCGGCGCTGATAAATATTGCCGGAAGCATCACAATATGGCTATAGTATCAGCAATTACAGACATTGAACATACCATAACAAAACCAATAACTAGGTAAATATATCTATATAATACCCTACTGAATCGCGAAGATGATGACATGCACTAGTCCCAAGCCGAGATTTACGTAGTAGCAAGTCTATTGTCTCATCATCTATCTGCTATTTGCCATACACTCATGAGTGAAAGCACAACGCATGTTTTGTGTTACTGACCTCGAAACCTTTACCAAAATATAGTCAAATTGGACACCAATTAGCCTAGTCATGCCTCCTTGGATGGCCTGGTTCTGCAAGTCCTGGGAGTCTAGGAAGATTAGCCTCGCCCCTTGATGTTATCTCTACTTGAGGTGCTTCTCATCTTCTTTATTCGCTCCTTCAGAAGCTTTTCTCGTAGCTCATTGGCTTGCTGCTGCGGAGTCTTGGTCTGATGAAGAATGAGAGTCAGTTCTCAGTCTGAACAATCATATGGTGAGACGAACGCCCTAAGGCCCTAAGAAGAGGAACCAACCTCATCGACCTTCGAGGCCGCGCGTTGTCTTGGGGATTGGGGTCTATTTTCATCTTCCGAAATATCAGCTGATCTGTCACGGTTGCGAGGGGGATCAGCAGAGTATCTCCGCTTTCTCGAAGGGACGTCTCTAGATTTGCTATCCTCTCTGCGTCTTCGCCGACTTCTTTGTCGTGGCCGCCTTGTTTCCTCCGATGATTCGGCCGGTGTTGGGCTTCGGGTTGGGGACCGCCTTAGTCTTCCCCGGCGATTAGGCGAAGGGCTGCGACTGATAAGTTCGCGGACCGGTCTTCGTCTAGGACTACGGCTGCGTGATCGTGAAGGAGAAGACGATGGGGAACGGCTTAGCCGTCGGATGTCTCGGCGGGGAGACCTTGACCGGCTAGGCGAGTCTGAGTACCTACGCCTTTTGGGCGCTGGAGAGCGAGATCTACTACTCTCGGATCTATTTCCATTTTCTGGGGAAGAGGTATTTCTGCGATCGTCTCGATGACTTCTGTAGTCTCTTGCTCGCACGGGTGATCGCTCTCGTTTTGCTAGGTTCCTGTATCGAGGTGGCGACCGACGGCCTCTAGAGCGACGGCGTGGTGGAGTAGGTGATCGCCGGCTGCGGTTGCTAGCTGTACTACGCGACCGAGAACGAGACGTAGAACCTCTCGACTCGGGACTCGCGGAGCGGGACGAAGAACGGCCGCGTCGAAATTCCTGTCGACTCCCACGTCGGCTTTGAGGCACATAGCGGTCGCGGTCACGGTCGCGATCACGGTTGTTATGGTATGAGTCTCGTTCTCGTCTGGGGGGGGAAATAGATCGATCGCCGCCCCGACCGAATCCTCTACCTCGGCCTCCAAAAGCTCGATCACCACCACGTCTCCCACCGCCACGCCAGTTGTCGCCGCGTCCACCGCGGAAGCTACGTTCCCGGCGTTCCCGATCTCGGATGTCTGATAGTTCGCGCTCGCGGCGCTCTTGGTTTTCTCGTCGAATTCGTGCCTCTTCGGCGGCTTTATCTGCATCAATCTAATAATAGTCAGTACAGCTTCGGGTATGACATAATCGGATTATAGTACCTTCTCTTGAATAAGTTCCAACTTCTTCGCTTCTAGTAGCTCCTTAGGCACGCCCTGGGGGCTAGACTGAGCGCTCAAGCAAAGATTCCATAAATCCTTGCAGAATTGTGCGGTGTCTTTATCGAGGAAGCCGGTGAGATGGATCTGCATAGCCTTGATGTCGGGCTGCGTCATACAATGTCAGTAATGCCCGAAGAATTATAGAATTATAGCAAGGGTAAGCTCACGTATCGGGGTCCCTCGATCAGGTTAAAACAGAGCTCGGTGACTACATCATCTTCGGATCCTAATATTTCAGAGATCTTGCCCGCAATCCATCTGTAAATGTTCCAATTAGTTGCTGAACAGCTTGATGACGTGTAATATGATACGAACTTCTTCATGACTTGAAGGTTGACTTTTTGCATGTCGACCTTCTGGTTGAACTCGGGAGGAAATTTTGTCGCTCTCAAGAGCTTCGCGTCAACACTGCTCGCCATGTTGCGCGTTTGTTGGTGGTGGTCAACTACAAAAGTTTTCTGTCTATTCGTCAATACGATGAGCGAAAATGTGGAAGGATTGAAATGCAGGACTAAAGAAAAATGACGTCTGGGAAAAGGCGTATCTGGCCTGGTTCAGCGTTTCAGTGGTTGTCAAGGTTGGATGCAAAAGCTTGGGATTGAAACTTCTTCCAGTTGGGAGCAACTGCCCGCCGCAATGGTGCCAGATGACTAAAGATTACCAGGGCCCATGCAATATAATGGAGATTTGTGGCCCGTGCGTGATTTAGACCGGAAAACGTAGTCCCGAACCAAATGCGTATTTCGTAAGGTTTCTCCTCACCGACTACTGTACCTAGGGACCTGTCTGCCTGACAGCCTGAAAGCAGCTAAAATAGTGCGATAGGATTGCCGTCATTCTTGGTTAGTTATAGTTAGAGAAGCTGAAAGTTCACAAGGTGAAAGCATGTCTCGTTATTTTAACTTTCGAATTCCTATTAGATCATGAGTATATCACTACTTGAGGCTAATTTCTATATGTGTAAATATTTACAACTTGCCATTTGTATAGAAGCTCAATGGGATACATACTCCTTAAGACCGATTGGCCAATTCAAACTTTTTCTAGAAGCCATCACATACCCGAGTTTATATCGTTCTATAAACATACGTGTGGTGTATCTCCTATTAATATGATCACCTACCTATCAGAACACCCCGAAGAATATTCGAAGGACACCCGAATACATGTAAATCAGTTACATTAATGGCAAGTAGTACAAGCTGCAACCCATCAGATCCAAAAATAGGACCCTTATGACGCAGATGGGTGGATTAATAAGAATAAACAATGTGAGGTCATCTTACCAATCTTGCCATCTTACCTACATCCGGCAATCCCATTTTTGTTGCTCTGCGAGAGATAACCGTGGACGTCCGATACCTCTCGGACATCGGTGGCTTCAGAGTTAATCGGTCAGCAAGAATAGGATAAGGTAGGGTTATGAAATCGTAGCAGACTCCAATCATTGCCGTGGAGCGCTCGTTGTGTATATTCGTGTACCGCCTTTGCCAAATTATAATTAATTCCGAAATCGATGTTCGCCCATACATGTAATAATCATTTCTCAATCATAGTAACCGACCCAGTTAACCCAGCATGACTTACTCAACCATATTCAGCCAGCTCATACGCCTTTTGTTCCCAGGAGCATCCACGCTCGTTCATGATGGCTTGCTTATCCGCTTCCATTTCGTCCGCTTGGTCCTTTTGTAACGCCTATGAAAACCATGATGCAGTTGTTCGTTAGAGTATCCCGAGAATCCAGTCGAGCTGTGTTGTTGTATATTCACTTGGGGTAGCTTAGTCGGTTTGTATTTTTCCGCTCTTTCTTGTGTTGTTCGGCCAGTTGAGCCTGTTGCTTTGCAGCTAAAGCATTGATCTTCTCACGTGCCTTCACCAAGCCGCTGTTGTCTTGCTCTCTCAATTTGGCCCGAATTTCATATAGGGAGAGGAGCGTGGAAGCTCTATCAATGTCGGCATCTGGTCTCTGAGTCACAAGTTAGTATTCACTATACTATGATAGAGAAGTAAATGTTGTAAAAAGGCATACCTCATTTCCAGAAGGACTCCCAGGCATCGAAGGAGATGCAGAGTTTGTTCTAGTCAATGGCGGTGTGAGCATGCGACGACCAAACTTGTCCGTCATGCGTCCGGCAGGTGAATTCATCCCGCGTTCAGCGGCCGGGACGCTGAGGCTTCTGGGTTCATGCTCTAGCCGTAGTTGACTTTTACGGTCGAGTGTCCGGTTGGCGCCCACCAGATCTTTGGAGGCAGATTGGTCTTGCTACGAAGAATCATCTCAAGTTAGTCAACTTAATTTAAATTATTGATTAGAGGAAGAAAATGCGATCAAGAAGACACTTACGGTAGCTTGGAGATCGTTGAGATCAGCCAGCATTTGTGCTAGCTGTAGAGCTTCCATAACGTCGCATTCGACAAAAAACCACCAACGATGGCGATTGTAAAGATATCAAACAAAATCCAAGTCCAAGTAAAGGAAAGCTTGCGCAACTTCGTCAGATAAAAACTTGGGCGAAATTACGAAGTTATCGATGGGATGAAAGCCAAGACAGGTTGGTCTTGTGATGATACCAGGTATTTCAAGTGTTATTATCAAGGTGGGTTTAGAGACTTTTCACTTTGCAGGGGAAGAATGGAGGTGAGAGAAATAAATTATTTAACTCAGTAAAGCGTTGTGGAGTCGCTGGAGTGCTCTTACCCCAGGTCCAGACCCGGCTAGTCCGGCGCCCAGGCATTTTATAGAGACTCCCCCCCACGTTTTGAACTTCACCCCATTCGTCATTGCAACCCACTTTGTAATCCTTGCATCCTTTGGAACTTCCGGACGCATTCGATTACACATCCAACGTTATTCCGTGGATCTACGTACTCCATACTGAGGAAGAGGTAACTTTTAGCTGGTGGACCCCCCGCGGATGATACCTGTGGGCACCCATCCAATCGCCTAACACCTCTACGGGATAGTGCCAGGGTTTTAATTAATCCCGTCACTAGCGACTCGTAGCGGCAGCGGTAGCGGCTCATAATGGCTCAAAGCATTTTAGAAGCCGAACATCGGGTCATTTTTATATAGTCGTCGTCACTGAGACGTTGAAGTTCCATCTCCGCAGACGTTGCCGAACAAGCTTGAGGTTATAAAGGTTGGATACGTCGCAGTTGCAAGAGACGGAGGTTTCTTCGTCATCGCTCTTTTTGCATGTAAGTTAAGCACGCAGGATTCAAGGCGCCCCTGAAAGATACCCGTTGCTAACGATAGCTCTGCAAGACAATGAATGTTTTCCGCCGCAGTATGGCGTCAGTGGCTTCTTTGAAACAGGCTGGCAAGGTCGTCTGCATCGGTCGTAACTATGCGTAAGTACTGCATTTATAATCCTCCCACGGCAGGGGGTGTCAAAAGGGCGAAAAAGTTTAACATCAATCGTACAGGGACCATATTGCCGAGTTGAACAGTGCTAGGCCAAAGCAGCCTTTCTTCTTTTTGAAGCCTACATCTTCAGTTCTATTACCTGGCGCTGGACCCGTTATCCGACCAAAGGGTGTAGACCTTCATTATGAAGTTGAATTGGCTCTCATCCTGGGTAAGCAAGTGAAAGACCTTGCAGTGGATGATGAGAAGGGAGCCTTTGATGCAATTGCACGTAAGTTGCTTACAAAGCCATGTGACTTACAGCTTCATTCAATAATCTAACCCATTATTGAAGACTATGCTCTTAGCATTGACATGACTGCGAGAAACATTCAAAATGAGGCCAAGAAAAAGGGGCTGCCTTGGTCAATTGCCAAGGGCTTCGATACCTTTTTACCAATGAGCAATCTCATCGAGAAATCAGCAATCCCCAACCCTCATGCCATAGATATATATCTCACCGTCAACAACAACGTTCAACAGGCGGATTCTACGGAGCTCATGCTTTTCCAAATCCCAAGGATACTAAGCGATATCTCTAAGACTATGACTCTTGAGAAGGGAGATATTATTCTTACTGGAACACCAAAAGGTGTTGGTCCGGTCGTGCCAGGCGATGTCATGCGTGCCGGCATTAAGATCAACGGCAAGGAAATCGAGGAGAGCAAGATTGAGGTCGCAGTTGAGGAATCTACGAGCTCATATGAGTACGCAGAGACATAAATTTATGTAATAGACCTTGTTATGATTGGTAAATGCTTCCAACCCTATCCCTTGCAGTCCTTGTATATCAATACAACTTAGGTATATAGAAAACTCAATTATTTTCCAACAAGCTAGCTCGATGTTCCTGCTAGTCTTTTAAATATTATATGCATGTGTTCATTCTCATTTAAGTGTTCATATCAAGTAAAAATACATCCAAGACATACAGGTATCTAACCCGGTTAGTAATTCAACGCTATTCTAGAGCAATAAGCTAATATAACCATTTGAATCATGTTTATTACCTAAAGTTTATATAGGATATCATCTAGAAAAGTATCGTAAGTTTCGGAAAAATACGCACAGCAATAAAACCCCAACCAAGCCAGACCAAGTTTCCAAAACCCATATATAAGAAAAGAAATATGAGCATAAGCAACGGATTTGGCCATTTTATTTAGCCCTAGTCACAATCTATTCATCTGGCATCCCCCATCGTATGTTACGGTATTGGCTAGTCGGATAGTGAAGATTATTGGGTGTCTCGTCAAGCCAGTCCACGTTCTTCGACATCGTGTTAATCAAGCTTCGAGAACCCCCTCTGTCGCCACTGGCCTCCCAGAAGAACGCACCGCCGAGATCGCGCCACTGGATATACTCCGACTTGAAGTCGATACTTCGAATATCGTCATATGAGACGAGTTCCTTGGCAACGGGGTCGTAGCTATATGTTGCTTTCGCGACACGATCATATATGACCTTGGCCCCTGATTTTGGCAAGTCTTTGTAGAACCAAACTCCGGGTTGTGGGCCTCCCTCTCCAACGCTAGAGTAATTTTGCCCGAGACCAGATGTGCCTTCAAAAGACCGACCGTATAAGGGCATTCCCATAAGAATCTTCCGCGGATGAATGCCTCGGGAAATATAGTGGTCTATAGCATCATCTGTGCTCAGCTTCTTCGCCGTAGGATCCTTTTTATACTCGAATACATTTGCTTGGTGTCCGCTGACGGTATCCCAGCTTCCGGAATAGTCATAAGCCATTAGGTTCCTATCATTTATTAGCATAATATTTCATCGCCAAGGAAAGGTTAGAGCTTACCAAATGTCCACATATTTATTCATAGCGGTCAAATCGAATTTCTCATAGTTTAAGGGGCTGGCTGGGCTCGCTACACTGATAGTAAATCGATGCCTCAATCCATGGAGAAGGGTATATCGGTCAAATGCGTGTCTGCAGGCCTCAAGCAACTTGACGTAATTTTCCTTCTCGATATCATTCGTAGGATACTCCCAGTCTACGTCAATACCATCAAAGCCCCAGTCTGTAACCAGCTTCACAGCAGATGTTGCAAATGTGTGCCTTGCAGCATCAGTCGCAGATGCGGCTGCGAATTTTGGCGAGTAGTTCCAACCTCCTATTGAGAGGAGAGTCTTAAGATTTCGGTTGGACTTCTTGTGAATGAAAAGCTGCTTAACGGCACCATAGACATTTTGAGTACGGTTAGACTTCGAGTCGTCAGGATAGCGCTTCTGAAGGTCGACAACTGGATCTGAAGACTTCACAGTTCCGTCAAGGTCGACATCAGCAAAAGCATAGAGGATGTGTGTGAGTTCGGAAACTGGTAGTTCCTGAGGGTGAAAACCCGAGTTGACACCCCTAGTACGCATGTAAGCTAAAACTAGTCATAAACATAAAATGATACTGCGACTCCTTACCAGTTCGTAAAGTAGACGGCATTCTTGAATCCTCTAAAGTGGCCTGGTGGTTTTGGTGGAGGTATAGGCTCGGTAGGTTCTGCTGGCTGTGATGTGGTCGATGAAGCCGTGCTTGATATGGCTGTAGTCGAAGTTATATTTGAGGGTACAGTTGAAGTTGTCGTCGGGAGAACAGTGGTACTAGCAGTAGTATTGCCAAACGGGGGGCTGGTAACGCTTGTAGTGCTGGAGACGCTTGTGACACTCGTAGTAGTATTTCCAAATGGAGCACTAGTGGCGCTTGTAGAGCTCGTTGTAGTATTTCCACGGGAAGTGCTAGGAACACTGGTAGCACTAGTAGTAGTGTTGCCAAACGGGATACTAGTAGAGCTCGTAACACTTGTAGTGGTATTTCCAAACGGAGCTGTAGTCGTGCTTCCAATACTAGTACTTAGAGTCGTGGTATTCAGCCCCGTAGTTGTTGTGCGAGAAATTGGTGCAGTAGTCGTATTACCCCATGGAGCCCCTGGACAAGTTGGCACTGTCTCATTAGGGGCAGCTGCCGTATATATAGTCCTTGTAGCAAAGATCGTCGTCGTTAAGTAAACGGGATTGCAATCATCGCGCTTTTCTACCCCAGCTACACCACCCAAGAGGAGGCATTGGGTGAACCACCACAAAGAACCTTTCCGCATAGCGACTGAAAGCGCTGATGGAAACGAGTGGATGGTTTCTCGAGAACTATCTTGCTAGGCTAAACCACGGAAACCAAGTCGATTCAGCTTTTGTACGAAAAGCTTGGGTAGTAACGTAAACCGCCACTTTTCACCAGTCTCGGTTTTCGCAGGAGCCCAGACTCGACATGAGTCCCTCCGCTGAGTTATAAGAAGGTACCCAGGTGCCATCTTGGCTCATGGAACGCGTCACTACCAGCAGTCTTCCATTCACCCAACAGGGCGGTCGGGGTCCCAAACCTCATGAGCACATATGCAGGTCATTCTATGAGAGAAGAATTTGAACCAGGTCTTTAGCCTGAGTGGCCAAGACCATGTTATCGGTCCGTAGCAGGGGAGGATATCAGAATGAACGTTTCCATGCTACGGGCCACACATTTCATCGGCTAGGGACACGCAATGCCATTTAAAGGCTATTGGATATCTCAAGAAAAATTGAATAATTGACAAGATGGGGCTTGAGCTGGGTGGTCCGGGAAAAGAGGCGAACAGGGACGTTACTGTCGGTAAAAGGTGGGATAATAACGGGCAATGTTACGGTTGGTTCCCGTCAATTGTAACACTCGATCTGATGCAGGGACAAGGCCTCGCCTCGTGGGATCATTTTGATGGCGCGTCCTTCATATGCGAGCGTGTAGAAGAGAGACTTCTCTTCTGTAGGATATTTTAGTCCTAGATCTAGATCGGATTTCCGTTCCTATCCTCGAATATCACATGTGAATACCACATGGCGACATCGATTCTATACCAATGCCGGTCCGATATTCCCATGGTGAAATGGTTGCTCGCGATATTGAAGAGTGTACGTTATGACTAGATACTTATGAATTAAGACGCAATTATAGCAATACCATTGAAACATGAAGATTATCATCTGGGTTGCAGGTAATATGAATTATTAAATATGTGTAGATCCAATATATGGTACATTTCTAATATAGCGAGTTATTGATTGGATTGGACAGGAGAATTTCACTCACACGGGATCTTATTAATATCAATACAGAGACGACTTGCCGGCATCTGTAGATGATAGTATAGCGAAATCCAGGTTTTACCATGAGTTTGGTTGATCGATCATCCGTAGCTGAGGTTCTTAACAAATAAAAGTTATAAACAGAGCTCGATGAAGCGGGTTCTAAAAGTTAGAAGAGCTTGCCATAATATTGATTGGTTCGGGGAGAATACTCCTCATTTGCCACTCCTGCCACTCCTGTCACTCGATTGACCCCCAATTTCCTTTATCTGACAATATTCGTATACTTGCATTGCCAAAACTTAGTTGTTGCACGTTTGAATATCGATATCGGCATGAATTAACGATACTCTTTCCCAGACGAGGTTGTTCGACTCGTATAACGTATAATTGTTTGCATGTACTAGGTAGTTGAACTCTTATAGACTCCATTGATAAGATGACAAGAAGACACGGCACCTAGCCGTTTGTCACCGCACCTGCCCGCGGACACGGGCAATGAATAGACCAGACTAGTTATGCTGTGTAACCACCAACAGAGCTTATCTACGCCAATAGTCAGAGTTTTGAGTCACTCTTTCCACATACCTAAAGTTGCACATAGCGGGCAGCTGGTATCATTGATATAATATTCTTGTGTAAACTTGCATCAGTACCTAGTACCTAGTGCTAGATGTAGCCTTACTTACGATATCTCTCTGTTACAAGCCTTATTCACTGTTGGTGAGGGGAAGACTGTGCCTCATCCTTGCGGTGGTCGAGTAAGGCTCCGGGTTACCTCAGTTAACCTCCAAACTTTCACAAACGGCTTGCGAACAGCTTGCTTAATCCTTTCAATGCAATCGGCTTCCTGTTTCTTCATACATATAGGCTCCTTGTGAGCTACCTGATGAAAAGGCAGGTATCTTAGCTTTAAGGGATTATGGCCATGGGTCGATCATATTTCCATTCGTCTTCCACTGCGAGCGACGCGGGCGAGTCTCCACCTCCGCCTTACTCAAGTCGACCTCCGTCAATATACCCGAGTTCGAGGAGTGAACGAACGCCGCTAGTCTCAAAACCAGAAATTCATCAAGAGGTCATGCCTTTCTCTGCATGTCTTCAACTACTTGGCCTGATAGTCTTTTTTCTGCCTTTCATCTTCCTCTATAACCTCTTTTTCGGGGGTCCTTCATTACCTTCACCACCCCCACCACCCCCACCACCCATCCCAACTTATTCGGTTGCCATTATCGGTATGTATACCACAGGATACTAGACTTGTATAGATAAACAGACAAGATCTAACTCAGACGTAAAGGTGCCGGACCTGCTGGCATATCTGCAACCCAACATCTCTATTTGGAGTCAAGAGGTAGAGACTTCCATCTCAATATCACCCTCTTTGAATCGGCCCCCGTAATTGGAGGTCAACTAGCTCTCAATGCTTCCGCCGGTGGACTAGTCTTCCCATACGACGATGACGAACAGAGCCCGATAATCGCGGAAGACATTGCTGGTACGGCCCTTGTATGGGGCAATCCTCTCTTTACGAAATCATCGGAGGGAATGCTAGGAGATAACGTGGAATTTTCCGAGTGTCCTAGCCAGCAAGTTGGATAGTAAGAACCTTTAATATACCCGACCATGAATATCTTTAGTGTTGATAACTTCTAGTTACTCCGATCATATCGTCAGCGAGACCACCCGCCCGTATAGCAAGACGCCAATAACCAACTGGCTTGGATTGATATTCAAATATGGTAGCTCCGTATGGCATGCCGGGGCTATGACCAAGGAAGGGACAGGTCTACGAGATCACTTTGTAAACCCGCCCTTAACAACCGATCCCATGCAGCTCATGATATCCTTGGACATCCTCGGTTCTGTGCAAGAACTTGCACGAAACGGACTTGATAATCGAGGCATCAGCGGCGCTTATGTGACCGAGGTCCTTGGACCTCAGGTCCAGCGAGCCCATTTCCAGAAAATTCTAGATACCAGCACCCTAACCACCATGCTAGCTGCGGCCCAGGAGGATTATGCCAGCTTCTACGTTGGTGGCGAGTTAGTCGATAGACTTGAGCAGGTTATCGGCGCAACAAGCGCCAACGTGCGGGCTGGCGCAACAGTAGCGGGCATTAAACATGCATATATCGATGAAGAAAACCCCGCATGGCTCGTCTCATACGGTGCTTCCGGTTTATCAGGCCTTCGAGCCGAGGCGTTTGACAAGGTCATCATTGCAGCCCCAAATTTTGATCTATATCAAGCCTCTTCAATCGACGACATCGAAGCTGCCTCAGTCTTGACGTATCAACCAGTATACATCACATTCTTCACAACACCGTCGCGTTTCCGCTCAGACCTTTTCAACGATCTCAACCAGATACTCTTCTTCGAGGAGCAAGCTGAAAACAGTGCCTTTAGAGGAGTTAGGGAACTCGCGTTCGTGAGAGAAGTCTCCCGAACCCGGGACGATGGTAGCTGGGGCGTGGAGTACCTGTACCGGACTCTGTCAAATGGTGACATCACAGAACAGCTGCAACAGCTTGACCATGAAATCACTTGGCGGTACCAAACAAAAGTAAGTGTCGCTCAAGTATCGTAATCCGTCGCATTGGTTTATATAGGTAACTAACACCACTGGTCATCAGCTTGAAAATGCCTACCCCGACCTGCACCCATTCAGACGGTTCCCGACATTCAAATTATCCGAAAAGAGCCTGTGGTGGACATCAGCTATCCACACTATCGCGAGCACCGTAGACATGAGTTGGCTAGCAGGCCAGATTGTTGCTGGAGAAGTCCTCAAAGAATTGAAGGATTGAGCCAGACTAGGAAGTTGCTAATTCCCTAATTTTCACCGGTAGACGGATCATAATAGTTTCGGTTTAGTTTAGCCTAGCGTAGCTAGGTACATAATGTGTCATGAGAAATGAGATTGATTTGGTTCATGCGTAGTCTCGAGTCTTTATATGGGTTTACAGAACGAGTCCTGATTAGGTAACTGGGTCAAAATGTGCGTAATGCGCACCTTGACCTTTTTCTCTTACCACACATTATGACAAAAAAAGCGACCTTTTATATTTCCATCACCCCGGGTTTTCGCGCAAAGCCTGCCCAGCCTATCCATTGTTCGCCCCATAGATGTCGCTCAATCGTACACCTTGTATGTCTATCCCCGTCCCCTCCACGCGTGATTATGGTTTTACATACCAAGATTATGACTTCAATTAGCCATCTGATCCTCTCGCCCGGATCTAGTATTTTGACGTCTATCCGCTTTTTTATTTAGCGAAGTGGAGGTCGTATCCGAGCCACTTGCGTCGGAGGACTTGATCAACGCTAAGGCCGGGGTAACCGTATGTCAACGGCAGGAAGAAGTACCAGCCGGCAAAAGCCAGAGTCAGGATAACGCCACACGCGATCCATGCTGGGGTCATGCTCTGACCGGCGAACCGCTCTCGAGCGGTGATGTGTCGCCGAGGGCCGGGGGCGCGCTTCTTGCCCGATTTGATTTCGTAGTACGTCGGCTCCTCAGCGGAGGGCTCTGCGTTAAAGACGAACTCCAACAGGGCGCCGACGATGAGACATGAGGTAAGATGAGCAGGGAGGTAGTGGTGTAGGAAGAGCTGGCGTCCCATGAGGTAGAAGGGGAAGTAATGCGTAGCCCAAGCTAGGAAGAAGAACCCAGTAGAGTTGTAGAGACGGGAGCGAGTGCCTTTATTGGAGGTTAGCTGAGTGAGTAGAAAACGGGAGTTAAAAGTATCTTACGATGATCCAATGCATCAATACCACGGCGTAAGGAGACCTGGTCGGCGCCGATAATTCCAGCATAAACCGCGATCAAACTGCTAGCAATCCACCAGCCAATAGGGTTACCCAAGAAGTAAATCTGCTCGCGAGTCTCGTTCTGAGTCCAGAAACTGACACCCCGTAGTAGGAACGGCCATTGGTACGGCTGGCTAGCGTATGGGTGGCTGCTGGTCAACTGGTTATTGTGCCAGAACATGGAACGTTGCAACTCAAACCATTTCCTAAGGAAAGGTAGGCTCTTGACCTGGCGTTCTTCTTTCTGGCGGCGGGGAGAATCTTCTTGAACAGATGGGACGTCCTCCACAATCCATACATTGGAGCTAGGGGCGATCTGCTTGTTACCGTTGATTTCCTGTTGCTTGTGGCCCCATTCGGGAAGGGGCTTCGTATGGGTCCACATCGCAACCTTACTAGGGTTGTGAATAAGCTTGAAATGGCTAGAAACACTCTTGAAGTCTTGGTTGGGTTTGCCATGCTCGATTCTGACCTCAAAGAGAGTTTCCGCTGCGCGGCCTCCGTATGCGTCCTCCATAGAGACAGTAGTAAATTCCTGGTTCGTGGGATAGTAAGGAGAAGCAACATCATGGGACAGCAAGACTGTATCAGTCACCAAGTGTCGCAGTCTTATAAGTTCGTGATTCTTGACATGACGGCCTAACTGGTTGTCATTGACAACGGGAAGAACCTGCCAATAATTGTTGGTGTCGTTGTATGGATATCCCGTAACCTGTTGACCTTGACTAGAAACTCGACCATCATCATAACGGAGAGGGTACTTTGCATCGTGACTGTGTAGATATGCCTTGGTTTCTTTATGTCGGAGCGTGATAGTGTCGTAGTACTCAATGTTAAGGGAATTTGCAAGCATGACGTTGTCGGACAATGTTTCCTGGAACTCGGGGGTCATGAAATCGTCACCGGGGCCAGATCGCGTTAAAATGGCAAAGTGAACCTGGAACCAGAACAAGTAGAATAGGAAAGGCAACACAATCAGTCCGAGAGCGCGAGCACCGAAGTGATATCCGAATTCTCGTAAGCTCAATGCGCCACCAGGTCGTTTAACATCCAGTAAATCCCACAAGTCAATGATAACCGCAGAACCGATCGTGACAAAAGCGAAAAGGCCGACATACTTCGTGGAAATGTCGCACGAAAGAGCAAAGCCGGTCAATATAAGCCATTTCCACCATTTGCGGCTGAAAGCCTCATGTCTTAACTTGTAGAACTTGATATAGCATAGCAGGCAACATGCCATGGCAAGTACAAGCGTAGCATCCAGTAAAATCAAGCGGGTCTGGCCTATGTGGGCATTGTCCAACAAGACGAGACCAGCGGCAACAATACAAGCGGGCAAGCTATATCCAGATTCCCACATGATAAGGTATGTGACAGAGACGGTCAACGAGCCAAGTAGTGCGGGCATAGCGCGAAAGGCCACGTAAGGGACTTTATTCGCAATGTAAGAATCGCCGATGTTCTCGAAATGGAAGTGTCCGTCATATCCTACAAGCCATCCCATAAGAGCAAAGAGTAATTTTCCGAACGGTGGGTGAACATCGAAGAAATAGGTTCTCTCGAGGTAATAGGATGCGAACTAAATGGCAAGAAAATTAGGCGTAAGCTCAGCGTTCTCTACAGCGCACACAAGCAAAAGTTGGGGAGTATGCTTAAAGGCGGTGTCATCTTACTTTACCGAAGTGGACCTCGTCGAAGACGACCTCGTTCGGATGGCTAATACCCCAAAATCTCGAAATGAAAGCCAGGACAGTGATGACAACGAAAGCGATCTTGTAGTCTAGTTCTGAAGAGGCAGGGCTAGCGATCTGCTTCTTGACGAGTTTGTCAAGGCTATCGACCTCCGAGTCCGTACCAGCAGGGCTCCCACTCTTCTTTTTAGAAGAACCGGGCACATTCCGCTGGCGCAGACTACCCTGCGGAGTAGTCGACATGATGTAAAGGAGCGCAGTTAGGAAGAAATTGATCTGTGAGAACTGGTAAGAATTGAGAGTTAGCTGGGGGGGACTTTGATTTTTGGTGGTTTTTGATTCGGATGATTACGTCGCATTTGACGTGTCACAGCATAAGGACACCAGCACCCTTGTATCGTTTCTAGAAATACGCAGTACCAAATATACTTACAGAAACAAAGAAAAACGAAGTAATTCAACCAACCATATGGCCAATTAAAAGACCAAATACTGCGATGGTTGGCGCCGAAGGTTGTCGGGAAGACGAGAGTTGGTGATCAAGAAGAAATGTTCAGAAAGATGGCCCTTGGATTAAAATCTTATTAGACCTAACGCAGGGGAAGCTTCAATGTTGCGGCGCGAGTTGTCCGCGTTCCCACCCTGTGCTACGTAAAAGAGTACTAGGTACATCACTTGAGGTAGGTACTGCACCATTGCACTTGCCTAGCACTGTACATCTTCCTGTTCTTCCAGGGGCTATCGAGTTAATTCTGGCCACTTGGCAACACCTCAGCCTCACGACCCCTTTTTATTAGAACCATCCATGCTGCCATGATCCATATTAGTAGAAGGATCCATCAAAGCCTGAATCTCGTAAAATGTTAGGTCCAAGTTGAAACAACATTAGAGAGAACGGTGACCCACGGCACCCACGTTACCCACGAAGACGGCTAATACCGAAATCTTATCGGCTACAAAAGATCTTATCTACTCATGATGCAGCAAATTCAACGACACCGAAAGGCACAAACAAAACGGTATCCATACAATCGGGAACCTGGAATATCAATGATATTTATACATGAACCCACGTGCATTAGGTGCATCCCCATCTACCGGCAAACAAATACTACCTACCGATCTAAGCTACCGTGACCTCATAGTAACCTTTATGCCTACATATCGCTAAAGATTTAACTTTGCCGTTTACATGTGTACAACGTACTAGGTAGATTCTCAGGTAGTACGGAGCTTGGCAACCTCCACCCACCAAAGCCGGAGGGCCGAAGTACGGAGACCAATGTGAAATCTAAGTGGCTACAAAAATCTCCACGCCCTCCTGTTGACTATGTCCGATTACAAAATATTCACTACCGTTGAGACTTTTGTTACTTAATAACCTAAAGCTATGTCAGTGGCTAGTCGAGCATTCCCAGTTCGATCGCTTCTCTCCTCCACCGTACGTCGTGGTTTACTTCCGATTTCACGAAAACCATTCGTCTCAATAACTTCGACTCCAATCCGCACCATGTCCGATATCACTCACGTCTTCTCTAAGGATGCCGCTCCTCGTAAGTAACACTAATGGAGCACAGAAGTCGAGTAGACTATTACTATTACTAATCGCTAATTGGACATGCAGCTGCCGGCCCTTACGTACGGAATAATGAACCTTGGCTTTTCTATTCTATCTAGACGCTGACTGTGACCATTAGTCTCAAGCTATCAAGACGCCTACTGCTATTTACTGCTCTGGCCAAATCCCTTGTGATGCTCAAGGCAACCTTATAGAGGGAACCATCGGCGAGAAGACAGCATCTTGTATTTCGAACCTAAAGGCTGTCCTTACTGCTGCCGGCTCCTCTATCGAGAAGGTGGTCAAGGTCAATGTCTTCCTAACCGACATGGCCTTGTTCGCCGACGTCAACGTCGAGTACGCGAAGTGGTTCGTCCATAAGCCTGCTCGTAGCTGTGTGGCTGTCAAGCAGCTGCCTAAGGGTGTTGATATTGAGATAGAGTGCATTGCTCTTCCGTAAGAAGTCTCAATAAAAGGACATCGATAGATGTATACCAAAATATATTATCTTCGCCTACATATCTAGGCTAGGCTAATCAATCACGACGTTCTTCAAATTACCTATATTGCAGTTCTTGGATATGAGACATAATCTAGTCTGTCGCGTTGTATTACTTAACACTACCTAATAGGCAAGGATCAAACTCATGATAAGGCATTGATACTAATACCTACCCAGAGATCATATAGTCTAGATACATATAAATCGTCAGATGGTAGCCCTCTTCATTAGCATCAGCTCTTCCGGGGAGATCACTCCATTATTGACCTCGAAGCCTCATATATAGCACTACTTCCTCTGAGGGGTTATACGTACCTGACGAATAGGTACCCTTGTCACTGTGAGTACCTGTGCTTCTTGAACTTCCCAGTCATCTTCAACGCTATTTTCATGGGCCACTTGGGAAGGGCTATGGAGATCACAAGTCTGCTCATCATCTGTGGCAAGATGCGAGTCCCTCCAACCTCCTGGTTCACTTATAATAGATAGCTGCCGGTTGTCACGACGGGCTGCAGGCCCCGATGCCCCAAGATCAATCCAGTTAATAGGGGTTGAAGGGCTGCGCGGAATGTTTGAGGTCTTGCTCGGAAACCCATTGTGCGCTTGTATCATCACATTGATATCTTTTAGTTGTAGTGAAGGCAATCTTGGTACGTTGGCCCTGTTCCAACTAGGGGTTTTGCTAAAGTTGTACACGATCTCGCCAGCAATACCATACCTTATCAAAATTTCGGCCTGCATGTAGACACGGTAAAACTTCTCGATCGATTTTACACTCGGCTCACGAAGTATATCTTGGACTTCCCGTGTACCCTTCGTCTTGGGACCTTGATATACAAGTCTTTCAGCGCGATCACGTTCACTGAGCAACTGAGATAAATCTGAGGTCCTCCCAGACTCGAGGTACGCAATTGTTGCTTCTTGGCCTTGAGCTCGGGGTGTGAAGTCGGTCGTAAAAGCACAAATAGCATTGCGCCGACCGGAAGGTCCTCTGGTTTGTTCTTGCATAGACATGCTTCCAAGTAGTGAGCTTACCCGACGTTCCCTCTCTGTATTATTTTTATCCTTCTTCCCCTTTTTATTGAGGTGCAACCAATTTTTTATGGATTCCATAGTTATGTCATCAATCTGAACAACACATAGGGGCTTACCTTCTGGGCGGTTTTAGGAACCAAAACTAGAATTAATGACTAGCAAGCAGTTTCAAGTATGATAAATATGTCCTGGGTGTTTAAAGACAATAGTTGCCTGTGACAAAGATATAATGCATTGTTAAAAAACCTGAGCTTCTGTGACAAGAAAGTGAGTCGAGAGACATTATCACAAAGCAGGAAACTTGTGAGTTCATTCATACCTATATGGCGTTTCCCTATGATTATCAAACGCTACACAAAGAACGTTACGGGGGGTACTACCTACCATAGCAGAATCAGCACATGACATGAGAGTTATTCATTAGGAAAACTTGCCCAAGTGATACAACAATGATTTTATGATCAAAATGTACTCGCCTAGCAGGTAGGTTAACTACCTATCTAAGAAGCCAGTTGATACGACCGCAAAGCAAGATCGACTACCTGGGGAATAATATCACTATACACTGTGTTTTTAGCCACGTAATCGAGTGAAACTTGAATATCTTTTATCCCTTCATTTGCCATTCATGTATTTGGTGTATCATGTTTGTGCTTCGGAAATCATCTGGTGTTCTCCCCACCATTCACTAGATCAGTGAACAAGACCCCATAGTCTCTTCGTATCAGAGAATGCTATTGTTCACATTTAACTACATTTAATTTCAAGAGAATCAAGCAAAGAAATATTCTTTATGGGTGTTCCTGGCTGTGTATCGACGACGTCTTTGTCTTCCTTCTTCAGACACCAAGAAAAATCGTCCTTGTTCAACTAAATATGACTACTATTGACTCAAACGACACGTAGAGTATCTTCATATCATGAAGAAAAGCCCAGATTCATAACGAACTTTCATTCATTTTTCTATTTAATTGAAACTGTCGAACAGTTCGTACCTATGATCTTCCAACAAGAAACCAATGCCATTCTATTCTAGCTATCCGGCATAGCATTCATTTATTTATTTTCATTTTCAACCGGAACATATTTAGAAACCCAGTCATTACGCAACTTAAAATTAGCAAGATACCCACGATGTGCTTTTCCGACGCGCGCAACCAGAGACAGGAGAGTCGACACGCGGCTACAGGAGCTGCCCGTGGGGCACAGAGCTCGAGTCAAGACTATGGACGGCGCCCTCAACCAACCCAGCAGGCGACGGGTGGTTACGGCTATCCGCAGAACTTTCGAGTGGGTGTTTCATACGATCAGCCCAGGTATTCCCACCAACGTCCATCTAACGATCCCCGCGCCGTCTGGATCCTAGAGCATCGTCAACAAAACAGCCAGCCTCATCCTTATGTTCAGCCCTATACCCAACAGCGCCCTCAGAACCCCCCACAACAATACCCTCAGTATAACAATCGGGGTCAAGGTCAGCAACAGTTTCGGCCTTATCGCCCTGATCCATTGCAGGAAACTAACGTGCAGAATGTCCCAGTCTCGAGACCGATGGTCACTCCGGGGTATAACCAAGAACGACACCAAAGTGTCCACGGAGATATAGGTTATCAGCAACCCAGCCGGGTGGGGTCCACATCCGCGGCCTACTCGAACACTTCGCAAAGGGTTGCGACCATGCCTCAACGCCCAGCTGGCCTTAAGCCCGCGGGCAGACCGATGAACCCAGAGTTGACTCTGTCTAAGTCGCGGCCTGGAAAATTAGTCAGAAGAGACAGCAATGGGGTAAGCGAATGTAGCGATGACGACTATGCAGTAGACTTGAGGAGTTATACTGTCTCGCCGGATATCGCAAGAGGACGTCCTAACCGTCCCCGTAGACCAAGCAAGCATTAGTGCCTGCTCTACCGAACGTTAAGATACCATTATAGCACGTGTGAAACCGGGTTACGTTAGTCGGGGACGATCCCCTCGTTTAGGGACATGGATGGAAAGATGGCCAAGGGAATTTGTCTTCTTTTGTGGACACATGGTCGCTTATGTTTGCTTGGGAACTAGGGTCGGGCGGCGTTAAAGGAGAATTGAATGTTTTGATAGGTCGTTTGATGTATCTTAAGCCTTATTGACATAATCCGACATACGTTAGTCTACAGTAGTTAGCGTGATAACATTCTGCAAAACATCTGCCTTCGCTTGAGTTTACCGAAATTTCGATCATTTTGGTTTATGGTGCGCGTCTAGGTTACGTAGTTCTAATGATGAGATCTGTATCGAAATAGGAATCTCAGGCACCGAGATTTCATTGACGCGCATGTGCGACGATATTAGTATAGACCGGCGTCTTGGAAGGTCGGGAATCCGAGAAGGCTTCTAAATTCGCGACAACGCGATTGGCCGAAGCCATCGTCGTCGTCACGGACCATTAAAGACCACTAAAAGCCATTAAACCTTATTCGATCGATAGGGCTGATGAACACGGATATGTATGTAAGTACTGTAGATAACTCTATTGATGTGACAAGGTTACGCGTTAGCCAATCGTCGCCAAGGATTCTCCATGGATGTGGATGTTTGCGAGCAGACCGAATCTTGGTTGCTCTAGTTATTGTCGAACCTGCATATTCAAGGTTGAAGAAACAAGGGATTACCTTTGGTTGATGGCTTGCACGGGATGCACAATATGCACAATACAGCCAATGTCTGTATCCTCTGTAACATTACAGTTATGTACCAACCTTACCAAGATTGATGACTCAACAGAGGATGCTTCGGTGTCAACACTTCATTCGATCCCACTGATTTAATGATGTGATTCCTCCATTCAGGGGGCAGATGTGGCAGGAGCGTTTCTCGGCAAACGGCATGTTGACCATTCATATCCGCCCTTACTAAAACAATAATTGTATTAGCCTTAATTGTGGAGAAATCCGATTGGAAGTAACGTTCGAAATGACTCGGTATCATTGCTCAGGTGCTCATGTGCTCGCCCGCTCCTGCCCCCGGGAGTTGATAAGAGATCAAATCAGTTATCGATCTACAATTGCCTTGACAGCTCCGGTTGAGCAACCGTGGGAATTACGCCGATGCGGATGAGGAGTCGACTATTAATTTTCGCATTTGCGAGAATAATACGGGATATTCTAAGGGATTAGGACAGGTGCCCCTTATTACTGCAACTATTGGTGCAATAACGGAATACCTAGTACAATATTGTAACAATTAATTGACGTCACTTAGCACTAACAGAAAAAGGCACAGAGACAGAAAAAAAAGAAAAAAGAAACCCGCCGCTCGGATAGATTTTGTAGCACATTTCCGAGCCGGAGTGTATCATTTCCCCCGGAGCCGAATGCGAGATTAGAACGTAAAGGTCATCGGACAATTGAGCATAATAATAACCTTGGAAACCATTGATAGAGCATAGATTGTTGGTCGTCAGTCCTTCATTGTTTGAACCACTGACGAATAGACAATTGTCCATTCCGAGCTCTCAGCGTCCCCTGTTACTGCTAACCGTTGCCGTTACACAACTAGGAGCAAGGAATATTTTTAGGGAAACGACGGCCAAAGAATAGCATGGAATGTCGATGTGTAGGTGCGTCGTTAGTGCTGCACGTATTGGAATGTACGGGACGTATTACCAGGTCCACGGTGTATTACCAAGCTGGGTATTATTAATAAATAAATTTCAAGGCTTAGCGTACTAGAGTAAGAAGTACGGCAGCCACAGCTTGTCGATCTTTGAACTGCTAGTGCCAGCAAGCCAGCGTTGCTATCATTATGCATATTTTCAACGATAAGCAATTAGAGTTGCTTTTCTACCAACATTGCCGACGTATTCCGTGCAGACACGACCGAAGGTCTATTGGAACACAGGAAAACGCGAGAAATGCAACATCTCTTTGTATGTTTTTATGTCTTCTAATGGTCATAGAGTCATAGCATGTATGCGGTTTACGGGCACAGTCAACAAATATGTACGTCCGTAGTGTTTTAAATGGTACGATGTATGGGACCTTTTGTAGAGAGGAGGAAGTGCGAGAAAATGGGTCGCGTACCCACTATCGGTTTAGTGTGAGGCGCTGGGAAGGCGCAGCTGGAGTTACATCTGCCCTAAAGGTACACTAGGACTTTGGCAAGTACTCCCTGTTAGCACGGAAGTGACGGATAGCCGAGTCTACGATACATTTTGGGGTTGGTTATAGTGGGTTCTACTTTGAGATCTAGCTACCTCGACTTAGATATTGGTCCAGTAACTTGACCTACATTGACAGGGGTGCCCCATAATGAACGGCTGCTGCCTAAATCTCCATCCTTTTGAACGACATCTGGACTGTTCATCATCTCAACACCCCAAGGTCCTCTCCTCCAGCTCTTTTCCTTGATTTCCCTCGTCGTGTGCCCGCGTCCTTTACTCGACGAAGCCTTTCTAAACCACGCCGGCTCATTACCAGTGATCTTCCGTATAGGCTGCCACATTTTGTCCTATTCATTTTGCACACTCTGTCCTATTTTATCGGTGTCCTACCTGTTACACTGACTACGCAGTTGGCTTGTGAAGACCATTTGACGCGCCATTCTTCATTGCCCATTGTCCATTCTTCGTTAATCTTTTTTTGAACTTGGCCGAACCGTTTGCCTGGTTTCTCAGTCCCTTCCCGCTTAAGCAAATCGTTCGACTTTTTAGTCCCGTTTCTCGCAAATCGCGCCTCCGCATTTACACGAGCTCTGTCAGCAAGCACACAGCATTGCCCGTGGATCTTTTTATACATCAGCTCATCCATCCCACTATATTCGCCTCTCAAAGTAAGGTCGACTCCTGTCTCATCCCTCAAATTCATCAATCCCTACCATCTATATATTTTCCCTATCGTCTTGTTGAACCCCCTATCGATTGACCAATGTCAAGTTGTCAATTGTAACATCTCTTGGACACCTCAGGCCATATCAAATTCGGTGTAGGACTTTTGTGACTCATAGGCCTGCTCAGCCTTATGGTGCATAATTGTGCTAACCGTTACCGTGTCTTGACACAGTTTCCTACAGAGATATCATCGAGCTTCTTCCGTCTACCATAAATCTGTACCCCACACCCCCGTGTTATACCGAGTCATCACCATGTCCTTCTCCAACCCTCGAAGGACTCCGGTGACTCGCCCGGACTCTGCTACCGGCAATGGCTTGACCCTTAAGACGAACCTGACCCTACGGAAGGGTGCAACTTTCCATTCTCCTGTTACTCCTCCGTGTAGTCCACCTGCTGCTACTACATTCAAGGTACCATCTCTACCTCGTCGATCACAAACAACTCTTGATGATGTTGTCGATGCTCACGTTCGTCGTGCTGCCATGAACATTGGCAAGTTCGAGGTCACCCTATCTACTATCAAGGCCGAGCCCACTTCCCCCTCTAGCTCTCTACCGGAAGATATCCTTCCTATCCCTAGAGGTTTCTTGGACAATACCATAACCGGAGACACGATGTCTGAGGAGCCTTCTTCCACCGAGACAGAGCGACGAGTGCTACGCCCTCGCAACCGTCGCTCTTCTCGTCACCATGAATCTGACAGTGGCCTGGGTTCATCCATCGCTTCCACCAACAAAAAGCGAAAGGAGGCCAAGTCTACTGGAGGTAGCGCTGCAGCTATCACGCGTTCTGCTACCACTACCACTACCAGGTCTCAGGATAGTCAACGTCTTAGTGACCGTGCTAAGAACCGTATTCATGAACATATCTTGAAACCGCTACTACAGGATCGCTCACTCAAGGACTTCCGTCCCATTGTCAACGACTGTCCCAGAAGGATCCAGGAAAACCAGATCGTTTGTCTCAGGGATCTCGAGAAGACCCTGATCTTTATGGCACCGGTGAGTCAACTTATGAAAGACCCTGGCATTTGTGGAGTTACTTATCGTGGGTTGTGGTTGAAGGAGAAGGCAAAATCTGTCGAACTATATCGTGACTTCTGCCTCACTTCGATTCGATGTATCCAAGCCACCGTCGAATATCTCTCCGATAGAGAACAGACCCGACCTCACGACCGTCCTTATAACAACGGTTACTTCATTGATCTCGTCGAACAAATTCGCCAGCACGCACAACTCATGCAGGAGGCCCGTAAGAGGCAAGCCGAAGGTGAAGAGTTAGGCGATATGGAAGTCGACCCGTATGATCCCCGATACTACCCTGGTGACTGTACACCTGCTAACTTAACATACAGAACGGATGAGGTCAAACTCATGGGTGGCCTTACTACTAACGGACGACCTGCCGAGTTAGTCCGCGTGAAGAAGAATGGCAAAGCCTTCTCTATGGCTACCGGACAACCTGTTGAAGATCTCGAGGAAGACGAGACCAAGGGTCCAATCCGGTTCAAGCGTTCGATGAGTGAGCAGGCTGAGGACGAGGAAGAGATCATGCGATCTATGGCCCGTCGAAAGAAGAACGCCACTCCTGAGGAGCTGGCTCCCAAGAAGTGCAATCACCCAGGTTGCAACAAAGAGTTCAAGCGACCTTGTGACCTAACAAAACACGAGAAAACTCACTCTCGTCCTTGGAAGTGCCCTATTGCTACCTGCAAATACCACGACTATGGCTGGCCCACTGAGAAAGAGATGGATCGGCACGTGAACGACAAGCATTCGGATGCTCCCCCAATGTACGAGTGCCATTTCAAACCTTGCCCTTACAAGTCTAAGCGTGAATCCAATTGCAAACAGCATATGGAGAAAGCGCACGGCTGGACATACGTCCGGACCAAAACCAATGGCCAGAAGAAATCGAGCAAGGCAGATAGCTCCGCTCATCCTACTCCCTTGATCAAGAGTTTGCCCACTCCTAGCAGTGAACAGACTGATCCTGTCATGACACCACCTGATGATTCTGTCTTCGGACGCTACAACGACCATGAATTTCCCTCGTATCCTTCAGATCAGGAATTCCACGCTAGTTTGTATGAGCACCAGCCGTTTGACGGAGATATTCAACTTGACTTCTCTCCGATTGACAACAGCACTCCTTCTACCGACTCTGGCCAATTCAATTCTTTCGAGGACCTTAGTCCTGAGTTTACTGGCCAGTTCGAGGATATCTATGGCGCTCCTGTCCAATTGCCAACTCCTTCGCATTCTATCTACAATAAAGCTATCAAGGAATTTGAGGCCTATGACAACTACGATAACTTCAATATGAACGCTTGTCAACAGTACACTATGCCACAACTCGCGGCTGGTGGTCAAGGTGGCCAAGTCATGTTAACACCACCAACCATGGTGGATGAGGGTTTTGAGGACTTCCAACCTGCTTGCTCTAACCAGTTTGGTCATGATTTCCCTCTCTTCCCGCCTACTTCGATGGATAAATCGAACAACTACGGCAGTACCCTTTTCGGTACCATCACTCCCAGTCTTGCTGCTGGTTACACACAACCATCATCGCAGGATTTCAACATAGAGTATAATCCAGCCATGGATTGGACGCCGGACTACTCTGGATCTCTATAATAATAAGTCTTGGGTGGCTGTTGGATGGAAAGCAATGTGAACAGCCAACTTGGCACATGTGACGCATGCTTCCTGACAAATATCGGCTTCAAACTGGGTTTCATGATGTTACGATGATGACTTGTAGTTGATAGGGCGCGAATTTTAGGGAAAGAATCAATCCCAGACTGCTTTCTGAAGATTATGGTGTGGGGGATGTTAGGGGCTGGATAGACGTTGTTCGGCTTGTCCCTGTGTACACTTTCATGTCACTTTACTTCGGCTTCTTAGCTTTTCTTGGGGATGCCCATAAAACGTTCATAAGTTGTGGTCGGAAGATGTATTCAAGCAATCACTTTGAGAATTGCACCATTGTATTTTCGGAAGCAAGGAGTAAATGATGATCTCCGATAATGAAAAAAAATTATTTCGCAAGACTATCTACCTGGTCCGTATGTGACCTTGATTTTGGAACTCCTTTCCTACCATTGACAATATTGGTGACTTGGGGCTTTCAGAGAGTTTGCTGAACTTCTAGTGGAGTGTAATAGCGTGGGGCATGGCTCGAGTTTGGCGGATGGCAGACATCTCCACTTTTCAATCCAGCATGGACCCATGTCAATTTTATTTAGCAAAGCTTTTCTTCATTTTTTCCCTCTTCACCTTTCCACTCCCACATCCTGCGTCTCACCCAACACCGGATCCCGAGATGCCCGTCAACAGAGCTATACACGCGTTCGCCGTATAGCTTTTTCATCTATGACATCAGTCAACGGTACGTTTCCTCCCTCGTTTTCCCTTCTCCGCACGCAGATTTCCCACACACATGTTTGCTATGATGACTCCGACACCGCAAGTGTCGAACCTACTTCAATACTCATAGGAAGAGCCGTATGAGACCGCCCTCGAGGAGAAAGGGGGGGACCGGGGAAAGGACTTTGTTCCAGACATCGTCTCCTCTCTTTTCCTCCACGGCCGAACCGCGCGTCAATCCCTGCGTTTTTTCCGCCCGTAGGCCGTATGGGCGTCGCGCGTGCACCGCCATGTGCTGCCGCGTCTTGCTCGGTGTCCGCGGGCGGGCGCGGGGGTTCGCCGGCGAGGTGGGGGTGCGTGATGCTTAGATTATTTAATGGTTTCTGATTGCTGCTATTTACGGGGATCTGCGTGACGATGACGGTGTTTCTTCTGTTGGGAAGAGGATTTTTCAGCTGACTCGGCTTTTATTATCTAGGGCTCTTGCGGATTCTGTGGTGAGGGGGCGGGTAGATGGGCTGTGTTGAATGCGGTTTGGAAACATGTGGATTTGTAACTATGTTGGTAGGAATCGACGTTGGTAAAAAAATGGTTTTCTGATGTTGGTCTCTATGGATGGAGTTGGGATCGGGTTTGATCTTGATCAAACTCATATTAGGTAGTTACAGTAGCTTAGTAGTAGTCAATGATAGGTTCTAGTCTAGACCAACGCAGTTCAGAACCTCGAACTCCCCCAGCCTCTATGGTGACGTTATCCCGTTTTTTATGCAGCCGAAAGACAGGACTCCTATTACAATATAATACTATTTTTCAACGCCCGGGTATACAACAATGGAGCCTCATGCATAGCCAAATCCTCCAAGCTAGAACTGCTCTTTGTTAGGCTTTGGTATCCTTCAACTTGGTCGCGATCGCCATATTCTCCTGGGAGTCCTTGACCATGAAACTACAAGCTAAGTTTAGCATATTGTGATCGACCTACTCATAGGAGAGAACTTATAGAAAGCAACCGACTTACTTGTACCATAGAACGGTAGGGCCGATCGTGCCCAAGTGCCATAGGCTATGTGCGTCCAAAGCTCCCCATAATGGCGGGAAATCCAGCAGTTCTAAGCTCATGACCATCATGAGCCAAGCGACAGCAACACCGGGCCAGACAGCCCACGCTCGGCGACTCTCAGTCCACTTTTTCCAACTGAAGTAACTCCAGAGCGCGTTCTGTACCAGGCCTACGGTCACGTTGGCCGCCATATTATATGTATAATTCCAGCGCCACAGCTTCAAGTATGAAACGTGTGCGATGTACATCGTGCAGCAAAGGACGGTCCAGAGTCTGAGCACACTCTGACGGCGCGGCGTGGGTCTGTCGAGCCGGAAGACGCGGATGGGGGTATAGTACATGCCATAAAGCACGCCCGCGCCCGCGGCAAAGTAGTCGAGCTGCTCGGTCAGGCGGAAGTCGCGAATGTGGAAGATGGAACTGAAGACCCAGGTAGCAATGCCGAAGCAGGCGAACAGCTCGTAATATTTGCGTAGCGGGTAGACGGCGGGGATAGCCTGGCGGATCTTGGCCAAGCCGTTCTGGTGCGCGACTAAGTTCCCTAGGCTAAACAACACCGAGAAGGGCTCCTGCATCCCGAGAACGCGCACGAACGGCCATTTTCCGTGGAATTGGGTGATGGGCTGCCCGATGGCGAGACGCTGCTGCGTTACTATATGCTGGCAGGTGTAGTCGCACTCTTGTGGGCAAGTCCAAAAAAGGAGGCGGTGGTGGAAAGCTATAGGAGAGAAAGGATAGAAGTTAGTTTCGCGGTCGCGTGGTTTTTCGCAGGTGAGGAATCGTAGCTATATATGCATATATCTTCGCGACGTACGGATATGGGTCGGATTGTTATTGGGGTCGCAATTCTCTCTCGAGCAGACCTATTTCGCCGTCCACGACGGACCAAGTTAGTAAATCTATTTCTTCTTTCTCCTTTAAGTTGCTCGCACAATATGTTTTTTTCTCTCTCGCAGATATGTCTTAGGTAGGCTCTGTTGGTAGCCAGCCGGGCACTTTTGTTAAGTAGCACTTCCGCCGAGACACATCGCACACTGCACTGGACACTGCACACACGCACGCGAAGAACGAACCTCTACGCATTCCCGAAACTCGGGCAGCCTGTCACCGAGCGAGGCTTCGGCTGTACCCCATAGTTGAAAGAAGAGGCAGACGACGACGAATGTCAATAACGATGATGGGCGTAACATGTTGTATTCGGCATTGGCGAAGCTTGTTTCTTCTTCGCAGAGGGGGGCGAGAAAAGGCTTGGAACCTCCCCAGAGCGAACCTGGGGGACCTAGGAGAAATCTGTCCAGGCAATTGGGACCGCTGACGGCTTCTTTCTTTTCTTCTGATTGGACCTTATTAGGTGGATGCGAAGTTGAAGCCAATTGGCATTCGATTAGGGGGCTTCTCCAACAGGGCTACAGGGCTCCAGGGCTACTGTGGGGTTTTCGTATAGAGCATAAAGCTTTCTAATTGCCAGCAAGCAGCAACCACCCGGGCGAGAGAACGATCGTCATACCTACAGCGTAATGCTGGCAGGTCGGATGGCAGCTTCCAAGGTCAAACGCGCTAAGAATAGGTAAATTGACCGATTGACGTACCGGTACCCCGGATTCTTGGCCCCAATTCCGCTCGCGTGTTGTACCGGTAACTTCCCTGCTAGAGAGCTGTTGGTGCAAGAGCTATTCCCATGAAACAGTTGGAATAGTCCTATTCCTTCTCGTTTCGCCAATCCAACATTGAAGATACTTGCCGTTCTTATCTATGTTATTCTCTCGCATTTCAGGCTTACAACCTTAAAGCTAATCGGCCAATTGATAATCAACCGACCGAACAGAGATGAAATCTGACATTCCGTGTTCTCGCAATGAGGGGTTTCAATATCACCATCTCCTCTAAATATTTAATATAGAAAGGAAACCAAAACATTCACATTGAATCCTACGAGGCTTGTGAGCCGTAGTGATGGTCCTATTCGGGTATCTAACATTACCCGGAAGACTTCCCTCCGCGGACGATTATAATGCCGTCTAGCACACCGAGTAACGTTCGTAGGTCTATGTCTATATCTTTTTGTTTTCGGTTCTTTCGAGAAGTCTCGATTATGTATTTTTCATCAGATTCGGATTTCGACCCAGGTCATGATGATGTTGCCTTTGCTTGTTTTGTATGCAGCCACCGTGCTAGCATCTCCTCTCCGTCGCGCCGCGAAGCTTTCTCCGGTCACGCGTAACGGAACTAGCTTGTTAGTTGACGGAAAGGTCTGGAAAGCAGTTGGTCCAAATGTCTACTGGCTGGGTCTCGATGAGAATGTTACGCCACCGGCAGGACAGCCTTTTTATGCTCCTACTAAAGCCAGCTACCCTACTAAGGAGCGTGTCACTGAAGTCATGGCTACAGTTCAAGCCCTTGGGGGTACCATGATTCGTGGGCACACATTGGGCGTTAGTGTTGGAAACCCTCTAAGTGTTTGGCCTGAGCCGGGGAAAGTCAACGAACAAGCCTTTGACTCTATCGACTGGGCTGTCTATCAGGCAGGCATATACGGCGTCAGGTTACTGATACCATTAGTAGACAACTATGTCAGCTCTTATACAACGAGAAAATTCAAATGGCCAGGAGCTCACCTATCAGTAGGATTACTACCATGGAGGAAAATACAACTTTCTTCGTTGGGGAGGCTTCGATCTTAATCAGAGGAGGGACGAGAAAAATCCCTTAGTCCAGCAATTCTACACAAATGCTACTATCGTTGCGACATTTAAGGATTATATCAAGACGATAATTACCCATAGGAACCAGTATACCAATCTCACATTCGCCGAAGACCCCACGATATTCGCATACGAGACTGGAAATGAACTTCTCGGTCCTATATGGGGTGACATGAACTCACCGGCAGACTGGGTCCAGGACATTGCGAAATATGTAAAGAGTCTTGCTCCCCAGAAGCTCATGGGTATGTTCAAAGGCGCTTTTAATATCCCATCCCTTATAGTCTCAATGTAAATACTAAAGTGTAAGCAGTTGACGGGACATATGGCATCAACAAAACCCACTTAGGCATCGAGGAAATAGACATTTTCTCTGACCACATGTATCCTGTTGACACGGCCAAACTCCAAAATGACATCCAGGTCGTCAAAGCCGCAGGCAGGCCCTTCTTCGCGGGTGAGTACGATTGGGTAGGTGGAAATACCGCCAACCTACAGTCCATGTTCAAGATTATTGAAGAGAGCCCCACTGTGGCCGGCGACACTTTCTGGAGTCAGTTTGGACATAATGCCCCTGACTGCAATGTAAGCAACCCCAAATTGAATCTAAATTGTTGCTGTGAGCGAAGTTCCTAACGCCAATTACAGACTTATGTAGATCATAGCGATGGCCTCGCCTTACAATATGGTAACCCAAAAAATACGGCAAATCAGAACAGTCGTATTCAACTCATTAGGAAGCACTTCATTGCCATGAGCCAGGGCAAAGAGATCGCGCCTGATGAGGCTTTACCAGCCGTGCCATGCCCGGCACCTACATCACCATCGTTTCGTTAGGGATACTATGATAAAATTAGCACGGTTGGTTGATAGGCGTAGCATTAAAAACAAAGAGCCTGGCTTTAACAAGAAAGCGACAGCATCAGAATATTTCTACGTGAAAACAAATCCTACCTCGAATGCAATATCAAATGACGGTTATTGGAAGTATTTAGTTAAATTCATCAGCTATATTCGTAAAACGTAAAGCATCGTTCCCGACCTAAGAATCACCGAACTTTTCCCCTTTTAAGGCCCATGAACTGTCTACAGTATACCCTCACGTCATATACCCGTTCCCACAGCCACATGTCTCCATTACCTAACCTCCGTACGCCTTCACGATGGCCGCGACCTTGTTCGCAAGCTCATCTGCTTCGGATCTCGTGGCGGCCTCCGCGTAGACCCGGCATGCGTTCTCCGTCCCGCTAGCTCTAGCAAAAGAGCGGGCATTCGTGTACTTCTTCACAACCTTGTCAATCTCGTCTTGGCAGTGTTCCGGGTAACTAAGCCTTCGTTCCGCATCAGTAGTGTGGAACAGATCTTTATTGCCTACTTCCACACGGACAAGACGGTTGGGGAGATCTTGATATGTCATGGCCCAATCCCTCAGCGTCCATCCCTTGTGGGCCAAGATAACTTCAACCATGAGCATATCTGATATAGCATCACCAACGGTCTGATTAATAAGATCTCCCAAAGCGCTAAGGGTTTCGAGGGCGTCCTTCTGTGCCGGCGATTGTGGCTCCTTGGTCTTGAATGCCTGCATGGCATCTTGAGAGAATAGGACGGTGCCGTGGCCATTGGCCTCGAAGTAAACGCCGATGTCATACGAGCAGGCAGCATGGTGAAGGTGCTTTACACCCGTAGGAGTGCAGACAACTGGGATCTGTAGGTGCTGTTCAACGTACTTGGTGCTAGATCCGTTGGCATAAGCAGTCTGAACAAGTCCGATACGAAGCTGGCCTTCTAAGCCAGCGGTGCGGATGAGATCCGCGATGAAAGACGCTGCGAGAGTTGCAATGCGATCACCATCTAACATGAAAAAGCCGGTTTCTGGGTCGACCCAATAGTACATAAGGCGGTCAGCATCACCATCCAGGGAACACCATCTCTCGCCGGGGGCAGGCTTCGGGTTTGCAGGAGCTCGCTGTCTAGTCTTGACAAAATCGGCACCGCAGTCCAGGTTCAAGACTTCTGGGCGCAAGACGTCATCGTTGGCGACCCTTACTTCCAGCCCGGTCTTGGAGGGGTCGTGGTGCTTGAGGAGCTCACTAAGCTTCGGGCCACCAACACCATTGGCACAATCGACAGACAACTTTCCAGTAACCTTGCGTCCGCGTAGAGCGCTATAGAAAGCCTGAACAAGTTTCTTGTAGTATCCAAGCTCGCTGACCTCTCCGTATGCCCCCGGAGTACCGGCAGTGTTGACGCAACGGGTTAGGTAATGGAGTTGGGGGGTTGTGAGGATCTTGTAATCGGTGTACGTCGTATTCGTAGCAGCAAGGGAATCGGCGAGGGCTGTGACGAGGGTTTTGCCGGATGGGCGAGTATCGCGACCGGCAATGACCTTACCGGGGGAGGTCAGGTCGATCTTAAGCGAGTCGGCTAGCTTATAGAAGTAGTCGACAAGCTCCTCGTGGCTCGGGGCATTGACGAGATTCGTAGCATGGACTTCCCACTCTTGCTCAAGCATATCACCCATTGGGTCGACAATCTTGACACCATTATCCACCGCAGGGTTATGGCTAGCGGTGATCATTACGCCGATCGCCTGGCCATTGAGTTTACGAGTTCGAAGAGCTGATAATAATCCGACTCGGAAGGTAACACCGTCTAGGAGATCGGCATTCATACGGAAGCCCGCTGTGCCGTACTTGTATAGCCTTCCGGGGACTATATCGTGCTTCTTCGAAGCGGCTAGGATAGCGTCTCGATCCATGATTGGTACGACGATTGAATCTTGAGGTGTACAATATCGGTTGATTTGGTATCTATCTGTTGGACTATTTAGATGAATAAAGGTTATCGATGGAATACTCAGGTATATCTGATAGATTAAGAATAATAATTGAGTTGTCACTGTTGTAAGAATAACGAGGCTTAGACAGAAAAAGTCAAGGTTGTTAAGGTCAAGGTATCGAACGAGTAGACCAGCAGGCTAATAATACGAAGTAGCAACCCCTCCTTCGTGATGTACCTAGGGAAGTTCCGCCCCACATTGAACGCTAGGGCATCTGACGTTACCTGAGCTGCAGGGTAATGACCAATTAGAACCCGGATAGGAGAGAGGTGGAGCTAAGCACTGGCTCAGAGCTCTAAGCTGAAAGCGCCCCTCTCAGCCCCTGTTGCACCTGCGACAATTCTATCCTATCATTACCTCATCGGGCGTCGGTTACTGCACCTAATAGTTTGCTTGGGGGTCCGGTCACCTGACGTGGCGTAATTATTCATCTCCACCTATTCACTAAACGCGTCCCGTCGCGTTAAATACTCATTCTCTATTAAAATCCATCAATCTTTCACAACTGATAGAATCGGCATCTTTCGATACCAACAAGATGCCGCTTGAAGAGCCCTGTGCTAACCCGCTCCTCCTCGGGTGGGTGCAAGAATGGGTGGAGAAAGCTCGAGACCACAACTCCAAGGGTCTGTTAACTTACAGGAAGGCATATGACGCCCTTAAGGCATGTCCCGTAACTTTTCAGCATCCCTGTCAATTACAGCAATTGAAGGGATTTGGCCAGACGTTATGCAATCGCTTGACAGAAAAGATGCAGAAGCATTGTGCGGAGAACGGGTTGCCTATGCCAAAACGTCCGAGACGAATCAACATTCCCGGCTTAGCTGGCCAAGATGACGACGATGAAGATGGTGAAGAAAGACCACCAAAACGGCAGAGAAAGTCAAGGCCTTACGTACCAACTCTTCGATCAGGTCCTTATGCCATAATTATAGGGTTGTCAGGGCTCGAAGAAGGCTCACACCAAGGAATGACAAAACAACGTTTGATTGAGGTGGCACAACCCCATTGTGATGCCTCTTTTACTGCTCCTCCCGACCCAAAGAGTTTCTACACAGCTTGGAACTCTATGAAAACTCTTCTTGAAAAAGACATCGTCTATGAACGCCGAAGTGGGCCGACAAGAAGATACCATTTGACCGAGGACGGATGGGAGGTAGCACGACGGATCCAACATACATTGGACCCTAGCCTACCTAGACCAGCCCCACCAAGGCCGGAACCTGTACTCCAAGAGATCGAGCAGCCCCCTCGTCCTGTAAACCGATCCCCTTCTGTAGAAATCGAGGAGAAGCCTAGACACGACTCTAGTTATGTAGACGTCGTCACCAATGGGGATACATCTTCTGGTAGTTCAGCACTACCACAATTCCGACCTATTCGCCTAGCGCCTGGGTCCTTTGAAGTCCAACTACTACTAGACGTTCGTGAAGTTCGGGCAAAGACAGACCGGGATTACAGTAAGCAACTTGAGCCCCTTTAATGACATAATTTCTCCTCCATTGGTAGGATAAAGGCTAGGCCTTTCTAGCTTGCCAAAATAAAACCTCGTAGAAAATAGTCACTAATCTATACAATGCAGTGCAAAACGAATTATCAAAGAAGGGTGTTAATCCAGTAATGCGCTCACTCGAACTCGGTGACGCCCTCTGGGTCGCCAAGTGTAAAGATCCAAACTTTCTATCTCGACATGGCGCTGAGGGAGATGAAATCGTACTTGATTATGTCATCGAGAGAAAAAGACTCGACGACTTGATTAGTAGTGTCAAGGACGGCCGTTTTCATGAGCAGAAGTTTCGGTTGAAACGATCTGGCATTAAGAATGTCGTCTATATCATCGAGGAAGTTTCAATGGATTCGGAGACTTTAGACAGACGTGCGGAAATGGTACAATCCGCTATTGGGTCTACACAGGTAGTCAACGGCTTCTTCGTAAAAAAGACGCAGAAGATAGACGACACGATCCGATATCTTACCCGAATGACCATGCTGTTAAAGAAGCAGTATGAGAGCAAGCCTCTCCTTGTCATCCCAACCGAAATCTTGACTGCTCAGAACTACCTCCCACTCCTAGAGCATCTCCGAGAAAAGGAGCCCACTACGGGTCATTATATTAGCTATCCAGCATTTGCGTCACTAGCGTCAAAGTCTGACATGATGACATTACGGGATGTATATCTGAAGATGCTGATGTGTACCAGGCAGGTCTCGTGGGAGAAGGCCTTAGAGATCCAGAAGAGATGGAAGACCCCGTACGAGTTTGCAAAGGCATTCGAGGAGTGTGGTGGTGGAGAGCAAGGAACAAAGCGGAAGCGAGAATTGGTTTCTGATCAGATGGGAAATCTGTTCGGGCGTAAGAAGATTGCGAAGCCACTCAGCACGAAGATCGCAGAAATCTGGGCTGATGGTATATGAGGCCAACGAAAGAATGAATCATTGGTCTTAATGTTGACAAAATGATATCACAATCCCAAGTGATTTTCAACTAGATTAGAGCAACACGGTTATCATTAGGCTCATGAGCGCTCTTCATGTCGAGGACTTCTCCTATTTTGGCATTTGATGTTAGAGGATTCACCGGCTATATTCGTAGCGCGAAAACGAATTAACGAACTGGCTCGATTTTCATAGTACATCTCATATTGGTCATCCAAATACCCCTTTTGTATATTCTAGCATCTTGTGAGACATACCACATCATATCATCATATATAGAGAAGATATCTCTTGATCCAGCAGCTTCGATTTCCCCCCTAAACATCACCCAAGCCTAACCAAGCCCCTACCTACCAAAGAGACCCAAGCACATCCCCCTTCCACATCCCCCTCAAGAATGTCCCCCCATGGCCTGCGCCACCAAATTCTCCACCATCCCCTCCAAAAACGGCTTCACCAACATCTCACCCTGAGCCCCCAAATACCCCGCCATCGACTTCTCCGCATACTTCGCGAGCACATCGACCTCGACATTAACCGTCTCGCCGACCTTCTTCCTCGCAACAACCACCTTCTCCTGCGTATACGCAATAAGCATGACCTCGAACCATCCCGCGCCATCATCGACCTTCGTCACCGTGAGGCTCGTCCCGTCGAGCGCAACGTACCCCTTAAACACGATATACCTCAACACCTCCGCGCTCCGCGGCGCGAACCGGAACGTCAGCGCGTTGCCGTCCTTCGCTATCGCCGCGATCTCCGCCACCGTGTCGACGTGGCCTTGCACGAAGTGGCCGCCCATCCTGGTATCCGCGCGCACGGCTCTCTCGAGGTTAACCCCTGATCCTTTCTTCAAATCGCCTAGGTTCGTGAGTCGGAGTGTCTCGGGCGCGATGCCGACTTTGAAAGAGGGGACTGTGGTGGCGCCGCCATCGTCGGAGGGGCTGGTGGAGAGGTCCGTGGCTGTGAGACACACGCCGTTGATGGAGATGCTGTCGCCGAGCTGGGCGTCCGCGAGCAGGGTCGATGATGCGGGGAGGTTGATGGTTACGGAGGTGCCGCCGGTTTCGTCGTTTGCGTTGAACTCGGCGACCACTGTGTGCGGCGTGATATCAGTCATACGTTCCCTCAGGAATTCAATTGATAAGCAGTCAAACAATCAGCCAAATCACATATCCCTACAAGATAAGCTAAAATAAAAAGGGGTTAATTACCTCCAATCTCCTCAACTAATCCTGTAAACATCTTGTCGAGCTTGAGCTGAGCTCTGTGTGTGTTCGTCTTAATTGTTTTCGGAATTTTCTGCTTGTCGCAAGAATGACGTTGTTTCTCCCGAGCAATCCACCCCGCTATCACATGTAGTACACTAGCACGGAACCCGTTCCGCGCGCTAAAGGGACCCTTAAATTTCTAGAAACTTGCCAATTTTTACTAAGCGAGATCGGGATACATATCATCCATGCATGTACATCATAATAAGTAATAGTATATGCGAGGGCTAGGACTGTTTCACTATTGGGTAGGTACTATATGGAATGTTCTGAGCTGGGTATATAGCATTGTGATCAGAACATAGGTCAATTGACCATATTTCGACCATGAGAGGAGCACTCCTATTGAGTTCCTAACTATGATAGAAAATGACAAAGACCAGTCGGCATTAACTGACCCATCAACCTCTGGATAACCACTTTCTATGTGGTATGTATGCATCTCGAGGGACGTGTAGGAGTTACGGCATATCGTAATCTTCGTCAGTCATAAAATCAACCCATAGCACTCATCCATAAACTTCTCATCCCTTGCCGATGGTCATCCCTTGTTCCTCGTCCCTCTAGGCCAAAGAGCAATGACTTTTGCCTCCAAACGCCTTTCGTAGTCCCAGTCGCCATGCAATAATGCAAGACCAAGTAATTATTGCTTTGCAGCTTGCTGCCTACAAGATGGGCTCTATCCGCTGGACCGGCGTGACCTGGCCCAGATCGCAGAAGACAGTGCGATACACGAGTATATTTCTCGTTTAGCACATCTTGTAATCACAGCTGCCCTCTGCGTATCTAGTACCATCTTGGGTATCTAATAGATAGTTGATCTTAATATCAAGATCTCGGCGGTTCTTATCGTTGGGCTTCACATCCAAGTTGCAAGTAATCTCTTCTCCTTGTTGAACGGTGAGAACTTGGTTCAAGTAGAAGACGGTCTGCTTCCAGTGGGTATACTTGGTGTGAGGGCCAGTCGAGAATCGAATGGGCTTGTGGCAAGCTGTGAAGTCGATGTCGAACCATGCCACAAGTGCGTGAACAAAGTCATCGCGTCGGGCGCTTAACTTGAAAGGGATGGAAAACGCGAGGTCTGCGGTTGTACATTTGTATAAGTCAAGTGTCAAGACCGAAGTAGGGTCTGTGACTGCTGCCTTGACTTCGACAGTGTCAACGAGGGGCTCGGCTAGAGCTGTCTCTTTCAGAGGAGTATAGTCAAAACCGTAGACGTTATCCCAAACTATGGCAAGTTAGCTTATTCCTAAGTAATTCAAGTTCGCCGAACTTACATCCTATTTTCTCGTCTTTGTATTCACCATCCTCAATACCACAGACAAAGATGGTAGCCTTGTCAGGGAAGATCAGTCCATCCTTAGCGAGGAACTTGTCACGGGCATATAGAACCGTGTCAAGCATGCTCTCGTAGAGGAGGAAGTAACCCATCCACTCGGAGATGATGATGTCGACCTTAGGGAACGGTAGCTCGATCTCCTCCATCTTGCCTTGGATAAGTGTAATCTTGTCCTCCATACCGTTAACCTTAACGATCTCCTTGGCCTTGAAGATGATGGTGGACATATCGACACCAATGACATGCTTTGCTCCTGCTTTGACAGCAAACCTACGTCGTAGGATGATTGTTTAGTTTATGGAGGTAGTTAGGTCAGTCGTGGTGGGGTGAAGCCTTACATAGAGAGAATAGCAGTTCCGCAACCGACGTCCAAAACAACCTTATCCTTGAAGAGATGCTTATTCTGTACAATGGCATTCATGTAGGACTTCGTGCGGACTTCATCTTTCTATATGAGGAGACAATGTTTTGTTAGACAAGTAAAGTAGACGTTTATGGACTTAGGATTGTAAATTTAGTATACGTACCAACATCTCCTCATGGATTCCTGCAATGCGATTAATTCTCGTTAGTCAAACCATCCTAGATCAGCGTGTTAAATGGTAATGAATGCGTACCATGGTGATTGTAGCTGTTGTGCGACAAAAGTTAGCCAGAGTCAAAGTTGTTATCTTGCATAGCATCATCGAGCAACATGGCTGTAGGATTTATGCAATGCGGGATGCGCACAAACTAACCTGTTGAAATAATGCTGCTCGGAGTGAGCCATGTCCTTGAGCTGCTTCTCGGCAGTCTCAACGTCCATCTTGTCAGTTGCCATGCTTACAATGCAAAGTGCAACCTGTATGGAGTTGAATTGAATTGTGAGAAAGAATGTGTAAAAGGAACCAAGGTTGGGCTCTCCCGCAAAGCGATGTAAGGTTTGGTTTACTTTTTTTTTTCTTCTCGTTCTTTCCCACTAGAGCCGCTGCAGAGAAACGACCTAAAACGGTACACAACGGATCTAGACTAGACTAAAAGCCCCACAATTGGCCTCGATTGCGCGCTCCAGGCGCGTTCCATTCACTGTGCAATTGCAACCCCACCGGAATGCGGTGAAACAATGATCCCCCAATCATTCTGCCGCACTTACCGCCCTAGCACACCTCGGTGAGTGTTATAAATAACTTACTCTCCTCCCTTCTTTTCAAACTTTTCCTCCTTTCCTCCTCATACTTACCTTGTTCCGCTGACCATAGCTCAATAATCATGGTCAGCATGGGGAGAGACCTGCATTGCACAGCGCGGAGTCGACCCTCTTCTATTATCCCTCGTGGATCGTAGGGAGCGCAATTTTTGCTTTTCCATTTTCATTATGAGCAACGCCTCGATGCATTGCCATGAGGAAGATACTGCATGTTTGCGTTGGTTGCAGCCAGCCACGAAGGAAGCCACCGGCGATCGCATTTGCGGATTGCCCCAACAATCCTTCATTTCTGTCGCAATTCCAAATGCGAACCTTGTACTTCAGACTACAACTCACCCGTCAAAATATTTCGTGCCTATTACTTGATTTCTAGAGCATGTTGCACATCAATCGACTGCAAACTGGACCATTCGACACGTTATTGATCGATCACTCGAATTAATCAATTATTTCCGTTCATCAGTAATATTGCAAAGTTTCAACGGGCAAACAGCAATCGTCCAGCGATCCACCGCGTACAGCCAGCTCTCCATCTCCACCTACGTAGTGATATACATCTTATCAAACCCAACAATATCCCACTCCCAAGTCTCCGTATTCAAGGTAATATTCGTCGGATTCGTGACCCCTCCCTTAACTACCAGACAACAAATTAGCACACCCATCCACAGGATTTCTTCGTGTCCCTAACGGATCCGAATAACTAAAAAGCGAAGAACAACACTCACCAAACCCAGCCTCCACACTCCCCCCCGCGACGGGCCTAGCCAACTTATTCGCCCCAGCGAAAACCGTAAAATTCGCCAACGGCAAATCCCACGCATTCCGCGTCGCCACGCTAGGAGAGCCATAATACCTCGCCTCCAGCTTTTCCGGCGATATCGTCAGTAGATAATACCCGCGGTAATACCCGTCCTGCCACTGCAACACGCGATTCTCATCAACCAGCTTCATGGCCTCGGCGCGCGCCGGCGCGATTAGTCCGTTAAACCCCGTCGAGCTGACCGCCGTGCCGGCGAACTCGACGCCGATGGCGCCGTCGCCGGTTTCGGCGCTGTATGGCTTTTCGTCGAGCCAGACTAGGTCGGATACCTGTGTTTTGTGAGCTGGGTTGTTCGAAAGATGGGGTAAAGGAAAAGGGGGATAGGTAGGGAATTTCGTAGACGCACCCAGTTCTGGTGGCTGTCGCCGGCTAGGAAGACGGTGTTGCTGATATTATTGTTGTAGAGGTGCTTCAGCGTTCGGTTTCTGTTTGCGACGTACCCCTGAAAAGGATACATACGTCAGCATCCTACCCCCTACTATCCCCCCCAGTATAATAGGGCTCGATACTTACGTTCCAGTTATCACCGCTGAACCCAGAAGATGCAGAGATGTGCGAGAACACGATTTGGTTGCCTATAATTCGCCAAGTTGCGCCTCGGTTGGAAGACTTGGATAGTTGGTTGTAGAACCAATTCTCCTGATGGGAGCCCATCAGGGATCGCGAGGCGTCGTTGCTGATTTGTTCGATGTACTCGTTATCCCAGCCTTGTTGTTATTAATAACCTAGTGACTACATGGAATTTAAGTTGAAAGGGTACATACCAAGAGATGTAATGCTTCGGTCGTAATTTCGAGTATCAAGCACAATTAGGTCCAAAACTGGAAAGCATATGTTAGTGATGTCGGTGAAGGAGTCAGGGGTAGGTTGGTCTAGGGGTACCACGTACGATTACCCATCTGGAATGATCTCCAAACTCTCAAGTTGTCATCGAGGTCTATCTGTCTTCCGAAGAGTTAGTGGCCATTATCTATAAGCAGATCAGACCATAACTTACCGAATGGGCATCCACTCAAAGTACGCTCTCACGGCATTCATCTTTCGTTGGTCCACGCTGACGAAACCATCATTCAGGAAGGATTGTTCAGTATTGTTGAGAGCACTTGAACCATCTCGATATCCATTATCTGAGACCTCTATACGAATAATCAGCGTCGAATTGCAGTTGATTGCCTTTCTGTCATGTGCGTACCATGATCATCCCAGGTCGTAATCCAAGCGAAGTTCTGAGAAGCGAGCTGCAGATCCGGGTCGGTGCGATACTATCCATTATCTAAATATGCAACTATATCCAAATTTGTGGTTGGGGTGGTACTCACCTGTCCATGGCGAGTTCTGTAATCGTGAAGACTGAACAGATACTTTCCCGGCTCATGGGCTCTCTCGCCCTTTGCATTTCCTTCGTAGATGTAATCCCCTAAGTGAATCTACCCATATTCTCAATTAGTAATAAACCCAGCTATGTGATCTATAGTCCATACAAAGTAATCTTGTTCATCCTTGCGAGCAGCGTTTCCGTAGGCGTTGAAATACCCATTAGCTTCCAAGCCGTTAGCGAGGTCAATTTAGGACAATGCAGAACACCCACGATAATTACTACAAGAGAAGACAGCAAGTTTCAACTCTAACAGATCAGCGTTCGCCACAGGAGCAGTCTTCGTTCGTCCAATAGGACTTGTAATATTTGACCCGCAAATCGTGAACTGGTAATTGTACACCGTGAATGGCTTCAGTTTCGTGGCTTCAACCTAGAAGATATCAGCTAAAATATTAAAATAAGCAAAAAGAGGATTCTATATTACCTTAACGGTATAGTCGATATCACTAGTTGTGAACCCTTGGCCACTCGATACAACCTCCCCCGTCTCGTTCAAGAAGACATTCCAGTTAACACAGATAGGGCTTGGATCTGCGTTGATGTAGTTCTGCGTCTCATGGCTATATAGCGGCACAGGACCCTCGACAGTAATGTTACTTGCGTCAGAGGAGAGTGATGGCGCAACTCGAGTCCATAGAATTACACTCTCTGGGTATGGGTCTCCAGATGCTATACCATGTGTGAAGCTAAGTTCCTCTGCCTTATACGCGATAGCATCACGCTTGAGGCTGCGCATAGAGACACGGGGCACATCAATTCCAAGGCCAGAATGGCGACGAGACGGGCTTGCGTAGTTCAGATTTCCATTAAATGTCGCTACCGCAAATCCGACAAAGACCTCGGCGACGAGGCCAATCACTGCTAAGTTAACCATAGTCAAGGACATCAAAGAAGCCCTGTTAACAGTTAATATTGAACAGCACCAAAACGATTAATCAAGAATTTTAAGATCAGTTAGTTATAAAAAAAGCTAATATGTGCTCTTTTATACCTGGTATCACGAGTTGTATACTATGTGCAACATTAGCCATGTGGGTAGCAATACTTCCAGGGTCACCAATAGTATAGGGTTTAAATGGGAAGACGTCACTCACAAGAATGGAAGGTAAGTCGCCAATCACTAAATGTGTCAGTAAATCACATCGATTGATGGCACGTAGGGTAGTAGCGCTCTGAGCCGCTGAGTGCTATTTACGAGAACGTGTGAAATGGAAGTTTTCTAATTGGTTGGAAGTTATCGTCGCTATGCAGGTCTTCAGCTTGCACCGAGTTGGGGATGACGAAAGATTGTGATTATTCGGCGGGGCATGAATAATGGGATAGATAAAGTAAACCAGGTTATACTCACTAGGACAGAGCCGCATGCTCTTGTAAAAATCTACAACGTCGGGTAGGTCGGGTAGGTAACGAAAGTCCCAAGGTTAGTAGGTAAGTCACGAACACTAGAAAACGATTATGTTAGGCACGATAAAGATAAAGGTTCATATCAGTAACTCTTCATTCAGAAAGGGGTATACGAGGTACAGCAATTCATCCACTCCCCAGGTAACTTAGCCACACCACCTCTCATGAGGCTCTCTCCAGCGAACTCCGAGGATCGCAAATATCTTCTTCTCATCTTGTCCCTCGATTAGGGTTCCTGCAGTCATTTGGTTGTTTCGATCATGGTGGGCGTCACTATACAATCCCTTTTCGTTCAACCTCATTCCTTTCTTTCGTGCTAGTAGCCGAATAGACCTGTTGAAGATATCGTTGCCAGTAAAGTAGATCAGTGCTGCCCCGAATTGACATTGAGGGACTAGCAATAGGTCGATGCGTCTCCATATTGGTCGATATTCGGCCTTGGGGCCCGGGAAAGCGCCCTCTGGTAAGACACAACAGCCATGCCATTTGCTTCCGCTATCATCATCGCTGCTACCATGGTGAGCAGCAAGTTCGGCAGTCAAGAAACCATCTTTTGTTAGGGTTTCGATAAGCCGACCCAAGAACGGAGTAAGTTCGCTGATAGAATTTGTGCCCCTTTTGGTTATTATTAAATCGATATCGCCAGAGCTATCTGCTCCACGGCGATAGCTACCTCCAATGATAAGCTCCATGCTACTATCAATCACTGCCGCGACCCTCTTGACGCAGCCAGCCAATGCCTCCACCTCTATCCGTGGGATCCTCGTATTCAAGTCGTCGAAATATTCCAGTCCGATTTTCTGCCTATCGTTCAACTCGGCCCCTTGTTTAAGGTCATCTAATGTACGAAACCCCTGAGCAATCCATTTCTGAGCGACACTATGGCCGACGCCATGAATTTGAAGGAATAAAGCCATAACCTTCCGACGAGGGTCATCTTGCGCATATTCGAGTTGTCTCAGTCGGTTCGTATTAACGATCTCCTCGATCTTGTCTGCAATTCGACCGATATTAGGGAGCGCGCGTGCTTCCTCTGCCGTACGTATCTTCTTGCGCTGTGCACGAAGCGTCGAAATGGCTAGCCTGTATGCTCGGATCCGAAAGTTATCATTTGCCAGAGTATGTATCTCTAGCATCTGTCGAAGAACTTTGATAGTCTCCGCATTGGGACCGCCATCATCCGTGTCGCCTTTTGTACCTCCTTTCATACAAATGAATTTATCTTGCCAATTAGGAGCCTTTCGTCGAGGGCTAGCTCTCCTTTTTCGTGGACCATCATCCGCCGAGTTATCGGAATCTAATGAGGCTTCATCTTCTGCGATCAATGATGACCCGATAATATCACCATCATCTATCAGTGAATCATCTAACGTGTTGTCCTTCATTTCAAATATACATTGTGTAAGTTCGTCGTTCTCCTCAGGCATGGCGCACGCCTGCGTCCCAGAAAGCCCAGCAGCCTCTGCGGTGTTCTGACCTTGTCGCATTTGGGAAGATGACATCAAAATAACGCTTTCCTGGGTTGACACCTCGTGACTTCTCGGTGTGCTTGATATAGACGCATGGCGTCCCTTTACGGACTTTTTACGCCTTGGCTTTAGCTTAAGTGAGACACCGGAATCGTTTGAAGGCGAGGGCGCATTTGGCGGCAGTTCAACTGTAGCCGGTGCTCCGGTAATTTTGTACTGTCCTTGACCTGGGTTCGCAACAATACGGTGCCTTAGACAATCAATGGGATAATTCGTATTGACAAGAATCTTTTCGGACCATTTGCTGTCATCTTGTAAATATCGTTCTATGTCTGCATAGGTGAGTTTCTTGTCGACAATTATGTGTGTTGCGTTGACAAGCTCCCGACACCAGCTAGATAATATCTAGTCAGTTATTTGGATACAACCAGTGAGATACAATTATATGGCTCCGTAGAGTACGTTTGATATTGAAGGAATTCATTCCTAAATAACCACGAGCGATTTGTTCAAATAAATACTTACGTAGCGCCATGTTCTCGAGCTTTGGTGATCTGGAGTCTTCGCGCTGGATTAATATCGTCATTAGGTATGTAATAGAAAGAGAGACCCTTGAAGATTCGTTGTGCCTCCGGGACCAGTCTTAGAGGCGCTTCTTTCTTGCGCTTCCCCATCTTGGCAGAAGACGAGGGGTCACTCTGGGGGCTGGAATGTCTAACGCGAAGTATTGGCTGCGTGGAACGTATTGAACGACGAAGAGGCTGTTTAGCTACACCAGCCGCAGTCTCGAACACGGTAGCATCTGCGCCTATAAACGTATCTGCCTGCAAACTTGCGCCGCTAACTTTCGAATTACGATTGCGCGGAGTGACTTTAATAATCTCCACCTCAGAATCGCTACTCGTAGAAATCGGATCTGACACTATTCTCTCGGATGTAGCACCCGGAAGCTTGTCGACGATCCTTCGCGTAGGATGAGGAATTTTAGCCGGCGTGGTTGAAGTATCAGAGAGAAATTCTCTGGTCCTTTTCCGATATCTCTCTTCATATTCGTCTAAGGAATCTTCTGTATCTTCGTCCTTAAAAGTTTCAAGGCATTCAAAGAACGCGATCTTCTCTTTCAACAAGGAATCCATTGATTACCGATCATCGCCTAGGTGTGATAAAAAAGGCAATGTAGTAGGAGGCTGGTCTAATATCCAGCATCAGAAAATACATTTTCTGGGTTTTTACTATTCGTATGGAGTAAAAGCTGATATTACGTTGGCACAGCTTAATATATTTGGTTGGAGGTGAAGGTACGGACTATGACGATGATGTACATGGATGGTAGGCAACAGCCAGACCCGCTTAACCTAAAATCAGTATCTATGTGCACGGACCACTTAGTCGATTGAAAAAGGTATAAAACTGCAAAGTCAAGGAATCGAACCCTATGATTTACGATTTATGATTTTAACTAGGTACCTAGCAATTTCAGAGTCATTATCCCCCCACGGAATACCTAATCGCATATTAAAATATTGTCATATCTTTACCTTTTTCAATATCTACCTATATGCTTGTTTCAAAGACAATTCCGTGGGCGAGATGTTTCATATTACGAAATCTCGTTTTACGTATCTACTTATTGCTTTTCTTTCTTATTCAAACGCAGCATGGACCGCTCGTGGCTTGCTGACCTCCTGCGGGGTGACACGTCTCAGTGTCTAAGACTGCTTTACCTGCTCATACTCGGAAGTATGATACGAATGTCCATCTTGATATCTCTCTGCGTCATCTTACGTAGTCGATGTCTCCCGGTCGAGTACTTGCCTCTCCCCCGACCTCGAGAAAGGTCGTTTTCTCCCGCTCATGCTTGCGATCGAGATCCATCTACCATCCTACTATTTAAGATATCTCTTTCTCAATAACACTCCTAGATCCTTGGATGTTTAAATAACCCTAGGTGCTTGTTGGTAACCCATACGTCCCTTCAGACTTTACCATCTTAGCTCACCATAAGACGCTGTTTCTATCCACGCTTCTTGATCAATATGTGGTGCCTTAAGGAAGTCAAAAGCTCCTTTAAACTCTGGTTTAGCGATGGGGAAGCCATCAACGCTACACGGTTTGAGATAGGCGTATCATACCGCTTGATCGTCGATCAGCTGGGATTTCTCGACCTGGTAGAAATACCTGGCCAGCTCCTGAACGGGGTTATTGCTAATGATGAACTCCTCTCGGTACCCCTCGACGATGCAGATACAGATGGTCTTATGAACCTGAGTCTCTGTGTCGATGAGACTAGTGGCTATGTGCTGACTTACATGGACTCCGCTGTAAAGACAGGTATGAATATAAGCATTGCCAATGTAATTCTTATAGATGCTCATGAGTCTTAGGGCCCAATACCCGCTCGCCAGAACCAATTTCGGTTTCGGGAAAGTTCAAGCCACTGCCGAGCGTGAGCGCGGCTGACGCTGCCTTTCTTGACACCATGATCAAGGGAAAATACGTGCCATATCCGAAGATCCCCGACGCCCCAGGAAAGACGATAGAGGAACTAAAGCAGCTTGGCCAGAAGCTCTTCCCATTCACTCCCTATAGCTTCCAGCTTGCAGTGTGTGTCTATGATTGGACGACGGCGTCATTTACTCGCATGGTCTTCATGAAGATATTCGAATATACCGGCATCCCGCCACAACCATTCCCCATTGACCAGGACAGCATCGCAGCACAAATATGGGCCAGCAACTGGGGCACATACAACCCGCAGGATGAGGCGTACATGAACTCTTTTATGATGAAACCTTCACATTCGAAGGACGACGTCAAGGCTCAACTTAGATCCGTCGCTGCCGACCTCCACAAACTCAGCCACGTGCAGAACGAGTTGCTGTCCGTAGCCTTACAGGCGCTGCCTCGCACGTCCATTTTCCAGCATTCGCAGCTGTTTAGTGGACAGGTAGATATCTACCAGCTCGGATTAAGTCACTTCGGGATTGAGTTCCTTCAGTGTCCACTCAACGACGGCCCAGTCGGCAAGGAACTGGTGACCGCCTTTGACGATGTGCTGGCCAGTTATGTCTCCACGGGAGAAACCATCACGACAAAAATGGCATGGAGCTTCACGGACACTGTCGACGACGGTATGCATTACTCGAATGGAATCTTGCTAGTCGCGAATATGCCAGGAAACTCGTCGGTTTGGGATCACGTTGCGTACGTGACGCCTTTGTCGGACGATCCGAAGAAGACCGAATACACGTTCCCGCCAGGAACTAATTTCGAGGTTCAGTCCACTACGAAAGCCACGATCCGCGGCAAGAGCACGGTTGTGATAACCTTGAAACCCCTGCCTAGTAAAAAACAACAGACGGGAGTCTTGAGTTCGAACCGAGAATATACTATGGCAAATATATCGGCTCTATCTCCAAATGAGAGTAATGATTATCTCAAGAAAGCGTCTCCGCGTATGCTTGATGGGAACCAAGTTGTGAAGGCTATCAATTCGAGTACCGCTGCTCCAAGTTTGCCTCACACCTTGCATAAGACAGGAGGAAGGCGATGCGCTTGTGAGGAGGGGACTTGGTGATTGAAGTGTGGTCCTAATTATTCCTGATTAGGAAAATTCCACTTTGCTTATTTAAGTATAGTGGCTCTTGGCGTTCTCTACAATACTCCGGAGTAGCTTCAATGGCTTCAATTTTTACACTCATTACCTGGTACCTAGGCCCTACATGAAGTTCTAGGTCAGATGGTTTTTGTGACAAGGGGCAGAAATATAAAAGCCATAAAAGAAAGAAGACGATGATACGGATGCGCTGAGTAAAAGTCGGTCTTTTTAATTTTACCTCATGCAGCCATGGTACCACGACCTACACAACTCAGATAGTTTCAAATAGAAAAGACAAGACACTCTTTTATTGATACCTGTAAATTAATTGATGAAGTAGACCGATATAATGTCGTGAATGTTTTTAAATTCGTTTACTATATTTTCGCCGATTATACTTCACAATCACATGTATTCAGGCAGGTTTCATTTGGATTTCAAAGTACCTTATAAGTACTGATATTGACCTATCGACTTGAAAGAGCGCCCAGTCTTTTTAATCGCATCAGAAAACGACTCCCAGTCTCATTAGATACATAGACATGTGCTTGAAAATGGCATCAAGTACGTAGGGTTTGGTTTTGTTCGGTATACTGACGCCGAGGGTATAAATCTTTCGTACGGGTTCTGTAACTCCGAAGCGCCTCTCCAGATATCGCATAAGCGAGCGAAATACACGCCGCCATTCCTCATTTCCCCTTTATTATAGGGACACGAAAACATAGTGAATTAATTCCGTATCATACAAATAGACCTCCAGACCAAGACCTAGACTAAGTTGCCGATGAAGAGGCCTGTCCAGGATACCCGCGAGAATCCATTAGAGGGATGCTGTTCTTCTCACGGGGGTCAAACGAGTTTCCCGCATCAGCAGAATATCGGCTGTTGGCGTCACCACCTTCAATATCATTGAGAACCTCTCTCGTGAGCTCGACGTAATCGTAGGCAAATTCGCCGATTTCCGCATCGTCGATACCCAGAATCTCGGCTTCTTCGGTCGCTCGGAGTTGGAGACCAGGAATCAGGTTGAGAAGGAAGCAGATTATGCATGTTCCAACAAATGAATAGCACCCTCCGCAAATAGAATCAGCCAGTTGGTATGCCAGCTGAATCCAGTGTTGGTTAACCCAACCGCCTTGAATCACACTATATCCATCGAGATGCGCAATATAGTCGGCAGCAAAGAAGGCGGTGCAGATATTTCCCACAAAACCACCAACAGCGTGTACGGCGAAGATATCCAAAGCGTCGTCAATTCGTACGAGGAACTTGAGCTTGGTAGCATAGTTGGCAAAGCCAGCCCCTAGAACGCCGTAAATTACTGCAGCCCAGGCTGGAACGTAACCTTGGACAAGTCAGACATGTCTCTTCAACATAGCGACGAATAACTTACCTGATCCAGGGGTAATCGCCACAAGACCGGCTACAACTCCCGAACAGAATCCAACCGTTGACCACTTGCCCTCTAGCCTGTAATCGAGCACACACCATGTAATTCCGCCGACACAAGCAGCTAAATTTGTTACAACCGCAGCCATGACAGCGCGTAAATTCGCCGAGAGCGCACTTCCAGCATTGAAACCGAACCAACCGACCCACAGAAATACTGTGCCGACGACGATGTGGGTGACGTTGTGCGGTCGGTAGTTCAGTTCGTGGGTACCGTGACCACGTCGTTTTCCGAGCATCATCGAATCTGCAAGGACGCATATTAGTGCTGACAAGTGAGACCACGGGCGATCATTTAAACTAACATGCAAGGGCAGCTGTGCCAGAAGCAATATGGACCGGGGTGCCACCTGCAAAATCGAGTCCACCCATTTTGTTAGACCATCCGGAAGGGTTCCAAGTCCAACAAGCAATTGGGTCGTAGATTATCGTGGACCAGATGAACATAAAGATGACACACGGTAGCATGCGACCTCGCTCAGCTACAGCTCCTGTCGCGAGAGCTACGGTAATAGCCGAGAACATGCCCTGGTAGACGGCGAAGAGCAGGTCCGGGATTCTCGGAGAACCGACCGAGGGCTGACCCAGTACATCTTTGAATCCGATATTGGTTAAGTCTCCAATATATGAAGACGCAGTGTGAGAGAAAGTCAACGAGTAACCCCAGAAGAACCATTGGAATGTGGTAACGGCCGTAGCCATGACGGAGAGCCATATTAGAGACAAGGCCGATTTGCGACGCGCGAGACCAGAATAGAAGAAGCTTTATTGTTGTAAGTTTATAGACTCTCCAAGTTAACTATAGGTTATGGTGTGGTTTCTTACCCGACTCCTGGGATCATAAGCAGCACGAGAGCTGTGGACGTGATCATCCAGGCGATATCACCACTCTATACCATCCATCCTGTTAGACTCAATCGATCTTCGGCTTGTTTTGGGCGCATTTGAATGCATCAACTAACCTCGTACCATATATTCAAGTCTTCGGTCAACGAATCGCCGCCAGTAGCACCCGTTCCATTATAAGGGAATTTAATTACATAGTCCAACGCGTCGAGATCGACGCCCTCGAGTACGACCATGTTGATAAGCAGCTCGGCGATGAGCCTTCGTAGCGACTGGAATCACGAGGTCGAAAGGGCAGCCGGCTTCACATATGAAGAAGTTAATAAGGTTAAAAGAGTGTCAAGAAGTTGGTTAGAGTCGCAAGGGAAGTGGTCCTGGAAGAATCGAGACGGAGTCTAGATCAAATACCCTAGGTCGGATTCTTCTATCACTAAAAGGAGCCGGGGGGCCAAGAATAAGTTTATGCAAAGGGCGCGGTAGTAAAACTACTAGCTGTTAGTAGTTTAAAAGAAGAAGCAATTCTAAGACAGTAAATTACTCTAGTTTAGGTCAATCGATGCGCCTATCAATCATATCAAAATGAAGAGCAGCTAAATGGGATCGTATGTCGGCAAGTCTAAATCTCGTAGCCAACGTCGACGCCCCAGCGCCCGTAGACCCGGTACAGAGTAAGAGTTTTATTGCTAGCTGGCCATATTACCGATCAGCGTCGTACATGTACGTATGTACATTGACCATTGACGTCTGATGATATGAGGTCCCCTTCCATATGGGGAGATTACATAGGACACAGAGATCAGCCACTTAACAAGCAAGGGCATGACCTGCAGGAATACCGCTCTGTGCCCGCCTCAAAATCGGTGAACTACAAATGGTAGCTCAGCGATTTCGATAGGAGCAGGGATCGAGTCCGACCACCCCGGAGAGATACATACGCATAGTACTATGCGTATGTACTATGCGTATGTACTATGCGTACATACATTATCTGTCGGATGACGGGGGGCGATTGGCTTCAGCCAACCAGCCAGCCTTGACTCTACGTATCCAGCATTGGCAACATCGACGCCACGGGGAAGGCTAAATAAGAGCTGGATGAGCTGGATTCGGTCTTGACGACTTTCGAAACCACTTCTAACGGACTTCGTCAGCTAGGTACTTTGGTAAAGTCTTTAGTTCCGGTGAATTAGATAGAATGGGAATGGAGGACAGCGAAGGTAGAAAGGCTGAAAGGGAAACTTTTGGGAAGACGATAACACAATTCGGGAGGTTCGTGTTACATAGCAAAAACAAGTAAGCAACAAGAGATAAGCAGAATGAAGGTCCACAAATTAAAGTCCATCATTGGGCGAGATTCGCGCGTGGGGTTACAAGTGGAATGGGTGGAGAGGGGTCCCAAGGCATCGGGGAAGCAGGGATATCCTTGACACATTCCATCTCGAGTCCATGCCTCCCTACGATAAGGTTTAAGACTTGGCAGTTGTACCCCAAGACGGATGGGAAGACGCGAATAAGAAATAAATAGCGAAAAATTCAACACTTACGACTTCCCTTGCACGTTTCTATCGTCATATCCCGAGATGGGGAGACGGCGAGACGGAACGGGTTTGAAGGAAGTCTGTGACCAGCAAACGTCACGACTAGTCATACTACAGAGTTGGTACTATTTGCACAACTAATATACGGTAAGTACATACCTAGTACTGCGGTCAAGATATCTATCAGCCCACTTCGGGGGATTTCAGGGGCTAGTTCTTTGACAACCAGCTACCCTTTATCATAGACCGAAATGTTGACCTAGCTAAGCACCTAGCTAAGCTACCTTGAGTATAGACTTCGAATACCTTGGAATTAGAATCGCGGAAAGTTTCATGTGAAGGTCTCGTGTCAACTGTCAACGGTTAACGGTGAACAGTTGTGTTTCCAGCCCCTACAAGGTACGTCGTAGCACAGTACCTACCAGATCGGGAAGGTGATCAATAAACAATGCCTTATGCAGTGCGGAATATAGATCTGGTTCATTCGCCGGGAGCCGGTAGGGGTCCGGGGGATTCCGTGACATGATGGATGCGTTTTCTATCTTACATTAGTTTGAGTTTACAGTTGGGAAGATATCATGAAATATCATGAAATGTTTTGAGGCTGTGTCAGACTCCTAATTATGCACTATTCATCATCTATTGCGGATGAGGTCGATCGAGTCTTGGAATCAAATCCCCACGGACCATCCCCTATTGGTAGATTTTGGCATAGACTGGCTTACCGGGTGGCGTCGCCGTCTCAACGCCATTCAACCACCTACGCAACATTACCTACTCTCTATCAATTAGCGTCTCGAGTCTAATGCTCCCATAAACCTCGAGCTAATGCAGTGTCTCTTCAAACACACCGTGCAGCCGTTAAATTGAGGTCATGACTGAGTAGGTCGAAGATCTTCTTAGGGCTGAAACCTTAACTGCAAGCCAATCGATCGGACCGATGTCCTTTGTTCTATCGAAACGAGTTTCAATATATATGGTTTGATATAATCTCCGGGCACGCGAGAAGGTAACCATGAATAGATATCGTCCATGTTTACACTTGTTAATAGCGTTTAATATCCAAGCTTGATAGCTCGCAAATTTTCTTGTGGAAGACCGACGAATTCAAAAAGCAAAGGCGGTGGCGTTCGGTGCATTGCTCGAAATGGTATCTGCGAATTAACTCTCAGATATAAATATCACGGGCTATTACGCCGACCAGTATCATAAGCATTCGCCTACCTATTTCGGTAGTTAGTTATGTCGAGTGAAAGAGGAAAGTCAAGATATTTACGATAGTTATCCTCAAGGAGATCCTAACAAGCAATTCGCATTTTATTCGCCTGTAATAGCTGTTGGGTATGTTCGTGTAGTCTTCGCCACAGACTCATCGAGTTCTTTATTCCAAAGATCATCTCGCCATTATGGTGAGATTTCCAATTGGCCTTTAATTATGTATTTCAACATGAGAAACTACATATATGATAACTTGAGTTAGAATTGGAAAGTTATTAATAATTGAGAGGTGATGTTGTGGTACTTGGTATTTAGATCCCCTGGCCCCCTACAAAAGGATGGCTCCACCAAAATAACCCCCAATCAAAAACAAGTACATTACCATAATAGGAATACAGATAGGAATTGACAAATGATGCCGACCTTTGGACTATTACGCCAACAGATGATTTTATGACGACATAGGGTGCAAGAGTTTAGTTTAAAAACGATACCTGCATCTTGACAGTAAGCGGCCATTAACCAGTTACCTACTTTGCCGCATCCACGTATAGGTATGTAGAGAAGAGATGTGATTTGTCTATTAGGTTTTAACAAAAGCAACGAAACTATAATCGAATTACATCAAAATATTCTACCTAGTCAGGTCTCAAGGGTGCTGCTATAGGAAATCCACCACATACAACATGGCCAATCCCTCTATAGACCGTCTGAAGCATATGTTTCTTATGAAAATAGATCAAAATGAGGTTCGATTTTACCCCATTCCGAAAGTACGTCTTCTGATCTCGGCGCCTTTACCATCGAGCTAACAATCTGTATATATAGCCCGTCTACTTCATGAACATCGACTGTCTTGCCATTGGCGAGGGAAATTCGTATTTCGAGATTAGACTTAAGGAACGGTTCAACATCATCTGTATGTAAACTCGGCACCTGTCCAGATGCCACCAAATTCATCAACGCCGAGGTCATTGGAACCGTTCCTGTAATCTTTCGATCAGAGTGCATGCTATGCATGCCTCTATGGGCGAAGACTCCTAGCGTGCCGACTAGGCTGGGGGCTATCGGCCATGACAGCGGGTCAGATGGGACTTCTCCTATGAAAAGGTGGATGGAAAAGGAACCACCCATTGCGTGCTTCTTGACTCTTATGTTTGCAATCCACTCACGATACCTTCCATTGACGAAAACGGTATTCATGGCAGGACGAGCCGATGTTTGACTATTCCAAGATAACCCATTCGCTGCGTATAGGCCCCGGCTACTTATATTTGTTTCATGTTTCTTGCCATGTTGGTGACTCCCACCTGGCCTCGTGAGCATAGCAGACGGACTGAAGTTTCCATAAAGCCTATTGATAGTGGTAACAAGTTCCGTGCGACTCTTGTTGACTACCTCGGGGTAGGTATAATTGAAGATCTCATGGTCTCGGACCATATCTGATGTCCAGAAATGTGTTTCATTGGAGAAGAATGGTGTAAGGGGAGTCTGAGAGTCTTCGATTTCTCCCGGAGATGTTGTATGGGAAGAGTAAACAGCAGATTGAGGAGCAACATATGTGTCGTTATGAAGCAATTGCCACATTGCAAAGATCCTGTCGACATTGGTATGATGTAGCCAAAAGAGTGGATCGAATCCCGAATAAGCTATGATGGCAAGATGTCCATAAACGCCCCCTCCTACGGTGTGGATTGCGTCATGGAGAGATTCGACGGAATCGTAGGTGCCATTGTTTCCATTAGGAATCCAAGCTTCGTTGCTAAAGGTCGTATAGTTTGGGTAATTAGAGAACAGGTTATATAAACGTTGTTGGAAACTTGGCAGATGGACGTCTAGCGCATGTGCCACGAATGAATTATTAGATGTTGCGTTAGCACTGTTTATTGGACGTGGTGCTCGCTTTGTCTCTGTCCATGTGTTGTACTTTCGTGGCCCATCATTAGTTTATAGTATTCATCCTCGTAGAAGTTCAACTTACTGGAAAGTCAGGAAAAGTCGATGCGTTAAATGGCCTGAATACGTAGCTGAATAAGGGGTTTGCGATTGTTTGGATACCATTTGGCCCGGATATATTGATAGATGGTGAACCACCAACACTCAGCGGGAGGACACTAACTCCCTCTGGTGGAACGGCGGCCCAGTCCCAGTATGGAATTCGAAAAGCTGTTGCAACTTCCTGAATGCGACCCCGACGATCTGGTGGATATAGCGAGGCAATATACTGAACAATATTGTACAATACTTGCTGAGACCAGGCATAGAATAATTAGCATTATGTTTTGTAGGTAGGCAACAACAACGGTCATAGACGGGATAAATGAGATTCTTTCAGTGTACCTCGTATAGAGCAAGGTAGGGTCTATGCCATGTGGGGAAGAGAATAGACACATGAGTACAGTACCCGCTATGCTCATTGCCAGGAGTCGGATCGACGTCTGCCCATGTCAGTGCTGGAGCACCATGAATGCCTAGCATAGAGTTAGAATATAATATGACTGGTCTTACTCTTTGCTACATACCTGTAATCTGGTACCACGAGAAAGGTTTCTCTTGATCGGTGAACTGCATCCAACTGAGAGCGAGGATGTACAAGTTCCACTTGTCTTCATCCTTCTGCAAGTCTCGAATATCTGGCCGCGGCTGTGCTTTGCCATCGAGACGGGGAACGCCAGTGACGATACGGGACTGGACGGGATCCCGTTTTCGAAGGCGGACATCAGCATTAAACCCGTAGTCATATTGCCCGAGGTGAACGAGATCGGCAACGGCTATAGAGAATAAAAAACATATGACGAGGCAGATCTTACGAACGAGCGACATAGCGAGCCGTCGACAAAAGCTAGAACGGTCGATCCCGGGGATTACTAAAAGACGCACAGAATGGTACTGCAGGGCTGTACAACGCAGATTGGAAATATTAGAGGGAAGGGATTTGAAGAAGGAGTTGAGAAGAAATTATTCAAGGCAAGATATACCTAACTAATTTATCTTCTTGACGAAGAGAAAGAAACCAAAGGAACTGTGTTAGGCCGTTCTTTTCATATGCTAGGGAGGTAAGAGGGAATATGTATGAAGTATTATGTATGATTGATTAAAAGAAAGAAAAATAGGACAAGAGGAAGTCAAGACCTTCGGAGTTCTATGTCGAAGTAGCTTCCTACCCAATGTTGTAGTTTCCTGTGTGCATTGACCAGTACTTAGGTATTTTAGGAAATGGCGACTCGATGCGATCTCGTTATCTCGCTGTTGTCTTTTTACCGACGACTGAGCTTATTCATTGTTACAAACATTGAACACTTGATCAGGCGTAGGTGGTTCCATAATCCGGCGGCCATAGTCAAATCTAGTATTCGTGAATGAAGCCACCTCATCTTAGGACGGGTTCTCTATTCATGATAGAAACTAGAAAATCGATTAGTGTTTGAAGGAAATTAGCTACTTACCTCCGATTCTAATCTCCCAATACCGCATAAACGGGAATATCTTAAATGAAGGGCCTCTCTATAGCCAGGCAAATCTTTCTCACGGGCGGCGCGGTGCACGACAATCGGCGTTGGTAGGGATCCATGGATATGTGTGATACACAACATACAGCCATTCTGAGACATCGCCACGGTTACCTGCATCACTGCCCCTCTGACGATATGATTAATCCCAAGACACTTGAAGGAAACCATTGTGCGTCGTTCATTAAATTCAATTAGACTCCTCTGTATCACTACCAGGATTGTCTATTCCCAAAACCGAAGGCCGGAAACCTCTTAACTCCACCCAATGCCATCCCGTAATAACTTTTTGAATGTATACCTGGCGATATGTCTACGCGGCCTTTATAGCGGGGGGGAGACCGTTTGTTTTCTTCACTGCTGAAATACCTTCCCAGTTTTTCTGTAGCAGCGGGCCTTTTCGCGGAGCATCCTTCGGGTCAACTCGGTATTTTAGCTTGACACCCATAGCAGCTAGCTCAACGTCCAGATACTTCAGAGCACCGGGAACTGCTACTTTCGTAGTGTCTTCGCCTCCAACCCATTGGTTCCCTTGACCATCTTCCCATATTTCACCGGCCAACTTAGTCAAATCAACGTCATTAATCCGATCAAGGCGTGTCGCACAGTTGCGACATCGAACCACACTCGCCGTCTTCTTCCTGCCAACGAAAGGAGATACTGTCGGTTGGATCGACAAAAAGGAGCCGCATCTACGGCAGATCCAGGACGGGGAGTAATCCGAACAGTTGAGGAGACGGTCCTGGAGAAGGAACGCTGTGCCGTGTGCTAGCAGAGCATCTCTCTCCATTTCTCCTACACGAATACCACCTCCCCGTTTTCTGCCCTTGATTGGTTGGCCTGTTGTTGCGACAACCGGGCCCGTGGTTCTTACTTGATATTTGTCGTTTACCATGTGTCGTAATCGTTGGTAATACACAACACCTATGTAGATGTCTGCACCTAACTCCTCACCTGTAATTCCCGAATACATTGGCTCATTCCCGTGGTAATTGTATCCGGCTTTCATGAGCTGGTGGCCGAAGAAATCGGCCGCTGTATTCTCCTCGTCGAAGCGGAAGGGTGTTGAGTCTTGCGCCAACCCATGAAGTGCGCCTGCCTTTCCTGCTAGTGATTCGACAAACATACCGATTGTCATTCGAGAGGGGAAGGCATGAGGGTTGATGATAATATCGGGCTGGATACCGGACTCCGAGAATGGCATATCCACGGACGGCCATTTTTGCGAAGCTACACCCTTTTGGCCATGACGAGACGAGAACTTGTCTCCGATAACTGGTGATCGGGGAACGCGGAATTTGATCGAGATTGTTTGGGCAGGCTCGTTACCTTGCTCACTGCCGATTATTCGCACTTCTTCGATGAATCCTTGTTCTGAGTCCTTGTACTTTTCGTACTTGGTGACACCATCTCGGTTTACCAAATTACCACTATAATCTGCAGAGACCGTGTGGTAGGCAAATATGACGTCGCCTTCCTGAACCATCCGTCCGACATGAGGAAGCCCGTCTTCGTCCAACATTGTCTGCGTCCATGCCTTCACAACGCTGCCTGGAGCAAAGCCAAACATCTTAGTCACATTCTTAGCTGCTCTTGTACGACTTTCTTCCTTAAGAGTGTACTTTTTAGTCTTGTAGATGGTCCCATACCCGAAACCTCGTTCGTGGGCAGACTTGTTTAGAATCATGGCGTCGTCCATATCATATCCCGTGTATGATATGACGGCGACAACCGCATTCATGCCGTTAGGAAAATTATCGAAGCCATATGCATTGTGTAGTGGTGATCTAACAATAGGTGTCTGGCCAGTCTGGATACGATACATTTTGTTGTCCGTCCGGTGGGCTAATGCGGCGCCCGGGGTTCCCATTGTCTGCTTACCCATCTGACATTGATACATATTTCTAGGAGATTGGTTAAAGTCGGAAAAGGGAGTCATATTCGCCAATATCGAAAGTATGTTCGTAGGGTCAAATTCGACATGTGTAGATTCTCCGGACACGACCTCCTGCTCCGTACAAGCAATCGACATATACGGTTGCTCAAGGGGGCCGACAAAATCCTCTTTCTCTAAGGGAAGGTATTTCGTCGGCCTCACCATTCTGGACGCTTCGGAAGACATATATATGCCGGGGTAAGATCCTCCATTGGATGACGGTACATGACCGATCTCGAGATGGACAGGGATGCCATGAGAACCCTCGACTTTCCAGTACCGAAATGTGTCCGCTATTCTGCGTGACTCGGACGGGTGACACCATCCAAGGATCCTCCCGTTCAGCATTACTACGACGCTTTCATCCGTAGCGGCAGATGAAGTATCGACGACACCAAGTTCGGCAGCTAGCTGCGGGATCGTTGAAACATCAAGCGACTTAGTCATGATCTTACACTTATGTGCCAGATGGTTGAGTAGGCCACAAGGGGAACCATCTGGTGTGTGGACAGGGCAAAGGAAACCCCAAGATTCGGGTAACAACTTTCGTACAGTCGTAGTCTTTAATTGAGCGAAGAAACTTCCACGATGAACCATGCGGAAATGGCTTATGAAACGAAGGAAATTGAGCTTCTCCGCAACAACGGTGAAACCTGATACTTGTTGTAGATCCAGACCAGACGGACTCGATAGATTACCGGTTGACATAAAATATTCTAAAGCATTGCCGACGTTCTCATTAGTTTTCTGGAAGAGTTTGATGGGGAAATCTTTCCCAAATTCTTCCGAAGTAAATGACCTTGCAGGGTACTTCCTAAAATAGTCTCGAAGGGCACTGCGAAGACCAACCGAAAGCAGTTCATCCAACCGCTCCTTAATTATCATGCCGTACAGAAATCCGCCTAGGAGAATCTCTTGGTTCTGCGCTGCATCGGGGTTGTCCACCGCACAGTCTCCAGCAACTAAGGCATAGAGCTTTCTGGTCATAAATAAGAGCATACGAAATTTGTCCGAATCCTGTCCTTCAGTGACATTCATATTGCCAAGGTGAACAAGCACAATTCGCCGCAAAAACTCGGTGCCGACTTCATAGTGGGATAAAGTATCAGATACACCCAATACTGGTCGAAATTTCTCCCCAAGGTATGACCGGGTTTGTGCCATTGTGTAGAGTCCATAGGTCTTGTAAGTCCGTAGTAAGAGCTCGACGCGATCCGTGAGGAATGTGTTTAGAATCCCCTTCGAATCGGGGGATCCAATTAGGCCTTCGAATATTTCTCTATCATTAGTTTCCACCAGTGCCTTTAAGATCATCATAACCGGGACTAGGTATTCGTTCTTCCTCCAAGAGAAGCGAAAGGTAACATTTCCGTCATTTAAGTAATGAAGAACGTTCGTTTGGGAAGTTTCGTCTGGTCGTACTGATCTAACGATGATGCCGTAAGGGGTATACGCAGGACCACGATTGGTGAAACTTGGACGGTTGATTGCTAAGGGGAAGTTTCTTCGGTTGACCAGGAGAAGTCGTATTATCTTCTCGATGCCATTGATGACAAAATAGCCACCTAGTTCTTCCGATTCTTCTTTGCGCGAAACCAATTGGGCTGGGCTGTTGTCCCTAAGATGGCAATGCATCGACTAGAGTTCAGTTTAGAAAACAGGCTCGCCATAAGTGGATTGTCAAGAGTCTTGGGTCTTACCTTTACCATGATTGGGAGCTGGCCAATCTCTCGAGTGAACTCTTTCGGATCTCCATCATTTATTCTATACTCAAAAGTAGCAGAAATCTTTCCCCTGTATGACACATGCCGTTCTCTACATTCTGCGGGAAGAATCTCTCTGTTTTTGACAGCGAATTTATTGGTAGGCGGGAGTTGCGACTTTTGGAGGTGTATGCCTTTGTATCTGATCTTCAGCTTGTTCTTCCCAGCTGGTGGAGCGCGCTCGTCTCCATCTAGAAACAATTTTGTGCCAATGTCGGCAAGGCCGTGTGCGATTAGACCATCGTTGCCGAAAAGCGCATCGAAAGACTCGATATGTGGATTGACAGCTTGTTGTAATAGAGGGTACGCAGAATGATCTGTCGGCGGTTCCCTAAATAGCTTCTCTCGGCGAAGAGTATTATATTCGTGATCCCAGCTTGTGCTGGTTGGCTGCGGTGCCATGTTAGCAGCGAAAGAAAGACTCTGCGTCAATTGAAATTTAATGTCAGATGCCTCACGAATTGAGTTCACGTTTGCGAAGCCATCTTTGAAAAAATGATAGCTTTGAACTTTGAAAAAAAAAACCTTATCGTCCAAAAGATTTCAAGGTTCAGCCCCCACCTTTATCACATGACGACCTATCGATAAGCTTTTATCAGATGGACTTACGTACCTAGTTAGCGCGCTCTTTAAGTTCCATTTCGATCTGCCTAGACGTCGGCATTGGAGGTACAAAGGTACATAAAAGGCAGTTATGCAATTGTGTTGGTTGGGGTTGCAGACTTTGTAAGTGAAAGGTACGAATTGGCTCAAAGTTATGTACATATCGAGCTGCTTCCTTAATGGCTTTTAAGTTTATGACTTTTTGGTGGGTTTCAGCTCGATATTTTATAATATTTTGCTCTATAGAAACTTCTAATTCAATCTCTTCCTCATTTTCTTCAAGAAAGTTTGAAAACTTCAAGATCGAGCTTGTCGTCATTGCGATAGATATACACAGGTTATCAGAGCTACCCTGTGTTTAATACGATAGTCCTGTTCTGTTTTAAACAATTCTCAACCACTCATATCTTCCCTAAGCACGAGGTGCGACGTATATGGTTATTATTGCTGTCATCTTGCACCAGTCTTGCAGCCCAACCCCGACCTCAAAGCTACCTGCCGTGCTGCTTGCATCCCGCAGGCTGCCTCGCCTTGGCCCAAATCCGAATTCGTCTGGTGGTAATTGGTAAGTACCAATCTTTGATCTCTTGGTCCTGGATTCTACCCAGTCTACAACTTACCTATCTTCTCTACTTCTGACCCGCCGCATCTGACCTCGCTTGAGGTTGTTCACTACCTGCATCTGAAAGACCCGACCACTTCTGGGACCTCAAACCATAGCCTACCATTCTCGACTTAACTCTTTTGCTACAAACAAGCCGATCTCCGTCCAGTACTCCGGTCAAGGTACCAAAGCACCGCCGCCTTCTCCTCTCCCTCCCCCGTGATCGCTCGCACCGTGCTGCCGAAAGTTGAATTTACCGCAATATCGTCCTAAATAATTTCGTTGAAAGTTACTTAATCTCTTCATACAGCGTACTCCTTCGTTGTTACACCTTGACGCAAAGGGGAGCTAGCTAAGTATACTACCGCTGGTGGAAACAAATCATCTACTCAGCGAAGAAATACGTAAAGCATTACAGGCCCGATACGTTTAGCTGCTTGCTGAGTGTGGGGGAGTTTTGGATACCTTACCCGCCCGAGCAGGTGACGGGTCTCCGAGGCGGCTAGAGTAGCAGTTCGGGAAAACCTCGAGGCGTAAAGTTGCGAGGAGAGCATAAGGAAAGTCTGATTACCGTTATTTTACAGTGCTCCCCACAGAAGAGAGCATAAGCCCTTACTGCTTTCGTTCTATCCCCAACTTCTATACGGCAACCTATTCTGCTATCGCCTGCAGACCTACTAGCTAGGCAAGTCTTACATCTGTTTCCCATCAAGCTACGAGACTAGCAGCCTGGGACCTCTGGGATCAGGACGATACCTCCAAGGGTTGTCCGTGTACGAAACCCTCGCAACCTTCGCAACGGGCCGTTCAATAGCTAATTCCCCATACTCGCAGCTCTCCAATCTTGTTCCCGCCGGTCAAGTTTCCTATCCCGCGCGCACATTAATATCCATTTCCTTTTTTGCTGTGTAGTCTTGTCCACAGCACAGTACCAACCTTACCTACTACATCCTACCACTATCAATTTTTAGCCCATTTGGATTATTGTGGTTCGAAATTGACTGGCCTTGTCGAAACAGACGAATGAAACCCCAGTCTTTCTAGCCGCTGTCCGTTCAGATGCAAGGTCGGCCTTCTATCCCTCCCACTTGGTCACGTCCCAGTTGAAGGCACGGGGCATCATAAGTTCATAACAGCTTGTGCGATCTTCCGTGGTGGGGAATTGTGACCCTCCGTCCAAGGCGTCACCGTCCATCCCGCTTCTATCTTTCATCAAATGCTGCATGTACCTTCACCACCGCTAGAAGCTACCTAGACAGTTCGCATTCACCGAACGCAATTTGCGCCTGGGGCCGACGAACCCGCCGTGAGCGCTACGAGCGAAGACATCGCAGCTCATCGTCATACGAGACATTTTATTCCTAATTTCAGCAAGCAAGCCGAAGCGCAAACTATTTAAAGCTTTTGTTTGAGACAAACCCTCAATCATCTCTTTGCGTCCACCGCGTGTATTTTTTTCTAACCGCCCAGCCTTGCGTGGACCTACAAAACATCCTCGATTTCTACGATACCGGCGATCCAAGAGCTCTCACGTTTTGCTACTGATTAGACACGATTACCTGTAAATTTGGACATGATGGCAGGACTATTCCGAAAAGTGTATGACTGGTTGCTCAGAACGTTCTGGTGAGTCCACGAAAGCTGCGCCCCAGCGCGGGGTCGCGAGATTGTGCCGCTCACCGCCGTACCTGCATGCGCATTCTGCATCGCGACGTCGTCAACTTTCTTACTGGCAGAACATCGCACTAACGACCCCAACTAGGGCGACTGAAATGGATGTCACGATGATAGGTCTGCAGAATGCTGGGAAGACCTCTCTGCTTCGCGTCTTATCGGTAAGTACCCGAAGTCTTCATCCACCTAATTTATAAGCGTCGCTAACGATCTTGTTTCTTTTTTTTTCCAGGGTGGAGAATTTACGATCGAGTAAGCACGAGACCTTCACTAATAGCGTTGATAAACTCGTCACATCGTCAGGCGTCGGTATGATAGACATCGGGTCGGCTAACAGGTCGTGTAGCTCTATTCCCACTGTCGGTTTCAATATGAAGCGCGTACAACGTGGCCATGTGACACTCAAATGCTGGGACTTGGGCGGTCAACCTCGTTTTCGGCCGATGTGGGAGAGGTACTGTCGCGGAGTGAATGCGATCGTGTTCATCGTAGACATCGCTGACCAAGACCTACTGCCCATGGCAAAGGAAGAACTTCATTCCCTCATGTCGCAGCCGAGTCTCGAAGGGATCCCGTTGCTCGTGCTAGGCAATAAGTCTGATCTCCATATTAAGCTCAGCGTGGACGAGCTCATAGACGCTCTAGACCTTAAGAGTATAGGACATCGCGAGGTTTCCTGCTACGGAATTAGTGCAAAGGAGGAAACCAACCTAGACGCGGTAATCCAATGGCTCATGAAGTGGGCGAACAGATGAACTCTCTTTACGCAACACTTGACTTCTGTTCTTTTTATTTCTCCGGCCACCGGGGTATCGTCTCGCTGCCCTTGCGACACTTTCGAAGCATTTTCACGACGCTAATGATATCATGGGATGTAAAAGACGGTTCAACTTCCGGCCGGCGACGACCTAATATATAAATCATCTCTCGCGAGCTTAAATCTGGAGGTGGATGTAACATCAGTATGCCTTCGACATCTCGGGCGCCACCCTCCAGTATCCCCTTTCATTTCATATGCCTCGTCTGCTCGACTCAAATACTGCATAGCCATCGGAGATGGAGTCGACGGTTTCGGAACTCGAAGTGCTAGAAGGGTCAGGATAACATCCGACATGTTCTTTTTCCTTTTATTTTTATTTTCTTCGGCTGGAATATCTTGTCAATTTTTGAAGGTTGCGACGGCGAACACTGCTAGACGTCCAAATATGCAAGCAGGGCGGGCAAGGAAGCATTGGTGTAGTTAGGTGCATTTATGACCAAATCAATCATGACTTGACGACTTCACTCAAACCTAGAAGGCATGCTCGACGGAGTTATATGCACTCCTGTTTGACACGTATGAAGAGACAATTAGCGAAAATTGAGGGCGCGAAAGAGAAAAAAAATATGCGCCCAGCGTGGCGCCGGAGGATTCCTTAAGTCGCCCTAGTAAGGTGTGTGACAAATATGCAGCTCGAGATGGCGTCGGTAGCCCAACACAGGCAAGACAAAAGGGTCAAATTTGCGAGAACAAGGAATAGATAAAAGGTAAAGACCATTTGCATACCAAACTAGGATCAGGACAGCACGAAGAGAAGGAAGGGAAAGGAGAAAAGCGCCGGCGACAAGAGAGGTGCAGGAATAGCGATACTTGAAGGCTACACACAGACCACATTTGATGCGATGATGAGTTGGCAAACCCTCCAGCGAGGCGATGGGAGGGGAATGATTGGCTCACAAGGCGACTATGGACAGCGCAACGTGGACTTCAGGTACCTCAGCAGGGAGCATGTGGGTATGGGATGTATGTATTCATGGATGCATTTGGACGAAAATTGGGTTCGCGGCTACCAGTCAAGTGGTATGCACGAGTTACATCTACGGCAGGTAGAGATCTTACGAGCGAGTCATGTACTTTTGTTTTATTTGGTTGTCTGGTTGTGTGCTGTGTTGTTCGTTCATATTTCTCTTCTCGGGCGAGGTTGCTGCTACAGTTGCAGTTGTGTGTGTTGAGATGGGCGGCATGCCATGGGTCCATGATAATGAATCTACGGAGATTTTTGACGTGGCCGCATGTCATTAGCTAGCGGACCTGCTGCCCTCCGTCCCCTTCAACTCAGCAACTGATCGTCAAATCTCGGGTTCTAGACTAGCTGAGCACAAGATCCTGGTCAAAAAAGACACTACCCAGAAATCAATTCGGAGTTTGTCGAGAAGGAGAAATCAGATACTTATCAATATATCTACCTTGGGTAGTATTGTTTGAATTGGAATATTCTTTCATAATGGTAACCTACTTACCCGATGATTATTCGATTATGGTAAAAACGATCCTATTGCGAATACCATAGGAGGGAGGTACTTGCTTGTAAGGTGCCTCGAATATCATAACGTCAGAGTCAGACATCGGCACTTACTAGGTAGTCCAGGTAGTCCTGCTCCCATGTATACGATGCCGGAAAAGGAATGGAAAAGCGTGCATAGACATAACAGAAAGTGTCGTTAGTAATATAAGACAAGGATGTATTCCTGAGAGAAGAAGCGAGACCGAAGTGTTTACTTCAGGGAAAAGAAAATGTAGATGATCGCAAATCCCCCGCGACTGTAATCATGTTGTTTTGTAAAACCCGACATGGCAGCCAAGGGTAGGTATCGATCAAGAACCATACGCTTGGAGCTCATAGAAACAAATATCGCGCTTTGTCTTCTTTTAGATATCATCGAGGTCTAAGCGACCGATAATCATCATAGCTACCCCAACCCTGAAAGTGAGATGAGAAGATAGTCCTATGTCGGAACTGAGGTCATCCTTTATGAGACTGTAACAGGATAGCTTCGATGTCTGAGACGGTTTCCAAATAGTCTAGAAGATGCGACGCGAGGGAATTTGTATTTCTCGGATTTGACTTATTCCATTGTTGCTGTGACTTGCTCAGCCTTGATTGCGGAGCTAAGGATGGATCTGGCTATAATTCGTCATCTCACGCCCAAGCCACGAGCAGCTAAACAGGTGATTTAAACAAAAAGATCAATGAATACGCAAATACGGTATCTCGTTGCGAAAAGCTTTAATATTTGGAATTCGGAATAGAGTTTTGAAGAGCTGTGCAAGCGAAGGACCAATTGACTTTTGCTCTGCCCAGCTCTGCCCCAAAAGCTCCAGGGCTCCATTCTGGAAAGTTCATTAGCAAGCTTTCAACCAGCTGGTCGGCACGAACACTACATAAACCTTGCACTTGCTAGCACAAATGTAAAATTATGTAATATGAGTATCATGTATCTTCCCATATAAATATGTAAGTAAAGTACAAAAGTGGTACAAGATATGTCAAGGTCAGGCCCTCTAACACGCGTACACAGCCACCATTGGCAGCTAATTGGCACCACTGACACACAATGATAATTCCATAGAAGCCATTCCCGCCTGCCGCGCCAAGTAAGATCCATCCCAAACCGGTAGCCGGCAACTTCCAGCCGTGTCATGCATCGCATTGCGTGTTCATTCTCTTAAGACCGCTCTTTTTCAATAAAGAGCAGTCCTCTCTTCTAAAACGTTTCAAATAAATCCCACTCCGACTTTTTGTCAACATACATAGGTAGATATTAAACTGCCTATCTTTAAAGTTCATACACACAATATACAAAGTACAAACAAATTACTTTAAATCTTCCTCGACGTCATTCCGCATCATACCCTAGCAACAAACGATAACCTTTCTACTTTCGGACATTTTCAGACGGACTTCTCTACCACTGCATCCGAACACATTTAATTGAAGGCTTCTTACCCACCAGCAACAACTTCTGACACATACCATCACAACTCATTCTCGTCGCGCATCGTCAAAAGACATGGCGCCTTTCATCGATCAAGTCGGCGCCCAATTGGCAAAGCGCCAGCGATATTGCAACAATGGATACTACTATGACAGATGGGGCAACTGTTACAGTGCATGGAGTTGGTATGGCCGCTGGATTTTCGCGGCCGTAGTCATCGTTCTCGTTCTTGCCATCTTCATCCTATGGGCGTAAGTAGCTACTCAATCACACATGCCAGACTAAGGATTTATGAAAATTAACATTCACTCTAGATGCATCAACTCTCGCCGTCGCAGACGCCAAGGCCTTCAGCCAATGTATGGCACGGGTTGGATGGCTGGAAATCGGGGCCAGAACGCGTACTATAACAACCCTCAGGGCTACAATAACCAACCTCCTCCTCCCCCTCCGGCGTACGGACAGGCCTACCCGATGGACAGCCAGTACACCGGAACTACATTCAACCGCGACGATGGATACTACGGCCAACATGAGGGTGTTGTGCAACCACCAAAGAATGTCTACAATAACAACAACAGCGGCGCCAAGACTGACTACGCACCTCCCGAGGGACCCCCGCCTAACCGATAGATCAGCAACGAGAACAGACAAGTGGAGAACGACAAATTTCGGACATACCTTGATTGATTTGGTGGTGTAAGGCGTTCAGTTAAAGGGTCGGTTGCTTACTAGGCGTTGGTGACGATGATTGGCATAGGAAATGATCAAGTTGTATGTCTGCATGATGATGCACGTCGTCGGGAAGGGTCACGGGTGGGCAAGAATGAATCTCGTTCATTTGCCTTCATTCAAGCAGGTCACTTTACGTGTATCTTGATCATAATACCTATTGATTTCTGGGCTATCCCGGAAACTGTCTTTAGGTCTTCACTCTGTGAAGTTCACATTCTATTATGATAGTTGTCTAATGACACAGGCTTTTACAACCTGTAACTGAATATTATCTCAAATGTGACGATATTTTCATGCATAATCATCAGTATGATCTATCTGATTTGTTATCAATCAGCTATCCAGGCTGCCAGGTACAGAAGGCAATTGTCAAGTGACGTTTAGTCGTTTTGAAGGTTCATATGCACAGCTAGACCCACTAGAGTTTTCTATGACGATCTCAAGGGAAACAGATCGGCGGGTCCACGGGGAGAGATTCTTCAAAGTTAAAACAACGCTAATCATTGCAGAATGCATAACCCAACCCCGCAAATCTGCATCGTCTTAAGCTCGACCGGTGAACGTACGATATTCATTTTCGGTCTGGTATGTAGCTCTCCACATCGTCTGCTAAACTCAGTACCCTTTCTGCACTGGGTTCGGTCAAGATTGAGTTGCAAACTATTAACATGGCAGCATGGCAAACAAACCCCATCGTTGAGGATTTTGATTGCGGGGTCTGTTCCTCTAATAGTAGTATTACGCCGTATAAAAATAACCAATAGCCTGATTGCCATTGGTCTGGTGCCTGACTATACGAATAAGACGTGGGCGCAGTTCAAGTAATACATAGTAAGCGCCTTTGGGGATCATCCTGACGCCAGCCACAGTCAGAGCACAAAGGAATATAATCCACATGTTCAATGTTGATACAAAGCTGAATTGTTGCCCAGCGGGTTGAAACACCCGACATAGTAGACAAAAACATTGGCAATGACCTCGGAGCCTTGGCAAACGACTGTTCAATCGCTTTTCGTTAACGCAGAATTATCGAGTTAAGAAAATATTAAAGTTAGATGACGAATGCAAGCTTATCGGGACTTCAAGTTTGGTCTTGTCAGGTACCGCTGCCTAGGGCGCATTGTAGGATCGTTTTAGGCAATCTCCATGCTGCATCCCATCTAGCTGGTTAATTGCGACTTGCGTATGAATTGCCATTCTTCCAAACGCCCCCACAATTTTCAGGGACGGCTTGCAGAGCTCTGCAGCGCTCTTACCTCGCTTATTGCGTTCAGATTGCGGATTTACATACTACTACAGCGATCCCTAGCAAAGCCTAGGAATTTTCCCTGTCCCCTCTCTCCAGCCTTCCTTGAGGCCTTTGCGTCCTTTACCTTTTTTTTTTCTTCCTACGCACCATTGCGCGAAATTTCTCTGTCATTATTGATTCTTTGTTTTTGGCGATATACCTAGTTATATCGTTTTTACGCTCCTTTTCTACATCGAATTGCTTTGATATTCATACCTTCATTCATTGGATAGGCAGCGGGTTCAACTTCGCCTTTGATTATCCCCTATTATCACGCTTACCCTCAAAGCCACGCCGAAACAACGAGTCACGAGCGAAACATCGTCATACCCTTGATTTAAACTGAGAAATTCACGAGCTGGGAAGACCAATTTAGATTTGTGTTGGTGTCTATCGTGTTTGCTTTTGAGCAAGGTGTTACTCCCACGGGTTGGGGATATTATTATTACTCTTACCACTATTTGTCGGTATTTTCATGCTATGGATCTTTAACAATTCGCAATTCGATCATCTCCCCGAAAAACGACGAAATTCCTCCAAAATCACATTCATTTAGCACGGCACCGTAACGACGTTTGTATTGGAGTACGTGATGCCGCATATCGGCGTGTTGATGGAGCGTAGTCTCCAGGACCGGAGCTTCAGGGATGCCTTCGTAAATCTGCTTGCGCGAAGTGCAGTTGCCGCGATTGAGAAGCGTCAGACGGTTGACGGCATCAAAGGCGATATTAAAGACGCCAAGACCGCCTTCTCAAGTTGGGATAATTGCATGCAGGCCAGCTTTTGCAAGTACGATCAACCCAATCCAAAACCCGCATTATCTCATAAATCTAACGTTCAATAGGTGGCCAGTAATTGCTGTAATCGTTATTGGTGGCCTGATCATTCTTTCCATCGTTTGGTGCATTGCTCGGTGTCTCTGCTGCGGCCTTTCGTGTTGTTGCGAGTGTTGCTATTGTCTCAAGTGCTGTGGTGAGTGTTGTGGATGCTGTGATCCACCTCGAGGCAAGCGACATAAGTATCTCGATGAACCATTTGTCCCTCCACACCATGCCGAAAACCAGCAATATCGCTCACAGGCACCAATGACGCCAAGCTTTACCCCGGCACCAGCAACAGCACCGGTGTCCGATGTACCTCAATATGCCATTTTTGACGACCATAGTAAGAAGGATGCGGACTCTTTGCCTGCCATGCCGAGTTGGGAGGGCGCGCAAACACAGAAGGTCTTGGTCGAGGATGATTCCGTCGAGATGGAGCCTTTGAAGAAAACTGAGAACCAGAACATGGCTCTCAGTGCGAACAATCTATCCCACCCGACGACGCCAAGTCCTGTTTCTCCTGATAATAGAAACCCCTATGGTCCGCCTCCCGCACAAGGCGGCCCTAACGGATATGGGGCACCGATGCGATCTGGAACAGATCCGTACGCGGCGAATGCGCAAGGATATGACCAGTACGACTACAATGGTTACGGACAGGCTACACATGATAATTCGAATCAAGGATATGGCATGGCGGCAGCTGGAGTAATGAGAAGCCAAACACCTCAGCAGGATTACAATAATGGATATAATAACGGCTATGGGAGAGGGGCTGATCAGGGATATCCACAATCGCGAACTCCGAGACCGTATGACGAATATGGACGTAGTGGAACTCCTGGTGCTCCCCCTAGCTACCGCACTGCGCCGAGCGTGAACAACGCTTACAACAATCCCGCTCGGATGGGATCACCTGGTCCAGGAGCAGCTTATGGGTACGATAACCCGACCCGTATGCGATCTCCCGGTCCTCAAATAGGATTTGAGTATCCTCAGAGGTCTCAAACAGGTACACCCAGCAGCTATAACAGGCACCCAGCGCCTTACCGACAATACTCAAACGATTCCAACCGACCTCTGGTACAACCGGCACAGGAACAACAATACTCGGACAGGTCGGGACCAGTATCACCAATCCAAAATACTGGCGGATTTGACTTCAGTTCGGGTTATAGCCGACCTACGAACACAACCCCGGTCCAGACAACGCCGAGTGGAGGAGCGGCGTACCCTGGCTACCGTACATACAGACCCCCTGGAGGAGGAGCTCAGCAGCAGCAACAACAGCAGGATAACTGGAACGGGGCGTAATGAATGAAGAAGAAAAAAGATTCGGCTCGTCGAGATGTAACAAGATTTACAGGCGCTTATGGGCCTAGGATTCTTCTGGAGAAGCATGTGCGTTGGGCTAAAATTCTACGAACAAAGGCGTTTTGGGGATGATCATCTGCATACCTGCATATCTGCATAGCATGATGAATTTTCTGATAGAGAGATAAGGCTTGCTGTACAATTGATTTTTAAAATTTTTTCCTGGTATGTTTGTCTTTTGTGTTGCTAATATGTTCTCACTTACGTGCCTAGATCAACGACACCATGGAGAGAGTTGCATGTTGCTTCATACATCTGTGAATTTATGAGATCGTTGCATAGATCTCAGTTCAGCAGCTCTTTAAATCAAGGCCATGCTAATGCAAATATCCACCACTCCCTTTTAACTCCCATAGGTAGGTAAACAAAGTGTTAAGTCCAAGTGGACACAAATCCTTTTCAGTTCTTCCCCCCCTAACTTTAAACTCCTTCCGCCGTTTTCCGTGATTATGTGAACAGCTCCTTCCACCCTATCCAACAACTTCTAAGTGTCGGCGATGTGTGTCGTGTTAAGAGGCAGGTACCACCTTGCTAACTTAGCACGCACCAGACATGGAAAGATCGATCTCCTCCACGTTCTCCTCGATCTCCACCATAGCACCCTCGCCGTCTTCGTCTTGCTCCGCCGTGTCGTGCTCGGAGAAGACGCGTGCGGGGCCGGAGTTGGCGCCCGCTTCTTGCTGGGCTTCTGCGGCGGTGGGCACTATGAACTCTTCGCCGAGAAGCAGCGTCTCACCCCGTGTTGTGAAGGCAACGGGTGGGATGTCTTGGTTGCCGTTGCCATTGATGCGGGGGTGGGGGTTGGTGCTGGTTGTGCTGCTGGGGTCGCTGCTGTTGCTGCTGTAGCTAGAAAGGCGGTTTTCCTGCGGGTTGTACTCTTCGGAGATGTCCGTAGGAGCATGGTCATATCCGAGGCCGCTGTTGGTGGAGACGCGGGCCAGGTTCATGTCCCGGTGGTGTTGTAAGAGTTGGTCTCCGCCGAATCTGCTGGGGTTGCTGCTGCCTCGTTGCGGTAGGCTTGGGTTTGCAAACATGCCGTGAGCAGGGTCGTAGATGTCATTCTGGACACCATTGACCCAGTCATCATCGTCGGAGGCAAGTGATCCATAGTAGTTATGGAAGGGAGTGGCGCCGTAAGTTGCGGCGCTGGTCACCCCGTTAAGGTTGGCATCAGAGTAAGTCGGATGCTGGTTTGGGTTGGTGTGGGGATACATGGCAGTATGCTCATGTAATCTTTGCGGTCTCTGGGGTAGGGCGTAGTGGCTGCCGTTGTGAGTGTTGCCGTTGTAGGTGTTGGCGCTGGGTGTGTAACGCTGCTCACGCGAAGAACTGTTGGCGTGAGGTAAGAAAGTTGAGGAGTATCGCGCTTCATGGGAAGGCCGCGGCTCGATTATGATAAGGGAGACCTCCGTGTGGCAGCTAGGGCACCAGTAATAGTTGCGGTTAAAGCTGCGGGTTGTTAGGCTACATGGTATAGCGCAGCGGTCGCACATGACAATGACATGTTGGTCAATGTGATCCATGGTATCGTCGACTATGGGTGGTTATGATAGAGAAAATTGTCTAAGTGATGATATGTTAGAGAATATGAAGTGATGTAAATATTGTGGTATGATTATGAGAGTTGTTTGAGGAACAGTTATGAGTAAGATGTTACGTGGTTAGAAGATGTACGAAATAGAAGGGTATGAATGATGAGAACGGGGAAGAGCAGTTTGGCAATGGCTGTTGTTATGGTAACTGCCTACTTGGTATGTGAAGTAGGGTTCAATAGGGGGGCGGTTGACGAACTTTCTAGCAGAAAGGCGTGGATTGGCATAGATTTACTAAGGTAATTGCCAAATCCTTTCTACTCGACACTTCCGAAGGCGCACTTGATAGCTGATTTGCCAGACTATTATAGGTAATTATAAACGGAAAAGGTCAATAGTAGGGAAGGTGGTATCGTCATATGTCCTGTTGTGATATAAGATGAGCAGTTACGACTAAAAGAAGGGGGATGGGAGTGATGTGTAGGTAGTTACGACTTGGGTTTCATAGAAATTTCGAGCCATACATACCTGCTCATTCATTATTGAATATTTTAGTCTGCCTCTAGAGTTCCTGATCGAAAGTTAGATAAAAAGGGGTGCCTGGTGGACACTCTGGTGTATGAGCCTTTATAAGGAGAGCAGATAGGCTCTTATCACGACATTCGCTGTCCAAAATGGAATTGGTATCTAGGAACAACTTATGGTGTTAGTTCATTAGGCTAAATCTTCAAAATAGCGAATATGAGAGTGTACTATAATAATTCTCTCTTGTGATAATGGTAACTGGAATGTCTTCCTAAGATTCACTTTACGCCCCCTTCCTCAAGCAACAGCCACAAAGTATATCTCCACCTACCTCTTAACTTCTAGAAGCTTGGGGCAAGTTTCATGCTACCTGGGGTATAAATAATCGTGTTCTATGCTTTATTCCGAGATTGTACTGTATGGATAAGAGCAAACCAAACACGCACTAGGAAGATTGTGGCATTGACGCGTAGTAATAGGTAATGAACAGTACTAGGAAGTAACTTATTCGTGATGGCTTGACTCAGCCTTGCAGTTGGTCGACAAAGACGCGCGATAAGCAACGTGTAGGACCACCTATAGGCAACAAATCTGCACCTGCAGCCGAAGCGTCTGCGGAGTCCCGCCAAACTTGCAAAGCACGAGACCAACCCAATCCATGATATTTCTAGGTACTACCATCACCGCTTATTTGAAGCCAATCATATACCTTATATTCCCGCAGTATAATAAAGGTATTCAGGAATGCGGAAATGCTAATTGGTGTACTGATATCTTCGTGACTGAGTAATATACACCGTTTAAAAAACACCAAATTTGCCAATGCTAAACTACAAAATAGGGGAGACGACAAAGGAATAAGGTTACTCTGGTGGAACCATTTCCTTGGGGAGAAGTCTGCCCCTATCTTCATGACTTCTGCTACTCCCTATGACCGTCTGGCCATCCAAATCTGGATCGTATTCTTCACGCCCCTGGCCAGGTCCCTTCTGGGATTTCTTAAAATTCCTAGAATCGGAAAGCTTCATACTTTCGTTGCTCTCCCCACTGACCGAGCCTTCGTCGTCGCTTTCCGCGACTGCGTCGTCGAAAGGATCGCGTCCCTCGTCATCTTCCGATGGTAATATTTCGTGGCCATTGTCCTTCAGCTTGATGAAACTGTCGATTATATAATACTGCATCGCATTCATGATGAGAGGGAATAACATCATGACAAATACAATCTGAACTCGCTCGTTGCCTTCGGTCCACCTGAGAGCCCAATCCCCCACACGAGATATCCATGGTAATATCAAGAATACGATGAGGACACAGACTTTCATGCCAAATAGACCGCAAAAGTAGATAACGGATTGTTTTAACCACCACCAAGCGTTAGGAGGGGTGCCGTAGTTGCCAGATTGGATTGACTCTGGCGGCTTTCCGAAAGGAGTGTATGCTACGAGGCCGGTGGTGATGCGGAGAAGGATGATAAGAATGGGAATACCGACGGTAGTCTGTTGTAGGATTAGTATCTGCCATATTGACCACAAAACACGAGGCTCATAAACTTACATCAATAGCCAAATTTAATAGGTAGAAGGAGCAGGGGTTTGGCAGGTATGGGTCATCCTCTCTTCGAAGCATTCTCTCAGCCGCCTGCACACTGACCGGGTCCAACTTAATAGAGAACCGGCCGCTGGTGAGCATCGACATAAAAACATTCGCGATATGTACCAAAACCGACCCAAACACCTGCTTCGACACATCAAAGAACCAAATCTTGACAGGTCGTTGGGGTCTCTCTCGCCACCGCTTGTAGACGAGAGACAGGAGAGCTAATCCACCCAACGCAAGCTGTACAAATAAGGCAAACGGCCCTAATAACCGACACTCGCCCTCGCCATGGCCGCCTTCGGGAGGGGCCATCGATGTGGTCGCGGCTGAGGCTATCGCGGTGGCGGTAGTAGTAAGGATGGAGGAGACGTCGGTGGGAGCAGGAGGGAGATCGACTCCTATCGCTGCGTTCGGGGGAGCCGTGGGTATCGTCGACGGAATAACTTCGATAAGAGCAGCAACAGTAGAGGAAATAGACATTACCTCTGTGTTAAAAGACACAGGGCAGCGGTCGAGATAATCACGAGAGGGATAAGGAGCGAAGATCGACGCCTAGGTTCCAGCCAGGGTTCGAACGAATGGTGTTCCTGCTTGGAATGGGAGGCGGCTTCTATGCCAACAAACGATGCCAACGACAATGCATACGCGATTGGTGTTTGAGAAAGCAGTAGGTAAGCGCACAAAGAAGAAGAAAAAACAACAAGAAGAAGCCTTGCTGGCCTTGTAAGCTGATTAATTCCTATTCCTGTTGGGAAAAGCAAAAAGACATTAATAGGCAGATAGGATTGGAAGCGGTTCCAAGTTGTAGGTCAAGGTCGTAGGTAAAATGGATTGTTACAAGCCACAATGGATCAGCCGCTCAGCTCATCCATTTATTCCATCCAGGTAGGTACCTAAACATAACATCCATAAATCCTTGGTTATAAGGTTTCTATGATGCTATGGCGCTGTGAATGGCCGCATAAAACTGGAGATCGTATACGGGGTAGGGCCTAGTACGACCTAAGCAGCCCAAGTAACGCTACTGCCCCCACCTAAGCGTCGGAAGCCCTGATGCCTGTGGCGGTAGGTACTTGTTAACGCCAGATACCTCCTGCATTAGGCGTTGCATGCCTAAAATCGAGGTACCTATCTTCGCTTGTCACAACATCGATACCGCTAAACGCTTTAGGCTTCATTTACCAGAGGTTAAACTTCAAGATATGGCCACACGCTACTCATTTAAGGTTACCTATCAAAGTTATCGGAACATTTATAACACACGCCGGTCTTTTAATGGTTAGCCTTATTCAATTATGTGACCAAGGGAAATTTTCTACGCTACTAGAATGGCAAAGTGTTACGAAGTAAATAGTCGAAAATATATTGAACTGTAGGTGCTTAGATAGTATAGATCCATGAGCGCGAAGGATTAAACAATCTTATTCATATACGATACCTAGACATACACAGCCACATGATGAATTAGAGTCGAGATATATCTTTTCTGAGAGTTAAAGCCGTAAGGTCTTCTGCATTCTCAAAGCTAGGTTAGAGGTTGAAAAGCCTCAAGAATCATGAATATTTAATATCTTTCCGTGTCATCGCAACGCCAGGTAAAACTATGTGGCACACACGATGCCCATTCCCTAGAACCTCCGAATCAACCTTAATCAATCTGAACAACGTACAACGTCCCCTGCGTTCTGTAGGTGTACCTAAAGAGCGACTTGCAATCATAAAGGGGTTAGCAAGAGTAGCATGCCGAGCAAAAGCCAATTCTGCGCTCCTATGAAATTTGTTGTTATGGCGTGACCGTATCGTCCATATCTGCGCAGATGAGGTGTACAATACGAATTAAGTCATGCATAGCTTATTGGATTTCTGTGGGAGAATGCCTCGCACGAAGTTCAATGCGATCTTTCGTGCGTGCCCGGCGACGTCGTCAGGAATGCCCTTCTTATTATTCGCCACCGACGCCGGAGTCTTCTGGATCGACGTCGTAGTGGAGGTAGTAGCTCGCGAGCTAGATTTGGTAGAAGCTGGAGAAGACGGGGCTGCAGACGGGGTACGAGCACATGTCTGTAGCCTGTCCGCAGGCCCGTCTAATTGTCAATCGATTCCATGCTTCATCTTGAGCTGCGCTAAATTGTCCTTGCGGGCCTGGAGGTCGTCTTTCGACTTGAGGGTCTTCTCTGGCTGGTGCCATAGCACTATATGATATGTTAGACGATGGCAATGGAAGTATGTAAGGGTCCACGTGATGACGTGGTCAACGTACCGACGAGATAACGGTTCTGGAAGTTGTAGCCATTTAGCTTCTCGAGGGCGTTCTTCGCATCCATGACGTTCCAGAAGACGACATATGCAGTTCCCTTTGCATCGACCGAGATTCCCTGTCGGATTTGACTAGATGTATGTAATTAGCGGAGCCCGCCTATACGTGTGTGTAATGTAGGATCGAGCAGCGGGAACATACCGGATGAGTCCGTCCTCGCCGGGATCAAAGAGTTTCCAAAGCGCGTCAGACGATACCTCGTAGCTAAAACATTGTTAGGAGGAGATCGAGGGCAAGTATCCGGGTTAATTTGACTAACTTTAGATTCTTCACGAACAAGATTCTGGATTCACCGACGTCAGTAATGTGTCTGAGACGAAGCGCCAAGGCCCAGGCAAGCCGTGGGGGGCGAAAGGAATTGAAGGTCAAAGACTTACGGAAGCTGCTCGGGGGCAATCTTGCCGGCGCGACTCATATCTTGATGAAGGCAGTTAAGTGTTCGTTCTCTTGATTGAAATGATTAATTGCTGGATGTTGGTCCAGGTCGGTTGGTATTGGTGATATGATGATGGTAGTTTTAGGTAGTCAAGATTGGCGAAGAGGCGTGTGCAGCTTTTGGAATCGATCTGGTTCTAGAGACGGGGGAGTTAGTTTTGGTAACGGAGCAAATCGGATTAGGCCACGCTAAAGACCGAGCAATTTCACGTGATGTAAATATGGGTCTTATCAATCAGGACAGGCTGGGCAATCGTTTGGCGTACACTAACTGTACTTATATCCCAATGCTGCTTCCTTTCTCCTGTAATGTGAGCGAGCACGTGGACAATTGAAAAAGTAAAAATCCCGAATTGTCAGAAGATTGAAACCTTGTTGCTGCCACTACATTACATTTAAAAAGTTAGGCACCACATAATGTTGTGTCTCATCTTGTTACGTCATCACAAGGAAGAGATTGGTTTCCAGATCTCGATATTAAATGGTTGAAAGAATAGCACATACATAGCCATATGACGATCGTCTTCACCTCTCATCTCTCATCTCCGCCCTGAGAACAAAGGGAGCTTCGACATGTCATTCGAATTGTACTTAGGCTGCCGGGCTGCCTGGGAAATTCCGCCGAGCTCGAGTTCCGAGGCGCACTCCGAGATAAAGTAGTAGGATTGGCTACAAGCTCCGATTACGCCTTGCTTCACGAAGATGGTTCGCAGTATACAACATACACGCCATCTTACTACTAGTAGCATGTACAAGTGGAACGAGCTTTGAGGCTGACCGTTATCTGCATCCTTTCATTGGTATCTGGAAGTGCCACCACATTCGGTAGGATCATTTGTCTCATTCGTCATCAGGCGGTGCAAGCCGTTGAATTCCTTTAAAGTCGATAGGATCTTCGGAAGCGAACTAGTTACACCAACCAGCGGAATACATCCGATCTGAATGAGACTATAAATCTTGTCCTGTCCCGTCCCGCCTGTCAAGATCGGAACCGAACAGAATGCCTTGCAACTATCACCAGGGCTATGCCTAACCTACATATCTAGTAGCTAGGCTGCGCATCGCAACACCAAACCATCTATGCTAAAGAAGACGAGATAAGTATCTGTATCCGCTGCGACTAGTGGCGAGTCGAAGCAGGTATGTATTTCAATAGTCTCCTCACCCAGCTCACCTAGAGGCATTGCAGCGACCTATTACAATCGAGAGCATTCACGATTAAAGGCACGTGGTCATCATGCTCCTTGAACGATCCACTTAAGTTCTTATTTATATATCCAGGCAATGAAGATAAAAGCAAATCCCGTTAATTCAATTGTGAATTAACTTTGATTTATCCTTCCCCTTTTCATCTGGTGATGGTCCCTATAAATCTTATGATAACGTCAATTCATCTCAATGAATTCAACAAGGCTCATCTAACTTTTTCTGAGACACCCATCATGGGATTTAGTCATCCCAGGTAGGTACTCTGCATGTAGGTAAATTATTCCCAGCGATGTTCCCCGCTCGCCCGATGGATATATCCATGTTCTTGTATTCTTCCGACATTCGATAATTGTACTACTATGACTTTTGCCTGAAACACGGAAACGCCACTGCGTTTGTGAGTGAAAATGTGGCTTCTTCTGGGAAGAGGAGCTTTACAGCGCTCGCTTCTTAGTATCTTCGTGTTTTCCGTATTTTCTGCATTTATCTACGATCGGTATAGCAGATTGAAGATGGCTGAGAAAAAGCCGAATTTCCTGGTTATCGTTGCAGACGACTTGGGGTTTAGTGACACTTCTCCATATGGGGGCGAGATCGACACGCCCAATTTACAGAGGCTGGCTGAAGAGGGGATTCGCATGACCGGCTTTCACACGGCTGCATCATGTTCTCCCACGAGGGCTATGCTCCTATCGGGTACGGACTCCCATATAGCCGGGCTGGGGGTAATGGCTGAGAAAATAGTAAGTGCTTTAGATTTAATACAACCAAATTCCCTACCCAGCTGACAGCCTTCTTTCAGAAAAAAGCGCCTGATATCTTCAAGGACAAGCCTGGGTACGAAGGATACTTGAACTACCGCGTTGCTGCCCTAGGAGAAATCCTACAAGATGCCGGGTACTTCACCCTCATGAGCGGGAAATGGCACCTAGGCCTGAAAAAAGAGCTTGGCCCACACGCGAGAGGATTCACTAAAGTACTCTCCACTCTTCCGGGAGCTGGAAACCATTTCAACCATGAACCACAACTATATGATCTCAAGGAGAAGCCAACGGCTATCTTCAAAGGCGATGGCATTTGGATGAAAGATGAAGTATTCATCAACGGGAGTACGGACCTTCCGAAGGACTTCTACTCCTCAAACACATTCACAGACTACTTCTTGGACTTCTTAACGGAAAGGACAGAAGAAGAAAAAGCCCAACCTTTCTTTGGCTATCTCCCCTTTACGGCACCCCACTGGCCACTCCAAGCCCCGCAAGATATCATTGAGAAATATCGAGGTAAGTACGATGACGGACCTATCGCACTACGAGATCGCAGGCTCCAAAGCTTGATAGAAAAGGGACTTGTACCGCCCGATGTCGAGCCAGCGCCTTTGCACATGCTCAAGACTCAACCTTGGGAAGAACTATCAGAGGATGACAAGAGAAAGTCTTCCCGAGCTATGGAGGTCTACGCGGCAATGGTCGACCTCATAGACGTGAACATAGGTCGCGTACGAGCCTATTTACAAGAGACAGGCGAACTCGATAATACTTTCATCGTCTTCATGTCTGATAACGGAGCCGAGGGACAACTATTGGAGGCCTTACCGATCCTGGCTGGTTACACGGTCGAAGACGTCGTTAAGAAATACTACGATAATTCGTTGGATAACATCGGCAACTACAACTCATTTGTATGGTATGGACCACAGTGGGCTGGCGCGGCAACGGCTCCCGCGCGCGGAGCGAAATCGCATTCAACTGAAGGTGGAATTCACTGCCCTTGCATAGTGCGATATCCCCCCGCGTTGAGGCAAAATGGTCTAGTCACCAGCACCTTTACAACAGTCATGGACATCGTCCCAACCATCCTGGATCTCGCAGGCTTGGAACACCCAAGCCCCATCTTCCGTGGCCGAGAGGTCGTGCCCGTCCGAGGAAAATCTTGGCGACCGATCTTAGAACATCCCGAGGACGAGGAAATCCAGATATATCAACCCACGGACATTGTTGGCTGGGAGCAGCTTGGAATAGCCGCTGTGAGGGTAGGTGATTGGAAGGCGCTGTTCCTCCCTCCTCCCAAAGGGCTGGGCCGATGGGAGTTATACGACCTTTCCAAAGACCTCGGTGAAGTTCACGATCTAGCGGAAAGCCACCCGGGAAAACTAAGGGAGATGCTTCAACACTATGAGACCTACTTCCAGGAGACGGGCATGTTTGATTCATACACCATGTACCACGAGGCGTTGAAGCAGAAGAAAGCCGAGAGAAAGAGAGTTGAGACCAGCCTACTGTATGTACTTATATCAAAATGCTGGGTTAAATATACGACAACTAACCTAATAAGCAGAACCCCATATATCTCAATTATCCGCCAGAGCTTAGCTTTCGTACAAGAGAGGTTTCGTAGTGTTGTCAAAAGTACTTGGGGTGATGAGTGAAGGAATATCACCAAAGCAAGTTTTCATCTTGGGTACTAACTATGCGATGCTTAGGTTCTTTTGTACAATAAAAGGGCTATTTCATTTTGGTGATATTTACTTGTAGCTGTCACGCCAATGTGCTTAAGGGATCCTTTAAATTTGCCCATGAATTTGTGTCAATTTAAAAGCCATCTTCATAAGAAAGAGGCTAAGAGAACTATCGATTAAATCACAAGCAATATTATGTCGATGACCAAGCGTAATCTCTTTTCGTCTACCATCCAGATATCGTAGATAGTCATCCACATCCATCATTTAATGTCCGCTACCTTCACACCATGCATCGCCAGCCCTAAGAGTCGTTCGACTAACTCTTGACGGCCCTAACCTCGCCGTCCAGTTGTTAGTATCCCATAGCCAGGCTTCCCAATGGCTACCTGCAGAAAGAATATCTTGAACAGGCCCTTCAGCAAACCAGAAGCTAGCAGTCATAGACGACGAGACAATTTTCATCGTCGAAATAACGTGCACTCGCCCACTCTGGCGGGAAATACCTTGGTACTTTGAATCGGTGTTTTCATCGTCGAGTAATATTTGGCGTAGGTTGGCTTGAGGGATCTCACCATTCATGCTCACATTCCAGAATACAAGAGCAATGACGGGATGGTAGACATGTTCGAGTAGGGTGTCGGGAGGGTACGGAAAGTGCTGCTTGTACTCTCGAATCATGCTAATATGCGGTAATGGGTTTTCATTCTGGAGAACCCCAAATGGGAGGAGATGACGCCAAATAATGAATTGGGTTCTGAACTCCTCCACAAAGGGTTTGATGAAAACATCATGCTGTGGATATTTATGCATAGCCTCAGATTTGTCCATTATCGCCCCTTTTGGTGCTCTAGCTTGGGTAGAAATGCGCCCAGAACATATCTCCGTGAGTACTGCTGACAGCCAATGCGACGGGTAGCCGACACGAGATAAGTGTATGACTAAACGGAAGAAGGCTGTCATATTCAACGGCATGTAAACAAGACGGCCAGAAGTTTTGACTCGGTGCGGTGGGAGGCAAAGTTTCAAGAAGTGCATGTGTAGCCATTTGGTTAACTCGCATCGAGGCATGATTTGGTCCCATGATAAGGGTTTCATGCTTGTGCGTGTCCAACTAAAAGGCATTTGCATCATCGCCATGACCCCTTCACTGCCGGGATTCTTTTCAGACAATAAAGCCTCCATATAAGAGGAACGGTTAGTAAGAGCTGTTGCGAATGTGTTGGTGATCGTTGAGCGGTCCGCCAGAAGAAGATATTCAGTGAGAAATTGGTCTTGTGTGTCCCATAACGTTGGGTTGTATGAGACAACGGACATCATTTCAGAAATCTTGTCATGGCGAAGAATTGGAATGCCATAAGTAAAAGTGGCCAATGGACCACCAACAAAATCTGGTAAGTAACTCATATCTATCATATCGTATCGGTCTGGGATCGAAGGGTGATCGTAGTTGAGAAGATGATGTTCTGCCAATTCCATGACGTTCATTGCATCATCAACGATCACCTTGAACATAGTCTGTTCTTGGATCTTTTCAGACGACCTCGCGATCGTAGCAAAGAAAGATGCGATACACAGAAAGGCACTCCGGCCAACCATTGCTTCTGAATCGATATCCGCCTCCCAGTAAAGATCGCGTGCGATTTCCTGAGGGGTGAAACTCATACGAGGCGTAAATTGAGTCTCTCCTGCTGAATACTAATCGAAATCAAGGAGAGTCACGTTCGGCTTCCAATGAGATTCCACGTAGTCCCTTAATAATAATTTACCAAGAGGCGGGCAATCAGACATGTACCCGTATCTCTCAGCTAAATCGACCAGTTCGGGTTCGTTCTCGTCTAAAAGTGGAAGTGTTGGGAGCATGAAGTTCAGGTCCCGGAAAAAGAGACTGTCTGGACCATCAGGCTCACATACTTGCCGAGGCTTGTTGGTATTGGCCTTGGCTGCCATCTCCATTAGGATCCTTTGGGGCTCTGAGAGTTGTTGACGGGTTATATCGAGGATCTGACCCGCGTTAAATGGTTGTCGTAGGGGGTCTTGCCAATTACGAAAATGACTGGAGATCGAATCTCGGGTTTTTGCATCGATGCAAAAACGTCCCATAATAAGAGGAACATTTGTGCGTAGCTCATCAGAGACACACCGTATCGCTTTCTTGAGTCTGTCATAAACCCAGGATGGCATGATCTGAGATGCGAAGGTGTAAGTAAGGGCTGCAATGGTTATCCATTGCTCCTGACTCGATTCTCTAACCCAGTCGGCCAACATGCGGAACATTAACAGGTTACGAGCAAATGCTGCAGAGTTAGGGTCAACCATGGTGAAGTAGAATTTTTTGACCGACAGGATGCGATTTTCCGGGGCCGACGCAATATTGAATAATGTTGCAAACACATCTCTAGCGTCGCCAGTGTTGGTAAAGAGGTAAGATTGGTCCTCTTTATCTGATTCGATCAATAAGTGAGCATCTAGACCTCGTATAGGCTCACTGCCAGTAGCAATAAATTCAAATTTAGCAAGCCTGTAGGAATAAACACGTTAGTAAATATTAATATATAAATAATATGTATAAAATTGCAAACCCTTACATTTTTGGCCTACACTTTGGTAGACGGTTGATCACTTCACGCCAGAGAGCCTTTTTATCAGGATACACAGTCGTCATAGGCTCCATGTACAGAACCCATTGCTCGAGTGACTGGCGATCGCGCTCTGATGTGATATGTGCAATTGTTGTGCGAGCCTTCGTAAGGTTGCCGGATAGTAGGCACGACTTAACCATGGAGATATATAACTCCTGTCTTGTAGAGTCGTGTAACTGCGGATCGAGAAGAGATAATGCGCGTTGAGTGAAGTATACGGCGCTTGGATACTTACCCATTTCATATCGGATAGCCGCTATCTTTGCCGGAAAGCGATGGTCATGCTCGGCGAAACGGCGTCCTTCAAGGAACGCCCACTCAGCTGAAGTAGATGTTCAGTGTTGAATCAATATGATATCATTAGTGTGATACATACCTTGTGGTAATTTGCCGGCGCTCAGCAGGGCAGATCCGAGCATGAATGCTCCCACAGCAGCGTCTAAATGGTGAGAATTCATGGTGCCTGATTATCAGCTGAAACTGTTGATAGTGTCTGGAACCTATGAACGGCCGCGAGGAATGACTTGGACTATGTGGAAAGAAATAAAATACTATGTATCGGCGATTGTGCTTTGATGGCGACGGCACTAGATTGACCGTGTGATATCTTCCAAGTGGTGCGGTTGGAGATGGTCAGGATGTTGAGTGAAAAGAAAAGTGTAAGATTGACAGTGGTGGAAGGGGTTTATATAGACCTTGGAAAACATTGTGAACGTCTTAACTTAGGAAACTGCTATCACGATTTCACTTTAAGGGCAACAGCGTCTCTATATAGTTCAGATGAAAATCGGAAGGAGCTCAAAATTCGAACAACTGTGTGGAGGTGTACCTGCCTTTGGTCGTTGTATATATTACTTAAAGAGGAAATTGCGGATATGCTAAAGAAGTCGTGACTTCTTCAAACGGTCATATTGCCTGAAAAATCTTCTTAGCTTCAAGCTGGAAGATATATCGTCTAGGACGTGACTGCTGTTATTTTTTCATGCCTACATATATGTACGGTGCAACATTTAATTCTCTTGTGCTCACTGTGCTCGCTATACTTACTGTAAGTCGCACTAGGTACGAAATATCAGCCACGTCGCTTGCTTAGTACGAGATTAAATAAGCAATTAATTCATACTGTATTTGAGCTATGCTAAAACTGAGACCTAATAGTGATCCGTTCACTAAATTCTGGTAGGTAGCTGCTATAACTTCAGCTTGCTTAGGGGGCTTGGTCACTAAAGAAAAACGCCACACGGTACCTAATAATATCCACTTTACACGGCTTTAAGCCATCAGTCCAAAATTTTGACCCCAACCTTCGTACCTGATCAGGTAGGCACACCCATGCCTTAGGACCCCTGAAAGTTAATTGATCCGAGCATGAGATAATCCGTCATATCCCGTATCACCTCACCTTAATAAACAACTTACTTGGCCACCATGTAATGGTCCATCCTTCTACTTGTCGCTAGCCCCCAGCTTGGCCTCATTCTTTTCCCTGGCAATCGTATCCGTCTTCGTTACTGGTAGAAGACATCACCAACCTTCAAATTTGCCTAGAATTTGTACGGTCATTTGGATACACAGCCTTGGCAATGCCTTCGATAACACCGTTTGAGCTGCCTACATTCTCTACGAATAAGAAGAGGAGACGAGATGACGATCACGACGAGACGCAGATGTCATTGTACGCTTCGCCAAAGTCCTTTTTGAGGTCCTCATCCGCTAACTTCGACGTCCGTTCCAGAACAATACAACACAATGAGTCAACAAACCTTCTCTCTACCATCGACAATAATGAACGGCTCATTCTCCCTTCCTCCGGTCGGGGCACCTCTGCGATGCTTAACATGCCACGAAAAGTGATCCCATTACCCGTGAACAAGAGGTTCCGACTAGTCAATGATGACGACGAGCATGATAGCCAGCCGACCCACTACTCGTCGCAGCAGTCCCACCATTCACATGCCCATCCCGAATACACAACACCACCGACGTCACCACAACACAGCCGACCGAGCGCTCATGCCAGAGCAAATATACCAGCCCTACTAAGCCCTTGTCACATCTGCCACCGAAAACCAACCAAGAAATCCGACCTCGATTCCTTCGCAGATTGCATGGGCTGCGGACAAAGAGCTTGTTTCGTCTGCATACGCGCATGCCAAGGCTGGCTTCCGCCTTCGGAGGAGGAAGAGAACTTATCTGCGTCCTTCACCATGCACGATGTAGACGACAACCATACCTACGACAATAAGCCCGACCAAAAGAAAGGCAAGGGAGGAGGCTGGAATGGTCGCGGTCACCGAGAAATGATTTGCAGTCGCTGCTGTGTAGAGCGAGGCCGCGAGGGCGACGTCGTCTGCCTAGGATGTCTAGCCGGCATGGAAGGGGTATAGGGTGCCTCAACACATGCAGGAAATCAGCCATCGCACTAATTCCAACACTTACGTCGCCCACTGTACAACAAAACACCGGGCATCGAAGCCACCTCACTCCGAATGAAGGAAGAATTGAGAACAGGAAGGAAATGTTCGCTCTAAACATCTTCGTTTCAGAGCCGTAGGAGGAGGATTTATCGGACTTTCGACATAAGCATGGTGCCAAACGGGCATCGCATTGCATTGCATTGCGTTGGAGCAGATCACTTAATTAAGATACCACTTCTTTTTCTAACGGGCTACGGTTATATTCATTATTGCGGGAATGCTTGCTAGGACCTATGATAAAGGTAGCTTGTAATACCAGTGAATGGACACGATGAAACATATTATAGGGAAGAGCATTATGTAGATACTATCTGAAGAGCCTTGCTCGACAGAAATCGCATACACCTATTACAGGTGTTCGGTCTCAATGATACCCAGGGCATGATACAAAGCAAGAACGCCGCTGTAGCGCTCTATTAGCTATGCTTGTTGGTTGGTTAGCAGTTAGCTACCTCGGAATACACAGATCCAGTGCAGCCAATTGTCCCATTATCTATTTACTCGTACATTTCAGACCCTACGGTCCAAGTAGGTTCGCTCTCTAATTGTATTGCATGTACGTGGCGGTCGAGTTGAATTTCAAGTTACCCTTGATGACCTTGTCCACGGCACTTAAGAAGTCCTTCTCCGAGGCGACCTTCCTCCTCGCTCGGATGGCGAACATGCCGGCCTCTGTACAGACACTGCGTAGCTCGGCACCAGTAGCGTTGGGGCAGAGACGGGAGATCAACTCCCATCGGATATCACGCTCCACTGACATGCTCTTGGCGTGGATTCGCAGAATGTTTGCTCGTCCCTCGAGATCTGGCAGCGAAAACTCGATCTTGCGGTCGATACGACCGGGCCTCATGAGTGCAGGGTCTAACGTGGAGGGCCTGTTGGTTGCGAACATAACTTTGATGTTTCCACGAGCGTCGAAACCATCTAGTTGAGTAATTAATTCCAGCATAGTTCGCTGGACCTCATTGTCTCCACCAGCTCCGTCGTCAAATCGAGCACCACCAACAGCATCGATTTCGTCGAAGAAGATGATGCAAGCTTTCTTGGTTCGAGCCATCTCAAAGAGTTCTCGCACCATTCTAGCTCCTTCACCAACATACTTCTGTACCAATTCGCTACCAATAACTCGGATGAATGTAGCATCCGTTCTGTTTGCGACAGCTCGGGCGCAGAGAGTCTTTCCGGTACCAGGGGGTCCATATAGCAGAACACCCTTCGGAGGATCAATACCAAGATTAACGAATCGTTCGGGCGATAACAGCGGCATCTCGACGACTTCTCTTAGCTTCTCAACTTGTTCCTTGCAGCCACCGACATCGCCATATGTAACATCCGGCTTTTCCTCAACCGTCATCATGGTAACGCTCGCATCGATCTTGGGTGGTAGAGGCATGAGGATCTGGTATTTATTTCGGTCGACACCTACACGCATGCCCTCCTCGATGTCAGTGGGGGATACGCGCTCTCCTAGCTGAACAACAAACTTCGCAATTTGTTTTACGTTGATGACATATTTGCTCTTCGTCTCGTCGTCTTCGTCCACAATGATCTTAGTGCACCGCGCTACCTGAAGTGGTTGCTCTTCGGACATGCGTTGACGGTCGGCGGCGACATCCCATAGATGAGGTGGTGCGAGTCCTGTGTCGGATTCTTTGACGCCGATCTTCTCATCCACAGCCTGCTGTTTCTCTTTGATCTGTTTCTCTAGGTTCTTGATCGCCGTACCGTAGGGTGCCGCGCCGTAGGTCTTCAGAACTTGGATATCTCTGTTTGCATGGTTAGTTGCGTCACGGAATAATACCATTAAGGGATTGGGTTGGGGTTTACTCGTCTGATAGAGGCGTAATCTTCTTCTCTTCTATTTCGTCATCGGCAAAGTTCTTCTTATACTTCTCCCAATTTGACCCAGTGGCAGAAGGCTGCATGGCCGTTAGCTAGCACGTTACACCGGATAAAACACGTAAAGGAATATTACCATTTTGATAAAAAGCTCCTGTTATCGAGGAGCCCGTTAGTATTATTATGAATAAAAAGAAGGGACCGAATGAGTGAGTGTGGGGATAAGATTGTAAAGGTAGTCGAGTATTGTTTGTGGATGGATTGAGTGGTCGATGCAGTTAGGACGTTGCGAATGGCAACTAGTAGAAGCTTGGGTACTGAGCAGGAGCGAAGTTGTCGCTGATGATAGACAACTGTGGTTGCATAAGCTCCTTCATTGCCTAGAGTGGCAGCTTCCAGCAACGATTGGTACGTATACTGCACTATTCCTGATTCGGCTTAGTATACGAGTAGCCTCGCAGCTACCCCGGGAGCGTTTTCATTCTGGGTACCAAAAAAATATCACAGCCTGCGCGGGGAGCTTTTTGTTAAGGCGGCCACTTCCATAATAGGAGTACAACAAAATTCTAAGAGATTTACCAACTTCCTCAACTTCAATTTTTAGACACATATCTTAGGAATTGTCATATTTGTTGATAGGACTCTGAAATATCATGGCTACCACAGCGCAGTCCGCCGCTGGCGCGAATTCTAACGCTACTTTCAGGGTATGATCGATTACACCTAATCTCTGTCAAGCTTCGAAATGATGTATTAACAAATAGTAGGATAAGGAAAAGCCCATCGCCGTTCGATCCTCGAATATCGTTGCTGCTAGAGGTATTTGCATGCCTTCAAGCTTTTTTATTACACCTACTAAGACTCAACAGCTGTTGCCGATGCTATCAGAACTTCCCTAGGTCCTCGAGGAATGGACAAGATGATCAGAAGCGGTAAAGGCGAGACTATAATCACGAACGATGGAAACACGATGTTGAAGAGCATGTCCGTCATGCACCCTACGGCAAAGATGCTTGTAAACCTTTCAGCAGCACAAGATGTCGAAGCAGGAGACGGCACAACATCAGTAGTAGTCATATGTGGTGCGTTGCTTGGTGCGGCAGACAGACTATTGTCTAAAGGAATTCATCCCTCGGTCATTTCCGAATCTTTCCAAAGAGCTGCAGCGGCAGCAGTTCAGATCCTCCACGAAATGTCTCAACCTATTTCCCTAAACGACACCGCCGCTCTTCTTCAGGCAGCGAATACTTCCTTGTCGTCCAAGATTGTTTCCCAATATTCCGGCTTGCTGGGTCCCATGGCGGTCAACTCGGTGACCAAGACTATCGACATCAAGACAGCGGATAACGTCGACCTAAAGAACATTAGGATCATTAAGAAGGTTGGAGGTACGATAGAAGACAGTGAGCTAGTGGATGGTCTAGTTCTCAACCAGCCCGTTATCAAAGCAGCTGGCGGACCTGTGCGAATGGAGAAGGCCAAGATCGGCCTGATCCAGTTTCAACTAAGCCCGCCGAAGCCAGATGTAAGTCGATATTGATTACCACATTCTACTATTTTCTAACCACATGTACAGATGGAAAACACTATCCAGGTCAATGACTACCGTCAAATGGACAAAATCGTCAAGGAGGAACGTCTTTACCTCCTTCACCTAGTCAAGAAGATTAAGAAGGCCAAGTGCAATGTGCTCTTGATACAAAAATCCATCTTACGTGATGCCGTCAACGACCTTTCTCTACACTTCCTTGCTAAGCTCAATATCCTTGCTGTTAAGGACATCGAGCGAGACGAGGTTGAGTTCATCTGCAAATCTACTGGCTGCAAACCGATTGCCGATATCGACTCCTTCACCGAGGACAAGCTTGGAACAGCTGATCTTGTTGAGGAATCTCAATCAAACGGTGCACGCATGGTAAAGGTCACGGGTACAAAATCCGCAGGCAAGACTGTCTCGGTGGTTTGCCGAGGTGCCAATAGTCTAATTCTAGACGAAGCTGAACGTTCGCTCCACGACGCCCTTTGCGTCATCCGCTGCCTAGTCAAGAAGAAGGCTCTCATTGCGGGTGGTGGCGCGCCGGAGATCGAGATAGCAGCTCAACTCTCTAAGCAAGCACGCTCGTTGCCCGGTACGGAAGCGATCTGTTGGAAAGCATTTGCAGATGCGCTGGAAGTAATTCCTACTACTCTAGCAGAAAACGCCGGATTAAACAGCATCAAGGTAGTCACGGATCTACGACATCGACACGAGATGGGAGAGAAGAATGCGGGAGTGAGCATCAAGAGTGGTGGCGTCAACTCGAACATTGCTAAGGAGAACGTTCTACAGCCATTGTTGGTGAGCACGAGTGCTATCGAGCTAGCAGCTGAAACGGTAAAGATGATCCTCAGAATTGACGACATCGCCTTAACGCGGTAATGTGGGGGAACATCAATTAGAAGGAAATGTATGTGAAATGAGATAACATAGACAGGATGTTCACGAACCTCTGAGCCATAGATGACGAGTCAACATCCACAATAAGACTCGGCCGAGTCTAATAAAAAAGAGTCCCAAAAAAAAGCTGTGATTTCTAATCCAAACAGGCCAAATTCGTGGATATTGCTTACAAAAAGGTTATTCACTCGGCCGGGTAACAGTTTCGGGTCCGATGTTACGGCTCTAATTTCCTAGCGGGGCAGGAGGGGTTCGGCTTCAGTGCTAGAATGGCGTCACTTTCGCAATAGTTTAGTCGACTTGCCTGAAGTCGGTATTCTTTGTCTAAAGGTATAGGACCCAGATTCGAAATCCCCGGACCATTTGTAAAATACCGAATTCCCCGGACACACAATCGGCGTTTTATGAATTCTATAAGAACAGCTTCGTCTCGCTTGTTAGCTCACAGCTCTAGGAGTCGAGTATCCACCATCCCGTCATACTTACACTTACACCAGAAAAAACCCACGATCCATACACGCGCCATGGCTACCGTACCAAGCACCCAGAAGGGTGTCATCATCGAAAAGACAGGCGGCACCGAAGTCCTTCAATACAAGACCGACTTACCTGTCGCAGCCCTTGCCGAAGGTGAAATCCTTGTCAAGAACGACTATATCGGAGTCAATTTCATCGACACGTGGGTCTTCCCTTAACCATTAAGACATTAGCTCATCAATTGCCGTCGTACTAACGATATATGCTATAAACAGCTACTTCCGCAGTGGTCTATACCCTGCGTCCCACTTCCCGTACATTCTCGGCCGAGAGGCCGAAGGCACCGTCGTCAAAACCGGCGGCGGCGAGCTCCATGGGCTCAAGGAGGGTGATAAAGTCGTATGGTATGTATAAACTCAAAACTTAATTCATCATCTTAAACATATATCCCCAAATCGCATTTATCCAATTTTTACCCTCCGTCATCTTGGCAAGCCCCCCTATCCGCTCCTATACTAACCCACCCGCAGGATGGGCGACGGCGCATACACCCAATACACCGCAGTCCCCGCCTTCAAAGCCATCAAGATCCCCTCCTCCCTCCCCCCCAAAATCGCCGCGGCTTCGCTCCTGCAAGGCCTCACGGCCCTAACCCTCGTCCGCGAAGCCCACCCCGTGCAAAAAGGCGACTGGGTCCTCGTCCACGCCGCCGCGGGCGGCACCGGGCTCTGGCTCGTGCAGCTGCTTAAAGCCATCGGCGCACACACCATCGGGACCGCCTCAACGCAGGAAAAAGTCGATCTCGCACTGAAAGCCGGTGCTGAGCACGTCATCAACTACACCCACGAAGACGTGCGGCAGCGCGTCGCGGAACTGACTTCCGGACAAGGCGTGATCGCTGTCTTTGACGGAGTGGGGAAGTCGACGTTCGATCTAAGCCTGGACGTGCTCGCGCGCAAGGGCAGTTTGGTCTCCTTCGGAAACGCGAGCGGAGCGGTGCCGCCCGTCACGATCGGGCGACTTACGGCGAAGAACGCGAAGTTGCTGCGCCCTACGGTGGCGAATTACGTGGCTACGCGGGAGGAGTACGAGGCGTATAGCAAGGAGCTGTTTGCGTTTATCGAGAAGGACGGGCTGGATGCGCGGATCCATGGGGTTTATCCCCTTAGCGAGGTGGCGAGGGCGCAGGGGGATTTGGAGGGCAGGAAGACTAGTGGGAAGTTGTTGTTGGATCCGGAGAAGTAAGGTATAAAGAATCCCGATTGAGAAATGATGTATCTGAGGTAGTGTAATTAAGTATCGCTAAAAGTGATGTTGAAACCGTCTGTTACCTTTTCTCTTGATATCAGGGCTTAGAAAATTCATGTCGCTTAATGGAAAGATAGGGATGCCATCGAATTTCCCTATTGTTAGTTTACACCACAGCCAAGCATTAATATTTCCATTAGAATCACTTAACACTCTCACTCAAACAGAAGCCATTTTACTATTATCCACCGTCATCGGGACTATAGTACAGCAAGTCCTCGCCACCCACAGGCAGCGGCTCAGTCCACCTGGCGCCGTAGCACCCAGCGAACCTACAAGACAGCAAATATACCCCTAACTACCAACGCCCCCCCGAAATGCCTTGTTGGAGAAGAAAAAAAACGAAGATCCTGCCTTGGATCTGGCCCGCAAAGCCGAGATCCCCTGAGGAAGACAACCAGGGAAAACATGACACCACGTCCTCGGGGTGTATAAAAAGAGAAAGAACTTTTGTCTTCATAACCCGAAACTCCGATGGGGATGGGGGAATACGCAGTGCAGTGCAGTGAACGCAAAGAATTAGGAGCCGCCGACTAGGAACGGATACCGTTTCGGGAACCCTTGTCGGGTGTTCGCGTTCAACCTAGCATCGAGTGGGAGTTAATCAGTTTAGGGCCGTGTTCGCTGTAATAGGCAGGTATCATTAGCATCTAAATCTTTACATCGTCATATTCGAATGTGAAGAGAGAACTTACTTGTAATCAACGCGGTTAAGACTCATCATGCGTTGGGACTCGGAAGTCTGGGCGTCCAAGTTATGGACACAGAAAGCGAGACGCGCCGCGATGAGTGAGCCGAGAAACATTGATTCCTCGAAGCCGTTCTTGGTCCATTCCGCCAGGTACGTAGGCGGAGGTGCCTGCTTGATGCTCATGGGCGATTGGCCGTGCGAATGGTGGCCAGTCACAATGTCACCTGCTGTCGAACCGGGGGCAAGTGCAGAGCCGGGAACGCCCAGAGAAGCTGTCGTTGCCGCTTGTAGAAGCGGGTTAACCGCGCTCGTGGTCGGGAGCTGGCCGGTAAAGGAACCGGTGGGTGTCTGGGAACCGGTTCCACTCGGCGTCGCCATGTTTGAGGGTAGTTCGGAAGTGAAAATAGTAGCGGTGCTAGGCGAGACCATGTGGCGCGCAATAAGAGTCTGGATAATGTTATCCTTGATGCCGCGTAGGCGACTTCCGTTGCCGACAAAGACGATGTTGTCCCAGCATCCGGGGCGCTTGTAGAGTTCCTCGACGCTCTGAATCGCTAGGTAAATCGTATCCGTAATGCGGTCTATCTCGCGACGGTCTGCGAAGAGGAATCTTTCGAGTCCGATCTCGATGTCTCGGCGCTCTCGCTTCGTTCGTCGCTCCGTTCCAGTAGCATTGACAATGGACTCTGCAGCATCACCATTCGCGTCTGTAGATCCTTCGGGCTTCGTCTCTTGGGCGCCAGGTGCACCCTCGGTAGTCTGCGCATCACCTGCGGGCGCAGTACCATTTGTTGGAACGAAGGGTTCCGTTTTAGGAGCTCCGTTCGAGGTGGGAATTTTTACGTCCTCGTGGACTAATTCTTCGTAGTGGAACGTGTTCACCTTTCTCTTGGAGTTGGGCAATCGAGCTGGCTTAGCTGCAGCAGGCTCGGCTTCCTGACCCTTGCCTTGCTTCTTCGACTTCGCCTTTTCGGCCTTCTCCTTTTCTTTCTTCGCGAGGAATTCTCGAGTATTTCCACTAGTGACGATGTTGGCTACATCTAGGACACCCTCATCAGGTTCCTTTCCATCCGTAGCTGCACCATCCGTCTCACCGCCAAAGGCAGTGACGGATTTCGGCGGCTCAACAACTCTCACACCTTCTCCGCTGGGCGGAGCAGCGCCGGTAGACTGGTTAACGGCCGCAGTCGGATTATCCGTAGGGAGCTCCATGAAGTTCTCCGCTTCGGGCACGTATGGTAGAACTTCACATAGAGGGCTCTTCTTGAGCTGCTCGGCCATGTCGTAGGTAAAGTTTTTACCCTTCAGAAGCGATAGTAGCTTTTGGGTAAATATCTCTCCACCTGAAATATCTCGGAAGGGGTTAGGATTACCCAATTGCTTGTGGCTAACGATGAGGTACTCGTGAATGCAAGTGACATCGACTTTCTCATAGCCAATATCCACGACCGTCAAAGTCGGCCACTTCATGCCATACTGTGTCGCGATGGCACTATTCAATAGGCACAGAGCAGGAGTCTTGGTCTTCTCAAATATGTATCGCGCGATCGTTTCACAGCAGGGTCGCGTCCACTGCGGCGATGCCATAAGCATGATGGGTGTGTTGTGGTAGGTCGTCGTGAGCAGACTGTGGACGTGGTCGAGGAATGCTAAGAAGGCGCCCATATGTACGATGCGACCGCCCTGGAGAGGATAAATTGCGCCCTCAACACTGTCCTGATCCTCAACATATTCCCATTGATCATCGTCATCTTTATCGTCGCTAGCACTGGTACTGCCATTGACATTGGCATTGGCACTTCCGGATGCGCCAGCCTTCTTGCGCTTGTATATACGGTGAGGCGTGTACTCCTTGGTTTCGGGATCTTTGAACATTCTGGTGGGAATACGATGCGCGGGAGGAGTAAGTTCGCTACAGCCTAGCTGGGCCATAGTAGTCTGGCTGCCGGGGCAGATGATGAGGACCTGGTCCTCTCGCCATTTTCCTTGTTGAGCCATCCTGGGTGGAAAAGGTGGGCTGCACTCAAGCGCTTCGCCGATTACTGAACCCTCGTCAGAGAAATCACTAAAGTACTGAAATTCTTCGTCGAAGCTCTCCTCTTCAAATTCGTGAATTCTTGAGACCGCGACGACGCGCCCACTTCGATCGGAGCCACTAGACTCCGGGCTAATCTCTTGTGGCTGTGCCTCTTCAGGTGGCTGTGTTCGTGTGGATGGATCGAAGTTGAGTGTGGGGTTAATAGTCTGTTCCGGTCTGGAAGTATGTTAATCCGTAATTCAATATAAATCCATATCCCCACGTAAGTGAGCTTGAATCATAGGAAATCATGTAATGTAAGAAATCAAATTGATAGGCGAGGGGTCAGACTAAGATATAAGATGGATTACTTACGGAATGGTGTCTCGATTTTCCCTATACCGCCTGGCTCCGCGATGGCGCACGCGTGGTCCGCACCTTCGTGTCATCGTCGTTGATATCTGCTGGTCAGTTGAAAGAAACGATGTTGTTATGACACGAAGATGGAAAAGATTGACGTTTATGGGACAAAGTGAATTAGAAAGAAAAAGATGCTCCAGTCTAGGGACGACAAATGTGAAGATGTGAAGATGTGAAGATATTGACGTTGACAAGCAAGATATGTAGGCACTTGTATCCATCAATTGTACCTACTCTCTATTCAGTAACACTAGACCTACACAAGTAGGGACTTCAGTGACTCACTATCGTCACATACCCTCTTAAGCTTCCAATGCCATTGCCCTTCACCTGACAGTGTACTTAGGTAAGTACCTACCTAAGTATCTGTACACATACACATTCTACCTTCGATATTTCAACTGCTATATTCTGTACACTGGATCCGTACCAGGTACCTATACTCGATTCGTTCAGATTTGTACAATGTATAAAAACAATAAAAATACATATCAAGGGTATTGTCATGCTCGAGCTCGAGATCGAGAACATCCATTTCGTCCTTGATGCGCTCTTCTAATGCTCATCTCCACGTGTTAAGTATCGTGCAAGATAGTCCCACATACCTATAACCCGACCATTCCTTGACATATTGGTATCTCATCCTCCCATTAGCCGTCCCTATGATGTTCCTAGAACTCCAAACATGCCGTAATCGTGAACTAAGGAAATGTTGAATACCACACTGCTACCCCTCAGGCGACCGAGACAGATCGGTCGGGACTTGTCTGCAGACTAGAATGTCCCTGTGCCTCAGCTGATACATTGACCATAACTTCCTCTTTGAATGAAGATCGATCACCGATCTTGGCAAACTGGCCTTCGACGCTTGCTGATTCTCGAGTCGGAGTTACCGAGTCCTCGATTACTTTAGCATCTTCTTTGTCCTCAACAGGCACGATCGCTGCCTTCTCTACCTTCTCCACTTTCTCTGCTGACAGTTCATTTGTTATATCATCCAGTTTGTCGGTGTTATCCTTGGCTTTTGGCGTCGTTGCTTCGTCGACATCGGCCTCAAGCTCGAATTCCTGTCTCAGTGGACTGCTCACTAAACCACTGACATCACCACCTATCTGACTCCTCGTACGAGATGAACGGCCGGGATTCCTAATAGGTAGCGGCGGTGGTATTCTTACGGGGATGTTAACTCGGGATGCTCCGACTATGACTCGAGCTGGAGCTTGTGCCGTGGCCACTTCGTAGACTATGGCTTCTTCTTCGTCGTCGTCAGATTCATCCTCTTCGCCCTCTTCCTCTTCTTCCTCAACATCTTCCCCATCCTCATCTTCGCCCTCGCCCTCGTCATCTCCATCATTATCATGGGTATCGTCCAGAATCTCGTCGTCTGTATTAGCACTAACATTTTCGGTATGTGTCCCTACGCTCTTTCTCTTATCTCCACTAGCTTCGATGTCCAAGTTGTGGTCATCTTCCTCTTCTTCTTTAATCGCAATAGTGGTTGTTGGTTCGTCATCCAAGTCCGGGAAATTTGATAGCTTCCTCAGAGCGCTGATGTCGATTTTAGTATAGTCAACTTCGATTGGCTCCTTTACTTCTAGTATATCCTCGATTGTTTGCGGTTGATTTCCATCTTCGCTTTGGCTTTGGCTTGACCCAGGTGTGGTCTGGGGTGTCGCGAAATACGTCTGAGTGCCCGCATCGGTCATTTGGCTCCGTTCAGTAGCCATCGTCTTGCTAGACATATAACTTCCTCTATTGCTCCGTGATAGGAAAGTGTCGACACTTTGGCGGCCAGCTTTGGGGAAGAATGGACTCGTCGGGCTAGGGTTGTATTCGAATTGGGTGCTGTCGGGTCTTAGTCGTGTACCCGCCTCGCGAATACCCATTCCGGCCATCTCGAGAGCCAACACACCAAAAGGATCAGGATCTTCGAAGTCGGGGACACCAAATGCTGGCGATGGGCCTGCTGTCTTTGGCGATTCGATCGTCGCATCTCCCGGCGCAGGAGTGGACGCAAGTTGTTCAACAAGAGCCGTATCATAGTCGGTTCTCCCTTCGGCAGCTTTGAGAACTTCAGTTAGAGATCGAGTCTGGGGCATGCTTTGGTTGATATCGCCCGCTAGGATCTTGGCGACACTTATTTTCATCCCGTAAAACCGTTCGTTCTCGTCGGCTCGCTCGCTTACGATTATACCATCTAACTTAACTTCCGCAGTCTGACCCTTTGCCTTGATATACGTGATTGCCCTGTCGCTTAGATCGGCCCATGTGACATCGTTTTCGAGTAATCCTAAAGCCACAAGAGGGCCAGCCGTCAGACTGACATCGGTACCGAGCGTCAATCGGGGTCTGGCAAAAGCCTCAAGGACGGTGAAGTTGTTGATCACGAGTACACAATCATAGATGTCGACGCCGAAGACGAATCGCAAGCTAGAAGTCTGAAGCATTAAACCGGATGGCGGAGACCACGTTCCATCTGTTTTGCGCGCAATTAAAACGCCGCTACCGCCAGAGCCGGAACCTGAATTCCATATCCCAGATCGCATCGAGGTGAAAACCGCGAGTCCAACAGCATTCTGTATTATCCGAGGGGGTATCTTCTTTAAGAATCTATGCGACGAGTGAGCGCTCGAATATGTCGACGGACTCCCTGGTCGATCGTCTGGGGTCGAGAAGCCATCGCCTATAGCAAGGCGTTAGTTTATTCATGAGTACAGACAGCGCAGAGCACATACTACAAAAGGATTTAATAATACGAGCGGCCTTTTCGCATTCCTTATCCAAGCTGGTGGGTAAGAAGGCGTCTCTACTACTCAGTCTCGAGGTGCTAAGTCGGTTCACAGGAGAAGGGATCTTGTCAGCCCATCCTCGGACGATATCGACGCTGTTCTTTCGGACATGGCCATTTGTATTGGAGCTGGTATTCGTGCTACCGTTGACGCCAGTGCTCGTCCTGCTGCGATCCCACGGGAGGAGTGCGGAAACCCGCTGCATGGCTGGCTGCAACTAAGAGAGCACGGATGGTCGCCTTCCGGAATGTGCGCGTCCCAGGGGAAAGGGTGGTTTAGCTGTTTATTTGAGATCAAAACTATAGTAATTAAGTCAGATCAACAGTAGAAAAGATGGGAAGTCGGATCTGCTCATCAGGCAGGCACTGGGCCAGCAACATTGAAGAAGAAGAAAAAGTTGGAACCGTAGTCTCGGGTCAGAGCCTCTGACGGAGGAGGGGATTGGGAAAGGAAACTGACGACAGCTCGGGCAATGGTTGGCAGTTTGCTTTGTTCTAGTTCTATGTAGCATGTAGGATGTACGCTGTATGTACGTACATATGTATGTAGTATGTGTTAGATACATAAGGGTCGATAAGGTAGTAGGCCGGATGGGACCAGGGCAGAGAAGTGTGTGCAGTGTGCAGTATGCAGAACAAAAGTGACGTTTTGACTGGGTATTGCACTGGTTAACCAACCCCAAGCCGGCTTAAGATGCATGCGTAAATGCATGTTTAGTGGACCTAAACTCAGGTAGACTAGGGTGGACAGGGTTGGCAGGATTGGCAGGGAATACAGGCAGGGTACGGTAGGGTACTAGGCAGGGTAGGACAAGGTTAGACGGAGAAGGACCAGGGGTAAGAGGAGTAAAAGCCTGGGAAGACTATTCCCCATTGGGGCTTCAGCGATGGCGGGGGGTTACCTGATTTATTGAAAGGGGGGTCATTCCGCACTGCCGGCTGTTTAAATGAATTTCAGGAACGAGAACAACAAAATTTGACAAATTTGATCAATCTGATCCAGGTACCGGCTTGCTAAACACACCTAATAAATCTAGTGGATGGATATTCCCTACTAGGCACCTTCTCGAGCAGGTAAACGAGATAAGCGAAGTTACGACGACAGGACGACTACTTCGTTTGCGACGCCGAATAGAGACGGCGCGTGATATAGATGGAATATGAATCATGACCTCGGGGGACCATCAATATGGATACAGGTACTAACCATTATAGAGTCAAGACTCAACGTTTTCCTCCCATCCCGGTCTTAGGCAAAAGCAAAAGCTATGTCTAGTGAACTCTATTAGTCTTGATAATCAAACGGGTGCTGGGTACTGCAAAACTTTACATACCTTATATTCAACCACGGGACCATGAAAAGTTAAAAAGGTCCAAGGGTACTAGGTACTTGTATTACAAGACGGCTTAAAGACCTAAAAACAAAAATGAAACAAGCAAGATTGCTATATAAGTGAAGTATTGATAGGCAATCTAATTATACACAGGTATTCTGTACAATCCATACACGCATTCAATTAAATCAATCAAATCAATTAACTTCATACAAAATATGAAGGATCATGTCGCTGTGCTGGGGGTATCCAATAATCTTCTTTATCGATCCTTCTCATAGATGAGACTCGGGATCTCAAGTCGATTAACATGGAAACCCCTCTCCGCACTAGCGATCCAAGCCTCAATTGCTTTTTTTTTCTTCCTATCTTTTTTTCATCTCTTAAGCTACCAATTAGTATTTCGTTCTAGGTTGGGCTGAATGCGCGTAGGTTCGCCACTTATTGCCGACTTACCAGCAACTCTACTTAGGTATGCTTGGGTATGGGGTAGAGAGCATGAGGCATGGGTGTGCATATTTCTTTTTCGCAGTATGTCTCTACCTTCCTGGCAGCTTGGTGTGTACTATGCGTATGATAATCTCGTCAAAAGTTGGGGATGTCTTAACTTCATCATGGAGATGGGACAGAAATGACCCTGCCAAGCCGCGCCTCAAGCACACTGACACATGGGCGCTTGCAGTTGCAGCGAGCACCGATCACGAGCACAACATGAACTGATGGATCTGACTTTGCACAACGCCCGCCCGGACTGTGGCGGGAAATCCGGGTTTGCGGACGGCTCGTGAGATGATGATGGGCTTGTGAATTGGTTCGACGAGAGGGTGACATGGTCGCTTTTACGGAGATACGCTACTAATTAAGCCAAGTGATCGTGCTTTTGAAAAGGCAAATACATAAGTGTGTATGCCCCTAGGTAGGTAGGTATCTACTATACCTATTACTAGGTACAGTAGATACTATCTATATTGTTGTCATATACATACTAGCTGACGAGATGAGTTACGTATTAGCGGTACGAAGCACGCACGAAGCACGATGCACCGGGAACTAGTGGAGGAGTTGTCTCGCAATATGTTTTTAATTTACTAAAATTCCTAGGACCTCACACCCGCATGTCTGCAGAGCCAAGGAATAACATTAGACCAAGTCAGTTCCATAGACAGGTAAGTTATTTATCAAAAAGAAGCATCGATGATCCCCCATCTGACCGCAGCTTTTACATTTGGGTAGTATATTGTTACAATGGCGATCCATCATGTGCCGTTCGTCCATTTATTATCTTTACGAGGGATCAGCTCTCGTCGTCTTAGCAGCTTAGGTTTGACCCATTACTCGTGTGATACGAGGTCATGTTCGCACAGCCTACATGTGTACGCAAGTAATAACTGCTTTTGATCCACATATCTTACCTACATTTACATGCCTAGGACCTAGGCTGCTAGGGCTACAGAGTTCCTACATAGTACATCCATATGGATACGTGCTAGGTCGTTCCCAAGCCGTTGGAAAACTTCTCTCCGACCTTCAAAACAAGGCTACCCCGGCCCTACCCGGCTCAGCCGTCAGCGGACAGATCTCAAGCAGGTAAAAAAAGAAGATCGAAAGGCTATTGAGGTTACTTCCAAGTCAAATCTCCGAGCTGGATATAGCAATTGCATATATTACACTATTATTACATTGCGACTTTCTTGACCGCAAGAACGTGCAACGTACATACAACGTACAATGATTTCACATTCGTGCCACCACTCACTACTCACCTCACGGCTATCTATAGGTACCTAGTATCGAGAATTGCGAAATAAAATCCCGGCTGAGCCGCGGCCCCCAATCATAGCCTGTGCATCCTGTAGTAAGCGTAGCGTTCGCGAGCCATCCCGTCTACTAGCCTGCATAATTATTGATCATGGTCTTAGGGCTGTTGGTTCTGGACCCCGAAGTGTGGAAACGTGGGAACGACGGCGTCTCATGTAAGTACATCCGTACATCGCACGTTTGCGGCGTCTTAGATTGCTTCCGTTCACCGGTTTGATGTATGGAAAAGGCATGGGCAGATTAAAATATGACTAAGCCAGTATTCGTCCGAAGGCGCTGCAGGGGAACCAACGGAATCAACTTAGCTACATACGTCATGGCTCCTCTCTACTAACTGCAGTCTGCAGCCTCAGAGGAGTGGAATCGGTGGATTGCATGAAGGTAGGTAGGTACTAGGTAGTCTGCAGTCTGCACACTCACGGAGAAAAAAAAACAAGGTAGACTTCAAGCTAAGAATGTATTTCAAATAAGTGGCTTCGTAATTTGGTGTTTAGACGATGACTTCGAAACAACAAAACTTCAAAACTCAAGACAGCTTCCCTGGCAAAAGACTTAGCCAAGGCGATAGTAATAGTATTCATAGTACTGTAGCATAGCAAACGCTGTCGAAAGTTGAAACAAAACACAATCCGCTTTATACGAGTCTCATAAAATAAAATACCTACAATGTGTCTGGTATATAGCTAGGATGAATAATAATATAGAGCAGCGGATCTTGGTAAATCTCGGTGACTTGGCTACTTGGTGACTTGGAATAACGACGATAGTGGATTCGGCGATCCCCAGGTTAACGTGGACCCAATGAATATATCTCTTACGTGTTGATTCCCACGACCCAGATCTCCGGTGAAGTCTTGGCCTTTCCCGGCAAGTAGGATGTTGAAAAGAGCTAAAATCAAGTTTGCGAATAATAAACCCCATTAGTTGTTTCGTTTATAACGTGCTTCGGCTACTGAAAATAGTAAGATTTGATTCGGGACCCATATAGTCCCATAGTCCCATAGTCCCATCTCCCCCTTTTACACGTACATATGAAACTTATATCGGTTGGTATTAACAAGGGAGGTGCCTTATTCAGACCTCCAAACTTTTCCAAAGAGTCGGTAAGCATTGATTGAAATTTCAGATTCGTTGGCAGTTTTCTAGGTTAGTCGCCCTAGAGATGGCTTAGAGGAGACCTCTTAACTTTTAGTGATTAATGGTCAGATTTAGTGTTGGTGGATGCCTCTAAAATTTGACGGGGAATCGGCAATTCCGTGTTTCTGTATGCGAATACGTCACCAACTTAATAGTTTTATGGCGAAGTAAACAATGGGCGAGTATACTGTTCTCCTTAAATTTATTAGTTCCCGATGAATATCGAGTGACCTATCAACTCAAGATCGAGTATCGACGAAAAGGAGGCAACCAACCAGACCGACTACCTATATCCCAAAACCTTCTGTATTATGTATACGACTAACACGAGATAATCACAGAAGACGAAAATGCTCAGAGTACCTAGGTAAGGTAGACACACGTAAGGAATATATTAGTGTATATAGTCATTCTAATCCGAAGCCTTCATCATCAGTCTAGCCGTACGATACAATCTGCATTCATCGCCCGTGTATTCCGTCATGCCACAATCCCGTCGTAAAAATCCGTAACAGTAGGTAATAACCGATCAATAAATTTGTCATATGCTCCGTAAATCGCCCATTCGCCAAGTGATGGAACATTTCTCATGAATACCCGTCCCTTCCCGAAGCAAGAAAGCAATTTGGAACATGTGATGTATAGTAAGTAGGGACGAAAGCAAAGATATAAAACGCCGACGTGATTTGCACCTGTAGAACATGATGATAATGTTGTCCTCTATATATGACCCCTCCCTTTCCGCGCGGAAGAGCGGGGGAGATGTAGAAAAGAAAAGTAAAAAGATAGAAGGGAATATGGTTTTATAAAGAAAAGAGTGGTGTCGTGGCTCATGCTTGATTCGTTTTTTTCTTTCCTCCCTCTCGTCTCCCGAGTCGCGACGTTGGGTTTCGCGCCAGAAATAGGTAGGAAATTCTCATACCCCGTTCGACGCCGCCGCAGCTACCAGTACCAGACCGTTCGCCTGGTAACGTAAGAGCTTTCGTGGTGATGATACAATAGAATCAAGAAACATTTCTCATAACGATATAACAACGAAGATAGTGACAGTGTGACAGTGACGGTGACGGAAATTTCACCTGTGTCGCGCGCTCTAATAACTATGTTGAGCCATTTCGTTTCCGGGATATGGCCCTCCGCCGAGGACGTACTGCTCGAAAGGCAGACAGTTAATCGTCTTTCGCGAGCTTCGTACCCATTTGGGACGAGGGACGTCCTCCCAGTCTTCGTTAGTCAAGGGGTAGAAGTTGTAGGACTCGTGCGATGGTAGGTCGTGGTGTTCGCACTCGAATATGCCTTCCAGATGCAGGCGCTCTAGCTTAGGCAGCTTTCCCCGAAGTCCTGTGAACAGCGACTTGAACGTCCCTTCGTAAAGGTGGATTCCTCCGAGCGATACTTCGAACGGCTTGGCAAGCCCGCGACCGCCGAGACGTAGACGGAGAAGGGTGGAGCCATGTCGCGCGAGAAAGTCCTTGAGGTCGTCCTCCTCGCAGGAAACGCCTTCCAGCGTTAGATCGGTGAGGTTCCTAAACGTGAAGTCCCAAAACAATTCCCGGAAGGATAGGGTGAACTTCGAGTTCTCGCTGGTGTAGGGGTGGAAAGCAAGCTTCAGCTTCCGCAAGCCCTTGGCCAGCTGCAATATGCGACCGAGGCCATTTACGGCCCTGAAAGCGGATCCGGGTCCCTGCAAGCCCGAGGGATCGAGAGTGAGGTTTAGGGTATCTAGGCTGTCGAAAGATTGGGCATGGGTGTACCAATGCGTGCGATGACCTGCCAAGCGGAAAATCTCGAGAGGAAGCCTGTCGATCTTAAAAGTGGATAAGGGGATGCCGTGAAGTGCGAATATGATAGCATCCAAATTGCTATAAGTCTGAGGACGATCTAATTTCCTGCAACTAGGGTAGTCGAAAACCTCTCTCAGCAGACCGTTATTGAGAGGGCATTGCGTGTACGTGATCTCAAGATTCTTAAGATTTGGTAACGCAGAACATGCCTCTCGCAGATCATCCTGCCTTAGATGCAATGGACCGACGGACTTGCGCCCCCTTTCGATCCTCTCAAACTCCTGCCTGGCCGATCCCATAACCTCATTGCGTTGATCCGGAGGTGTCACAAAATGTTGAAACCTGTGGAACTGGTGAGCAAGGTTCTATGTTCTCCGATAAAAAGAACAATTGGTCTCAATATCTTGTTCTGATATAAGAACATGGAAGGTCGTAATATTCATATAGAAGAGAATATATGATATTCGGGGTTGGATTGATCGCAACAATGATTCAAAATGGATTAAACCATATTTAATAAAAACAAAACAAAAAACAACTTACCATGAAGTACTCCATGCGTCATAATAAGAAAGTTCCCCTAGAAAAATGCAGATGGACGTGATACTTCCTCTCAATCGGTCGTGGAGGGCGATGGAGTGTAATCGTTCGATATCGTTCCTCCAGCTAACAGCGGTGAAGTTGGGGGACAACAAGTACTCGTACCCTACATCTGCCAACATACGAGTGACCTCTCGAAGGTTTCTGACTGACTCGGAGTCGCAGTGAGAGAATATGAGTCTCAGAAGCTCGACTGGTAAGGTATCCATAGAGAGCGTATAAGTAAGATGGATATGTTGTTGTTGTTCATATGAAAATTTTCTTTCTTCTTTCCCCGATGTAGAAAAATCAAGAGGCAGTGAGTGGGAGAGCCGGACGATTGGTTGTTATGTCAGATTCAGTGCTGGCAGTGGTCAAGTGTCAAGTGTCAAAGTCTTGTTGAAGTGACCTAAAAAAACTCCGCCAGTTCAGAGAGGATGGAAATTGATCAAAACGCCGCAACAGACCAGATTATGGCCGAGATTTCAAAAGAATGAAAATCCAAGTCCTCCTACGCGTTCTCGACGAATTTTTCTACTTGGAAATGGCGGTTAGTAAATAGGGTAGCGAGCATGGTCATAGCCCGTACTCAACGAAATGGCGGAGTGTTGTATGTTTGGTGCATCTTTCTGCAACAAGCCTTTCCGGTTCTAGGACAAAGGAAAAAAACCGCACCAACTATCGGTGAGCATGAGACACACATATACAATGTACTAATTTCGATATTCTGACGGACAACAGCATAGACTAAAAAATAAATAATAATAAAAAACATCTAATCCCTAAATGTTTCCTTGCGAATGGGTCCTCTTTCTGAGTACCTGCTTCGGGGGCTGAAAGGATTTTGCAAGGTGAGATGGCGGTAAAGCGACCCTTGTATGACCGTGAGAGATGCTGGGTACGGTGAAGGACAAGAAAACAGTACTTAGTACAGGATAGTACAGTGACCTGTATAGGATAGTATGGGAGTACTATGAGAATACTATGAGGAGACAAGGATTTGGATTGTGACTTTGATAGTCCCAGCAGCCCAGTTCCTGCATTAGGCCTCATTGGAGCCGGAAGGCCACCGTCTGCTAGCTAGCTTGGCGGACTGTACGATTCCGACGCAGTGATTCGATTGTAAGCAACCCTGCCAGCCCTGACTGACGTTACTGGCCTTACATGGCCTTACATGTCCCTACATGGCCCTACATAATAATACTGACTAGGGGCCTGACTAGATCTAGCATGTAGCGGGTCGATACAGCTCAGCAGTGGCGTATTCTTCAGCACTATTCGATAGCTCTCAGCTCTGAACTGCCCCCCTTGCATTTTATTAGATTTTTTCTTTTCGAGACGGTGACAACAATGCGAAACCCAACTGATCGGGCACAATCTTGAATTCCCGTCGGTGAGAGGCAAATAGGAGCCCGACTTTTCATATCCCACCTTTTACTGCTTCTAGAACGCTTTTTTAGAAAAATAAAATAATAAACCCGCTTTGTGTCCCGAAATAGAGCCGTGTTCCCATTGAGGCTCCCTCAATAATAAATACGATATAACGAAACTCCTAAGCTCTAAAGCATCGAGTCATAGTTCATAGCCTGGCATGTCTCGCCTTGAATATAGCCACCTTGTCGTCGTAAAACAGTATCTCACGTAAACGAAACCGTGCGGCTGACCCACCCAAATCACCCTCTTGTACCGAGTCTGCCTCAGACTCAGCGTCATCGGATACATCTGTTAAGTCATCCCCAGCGTCCGCTTGACTCCCGTTACTATTGTCATCGTTCACATCATCCTCGTCCTCTTCCGTCTCTTCGTCAGCCTCACTACCGTCATCTTCATTGTCATCGTCTTCCTCGATCACAATGGCACCTTGCCCCTGGTTTCCACTGCCCGTATTGCCACTACTAATATCACTTGGTCGGGTCTCTAATATTTCGAAGCATTTGGACCCTATACCTACGTAGCAAAGCTGGATTTCTGTTCGCAATGTGATGATGTCAACGAGCTGGAGCGCAAGCTCCTTTGGCTCGAAGCTAGCGATGTGCTCCATCATGAAAGGGATGTGTAGAGAGCGAAGCTGCGGGATGTTTGGCAGTCGCTGAAGGAACGGGTGCTGTAGCACAAAAACTGTCAGTTTTCACTCGTCAAAAGCAGTGCAGGAAGCTCAGAGGAGCGCTTTCGCTTACCCAGTCCTTGTAATCAAATGCCGCGGAGAGCTCCTTCAAATTCGGCATTTTCCCACTTGTAATGTACGAAACTATTTCACTACTAAGCACCCAGCTTGACCAGCGCCGGCCTTCTCCTGATTCGTCCGAGCTATCAAGGAGAAGCTTCTTTAGGCTTGATTTATGCCGTTTTATCGCTCCCTTGAATATCTGGTCAAGTTTCACAGCTGGAAGCGGTGTGCGTCGTCGATCTTGCAAGAAAAGGACCTCCAAACTATTTGGTGCGAGTGTTTCTTTAATGAAACTAATGAGAGTACTCGAAGCATTATCTGTATGTATGTGTTTCAATGCAAGGTGATACTGGGTCGGCGCGCCAGTAGGTGCGCCATGGACCGGGGATGTAGGATGAAATTGCCTTCTGAGAGTTCTCCAGAGGTGATCAACGAACATGCAGTCTATGATGGTGAGACTTGTCAGAACACTCCAGTCGATCGCTTTTGTGCAAACCTGTAGCGACAGCGGTACTCGCTCGAGCTCTAACGTTTCCAGCTGGAGCTTTCCATCGAGACGTTTTCTCTCCGTGCGCGATTCGTGAGAGTCATTATATGACCACTGAGTCTCCTGATATGATGTACCGATCGCACCCATCGTGGTGAGTGGGGCATGCGCGGCATTGGAACTGGAGCCGAATTCCTCGGCCCCGTTAAGCTGCGATGTAGAGCCCTGTCCTTGAGAGGGGATTGTTGGTTCTTTCTCTCGGAGCTTCGCAGATTTTCGTCGAATGTCATATATTCTGCCGACGAGAACTCCCAGAACACCACCTAATCTCCTATCGCCAATTCTACTTTCGCCGGGCCAACGAGCATTATGATCGACTTGTTGCAGCGCATAACTATCCCACGCCTGCGCAAAGTCGGCCATTCGAGATTTTTGCGAGATTCCCACTCGAAGTTCTCGGAGGCAAGGTTTCGAACGCTCGATAAGTACTGACATCTCATCTAGGTAGGCAAGTTCATCAATGTCTAAAACCGTCAAGCTCTTCAAAGGCGGTAAAACACTGAAGGTCGGATACTCGACCTGGCTCTCTGAATACTTGATCGGCTGTGTCACAGATGGGTGAAAATCACTAGGTAGTGTATTGCCGACAGGTGTCATTGTACTTCCTAGAGGTGGAACAGCTAGAGGCGGTGGTGGAGGGGGTTGGATCGGACTAGAAATAGACGACGAAGCATCGGGAATCTCAGAATTGTCATGCCAACGGATCCAGACCTTCTCGAGCTTGGGTTCGCCTTTGACGTAATGATCCTGAAGGGATGCGAGAGCCATAAAGACTTCTGACAGAACACCAGTAGGCATATCCCACACAAACGTCTCTAAGTTGATCATCTTTCCGACGGCAATGGCCACTAACGTTCCAAGCATCTTTCCGCTCTCTTTAGTAACCATGTACTCGGATGTCCAGTCTTTAGGCCCATTACCAAGCGAAAATTTACGTGTATATCTTGCGTATTGATTGTCTGCGAGCCTCTTGGAAGGGTCATCATACCCAGAGCTTCCTCGTAGCCATCTCGACCTCTGGGCGAACTTACTACCCAAGCATAGGGTAGCTAGTCCGTATGTAAGCGCATCGACATTTTTGCTGTCGGACGTAGGGACGGTGTCATCGGGCCAGACAATATCGAACCGGGCATATATCTGTGGTATTGTCAGGTAGTAGAGTGTGGAGTTTGTCAAGGTTAATGAGGTAAGATCATTCGTATGAGTAACCTAAATAATAATAGTTAGAATATCGTTGTAGAGTCTATGACCTAGGTAGGTATCTAAGACTTGCCTCCTTCACGATGAGTCTTAGGATGTCGACAGGAAGATCGAGAAGTTGTAATGGTCTCGGCTTAGCTCCTATTGCTTCCCACTCGGGTCCCTTATCTCTAAGAAGTTTCGACAAGTTCGGCATAGGCAGCTCGCGCACAGTCAAGTCGGATGATGATTCGGGTAGGTGCTGTCCATTCTCTTGCCGTGTCTGCGTATGCGAAACCAACGACTCCTTCAGGTTGGAGTGGCTTGAATCCGGACTGTTAGCCATGATGCTTCTTCGTTGTCACTTTCCCTAATTTGTGATGTCGCTCAGTATTAAAGGCGCCCTAAACATCGGGTCGCATGCTGTCAAGAATTGGTGGGCGCAGTCGAAGATGATCGATACTGCTAATTAGAGTCCGAATAAAACGACCACGGAGACAATGTCACAGTATCGCGCAGAATGGACGCTAATAATAGCTTCCGGCGATCTAATAAGTAGGTAGAAGGAGTACGAGTCGGCTGAAAAGATATGGATGTATTGACGTGCGTCAATGTGGTTTAAGACGGCGATCTGGAAACTAAGTACTAAGTGCTAAGTGCTAATGTACCTAGACGATTAAACAAAGAGTAAATTTGGTGGACGGTGTAGAAGAATGAAGAGTGTCACCTGAATTGTCAGTGGTAAGGTAATAATGTGATAAAGATGCGTATTGATGTTTACGGGTAGGATGTATGTATTGTGTATTTTCATGAGATCAGTGGTAAGGCTAGGTAGGTTGGAGCTGGATCTGTACTTGACTTTTGACTCCTTTGGCAGAAATACGTAGAATTGTAGAATTACGTGCTTCTAATTGGCCTGTTGCATGGCAGCATGGGTAGGCACGGGGCATATGGGCGCGTAAAACAATAAGGTTAGCACCTTCACCCGAAAATGATCGGCGGGATACCTTCTACGACCCACGGTAGGAAGGCAGCACTGGTACAACGACTGGTTATCGATAGTCTTGGGTAGGTACTTGCTGCGCGATGTCGCATAGAATACCTGGTATGTACATGTATGTACATATTGCTTACAACTTGATGAACTTCAATATCCGGAGAATTGATGGTAATTGATAGCCTCAATTTTGGTTCTTGTCAAGTAGCGTTCTAGATAATTATTTAAAGAAATAGTATGAGTATGAAACTACCTACCTATATATTTATCTACCTAGTAGTATGAGAGTATGTAAGTGAGCTCGATAACCCATCCATGATATTTCTATGTAATAGGTAGGTACTAATAATCGTAGCTTCCTCACGCATACCTCGGCTTCCATAATCCATCTTAGTCTATATCCTTTGACACATTTGGTAGTAGATAGCGATTACATTATTCTGACATCTAACACACCCGATGAGAATGGATATATTTTACGAATCTTTCATCTTCACGGTACCTAGTTCTTTTCTTCGGTGAGAAAACTTAATGATTTACTTTATTGGATCTTCCCGAATTGCCTGCCCACTGGGCAGATATTGCCCGTTTTAAACGATTTGAACGATAAGGTTAGCATGGGTCAGGTTTAGGTAACTGAAGTTGCAACCTGAGCCCCTCCAAAGCCCCGCCTCTCCATAACTCTCCATAATCTACCCGTGCATCTTTTCACTGGTACAACTGGTACCTGCCCTCAACGTCTTATCCTTTATTACGACGATACGTCCTCCTTTCCCTCCTTGTTACCTCTCGGTTCTTCCCCAACCTCTTTATTCTTAAATATTTTATATGTATAAGTCTATCTAGTAGACTCTTGCGACCTGTATTCATCATAGACTATTCTTATTTGTTACCGTGCATCGGTCGATGACTAGCTATCTTTTGACGTTCTAGGTTCCGGGGATTTTCTGGTAGGGAGCTTGCCCTTCAAATGTTCACTGCCCCGCTCAACTTTCCAGGTTGTTTTTGTTCCTTTAGTCGCGCGGTTTGTCTTGTGGCTAAATCTGCCAGTTTTCTTGCGCCGTGTCCTGTCTTTCTATGACTAGATGACTGCCTTGGTCACTGCCTAACAACACGTTGGCCTTAAACCAAAGTTAGTTTTAAATATGTCTCTGTCACATCAGTTTCCATCTGGCTTGTTGCTGTCTTCTGCTCATCTTACTCTCTCGTCTATACTGACTTTACAAAACTTAGATTACTAGCAAGCATTCGAACAATCTTTTGTTGTCGCATATCGATCCACCCCGCACAGAACTTGTCGCATCTACATACCGAGACTTGATCTGTGTTGAAAATCATGGCTAGCTTCATGCAGGATCTCTGGGAGTCCATCTTCACTCCCGGTACAACACCGACACTCCTAGTTGCAACCAATGCCACCTTTGCCTGTCTCCAGCTCGTCCTTCTTCTCCTGTTGGTCGCAACATACAGTATCCATTTCATAATACTGTCGTTCTTGTGTGGAGGACTCTGGTGGGCTATCAACTGGTTTGCGGCCGAGTTAAGAGTCGCCCAGGCAAAGGAGGCTAGGGAAAAGGCACGTTCTGAACGAGCCGCGGCAGTGAAATCATCAGAAGACAGTGAGACCGAAGTAGAGACAGCCTTTATTCCGAAAAGTAAAGCAACATTGGCAAGCAAAGAGTTAGAAGTTACGGAGCAGACAGGGGAGTTAAAGCTCCGTACAGAACCGTCATCCTCGTCAGGAACAAAATCTAGTGCCAGTACAGAAGATGAATGGGAAAAGGTATCCGAGAATGAAAATGAGAAGGACAAATGAATTCACGAATTCACAAATCCAACGATTACGATGAACCGATATAGGATGTTAGGAGGAAGCATTTGCACGAGCGTATGTAGCTAGTTGGGGTCGGCGGCATAATGGCATTATATACCTGTTTCAGAACCTTTAGAGTTTATACCATCATCGCATTTTATTTCTAGTATCTTCTGGACCTCTATATTCACATTTTATCAAGGCGATTGTTACCGTTCAATTCATACATTTAGGTACATAGGTACATAGCATAGCGGCCTGAGATTACTGGGGCTGCGGAGGTGACGATTGAGGATATTTCAGGCACTTAGGTACTTAGGTACGTATCTTTCAAAATAAGCTACATAATCCATCACGTGACTAGTCTCGAATAGTGATAACGAACTTCAATTTTCACAGTCGTGGAACTTTGCTAAGTACTTTATCCAAGCTCTCTTAAACGCGACCGACTTACCTCAAACTTATAAGCTTTACATCACGCCGCATAGCAACACACGACTTAATTTTCTTGGTTTCGCAAAGCTATTAGCAATCGGTCAAGATGAAGCTCGTCAGGTAAGCTAAATCAAATTATTTTCGGCGCATAATCATGTGTTAAATCATCCATGTCACGAAGCTACATCTACGGCTCCAATGCTAACCGCGATGTTTTTTTTTTCCAGATTCTTGATGAAATGTGCCAACGAGACGGTGACGATTGAGCTCAAGAATGGTACGCGCACCGCTTCTCTCCTTTCCCTTCGCCAATGCAAGAACTAACCAAGCTCTTCATTAGGAACCATCGTACATGGCACAATCACGTCGGTCTCCCCACTAATGAACACCGCCTTGCGAACGGTGAAGATGACTCCACGCGGTCAAGATCCCATCCCTCTTGACACGATGAACATCCGAGGATCTACCATTCGATACTTCATTCTTCCCGATTCGCTTCCCCTCGATACCCTTCTCATTGACGACTCGGTGAAGCCCAAGAACAAGGCTCGCAAGGAGGCAGCAGATCGAGGCACCCGGGGTGGAGGACGCGGCAGGGGCAGAGGACGAGGACGTGGTCGTGGCCGAGGCAGACCTTGAACAGGTCGTTAGTTCTGATGGATTGTTGGTAAATAATTTTACGGCATAGCTGCGCCTTCGACGTGATAGGAGAAGGTAGGCAGCTTGCAGTTCAGGCAATGGAAATGCTATACTCGAGTACGGAGTGAGTGGGCATTGCTCTTACGGCGTTGGGGGGCACATGAAAACCATAAAGAATGGCAAAAGCTGGTATGGCTCCTTTGCACCTACTATTTTCACATGAAGAGCTGAGGGCTCACAAGAAATAATAAAGTCCCATTGGCACACCACCCAAAGATCTTACGTGTTTACTCTATCCAGATCCTGATGATCTGCAGTCTTTCCCATCCGGCCTTTTTCCCACTTGTCCCAACAGTCGCGACGTTCCAAGCCTCGCCAAAGGCTCGAATCCTCTCCTTGACTTCCTCCGGCTTGTTTTGCGCACAGAGCAAGATGTATGCGCAGCCTTTTTTCGATAGTACTTGAGGCAGGCTGTTGATCAACCTATCCGTCGTTTCCATCCCGTCCCTACCGCCCGCGTATGATAGCGAGAGCATGTATGAATCGTCATCAAACGTCGGTTTCTTATCCGGGTGTGGAAAGTCCGCTAGTCCCGGCTGCTTAGGTAGTTCCGGGGTCGGGACATATGGAGGGTTGAAGATCAATACATCTACTGATCCATCTTTCAGGGGCGTTCTTAGGTCGCCTTGGGAAGCCCCAAGATACATGCCATGCGACGCTGTGTTTTCCGATGCGGCTTTCTTCGCTGTCTCATCCGTAGCCTTACATGCGTAAGCATTCACGTCAACGGCGGTTGCCAGAACGTTTCGGGATCCGAAGAGGACTTTTGCGTGTGCGTTGACGAAGGCGATGACTACTCCCGAGCCGGATCCTATCTCCACCACCAACGGAACGTATCCATCTCCAAAGCGAGTTTGGAGAAATATTGTCTGGTCGGTAGACGAGAGCGTATCTAATAGTAGGAATGAATCTTCTGCTGGTTCATACACCCTCTCGTACGCCACGTGTGACGTGTCGGGCGTTGGAAGCATCTCTTCTCCGTTGATGGTCGAGGGAATGTCAAGACGACAGAATTAAGTCAAACTGTAAAAATTTTAATCGGGAAATAGGTTACGAGCACGTGATATCCTAGGCTCTACGCGATAGGGGAGATGAGTCTATTGATTCGTTGTGAATGCCAATTTAGCATTATCCCAACCACAGCTGATATCGTGTCGGACGTCCCACGGGAGCAGACATCCCCAGGTTTTAACCATGATTCATAGGTATTTGTCGCCAACTTTGGCGAATATCACCGCAACCGATACCCTGAGCAAGCCTCACATCGCCCATTCCAATAGGACGGATTGAATCCGTTGCCATGCAAAATCATCGTGAAAATCGACCAATTCACAGCGACTATCACCGACGATCTGTGTCAATCAATTAGCCACACATATATGACATGCTGCAGAAGGGAAATGACCAGGTCGCAAGCATACCTATCAGCAAGTCCAGCCATGAAGAAACACCCTCACATCTCTCTCAGCTAGATAACTCCCTCTCGAGCCCATCTTCACATAACAGCACACTCGCAGCCCGGGTCGCCTCTACTGGGGCCGGCGCCCCATCGCCAGCGACGGTTGATGTCCATAATCATGCGAACCCGGTGCGTGTCGTAGCAACCCGGCATCAGGCAGGCGGGACACAAGCCCGTGACGTAGACGATCTGCGGCGCATCGCGCGCCACGCCGTCCCCGAACTGGGGACACGTATCGAAGCCCTGGCCGGGCCAGCACGGGCGGTAGATGTGCAGCCAATGGTGTCGGCAGCAGCGGCTGCAGAAGTCTAAGGAGGAAGGGGAGGGAGGGTTAGCGAACTTTAATTTCTTGGATGGTCTGGGAAAGGGGGGAGTGAGTGACGTTGAGGCATGACAATTATCTTGTCTTCATTGATAAGATATTTTTGAGGTTATACGTACGGATGGTTGTGCACATTATGCCGTCTTCCTCGAGCAGGACAGGGCAGGTGGTTTAATAAGTTGGTAGTAATGTATTTTAGAAGTGTTTGCTGCAAAGTTTTCCTAGGTGTGTGGAATGAAATAGGTTGGAAGAGTGCAAGGACGCTTATAGCTCAGGGTCCGAATTGCACCTTCCGTCCGAATAGTTACTTACAAATGCAAACACTATCGAGACCCTCCCGTACCTTCCAACTTATCCTCGGGTCTCCGATTACATATTATTTTGGTTGCGCGGGGACCGAGCAGGCAATGCTTGGGGGAAATACTTTGGCACTCTCATCCATGTGTGTGGATTGTAGCCATAGCACTATCAGGTACCTAGTGATGAACTGGCGATATGAACACTGTATTTAATATGACACCGAGACTCGATTTTCCGTTGTAGTATTCATTGTGTATGCTATATGAAGTGCTTAATTCTAATACAAGCCCAATTTTGCTAGTCTTAAGTTGTACGCCTACGCTCCCGAGAATTCAAAACGATTCATCTTTATATAAATGTAGGTACATATGTAGTTGTGTCAACCCTATGATTCTTGGGTCTTCCTGTCATCATCATCACTGTTGTATATCCTTGTCAGCATCTCCTCAATCCTCGAAGTAGTACGCTCCAATGAACCCAGACGGCTTGTTAGATCTTCGATTTCGGATGATTCGCTCATAATAGCACGTATTTGTTCCGTCAGCATCCCATATGGGGCTATCGAGTCTCTACGGCTCGGTGGTTTAAATGACTGTGGTTCTTGTGGCTCTTGAGGTTGCTGCTGCTGCTGCTGCCGTTCTTGTCGCTGTTGATTCGCGTCGCCATTGTCCTGCTTCTTACTCGGCTCTACCAATGTAGAGGTCTGGTTTCGGGCAAATTGTCTCCGAATCATATGATGCGTAAGTTCATCGTCAACTGCAATATCGTTCTCGACCGAATCAGGGGGGGAAATATCAAATACAGCTTGAATATCTCCGTGGCTCGTTATTCTCCATCTCTCCCAGAACCAGCTTCGGCTACGACGTTTCTTCGGCAGCTGCTCTGTGGGATATTGCGCTAACTCCGTATCTGACCATAAAAGTCGCCTCTCTACCACGGCAATGAAGAGCAGCACTGGTAGGTTGATTGTCCTAACCGTTGCCACATGGATCTTGTGGAACCAACGGGGACTAACCACAAATCGCATCGGAACCAGAACGAATAAGGCAATGATGTTAAACGGCGGCTGATATGCAAATATAGCATCACTCTTCACACCTTCGAGGGTTAAAACGGCTTTTCGAAATTGGATCTCGGCGGTGGCGTTGCTGACAATAGTACTGAAGGTATTCGAGAGCATCGACACCAATATTGTCAAGAATAGCGTGTTACCCAAGAACGCAAATGTAATCATCAAAGTTGGTCCTAGAAGCCAGTGGAATTCCGTCTAGAATAAACATATTAGACACGAGTGCATGTGATATATGATGTTCACCTACAGAACGTGAAATGCCAGTGCCATCCAACCCAAACCAGATCCATAGCATCCATTTACTAATAGTCCTGCTTATCATTAGTATTTGGTAATCTCTTAAGTTCTAAAACTTACACAATATTATGACGTCCTTCTGCTAGCCATACCATGGAAAGCAAGAACCCACCAAAGCACCTAGTTCTCGTTAGTTTCCTAATTACTTTAAGGCAATTGTGAGCAATGATTCAAAGCACACTTACCAACCTGCCAAAGCCGTCAGGAGAGTGAAATCCGCCATCATCGATCGTAAGGATAAAAACACCAAGTTGTCTGAGAGTAGGTTGAATGCTAGTCGCGGTACGAGTACAGGGGCTCCCATAGCAAGTACGTCGAGAGCTTGTTGCCCTGGCTCGGGTTGCCCGCTTTTCCAACCGTAAAGCCTCAAAATTAAATAGGCCCAATAGACTAATGCAAACATAACATCTAAGAAAGACCACAAATTTTGTGTGTACACGTTCCTGTTTCATTAATAAGTAAACTGAAGATGAGGGCATCGGTCAGACGTACCATCCATGTGCAAGGAGTGTCGCAAACTGATCTAGAACCCAACCGAACGCATAAACCGAAAACGCAACCTCCAGAACGCTTAAGTACTCTGCCTTCCTCTCCAGCATGAATAGGAGGTATAGTATAAGGAGGATCACGAATTGGGTTATCTCCAACATGTTTCTCGTACGAGGCACTATTAAACGATACTGGTTCAGCAGGGGCGCCTCATGTGGCTCATATAACGATATGGGCTTCTGCTTGTATCGGTCCGGTATCATATCCAACTAGTAAAGTTAGTATTGGCTTCTAAAAGCTCAAAAAAGGTTCTCTCATATATGAATGTTTACTTGGAGATGGAAGGCCTTGAATAGAATGAAATAAATTTCCACATACTATAGTCACATTAGCTTTATAAATAACGTGAATATTTTATTATTATACTTACCAAATGTAGAAGGGGTATATATGACCTGACCAATATAAATCGCGTTGACCCTACTACATGTGAGCTTCATTGCACACTATTGAATGGGCTATGTCCACTTACACCTTCTGGCAATGTGTCGAGCTGAGAAAATGTTTGCTACCAGTTAAGACAGCAACTTCAAGGGCAGGTAATGTTCTATTTTGGCTCAGCGCAGGTCCTAGAAAGGCCTCTTGACGAACTTCTTCAGGTGCATTCTGAAAAGGGCCGAACCCGGCCACTAAGATGTTCGCTAGAAGGAGTAATCCTTCAGATCCTGGGTTATCATCGCCGAAGCGTCTTAATATACGAGTCGCTACCAACTCGCAAAGTGTTGCTCGTGTAAAATGAACATTTTGTCTACTGGTCATATGCTCTTGTTCATGCAGGAACTGAGATCTGTTTACGAGTAAACAGTAAACTATATAGTAATTAGCTACATGTTGGGAGTAGAGGCAGTTTAGGTGTGAGATATCCATGGTTTATAAGACTTGAGGCCCTTGAATATTTCTACGTACCGATAGATATGTCATTCTGCTCATAAAGCTTGTCTACCAAGGGTCGGACAACCGATATATTGAGTCGAATATCTGTTAATTGCTCCAGCGTGAGGTAATCTTCGACTATGCTGATGACGTCCCTTCGTATCCTGTGGATATTCGTATACACCGGGAGGTGAGCATGAGGATTTGTATTGCAACTGAATAGTGGCTCCTGGTCTAGGGCGTTGCCAAAAACATTCCGATTTAAAAGTGGCTGTTCCTCTGCTTCTCGCAGCCGCACCGTTCGCCGACGGGGATTGAGCATCATGAAAATTTAGAAATCCACATCAAAAGAAAAACAAAAACCCTGTCCTAAACCAAGACTCAACTCATGATCTAGGTACGTAAGTTGCAAGATACGCCGTAATCATGAATATACCACTTAAACTAATGAGCGTTGATAGAACAGCATTAAGCCGTTTAGCTAATGGTTGTAATATGTGTTTATGTGGTTGAAAAGTGGGCGATTTGAGAGAATGTTGGAATTTCCCTGACAATTGAATGGTGGTACGGATGGGTTTTAGTGTAACTTTGTGTTGACGTGGTTGTGATATCGCCGTGGAGAGAGAATCGAAGCTTAAAAGTCCCTCGGTTTCGTGGATAGATATTGTTGGTTAGAGAATATGTGTAGATCATGGATGAAAGAAAATGTTTACGTCTAGGGCTGGTATCTAGCCGCGAGAGATAATAGATATCAGTGTTTCACTTTTTCAGATCCCTTTCCACATGTAATCTTAGGAGTTTATCGCTCGTGTTTTAACTAGGTAGATGGGCAAATGGGTAGCTCCTTCCTACGCACAACAACCTAGATATACCAAGAGATATATGTAGATTAAGTTGGCGACAGCTGCACATTGACGTCGACGGGGCTTTCCTAGGTTCTGCAACATGCTCGACACATGCTTGATCCACTGATCATTTGACTGGACCAAGCTGGGGGATATAAATGGATCCACCCTGCCACCCGGAGTTACAGTACATTGAAGGAAGAGATAAGATAAGGCTAATTTTTTGCTCTATTCGGTAAAGTCGCGGGGGTTTCATCACCGCCAATTGTGCATCATAAGCTTGGTTTACAAGACTTCATATACTCGACAACTCTCTCCATTTGATTCTCGGGGTTGGTCGCTGACTTCCTCAAGTCATAACCATTATGGTATGGCCTTTTACTTCTGCCTCCAAGAAAGATGATGAGTCTTCGAGGCAGTCAGTCTCCTGGGACGAAAGTCTAAATGGAACCGACTGGCAACACTATAAAGACCCTAGAAACTGGGTCCCAACTTTGCTTGTGACAACAACCGTCATCGCGTCCTTACAGATCTACCGTTCATACCTGCGCCGAATACCTGGGGCCACCTACATACAACCGGCATTTTTCAGGAAGAGAAGTCTATTCGGTCGGGTTACAAGCGTTGGAGATGGTGACAACTTCCACCTGTACCATACGCCCGGCGGTCGTTTGGCCGGCTGGGGTTGGCTACGTAGAGTACCCACCAAGAAGATCGATTTGAAAAATATGACGGTAAGCACATCCGGAACTCAATATATTCCTCATATCGGTATCTTTTCATCGCTGACCTTACTTACGTTAGATTCCCATACGCCTTGCTGGAGTTGATGCACCAGAAGGCGCTCACTTTGGACGACCCGCCCAACCGTACTCGACAGACGCTCTGGCATGGTTATCTAGTTATATACTTGGTCGACGGGTGCGTGCCAAAATTTACAAGCGTGATCAGTATGATCGTGTTGTCGCTACCGTATTCGTGAGACGGTTCCTGCTCCGTCGCGACGTTGGCTTGGAAATGCTAAAGAGAGGCCTGGCTACAACCTACGAGGCCAAGAGTGGCGCGGAGTTTGGTGGCCTTGAAGAGAAATACAAGGCTGCAGAGATGAAGGCAAAGGAGAAGAAACGAGGAATGTGGGGTAGCGAGCCGCAGTTCTTCGAAAGCCCTCGAGATTATAAAACTCGAATGAACTCGGAAGAGTCAAAGAAACAATAACGCCAAATGATGAGAGATGAATCATGAACCGGTTATACTTAGGTGTTTTGTTGTATTTGCGAATAATTGTGGTCTATCATTGAGCCGAGACTCGATTTAGCTCTAACCTCCAGATATTCCACGATAATACGAAGTACATGTCAAATATTTGATACTTCGCCTTTATGCCAAAATGTGCCGCGTGCTTACATACTTACCATACCGGGAACTACCGTTAACTAATAATAATTAATTTCTTCGAAAATCATTATTCATTATTATATTTAATCTTTCGTTTATAAATGATTTATATATTAATAATTATTAAAAAATTAAAATAATTATTAAAAAGTTAAAATAATTATTAAAAAATTAAAATAATTATTAAAAAATTATATTTAAATAAGTTTTTTTATTTATTTTTTTTCGTTATTTTTTTTATTATTTATAAATTACCGAATTTATTATTTTATTATTTTATTATTTTATTATTTTATTAATTTAAAATTATTATTTAATTTATTATTATAATATTTATTATTATTAATTTATTATTAAATTTATTAATTTATAATTTATAATTTATAAATTTATAAATTTATAAATTTATAAATTTACGCATTTACGAATTTACGCGTTTTATAAAATTATTTATATAAAAAAATGAATAATAATTATTAAATAAAAAAAAAATTTAAAATAAAATAAAAATATAAGAAAAGATTTTTTATATTAAATTTCGAGTTATATATGAAATGTTTTTTTTTTTCGTATTATTTATTATGTTTTATTAATTTTCCGGTTTTTTATAAAAATATTAACGTTTCGTTAATTTTCGTTTTAGTTTTTTACGAATAAGTAATAAAATTATAAAATTATTTTTTTTAAATAATAATAAAAATAATATAAATTTTAACGTTTAAAAAAATAAAAATTTAAAAAATTAAAACTCGTTAATATTAAAAATTATCGTAATTTTAATAATAAATTAAACTTTTTTTTTTAATTTAATTAAGTTTTTTTATGTCGTTTTTTATAAATTTATAATTTTTATTTTATTAAAATTTATAAAATTTTTTATATTTTATTTATAAATTAATTTTATAACGTTTTATAATAAAAGTTTTTTCGTATATTATTAATCGTAAATAACCGAAAAACTTTTTTAACGAATTAAATATTTTAATATTATTTTATTTTTTTATTTATTAATTCGTTATTATAATAATTTTTTTATTTCGTATAATTATTATTTATTTATATTTTTTTTAATAACGATATAATTAAACGTAAAAATACGGCGTTTATAAAAATCTTAATTTTACGGGATTTTATATAATTAAAATATGTTTACGATTTTATAAATTTTTTAATTATTAAAAATATTTAATTCGTATATTATATTTTCGATTTTTTTTATAATTATTAAAAATTTAATTTTTTAAATTTTAAATTTTTTATTTTTAACGTTTAATAATTAATATTTTTTATATAATCGTAAATATATCGTTTCGTTAATTTTAAAATTTATATTTTTATATTTTTTATTATATTAAATTTTCGCGTTTATAATTATATAATTAATCGTTTTTTTCGTTTTTTTTTAATATTATTTTTTAATTACTTCGTAATTAAAAACATTAACTAGTATTTTTAATAAATTAAAAGTTATTTTTAATTTAAAATTTAAAACGATTTCATTTAACGATTTTTCGAAAATAAATAAATAAACATTATTAATATTATATTATAAAATTAAAATAATATTAATTTATAAAATATTTATTATCGTAACGTAATATCGTAACGTAAATTCGATTTTTTAATTTCTTTTTTTTAATTAATCATTTATTTAAAAATAATACGTAATATTTATTACGAGTTTAATTTTTATTTTCGTAAAAAAAAATTACTATATATTTAATATAAATTTCGAATCGCGATCGGATATTATTTTTATTAATATTTTTTAATCGTATAATTATAATGTTTTTAATAATTATAATATTTAATTTTCAGTTTTATATATAACATTTTTTAATATTAAAATAACTTTTTTATTAAATTTACATATAATAATAAATAAAAAATTAAAATATTTATATTTTTTTATAAATTAAAATAAAAAAACTACTTTTACTTTCGATAAATTAATAATAAAATTTTAAGCGATTATATAATATAATATTATTAAAAAGTTTATAAAAATTAATTAATTTTTTATTTTAAATTTATTTATTTTATTTTTAATATAATCGAAATATTAAGCGATATATTTTTAAATTTTTTTCGATATATTTTATAATTAAATATATTTTAACTTATAATATATACGTTTAAAACCGAAATAATATTTTATATCGTAAATTAAAGTTAAAAGTTTTTAAATATAATTTAATAAAATTATAAAACGTTTTTTACCGTTCGTCGTAATATAATATATTAAATTATTTTTTAATTTATATCGGTATTATTAAGCTATATTTTTTTTATTTCGTTTTATTTTCGTTAAAATTTTTTTCATTTTTTTTAATTTTTAGTTATAATTATATCCGGTTATAATTCGGTCGCGAAATTTTATTAATATTTCAATTTTTAATATAAAATATATTATTTCGTTATTATTTACCGTAATATCGTTTATAATATTTTTAAATATTAATTTATTTTCTTATGTTTTTTCTTTAACGTTTAAAATATTATAAATCGTAAATAATTTTAATAAAACATTTAATATTAAGTTAAATTTACCGGCGATATAATATATTTTTAAATTAAATTAAAATAAAAAAGCTAAAATAATAATTAATTTCGAATTTATTTTATTTATATTAATCGTTTTTAAAAATATTTAATTTATTATTTTTTACATTAATTTATAATCGATAATTATTTTAATAATTTTCGTGTAAAATTATAAATAAATGCGGTTAAAACGATATAATTAAATTAAACATGTTATTTTTAATTTCGTAATATTATATCGAGATTTTACGCGTATTAAAATTTTTAAAAAATAAATTATTAATTTTATTTTATTAATTTTTATTAATTAATCGTTTTATTTTTCGTTTAAATGAAATATTATAACTTTAAATTTTATTTATTTCGAAACGTTAATATTTAAAAAAATTTATCGATTATATTTTTAATAATTTAAATTTATCAAATTATAAAATTATATTTATAAAATTAAAAATAATTTTTTTTTTAATTTCGTTAATTTAAATTTTATTTTTATAATGTATCTTTTTTATCCCTTTAAAAATAATAATAATTTTTAGTTTTTTCGTTTTTTATTTAATAATATAATTTTTTTATTTTAAAATAACTTTATTTTTTATTAATAATAAAAAATATATTTTCGTAAAAAATTTATAAATTTAATATAAGTTTTAAATTTTAATAAAATAATTAATATTTTTAATTTTCGAATTATTAAAATACGATTTTTCGTAACGTTTAATTTTAAATCGTTTATTATAAATTTTAATAATATAATTATTAAATATTTTATAAATGTTTTTTTAAAGTTAAAGGTTAAACCGGCGTTTTTATAACGACGAAAAAATTTCATTAAATATTATTAATATTATTTTTTTATATCGGAAAAAATAACGATATCGTTTATATAAATTTTAACGAACTTTTTTAATAATTTTAATAAATAATTTATATACCGTTATTTATAAACGAGAAAATTTTTAAAATTCATTAAAACGACATTTAAAACTTCGAAACTTCGAAGTAAAATCACTATTCTTTTATCGCGGTTTTTTATAATAATTAAAAATTAATAATAAAATATTATTCCGTTTATTATAACGAAATACCGTTTTTTTTACATTTTTTAAATAATTTTATTTTATAACGGTAAAAAATATATATTTAATAAAATATATTTATTTAAAACTTTTAAATTAATAATTATACGTTTTTTCTTTTTACCGTTAATTAATTTTTAAATTATAAAACATGAATAATTAAATAATATTACTTTTTTTTATTAATTTATTTTATTTTTAAAATGTATAATATTAAATATTTAATTGAAAAATTTTTTATTTTTAACTTTTAAAAGATAAATATATTTTATTTTTAATTTTTTTTCTTAATCGTTAATTATATTTATTAACATTTTATTTTTTTCGAATATTTATAATATTTTTTTATTTTTTTAATAATTATATTTATCGATTATTTTCGTAAATTTATTTACGAATTAAAAATTAATAACGTAATAATAAATTTTATTTTTCGTTATAATTTTAAAAATATTTATAAACGTTAAAACTTTTAAAAATGAAATATTAAATTTCGAAAAGCTTTTTTTTTTTTAAAAAAAATTTTATATAATTTTTAGTTTTATTTTTTTTAACTTTAATATAATATTAATATTTTCATTTATAAAAAATTCGGCGGCGAAAATATATTAATCGTCGTAATTTAATATTATATCCGAATCGTAAAAGTTAAAAGTTACGGTTTATATTACGTTTATTTTTTTTTATATTATATTATAAAATATTTCGTTTTTAATTTCGGTTATCGTTTTAAAATGCATGTTTTTCGAAATAATTATTTCGTTATTAAAATCGTTTAAAATAATAACATTTTTTATTAAAAAATAATTATAAATATTATTATAAATATTAAAATATTTTAAAGTAAATAAGAAATTTTTTCTTTTCGATAAATTAAAATATTTCGTTAAAATTAATATTATTATATATTTAAGTATTATTATTTTTTTTAAAATTTTCATTTTTTTTAAATAAAAATATTTTTTTTAATTATAATAAAAATTATTACTTTTAAATATAATTTTAAAAATATATTTAATTTAAAATAATTTAAAATTACATTATATTTATATAAAAAGTTATTTTTTATAATAAAATATATAATAAAATTAGTTTTATAAATTTAAGTTTTAATTTTAACGCGGATTAAATATTTTTATTTTATTTTTATTTTTTTTAATATATTAATATAAAATCGAACTTTTTAATAAAGTTTAATATTATTTAAGTTAATTTTTTTAATATAAAATAATTTTTTAAAAATAAAAGTTTCGTAATTTTAAATAAATTATTTTAATTATTATTTATTTATTATTTTTTTATTTATTTTTAAATTAATGTATATTTAAAATTTTATTTTTTAAT